ATGTGCCCATCATATATACAACCCCACCTGGCATTTCCTGCTTTATTTTTTTATTTTTTTTTTTTTTATAATTTTTTTAACCTTTTAATTTTTTAGCATTTTTATTTTTTAATTTTTAATATTTAAAATATTTTATATTTTTTTTTTTATTTTTTTTTTTTTTTTTTTTTTTTTTTTTTCTTTATTGTATTTATTTTATTCATTTATTTCTATTTTATTTTTTTATTTTTCATTTATTATTTTTTTTTTTTTTTTTACATTCTGTACCTTAGCTGCTTATCGACAATTCATTCACCTCTACATAAGGGGCATAATTTCCTTATCGCTTCGGGAACAATTCTAAAAATTAATAGGCTATTTATTTATGCGGCATTTCCTTATATCGTTTTTGTTATTACACATCAATAAAGTTATTAGTTGACACATCCATTGGCTCATTCGTCGATTGAATGGGTACACCGTTTGAATGGGTACATCGTTTGAATGATATAACAACTTACTGATTCATCCATTAAATGATTTCACTTTTTTTTTCCCTTTTCTACGACCACATAAGAGAAAGACCGTTCCTCAAGAAAGAATAGGCAATTTTTTATTGAAAATTTACTCCCAATTTTCATTCTATCATTTTTTAACCCTTTAAACCAATCTATCATTAAAAATGCAATAACTGACAATTCCCCTTACCTCCTTGTCTTCATGGTTTCGTGTTTTTGTTAATTTTACAAAAGCATATTATACCAGCTCTGTATGCAAAGGAAAAAAAATAAAATAATAAACAAAAGTTACACAAAATGGATGAAGAGGACAAAATTAAAAATATTTATTTGAGCCTGAAAAATAAAAACAGGAGAGAGTGGGCTGAAATGATGCAACAATTGACAAAGGACCAGAAAAGAAGATTAATCTTTTACATAAAGAAGAAAAATAAAAATTCTCGTAAGTTGCAAACCAGGCGACATGTATGCATATACACATTTGTCTTTTATTTTATACCATTCGTTTTGTGTTATATATCCTTTGTTTTCTATTATATATCATTTGTTTTTTATTCTTTTGTCTAACTGTAACTCAGATGATACATCTCCATCCTGGAGCAAGCACAGCTCCCGTCTGTTGTTATTACATTATTATTAAATTCCTCACCCCATGCTACTTCTTTTTTTTTTTTTTTTTTTTTTTTTTTTTTCCTTCATCACAGTCAACAAGATCAATAATATTAAAGCTGAAAAAAATATCGAAAAGACCAAAACCAAAAATAGTATCCAACATCGCCAACAAATTCTAATTGATTACTCGAACGTAAGAAAAATTTCTCATGTGCTATATTGCAAATATGAGGAAATTAAAAAAAAAAAAAATAAAATAATAATAATAATAATAATAATAATAATAATAATAATAATAATAATAAAACTTCTATGTGTGGGACCCCAAAAGATATATTTCACAAAATTTCACACGAAAATTACATTGTTAGATACGAACTCATAAATCTGATAAACGCTAGCTAGACATGACGCTCCCTTTTCTCTCAACCTCATAACCAATTCAGGTAAATTACGACTTAAATTTAAAAAATTATATAGCCAGAATTTTGCGTATTTATAAATTGAAAGATAATTTCGATTTTGTGAAGGGACTCCATTTATACATGAACATCCTGTGCCATGTTATATTTAAAAAATTTTCATTCGAATATAAAAAGAAAGAGGCGATAAATAAAAACCTTCTAATATTTCTAAAGAATCTCTTCCCCTTTGAATTTCAAAAATTTCAAGAAATATATAATATGAGATGGAACAAAGACTTTAGCACATGTAAAAATGTTCCTCATCAAAATGAGATTACCACAAATGCGACCCCTATGAATGTTACCATGGATGAAGAGGAACCACAAAAGGGGAAACAAATACAACCTCATTCAATGAGTAATTCCCAATATAGGACCAACAAAAAGGATGAACAGCATCTGCAGGATCAACCGCATCTACATGATCAACCGCATCTACAGGATCAACATCCAGCTAACAGCAACCCTTTGGATATAGCGAACCACAGTTATGCCAGTATGGATGAAGATACACACAATAATTGTACATCTTCCCCAGGTTTTCCAACAATTTCCTCAACGATTAAGGATGGAGTGTCGGTACAGAGTATTACGAAAGAAAACACAACTAATGATAAAAGAATCATGTCAAGCAATAATCTGAACGTATTAGTAAAAAAGGAGCTGGAGGATCCAGATTATAACAAATGCAATACGAAGAAAGAAGAAAAGACAGGAGGAGGAAATATAGAAGAGTACATTAATAAAAATGTTAAGAAAGAATTTTCATTTTATGAACTTTGCAAAAATAGAGACATGAACAAAATTTTAAAAAATTTATACGATGAAAAAAGATTTGATTATAGAATACGATTTAGAAGTATTTTATCAACAAGTTTAAATAATCTTGAATATAAAAAATATTGTGATCAAAGAGAAAAATTATTTAAATATAAAAAAAAAAATTTTATTAAATGGCTAGCTCAGTTTACTAATATCAATTCATTAGATCTTTACATTGTCAATTTTTTTATTTTTTTATTTCTAGATAGATTATATTTAATTGTTGAGACATACATACGACTTAACTATTACAACGTGGTTAAATCTCCTATATCGTCCAACGAATATTTGTTCGATACCGTTGATGATTTTCAGAATTTTACACACTTGTTAAATTGTCTTACCAGCATATCCTCATGCAAGAGTGAGAATGGTGGAGGAACAGTTTCTTATGACTCTAATAAAGCAATCGGAACAGCTGCAATTACCAGGACATGTACTGATAACGAGAAGAAGACGACACCCCCAGTGGGAAAACAAGAATCAGAAATATTCAATGAGGAATACGATAACATTGTGAAGGAAAATTTACAGAATTTTTTCCTTTCCTTAGATTTAATATACAGCATAGATATACATAACTTTAAAATAATAAACAAAATAATCTTCGAAAAATTAATAAAAGTAGATCTTTCCTCACATGTAAACGAAACGAACATTTATAGCCTCATTCAGTTTGATGAAAAGAAAAACATTAGCCCATGGAAGACCTTCACTCATTTCACCTTGATGCAGAACAGGTACCCCACAGCACGAGAAAGAGGAAATGTCGAAAAAGTGTGCGTATGTATGTAGTGCATATGTATGTAGTGCGTATGTATGTAGAGCGTATGTATGTAGAGCGTATGTATGTAGTTCATATCTATGTAATGCATGTGTATGCATGTATATATACTCCCTCCTGGATAATGAAAACGTAAAATGCATTTCGTACGACGAGGGGTAACTTTTGAGAACAGACCATGCATACTAATTTTTCAATGAAACACACTCCTTTTTCTTTTTTACACAATGTAGGAATTTAAAACTGCCAAAATTTGATTGCTTTTCCATTTTTTTAATTGTTCGTTTCAAATATTATTTGGACGAGTTCAAACAATATGCCAATATTGACTATATTTACAAAACGGTAGAAGAGGAATACTATCAAATTGAAAAATATTTGAAATCTAAAAATAGTAATGAAGAAGGACAGTATATCGAAATGACTAACGAAAATTTTGCGAATGATGAAAACAATGCAACTGCTACTGAACATGGTCATAACAACGAAAACGAATTTGAATATAATCATTTAATTCCACTTTATCAGGGACTTCACAAAGAACTGAAAAAGGTACGTATTCATCATTTTGAATGTAGAGGGTCTTATTCGCTGTTTTAAGAAGTGTATACATGCAGTGCGTGTTCTTATACTATAATCGTGATGTCTATTTTGTTTCGTTGGATGTTGTTAAACCAAGGTGATGTCTCTTTTGCTTCGCCTAAGTTTGAGTTATATAAGCATGTTCCTCTCGGCAAGCACGCATCATCTGAATGGATTTAAAAAAGCATCACAAATTATACAAAAATTTTAAATAATTTCACAACAGTTTTGTAATAACATTATATATATATATATATATATATATGTATGTATGTATGTATGTATGTATGTATGTATGTATGTATGTATGTATGTATGTATGTATGTATGTATGTATGTATGTATGTTTTTTCCCCTGTTTCAGGTAAATGAGTACATACGATTCTACGGGAACCTACTATCATTTGTAAGCTTCATTGAGAAGTATTCCAATAGTAGCCCATCCAAAAATATTGTGAAGTTAGAACAAGAGGAAGAGAAGGTAGATTATTTTGATCACTCCTTTTTTGTAGCTTCGGATTTAAAGGATAATGTAAAGAAGGAGTAGTGAGTAGAATATTTTTCCTCTCTTCGATATCATTCCCTCGTTGTATTTAGCTTTTTACGAATTTCTATTTCTTGTTCTATTTTTTTCCACATCCCTATCCGATATGTGCCCCAACTGAATGTATTTTATTACTTCATATTTATAAAAAATATTACTTAATTTAAATTCGTTATGCGTATCTAACCAGAAAAATCTATTTTTCTATTTCCCCCAATTTTTTTTAGTTTTCCAATTGCTTACTCAGACATATTTTTTTTTTTTTTTACGTTTTTCTCACGTCTATTCTTCTTTGCATTTCGCATATTTTGCTCCCCAGTATTTTCAATTATGCGTGCCGAATTTTTCTGATGCATTTTTCATCTCCTTTTATTTATTTATTTTATTTTATTTTTTTTTTTTTGTGTGTGGAAAACTGGGGTATGCAAATCAGGTGTATGATTAGTGAACCAAGAACGAGCAACGCTACTTGCAATATTATGCACGGGTCACTCGGATTTTATATTCATACATATACATGCATATACATATATATACATATATATATATATATATACATGCATATACATATATATATACATACGAAAGAGCATTTGTAAAGGTGAAAATATATGCAAACCTTCAATCATTTCAATCATATCAATTAAAAACGAGTTTGCTAGAAAGAGCTTTAAAAAAGAGTTTAAAAAAAAAAAAAAAAAAAAAGTTTCAAAAGATTCACTTCCCTCTTTGGAAGCATTGTTTAAAAAAAGTGCCATTTGCATAAGAAGATTACAAACACACAATTACAAAAAAAAAATGAGGATCCATATTAACCACTTCTACAAAACTAGACAGAAAAAATAGCAGAATCAAGTATACCTCTAATCAGTATTATACACTTCATATGCTACCATATGGCATGATATCTCTTTATCCATATCTGTGTGCCGACTTTATTTTTCGTTCAAGTTATCTCCTAAAAGTGAGGAAAGAAATTTTTAAATTTCAAACAAGACAGGTAGAAAACAAAACAAAATACAAACGTGATGCAGGTATATGGAGAAGCGAATAAACAAAGGAATGCTAAAGGTAGCATCTTACTATGAACTTTGAAATACTTCTCTCGGTAATAATGAATTTTTCTCTTTTTTATTTTGGATTTTTTCAGTAAGGACCAGAATTTATCCTCCTGCAAGTAAAAACAAAAAAAAAAAAAAAAAAAATTAAATCATTTAAATCATTTATATTACGGGGAATAAATACTGTAATGCAGGGTTGCGCCTTTTTTTTTTTTTCTATCATTATTGTTCTTTTCTTTTCAATTATGTTATGTTATGTTATGTTATGTTCTTTTTTTTTTTTTTTTTTTTTTTTTTTTTTTTTTTTTTTTTTTTTTTTTTTTTTTTTTTTTTTTTTTTTTTTTGTGTGTGTGTGTGTGCATGTCCTGCACCATGTTCATCACCTGGATGTGCGTGTTAAATGAAAACGCAGATAAATTCTTTATGACAATGTCTACATTTTCCACGTGATGGAATTTGTTAAAATATGAGAAGATGCATAAAATGGTCTGCGAGAAACAAATGAGGGAAATGGAAATTGGGTACACATCAAAATGGGGTAAGAGGCACAGGGGTAATGAGCCAAATGAGGAAAAAGTGAGGCAAAGACTTTCACACGGATAATTAAACCACATAACATAAAATAAAGTAAAAACTTTGTTATGTGACAAAATCGAATAATCAACAAACTGTCCCAACAAGCCTTGAATCTCCAAAAGGGAAAAACACCCATTCAACTATTCAAGGGATGTGCAAAATGTTGGGAATGCAAGAAATGCACTTCATATGCATAAGAACATAAAGATGAAATTACCTCGTAGATTATTTTTTCATTAAAAAGGTAAATGTCAAATAAGCGAATGAAAATGTGGAAGGGGAGGCACCTGTGAGAGGGAAAGATGGCATGATTGCAAACTCATTTTAAAAAATGGACATCAGTTAATGACTAAGTGGTGAAATGTGGGAACTAGCTCGAGGGGCTTTCAATAGAGATGCCTCGATAAATGTTCTCATGAAAGATGTATATTATATATACATACACGTACTCAGCATATGTGCACAGCGTAATATACATTTTTCTTACGTTAGGAAAATGGTGTAGATCCATTGAATGAAGATATTATCTATGTTGTATTGCTTAACAATCTCTTTGTATATTTCAATGTTCTGTTTTGTTAATATTTCCTTGATAATATACGTGTAAACTTTTATTTCGCTGTTGTTGAAGCTGTACAAATTATAAATGTCTTTTCGCTCCTATGAAAAAAGATAAAAAAAAGGGAGGGGAAGGAACAAAACAGTGTCAAATATTATTACATAAAAAATAAAACAGAAGAAAACCATGTCAAATATTATTACACAAAAAATAAAACAGAAGAAAACCGTGTCAAATATTATTACACAATAAATAAAAGAGCAAAAATAACATTAAGCATAGATGTAATGTGGATGACGTCCCATTTACCATAAAATTTGCAAAATGCACAAAAGCCTTTTCCAGGTTGCAGTACAGAAGAAACACAAGGGCAATGTAGGACATTCCTTGCACATAACTGAAATGGGGGAAAGGAAGATGAAGAAGGTGTGTTGTTGTGAGTGTATCTACATTTGTATGCATCAATATTCGCATCTGTACATATTAATATGCGCACATGCATGTACATATTGTACTTATCTCTACTTTTTAGTGCCCCGGTTTGTATACACGTTCATCTTGTATTTTTTTTTTTTTTTTTTTTTCTTTCTTTTTTGGCCCGTGTCTGAAGGCCCTCCTCCCCTCTGGCATTACCCTAACTCCGGTTTAAATACGACATACATCTGCAGCAATGTGTTCAGCTTTGTCTTCGTCTCTGCCATGTCAAGATTCAGCAGAAAGGTGTCTGTGCTTATGTTGTATTTTTTAAAATACTCTTGATTCTTTTTTATTATATACAAGGTTCTGTCTAAATCTATCAATATCTGATAAAAAAATTTCTGAAAAGAGAATCGTTGAAATAGGTTCAGTCCAGCATTGGAACTATCCTCATCATTACGTTGTATGTTATTCTGTACCTCTCTCTGCGTATTTTTTTCTTCCTCTTTTATGTTCTCTTTTATGTCCTCTTTTATGTCCCCTTCTTCTTCATCCTTATTTTCGTTTTTTCCCTTCAACTGTTCCATCATATACTTCTCCTTCTGCTGTTTGTCCTCTTTCCCCACTTCTTGATTCATCCCAGCAGATTCATTCTTAGTATTACTAAAACTATCATTGTCATGTGTGATAATTTCCTTCTTTTCATTTATTTCATTATTTCCTTTCACTCTAGAACAACTAGGATCACCGTTCTTCATGGTTTCATCATAAGGAGTTGCACGAACTGATTCTATTACACCAAGATTACCATTTCGTAAGGTAATTAAAGACTTAAAATATCTGGAAACATGGTTATGATACTGTTTATTATTAGTATAAACATAGGACTGTATAAAGTTCGTATTTTTAATCAATATTTGAACAAAATAATCTGTTATATTCAATTTATTAATAATGTTCATTTCCCAAAAATAAGTTTTTATCACATATGGCATATAGTTACTAATCATAAGATCGATTAGTGTTTTTTTTTTTTTTTCGTTGTTGATTAGGGGTATTATATCTTCATACCACAATGTGATTGCCGTTATTTCTTCAAAGTTTACTGATTTTTCATTACACTCTTTTTCGTTCTCCACTTTTCCACCTTTTTCATAAATCACATTATCTCCCCTTGACATGTTTGAAAACAAATTCCTCTCGTTACTACCACTGTCTATATCTGAGTTTTCTCTCTTCATATAATGACTTCCCTCCGTGGCACAAACTGCCTCGGTACTATTATTATGATTATTACAATTATGTCTATCATTATGTCTATCATTATGTCTACCATTATGTCTACCATTATGTCTATCATTATGTCTACCATTATGTCTATCATTATGTCTACCATTATGTCTATCATTATGTCTACCATTATGTCTATCATTATGTTTACCGTTATGTCTATCATTATTGCTACTAGCATTACGGCCGCTATTATCCACATTATTGTCAATACTATACGTATTGTCCTCCCTTTCGGACAAATCTGAGTCCTCATTATCACTTAGAGGCAGTTTCACATATTCATTTTTACTTTCATACATACGCTCATTATTGCAGATAGTGTTCATTTCCACCTCTGAATGTCCAACACCATCGCTGTTGTTCATCACCTCCCATTTGAGGTATGGATTTTTTTTATTTTTATATGTGTAATTACTGTTCTTCGTACAGATATATCCTTCCATGCCTTTTGTACTACTTACAACTCTTTTCTCGTTGTTTTCTATTTCTTCATCCTTCGTAACAGTAGCATAGGACGAAGTTTCTGTAGATGCTCTCCCTATTCTTTCCCCAGTTGGTATATCCAGAAAATCCTCCTGGCTTTTTTTTTTTTTTTTTTTATTGAAAAAATTTAAAAAATAATTATTGTTAACAAACTTTTTACCACTAATTTTGTTTTTGTCATTCATGTGACTACTGCCAAATAAATCTTCTCTACTTTTTATTAAAAGTTTTTGCATCTCAATTATCTTTTTCAAATTTTTAATTTCATTCTGCAAACCTTTATTCACTTGTAGCAATTCGACATACAATTCATGGTATATCACATTATGGCTATATTCATATGCATTTTCTGGAATTTTCTTTTCATTTTCCCTCCAATTTGTTTTGTTCACCTTAATTGAAAAGGGAAATATTTCTTTTTCATTTCTCTCTCCAGTTATGTTAGTACATTTTGATAATTCCTTTTCACCATCCACTCTTTCTTCATCCAAGACTTCACGTTTTCTTCTCGTTGGACTGTGCAATGAAGTTTCTCCTTCGATGGAGTTTTCCATTTTAGGAGAAATTTCCCACTTTCGTAACGCACCCCACTTTGATGGTCTCTTCTCTCCCCATGTGGCTAGTTCGGGGTGCCATGTTTCATGGTTCTCCTTAGTACTATGAGACATTATTTCTTTCCTAGATTCAGCTAATCCATTGTCACTGCCGAATTCATCCCCAGACGACACGACTTTTTTCCCTTGTACATTAACAGAAGAAGAATCACTACGAATTCGTCCACTTGTAGTATGAAAATCTATCTTCTTTATATCCTGGATTTCTTCATGTGATGTACACAGTCCTTCTCTTAACTGCGAATCTGTAAAAATATTCTTATGATCAAATATATTGTCATTTAAATTTGCCATTATACTTTCTGAAAAATTTATATTTTTTTCAATTGTGTCATCATATACACTACTACTACTACTACTACTTGGACTACGACTATGACTACTACTACCTAAGTCATCCTTACTTTTAACCATTACTTCATTTTTGGGACTCAAGGATATCTCTTTCTTCTGTTTTATAGTTTCTTCTCTTTTGACAACAACATATGCTTTGCTTCCTCCTTCTTCCTTTAAATGCATGATTTTATATGGGATATAATTTATGTCACATGCATGTTTCCTCTTAGAGCTCCTATTCGTACTCGCTCTTCTTCTTAACTGTATTCTCTTTCGTATTTTATTTCGTTTTTCTCGTTACCTTTTTTTTTTTTTTTTTTTTTTACTTTTTTTATTTTTTTTTTTTTTTTTTTTTTTTTTTTTTTGGCACATTTTTTCAAAATAACATATCATTCGCAAGGTAACAATTAACCCGTGGCAAGAGAGAAAAAAAATAAAAAAAAAAAAAAAAAAAAAAAAGCATTCAAGTTTAGCAAAAAAAAAAAAAAAAACTAGTCACATTTTTAAACCTACATAAAGGGTGCTGGGGTGATATCCTCAGACATATTGTTGTAAAATGGGATAAATGTCGTAGCACTTATACTGCTGGCTTATTCGTCATATTGTTTGATGTCGGTAATTGTGTCCATATCCAGCCTGTGCACAATCTGTTAATCTCGTTTTGTATGTAACAAACAATCAAATTCTAGTTCCTCCTCATATCCCCGCGTTCATTTTTACTTATTTGTTTCATCTTACCTTAAAGACCATCCATCTTTTCACTACATACAATCATAGAAGTGTAAATATAAATATATATATTTCTTTTCTATCTCCTTGTGTGCTATTCTTATGCAAATATATGCATCACAAGTGTGTTCACACATTATTGATTCACTTCAAAATATAACAGTTACCTAACCATTTAACAGTTCTTTTCATTGAACTGTGTTTTTTTTTTTTTTTTTTTTTTTTTTTGCAAATTTCTAAAAAAAAAAATAAAGTTGAAACACTGTTAATTGCATACACTTGGACGTTAAAATAAATTAGGCTCTTTTCCCTAATCAAATAGGAAAAGTGTGTAAAAAAAAAAAGAAAAAAATTCTTATTGGGGTATAGCACAAAATGCTACATATGCAAAATATATTTTTTTTTTTCATCTGACTCCTTGTCAGGAAATAGATAATTAAAAATTCCGTGAGATAAATTTATTCGAATAAGAATCCTCACGAATGCAAGCAGAAAAGAGAAATCAGAAAAAAAAAAAAAAAAAAATTAACAGACTTATGAGAACAAATCCAATCATTTCAACTCGGTACAAGGGGAAAAACAAAAACACAAATAATCTGAACGCAAGGAACAGCAAATCGGAAGGTTATACAACTGAAGGATAAAAAAACACCAGGCCACAAACCATGTCGCATAATAAAAGCACGGAAAACCTTGGAGCTTCATGTGAATATTACTACTTTTATATATTCTTCAAAAACCAATGCATTTATAGCATCGACCTGAAAAATGATGAAAGAGAAAAAACCAATTCAACAAGCAAAAGTGAAAAGGAAAAACTTTTGTTGGGATCTATATATGCCCTTAATTATCTTTGCTTTAATATACAGCCAAACAAAAAATTTAAAAATTTGTACAAATCTCATCATGATGTTAATAAAAATATGAATCAAAATTTTAAAACACACAATCATAACATTATCAACACACAGAATAATCTCCATGTTGGGAATTTTAATTCATTCAACACTCCATTCTACAAATTGCATTACTTCGAAACCCTAACTGGTTATACTTAACGGAGTGTGAGCTACCAGTCTTCAGTACTAAGTTCTTAGTGCCAGACGTCAGCTAAAACATTTACCCAGAGACTTTACCGACGATCCTGTCGCATATGTCTCCACTCCTATCCTAATTTACATCCCTCATAACAGTTCATTTCTTTCCATATCTCCCCCCCCCATTTTGTAGCCTACAAGTTCATTATAATTACGCATAAGAATACGCCCAATTTGTCCAGTCTTTTAAGAGATATTTACAAGACAATTTTCCTCGATTTAATTATACTGAACCCGGTTTACAATGTATGTAAGACGTACACACATGCACAGGCACATACACATGCACAGGCACATACACATGCACAGGCACATACACACGCACAGGCACATACACACGCACAGGCACATACACACGCACAGGCACATACACACGCACAGGCACATACACACGCACATATACAATCATATGTACTCATTCACACACACACACACGTACATGTTTTTATTTGTTCGCATGAATACACTTGCCCATTTACTGAATAATTTTATTATTTTTTTTTTTTTTTTATCCAGATCGGAGATGAAATACAGGACAAATTATTTGACGAGAAAATAATTAACCGAATTAGGAGCCTCACATCAACATAGGTATGTTTCCCCTCCTCTACACCCATTTGGTGACAGCAAACTGGTGGTATATTTGTTTTGTTTGCCTTCGACGCACATGCATATATATATATATATATATATATTCTTGTACACATATACACGTGTACTCATGTACGCATGCACGAATAACCCAGCAAGGAATTTATCTCCACCTGACACATCAACATGCTTGATAAACCCAGGCTGGAAAAAAAAAAAAAAAAAAAAAAAAAATGTATACAATGTCTCCTCTGAATCGAGAGTCCCCACGTGTACATTTGTCCAATTCGACACCACTATACTTATATACGCCTCTCCATCTTTACTATGATACAATTGCAAGGGAACTGAACCATGGTAGTGGATACAGATACATTTTATGGGAAAAGAAAAGAAAACACGAAATCTATACTTGAAATAAATGTAGAAAAATACAACATATTAAAAAGGTTAAAAAAATTCGAGAAATTTAATTCTCTGGGGGTAAGAAAAAGATTCTTTTATAAGCAACATGAGGCACTTTCATATTACACGGATTTGATGGAAGCAGAAGTGGGAAAAGGTAAAAATGAATGCACACAAATTGAAAAAAAGGAAGAGATAGAAACGTATCGAAGTCAAGGAGCACATTCTCATCATAGAAATGGAATAATTATTTATACTGAAGAGATGGAAAACGGCAAGAGGTGCTTCATCTTGGACACCTTTTACAACTTTATGAAATTTTATTCCTTTTATGCCTTGTCATTGCAAGATATATACTTTTATAATGGTGAGAAAATTAGCAAAAAGGGAAATTTTAAAGGAGAAGAAGGAGAAGAAGGAGAAGAAGAAGAAACATACAAATCTCATACAAATGAACAAGAAATGCATCTTTACGAACTCATAATGACAAATGAAAAACGATGGCTCTTTTTTGATTTAGAATATGATGTATTAAAGAATGACGAAAATAAGGATTGCATACTGTTCATATTTCTTATCGAATTATGCTTATTTGTATACTCCAATTTTGACATAAAAATTTGCCTGAACGATGTCATAATTTTAGATAGTTCCACATGTGAAAAAATATCATTTCATGTAATTGTAAAAAATATCCATTCACTTGATTATAATTATGATTATTATGAATATTTAGTAGACTATTGTCATTTTTTTTTAAATTGTAAAAACACGTCAGATTATTATTTTTATGAAAAGTACAAACAAAAACAAATTAGACTCAATTCGAAAACATATAAAAAAATTCTACTACTTTTTGATAATGAAAATTGCATAAAATATTTTGTTGATATGTTCATAAATCACATAGTGCAAGCTGTACAAGAAACGGAAAATGCATACCTAATCAATTTGACAACTGTTTATATAGAATGTGAAAAAGGTCAAAATTTTCATAATAATGATATTTCCAATTCGTGTTCTTCTTATCATACAGAAATGGGAAACCGGACATGTGTAAGCAATTATAACAAGCACATTGGATCCCTAATTTTGTCTCCCACAAACAGGAATCAACAAATAAATACTTTTCTCGATCCCATGAAACAGAATAAACAAAATGAATGTTCTCTCGAGAGAAATAATCTTCTAGACATGATAAACGATTTCACTGAGATAGAAGATTTTGTAAAAGCCATTGGAGGAGGAGAAGAAGAAGTTGGAGGTGGAGGACATACATTTACCAATGAAGAAAACAAACGTTTTAACAACCAAGATACATCTTATGTAGAAGAAAGAAAAAAATCAAGAGGTTTAAAAAGAGAGAGAAAAAAAGAAAGTGCATATTTTACCCTTTACAATAAAACCCTGAAAGATGTAGTATCCAATTATATTAACATGTTGAAGAACAAAAAAGAAGGCGACAATTGTGAGATCACAAAATATGATAATTATCTTATTCTGCTATATGCAAAGAAAAGAGATGCAAATGGAGAACATTCAACCCAGTTGTGTAACCTTCACATGGACATGCAGAACAACGAAGTAAATTCAAAATATAACATTCCACTTGCGGATGATATAAGGGATTGCACACCTTTACGCAATGAAGACAATGTTTCTAATATTTTCCGAAATTATGATGAGTTTTTTCTAATGAATAAAGAAAAAAATTCTCATGAAGAAAAAAATCCTTACGAAGAAAAAACTCATGAAAAAGAAATGGTTTTGTTAAAATGCATTGTTGACAATTCTGTATATAGCAGAAATAGGAATTTTCGAATGATATTTTCAAGCAAAAAAAAAAAAAATAATAAGTTATTACTTAGCAAGTATAATGTGAAGAAACATTACAAAAGTGATGTAGACAATTTGATATTAAAAAGTTTAGTTACCTTTTATCTAAATGAAGATACAAATTGTCAAATAGAAGAAGATTTAATTTTTAAAAATGAAAAAATTAAAAAAAAATATGGAGAAAATTTTTCTATTTCCCATGCTGCACTTTCACACACACGAAATGTTATTTCAAAAAGGCAGCGTAATGGAGCAACTACAACTATTATACAACAACATGCACATACAAATATTAATCTAGATAATATAAATTATGATCATATTCATAATATTTTGAAAATTATTATTTTTTGGAATTTTGAATTATACAAAAATTTTAAAAAAAATAAAATATACGTAACCAAATTTCAAAATGAAATAAGCAAAGAATATTTTTATAGAATTGTTTCTATCCATAATAAGCTCCATTACCACCACCTCTACACTCATAGGAATAATGAATATAAAAGTATCATTTCAGATGAAAGCCCTGAATTTAAAAATTCTAACACCACGCAGAAGGAAAAATTTGTAACAGTAAATGAAAAAAATAATACAAACACTGATCAGAATAATAATGACATCCAAAAAATAAGTCCACAGAATGGTATAATCTCGTTTCAGACATATGATAATTTAGACATTTATGATAATTTGTTTTTAAAAAATGAGGAATTTTACTTATACGTCTTGGATGAATATAAAAAGCACATAAAAATAAAAAAAGAAGAAAATCATCTCCTTTTTCTAATAAAATATTTTATATATTCCATAACACAGAATTCTGAGGAATATATAATTTATTTCAGAGATAATAAATACTGTAAAAATAAAAACCTATCACACAAATCGAATCATATATATATAGTTTTTAATTATCAAAAAAATTTGTTCGTTCAAAAATGTCATGACAATGAATGTTCTCACTTTGTATCCGAAATTTATTACCTTTAGTGTAACATTCTACATTGGGGATGGAGGAAATTCCGACTTGGTTTTTTTTTTTTTTTTTTTCCCCTCCATATGTATGTACAACTGTATCTTAAGTTGTAATACATCATCCATACATACATTTCAACATTGCTCTTAACTATATTCTCAGTAGAATTTCCATTTATCTAATCATGGTGTGTGGACTTATATAAACGTTAATATAACATCAAAATGAGAAAGCATAATGATATTATCTTAGCAAAAAAAAAAAAAAAAAAAAAAAAAAAAAATTTTGCACAGTTTTGAAGGACTACTTGGACAATATGTCATAAGAAGTTTTCATAAAATCCGATAACTCCCGCTCATATTTGGATGCAAGCAATTTGTTTTCTACAGGAAATAAAAGTGTGTAAAAAGCATTCATATCAAATTTATAATTTAGTATATTGTTCTTCTTTTCCTTTTTTAAAAGATTTTTATTGTTTAGTAAATTCCTTGTGTGACATTTTATTCTTTCGGATATGTTATCACTTATACCTATGTAAAAATATGGCTTTTCTCTTTTTTTTGCAAATATGCAAAGAATATAAACTACACTTTTATTTTTAAAAAAAATGGGGACATCTTCATTCATCCCAATTTTAAACAATTTTTTTTTAACTACATCTTCGATTTGTTCTATTGTTCTATTTAACTCTTTTTCATAAATTTCAAAAATCTTTTTGGCCTCCAAAATTTCATTTCCCAAGTTTTGCATATCATTACAATTAGGTATGCTTTCCTCATATGTCCTTTCATATATCTGATTCAATTTTTCACTACTTTTAACCATCACATCATCAGGATCATCTCTTCCCTCTAAAAATGTAAAGTAATTATTCTTACTCTTTAAATTTTCCAACTCTAGTATATCGTCCAACATTTTCGCATCAATGGAATGGTCACGTCTGTGTGCCTCCTCTCCATATCCCGCCTCATTCTTCTCCACATTGTTACTTATAAATTGTTCAAAAAAATCGTTCGTGCTTTTTTTACCATTTTTATCACGTTTACTTTTTATATAATCCAAAAAATTGTAATATAGACTGTTACTTAAATTATGAATTACTTTATACTTTTTTTCATAAAAAAATAAAAGTTCCATCACCTTGTCATCTACTTTTGTATGTTTGTAAGTGTCTAATGCTTCACTGTTCTTACAAATTCCGTTTTCTAATTTAGCCCTTTGTTCACATTTTGGAATCCTCAAATAGTTGATGTTTTCATTTATCTTCTTAAAAATTATATTTTCATTTAAGCAACTTTTCTTCAGCAAATCGTAATTGTGTGTAATTATTATTCCACAGTAATTCTTCAGATAATCCGAAAGGGCACTTATTATTACTGCAAAATGGGGAAAATTCAGGTGGAAAAAAGAAAATATTCACACATGTTTATGCAGCATCCCGATGATTCAATCTAAGAAGGAATTTTACATGCGTTCTGTTCTCCCTGTCTTATGAGTACAAAATAGGAATAATCTCAAACGAAAAAAAAAAAAAAAAAAAAAAAAATATTATCCCTGATAAGTAAACTCATTCAATTATGCGATTACACAATTATGCAATTAAACAATTATGCAATTACACAATTAAGCAACCATGCAATCACGCAAAACCATTCGGTTGAGAAAAGCACTCCTTCGTATTACTCGCATTGTCAACGGGCGTGGTGGCTATGCAGGGCTCATCGAAGAGAATGAAAATCTCCCCATCCCTTGCAGATTTCTTGGAGAAGGGATAATTTTCTCTTATCTCCTCAATTATCGAATTTATATAATATGTTTGTTCCCTGAATAGAGACATATTTTCTATCTGTTCTTGATAATTTACATTTTTTAAACTGTAAAATTCGCGAAATTTCGAAATGATACTTTTTTCCTCACAGGGAGCGAACATGCCTGCAAAGTTCATGATGAGCAATAGTTGTAACAGTATAGGTGTGCATATTTCTATGTTTTTTTCCCCTCTTCTTACATGGAACATTGTCCACAAGAAACAATTCAAACGTATTGCACACCTAATGAATACGACAAATGTAATATGCACAGGACACATGTAATGCATGTGACGCAAGATGGATGGACTTACCAAGATTAGCTAAAAAAAGGATACACAGCAGAGTAAAGGACAATGTCGTCTTGCCGCTCATATTTTTTCCTGTTAATAAAATAAACTTTTTTTTTTTTAAAAAAATATCATATTTTACCAAATTGTCTTTATTCATATTATACGGTTTTGCCCCTATAATGTACGTAAGAGAATCGTTCATGTAATTTTTGTTTTTATAAATTTTCTTTATTTCTCCTACAGAATCTTGATCTACATTTTCTGAAATTCTGTTCTCTTCTTCTTCACTCAAATAAACAAAATTTTCATGGCCCTTATTATCACCAGATTGATTACACTCTCTTTTATCTTTTTCAACTTGGGTTTCTATTCTCAAATCTGATTTATTATTTCCTCCTGTACTTTCTTCATCTTTGTATAGACATTTCTGAATCCACTGTAATTTCTCATCCATGTTTCTGAATGTCTCTTTTTCGTACGTCACCATTAGGTGCTTACAAATTGGTAAACTCCATCTCCGTTTTATGCTGTTTATCGTGTGGTTGTAAAGGGCCTGCAATGGATGGGAGGTGCCATATACCATGTCTGAGTGTGTTCAGGATGTGCGTATGTGAGTACAGAATATGTTAGGGGTTCATATGTTAGCCGCTCAAACATTAGAAGCTCACCTGAACGATCTGGAGAAAGTTAGACACAAAGGAAAGGATGTGCACACAGGAAGACAACTGCACATTTACCCTTCGAATGATGTCGTTAATTCGACGCTTCTTCCTGTCAATGGCAGAGAGGTAGGCTTTGATTTTTTTCTGAACATGTTCAGTTACATAGATATTTTTCATAGTTTCAGATTTCTTATTTAAAGGGTGAAACAGATGTACCGATTTGGAATTTATTATTTTTTTTTTAATTCCTATAATGTCGTTTGTATTGTCCACTTTTATGAGCTTGTTAAGAAAATCATGGTCGTATTTTTGACCCCCCTCCTTATTATCAAATTCGGCATAATCTAACAAAATACGTTCAAGTAACTCTTTTCTAGCATATTCAACTTCCTTATTTTGTTCATTCAGTAATTTATGATTAATTAAATTATGCACCTCATTTTCGTGATAAAAAACGAATTCGTTAAATGCTGGAATTTGAGATTGATAAGAAAAATTACTTGGAGATAATTCCAAATTGGATGCTAGTATATTTTGTATATTTATTAACAGTTGATAAAATTTCACAATATTTAATTTAAAACAGTTCTGATGATTTAGTACATGAAAAATGGATGTCAAAAAGGAGTAATCAAATCGGTTCATACATTTCTGTACAGATTCTACATTTGTAAATATCTTCTTCAAAATATGATGATCAGCTTTTAGATTTGATAAAAGAGTTATAATAATATTATTTCTAAACGGTCTTACATTAGGTATGATTAAATTCTGTTGGTTCTTGTATATATACTCATTTATGTACCTTATATGTTTCGTAACTTCAAAGGGCGGGTAAAATAAAAAAATATTTTTAAAAAATTCCATAGATTCATTAATGTTAATACTGTTAGAATCGCTGTTGTTCACATCTATTATGTTATAAAATAGATAGTTATTCCTGTTATCGTAGTAATTGTTCTGTTTGTATATTCCCATGTTATAGCTTGTGAATATGTTTAATGGGGTGCAGTATGAATAGTAAGAGTACTCATTATTCTCGATTTGCAACTCAGGTGGAGTGCTATTCATCATTTTATTTCTTTCTTCTATATCGTGTACTTCCTCTTGGGAATTTTTTCTTAGCTTTTCGTGTCTTCCTTTATAATTTTCGTTTTGAGATTCTTCCAAAGTGTTGAATTTTCCATCTACCATGTCTTTATCATCTATTTTTATTACACCGCTTTTATTATGAACATTGAAAACGTTTTTGTTCTTTATGAGCCTGAACAAGCCTCCCACATTTATCTGCTGTTTGAGCTTGTCCAAAATGAACAAATGAAAATGTAAACTAGAATTGAAGTTACTAAAGAGATAGTAATTCTCCACCTTGAATAACTGTGTAATTTTGTTAGTGAAGGATGAGTTGTGATGCTGATGTATGTAAACTTTTAAAAAATTTGTGTTTTTCAAATAAACATTCAAGACATCAAATGTGATGTTGTCAAAAACGGAAATAATTTTTAAGCTTAAATTAATTTTACTTAATGAGAAAATATTCTTGCTTTCAATATATATACACACAATTTCCTTTGCAACAAAATAATCCTCTAAATCGTAGGAATTGTAAAATGAATTTATTAATCTACCACTTGAATCATTCATATTATTACTACTGCTTGAATCCTCTTCTGTGTGGCAATATTGTATGTTGTTTAAATAGATTGGGAATTCAGGGGTTACAATTTGAGAAAGGTACCTTTTCTTCATTTTTAACGATTTTTCATTCATTTCTTCATATACACATATATTTAAATTATTACTTGTTAGTATATGCAACGCTTTGTTAATACTAGTTTTAATAAATCCACATGATAATTTATTATTCATCTTTTTTATATTTAAAAATTCAATTAAAAATATGGAATCTAATCCATATGTCTCGTAAAAATCCCCTACTCGTAATAATATTATACAATTACTATATTTTTTTTTTTCATCATTTAAAAATTTTAACAAACCTTTATTTTTATAATTATCAAAATATAATAAATTATCATCTCGTAAATATTCTATACAATTTATTGCATTCATATTTTTTAATTTCTCTAATTTCTTTATCCAATAAACTGGAATTTTCCATTTGTTCTTGTACAGCCTCAGTTCATAGTCAGACGGTTCGAATTTTTTCCTTATCTTCTCCTTACTCTTCAGCAATTTTTCCTCTATCCCTTCTACACCTTCCAACACTGTATTTTTCCTTTCTCGGTAATTTAACAGTTTATCTTTATCTCCTCCATTTGGTTTATTTTCCCCTCTCTCTTGTTCATAATTCATAGAAAACCTAGAAGAAAACTCTTCATTGTCCAAATTACTATTCGATATTATGTTATTACCACGCCCCTCAGCTGACCTTTGTCCCTCCTGTCCGAATGTCTCAACTGTCTCGACCGTCTCTTTTCCCGTTTGTTTAACAGCAGCTCCAACATAAGAATTCTCAAGATTAGTTATTCTATATATATCATCTTCTTTTGTGTACACCAAATTGCTCAAGTAACTCTTCTTCAAATGTATTACACTTTTTTTTTTTATATTCAATAGAACTAACACTTTCTTACTTCCGAAGTAGTTAAATAAAAGTTTCTTTTTTATACTCATTATATTCTTTGCTGCAATTGTGTAAACGATAACAAAAAGGCAGATCCACTTTGCAGTGCTCTTTCTCATTTACACAAATAGCTTCTCCTTTGTTTCCATTCAGTTTCACCTTCATTCTTCAGCAGATTCCCTAGCTTTTTCACACAGTTATAGAGAACTTAACCGAGAACATAAACTCTAAACAATTTTGAAATGCAAAATGCTCGTCGTGATGGGCGAAACTATCCTACCATTTCTTCAAACTATCGTATTCACATAAAAATTCTCTTTTCTCCTGATCGATACTCGAAAAGTTTGAATAAAAGAAAATTCCCTTCCACATTTTGAACCGTAAAAGGTGGAACTGTTGGCTATCTTTCTAGATTTATAAAAGCAGCTACAAAGAGCGGAGTAATGTCGTTTCTTATTGTCATTTCAATGAGCACAAAAAAAAAAAAAAAAAAATAAATAAATAAATAAAAATTAAAGCAAATATAAAGGCAAAAATGAAAGCAAGTATAAGGGCATAATGAAAGCAAAGGAAAAAATAAATAATCCCTCCACTTTGCCCAGTGAATAAATGACAAAATGAAGAACATTATCTTCACTCGTCACACTTCACAATATGCCACATGCCAAATCGCTGATTAAGACGGAAAAACTGGGGAAAGGATGCAACACGAAAATGAGCGAACATTTACAACGAATACGCAATACATACACACACACATAGAAACATTAACAAAATGGACTTGGTAGAACATGGGGAAAAGCTCTGCCAAAATGATGATATAAAAAAAAGATGAGAATGTACATATGAAGGCGATAAAGTAAAAGCGAACACTTTTTTCGCCCGTTTTTCTTTTTTATCTGTTTTTTTTTTTTTCTTACCTTTTTGTTCTCTTTTTTTTTTTTCTTCTTCTTCTTTGTTGACTCGTGCGCCATCCCTTTCGTCAAAAAATGATCGGGATTACCATCATCACGGGTTTCCTCGGTTCGGGGAAAACTACGCTGCTGAAAAACCTGCTAAAGGAAAGTCTGAAGAAAGAAAAAAAAATCGCAATAATCCACAATGAATTTACAGAAAATAACAACAACATTGATAAAATAGTGTTCAAAGATATAAATGATATTTACAATTTTCCCAAAGCTAACAAAGCAGAAAGGGGCAGTAAGGATGAAGCAAAAAGAGACTCTACAAATGTCCAAAAAGTTGATGACACAACAGAAGAAAATGACTTAACCATTGTGAACCGAATCGAAAATGATGAAGGATACATCTACGAACTGAACAATGGATGCTTGTGCTGTTCCAATAAGAGCAACTTTGTCAAATTAATTGAAAATATTTTAAGCATGAAAAGTTCTTATGATTATATCTTTGTAGAAGTTGCGGGGGTCTACGACAATATTCAACTTAACAATTTGTTATGGCTAGACGAATTGAACAAGTCCAAAATTTACCTTGATAGCATTGTATACGTTTTAGATGCATACAATTTTTTAAAGTCATTCCAAAGGGATGACTTTTTTCCATACCAATATGGTACATTAGCAAGAGATAAAGCTGAATTCAATTTCACAGAGGTAAAACAAAACTTACACTGTGAAGAATCAGAAAGTAGAATAGAGAAAGAAAGAAGTGAAATTAATTCAAAAGACAAGCATAATGAAGATATCCAAAGGGTAGGAGAAAACCCCACAAATGAACAATTAATTGTTTGCGATATTGTAATTATAAACAAAATAGACAAAATAACCGATCAGGATAAAGAAAAGTTAAAATGTTTTGTTAAAAATATGAATCCATTAAGTTATATATATCCGACTAGTTATGCTAAAATTCCAATTGAAAATTTAACCAATCTAAAGTGCTATGAAAAAAAAAATATAAAAAATATGCTCACAAAACAAATGAATTATCAAAATGAGAGTCACAAAAATGTTTTCCATTATAGCGATTTTGTTAATTTTTCACTTCATTTCAATCACAGCATTCCAGACTTAATCAATTTAAGTAAACAATTGAACAAAATGAAGAAGGAGTTTATCCAATCAAAAAACAAAGATGTCATAAAAAATATTTTCTCTTTCAAAAAAAAAAATATCTTTTCTTTTAAAAAAATTAACAATACTTTAGTTACACTTCTATGGAGTAAAAATTTAGAAATATATAGAGGCAAAGGTGTTTTTGTTGCCTTCAATGATGACATTTATAGTTATAAAAACAAATTAAAATTAAATATATATTACTACCAAAGTGTTGGAGATCTATACGAAATTAACTTAGTTAAGAGTGACATTCATGAATTTTTTCAAACCGATACAAATTATCAGAAACCAAAAGTCCATAATTATGAATGTTCAGATCTTGAAAAGGATACACATATTATACAAGATGCCCAAAGAACAGATCATAAAGATTGGGAAGATGAAATATCAGATGTTGAGTATTACCTTTCCGATTCTTCCTCCTGTAGCGACAAATCTAGTAGCAGCGGTGGTAGTGACGATTACAACTTAAACAACATTTTGAACGGATCTGATGTCTTTACATCCCGTTTTTTATTCATAGGAAAACATATAGACGTGGAGAATATCAGGAGTAAATTGAATGATTGCTTATGTGACTAAAGTAGTCTTAATGTCTGTCTGTCTCTCTAGCGTGTTTTCACAAGGAGAGGCACCTGTGATGTTCACACCTCGAGGGGAATGCTCCATCACAGGGACGGAAAATACGAAGCGTGTACATATATACATGCAAATATATATATATATATATATTTGCATGTATATATATATTTTTCTGTTTTTTTGGCTGCAAACAAAAAAAAAAAAAAGAGCGACTTGATGGAGAATCGGCAAAAGAAATCGCCATCCCCGCATGTGCACAATTTTGTGTAGCGCATGTTTACAATAATAAAAGAATGATTTTCGAATTTGTGTATAGGGATGAGGATGCGAATATTTCAGAATGTCATATGAATATATGTATGCACATATGTACACATAATTTGCTCATACTTTGTGTATACTTTATCCACACACTTCTTTTCACACTTTCCACTTCTTCCCATGCATGGAGGAAGAAACGCTCGGCTATGCACTTCCCTCTTAGAAGTCACTGTTGAGGCAGAAGACCTGATCCTTTCTCTGTGCCATGACTCCCGATTTCTGATAATCTGCAACTCGCTTTTCAAAAAAATTTGTTTTTCCTTGTAGGGATATGAGATCCATCCAGTTGAATGGATTCTTTGAATGGAAAATTTTGGAAGACCCCAAACATTCCAGTAATCGATCAGCGACAAATTCGATATACTGAGACATTAATCTAGAATTCATCCCAATTAAATCACAAGGCAAAGATTCGCATATAAATGATCTTTCTACTTCTACTGCCTCTTTAACGATATTCTGCACAACTTCTTCTGGTAATTTATTTTCTAATAAACTATAAATTAAACAGTTAAAATCTGTGTGTAGTCCTTCATCTCGACTAATCAATTCATTACTGAATGTCAATCCATGTAACTTATTTTGCTTTTTAAACCAAAATATTGCACAGAAACTTCCACTAAATAAAATTCCTTCTACGCATGCATTTGCCACTATCCTTTCTGCAAAGGAATTAGTATCATTTATCCATTTGGCTGCCCATAATGCTTTATTTTTTACAGCTGGTATATTTTCTATAGCATGAAATAAATTCAATCTTTCTTTTTCATCCTTTATGTAATTATCAATTAATAAACTGTATGTTTCGGAATGTATATTTTCAACAGCTATTTGAAAAGAATAAAATTTTTTTGCCTCTGTAATTTGAACTTGTCGTAAAAACTTACTAGCTAAATTTTCCAAAACAATTCCATCACTTGCTGCAAAAAATGCTAAAACATGTTTTATAAAATGCTTTTCATTATCATTTAATTTTTCGAAATCTTTTAAATCACTCGATAAATCTATTTCCTCCGCTGTCCAAAATGATGCTTCTGCTTTTTTATAAAAATCCCACACATCTGGATACAAAATGGGGTAGAGTGTAAATCTGTCCGTTTCTCTGCTTAAAATCTTTTCATTTTCTTCTTTACTTTTTTGTAAATCACTAAATTCTTTTTCCTTTTTTGAAAAAATGGGGATTTTCGAAATGTTCAGTACTTCCGCCATTCGCTTTAGTTATTTGTTTCAAAAATGGGGGAATATAATTTGTTGAAATGATGCGAGAGAGCAAAAAAGCACAAAAAAAAAAAAAAGAAAAAGAGAAGCAATGAATCAGTGAAGAAAAGATAACGAAGAGAACAGAAAAAAAGTAATCTTAGGAAATGAAATGATCTTCCATGGGGTGAAATCGAATGGAAATAGAAACACACCAATATGTGTAACTACAAGAAGAGAATAAATCATCAAATTGCGAAGCGTGAAAAAGAGGCTGTATAATATTGCATAAACAAGGGCAAGCAGTGGGGTGAAAAGGGGGTACAAAAAAAAAAAAAAAAAAAAAAAAAAAAGCGTAAGAAAAAAGTAGAAAAACATAAAAGCGTAAAAGAAAAAAACAGAAAAGGGAGTAAAAAAAAAAAAGCAGAAAAAGTGTAAGAAAAAAAAGTGTATGAAAAAAAAGTGATATACACTCACTAATGTGCCTACAATTCGAAAAAAAAAATTTGGATGCTTTTTTTCACAAAATTTTGTGGCACGTATTCCATACTGAGAAGTGGAAAGGTAGTTTTTTATAATAACAAAATGTTCATGCTGTGCACATGAGGTGAAACGTGAAAATGTGAAAATGTGAAAATATGAAAATAAGGCGGAAAAAAAATAAAAATATAAATCGTAAAATAGTGCTTATCTTGCAAGGGTGCAAAAAAAATAAAATAAAATAAAATAAAATAACACGAATGAACGCCTGAACAAATTAATGAAATGCCTATGAACGATTAAACAAACAAAAGAATGTATTCGAAGTAGAGAACTGTGAGGTATATATATACATATATATACATATGTATATGTACTTATGCTAACATATAGCACAGCTGAGTACTAAAACGAAATAAATGAGGACATGCACGAATTTATTTTTTCTGCACAATGCGCTCCTTGTAAAAAAATAAAAAATAAATGTGCTTGTAGAGATTCTCCTATATGTTTCATCTGCACATTTTAAAGAACATCCCACGTATATATTTTTATCACATGGAATAAAGCGCATGTTCGTTGATTAACATAACATCAGAATGTGTGAAATAATAATTTAGTACGTTTTTATATCTATACTTATTTTCAATTTTGAAAAAAAAAAAAAAAATGCCTTCATTAAATATTTAAATATATATATCACTCTTCTTTCAAAAAAGGAGAGCATACGTCCTCACTTGTCTCACAATATGAGCAGAGGGTCTTTTTTTTTTTTTTTTTTTTTTTTTTTTTTTTTTTTGTAATTTTAAAAAAAAAAAAAAATTTCTTTATTAAAATTTTTAAATTTATTATATCCCTTTTTTTTCAAAAAATGAAAGACATACTTCTCTCCTTTTTCACCAAATATGAGCAGAGGTTTTTTTTTTTTTTTTTTTTTTTTTTTTTTTTTGTTTTGTGATATGATACAGAACGCTAAATCGATAATGAAAATACAATATTCATGCAGGATGTGATTTAAAAACACAATTAGACAGTGCACTTTTCTCAGGTTTCATAAATCATTGTTGCGTAACAAAATTTTTTTTTTTTTTTATATGATATATAGAAGGTGAATATATATTCCTTAGTAAACCTACTTGTCACGAATGCAATTCCTGTTATTTTTTCTTAAAAAATATATATAATGTGTTCCTCGTCTCTACTATGTTTCGTACATGTGTAAGTGTTTCACTTCACCATAACTTCATAACAATAAATTCAACTTTCATATATTATCTTCATTTGGTTTGTTAAATTCTTCCTGATCCCAATTTAAATAAAAAGGTGTTATACCCACAGAGAATATTTTTATGTCCACACTTTATCAAATTTTCTCTAAATTTTTTTTTTTTAACATTGTTTAAGATCCTCTTACCTAAAAGTTCTCAACCAGTGTAAGATAACAAAAAAAAAAAAAAAAAAAAAAAAAAAAAAAAATACAGAAAAGGAAATGAATTCTCCTTAGCAACAAAACTTACCACGTGTTATAAAAACAAGTGTGTACATCTTCACAGTGAAAAAAATTGTTACAAGGGATATATTTATGATACATGGGTTATGCACAAAAATGGAAGGTTTTTTCTTTGGCATTTAGTACTCAATTTCCTTTTCTAATTAAGCCAATTAGGTACAGGGGTAGAGGGGGGACAGGGCAATAGGGGTAAGAAAAAAAAAAAAAATATATATTCACACACAAGCGAAAAAACACACACCTACATGCATGAATAGCAATGTGGTTTTTATTGTAAGGTTTTACTTTCCTATGCAATAATTTCATTTTTAACGTCAACCTAAGTATATATATATATATATATATATATATATATATATATAGCTTGTAATCATCCCCTCCTCTCCTTTTCGCCCTATCTCTATTTTTACTTTATTTTTCCTTTATGTTCATGCAAAAAGAAAATTTATGTTGCCGGAGATTTGGCAGAATAAATAAATGTAATATGAAATCTACAGCTAAACTGTGAAAAAAATTATGGATTAATTGTCATATAACAGTAGTTTTTACCATTGACCTGCGAATCATTTATGCGTGGCTTTATTGTGATATAATGGTGATTTAACCCAAATTGTAATTGAAATAAAATAAAACCGAACTGAAGCGAACTCAATGGAGCAAACTTAAATTAAAAAACATAAAATTTTCATGGCTCTACACTTTGCTAAAAAAAAATGAGCAACATGCACATTATGTAAATGGTAATGCTAACTAAAAAAAAAAATAATAAAATAAAAAATACTAGGATGTGTATGCATAAGCATAAACAAAAACATTCCCATAGGCGTGCCCACGAGTATTAACACACACATATATACATACACATATATACATATACATATATATGTGCATGTATATGTACGTATATGCACATGTATATATGCATACACTCCTGGGACACTACGGCACTATGGGGCTGCAATTTTATTGAATGTAACAAATCAAATGAGCACTATTACTTGTAGGACAAGTGTATCTTTGGTGCTAGTAACAAACTGATCCATGAAATATTCACACGAGTGCTGTGTCTAAACTGTGCATGTGTATATAGGTGTATCTCAGGTCGAGAATTTGGCAAATTACGATTTATTAACAAAATGAAAAACGATATTAAACGAATGAAGCGAAATGAAAAGAAATGGAACGAAATGAAGCGAAATGAAGCAAAATGAAGCAAAATGAAGCAAAATGAACCAAAATGAAGCAAAATGAAGCAAAATGAACCAAATTGTGCAAATGAAATGTTTTTGTAAATTTAAGAATTCGACAAAAAAAAGAAAAAGAAAAAAGGGAATTCGAATGTAGTGCAGTGTGCAACGGAACTCATTTGAGTATGATGCATATCACTAGGGGGAGTAAATAAGCGACGAGTGCAATATTCCGAAAGTGAGTAAAAACCAAATAGTGCTTACTGTCCTGTAGCTAAGTGTCACGCATACGTACACATATGCAATATATACGTATACATATCTTATCTGTCCTTCCTTTTTTTCCCTGTCCTCTCACCCATTTCACATCTTCCCAATGCACTTCCTACACAAGGGGCAGTCGTTGTTTCTCTTCAACCATGTAAATATACACTCTTTGTGGAAATAGTGAAGATAATTGCAAGGTAATATACAAATATCATCATCTTCTAAGTATTCCGTACAACAAATTGAACATGCATAATCTGAACTCTCGATATTAATATGAAACGAATTTTCTTCAATTTTATTTTCAGGCACTTCAATTTTATCATTCTCAAGTGAACCTTTTTTTTTTTTTAAAACTTTCTGAAAATACTCAAATAAACCTGATTCTTTCCCATCCTTATTTAATTCATTAGTACATTCTCTAATATTTGAAACGGCCTTATCATTTTCACAGCTGTGAACATTGTTTATCTCCCTTACATTGGAACTTCTGCTTGTTCGGTCATCGTTTTTCCTATCGTTCGCTTGTGTACCGGGATTATTTGTAGTTTCTCTTCCCCCATTTACTCCTATAGCATTCCTATAGAAAGAATGTCGTTCTATATTATTCCTCGTTTTATTGTTACCATTGAGACTTAGAGTAACATTGGTCTTGGTCCTGTATTCATCATGACCTTCTCTTTTTTCATCTATGTTGCTATTTCCGTGCTGAACACAGGAAGCCACTGTCGAGATCGTGTTCCCATCCACGTTATAATTTGGTGCAGTAATCTCAATTGAGATTCTATCACTTCCCTTGTTATCACCAATAGGTATTGAGGTGCTCATAGGGATATCCAAATGAGTTGTCATCGTCGTCGTCGTCGTATCTTGTCTTGTTGTAGCGGCCACCTCTACAGGCATCGTGTTCATGATTTCAGAAACCTCTGCTGCAGGAATTTCGTTCAATGGATCCTTTTCCCCATTGAGTTCCCTCCAATTTTTAAAATAATCACTGTGCATGCAATCTTCATCTTCGCAATATTTCCTATATTCTGCATACTTCATTATTTTTAATTTTTTTAAAATTTTCTTAGGGGTTGGACTTTTTCTTTTCACAAAAAGTAAAATAAAAATAACAATAACAAAAAGTATTCTTAATACTATATATAAAAATATGGGCATAAAATAGTATATGATTACTAAAATTAAGCTAAAGTAAAAAGTAGAATTAATTGGGTAATTTTTCCATTCAAAAAAATAAGTATATGCACATATAAAAAAATACACTAAAATAATTACGTGCATCTTTGATTCAACAGATTTCAAAAATTTTGAAATTTCTGCTTGCCTTAATAATCTTATAGACATGTATAAATTTAAAAATATATGTAAACCTAATAAAGTCAGTAATAACCCACAGAAATATATCATTATTTTCTCTTTATTTGAAACAGATGGTACTTTTATAAAATCATAGCACAGAATTCCCATCAATAATAATACCATTAATAACAATGTCCCATGTATAAAAATTGAACATATATAAAAATTTCTGAATACTCTTCTTGATAAATTCAAATCTTCTTCTAACACAAAACTTCCTGCACTTTCTGCGTTCTCATCGGCTCTTTCGTCCATTGATATACTGCCTTCATCCAGAGGGGAGTCATCCCCATTTTCCCTGGGCTCACCATTTTCCGTAACCTCAACATTCGGAATAATTACACTATTTTGCATGGCATCCATATTACCATTACTTTTATCCTCCTTATTTTCATTAATATTATAATCTTTTTGTTCACATTTGTCATTGCTTATTCCCGCTGTATTTGTGATTTTTTGCACCCTTATTTCACTTCTATCATTTTTCATCTCATTCGAGCTGTTTACATCTTGAACCATTATATCATTATCTTTCACTTGGTTCAAATTTTCTTCATGTAGATTACTGGATGCTCCTTCTACACAATCATATGTCTGTCGTATATCTTCACTAATAATGATGCAACCTTCTGGGTCATTATCATTATTACAATTGAATGCAACTTTATCTCTTATCATCTTTCCCTCCACTAATGTGTGCTTTTCTTCTACCTCCACATATACATCATTTTCCACATCCTTCCCTTTCATTATTCGATCGATTCTATTTTGGTAAACTGTAGTTAATGCATTTTTGTCATTTTGGATAACAGCACTGATTTCTTCATTTTTTTCTCTTTCTACTATACTTACCTCATTTCCTGTGTGTTTGCTAATGCTCATTATATGTATAATGTATTTTATATTCTCTGGCAAAAGAAGCAAAAATGCTATTTTCAATTTTGACCTTTCTTTATGCCTTTTAAAAATTTGTTTCCTCTCCTCCCCCACAGTTCTTGTTCTTCAATAATATGTATATATGTATATATGCATATAATGTATTTTTGTTTAGCCGACTGATGGATTTAATCTTTAAATAGGGTAATGGGGAATTATTCATAGAAAATAAAAGGCACTTTCGAATTACCCAAATTTCTGAAGATTCTGAAAATTTTAAATATTCTTAAAAAATAACAAAAAATAAAATAAAATAAAAAATAATAATAATAATAAATTACAATTATCGCAGATTCATTGTACTTTTGTAAAGAAGTATGCAAAAAAAAAAAATGTATCATTCAAAAGGACTTGTTTATTTTGGGGAAATAAATGTTGACGTATTTTTTCATTAACTAGATGGATCCCTTTTTTTTTTTTTTTCTTTTTTATTTCCCTCTACTTAAGCTTCTGCTAATGCTTTTGTATTACTGTTTCTTTTGTCATTTTTACATTTACAACATTATGTTCGCGTTATTACCACGTTGAAATATTATGCCGAATCTGTTGGGATTGTTATTACTACTTCAACTGTGTTATGCTAATTTTGTTAATTTTGTCATCCTATTTTTTTCTTGCAACTACTGTGTATCCTAAAATCGTTTTGGCTATCTCCCTTTATTATATTTCTTCTCAATCCTAATAGCACTATTTGTAATAAGCTAAAGAGGAACTAGTCGATTTTGAGCTAACGAAAAAATAATACTTGTCGTGTTTGCGTCATGTGTTATATTATATAAAAATAAAATATACAAAAACCGGGGAGGGGGAAATAATATGCTGGATATGTGTATGAAATTTTTTTAATTTTTTTGTTATATTGTCATTGATAAAAAGTGAAATTTAAAAAAAGGAAAAAGTAATACATATATATATATACATACATAGTGGTAATCTTTTTTTTTAAAAAAAATATCTAGTCATCATCAACTTCTTCCTGCGAATTTTTGGACGAATTGAAAAATGATTTAAGAAGCCAATGAGCAAAAAATATTTTACTGTTATGTCGAAGGTGAAAGTAATAAAGAAAAAAAAGAAATATGAAAAAAAAAATAAAGGGAAATATAAATAATGGAAAAGTATAATGAAAGAAAAAAAAAATAAGGCAAAAAAATGAAAATGGAATTATTTCACATGTGTAGCATTCGCACATCGCAAATCAAAACTTTTGCGTACCCATGTGATGATAATTTTTTCATGACACATGTGAGAAAAAAATATACAAAAGGGACTTTAAAAAAGGGCCTTTGATAAAAAAAGGCGAAAATGTGATGTTATCATTTCTCAATTTTACAAACTTAAAAAAAGGTGTGTACTCCTTTTATAGCTTTAAAAATGTGCATACATATTATAATACAATGACAAATTAGTAAGACTCATATATAAAAAAAAAAAAAAGTATTTTTAGACCAGTACCCTAATGCTATGTTCTCCTTCATTTGTGAAAGACTTTATTTTGTCTGCACATCGTTTGTTTGTTTTTTTTTTTTTTTTTTTTTCTGTTATGTATGTCCTTATTTATTTCCTCATTTGGTCTCCCTTTTATGTATTCTTTTTTTGTTGTTTTTTTTTTTTTTTTTTTCATTTTGGACGTCTTTGTAAAACACTCCGTATTGACATTATTCTTAAGAAGAACTATGATGAAAATTGTGTACGCACAGTGAAAAGGACACAGGAATTGTCCAAAAGAGTAAAGTAAAAAAATAAATTGAAAAGCAACGGTTGGGTTTCTTTTACCTATATTTAAAATATCACCAGAGTAGACGTTACTACCCACACGTTTCCATTTGTACATTTGTACATTTTGCAAAATTTGCAGGTTTTATTATTTTCTCAATCTTCATAACATTTAAATGGGAAGAAAAGTGGTAGTTGAATAAGTCCTCTACCCTACTTTGGAGATGAGGAAGGGGAAATTTAATTTTTGATTTTAAAAATAATGATCGTGGTGGAGAGAAATAAAATTCATCAAAATTTTGTACGTACAACATTATGTTTAGACATATAAAAATATTTTCTACATTCCAAATTTAAGAAAGTTTAAAATATTTACCAGACAAAGACAGGTAAAAAAGCTTAGTTTTTTTTTTTTTTTTTTTTTTTTTAAATAATGCTCAGGTAAAAAAAAAAAATAAAAATAAATGATAATACATTTAAATAAATATCATTTCTACATTGGAACATTAAGCACTTTAGGGAATATTCGTAGTAATACTCCTTTCAAATATCATTAATTTGCTATGAAAAGTAGCGATTTTTGCATTTATGTTGCTTATAAATCCATTTTCGAGTTATAAGTTTTCTTCCCTTTTCACACATATTTATACTGTTTCCCAGTTATATTTAACAATAGGATTAAATTCGAAAATTAGATAACCAATGGAACAATTTCTCCTCTCGTTACGCATACACATTTACATTCACTTAACATTGTGCAAAAATGTTTTTTCATATAATAGTTGTAAAAGCTTCCAAGTTTTTGGTAATTATAAAAAAAAAAAAAAAATTCAAATGTACACGTAAGAAAAATTAAAAAAATAGCTATACAAAATATGCATTTTGTTTACAAACAAATACATTATGTGTATAAAACAGAGAAATTTCCTTCCGTGTGTGCAAAAAGCCATGGATTTTTACCTGACCATGTAACATCACTAATCTTTGACCCATTCGATAATTGCTTAATTGGTAACAAAACAGGATTGGTTACATAGTCTTGAAAAAATTTGGAATAAAATAAATTCACTGCTCCATTTGAACTTAACGTGTAAAACAAATTGTACTTTTTATGAAATTCCACCTTCTTCATAGAACACGACTGGAGATGAAATTTCTTGTACGGGTTACAAGAAAGGTCTAAATCAAAAATGAACACATTCCCCTTCTCGTCCGAGACTAATATGTAGCTTTCGTTTATATGTACATCTACACATGTTATATTTTGTACTCCTCTCAGTTTTTTTACAATTCTCCCTTTTTTGGATTTGGCTTTTAAATTGTATATTCTGCGAAGGGAATGGAGTTGACAAAACAAATGTGAAGTTCACAAGTCCCAATTCGGGGAAAAATAAGAAAAATGTAAATCGAATGTAGGGATATAAGCAAAGTGGATAAAATTCACATGGGATAGTATACACATATGGGATAGAAGACTCATGTAAAAACTCTCGACATTCATTCTTTTCTACTCTTTTCTTACGTTATGCTATTCTGATAAGCAACCATGAAATACGGGCTAGAAGGAAAAAACAAGGACTGAACAATATCCCCTCTCTTCTGCTTGTACTTTTTTATCAGTTTTATCGACTTCATTGATTTTAAATGGTGCAAATAGCAGTAGTGGTATTGTCCAACTTTTCTTAAGCATGTTACTGACAGGTAATTTCCTAAAGATGGGAAGAGATGTAATTATATGAAAATGTTTCAATGCGCACATTAGGGATGTAATACTCTTTTGAAGAAGTACTCTTTTGAAGCAGCACTCTTTTGAAGTAGTACTCTTTTGAAGTAGTACTCTTTTGAAGCAGTACTCTTTTTTTTTTTTTTTTTTTTAATTTTTTTTATTCATATATATCTTATCATTGTCTTTGTTAATATTCATCCCTCAAAAAGTACCATTTTTATTCCACGAGAAATATTTTATTTTTCCTTCATGCTGAATTGCGACGCAGTACTTTATCTTCTACAGTTAGGTAAAGAAGAAAAATCATAAAAAAATGGAGTAGCAATACATATGGATATATATTTAGAAAACCATAGCAACTTTTCGACACACTTCCACTGCACGTTGAAAAAATAAGAAAAATGAAATGACTGTGATTCTACTTACCCGATCATTCGATTTGATGTGTTTCCATTTCACTTCCACTCCTTGGGCGTATACATATTCATCAGAATTTTTAAAATTTTTGTGAAATGCACCAATTAGTCCTTTAGTTTTATAATAAACCATATTTCTGCTTAAAAATTCGCCTTTCTTTCTTGACAGCATCTCTTCTGTATCTTTTTCATTTTTTCCTAATTCGTCCTTATGGTTTTCGTGATCACTGTCCTCATCGATGCTTTCATCATCTTCACTGAATTCGTTCTCCTGGATTCCGTCGAAATCTTCATCATCCGATAAATCCTCCATTCCTTCATCACTGTCAGGTTCTTCTGATAGAGATTCGTGGCTTTTGTTGTCCTTTTTGTCCTCTTTTTTATAGTTTTCCTCAAAAGAATTTTTACTCCTTTTCGAATCCTTTCGGTATATTTCTTCGATATTATCTGTACTTGATGATTTGATTGGTGGCACAAAGCTTTCATAATGAAAGAGGAAAATAATATTTGCACAAGATACAGCCACAATGTCATAGGCCTTATTTACCTTTATTCGAATATTATCAAAAAAATGTTCCAAATTTTTTTTCTTTGGAATTGCTGCATTGTAGTAGTGCACAAGGTCAATCGTTGCAATATTGTAGGATGTTAATATGTCAAAAATGTACAACTTGTTGTATTGAATTGTATACACAATATGGTTATCTTCACTTATATCTATCTGACTGAGGTATTTGTTTTTATCAGAATTGTGTGAACTCAAATCATCATTCATGATATACTTTACAATTGGATGCTCAGGATATGGTCTTAGAGATTTAGTTGATGGTAATTTTGGTAATAGGTCTTCTTTTTTTATATGTAACACATTTTTTAATGATCTCGAACATAAGTATATATCTAAACATCTCTGATATAATTCGAAATATGTTTTTTTGTAAAATTCTATATTTCTTATTTTTTCAAAATTGTGAGGAATAAATGTATTATTATTATGTTTCATAATTTTCTTTTTTTCTGCCTCGCTATACATTAATTCTGGTGGGGGGTTATAGCTATATTTATGACCTGGTAATATGTTTGGTAAATTAATTTCATTCACATTATTAAATTCATCAAAAATTTTATTATTCCATAAATCGTATAATAATTTGCTTTTATCTTCTTCATTTTTATATTTTTCTGGATATTTTTCTTTATTAATTAGATAATTCATTATTTTCTGAATTCTTTTTTTCTCTTCTTTTGATTGTTTATACTTTAAATTAGGTGTTTCCTTCGTACCTAATTTGTACTCATCCTTTTCATTTTCATACACATAATTTGTTTCCTTCAAACGGGTTGCCACTCTGTTTTCTCTAATGCTTCTTATAATTTCCAGGTCTTGATCTGTCAGTTCTATAATTCGATTGTTTTTTTTATCTTTAATTTTCCTCCAAGCGTTCTTGTCCGTTTGTGATTCTATAAAGTCGTCAATGGTGTTCTCATCCTTCTTATGAATTTTGTTTCCCATGATGTCATATCCTGAAATAGCACATGGACAGGTGTATGTGTAGATATGAAAGCTCATGCACTTACGTATGCGTATTCTCATGACAGAGAAAGTAGCTCAATAAACATATTTAAAAATAAGGACGGAACAAAAGTAGGGAGCAAAAAGTAGGGAGCAAAAAGTAGGGAGCAAAAGGAGGGAGTAAAAGGAAGGAACAAAAGGAGGGAACAAACGGACGGGGGAAAGGTCAATCATAAAATCGCATAAACCCAATGGGGGAGAGGTAGATAAGGGTATGATCTACCGGCATTCACATGTGACGTTTATTCACATCTTACCTATAATATCCAAGTCATCGTAATACTTTAGGTCGAAATTCCCAAGCGTGTTTAGATTGTATTCATCATCACTCTCTTCAATTTCTTCGTTGGCAAAAATGTTACTACCCCTTTTGGTGTTGACACTGGTAATGTTGGAACCGTTAATTTCACTTCCCGTGCTGTCCTCATATTCTGTTTCCTTTCTGGTCATTTTTTCCCCTCTTCGTTTTATTCCGTTAAATTTTAGGACTTCCACATCCTTTTTTAGATCACCTTTATTTGATCTTCTCGTTACTGCAGCTTGTAGTTCCGACATTTCGGACCCCTGCTGTCGCATCTTCTTCTTTTCCAATTTTCTTTGCTGTTTTTTCTTCTTTTTCCCTTGACTTATTTGAGCTCTCACGTTTTCATTATCATGCTCTTTCATTTGCAATTTTTTCTTCTTTTTCCTTTTCATCGTTACTTTTTCTTTTTCTCTCTCCTCCTTCTCTTTTTCTATTTTCTTTCTCTCTCTCTTTTTTTTTTTTTTTTTTTTTTTTTTTTTTTCTTCCTCCTCCTCCTCTCCGAAGTCTGCTTCTTTCTCTTTCTTTTTCGTTTCCTTTTTTTTTTTTTCCTTCGCCCATTTTTCTATTCTCCTTTTTGCATTATCTTCATTTCCGCTGGTAGAACGGGAACCCTGCAATGTTTCTTCAATCTCTTCTTCTATAAATTCTTCGCTCTTGGTTACATCATTGCCTATTTCTGTATCTTCTTTTTCTGCATTTTTCTCCATATCTCCACCTTTTCGGTCGTCCTCACACAATCCTTCATGTTTGTTATCAATCTTGATATTACAACTACTGTTTGGACTCCTACATGTGCTACTGTTCGGGTTTCTAATTGTTTCACTTTGTTGATTTACCCCTTCATCATTATGACTCTCTGTGCAAGTACTGCTCGTAATGTTATCCTTCTCTTGATTCATTTTCTTCGCTGAGGGTTTTAATAATGAAACTTTTTCCGATGTATCAATAAACATATACAATGTCTTTATGGGGTTTAAAATGGGGGGTTAGGAAAAGCTAGGACATGAAAACAGCAATATGACAAAAAGGAGTATCTATAGTTTTTTTTTTTTTTTTTTTTTTTTTTTTTTCTGCTCGCTTTTGATAATCCCACCCCCCCCGGAAATCCTAATTTCCCCAAATTGCAATGAGAAGATGATAATATTGGTTAAAAAAAATTTATTAAATAGGATTTGAACAAATATTTCCAACAAAGCAACATCTTTCGTACAACTTGGATCAACGGGATAAAAGAAATTTAACTGAAAGATTGCAAAACGTGCCTCTCTAAATTTGGAAAAAGGAAAACTTGCAAAGTAGAAATATATTTTCAAAAAAAAGATATTAACACGGAGAATAAAAAAAAAAAAAAAAAAAAAAAAAAAAACGAACTCGTATTCATATGCACAAATATACAATCCCAAAATTATGCCTTACAAATCTGCATAAAAAACAGTTTGGATATTTTTTTTTTTTTTTCAAGAAAAAATTGGCAGCTTTTTTTGTACAAAATAAAAGTTGTGGCACCCAGTATCTCCTGCAAAAGTGAAACAATGTAACAATATGGAAACGTAGTAACAGAATTGAAAAGAAGCAACAACGTGACTTTTTTTTATTTTTTTATTCCACTTTTACGAGCTGGAGCTAATAAGAAAAAAAAAAAAAAAAAAAAAAAATCGGAATTTTTTCTTTTTTTTTTTTTTTTTCATTTTGCTTGCAATATTTCTTCAATTTTTCGTTTTCTATTGGCATGTGGAAAATTCTTAAAAAAAATTCTCAATTATAGGAATTCTACGAGCAACAAAATTGTACATCTCCCAATGTATTATTTATGTATCCACATATATGAATATGCGCATATACAATTTGCACAAGTGAGAATAACGTTTGTATAATGTGCTAGGAGAACAAAAAACAAGTCCACAGTTATGCTAAACAACAAAAAAAGTGGGGACATATATCTTTCTGTCACCTTGTGTAGGCAAGGGTTTACTTCTAAATTTTTTGTACGTATTTATCACATCCCTTTCGTTTCAACTTGACGTATATCTCTATTTTTGTGTTAATTTATTTTTATTTTATTTTCCCCCCACCTAAGAGTTCAGTTATTCCTTATCCGTTATGCATAATTTTATGTTTATGCAGATTCGTAGATTTACAGTTTCGTAGTTTTCCAGTAGTGCAGATTTTCAGTTTTGTAATTGTCCATATTTTCAGTTTTTCTGTTTTTCTGCCCACATTGAAAGTGAAAAAAAAGGAAAAAGTTGAAGCAAAGGCAGGATTAAAACGAAAGGAAGGTTTAAAGGAGACAAAAAAATGCAGTGACAGAACATGGCGAAGAGAGGCAAAAATGAGAACAGTGCAGTTGACAAACACAAAGTATTCGTTCGAAACATCAGAGAAAATGATGTGGGCACACTGGATGAAGAATTTAAGAAACTTTGTATAAAATATTTCTTTTTTAAAAATAAAAACAACTCAACAAAAAGTGCAATCTGCTGCTTTAGAAGTGATCAAGAAGCAGAAAACTTTATTGAAAAGTACAATGATAAGAAAATACATAGCAGTAATATAAAATGTGAATTTGCCTTCAAAAAAAAGTATAATGAAAAGAAGTTAATGTCCATTATCTACCGACGACATAAAATCAACCATTTAAACGCAATAAAAATTTACACAAATTATGACATCGACAACATTGTTGTACTTAGCTTTTTGAAAAATATCTTCCTCTTGAATAGACAACATTTGGTTAATATTTTAGATGAGCATGTTAAAGAAGAAAAAAAATTGTCCAAAAGAAAAGTAGCAGAATCAGGTAATAAAGATGGAAAAAACGTTCTTGAAAACATTCAAAATATCGAAAATATAAATAATGGTATTGAGAGTGTCCAAAACGAGGACTATAACATTAAGAGTGCGAAAAATAGTGACTACAGTAATGCCGGTTACATTAAACATAACAACCAAAATGAAGAGGATGGTATCGAAATTGTTGTAGAAAAGAAACACAAAGAATTCGAAGAAATCGTTGTAAATATTGAGAAAGGATATAAAAGGATCGATAATAAAATAAAAGAAAAATTAATTACAGAAATGAATAGCATGTCTAATAGGTATAAACTAGAAAATGAAAAATTCTTTATCTACACTGTGGAATTTCTAAATTTAAATTTGGCAGCCCGTTTCTATTCGTACATTAACAAGAACAATTTCGAAAATTATTTGAAAGAAAATATTCAAAATGTTAAAAAGGACATTCAGTTCCATCATCAGTTATGCTACCTAAATAAAGATAATAGAAGAGTTATTATAAAAAATATAAAGAGAACATGTCATATAGAAAATATTCAAAAATTATTTAAACATATAGAAACAAATCCATTAATTTATATACCCAAGAAAAATAATAAAAAAATGGGATATGCATTAGTTACCTTTTCAACTTACGAAAATCTTAAGAAAGCACTCCTACTTAACAAGTCGAAATTATGTGGTAGTATAATTACCATTGATGAAGACAGAAATATAAGGTTAATGAACAAATTGGGTATACAAGTAGAAGAAGCTGAGGAAGCACGGTGGGCAGAGGAAACAGGGGAAATGAGGGATGCACACATGGGAAACCTCGACAATGATGATGATGATGAAGAGACGCACGCAGGAACAGACAGCGAACGAGAGAACAAACGAGAGAACAAACGAGAGAACGAACGAGATAACGTAAGAGACCTCGAATCGGAGGGAGAAGCAGATGAGGATCACGAGAAAGGATCCGATTGCAATGAAACTGCGCTTACGAAAAAGAGAAACCACAACGATCATCCAAATGATATTGATGAAGGAAAAACACTGTTCATTACAAATGTACCTTTGGGAAGTACCGAGGAAGAAATAGAAAATTATGTGGTAACAAATATAAGCAAAAATTTTATCTACATAAAAACATGCCAAAATAACAGCAAAAAAATTTCAGTATTTGTGAAACTAAAGGTTAAAAAAGATGCAGACAATTTTTTAAAAAAAATTGGAGAATATGATGGTGGAGAGGAGGAAGAGGACGAAAATGGCGAAGAAGAAAATGTAATTGATAAATTTTACAATTTGAAGAAGAAAAAAAAGAGAGAAAGAATGAAACAAATCTTACTTAAAGATCATAATAAGGGACAGAATTCAGAACTTTTATTTTTCAAAAATAATTATTTAATGATTAAAAGGGCAGTTAGTAAGGAGACCATAAAAAATAAAAAAAAATTCCTTATAGAAGAAGAAAAAAAAAAAATAAAATCGAAAAATAAAATGCACAATAATATTCATTTGATACAAGATAATGATATTAATAATGACCACTTAAGTGAAAATATAATTAAAAGAAACAATAATTTAATGGAAAAAAAAAAAAAACTTTTAAAAAATAAAAATTTCTTAATAAACCCTTGTAGAATATACGTTCGAAATTATCCAGCCGCGTTAGAACAGAATACATTTCGTCAACTTATAACGAAACATTTCACTCCTATATTTATGAAAAAAGAAAATTTAAAAAAAAAAGAAGCTTTCAAAAAAGCCAATGAAATTATTAAAAAAATGAAAATAATGAAAGATCACACAGATCAAAAAGAACCAACACAAAATGAGGCAAAAAATAAAAAAGAAAAAGACAAGAAAAATAACAATACAAATGGAAAAAATATTATATGCTTTATTGACATTAACAAACATGAACATGCCAAACAAATAATTTGCTTGTTGCAAAATAGAAATATCTACGAACTAATTAATGAAATCATTTACAAAAAAAAATTTCAAACCATTCGAAAAAATAAAAATATAATGTATGTCGATTATTGTATTGAAGACATACGAATGATACATATCAAAAAATTAAAAGAAGAAAAATTTTTAAATCACATAAAAGAAAAAAATATAGCAACAACGACTATTACGAAGAAAACTATTAAAAAAAAAAAAAAAGAAAGTAGAGGAAAAAGACAACGTGAAAAAAGGAGACTCCTAAAAATGCAAAATGAAAATACAAACATCGCACATGTAATTAAAACTATATCGGCAAGCCATTCGACATGTACAAATATATCAGTTGGGAATAACAAAGGCTCCAATGCAAATGGGACATATGAACCGGATAAAAACATCAGAACAAAGGAAAAATCAAAATTGATAAAAAAGAATGGAAAGCAAAATGCCAATTCTAAAAAAAAATCGCGCAACAAACAGAAGGAAATGGCAGAAACAGAGGAAAAAAGGAAAAATATAAAAAACACAACTAGCAAGAAGTTAATCAAAAAGGCAGAAAAGAAATGCGGATCCAAAAAGAAAACCGAAATTGTAATAGAATAACAAAAAAAAGAAAGAAAAAAAAATATATACATGCATACATACGTACATATACAAATATACATACGCATATATACATATATACGTATATACATACACACACACATGTAATTCCGCTCGCGTGGAGACAGAGAGGCACATTGCAGTACAATTTCCCCGTACGATAGCATGGCTGCTAACATTAAGTTTCAATATATTCTTACTTTTTTCTTCCCTGCAGGAATCTATACAAAAGGATGTTTTGAATTTTCTCAAAAAAAACAACAATATTTGACTAGAATTCTAACCCCTGTTTTTCTATAGCAGGTATAGTCTATTCGATGAAAGTTTGTTTCCCCCCTTTTTAGGAAATTCATTAATTTTTTTACGTAATTAAATTTCTCCTTACCTGTCAATATTGATCAGGAAATTAACATGTTCCAAGCGCACATTTAGAAATATTTCTTTTTTTTTTTCTTTTTTTTTTTTTTTTTTTTTGCAATTTGTTTTATTACATTTTTAAAAACATTATTTTTTTTATTTCATCAGAATTTTATTTAAATTCGTCTTTTTTTTTCTTTTTTAATTTTTTTCTCACTTTCGCCTTAAACTGATTTATGTACAACTTTAAAATCTGAATTGCACATAAATAAAAAAAAAAAAAAAAAAAAAACTTGGATGTGCATTATTTTTGAATAGGTTCTACACAAATGTGAGCATCAATATACAATCGAAATGAAACATTACCTTTTCTTAAAACAGGAAAAGATGTCTTACACTTAATGAGAAACTAGCTCCAATATTCCCTCATTTTCAACGAAGGGTAATCAAGCAAGAAATACCCAGAAAAGAGAGTGGGGATGGGAGTGTTCCTTATTTATTTATTTATTTTTTTTTTCTGTTCCTTGATATATATTTTCATTATATAAATAAGAAAAGTGTAACCTTCACTTAAAATATTCTCAAATTTTCTACAAGAGTGGATACGCTGAATATTTCCCATTTTTTACAATCCCCTTTTGATGATATACACTTTTCGAAAAAAAAAAAAAAAAAAAACATATAATTCGTCCAAATAATTTTAATGCAAATAAGAGCATACAGAAATTAATAACAACATCCATAGCAAATATTCGCATCAAGCTAGTTTTGATAGACCAAGAATTCCCTCTCCCTCTGGCACAATGATATAATGCTGCACACAATGGTTGGAAAAAATGACGAAATAGCCACATTTTTTTCTATTTTTTATTTATATATACACATGTGATAAATGCCCTTCGATGAATACACTAAAAAATTCGTATTTCTTCCCTATCTATCATATCGCTAACTCATACCTTTCCTCTTATTATCATATTTGAACATTTCACTTGATGAATCCCTCCTTTTTTTATTCCTTCACCCCCTATACTTTTGTTAATTTTCATTATGGTCTCATTTACGTCAATGTTTTTGTAGGTGACCATTCAATCTGGTATTTTTTTTTTTTTTTTTTTTTCATAAAAAGGTAAAACTTTCCAATATGAACACCTATTATTCTAAACAAATAGAAAAATGTAAGATACTATTTCCTGTTAAGTACAACCATAACATGTGTTTATTATATATTTTCACTTTTGAAACTCCTGAAAAAAAATAAAGTATAAAGGCCTTTTTTTTTTTTTTTTTTTTTTTTTTTTTCTTCTGCCAATTCGTTATTTTAATAATGAAAAGAAAAAAAAAATCCAAAATTTAACTGATTGATTGTACCATTTTGTAATAATAAGTTTTAGTCATATAAATGTACTTTTAGGGCATTTATATATATATATATATATATATAGAAATATTTCACTAATAGAGCAACATTTCCTGGTATATTATTAAATTAAGAAAAGAATTAACGGCACCTCACCCAAAGGAATGTTCTTCCAATGAAAAAGGATCTCATGCATAAGGAATACTTACTATATTAGTTTAGAGTTTAAAAAAAAAAAAAAAAAAAAAAACACAATTACAATTGATAAAAAAATTACGATATACCTGGTGTATAAACCTGCAAAAAGGTAACAGCAATAATACTACATAAATGAAACTATAAATTACGAATGCTGTGCACTTGTTTGTCCTTCTCATTTTATCATCAAGCAAAAGTGTGAACGTAACAATTTACAAAGCCCCTTCTACAAGTTTGTGGCTTTTATGGATAGGACGTTCCTTGTATGAGTTCATGTGTCTAACTTTTGCTTGCCTTTTAACTATTCCAAACTTCCCAATAATATTATTCATATCCTCTTAAGCACACACACTGAGCTTACAATTTACTTTACTTCCACAAATGTAAACACCTTTTCCACTTGACTCTTTATAATTAGCAGATTAAATTGATAAAACGTTCAATCAAAAGGCACTTCACATTAGAAAGAAATAGAAATACATAACTGAATGATTCATTCCTATTTTTCTTTTACCTAACTTTTTTTTTTTTTTTTTTTTTTTTTTTCAGAACATTTTCAATTAATAGAAAAGCACATGAACAGGGCAGGAAAAAAAAAATGGAAGAAAGCGATTTAAATGTTTTTAAAAAGGACGAAATTCCTGCAAAGTGTAAGAAAGAGGAAACAGCCACATAAACGTTTATAAATTCCTAAACCAATGTCAAATTCATATGAGTTCAAAAATTTTGAATGAGTGTATTATTTAGAATTTTTTGTGCCCATATGATGGGAAAATTAAGACTACATTTAATACAGAACATGAAATGAGAGTATTAATTTTTTTTTTTTTTTTTTTTTCTTTTCAAGCCATTGAAGGGTGGATTATTATAATTACAAACATTCACGGAGAAGCAAGGGATGACTACATAAAGGACGTTTTTGAAAAATATGGACAAGTAAAAAATTTACATTTAAATTTAGACAGACGAACAGGTTTTTTAAAAGGATATGCATTTCTTGAATTTGAAAATTTTGTTGATGCAAAAAGGGCCATTGATGGTAAGAAGTGTGTTTTCTTTATTCATCTTTTTTCACGTTCATAAGGAGCATTGTCATTCATGTGGATATATACATACACACATATATAACAATGTAACAAAGGAATTTATTTTTCATGTTGAACGGAACTAACTATATCTTATTTCCTAATTTTTCATGAACGTTTTTCTTCCACAATTGATATTCTCCAATTCGCTCTGGAGTCTGGTTAGAGAATAAAAAATTACTTCTTTTTTTTTTTTTTTTTTTTTTTCAAGAAATGGACGGAGCAACATTACTAAATCAGGAAATTCACGTAGATTGGGCATTTGTTCAAGAAAAAAATAAAAATTGATTTTTCCTCTTCAATCATCCTTCAAGGATCTTAATCTGCCAAGTGATTTACTCTACATTTGCATTTCATACACATGCACACATATTTGCAAACCATCACTTTCGTCTTTTCAATTTGTGTATAATTCGAATGATGAGTTTTTTAAAATTTTCAAATTGGCAAAACGTTGTTAATCAGATCTCTACTTCCCATAAAATATACTCTCATCTAAAAATTGGCCTCTTCACAATTTTTCTTTTTCTGAATTGCTTTGCCATTTTAATTTTTTCCATTCGCAAAAATGGTGTGACGGTAGTGCTGTGGGGCATGGGAACAAAACGAGCATCAGCCAGTGCAGTAACAGGAGACTGTGTTTGTCATGATACTACGGAAATCGTATCATTACAAGCGAGACAGCTTAATTAATTCTTGTGTAAAATTCAAATACTTACATGCCTTAAGATATGTGTATTCGTCAGCATGTATATATTAAGGGAGCGGGGAAAAAACAAAAAAAAAAAAAAAAAAAAAAAACAGGGAGCACAAATTGATGTATATATTGTAATGCATAATGTGAAATACAAAGTAATATACAACCACCTGCATAAAGAGAAAAACACTGTGGGAGACACACAAATCAAACAGAATCACCCGTTTGCACAAAAAAAAAAAAAAAAAAAAAAAAAAAAGGAACAAAATTCAAGCACGGACCAAATTGGAATGATATGGAGTTTGAATCTATGAAACGGCCTTCTTTTTCAGAAGAGACGAAATGGCTATAGAAAAAGCCTCGAAGGAGGATAAGGGGTGACGGAAGTCGAGCGTAAAGTAATCTTTTGAGTTTTTCCCAAAAATTAAAAATATTTCTTCTTCATCATTGTTCACAATTTCGAATTTTCCTTCTTTTTTTTTTTTAAAATTATTTGTAATAATATCAAATGGAAAATTTTTTTTAATCACCTTTTTTTTAGGTCTTTCTTCATCGCTGCAGTTATCTTCATAGGTGGAAGCATGTGGGTGAAGATCCCATGAATGATTATCTGTGGCACACTCTGCATACGCATTACAAGATAGGGAATTTAGTTTACAATGGTCATTACTGACATACTCAATTACATCATTTATGCTTTTACCTATAAAGGAAGCCTTTTTCAATTCAGCAATTACACATTTTTTTAAAATTAATTGCAGATTTTTTGCGCTTGCCAGCTTAACTCTTCCATAAAATGGTAACTCATATATTTCCTTTTCATCATTCCAAACAGGACATTTATTTTCATAAATAATTTTTATGTTTTTATTTTCCTTATATATATTACATATAAAATGTCTGGGTAACTCACTTATTATATTTGATTCAAATCTAATAGATATTACATTTTTTCTTTCAAAAGCTGGAAAAAAATGAGCATATTTTTCTGATATCCCATTGTCATATATTTTAATTTTCATGCCTGTGAAATTACATATTAAGACACCTAAAAAACCGGATATATTATTAAAAAAAGATTTTATTTTTTTTTTTGGACCTGTTTTGTAAATTTTTTTAACATTTTTATTGTATTTATACACAAATACTTTATTTTCTCCTCTTTTTTTAAAACCCATCAATATTTTTTCTTTCTTATTATTTTTTAAAATATAACAACAAGAATAATCGTCATTAAAATTCCGTAACCTCTGTATTTCATTTATTATATATCCTTTGGGAACATCATTATAATGATGAAATTCCTTTTTTGTTTTTTCAATCAATGGTAAAAATATCCTTTTGTCAATTAAATTTTTATTAAAATATAAATTTCCTTTATTCATATCTACCTCTGTTATGTTGTTAATTATACTATTATAATTACTTGGTTGAAAAATATTTAATGCTTCATAAAATATTCCATCCTTATAGCAGCAATAGTAATAATAATAATGTTCTTGTGAATTCTTTTGTTTTTTTTTATTCTTTTCCATCTCTATTTCTTCCTTCTTTTGTTTCATATCTCTTAAATTATTTTTCATTTCATTATATTTTTTTCTTAGTTGATTATCTGATTTATTATCTAATATCACCCAACAGTCTGGCAAATCTTCATTCTCAAAAACACTTATTAACTTCCAAAAACAATGATCGATTATTTCTTTGTTCTCAATTTTATATCCACAGTATGTTAGCATCACAAGGAATTCATTTTCTATTTCTTTTCCTAATATCAACTTTTTTAACACATTAAACATATAACTTAGTTCAAAGGCGTGCAGCGTGAACAACAGCTCTATATTCAAATAAGTATCACATTCATTCATAATGAAAGAAAACATGTAATTTATGTAATCGATAATCTCTTCTACTTCCTTTTCTTCAATATAACTAGGCTCCTCCTTTAACTCCGATACAGGGATGGAGTCACACACAACTTTCTTATCAGTACGGTTGACATGACGAATATCAGACAGTTTATTATAATCTGAATCCTGATAAGTGTAACTCTTACATTTGCCAACTGAATCAGCAATAAGACTACCACAATCGCTTATCCGATTTGTGTAATCTGCATCACGACCTGCACCATGTGCATCACTTATAAAAACATTGTTGTCCAGATCTGTGTACTTACTTCTCCACTGTGTAGGTTCAGCCTGATGTGTATATTCCTTATCCTGCTGTGTGCGATCGATGATACGCTTGGTGTAAACATTATCCCCGTCAGAGAAAAATCTAATTGGAGCTCTTTTTTCAATTGGAGCACACTCCGCACCATTTGAATCTTCCTCGTTATCGTAATCAAAACTTGTGGTATTGTCAGAGGTGGACGACTTCTTACCATAGTTACGACAATTTTGAGGCCCATTTGAATATATCTGTTTGCATTTCTGAGAATCGTTTTTTTCTTCTTCTTCTTCATCTTCTTCATCTTCTTCATCTTCTTCTTCTTCAGCTTCTTCTTTTTCTTCTTCTGTTTTTTTTTTATCTTTTACTTTTCCCAAAATTATATCATAAAAGAGGAGGTAACCCGATTCGTCACAAGACAAATCTTCCTCCTTCTTTCTAAACTCATCAAGTTGCACAAAATTAATTTTTTCATTTTTTCTCTTTTCCATCATGTATTTCATGAGGTATGTATGAAACAAACTAACCATTTCAATCAGCAGAAGAATACTCCTTAGGCTTATTAAGTTTCTATTCGTTGTTATTGTTATTTCGTAAAATTTCATTGGAACCTCTTTTCTTAATCGGGCTGAATTGCCTCCACAAATTATATTTGTACATTCTGGTAACTCTGGGGACCTTTTCATTATGGTTCTTGTTTCCGCGAAAGGATTATCCTTGTGCATTTCATGACGATCATCGATGGAAAAAATGGGAATCTTGTTACAAAAGCTGTCTCGGATGTCATCATTATTGTAACTTCCTCTATGGATGAGGTGTTCGAACTGATTGATCTCGTCGGATTCATGGTAAATGATTCCTTCTCCATGTTTGTAATCGGGAGTGAGATCGTACATTCTCATCGATGTCTCATCCATGTGAATGTTCTCATAAACTTGTGTTTTATTCGTTCTCTCCCTTCTCACATTGTTCGTTTCATACTTATGATCTTTTTTTCTACCTACGATATAGTTATAAATTTTATTTTTTATCTGTTCTATTATTCCTATTCTGCTACTCACATAATAATCATTATGCTCATCCTGAGACAAATTTTTTAAGGCTTCTTTTAACATAGGAAGGGAATTCAATATTTTTGTCCTTATGGTTAATATAACTGATATGGTATATGTCTCCATCTCGATGTCTTTACAATCTCCTGTTGTGAATTTTTTATTTAAATGTTTTAAATGACTCATATCATTTTTTAATAAAAAATACTTATTAGCAATATAGTCAATGTCCGATTTGTTCCTAATTTTATGAATATACAAATCTATATTTTCATACAACTTTTTATAGGCCATTACATATCGATCTAAGACACATTCCTTTTTCATATACTCTGTTATTACGAGTATGATATATTCACAATTACAACATTTGCATGGTTCTACCATGTTATATTTTTTTCTCGATATAAATCCTCCTGTTTTACTTTTTTCACATTTTTTTATATCATTTTGTTTATAATAGAATTCCTTTTTTATTATTTTTTCCAAACGGAATTGTCTATCTTCCCAATCGCTTTTATGTAAATCCATTCGTCCTCTTCTCTTCTTCCCCTTGTAAGTTGCACGCTTAACTTTTTTTTTTTTTTTTTTTTTTTTCTTTTCTGATGGGTACTTATACCAAAAGATAAAATTCAAAGTATGCACATATATGTATATATATCTACTGCTCAAATCACCAATTTTGTGGCAATCCCTTTGATGACAAATTCCGTATCACTTGTCAAGAAATGACGGTACCAGGTAGGAGAGGTGAAGGAAGAGGGAAATTTTGTCAAAAATTTATAACATATATGTACATTCATAACACCTAATCAGATGGTATATAAAAAAACGACTTTAATATGGGAAGGAACTAAAAAGAGAAAGACAAATAACAGGGCTATTACCATCTTAACATTATATCGATAAAAAGAAGATACATACAGGGTGGGTATATACCTTATCGCTTTAACTGTTCATTTTTTGTTAACGATTTTTTATAACTTGCCTATGGCTTTGGATGTAGGGGTTAAAATAAAAAAAAAAAAAAAAAAAAACACACACACACACACAAACATACATACATACATACACACATATATAAGTTTGTATACATATTTACACACAAACAAATAGGACGTTCATCAAAAATAGGCCCAAAATTGTTTAGTACGCACACAAATGTGAATACATTCAAACTCGGTAAGAATAATACTGGTGATCCATGTTTTTTAAAACAATACCACTTAATATAATATTTTCAAAAACACTAGTTGTGTTATGTGGTTCACGTGCTGATTATGCCTTCCTATTCTTTGTGTTTATCTTACTCTGTATATATGCAAAAAAGGAAAAAAAAAAAAAAAAAAAAAAAAAAAAAAGCGAAAAGTGGACATTTTTACAGCATTTTCATCTTATAAAAATTTGTACTTCTCTAAAATGCCACTTCCTACAATTTTTTTTTTTTTGTTCTTTTTGCAACTGTGTCTCTAAACTACTTGGGAACATGTTCATATGGGCATTTTCTTTTGAAAAAAAAAAAAAAAAAACAAACAAGTAAATACTTTTTATAACAAAAAAAATAAAAAAATAACAAGTTAAAATGTGGGTAATGACATATTACACGGCAAAAAAAAAGAGAGTACATACATATATATATAAAAATATAGCCTATTTTCGGGCTCAGTTAAGTGTCGATCATGTGCTCTAAGGTTGTGGGAATTCCTTCAGCATATTTTCAAGGAAGAAAATTGTCGTATTTTTCCATATATAAAACATGTGCATTTTCTTTTTTCTTTTTATGCTGTTATGTATTATTCCATGTGTCCAAGCACTCGCCACTTGGTAAACATCGCCCCAGTAGCAAAACAGAAAAAAAAAAAAAAAAAAAAAAAAAAAAAAAAAAGATTATGATTAGCCGAAAAATATATCTGAAAAATGTGAAAACTATGAAAATTATGAAGATTGTGAAAATTATGAAGATTGTGAAAATTATGAAGATTGTGAAAATTATGAAGACTGTGAAAATTATGAAGACTGTGAAAATTATGAAAATTATGAAAATTGTGAAAATTATAAAAATAGCTGAAAATTTGCTGAAACAATAATGTGGAAAAAAAATAAAAAAATTCAGCAAACAAAACTCTTTTGCGTCAACCCATTTCAAAACTTGGAAATACAATATTAATGTGTTTGAAATCATTCTTTTTTTGGAGTTTTAACAATAAGATCTCTTAATGGCAAAACATGTGTGGGGAGGGAAGAATATGGCCAGTGCTAGTGAATTACATATAATATGTTAAATATATATATACACATGCATTATATATACAGTTATGCATCACATTCATTTTCTCAAGCACATATATGGCACTTAGCTTATGCTAGTGCTGAAAGGCCACAGTGCTTAATCTAAGTTTTCTCCCCCTTCACCCACAACTACTTGTACATAGCACACTTTTCTGAAAATGAATAATTATATATCTTCTAAAATATCGCATAAACGAGTTTTCTTTTTTTTCCATTTTTCGTAATTTCACATTTTTGCCTTCTGCTTATTAAGGCAAAATTGTGCCATTTCTCCTTGTTTGCTGTTTAAATAAAGCACTCACTTTAAAAACTATGTGAATGTTATTACTGTTCTAAAATGTATATATATATATATATGTATATGTATATACCAGTTGTAGAGGCAGTAATAAGTGCACAATTAACTTATTATTTTGATAACACAAATCTTATATATATATAAGATTATTTTCTTCCTACACGTAAAAGCGTTTGAAGAAAAGGTGATTCGTTCATTTGTTTGTTTTTATTTTTTTTTAGGTGATTACTTCTTTTTTTTTTTTTTTTCTGATGCGTCCTGCCTTATGCATTGTGATGGCCTCCACGAAAATAATTAATTTTTTGACCTCATGTATAAGAAATCCAGATGTTTATATATCAGCTGAAGGATCTCTTAGCAGATGCAAACATGTATTTCAAGTACACTACATATATATATCAACACAAATAAATAACTAAAAAAGTAAAACAAAACGAAATAGAAGGGAGAGAGAGAGAGAGAAAAAAAAAAAAAAAAAAAAAAAAAGGAACTATGGATACAGAAGAAGCATCAATAAATAAAAAGGATCATGCACAAACCGACGGTGTAGATTCATCAAACTTAAAGAGGAAAAGTGATAGGTTCCTTGTAAGGAGTTTTAAGAGACTTAAACAAAAGTTACAAAGGAAGGAAGATGAGGAGGAAGAGAAGGAAACACAAAATGGAGAACACGAAAACGAACAGCCTGACATGCAAACCAATCTATACGACCATGTTCATATTTCGAACAATTTCAAACATAACAAAAAGAGTAAAAAAATTATAGACGAAGATTATGAAAGTGATGAGGAGAAAGTTGACAAAAAAGAATCCAGAAAAAAAAGTGATAAAGAAGAATCAGAAGCAGTGGGAATAAAAATGAATGATGAAGAGCCTGATAATAACATCTGGAAGAAATCCAAAATTGAAAATGATCAACATAACAAAAGTGCATTGAAAAAGTCATCCACCAAATATGATAATGCAATAAATAAACCAGACTTGAAAAGTTCAAGTGATAATTCAAATGTTATAGAAAAAGGAAAGAATAAGGAAAAGGAGGCGAATAATATTACAAAAGGGAAAGAAATTAAAAGATCCAAAAAGGGTGATAAGCAGAAAGCAGATGATGATGTTGGTGATGACGAGCAAGATGATGAAGAAGATGACATTGTAAATAAGGACAAAAATGAGGACAAAAACGAGGACAAAAACGAGGACAAAAACGAGGACAAAAACGAGGACAAAAACGAGGACAAAAATGAGGACGAAAATGATGAGGAAGATGACGGGGAAGATGACGAAGAAGATGATGGGGAAGATGAAGAGGAAGATGAAGAGGAAGATGAGGAGGAAGATGAAGAAGAAGATGAAATGAAAGGATTTATCGTAGATAGCGAAGAAGAAGAGGAAGAAAATGACGAAGAAGGGAAAAAAAAAAAAAAAAAAAAAAAAAAAAAAAAAAATTATGACTATTTTGAAAATAAAAGTTTAGATGAAGAAGATTTAGAATTAATAGCAGAAAATACAGGAATGCAAGTAATAAGAAATGAAAAAGATACAAAACATCGAAGATTAAAAAAAATTAAAGATACACTAGATGATGACGATTTTTATGAGAGCACTTCAAAAAATGAAGACAAAGATGAAAATAAGATGGATCGATTAAAAGACAAGGATTACTTTATTGATGATAGTGAAACGACACTAAAAAGACAGAAGGGAGAACAGAAAAGCAATTTGTTCAATTATGAAGAAAACCAATCAAATGATAAAGAAAATGAAAATGGTGAAGAAGAGGAAGAAGAAGAGGGATATCCTGTCACATCTGATAATATATACAAAACAGATTCATATATCCACGAAATTATTAGCCAAACGTTTGGAGATGTAAACGCTGTTTTAGATATTATTAACGTCTCTCCAATTAAAAAAAAAAAAAAAGAATATGATTACGAAAATGATGAAGATGAGGAATACTATGATGATGACCACGAAGATGATAATGAGGAGGATGATCCAGAAGATGATGATCAAGAACAACGAGATCGAGAAAGGAATCGTGATGGTCATCTGTTCTCAAGGGATATCTTACTAGATGATGAGGACGAAGAACACAGTAGAATTAAGAAAAAGAAGAAAAAGAAATCTGTCAGTTTTTTCGATCAAATTAATGAGGCAATGAAAAAGAAGGGAATGGAAGAAGATTCTGATTATGAGATAGATATAGATGAGGAAGAAAACGATAGGTATGCCCATGCGGATGAAGACGAAGATGGAGAAGACGGAGAAGATGAAGACGATGATGATGAGGAGGAGGAAGATGGAGAAGATGAAGACGAAGACGAAGATGAAGACGAAGATGAAGATGAGGACGAAGAGGAGGACGAAGAGGAGGACGGAGATGATGACGACGATGAAATTTATGAAAAAGAGTTTAAGCAAATATGCGATGAAGAATATGATAAATTTGAAGAATACGAAGAGTATGACGATTTTGACGAATTCGATGAACTTCCATACTATGAAGATGCTATAAGCAAAAGTGATAAACACACTGAAGGGAAAAATGAAAAGACGAAAAAGAAAAAGAAAATTTTAAGTATAATGGATGAAGATATAGAAGGGAAGGAAGAAGAAGAAGAAGAAGAAAATGGAAAAAATGAAGAAAATGAAGAAAATGAAGGAGAATCAATAAACTTATTTGGAGAAGAAGAAACAAAAAAGATTGAAAAGAGTAGAAAAAAATTGAAGAAGAAAAAAAAAAAAAAAAAAAAAAAAGGAAGAAGAAAAAAAAGACTAGATATAATATCCAATAAATGGAAAAAATTTGCAGAACCTGATGAAACATTAAACCAACTCTTAACAAGAAAAGATGAACAAATTAGATATTCAGATATCCCAGAAAGATTTTATTTTACATATAAAAAGAGAAAATCTAAATTGACAAAAAAATTACTACTAATAGAATCCAAATGGATAATACACAAATTGAAAGAAAAATACACAAATTATTTTACCCCAAGAAATATGGAAAAAATGATGGAAGAAAATTATGATAATACATATAATCATATCAAAGTAAATGATTTCTTAAGTGAAAATTTCTTATTAAAAAAATGTATACTAACATTGTGTTTGTTAATAAAATATAAAAATGAAATTCCATTTATTTTCTTTCATAAATTTTACTTAATATGTCCTCCATTTAATTTAAACATTTTATGGGATATATATGAATTGGACAAAATATGGTATAAAAATTTTATCAAAATAAATAAATTAAAAAATAAACTCAAAATATTAAGTGCCTCCTATAAAATCCACTCAAGCGTTTTTGACATTCTCGATAAATACAATGATATTTATTATGAAGATGTTAATATTTACTACTATTATGTTAAAAATGATCTAGTTAGTGGCACAAAAGGGGTAGAAGAAGTTACAGGAAATAGCAACCTCCAAGTTCTTTGCATTAAAGATGATCAGGGAGATGACCAAGAACAAATTGAAGATGTTGACACAGGAAAAATAATTCAAAACCGATTTTTAGGTACCAATTGTTCTAATAGAATAGATGTGACAAATTCAAATAACGAAAATAAATATAAAAATACTGTTAATGATAACGAAGATGCTGTAGATGTAGACGAGAAGGATGATCTCTTTGGAGATAAAATGCTTGATGAGAACAACAAAAAGAAAAAATTTGTAAAAAAAAATAAAATGGAAAAGAAAAACATTGAATCTAAAGGTTATTATAATGAAAATAGCATACCAGGAGTACAATTCCTAGAATATGTAAAAAAAAACAAGTTCAACATATGGGATGAATATCTACTCACAACAGAAGAATTTTATGAAAATATTGCTTATGTATATGATCTCATAAAGGATGAAAATGTTTGGACTGTAGATGACATAGAGGAGGAAGATAACAAAAATAATCATCACCATTTTCAGGATGATTATAACAAACATGGGGATAGCAGAAGTAAGAGATATTCAAAACATGACCAAAATGTTCTTGATAACAAATTGAAGGATAAAAAAGAAAAGTTAACTTGCTTTAAATATAAGTGCACAGAAATTAAACACATGGTTACAAATGTACCCGAAATTTATGGAAATGATGTAAATGTCCAAAATCAGGTAGAAGATTGGTGTAAATCATTCTTTCCCAGAGAAATATCAAATAATAAAGAAATTTTTAAAACTCTCATTTGTTATTACGCCAAATTGTTAGCTTCTCACCCATGTATAAAATATATTTTTAGATTTTTCTTCTTCAAATATGCATCTCTCACAACTGTAAGTACTAGTCAAGGTGAACTTCAAATAGATATGAGTAACCCTGATTACTTCACATATCGCTTGTTCAGATTTCCTGTGTATCATTTGTTAACTATTGAAGATAGAAAGGGGTTTCTTCAAGGAAAAAGTGGTGGTGGAAATATGAAAGGAGGGGAAATTACAAAAGGAAAATCGATTCAGGTAACGCACGATCCATGCTACGTACACAATTATAACGTTGACTTTTTTAACAATCAAATGGATGAAAGTGATGTAAGCATTGAAATGAAAAAAAGAGAGCTAGAGAACTATTATGCTAAACATAAGTACAAACATATATATTTGGAAATATTAAAAAATAGGGATAACAAATTATTACATATGATTATCCATCCCATTTTGCCACATGAAAATATACCCTGGAAAAATGAAGATTTTATTGAAAGAGAAAAATGTAAAAAAAAAAAAAAAAAAAAAAATGATAGAGAATTAAAAACTTTTTTTGAAAAAGAAAAAAATAAATTATCCAAAACTGAAGAGTTAGATAATGAATGGATAAACAATATATTGCAACAATTGTCATATGCTTATTGTTACAATGACTTAGAAGATAGTAATCTTTTTGTATATGTACAGAAAAAAATTCTAAATAATTTCCTATGTGTCGAATTATTACCTCTCTTTAAAAAAAATCTAGAAAATATGCTTCTAGCATCTGCACAAAATTGGCTCATGGTGTACATACATCAGTCCTTTTACTTAACATTGAATGTTAGGCCAATTCAAATTTATAAACATTCAGAGGAAGAAGAAGAAGAAGAAGGGGCAGCAGGATCAGCAGCAGGAGGAGGAGGAAAGACAAAGGACAAGGCAAAATTGAAAAACAGAAAGAGGAGCCGAGATATAGCCATCTACGATCTCAATAACAAGGATGAAGACAACTACTCTTCTGACAATAAGAGCAAAGATGATTCCTATTCGAAATATGGTGATAATAGAGATAAGCATCTTCGGTATGGTGGGAAAAAGAAATACTACAGTGATGAGTCGTACAGCAGTAGTGATCCTGGAAAGAAGGTTAATCAGATGAAAAAAGATCAGAAGGAAAAAAAAGAAGAGAAAAAAAGTAAAAAGAAAGAAAACAAATGGTCTGAAACGGACAACCAAATGAGTATAGAAACAAAAGAAGATCAAAAGGAGAATCTAAAAGGAGATAAAAAAGGAAACACAAATTGGGATATAATGGAAGACCAAAATGGGAAACATAAATTGATGAAACGATCGAATAAATCAGATCTGTTTGATTCCTCTCATTCAACTGATAGCAATGAAGCATACAAATTGGAAGAAGAATTGAAAGAAAAAGAAAGTGGTTATATGAAAAATTTAACTTATGATGATAATTTTTCCGATAAATCTGGAAAGAGTTACATTTCGAACAAACAAGATGAAGAAAAAAAAAAACAACAAATTTTAAAAAATATTAAAAAAAATCATAACGTATATGAAGTGGCATCTATAGTTTGTGAACCCATAAACTATGGAATCAGACTGCACATAATGGCATGTGATATCTATGGTGATATAATTGAATACATCTACCTAGATAACATCTATTTAGATATTGCAAAAAAAGAAAAAATACCTGTGGAACAGGAAAAAATAACAAAAGATCTTAACATATTTGCCACTTTTTTAAATAAAATTAAACCTGACGTTATAGTTATAGGTCTTAGAGATGTTTATTCTTACATGGTCTACACATACATATTGAATTTCATAAACAATAACATGCAAGCAGGAAATAATTCAATTGTTAATCCTCATCATTTTAGTATTGATAATAAGAACAATGCAAACGAAATTAATCCTAGAAACATCAGCAGCTGTAGCGGTAAGTTCATTGTCATTCTTGAAAATCTATACATTCCTAGTATAGTAACAAACAGTCTGAAGTATAGTTCTGATTTAACCAGTAAATATTCAAGGGAGGCTCTCCTATGTTTATCCTTGTGCCGTTTTGTACAGAACCCGTTATGCGTTGTTATATCACTATTTGAAGAAGAAAACAAAAACATGTTCAATATTTGCCTGCACGATTTGCAAAAATATATATGTAGCTATAAATTAGAATCTCTTTTCCATAGAATCATAATAGATGTAGTAAATAAAACAGGATGTGACATCAATTTTTTAAAAAAAAAAAAAAAACATTTGGGAGTTATGCTAAGTTATGTGGCAGGATTGGGATTAAGAAAAAGAGAAGAATTAATGAAACTTTTACATAATAAAAACTTAAATACAAGAGAAGATTTATTGACTCTATCTTCGAATAAAAATTTTATAGGAAAATGTGTTTATCGAAATTGTTCTTCATTTATTAGAATTATAAGCAATGGAGATGAATATGTAGAAGCGTTAGATAATACCAGGATACACCCCTTAAATTGTTATGATATTATTCACGAGTTGTTTAAAAACTCTGTTGATAAAAAGAATAACTTTTTAAAAAATACAAATACTTACGATATTGTGAATTATATTATTAACAAGAAGAAATTAATTAGAAATATAGAAATAAAAGAATATTCTAGAAGATTTTATGAAGAAAAGAAAATTTATATATATCCTTATCTCAAATTTATCAAAAAAGAATTACTGTACCCGTATAAGGATTATCGATACAGTTATGAAAAAAAAAAGGAAGAAGAATTGTTTTACCTAATAATTAATGAAAAAAAAGAAAATTTAACTATAGGATCAGAAGTGGTGTGTAAAATGGATTACATAAACAAGAATAATAACTACATAAAAATAACCATATTGCCATACAACATTAGAGGTATCATAAGTGACTCGAAAGAGTTTTTAAGACAGTTAAGGAAATATTACAACGAAAGGATGAATCTGATTAATGCAAATTTGGAAAATATAAATGCATTAAACAAAAATCATCATTACAATCATAACAGTAATTTAAAAGATGCAGAATATATTAACAATTCTGTATTGGGAGAACTTATCAAAGGTCGAATCACATCCATTAGTTACAATTTACACCACAAATTTGAAACAAATTTTCACGTAGTCGTAACAGATGATAACATTAAAAAAATAAAAAAACAAATATTTTTAGATAACTTAAAACCGCCACTTAATTATGATAATCTTTCACCACTTGTAGAGTTAGATATGTATTATCACGATACTAACAATTTCATTAAAAACCATTTTAAAAAACTGAATGATAATGAAGATTTTGAAGATTTCGATGAAGACGATGGTGAGGAGGAAGAAGAAGAAGAGCAACAGGAGCAAGGACATTTGGGAAGCACCAACAATAGCAATCGTCAACAAAAAATGAAAATGAAAATTAAGAATAAAAATAAATATTATCAAAGTAAAAAATTTATAAATCATCCCCATTTCAAATTATGGAATTATCATGAAGTACATGCATATCTGAAACAAACGAATGTTGCTATTGGAGAGTCTATTATATACCCATCAAATGAAATTAACAAATTATATTTACACATAAAAACATCCGATGATCCATTTATTGTTGCAAAATTTACCATCTTTGAAAAAAATATTCAACATAGTAGTAGTAGTGCAACCACCATCTTAAATAAACATATGCAACAAATTCAACAAATATACCTAATAAATAATGAACAGTTCAAATCCATGGATCATATTATATCCATTTTTTGTGATAATTTAAAAAAAAATCTAGTAGAATTGTATAACCATCCTAAATGTAAAAGAAGAAAAACTGTTGAAGAAGTAAGGAAAGAATTGTCACAAGAAAGTTTATTAAAGCCAGAACATATTGTATGGGCACTTATACCACCAATTCCCTTGCCTCAGAACAAAAATAAAAATGAAAATGAAAAAAATTTACTTGCAGATTTTAACCCTCTAAGATTTACCCTTATGGTTATACCTCCACATAATCATCATCAACAGTTATATTCAAATCACAAAAATGACTATAGACCCAAGGATCTAATCGTGCTTCAGGATTCTATTTACGTGGATCATAAATCTTTTAAGCTATGGACGAGAGTAGAACGTAATTTTAAAAATCTTATTAACTGGTGGAAGGAAAAAGGATATTGGAATCGTCAAAATGAACGCCAGGAATATATGAATGAGAAGAAGAGGAAAATGGAGGAATACAGACGCCTCAGAGGAACAAGAGTTTAAGAAAAGGTGGAAAATCCAAAATTTTTACAACTAAAACGGAGCGAAAAATATACATATAGTGGATACAGTGAGATATTTGAAAAATAAACAGACACATTATTTAACATAAACATATGGAATATTAGGAAAAGGGGTAACCAATCCGTATGATAAAAAAAAAAAAAAAAAAAAAAAAATAGCTCAAAGAGTATGATGAAAGGTATATATAATTGCAACCATTTGGACCAGATTTATGAGGAATTAAAAAAATTTGAAGCTAAAATCAAATTGAAAAAGAAACACAAAAGTGTAATTCACACGCCTTGTCCTATAACCGTATAAATGTACATACATTGTGAACTTTTCAGAGGGATATATACATCCTTCGTGTATCATAATTTTGTTGATTCACATTGTTTAATAATACACCTTCATTTGCGTAAGTAAAAATATATAGCTGCCTTTTTTTTTTTTTTTTTTATATCAACGTAATTTTATTTTTTTATTTTTTTTTTTTTATACATGAACCCGGAAGAAAATATGTATCACGAAAGAATTAGCACAACCATTACGATTGTCCTTCATCCCTAGAAAATCATATTACATTACACATGCACGCAAGGAAGAGATAAATGAGGAGTACACCAAGAAAAGAATATATCTTATGAATCAATTCGAAAAACTATTTTTTATCCTGTGCACTACGTTTCATGAACGAACATGAGAAAAAAAAAAAAAAAAAAATTCATCTGATTTATTTAAATAGTGATTAAATAGAGATTAAATAATTATGCTATGTTTCGAATGTGGAATATTAACATTGGCATTGGCCTTAATATGGCATTAATATGAAATAATTATAAAAAACATTACCTAGCTCAAATTGCGTAAATTTATACATAAGCATTTTTGTTTACGTATTTCTAGAAGAGACTAAAATAGATTTTCCTTTTTTTTTTTTTTTTTTTATCATTTCCTGTTATGCGAGAATTTATATCTCACGGTAGGACACACGAAAACCTCTCCATTAGATGATATAAAGAGACATAATATTTCTCCCTATCATTTGGGGTGAACATTCTTGAAGGATTAGATATACACTGTTAATTCGAGCAGTCTTCATCCATTTAAAAGAAAAAAAAAAAAAAAGAAAAATGATTATGTTAAATAAAAAAGAAAAGCACACATGTACTTTATTCTGTATAAGAACACATACCTTAATTACATATGTGCTTATATGTATTGGTTGCCTAAGCATATATTTATGTGCATTAATTGATATCCTGTTTTATATGCGTGTTGTTTATTTTATTTCCATAAAAAAAACGTTATAATACTGAACAGTTATATCCATTGGTGCTTTTAAAATGGTGCCTTTTTTTTTTTTTTTTTTCTCAGTGCAGAGAAATATGTGAATTCGTCAAATTGTGAGAAACAGCATGTTCATCGAACATGTATATACGTAGTTATATAATTTTATGTACGTAGTTATAAATTTGTATGTATTAGTTATATATTTTTTTATATACATAGTTATAAATTTGTATGTAGTTATATATTTGTATATATGTGGATATATTATTGCTAGAATAAGGATTTTCCCAAGCGGGTAACAAACACCAGATAGAGAAGACAAAAGGTGGGATATAACGTAACTATAATTACTTTTTAATATTTTTATCGTTCAATCGATGTGCCTTTATCATAGGCACATAATATATATATATATATATATATATACATATATGTGTGTATATATACACACATCTTTCCGTAACTATCATAGCGAGCAGGATGAAGTGAAAAAAAAGGAAATTATATTTAATGATTTTTCTTTCTCTCTCTTGCTCATTAAATTTTCCTCAATTAAGTGTGGTTAAATGTTCATGTTGAAATTACATCGTTGTATATATTCAGATATATTTTCTTTATCTTTACTTATACTACGACACGTTTTTGTTCTGTATGTCAGCTTTCCCAATTCTTAACTTGTTACATATCTAATGATCTAATTAATTCATACATGTTTTCCAACACAATTTTTAACCACGAATTTACTTTCCGAATTACACACACAAATATGCAATTCTGTTTAAACGAAAGGTACTTAGAAGTATATAATCATAAATTCTTTTTTACACTTTTTTTTTTTTTTTTTTTTTTTTTTTTTTAATGAACTAAAATAAAAAACCCATACGTACGAATAAAATAGAAACCATAATATAACTGCGGTAGAGCAGAAAATACTCCTTTTCTTCATCATATATAAAAAATAAAAATTCTGAAAACTCTAACCAGCATCTATCAAGCAAACATTTTTGATTCTGCATGCAGAAAAGTATAAGTAATATGTTGTCACTGTTTCCGTTTTGTTGTACTATCTCTCCTCCCCTCATCCTATTTTTTTTTTTTTTTTTTTTTTTTAGAATCTTCTTATCCCCTCAATAAATTTTTCATAATCTGACTAACGTTTTCCCCTTTTTTCGTTGCCACGAAACATATATGTATATATATGTGCCTCGTACCCACCTTTATATACATAGATAGAACAATGTCATTTTTTTCTCCTTCCCTCAAGGAATTGCTTTTTTTTTGCATTTTGAGAACTATTTTTTTTTTTTTTTTTTTTTTTTTTTACTCCCCATTTCGCCTTCGTTGTTTGTTGCCTCGTCAGAAATTTACTAACTCCTTCGTTTGATTCGTTTTAGTGTTTTTGTTTTCTTTTCTGCTGCTTTCTTTTGAAGAATTGCTTTTTTACACAATTTTGTTTTTCTTTTATTCTTCCGTAGTTTAACTTAGCTTAGTTTAGATTAGCTTAGTTTAGATTAGCTTAGTTTAGATTAGTTTTGTTTAGTTTAGCATAGGTTTTTTTTTTTTTTTTTTTTTTTTTTTTCTAACCAGTTTGGTCTATTTCGACCCAGTTTTTGACTCACCATTCCATTTATTCAGCAACGCCCACATGTATGCAGTCGCAAATACGCGGATACATTACGTGCATTTTTGCGCATGCGTGTGTAAGCCTGCATTTTTAAGATTCTAACTTTACGAAAAATTCTACAAAATAAAAAAGTTTAATGACCATAAGTAACACTAAATTTTATTATTATTTTTTTTCTTCCTTTTTCTCCTTCACGTTTTTGCACCTTGGATACTGTGCTAGCCAAATGACTACCATAGTTGGCCATAGAGGGTGTGGAACGAGTGAAGCCGGGGGAAGTTCCCAATACCCGGAAAATTCTCTTTACTCATTTAAAAAAGCTATAGATTATGGAATTGATGGAATTGAATTAGATGTATGGTTAACAAAGGACAATGAAGTTATAGTGATACATGGAACGGAGGATGGGTTACTTGGTCATACTTTACTCTATGATGAAAATTTGAAAGAGAAACACATTGAAGAATTAACTGCTAAAGAAATTAAGCGTTATCACTTTAAGGAGCCCTGGATTTTAACAAAAGGGAAAAGTTTTTATGACCAAGAGTGGGGGGCCACTTCCATAAACCCAGATGTAGTGCAAACCTCAAGCAGAACTAGTAATAATAATGAAAATACACATAATTGTAATATCTATATCCAGGGTCATACGAATCAATTGGCTGATTCCATCCAGATGGATCATACTCATGAGAACCATCATATGAGAAAAAACTGCTTGATCACAAAAGATGGAGTTGTTAAATTTAGTGATCTCAGCAAAACAGAAAAGCTCGAAAAAGCAAACGAATACGCAGAATATAATAGGCCATACATAAATATGGAGGAAAATGAGGAGTTAGAAAAAATGCTTATTCAAAGTGGATGGCGACATGATATGTTTTTTCCTGAAATAGTAGAAAATGTTGAACATATTCAAGAAGTAACAAATGTAGAAGAACCAATAGATGAACCGAATGGACAACATCATATGTGCAAAAAGAACGGAATGCCATCAAAAGATGAAAACATGAATGAGGAAGAATTCGTAAAGAACATTGAATGCAAAATTTGCAAAGAGATTTATACTAACTATGTAAGCAAAAAAAATTATGATTTAAAAAAAAAAAAAATTTTGTTTAAATTTATTTCTATGTTCTATCATGTACCTTTATTAAAAGATATACTAAATGTGTATGAAAACAAATTAACATATGATATTGAACTAAAAGGAACAAAAGAAAATTTAGGACTGTACTTATTAGACATATTAAAGAATTATAAAAATTATAAATTTAAATTTAGTTCATTCAGTTGGGTGTTACAAGATAAGGATAGCAAACAAAAAAATGATGAAAATAAAAATAGGAATCAGTTTACGTATGATTCCTATCCAGTGGATAATTATCAACAAACTGATTTATTGAAAGTGCTTCGAAATAATAACTTAAATATACCTGTGGCTTTATTATTTTCAGATGATGAAATTATGCCAAATTTTAATTCCATACCTTACACAATGGACTATTACAATGCCGAATGGGCACATTTTTCTTATCGAACATTTAAAAAACCAATTGTTATGAAATGTAATAAAGATAATAAAACTATTCCTGCAATTGATTTTATCAAAATGCTACGTGAAAATAATAAAAAAATTATGATTTACTGGGGTACTGAAGATAAAGATAAATATGAGGATATTTTACACTACATAAAACTTAATGTCGATTCCATATGTCCAAATAATATAGACATTGCCAAAGAAGCAATGCTGGAAATGTCCTGATCCATCATTTCTGTTCTCTCCATCCAACATGACTACCCCTGCAAGAATCTGCGTCTGATGCTGCGTCTGATGCTGCGTCTGATGCTGCGTTTGATGCTGCGTTTGATGCTGTGTTTGATGCTGTGTTTGATGCTGCTCTTTTGCCTCCCATTTTGCCTCCCATTTTGCCTTCCATTTTGCGTGTCACCTGTTCTTTGCATATATATTACACGCTCGGGGTCCCCGGGAAAGCCTCACACAGTTATAGAAAATATTCATAGATAAAAGAGGCCTACGTGCAGAGATTGCATTAATTTTTCATAACTCCCGTAAAAAATGTACACATTTAAGTTTCAATTTTTTTTTATGCTATTTTTTTTTTTTTTTTCAATCCCGAAAATTTTGTGAAGAAATAAATGGAGGAATTATAAATTTAAAGTTGTACTCCATCGTTTTGCATTTCATTTAAAAAAATAGATATATAAAAATAATATAAAATAAAATTGAATAAAATAAAGATAAAATAATAGCAAAACAAAGTAAAGCAAAATAAAAAAACTTCACCACAAGTTCACGTCCTTTTGACAAAACAGTTGATATTATTATATGAACAAGTAAGATTGATATAAGCCCACTCAAATTTGGTACACTCTTTTTAATTTTTTTTTTTTTTTTTTTTTTTTTTTTCTCCCATCCCAATTATTTACAAAACGCTGATAATGTTTGTCCCCCAAATCGGTAACTCTATGCTTACATCACTCAATCTTTTTTTTCACATAAAGATGAGAAGGCACATTTATTATGACAAATGTAAATATTAAATCTTTTAAATACACGTGAAAAAGAGAAAATATACACTTCGCGTTAAAAAAAACACAGTCCTAGGCTTCATCCACAAGGTTTAAAATTCGCAGAGAAAGGTAATGTGTAGTTATATACACATATAAAAAGAAAAGAAATGAATTATTTCGTTTATATAGATATATACCCATGTATAAAATAAAACATTTCGTTGTCATCTCATCACTATTAATTGCCACGTTACGATATCATTACTACTGACAACTGTGCTTGGAGCTCCACCTCAAAATGAATTAAAAAAAAAAAAAAAAAAAAAAAAGCACAAATCATAAGGTATAAGTTATGATGCATAAGGTATAAGTTATGATGCATAAGGTATAAGGTATGCTGCATAAGGTATAAGTTATGATGCATAAGGTATAAGGTATGCTGCATAAACCATAAAATGTAAACCATAAATCACAAAGAGCAAAAGGACATCCCCCATTTGATAAACCTGGTGGAAGAATAAATAACTATTGCTTCTTGTGGACTTATCCATATGAACATACAAAATACACACAACATCATACAAATTCACCGCCCCCTCCCTAGCACCTCTCCTTGCTTACTCTTCTCACACGTGACCAACTAAATGAAATTGAAATACTGCTATTATGCAGGCTACATAATCTCAAATGTGTTATGCATCAAAGTGAAAAATAACATTAATCACATTTCTTTTGTGAATCATGCTGATAACCACTTAGTTGTGACAAGGGGATGGGAGAAGAAAAGGAAATGTATCTCACAGGGGTCATATGAAAATAATAAAAAAAAAAAAAGCAAAGCAACAATTTTAACTAATGCTTGCAGAAAAACACTAAACCAATTATACAACAAGATGCAGGATGGGGAAGCAGAGAAGCAGGAGGAGCAAGATAGAAAGGATGATATTAACACAAGTGAAGATATTTTGAAAAAAAAGAGAAAAGAGAAAGAAGTAGAACAAAGTATTGTTCCTCTAAATATGGATTGGGTAAAAGTAATGAATTTAATATATTCTACCAAAGATGTTGATCCAACAACCCTATCGTTTAATGCTGCTATATCAGCAGTAGAAAAAAAAGGATGTTTAATAAGTATGCTAGAATTATTTGAAATTATGAAAAAAAAAAACATAAAACCAGATGTCGTATCATATAAACTAATTCTAAGTTTGTGTGACAAGTACCATCTAAGCGAACATGCCGAAGTTCTATTTGACGAAATGGTCGAGACAGATAAATTGACTCCGACATATGAAATATATTCCCTTATGATAAGCTGTTTTGCAAAAGTTGGGAATGGATATAAGGCCATCGAGTTTTTAGAGAAGTTGAGAAATGATCCCTTCGTTGTCGAAATGAAAAGTATGGACACAGTTAATGATGATTGTAATGATTATGACAAACAAGGAACCCCCCATAGGCAGGGCAAAAAGAACAAATGGGAGGATGATTTTTTAGAAAATGACGTGGCAAAAAAGGTAGCAGCAGGAGGGGAAGCAGCAGGAGGGGAAGCGGCAGATAAGGAAGCGGCAGAAAATTCAAATGAGGAAAAAACCAAGTACAGCAACCAATTTAAAGAAATAACAGAGAAAATAAAAAATGTTGAAAAAGGTAGTAGCAAAATACAGTACGGCGAATATGCTAATGTTATTTTTGCTTGTAATATGTCAAATTTACCTGAACATGGAATAAAATATTTTGAAGAATTATTAAATACTGGAAAGTACATGCCATCTACTTTCGTTCTAGAAAATATATTTGATTTGTTAGGGAAAAATGGAAATTATGAAAAATGTCTTGAATATTATAGCAAACTGAAGGACGACCCAAATTTTAAAAAATATATCAATGTGAATATTTTAAATAATATTTTAAAGGCTCTAAGTATATATAATAAAATTAACATCATCGAAGATATATGGAAAAATGAATTTGATGAATTGTCCTTAACTCCAAATGTTATCTCCTATCAGTACATGTTAAAAGTCTACAGTATTGTCGATGATTATGAAAATGCATTCAAATTATTTAAAGAGATGCAAATGAAAAAGTTATTAAACAAAAAAAATATCTTCCCATTTTTATATACCATTAATGCTTTCAAAAATTGTGGAATATATAACTATGCCATTTATGTCTTGAGAATAGCAAAAATTTTGGCCATCTCATCAGACGATTTACTAATGCTCTATAATAACACTATGATAACATGCATAAATTCAAAAAAATATGATGTTATAATTTCACTTTATGCTGAACTTATAACCATGCAAGAAAAGGCTTCTTCGTCTCTCGAAATTAGCATCAACACTCTCGGTTTTGTCCTCCTAGCTTTTAAAGAATTGAAAATGCACGAAGACTTTACAAATTTGAAGAATTTAATAATTCAAAAAAATTACAAGCTAACTCCCCTCTGTTCCAAATTGGTTAGTGACACACTCGAATAACAAAACATCACTCTCACGTGCGGTAGGTGATTGCCATAGTTAGACGATTGCATTGGTTAGACAATAGCCTTAATTAGACAATTGCATTGGTTAGACGATTGCGCTTTTCTCTCTATATTTATGTCCCCTCATGACCCGTTTTCGCTCCCTGCACCTTCTTCCCCTTGTTGTACTTGCTCAAAAACTGAGCTTTTCTGTTGAGCAGTTGAGCGTCGTGACATTCTGCCTTCAAAAAATTCAAGTCCACCTTCAAGTCGTTTATTTCCTTGAGGAGGAGGGAATTTTCATTCATCATTTTTATTTTTTCAGTGCGGAATGCTTCCGATTCTTTTTCCAATTTGTCCTTTAACACTTCTATCATATTTTCGAGATGTTCCTTTTGTCTGATATATTCAGAAAAAACATTTTTGGTGTCGTAATTCTTTACGTCGTTGACTTTATGGAATTTGTTGTATAAATTCAAAAAAGAAGAATTGAAGATTTTCTTATCATGCAGATGCAAATAGCACTCCCTAATGTGTTCTTGTATATTTTTCAGTATCTTTTCATAATTCCCAATCGTTTTATTATTATTTAGTAAATCGTCGTGCAATGCTTTTATTTTCATTTTATATTCATTAATTTCAATGTGCAAACTAACAGTTTTCTTATGATTATTTTCAAAACATTTTGACATTTCATTAATCTTTTCTCTCATGATTTTTATTTCCGAATCTTTCGGGGATAAATTGGATTCCAAATCTTTTATCTTTTGAGTTAATACAATTTTCAATTTTTCTAATTCTTCATTTTTTTTATTTAATTTATTAATATCATTGTTTTTTAATTCTATTTCTTTTTCCATCTCTGAAATGTTGTCTTTTAGATTCGTTACTTCTCCCTTTAAATGGTCAATATTCTGCACAGATATATAAAAAATGAACGCTTGTATTTTCAAGGGTAAGTTACATTTATAATGAACACTTTTTTTTTTATGGTGGCTTATGTCCTCCACCTTTGTAGGAACTTAAATAAGCAACACAATAGACAGACACACTAGTCAAATATCCCAACTCTTTGGATATGAAAAATAGAATCATCTCAATATTCTCACATCTTACCTCCTGTAGCCTCTTGGCAGTGATATTATTTTTGACAAATTTTTCCTTCTGAACCTGAATATTTTCCTTCAGTTCCCCTTCTATATGTTCATACAATTTAAATTTACCCATTAAATCGTATTTATCCTGTTTCAACTCCTCAATTTGTTGTTCATATCTTTTGGTTATTATTAAAATTTCTTCATCGACATCTTCTTCCATTTGTTTTATGTACTCTTCCTTTTCTTTTTGCAAGTTTTCATATAGATGCTTAAAATTTTCTATAACATCATTTTTTTTTTTTATTTCCTTATTTTTATCCATAATCAGTTGTGTTATATTCATTTCATGTTCATTTTTTAAGTCTAAAATTTCTTTTGTCGCATTTTTTTTGTACAAATTAAACTCTTCTTCTATTTTTAGAAACTTCTCTTCACATATTTTATTAGTTAAATAAAATTGTGAATTTAACTGATTTACAAAATAGGTATGTTTTTCCTCCAACTCGTATAGAGCCTCTTTACATGTTTTCTCTACTTTGTCTTTTTCTTTTATTATGTTTTTATTTATTTTTATCAATTTTTTTATTTCTACATTTTTTTCCTTATCCAATTTGTTCATTTCGGATTTATGAATCGATTCTTTATTTTTCATTTCTAGTTGCATTTGGTTTTTCAAATTTGTAATTTTTTTCTGTAATTCTAAATATTCATTATTCTTTTTCTGTACATAATAAAAGTCGATTAAAATATCATCGCTTTCTTTTTCATCTTCATGTAGAATGTAATTCGTTTTGTTGTCTAAATCATACAGTAGAAAGTTATTTTTCATTTTCTTATTTGTATTCAACCCTAATAAACTCTTATTATTATTTTTCTTTTCTGGCTTTTCTAAACTCAAATCGGACAAGCTTAATTTTTTTTCTCCTTTTTTTTGTTCATCTGAAAAATACACATTCTGTGAATTTTTTTCTTTTCTGCTTAAACCAGCATTACCACACAGTAACGCCCCTTTCTCCATCAAATTTTCTCTGTATACATTAGTCGTGTCATTTTCACTGCTTCTAATTGATCCTTTTTCTAAATTCACTCCATTGTGATCTTCCTCACTTTTCCTTGTGTGTACCGTTGTTCCTCCTGTAACATATTCATTACCACTCTGAGAAGAACATTCAGTTGCATTCAAGGTTACACAATTATTGGACGAAAAAAAACTAGTATCCATTTTTTCTATCGAGAAAATGTATATAGAACCATCTCTAGAACAACTAAACAGCAACTCCCTATTTATATCCAATTTCAAATTAACACAATTCATTATATGACAAGGGATTTCTAAGTATAACCCAGAGAGAGGTAACATATAAAATCGAATTCTACAAAAATAACCATTGTAAAATGTAGCAATTAAGAATTTATTTTTATATAGTAATATTTTATCAATATTATATTCTGATTCTAAAATACATTCAATCTTAGAATTACAAAATTGTTTCACAGTTTTATCATCACAAGAAACGTACACATTTTTCATTTCATTTGTTTGGAAATTATTGAAACTTTTATATTCATTTCCATATTTTCCTTGAGTGGAAAGACTAGCATTATTTTCTTTATCACTTTCATTTTTTCTATTTTTCTCATTTAAAAATTCTAAATCGATACTTAAAAATTTCTTTTCTTTTTGCATAATCTCCATACTTTTATTTCCATTATTGTATAGAGAGTACTCAAATAAATACCCATCTTTCCCAATTGATAATATAGAAAAGTCGTTACAACTCCATACTAAATCGGTGATATAATTCACATGAGATTTCAACACATAGAAAAGTTCGTATGTATACGTTTTGTATATATATAAAGTTGAAATTTTAGACACAGCCATGAAACTTCCACCATTTGAAAATTTACAACATGAACAATTTTTTAAAAAAAATTCTTTTCTTATTTTTAATTTGTTATACAATATGTGAAATAATCTCAACTTATCTGTAAAGGCTACCAGAAGTAAGTGACCTGAACAATGAACTGATAAGTGCAAAGGTTCATTATTAAATGAATTCCTCATTACTACTTCCTTCTTCTTATAATTAATAATTTTTATCATATTATCATCATAACATATTATTATTAAAGGGTGTTTTAAGCACACATCAAAGTCGTTTATCTTGGCAGGACTCATATCCTCTAGCACCATTTCGGCATGCTTCTCATTATTTTTAAAAACGTTTGGATTATCAACTTCCAATAAGGCACTTTTTCCTTCTTCCAATAAGGCACTTTTTCCTTCTTCCAATAAGGCACTTTTTCCTTCTTCCAATAAGGCACTTTTTCCATCTTCCAATTCGACACCTTTTTCATCTTCCAATTCGACACCTTTTCCATCTTCCAATTGCGCCTCCATAAGTTCTTCATTGGAATCACCTGTATTGCTGCATCTCCCTTTAGACATATCGAGCTTTTTCAAATTTCCATCTTGAGACAAAAAATACAAAAATCTTTCACAAGAAGAAACCAAACAATAACTATTCAACAAAGTACAATAGTTAAATCGTATGGAATATTTTACTGAATAACATAAATTATTGCTCAAGTCGGATGATTTCTCATAAATATATATAAACTCGTTGTCGAATAGGAGAAATCCCCTTGTCAGAGAAATAATCTTCATAATGTTTTTGTTACTTACATGCTTGTTAAATATCTTCAGTTTTTCTTTCTTAATATCATAAAAAATTAAGTTATTATTTTTATTCGTTAGCAATAAAACACCATCTCGTAACCAACAACAATTAGTAAAATTTTGGTCAATTTTTTCTAGTTTTTTATTTTTTATTTTTATTTCTACTAAGTTTCTCTCGACATTATGATACAGAAATACATGTCTCTCTTTGGATAATCCACTTTGGAATGTTTCTCTCTTCTTCTTTTCTTCCATTCTCTTATCCTCATTAGGAGTTTTATTGCCCTCTTGATTTCTTATGGTAGATTCTTCCCCCATGTCTAGTTGCAACCCATTATAATGAGTTGTACCCGTGTTCACATCTGGGTCCTTGTTCACATATGGGTTCTTGTTCACATCTGGGTTCTTGTTCACATCTGGGTTCTTGTTCACATCTGGGTTCTTGTTCACATCTGGGTCCTTGTTCACATCTGGGTCCTTGTTCACATCTGGGTTCTTGTTCACATCTGGGTCCTTATTGACATTTGCTTCAAACATTGCAATTGCGCTTTCATTCGACTCACAGCCCCCATTTTGATCTTTCGTATTTTTGACGTTACATATTGACAGCAAAGCAATGTATGATGAATTCTGGACATTCAAAAAAATTTCACAAATATCACAAAAAATAGTTGGAGGAAAAATTTTACTAAAAATTAACTTTTCCTGGAACCAATCATAACACAAAAATAAGCTTTTGGTACTTCCATTAGTTATACAATATAGGTATTTATTTTTTGAAGAAAATGATATGTTCACAATTTTACTTTCATTATCTACAATTTCTAATGTTAATCTTTTAATAAGCTTACAATTATTTGTATATATTGAAACGAAAGGTTTTCCTATCGATTTTTCTCCTAATGCTAGTAACTTCTTATCATTGCTTATGCCCAGACAGATAATACCATAACTCTTTTCATCACTAAGTAAAAATCTTTGCTTTTTTTCTCTAACAGAATGTATAACTCCATTAGATCCTATACAGTAAAAAATGCAATTTTCATCTACTAAATGAAACGGGTTGTATATGTTCTTACATATTCCATACGCATAAATAGCTTTTGTGAAGTATGTTTCTCTTTTTTTTTCGAACGTATACATTTTGCCAAGTAATTTTTCCTCTCCTTTAAAATTGCTTAGCCTGTTCCAAGTGTGGGAACAAGCCCATAAACAGAAAAAAAAAAAAAAATAAAAAAATACACACAGCTATGCATATGTATGTTCCTATGTACCTAGGTATGCGTATTTATTTTATTACTTTATTATTGTTTATTATTATTCTTATGATTATTCTTCTTATTATATTTTATCATTATATTTTATTATTATTTTTTATTATTATTTCCTCCGTCCTATACCCCTTCCCCCTGCTCTGCTCTTTTTTTTTTTTTTTTTTTTTTTTTTTTTTCTCCCTCCCTTTTGTCTACCGTCAAGAAAGAAGTTTTCTTCCTTTTCCACTTCCACAAACGACAGCAATTGGAACGCACTAAAAATAATCAAATAGTAGCTCTGACAAGTGTAAATATAAACTACTCCATTCTAACATTTTCATTTTTATTTCTTTAAATTTGTCCATTATTCCTTCACTATGAATATTTTGTATCGATATCGAGGAGTACAAACTAAAAAGTCTACTTAATGCTTAGATAGGAAAATTTGAGATCCATGCACACGATCACGATCACGCACACGCGTATACATTTGTTAGCTATACATTTTTTTTTTTTTTTTTTTTTTTATACTCTGATTGTGAGGTTCAATTCGGTTCATCACTTTTATTTTCATATAAAACTGCATTTTCATTTAGATTCCAATTCAGATTCATATATCTATCTCCACTTCTACCTGTGCTCCTCCTCATTTACAGATCCCCAATTTTTTTTTCTTCTATTCAACAGTTTGGACAAACTTGTAGCGCTTAAGAGTTCATCCTTCATGGGGACAGTTTTGGCATGATTATCAGTTTTAATATGTGTCATACCTGTACATTACTACTTCCACATTTTTCTCACCCACACCTTTAGAGGGAGTGGAAAAAATGAAGATTCTCATACTAACAGACGAATAATAGAATTTCCACCTACACATTATAACTTTCTCCCCCTTGAATTTTCTACATTTCGATTTTTATGGCCAGTACTAGGGGTCCTACTTCTATGCATGTATGTATGTATGTGTTTTTTTTTTTTTTTTTTTTTTTTTTTTTTTTTTTTCTCTTTTTCTTCACCCGCGTCAATAATTTCCCACTTGTGCAAAAAAAAAAAAAATTGATTTCATCAAGTTAACCATTATGCAAAAATGTTGAGTACACCCCAATGGATACGAATATTTAGATGAGTTTCTCCTGCACTCACAGGAACACTACCAAATATATAATGTAGGAACAAATTTTTTTTTTTTTTTTTTTTTTTTTTTTTTTTGTTTATGGGCTTGTTTTAACCTTGGCTTTTGAAACGTAGGACCTTTTCTTTGTGACGTAATATCATGGAAACAAAACATAAGAAAAAAGTTTAAGAGAGAAGAGCAAAGAGAAGTTTTTATTAACGAAAATGAAACGATAAAATAAAGTAAAAAAAAAAAAAAAAAAAAATGCAATGGTAATAACATAGAGCAGTGTATAAAAAATAACCCATGACAACATAAAGTAATACGGAACAATGCAAAATAAGATAATGCCTTTGTCAGAGTAACGTAACACAAAAACAATCTAAGGCTTCACATTTGTAAAATATGCATATCTTTACAAATTCTTGAGCTTCTTACAATTCCAAACACTTGCACGACAACTTTATGAACCAAACAGTACAAGCTCCCATCTAATAGAGAGATTGTTGCGTACAACTGAAATGTTATAATCTATTTGTGGAAAAAAAAAAAAAAAAAACAATCATTCAGAATTTCCAAGCAAGCACAAAACCGGATGAATAAGAATACATGCAAAAGTGCATATGGCTAATCGCAGGAAACTCAAAGTGGGTGGCACATTTGCATAAAGAAAAGCCAAACCACTGACAGAAAGGACCAAACCACTAATAGATAGTAGGAAACCTGACAGGAAATGAACGCAGTATATCTCCTAATCTCCATACTGACGATCAAACTTGTTGAAAATATACACACGAGAGTAGTAAGAAACTTTTTAAACTGTCCCATCCAGATAAACAAACACAAAACCATAAAAGTGCAAAGATATTGTAGAAGAATAAAGCAAAGGAGTAACAAACTCTTCTTGTCTTTGTTTGATGAGTACGATGAAAAGTGCATAAAGGCACTAATTATGGCCAGGGAAGTTGCAAAAAATGATCATGAGAAAGAGATTTTATTGAAACATTTGCTAATCTCTATTATCAGAATAGACTGTAATTTAATAGAACACATTTTAAAATTTTTTAATGTCTCGCTAACGACATTTTTAGATAAATTTAATATGGAAATAAATAAAACAGAAGAAGATAATGCTGGAAGTAGTGGCAATGATGATGATGAAAATACCTCGGAGAATCAAGACAACAAAAATAGTTTAACAAGAAAAACATCTCATCAATGTAGTGGACATGATCAAGTGATATCAAAAAATCTTTTTCTTCCTTCTAACGATACGAATGAAGCAAACTTGAGAAAAGGAGAAACAGGACATTTAGCTTATGATCAAGATGATGATCAGAAAGTAGTGGAAAATTTTATCGATAAACATATACAAGATATAGAGGATAAAATTAATCAATTGAAAAATTTGGAGAATGAAAGTAGTGACATTTCAACAACTGATGATGTTAAAACTGATAAGTCTCTTGATCAATTTAACGAAAGTGATAACACAACAACTGATAACATCATTCTTCAAGCAGCAAATCGAGTTATAGGTAGCCATGGGAATGATCAAGATTCCATCGATGAAAAAATAATCAAGTTGGAAAAGACAGATTCAGATGAATTATCTAGCGAAAATTCAGAAATAAGGTTTTCGCAGAACTGCAAACGGGTTCTTCAAAATGCAGTGCTAGAAGCAAGGAGGAAAAAAAAAATGTTCGTTAATGTTACGGATATACTTATCGCTCTTATAAACATGGCTGAAGAAAATAATAATTGTGCATTTTTAAAATACCTAAATGAGCTAAACATAAGTGTAAATAACTTGAAAAGCCAGATAATGAGCTACGATGAGAGGAATTCTTCCATATCATCTATAAATATGAAAAGAGATACCACAGATTGTAGCAATGCACATCTCAATGTTCATGATACTTACAACGAAAGAAACAATTACCAAAGTGAACAAAATCACAACATGATGGAGAAAAACGGAGAAGATCAAAGAATGAGGAATTCAGGCAATGAACATTCAAATCGACACCTCATGAATAATCTCAGTAATGATTACCTGAATCAAACAAGAGAATTCAAAAATTATGAAGAAAATAATATTGTTCCAAACAGCAAAATAATAAACTCTTCTTTTATCAAAGATTGTCTCATTGATATGGTACAAGCAGCATATGAAAAAGGGGATGAGCATTTTTTTGGGAGAAAAAAAGAAATAAAAAGAATAATTGAAATATTAGGGAGAAAAAAAAAATCGAATCCATTGTTAATTGGAGAAAGTGGGGTCGGAAAAACAGCCATTATTGAACATTTGTCATATTTAATTTTAAAAGATAAAGTACCATACCATTTACGAAATTGTAGAATCTATCAACTTAATGTTGGTAATATTGTAGCTGGAACCAAATATAGAGGAGAATTTGAAGAAAAAATGAAATATTTATTAAACAACATGAACAAAAAAAAAAAAAATATTCTCTTTATAGACGAAATTCATGTAATTGTTGGTGCAGGAAGTGGAGAGGGATCATTAGATGCATCCAACCTATTGAAACCTTTTCTTTCTTCAGACAATTTACAGTGTATAGGGACAACAACATTTCAAGAATATTCGAAATATATCGAATCGGATAAAGCTCTTAGAAGAAGATTTAATTGTGTTCCTGTACAACCATTCACATCTAAAGAAACTCTCTTATTATTAAAAAAAATTAAATATAACTATGAAAAGTATCACAACATTTATTACACGAATGATTCCCTAAAGTCAATTGTTCTCCTAACGGAAGATTACCTTCCCACTGCAAATTTTCCAGACAAAGCTATTGATATATTGGATGAAGCTGGTGCTTATCAAAAAATTAGATATGAAATATTTATGCGTCAAAAGTTGAGAAATGAGAGTCTTCGTAAGGCGGGAAAAGTCGGAGCTGATATGGATGAAACTAAAGCTGGGAACGTAAAACCTGATAGTGATAAGTTAAGTAAAAATGAACTGGATAGAGGAATGCCGAATGATGAACCTACTTCCAGTGAAATATTAAACAAAGAATCCAACGAAAATTTCGAGGCCGAAAATTATATCGAAAATATGCACATGAAGTATGTGACATCAGATGTTATTGAAGACATTGTGAGTAAGAAGTCATCTATTTCTTACATCAAAAAAAACAAAAAAGAAGAGGAAAAAATAATGAAATTGAAGGAGAAATTAAACAAAGTAATAATAGGACAAGAAAAAGTAATCGATGTATTATCCAAGTATTTATTTAAAGCCATTACAAATATAAAGGATCCGAATAAACCCATTGGTACACTACTACTATGTGGGTCATCCGGTGTTGGAAAAACATTATGTGCTCAAGTCATATCAAAATATTTATTTAATGAAGACAATTTAATTGTAATAAATATGAATGAATATATAGATAAGCATTCAGTAAGTAAGTTATTTGGCAGCTACCCAGGTTATGTAGGTTACAAAGAAGGTGGAGAATTAACAGAAAGTGTAAAGAAAAAGCCATTTTCTATCATCCTTTTTGATGAAATTGAAAAGGCACACAGTGAAGTTTTACATGTTCTTCTCCAAATATTGGATAATGGAATTTTAACAGATTCCAAAGGAAATAAAGTTTCATTTAAAAATACCTTTATCTTTATGACAACGAATATAGGATCAGATATAATTACTGACTATTTCAAGTTGTATAATAAAAATTATTCAAATTTAGGTTTCAGATATTACCTCAAAAAAAGGAAAAAAGGGGAAGAAGCAAATCTCGCCCCTTCCTCCATAGGGGAAAATCAACAAAACTTTGAAAAAATTACAAATGATAAAATGAACGAAAGTAATGTTGATTTAAGTTCTACCAATTCTACCACTAAGGCGAAAGATTACAAAACTTACCAGGTAGAGAACCCCGTGAATCTACCATATAACCGATCGAGTGATAGTTACGAAATTTTTGAAGAAAAACTACGAACTAATAAGTGGTATGATGAATTACAACCAGAAATAGAAGAAGAACTGAAAAAGAAATTTTTACCAGAATTTTTGAACAGAATAGATGAAAAAATAATTTTCCGACAATTTCTCAAAAGAGATGTTATTAACATTTTCGAAAATATGACTGGAGATTTGAAAAAAAGAATTAAAAAAAGGAAAAATCTCAATCTAGTTATTGATAAAGAAGTAATTAACTATATTTGTAGTGATGATAATAATATATACGATATGAATTTTGGTGCTAGATCAATTAGAAGAGCTTTATATAAATACCTAGAAGATCCAATTGCTTCATTCTTAATTTCGAATTTATACGAACCAAATGACACCATTCACATAACACTATCAAATGATAATCAAATAAATGTACATTTGCTGAAGACTTCCATTCAGCAACTTGTTTCCTAACATGCTCACGCTTTTCCTTTCTTTCGTCTACTTCTCCTACAGCACAAATTTGTGTCTGTATAGGATTTGTATGTAAAGAAATCATTATGCATCATAAGTACCCACGCTGTGTTCCTTTGTTTGCACGCAGTGAGCAGCGGAACGATTTTACACGTATCTGTATGTGTATATGTTTGCATGTGTGTATGTATATATATATATATATATATATATATATATATTCATACCACATACATATACACTTGCAGACACACTTATAGAACAGTTTCGCCAAGTAGTGAACTTATAAGTGCGCGTGCAAACCCTTTTATCTTTAAATGTTAAACGGCTTTAAGTGTTTTTAAAAGTTTTCAAAGGAATGTTTGTGCTATAGTTCTTCACATAGCCTAATCTTCATAGCATTATCTACATCACCTTTTTTTTTTTTTTTTTTTTTTTTGTTTCACCTGATGGACAATTTTCGTCGTATTTTTTTTTCTTTTTTTTTTTAAATTTTGATCATTCAATATACCATTTTTACTGAATATATATAAAGTTATGAATTCTTTTTATTCTAAGCAAAGCATGCTAAAACGAATCTAACTTGTATGTGTGTGTCGTAGGATTTTTATCGAATTAAGCATGCCATTAAAATGTCAAAAAACATTTTCCCTTTTTTGTAAATTTTTTTCCAGGATAATGACAAATAGATAATGATTGCAACTTTGTTTTTACGCAGGTGTAAAGCAGTACTTTCACTTTCAACGTTTAAAGCGTTACATTACATTACTTAATTTTTTTTTTTTTTTTTTTTTTTTGGATGGTGAGGGAGATATACACACATATTATACACATACGCGGGCATGTAAATTCTTTTTTTTTTTCTTTTTTTTTTATTTCATTTTTGCTACCTCCTTTTATAGAACCTGTACAATTGCCTTGCAGTCATACTATATTGAACGTTTCTAACGGCACGTGTATACTAATTGGCTTACCAACTGTTTAAAAGCAAAAAAAAAAGATACATTTCGAATAAATTTCAAATTTTGAAGACCAAAATGAGCACATGAAAAGTGGATCATAAGTAAGGTTCAAAATTTCTGGGAGTTCCTTCAAAAACGTGATGCATTTATCATACCATTTCCAATTTCTCATACCAGTAAAAGGATATAACCTCACACTCCCAGCTGTACATAATTAACTCCTCAGGAATTGTAAACATTTACGGTTACCCCTTCCACACGCACACAAAAGCGAATATCAACACACTACAAAACCAACATGAGTGGAAAACTGGAAGATATAGGTGAACTAGTTTTGCTTATCGGTGATTTCCATTCGCCCATGAGAAATTTGGGACTTCCTGACTGCTTTAAGGATCTGCTAAAAACAGACAAAATCAAACATGTTCTATGCACAGGGAATGTTGGAAGCCGTGAAAATTTGGAGCTGCTAAAAAATATTGCTGACTCTGTTCATATAACCAAAGGAGATATGGATGATGAGTATGATTTTCCTGAAGACATTTTTCTCACGATTGGAGATTTTAAAATATCATTAACTCATGGTCATCAAATTATTCCTTGGGGTGATACAAACGCACTTTTACAATGGCAGAAAAAATATGATAGTGACATAATTATTACTGGTCATACTCATAAAAATTCAATTGTCCGATATGGAGGAAAATATTTTATTAACCCAGGTTCAGCAACTGGTGCTTTTCAACCATGGCTTTCTCAACCGACTCCAAGTTTTATACTAATGGCAATTGCGAAAAATTCCATTGTTGTTTATGTATATGAGGAGAAAAATGGAAAAACCAATGTTGAAATGAGTGAGTTGCAAAAGTGAATAATGCAGTAACAGGATTAACACAAAATTGATGATTATATGTTAGGAAGAAGGACAATCAATGAAGAATTCATTACTAGATCTATTTTATCACCTTTTTTTACATATCTTCAATTCTCCATTGAGTCATTTCTTTTTCGATAATTTTGAAAATTCGTTAACACAATTTTAATGATGAAGCAGCAGTTATACTTTATACACCACATAAATCTATATCAGTTTTTAAAAAATCATACTTAAGAGAGTAATATTTTTTTTTTTTTTTTTTTGTAATCATTTAAGCAATAGTATGTTATCAAGTGAATGCACTGATCAGTTGAATATTTAAATTTAGTATGTAGTAATTGAAACGAACATAGTTTTGTCCAAAAAAAATGGGGGTATTTTCCCACCTGTTTTTTTTTTTTTTTTTTTTTTTAACTTTTAAATGTGCATAGCATATGTGTATATACATGTGTATGCACATGTTAACAAATAAAAGAGTTATGAATGAAAAAATAGATTAAATGATAACATTTTGTCTTTGCGACATTATTACTGTGTAACGTTTTTACATGTCGTTTATGTTCTTTCATTGTTTTCATTTGGATTTTAATACATTTTTCGCTTAGACGCATTGACATTTAACATATCGGAAGATTAGCATTTAACTTGCTAACATGAAGATGCAAATATTTAACATTCTTGCTTTCCTCACTTCTTACGAACACACATTTAAAAAAAACAAAACAAAACAAAATTAAAACAATTCACGCACACGTAGACAGAAAATTATGCAGGGTAATATGCATTTTGGTTCTGATCTTGAGGATAAGGAGTATATCGTGAGAATTTCTCCACTTGTTGTTCAACGTCATTTGTTAATTCCGTTTCGTGTAAGGCCGGGGATACGTGATTAACTTCTGGCTCAAAATAATATGACCATAGGGAAACTGCACCCAGAGTCATCCATAACAAGAAGTTTGAATAGCAACCAGAGTTGCAAAATATTACAAATATTTCTGCAAATGTAAGGTGAGAATTATGTAAAATGAGTAGCATATATGTTGGGTATACTCGAAAAAATGCAAGCAAATAAATTTCTTTTTCGCTAGCACATATGTATTTATGTGTGTATGTGCATCCGCGTGTGCAAATGAACAATCCATTCGTTAACCCTATTGAATATTACCTGTTAATCCAGCAAACGCAAACATCACACCGTTTATATATGCATGCAAATCTCCAGCTCCTTCATCGTGGTATACTTCCAATAAATAAGCAGCGAGACCATATAATAAACAAGAAAAGGCATGAACTAATCTAACAAAAATAAAAAATACCCATTCACTGCCTCCTTCATTGAAATGGACATACCATTTTCTTGTGTAAAATTTTGATATATATAAATAAAATATAAACTGTAGCGTTGCACTTATGGTGTCTAAAAAGGAGGCCAATCTCAAAATTTTCGACCCAGCTCGATATCCTCTTGCCCAGCTGAAAAAAAGTGACGAAAAAATAAAGGAAAAATAAAAATAAGACACGGTAGAACAGGATTATAGCCACCACATGGAAAGCAAATGAAAATAAAAAAATGAAAAAATGAAATTCATTATGATGAATATGGAATAGATGAGGAGCAAAATATGTATTGAAAATTGCTGTCTGCTTTTGGGTGTGTGCATATTGCGGTGTGTGTGTGTGTGTGACTATTCACTTTATTGTTGTTATATTAGCATCCAGATAAGCACTTTATTATATTTTGTTTTTTTCTGTTCTGTTTAGTTTAGTTTTATTCTGTTATATATATTTTTTTCAAGAGTTTTCATTTTGCTAGCATTTATACGCTCAACATAAGCAGCTAAATGGGGGGAGGTGATAATTTGTGCATTTTTTTTTTTTTTTTTTTTTTCATCAGTTCACACAATTATATACGCACTTGTGTAACCTAGATAGTACACCCACTGGTATACCCCCACCCTCTATGCTCACTCTTGTCTTACCAAGTATCATCTGCGAGAAGGACTTGAAAGGACATGATAAATATAGCCCCTATCAAATACACACCACTCCATAGCGCTATGGAATTTCTAAATGTTTGATCCATACGATATTCATCTTTCATATTTTTTAAATCATAACTGAATAATCCCTTTCCTCCACTTGACCAATATGCCATAAATAAAAAGGTCAATGCAATGAATTCTAAAAAAAATCCAATTCGCAAAGTAGTTCCGAAAAGTCCATTTATTTGAAAACATGGTCCTCTATTGGTGTGACAGTTGTCATCAAGACCGTCTTGTCTCGTTGTGAACCACATCTTAAATTAATTATTTGGGGAATTTATTGTTGTTAGAAAATAAAATGGTCTATACCAATGTGTGTATTTACGTATGCTTATTCTTATACATGCATGTGCATTCAAATGATAAAACTTCTATAGCCTCCCTATTTCCCTTATTTTGTTTTATTCCCCTTTTTTTATTTTATTTTTTTTTTTTTCTCCCTTCTTAACCTACTGGCTCCTTTTTCACCGCAGGGGTAATTCTATTTGTCAATTCTTTCAAATTTGTCACAAAATAAAATAAAATATAAAAAAAAAATATATATATATATATATATATATATATAATAAATAAAATAACTAATAAATAACATGAAATGTGGAAAATAAAAAAAAATTCGCACTTATAAACCTGATGTTGTGTACATCTTTTATTTACACAAATAATAGGCATTTATTATTTATGTAAATTCAATGTGTAGGCACAGATATAACCGCTGTGGACTGCGAAACATTGGGGTGGGGGGATGGGAGGAAAAAAAAAAAAAAAAAAAAAAAAGGAAATGAAATAAAACGGGAAAGAAGCGGAAATGGCGCAAAAACGTGCGTGAGAAAAAAAAAAAAAAAAAAAAGAAAAAAAAAGTAAATATAAAATAACGTCACAGAGCAGCGGTGATAATTTTGAAAATTTAAAAAGTGCAAAATTTGTTTTTACTAACAATGATAACAAAAGAAGTACGTACTTAGTATTCACATTTGTTTACGCATGTGTATGTGTGTACATTTATATGGACATGTTCGTAAGGATGCATTTTATACAAATGTGTTCTTACTCACATGTTCACATGCACATGCTTGCGCAAATTAAAACTATAACTGCGCTTTTATATGTGTTTTTAGTTATGAATACACTCCTCTTTAGAATCATTTAACGTGATTTAAAAATAAGTGTGCTATGAGTGGAGTGACGTAACCAGAGCAAATGGACACAGTGAGAAGAAAAAGTGTTAGGAAAGACTAAAAAAAAAAAATGGGGAAACCCATGTTAACATAACTAAAACTTACTCTTTTAATTATGTACCAAACAACAAGGTCATTTTATAACTTCAAGTGACATAAACATATAATGGTGGTAATTGATATAACGTAAATTTATGAAACGGGCACCTATTTTCCAAAAACACTATCCAAAAAAAAAAAAAAAAAAAAAAAAAAAAAAAAAAAAAAAGCGGAAGTTTTACAATACTATCACGTGTAAATATATGCTGATGTATAAATACCTACTACTGTGATATAAAGACAGAAAACTGTCAGTAATCATATACACTGATTTATTTTGTTCAAAAGGCGAAAATGGTTTTTATTCAAATACATGTATATACATATATACATGTTTATATGTGTAATACTTATTTTGTGTTCTCTTTCCCATATTACACATATACACATAAGTGCACGTACTTATGCACATTTACAAAACGTAAAAAACAGGCATAGAAATAATTTTCCATTAAACCAAACATTGTTGAGTGAACTTGGTAATTTGTATGTTTGAACAATTGTAAATTTTTCTTAATATCACCAACAAATCCAAGTTACAGATTCTTATGTTTTTGCACTTTGTTTTCTTTATATATTAATTTTTTTTTTTTTTTTTTTTTATAGTATTTCCACTTCCTCTTTTTTTTTTTTTTTTTTTTTTTTTTTCTTTTGTGTGTGTGTGTGTTGAAATGTTGAATATATTTTTATATGTGTGCGTAACTGATTGCACACATTAATGTTTAAACATTTGTGCATATGTACTTTTCTTTTTTGTTCCTCACGTTTCCACATATTAATTTTTTTTTTTTTTTTTCATCCTTTTTTGTTCTTTTTTGCCTTTCCCACCACTTTTTTCAAATGTTAGCCATTAAAATGACATTTAAAAGGACCAAGTTGTAAATACCTATGTTTGTAATACCTTGATGTAATTTTTTTTTTTTTTTTTTTTTTTTTTTCTTTTTCGCGTATTTAATTACACTACATTGAGACAGTTACCATGTTGGATCGCTGGAATGTGTTAAGGGTATAGGTGCAGGGTTCATCCTTTTTTTTCCCGTACACATGCGCATTTATCTATGCGCTTTTGTTAATTATGTACACAACTATGTATATAAATATGTATAAATATAAATATATATTTATATATATATATATATATATGTACATGGGAACACACAATATTCCCACGTCACCACAAAAACTGTTTTGGGGGCTTTCAATCGTTCATTTCTTGTATATAGAAATATTTATGCAAAAATTTAGAACTATTTTTTGCAGAAACATAGCAACATGCTGCTACATAACTAGGAACATTCACCATAATTACACCCTCCTTGTTATCATACCTCGTAAAGGGTAATAAGCACCTACAAGCACTATGCACACAAATACACCCCAAGGACGTGAGTTCACTAATGGGTATATACAAAGGGGTGCACGAATTACATGTACAACATTTTGTTTTTCCTCACTGATGTTATATTTTTTTTACTCCCCGGTAATTTACACAATGTAGCTATTCAGTTACCAATAGAACTTTTTTTCACATAACACGTTTCACAAAAATTGGGACAAAATTATCATTAAACTTGTATCAGGATATTCCCTAACCTTTTTTTTTTCTTTTTTTTTAATTCGCATATATGTACTATACAAACACACACACACATACATACACCATCCTTGAATAGAGGTCCCTTATTGGGAACCTTGCCATCGTTGTAATTTCGATTTGGCAAAATTCATGCAGTGATTTACATTTTACCAAATATATAAACTCAAGTACGTACATATGATATGGTAACCATATTATATATGTTATAAAAATACAATAAACAACATAACCATATTTTATCGCAGAGCAGGGGAATTCCCCCTCAAAGATTACAATTCTTGGGGAGGAAGCACATTACTACTAAAACGAAAAGAGACATAACATGTGCACATGTGTATGTGTTATGATTATGTGCATGCATTTTTATAATCATAAAACCATCTATCCTACTTTGTTTCCTTTCCAGATAACATTTTTTTTTTTTTTTTTTTTTTTTTTTTATAGTTACCTTGAAAATAACATCATCCGAAGGAAATTACGTATTCATATCATTTGTATGTTCTCTTTATGGTGGTCAAACAAAAATCCTTATATGAAAAAAAAAAAAAAAAAAAATCATGTTGCACGTTTTAATTAAACAAGAATAAACATTTTCAATCATTTTTTTTTTTGTTCCTAAGTCTAACATTTGAGTAAACGCAGGTGTATAAATATATATGCAAGAAAAAAAAAATTCTCTTTTTATGTTTCTTTTTTTTTTTTTTCAATTTTAATATTCAAATATATTTATAATTATAACTTCCTAAATATTCAAAAACAAAATTTTCACTGTGAAAAAAAAAAAAAGAAGACTGTATTTAAACAGTGGTTGAGGCCATGTTAAGTATCAAGATGCATGCTCTTCTTAAAGTTTCTTTACTTTTATTTTTTATTATCTTTTCACCACTTTTTCAAAACGGATAGAGAGTAGCTACACCTCGTATCTCTCAACTTTTTTTTGTTTTTTTAAATCAATGCGACACTATATACCCATTTTCTGTAATATAAATGTTATACTCGGGACTTCTCTTCCCTCAGTTTAGTCTAAAAGTATCATGTCACTTCAAATTTATATAATTAACAATTTTGTTAAAAATAGGGTGCAAATATTTCCATGTATGTTGAAGAGGTATTCTTTTGCAGAGGTGCGAAAGCGTTTTTTTTTTTTTTTTTTTTTTTTTTTTTTTTTTCCCTACTTGGTAGATGTGTATACGTGTTCATGTGTTTACTTACATAACGCTATGTTGAAAACAATTCCCCTCTCCAAGTGTAGAAATTATGTTAAATCATGAACTGTGTACATATATATAGATATTCGCAGATAGGAATATATTCGTATATCCTCTACTCTAGTTAGAAAATAGGATGGACACAAGGAAATTTATAGGATTATAATGAAATTTGTTCTGAATTAAGACCATCCTCTGGGGAAACATCACTTCGCAATACACACGCACATATATATATATATATATATACCTACTGGAGGAACAAAAAAACAATAGGTAAATTCTGGGCACTAAGCTCGTTTCATCATATTAAATTCTTCAGCAGGAACAAAAGTGCGTTGCTATGTATAAGTATCTTTGTCCAAGGTCCCTTGTACAATTTCTCTCTCAAGTGAACAAAGAGGGAGAAAAAAAAAAAAAAAAAAAAAGATAAAATAAATAGTGCATTACACATCACATAAAGCAATCACAAACGCACCAAATAAATAAGACAAAACATCCACGAATAACACAAAAGCAAACATGCAAGAGCGAATAAAATTTTGCACAACTCATGTGCACAGACATACACATACAGAGGTGTAAACACCGCCATCTACCTTCCCCCCGGCCTCCATCGACATATCCCAAAAGAGCAACATGGAAAAATCCAAAAGATACATGAGTTTGATCAAAATGATTGAACGGAATGGATTCGAAAAATATCGACTTCAACAGATATTAGATAATATATACAAAGCAAAAATTACTAATGTAAATAAAATGAAAAATCTTCCATCTCATATAAGAAAAGAAATGATAAAAACCTTGAGTGGAAATATTTTAAGTATAAAACCATTGAAAGAATATAAATATGATAGAGCATATAAAGTCTTATTTCAATGTAAAGATAAGGAAAAAATAGAAGCAACTTCCTTAGATTTTGGATCACATAAATCTTTATGCATATCAAGTCAAATAGGATGTTCTTTTGCATGTAAATTTTGTGCAACTGGACAAATAGGAATAAAAAGACAGTTAGAATTAGATGAAATAACAGATCAACTTTTATATTTTCAATCAAAAAATGTTAATATAAAAAATGTCTCATTTATGGGCATGGGGGAACCTTTAGCTAATCCACATGTTTTTGATTCAATTCGTTTTTTCAATAACATCAATTTGTTTGCATTATCTAGTAGAAGAATAAATGTTTCCACTGTTGGACTCTTACCTGGAATTAAAAAATTAAACGACTTCTTTCCTCAAGTTAATTTATCTTTTTCTTTACATTCTCCCTTTACTGAAGAAAGAGACACACTTGTCCCAATCAATAAGTTATTTCCATTTCATGAGGTTCTTGATTTATTAGATAATAGAATAGCCCAGACAGGAAGACGTGTATGGATTAGTTATATACTCATTAAAGATTTAAATGATTCAAAGGATCACGCTGAAGCACTTTGCAATCATATATGTAATCGTCCATCTAATGTGAGATATCTGTATAATGTTTGTTTAATACCATACAACAAAGGTATCTTATGTGATTCCACATTCCATTGGTTCTGAGCATATGCAGAAACCTCATCTCCCCCACTCACACACAAACACACCTTTCCTCTAATATTCTCTGCTTTTGCAACCCAAACATGCAAATATGAAACATTTGAATGGATATATTTTTACACTTCTACCAATGCATTTTTTATTTATAACCTCATGCATGTTTTTATGTGTTTATATTGATTCCAATTATCTATTTTCTATACATTTTCCCATCATCAAACTGTATTGATTTTTCCACCTCTTTGATCCTATTTAGCAAAAAATGTAGATGAGAATTTCCACAGAGTAGACGAAGAAGATAAGATCCTTCAATTTGAGGTAAAACCACATATTAGAGTTTTTTTTTTTTTTACGTTATCACCACAATCATCGTTATTCTCTTTTTTTTATTTTGTTATTTTATTTTATTATTTATTTATTTTTTTTATTTTTATTTCCCTTTTTCATTTTTTCACAATTAACAGAAAGTATTGAAAAAGAATGGAATATCATTTTTCTACAGGTTAAAAATGATTATATCATGGAACACTCAATTTATTTTCATAATTACCTTCCTATTATCTCAGGCTTATACTTAAATTAGCTAAATTTAATAGAGTCATAAACTTTTTTTTTTTTTTTTTTTCCTCTATTTTTAGGAACTCCTTTGGCCTCTCAATTGATGCAGCGTGTGGTCAGTTATACGCAGGTAATGTGAAAACATTTGAAAGTGGGGTTACCTTCTGCAGTGCATAAACTCTCACTTATTATTCTATACCTTTTCTCACAATAATAGTTAAAAAAGACAATTTTTCTTAAATACAAAAAGGTGCCTTATTCTTTTGTTATTTAACCCTTCTGCATATCTATCCAATATTCCGCAGACTATGAGCCAAAAAAGAGGAAAGAAGCAATCGGAGTTCGAAATGTGTCATTGTTGGAACAATAAGCCACTTTATTTTTATTTTTATTTGCTATATTTTTTTTGTGATATTTTTTCATGAGGGAAAGACATAATCAGTTAAGTATCCATCTGAAAATCCAGATCGTTCAAGAATGTGTCTGATTGTTTCTGCTCTATTTTTTGACATCATTTTTTTTTGGCTTCATTTTTTAATTGGCTTATCTTGTTTTTGTGTTACACTCATTTTACTCAATTTTTCACACACGTGGACGAGAGATATGCATTCCTACAACTTTACTTCCACCCATATGTTGATTCTTCACACCGCTGCTTCATCTTGTGTGTATTCTTTTTATTTATTTATTTTTTTTTTTTAATAATTTTTTGTACATTATATATTCACAAGTGTTTTTTTTTTTTTTTTTTTTTTTTTTTTTTTTTTTTTTTTTTTTTTTTTTTTTTTTTTTTTTTTATAATTTTTTTTTTTTTTTTTTTTTTTTTTTTTGTATATGTATTGCCTTTTTAAATTTGTCTAGATTGTAATCACAAAATGATTTGGCAAAAAAAAAAAAAAAAAAAAAAATATGATACATGTATGTACACACCACACATTTTTATTGTATTTGTTATTAGCTACGCAAAAGAGGAATTTCTATGTACCATTTTTGTATTCTACACATTTGTGAAAATCAAGCACTTGCTTATATGTGTACAATTACATGAACTTAAGAAGATTATACACCATTTGAATTCTTGTAATGTTCTTATAAGCCTATGGTTAGCACAAGTCTGAAGAAACTATTTGCAAAAAAAAAAAAAAAAAAAAAAAAAAAAAAATCTTTACCTAATATACAAGTTATTCAAATATACAGTGGTACATACTCTGTTGTTAATAAATAAATAAAACAAATGAACTGAATAAAATAAACAAAAGCCATAATTTCGATTTTACCCAAAGCGGTAGATTTCTCTTTCGTTTATTTGTTTTAGGCAATAATGAATAAATAAAATTTCCATCTTTATTTGTCAGTAATACTTGTCTATAGAGATTTGTGTCATTTTACTTACTTCCACACGGAAATAGCAAATATATCCATTCTTATATTTGTATTTGTATCCTAAAGGAGAACAACTTTAACAGAATGCATACGACTCTTATGTAAGTAATTTTCCAAATAGTATATACAATGAAATATAATGAAATGAATCAAGAAAGTTAAAGAAAAATATGCCTTCAAATCCAATCATCTTTTTTTAAGCTTAATTATTTCCACTTAAATTTCGTTATTTCTCTTTCCTGTTTGTTTCTGCAAGTCTTTTTTTTTTTTTTTTTTTTTTTTTTTTTTTCTAAAAATATATTTTTATAGCTCTGTTTATCGTGAAATATTTACCCCGTTTGTCCAAGTAATATATATTTTTCTCCTTTCACTAATCTGCCTACAAATTCACCCCTGTGTGTGTAAGTAGCTGACGACCGCGAACAAACATATAGGTATGTTCAGAAGGAAATGTAGACTTAAGTCTTTTTAACATAAAAGTGTTGAAATAGGTATATCTAGCATTACCCTTTCATTAACGAGTTGATAAGAAAATAATTCATCAGGATGATAAATCTCAAGTGTGTAGGAATTCTTGTGGTCATACAGTTGTTACTTTTGGCGTTAGAAGGTAAAGAATGGTGCAAAGCCCAATTCGAATTTGGAAAAGCAGATTATGCAGAATGTCAGCATGAGCAGGAAAATATAACAAAATATATGATAGAGACAAGTCCAGTAATTTCCAGTGCTGTGGATTTATACAGTAATGTTTCAATAGTTATGTCCAATGGATATGGGCTTAAAACGAAAGAAATAAGCATAGGAAATGAAGAAGAAGGATTATTGAATAAAATATTTGCAGTGACAACAGATGTAGGAAATCCTGAATATGTTCATGTAAAATTGAATTCATTAAAGAAAAATTGGAAATGTAAAAGAATTACTATATGGAAAGATTTCAAGTATTGGATATTCGATTGTTCAGGTTCATTAAATGAACTAAATCCAGAAGCAACATATTTTCTATCTGGAAATAAAATATATACTGCATATGTCCAAACAGGAAAAGATATCGAAGCAGGGACAACAGGGACTATAGAAATTGTTCTATTAGGAAATAACAAAAGAAGTAATACAAAAGTATTACATGAAGGTTTCATTTCAGGAGGGTTGAAAAAAATTAAATTTCAAGCATCAGATGTAGGAAATATAGAAGATATTATTTTAAACAATAATGTTAATAACGACGATCCATGGTATTGCGATTTTGTAAAAATAAAAAGTGACAATAAAATTTACGTTTTTAATGTTAAGAGTTGGATTGGACACCCATACGAAAAATCAGTAAAAATCAATATAAGGTCAGATAATAATATAGATGGTGGATCAGCAAAAGACATAGATTGTCATATTCGAGGTAGTGATTTAATTAATACAAATAAATTACCCCAATTGTTACAAAACAAGGTGCAAATATTTAAAGTAAGATGTCCACAGAATTGTCAAAATGCAGAATTTGCATCTGTAGAAGGTTCTTCCATACATCCAGCATCTACATCTATTTGTGCATCTGCTATTCACGATGGATCCTTAACGCCAAGTGGAGGCTCTATTGTAGTAACAGTTGGAAATGATTTAAATCAATATTATGCCATAAAAGAAAAGCTAAACCAGATTGAAGCAATAGATTTTACTACAAAAGCAGATGAACCAAATTTCTCTTTCTATTCATATCATTTAGAATCCATTGATGATATCGAAAGTGATATCCGAATTGTAGATGCGTTTGGAAAATTATCATCCTTAGGAAGATTAGAAATCAGAAAAAATAATAACGAATGGGGAACTGTATGTAAAAGAGGACCAAACTTTACATTCACTGATGATACTGCTAAACGGGCCTGCAAAGATTTAGGATTTTCCAATGGTATATATATTAAACAAATATGCTTAAATGTAAATGGACAAAATTATTGTGCTAACTATAAATACCCATTCAGTAGTGCTGGTATTTTATGTACTGGAAGTGAAACAAATCTACTTCAGTGTAATGCAGATGATTCTTCTCATTGTGTAGATCACCATGATGATGTTATTATTCAATGTCTAAATGAAGGAAGTAATAACGAATTCCCTACTGATGGAATGATTAGATTAGTTGATGCTACAGGTGCTCCTACTACTAACGGAATTGGACGATTAGAAATCTATTATAATGGAACATTCGGTTCTGTATGCTCAGAGGGGTGGGTAAAAGAGGCAGAAAAAATAGCTTGTCAAGAATTAGGTTACATTGGTCTAAAGGGTAATGGATTTTCTCATCATGCATGTACACAAATAGCAGGTGAAAATTTATGTGGACATGATGCAGATAAGATAAATGCAGTAAATGTTAAATGCAAAGGGGATGAGAAATCTCTAAAAATCTGTGCTCAAGAAAGACATGAAGATATCTATTGTTCTCATGATGAAGATGTTGTAATTGGTTGTTCAAATGGGGTAGAAGAATATGGAGATGAACAAAATTCACACTATTTAACCACAAGATTAGGACTTAAAAAAAATATTTTAAATTTGGAAAAAAAAAAATTCCCTCCTAAAATCGAATTAACATGTTTTGACAAAATATTATCCATAGCAGATCTGAGCAATGCACAAGTGGGTGACATTTTTTTAGCTAGCTGCCCTGAAAAATGTGATGAAGAAATAGGGATAATAAAAGGAACTCTTCTATACACTTTCGATTCCCACATATGTAAAGCAGCAATTCATGCAGGAGTGTTGTCAAACAACGTTGCAGATGAACTTATTATAATCATATCACATAAGCACCAGAATTTTGTTGGGACAAAGAGAAACAATGTTGAATCTCATGGATTCAATGGAATTGCCAAAAGTTTCAGTGTCAGCATACCAATGAGATCCATCATTCAGGAAGAACGAAAAAGTAACCCAAAATATGGAGAAGAAAATTCAGAAATAGATACATTACATGATGATAGGGTAGATAATCCAAATAAAAACCATTCCCTTTATGAACTCCCATTAGATCAAAAAAGAAACGACACCCTAAGTACAAGGGGTACAGGAACTCAACCTACATTCCAGTGGATTGCTCCAAACAATTTTTCTGGATTTAATGGAAAAGAAAATGATTTTGTAAATTGTAGTAATTTACCTAACGAAAAATATATAAAAAGTTTATCCAATTTTACCTTCATTATATATTTCACATTAAGTGGGGGAGAAGGGAAATGGAGAACATTATTATCTCATAGCTTGTGTGAGGGTATTTCCATTTCAGTAAATGAAGAAAATGAATTGATAATTGAACAAAATTGCAATCCTTATTTGTTAAAAAGTAAATTCAAGCCATTAATCGGACATACATATCACCTTGCAGTGGTGTTTAATAAAAACAACAAAAGTATAGACTTATATATCAACGGAAAAAAATATATTCTAGATAAAGCAAAATATGATTTTACACTTAATGGTGATTTAATTATAGGTAGATCAAACCAAGCCACTACAGATTATTTCATAGGAAATATTCACCTTGTTGAGGTGTATAAGTATATTTTGTCTGATGATGAAATTAAGCAATCGGTGAATTCTACACTCTCTTTAGATTATATTAATGCAAAAAATAACCAATATAACAGTACAGATATGATTATAAAAAAGAAAAAAAAACGTACTAGTACCAGAAAAACCGTAGATGGAAGAGATTGTATAACCCAATGTAAACCTATAAGTATTATAAACAAAGAACTTCAAATAAATAGAGAACAACTAAATTTAACATGTAAAGATGATTTGTTATCGAACCATTTTAATGGAAAAATAGGGTCTCAATTTTTGGTTCATTGTTTAGATAATTGTATTAAATCTAAATTTATTATAAAAGGAAGCAATAATTATTATACTCCTGATTCTTCCATATGTAAAGCAGCCATACATGCTGGGATATATATACCTAATAAAAACAACGGTGATGAAAACACTTCTTTTATTCTTCGAATTGTTAATGGGTTGTTAGAATATAAATCAGCTAGAGGGCATTTTGGTATTGTCAGCAAATCGGAAAGACAATCACAATTACGGTCTTTTTCTATTTTTGCAGAAAATGATGATGATGATATTCTTACCTGTTCTACCAATGGTCAATCGTTTTTAAATCTGCTAATTGGAGAAAAACGAACAATCATGTGTCCATCAAATTGTGATAAAATTAATGACAAAATTTTTGGCACAAATATATATACTCCCACATCTGCTCTGTGCAAAGCTGCCATTCATTCTGGTGCCTTATCAATCCAAGGGGGACCTGTCGATTTGGCTCTTGCATCAGATGTGGATGAATTCACGGGATCCATACAAAACGGAATTCAATCCTACCAATCTACGAAGCACAAATTTGCTTTAACTTTTTCCATCCACTCATAGTATACAGACATATGCAAATTTTAGTGAAATGAGAATTTTTTTTTTTTTTTTTTTTTTTTTTTTTTTGTATCACTTAGCCGACATATTCCATGCAATTGGGAGAAGATATGGTAGTGTAGAACTACAAACTGTCCTGTGATTACGATAATGTGCATTTACATCCTCATGTTGGAATGAAATGATGTTACTTAACCTTTAAGCTATTCATATTTATGCACTTTGTCATTTCAGTATCCATTTTGAATTTATAAAAATTTTTTTTTTTTGTGCAAAAATGGAAAAAAAAAAAAAAAAGAAATGCTTAAAGAAGTCTTTGCGAATGCTCTTCTTTCGGTTAGCAGATAAATTACTGGGTTACGTTTGTATATGGTACTAAAATATTTAAGTGATGCGATGAGACAGTAAAATAACAAATAGAATGGTGCTTTTTGCAAATAAATATTTTTCGAAATAGGCCCTTATTTCTAAAGAGACCACACACACACAAGAAAAAAAAAAAAAAAAGGGATAATATTAAGGAAAAGGAACGAACGCAAAGAAACGACATAGATATTACTATTTTGGGCATGTAGAATAAAACATTCTCATATTTGGGAAAATGTCCTAACGGTGAAACGCGCACATTACATGGAAAATTTCAGCAAAAATGAAAAAAAAAAAAAGAAAAAACGCATTTGGAAACTTAAGAAATTGCTACTTTTATGATGCTTCAAGAATAAGTTGTTTTAAACTTAGTGAACATGTGCTATTTTTTTTTAGCCTGATTTCCCCTTTCTATACCAAATTGCACATTTTTACGAAAAAACGTTTTACCCGTTTGTTCCGTATTCTAATGCTCATTTCCTTTTTTTTTTTTTATTTTTTTTCCCATGATTGATAAAAACATTGACTTGTGAAAAAGTTCACGTTACGTAGCAATTTGGTATTTACTGTTTAACATTTGACGTTTTGCATTTTATTTTTGTGTTTTTTTTTTTTTTTTTTCCTTTTTCCCTCTTCAGTTGTGATTTGTGTCAGGGTCAGGAACGCATTACGCGATGTTGGGAAAATACACACATTTACCAACATCATATATGGTATATATCAATATACATAGGGGGATAATATTTTTTGTTATGCGGATTATTTCCTCCTCTTGATGTTGAAAACGATAAAAGAAATTGTAAAAAATATGTTAATAGCTGTTGAGGTGTAAAGTGCAACAAAATTGTCAACCGGCAACATGTAATTGCCTTATTCTTGAGGAAGGCCAAAAAAAGTTTTATCTGTTTCTTGGGGATGTGTTAGATACATATCACCTGTATGTTCAATTATAAATTTCAAAAATTGAAAAATAAAAAAAAAAAAAAAAAAAAGTCTCAATTGTGGAATTTAAAAGGTTGATTTTAATTTCAAAATGGGCTTATCGTAAAATATTAATTTTTTCTTATATGGCAACAATAAGTCATTCAACATCCGTTTGGGCAGAATATTTATAAATATATAATGTATATGAATAAATACGCTGGCAAAAATATATATATATATATATATATATATATATATATATATTATGTATATATGTAAAATTTTACCACTCTATGGGATCGAAAATAAAAAAAAATTTTTTTTCATCAATTTGTGTTTACCCATTTGTTGCTCCTTTAATTTTGAGCTTTATTATTTATGCACAACATATAATGTAACATTCAACCAGCGGTAGTTGTTACTATAAATAAGAATATATATTTTATATCCACATATTCTAATTAAAAAAAAAAAAAAAAATGGGAAAAAAGTGGATGTTCTGAAAAAAAAAAAAAAAAACTTTAAAAAAAAAAAAAAAAAAAAAAAGAGGGAAATAATAATCCAGGGGAAAAAAAAAAAAAAACTAACTTAAGAAAGAAAAATATATAATAAAAATTATACAAGCTTAATGGGGGGAAACAGCAAAAAATATAGAACATTCATGCAAAGAATCATACAAGTACTTGTGAGCTTAGCTGGAGCGAACTTGCAACTTTTCAACATCAAAAACTAAAAAACATTAGCCAAAATGTATCACCCCCATATTTATAAAAAACAGAAGGAATTTTTTAAGTTTTCGAATTTTTATTGTTACTTCTCTTATTAAAACTACATATTATTTTTAACATTCAATACGCTCGTGGTTTTTATATATATATATATATATAACGAACATATTTATACACGTATTTTTCTCCCTCATTTACGTATTGTCTTTGCTGCTTAAGTTGCCTCTTTTTTTTTTTTTTTTTTTCATAAGAGTGCTGGATGCGCAACAACACTTGGACAGGCCAGACAAAACGGAAAATAAAACGGAGGAAAGAAAACTGTGTGAAGCAACACTCAACACATTTGTTGCGTTTAAAAATTTATTGATCTTTTCTATATATATTTTACTTTGAAAAACAAAATAGCAAAATGACAGGTATGTAGAAAATGAGATAACTGAAAAACAAAAAAAAAAAAAAAAAAAAAAAAAAAAAAAAAAGGAATGAAATAATTGGTGCTTTCTTCCTTCGTTCAAACTTTTTTTTTTCTCACCTTCATCCATAATATATATGCCCCACTTGACTCAAGAATAAAATAAAATAATTTGTTCTTCCAACATGTTATGCATTATATATACACACATATGTATTTATATGTGTAAATTCGCACCACAGGGTACAGTGAAAGAAGTTGTATATTTTTAAGTTCACTGTTTTGATACTCATTTTAACTGTTATCATTTTGATCATATTCTCTACATACTACGTGTATCAACTAACAATATATGTTATGTGTGTGAAGGATACATTGCAACTTAGGTGTATCTGTTTGACCTTTTTTTTTTTTTTTTTTTATTTAATTTATTTCCTTATTAGTCTATATTTTTTTTTCACCCCTTTTTCACCCTTTTTTTTTTTTTTTTTAGACGCATTTAGAGGAGGATCTGGGAACTTTAAAAAAGGAAATAAAGATTTCAAGAAAGGAAATAACAATAATAGCAATTCTGTGCGTAAGGGAGGAATGTGGAAAGGTAACAATGGAGGGAGAGGCGGTGGAGGAGGAAGAGGTGGTGGAGGAGGAAGAGGCGGAGGAGGAGGAAGAGGTGGTGGAGGAGGAGGAAGAGGTGGTGGAGGAGGAGGAAGAGGTGGTGGAGGTGGAGGAAAATTTGGTAGAGGAAATAATGTTAAAAAAAATTTTAAGAAAGATGGAAAATCAGGAAAAGTTATAGTAGTACCACATAGATTTCCAGGAGTTTTTTTATTAAAAGGAAAGTCAGATATTCTTGTTACAAAAAATCTAGTTCCTGGAGAAAGTGTTTATGGAGAAAAAAGATATGAAGTATTTGGTGATAATGAAAAGATAGAATATAGAGTATGGAATCCGTTCCGTTCAAAATTAGGTGCTTGTTTAATGGGAGGAGTAGGAAATATGCCAATAAAACCAGGATGTAAAGTTTTATATCTGGGTGCAGCGAACGGAACGTCTGTATCACATGTTTCAGATATGGTAGGAGATGAAGGAGTTGTTTATGCTGTTGAATTTTCGCACAGATCTGGTAGAGATCTAACAAACATGTCCAAAAAAAGATCTAATGTAGTACCTATCGTGGAAGATGCAAGGCAACCAATTAAATATCGTATGTTAGTTGATATGGTTGATGTCGTCTTTGCAGATGTTGCACAACCAGATCAGGCACGTATTGTTGCTATGAATGCGCATATGTTTTTAAAAACTGGAGGATGGTTTATTATATCAATTAAAGCTAATTGTGTTGATTCCACAGCTAAACCAGAGGTTGTCTTTGCATCTGAAATGGAAAAATTAAAAAAGGAAAGTTGTAAACCTAAGGAAAAACTAACTTTAGAACCCTTTCATCGTAACCACGCTATCGTTTTGGGCATGTACAGGTAAAAAAAAAAAAAAAAAAAAAAAAGAAAACCAAAACCCCCTAACCAAATGCAAGTGTCCTTCTTTCTAGTGAAAGTTAATAACCCCCTCCCCCAAGCCATATACTTCTAAATATCTTGTTTATATTCGGAGAAAATAAAAATACTATATCCATTCATTACGAATAAGTTGAGCTGTATCAAGACACTCCCTCTTTTTAAGCTTCCAACCAAGGCTTAAAGGGACTCAAGAAAGAATGTGAAATTAAGGCCAGAAAGGAGAGAAAAAATTGAAAAAAAATCAAATCAAATAAAGTGAGAATGTTCAATAAGCTACACATACAAAAAAAAAAAAAAAAAAAAAAAGAACGGGATTACACTTGCAAACCATGCCTTCTCATTTTTTTTACATGTAAAATAATGTAAAAATATTTTTAATATCCCCAAAAATACACTATGAAAAATACATTTTTTGGGTGTTTCTGTTTAATTAATATTTATGCTTTTTTACTCATAATAATCCATGCGGATAACATTCACACGTGCGCTGTAAACGCATTTGCACACTCTCCCATTTTCGTTTATTTTAATTTTTATTTTGTATTCGTATGTAAACTATATGGATAACCTCTTGCACATTCAAAAAGAAAAAAAAAAAATAAATAAATTCAATCTATGGTTATCAATCATTTTACGCATGCATATATTCGGATACAATTTTTAGTAAATTCATTTTTTTTTTTTTTTTTCTTTTTTTATTCACCTTTTTGGGATTATTAACTTTAAAGTAACTGATATTCTTCATTTCATCTTAAAAATATACTAGCACTTTGATCGTATCATTAAGAAATGTACCATATGAAACACAAAACACTGGAATATAGTTATTCGCAGGAAAAAAATAAAATAAAAAGCCACACCACAGTTCGAAATAGGTGCAGCAACTATGTCTATAGAATCTCTATATTCTATCCATAACTTATGTATGTATTTATGTATGTATATATATATATATATATATATATATGTTTACATGTGTACACACATGCAAGCGTCATATACACGCTGTACTATTTTTTGAGACAGCTATATTCATGTAGGAATCAAATGGGTTTAAGTAAAATAGACTCTTTTGGTAGATTTCATAAATAAAAATTTATGAATATGAAAAGCACACAAATACACACACACAAAAAAAAAAAAAAAAATAAATTAAATAGTGTCAAAAATAGTGTAGCGAACCGATAATCCTTAACAAAACATACGGAAAAAAAAAAAAAAAAAAAAAAAAAAAGCGGGAAAGATAAAAAAAAAATATATATAAAAATTTAATGGCATATCAAAATTTATTTAACATGTTTTTATAGAACCTCAGAATTTTTTTTTTTTTTTTCGTAAACGGTATTATGAAGTCTTTTTCCGTCTTTGGATAATAAAAAAAAAACATGTACCTTTTTTTTAACTCCATTTTGAGAGCATTTTTTCTCTTGAGTGGTAAATCAGTTCATAGGGATTTCTACATTGATAATTCTCATAACATTTTAAAATTAAGTTCATTCTATTTACGCTCAAGTGGTAATAGCTTCTCATACAGTATGAGTTCTAGGAGGGTTTTGTGGTCATTTTCCGTGCACATTCTCTGCATAATCTATTCATTTTTTATGCATTTTTTTTTATAACAAATTGGAACTCTCATATCTTCATGTAATTCACATGGTAAATTATTAAAGTCCAATGTGATGCATGCAATATAGTTTACTTTCTCTCCTGCCTTGCCCTTTCTTATTTTATTTTATTTCATTTTTTTGAATGAATTACTCTCACTGCATTAACTTCTTCATCATTTTGCCTTGAACGAGCACATTACCCGAAAATTGGCACCTCATTACTGAGCAAAATTGTGCATGAGAATTTTTTTTTTATAAAATTGTCATCAGGATCTTATAAATTTTTTATAAATTTATTGGAAATCACATTTGACGTTAGTAGGACTAACATAACCAAAATAATGACAAGAGATATCCTGCAGCACCATGTGGTTTGAGAATGCTTTTTCATAACTTTCTTAATTTCCACATTAACTTCTTTTACATTATTTTGTGTTTTATCAGTATGATCTTGTAAATCTAAAATTATTTCATTCTGTTCATCGGCTTTCTGTGTTAAAAAAACAGCATTGACTCCTATTCGGTCAACAACTTCTCCAATCTTCAAAATATCTTCATTAAACTTTTTATCTCGTTCTTTCCATTTATTTATTATCACTAAATCGTCCTCATCGCTGTTGTTGTTGCTAGTTCCTTTTCCTTCAAAAAATAAAATAAAATAATTAGTGAAAAAAATGAAAAGGAGAAAAGCTTCCACAGGGTGGTGGTTAAGTTGAATTTCATGGGGGAAAATAAAATGTAAAAAAAAAAAAAAAAAAAAAAAAAAAAATCAGTGGAAGTGCACATGTGCGCAGGTTATCTTAACCCACTTTGTATGGGAATCAAATTTGCCTTACTTTCAATCTGCTGCTTGTTCTTAAACTCTGAGAAATCCATAACACAGGTATCCTTAATGTGTTCATAATTGCTCAGCTTCTTACATTCGTAAATTTGTTTTTTCAGCAAATCGAAAGTTTCATTTTTGTCATATAACTCTTCCTTACTAAACGTATGTATTTGTTTTAACTGTTTCTTCAAAATTTCTTCTAATTTTATAAAATATGTGTCCAAATTTTTCATATTATTATATATGAGATTTCCCCTTTTTATTGCTTCAATATTATTCCCATGAATATTTTGGATATTTTCCTTTTCCCTTATACATTTTCTTGTTTCATCCAACACATTTAAAATATGAATTTTCAGATCGTTAAAAGGGTCTACATTTTTCTTAATGATTTCTAATTTTTGATCTGTCTTCACTTCAGTTTTGTTTTTCAAAATTTCCAATTTATTTTTTATATTTCCTAATTCATTCTTGTCATTTCGTCTGCTTTCATATGCCTTTTCCTTACTCCTCTTATTCATCCTTCGGCACACCACTTCAACGTTCTAGGCGATTTTCAATGCATGGGCACATGTAATGTAAGTCATATACACATCTATAAATGTATATATATATATATATATGCAAATATATATATGTATGTATATATATATTTTTTCATAATTTTTTTCCAGCGCGTCTAAAATATGTAAAGGAAAAATGACAGTTAGAGAATGTCTGTTACTCCATATTTTAAAGTGTGATAAAATTACATTCACAAAAATATCACAAGCGATACAAAAAAAAAAAAAAAAAAAAAAAAAAAAAAAAAAAAAAAAAAAAAAAATTTAAATTTTTCCCTCTTTATGTTTGTAAAAAAAAAAAAAAAAAAAAAAAAAAAAAAAAAAAAAAAAAAAAAAAAAAAAAAAAAAAAAAAAAAAAAAAAAAACAAAAAATAAATAAAAACAAAAAAGTTTGAGTTTTTCCCTCTTTATGTTTGTGAAAATCAAAGTCAAAACCAAAAGCAAAAACAAAAAAAAAAAAAAAAAAATGAGAAAGAAAAGAGGTGGTAAAAACAAAAAAAAAAAAAAAATCGTTACAGAAAATAAAAAATATAGCAATGTTAATATATTTTCAATACGTTAAAAGTAAACATATGTTTTGTGTATACTACAAGTGTTGTATACATGTGTAGATAATGCATAAGTATATATTTATGAATATTGCCAAATCGGGATAAGTTAAATTATATAAACGTCCAGTTCACTTATGTTACAAGCATGTACACATATAAATGCATGTACTACTTTTATGTGTACGTTAAAAAATTGATTTAAGAGAAAAATTAAAAAGGAATGGAAAAAAGGTGGGAAAGATAAAAAAGGCAAAAGAAAAAGCAAACGAAAAGGCAGAAAATGTAAAAGAAAAAGCAAACGAAAAAGCAGAAAATGTAAAAGAAAAAAAACATACGAAAAAGCAGAAAATGTAAAAGAAAAAAAAACATACAAAAAAGCCAAAGGGGGAAAATTCACGGTTAGCAAATTTTAAAAGATCCAAAAAGCACACGAATAAGTGAGTTATAATTTTTGCAAAAAATAATGTTTTTTTGCCATGTTATGACACTCATATAAATAAATGATACAAAAACCCATGCAGGCCTTTTACTGCAGAATAAAAAAAAAAAAAAAAAAAAAAGTTTAGGTCTCACAAAGTAATGCATTATATATACAGCGTACTCAGTTGAGTCAGGCATACCTACATATAAGAATTTGTCACCTTGAAGATTTTGCAAAGCTGACAAATTTGAGTAATATTGTATACACATATATACATACATATATATATATATATATGAATATTTGCCTTAAACACATTTCAACCTCGTAAAGTGTTTTAATTAGCAGTTATAAAAATATACATATTTCTTCATACCATGATATGATAATATATACCTTATAAATAAATATATTTATGTGATGCACATACGTGTACAATGTATGAAAATCAGTGCGTGGTTCCTAGCCCTGCACGAAAGAGTTTTACTTTCTTTTCTTTTCTATTTTATTTTATTATTTTATTTTTTTCATGTTTAGCTAATTCAGGAATAAAAACAAGCCTCTTTTTTTTTTTCACCCACCCACATATTCTTCTCCTAGAATAGCAAACGATCAGATTATTGGGAGGGGAGATATTTTAAGAAATGAAAAAACCCTTTGAATTTTTTTTTTTTTTTTTTGTTTTATGTGAATAACATTCCATTGTAGGAAAAGGAAAAAATAAGAGAAAACACATAACCATAAATATTACTAATGTGGATGAGATCTTTACGAATTTTATCACCTCACATTGCATACCAATTAGCTGAAATTTTTTTTTTTTTTTTTTTTTTTTGCATAAAAACGTTTGCTTGCTCTATGAGAAAAAATAATTTATAGAATTAGCATATTTTTGTTCCTATATTTTGTAATACCATTTTTTAGCAAAATTGTTTATTCCTATAATATATATATAACATACTATTTTCTCACATCAAGGTGAGAATATGATGTCAATATTGGTTTCACAGAAGCGCATAATATCTGTGGAAGACACTTCCTATACTGCATGACAACTTAATGCTGTTGTTGCTGCTGTTGCTACTGTTGCAGTAGTTGCTCTTTTCCTTTTTTTTTACGTTTTAGATGCTTAATACAGCAACAAAGTCTGTGTTTAGATTTTCCCAATTTCAACTCATGCCATCAATTTACGGAGGCACCACATGGGAAAGAAGTCTACATTCAAAAATGCAGTAATTCTAGTGTGAATGTGCATAATACATATTAGCATGAGTTAAAAACATGCTTATGTACATTCTCCGTTATCCACTTTTTTTTTTTTTTTTTTTCCATAATAGGGATAATACCATTATCATCCCTCACTATGCATACCTTTTCTTTCTATGCACAATGTGCAAAAAAAAAAATAAATGAATTATGCATATTTGCATAAAAGCATGCACGGGTGAGGAAAACGACATTGTTGGAAAAAGAAGAAAAAAAAAAAAAAAGAATACTATTATATAGTATATCTGAACTCCTCAAATGAGAATCCTGCTTTTATTTATTATTTTATTTTTTTTTTATGCTAAGGACAGCTATTTAGTTAACATTGTTTCGTATGTACCAGTTGGTTCACGCTATTCTTTTTTTTTTTTTTTTTTTCTTTTTTTTTTTCACAACGTCCATTTCTATAACGCAATTAAACAATGGACAAACATAAAAACAATGAAGAATATCCCATTTCATATCCGACTAATTTCTCCAATCAGCAGAATCAAATAAATCAGCTAGATCAAAATGACATGAATAAACAAATGTACGATTATTATTACTACAATAATAATCCGGACATAGGGATAAACAATGAGAGAGGTTATAATAATATATCTAGTGAAGGTCCTTACAATGGTAATTCCTATATAGATTGCTACTACCACTATGAGAAAAGTAGTAGTTCTTATGTAAATTAAAACAACTATAGCTGAACATATTATACAACATTATCTATAATAATAACAACAGAAACATTTATAATAATGAACATACTTCTCTTTACAACGATTTAGGAAACTATGCAATGAATTACGGATATATGGATCCATCATTTTACCACATGAATAATGCAATGCATTCCCTAGGCAATGTAATGAACCCATATAATAATCACACTTTGAATAGATTCCAAAACAGAATGGAAGATCACCCGAGTAATTACCTTTATAATAATATAGATTATAACGTTAGAGGTGGTATGAAATATAAACTAGGTGCAAATAATTCATCTAATAGTGCCTTTCACTCATCTTTAATTAATTATAACAATGAAGAAAAAAAGAATATACTTGAAATGACAAATACAACAACGTATAATGTGAATATATTATTAAGAAATAATATTTTATCATCTGAATATTTTAGATCCCTAGTTGCACTGAAAACATTCAAAGAAGTAGTAGATGAAATTCATTTATATGCTGACCATGTGGAACCCTATTGTGTTGGAAGTACAAGGGCACCTTCGACTCTTTTTTGTTGCCTCTACAGATTGTTTACTATGCAACTGTCGGAGAAGCAGGTGAGAGTTCTTCACCAATTCCCATGTCAATGGAAATGTCTTCATGAGAGATCACGCCAAGTGATGATGGCCATGATAATACTAGCACATTTAGGATAACTAGAGAAACGACATTGGTCGTACTTTCACAAGCTAGTTATCATATATCGGACTTATGCGATAGAATGTGTCGTCTGTTCATGTGGTGATATACCCATATGGTGATACATTCATATTGTGATATACCCACGTGGTCATATACCCATAGGATGACATGTTGATATACTCCTACTGCAACCGTTTTGCCACTTTCCTATGCCACACAGATGAAGGTATTAATAGAAAGCCGTGATTCCTGTTATGTACGAGCCTGCGGATTCTTATATCTTAGATACGTTCATGCTCCTGCAAATGTAAGTATAGAAAAGACACTCCCTTTTGCTTAAACAGAATGTTCGATAAGAAACAGAACGCTTCCCGTACATGTATGTCGATGTAGCGAGGCAATATAGCGAACATATATATATATATATATATATATATATATTTGTTTTCATGCCTTTTTCCTATTTCTTTCCATGCTCATTCACCCCCTTAACAGCTATGGATGTGGTTCGAACCCTACCTCCTGGATGAAGATATGTTTACCATATCATCTGATAAACGAAAGAAACAAACAATAGGTGAATATATTCAGTGTCTGTTGTCAGATGATAAATATTTTAATACAGGTATGATTAACAACATTGATTATTTTTTGAGTTTACATTTCACTTGAATTTTATTAATTAAAATTTTTTTTTTTTTTTTTTCCCCTTGCATATTCCATGATGTAAAACACATGTCCCGATACAACTTCGAAAATGAAAGTACTATAACATTAACACACTATTACACTTGATTACACTTTTCCACTGTACAGTCCTTCCTAGGATGCCAATAAAAATAAAAAACACTTATGGTGCACGGCTAATGCTTATTGAGGATCATAGAAGAAGATTGAAAAGGAATAAAGAAAAAATGTCACAATTTGTCAAAGGAGAACCTGTTATGGCCTATGTCAAGTAAGCACAGAGCTTCTCATAAATGTAGCAATGGAAATTGACACTATGTCAAATGAATCCATTTTGCTTGTGTATATATTTTATCTGTGTGTGCATATTTTGTTTATGTGGGGTATTCCTTTTCATAGTGTACTCTAATTGGAGAAGCGAACTTCCGAATGGAAATATATACCACGCATGTACCATGGTTATTGTTGTTATATTGTTTCACTTTATTATTTTTTTTTTTTTTTTAACACATAATAAGTACACTATTTTGCTATGTAGTGTTTTATTATACTATATTATATATATAAATATATATTTTTTTTTTTTTTTTTTTTTTTTTTTTTTGCGTCCTATCCAAGTGGTGAATGGGAAAAGGGAGAAATAGGAGGTATCGTTAACCACGGAAAGGAGAAAATTTTTGTCAGAATAAGAAAAATTGATGGAAATGAAAAGTTGGTTAACATGGGATATGTCAAACTTGTGTCGAAGGAATCTGATAAGGAAAAGGATACAGACAGAGGTGATCGAACAGAAAGAAGCAGAAATGATAAAAGCCATAGAAGACGAGGCAGAAGCAGGAGTGGAAGAAGTAGAAGCAAAAGTATAAAAAGAAGGAGGAGAAGGAGTAGAAGCAGTGGGAGACATAATAGGGGCAGACATAGGGATAGAAGTCGAGATCGTGATAGAAGCCACGATCGGGATAAACGAAGAAAGAGAAGAACTAGTGATGAACAAAACGACAAAAATCATTCCTCAGGCAATAAATCGCACACATATTATCGAGACAGATCAGTTAACAAGCACAGCAAAAGATCTCATGAGGGATCTCATAGTAAAAAAGACAAGTCTTTATCTAGATCATACAGGTCGTACAGATCGTCCAAATCTTCTAGATCAAGAAATAATGATGATGATGACAATGATAAAACACAAAGAAAATATAAATATGAAAACAACGAAGATGAATTAATCAATAAATTTAGAAAAATAGAAAGCCAAAAAGCACTTGCAACTGGAAAAGATTATGCTCGAAGACCTACATCATACAAATCGTCGTTAACAATTAAGGTAGAAAATATTTTAACCAGAAAAAAATCAGTTTCAAGATCTCCAAAAAGAATAGATAAAACAGTATATCTTACGCAGAAGGACGAAAAAAACAATGAAAATACAATAACAGAAAATTCCAAATTAATGGCATTAATGCAGAAATATAATAAAGATGAAAATAGTGATTCGAAAGATAACATTAATTCGGGAAATATGGATGAAATGGATGTTATGACATTGGGATAAATTCCAAGAAAAAAATAAAATAAAAAATGCACTTTAAAAATTTTGTTTTATTTACTTTTTTTTAGTGCTTTCTTCTTTTTTCGAATTTTTTATTTTACTTTTTTTTTTTTTTTTTTTTTTTTTGTCATAGGATATTTATGTGCTCCATAAAAGTTTTACAATTTTTCCGATGTTCTTTATATTTTACTTCCATATTACTACTCTTCTTTGACATTTGTAAAAATTTACTACAGCACATTCAATCCCATTTGAGCCATGAATGAGCCATATAAATACGTGAATTTAATTCGATGCTTACAACTTCCACAGAAACCACCAGCACCATGGGGTTAACACATTAGTGCCCTTTAAAATATGAAATTCACTTTATCATTTAATAAATCAGCTCTCCCTCTCTAAGTTTAGAGGGTGAATGTCGATCTATAGATGCATATGTGTGCTTGTGTGTGTGTATACGTATATATGTGCGTGGCTCTTATCCCCATGAACCTCTTAACACCTCACTATCAAAGAAAAATATGAAACGCCTACAAAGAATTTTTTCTTGTCATGTAATTCTTCACAAATAAAACAGTTGCATAAATATTTTGAATTCTAAATGTTTAAAGTCTTTAAAAAAAAATAGAAAATAATTGAATTTTTTTTTTTTTTTTTTAATATGGATCTTATTTTTCCAAATCAGAAGGTGAATAAAATAAATAAATGGAACGTTGGAATAAGTACGTGACAAATTCATTTTAATATTTCAAATTTGAAATGAGCAGAGAAAAGGGGAGTAACAGAAAAAATAAAATAAAAAGGTAAAAAAAAATATAGAATGAAAGAAAGAATGAAGAAAAGAAAATGGAATAAAAGACGTGAAAAAAAGGTGATGAGTAAGTATCATAGAAAGATGCGAAAATGGTGTAGAAGAAGTAAAAAAGAAATTCATAATATTATGAGTAACGAAAAAAGAAAAAAAAAAAAAAAAAAAAGCTGATTCATTATGTCTTCCATTTTTGATGGTTACACATAAGATACGTTTTTATAAGGGATCTTGAATCTTGGATGGAACAGGATTTCTTTTAGCTGATAAGTCTCGTATCCACATTTATTATGGATTTTCCTTCATTTTTCCCCTCCCCATCCGATTGAACCTTTGGTCTGGTTAGTCCTGTTTCATTCACTTCGAACATTTGTGCATCCCACGAAACGCAAATGTTTTATATGCCCCTTTCAGTACGATAGATAAATGGGTATATATATATATATATAAATATATATATATATATATACATGTGTGCCTATTTAAACTTTCATATCACACACTCTGCTTAAGAACAGAAGGTGCACTCTCATACATACACTTTTTGGTGTTGTCATTCCATCTCGCAATTTTGCTAAGGTGTATTTCTTTCAATAAATTGTTAATCTTTTCATAATATTTATTTTTTATTTGATTGTTTTTTTTGTCTTTATAATTGCTTCCTATTTCTACATGGTGAAAATGGGAAAATTCATTTTTTACTATTTTTTCCTCTTGTTTATTTATCCTATTTTTATCATTCATATCGCTTTGATTATATAATGTGGCACTATTATTAGCACTTTTTTCTGGTTCATCAAATGTTAATCCAGAGCATTCGGTTGACCCACTTGGAATCACAGATATCTGATTTTTCAGCGTATCTCTCGAACCTAAGTCGTTGAAGTTATGTAGAAAATTAATTCTTCTTCTTTTTCCATTTTCTTCTACTTGTAATGAATATAATCTACCTAATTTTTTTTTGTGTTTTATATCCTCATCCACTCTTTTGTTAGATATTTTATTAAAATTAAAAAAATCTGGAAATGCCACACGGCCTTTTATCCTTAATTCGTTATCATACTGGTATTCTACTTTAGTCTTTTTCGTGTTCCAACATGTGTTATTATTAAGGATGTATCTTTTCATTTTCGAGAAAAGTGGGGGGCTTGATGCTAAAGAAATTTAACACGAAAAAGTGCAAGGGTTGAAATGGAAAAAAAGGAAGGAAATAGGGGAAAAAAAAAGGAAAGAAAAAAAAAAAAAAAAAAAAGAAGCCTTGTACACACATGCATGCATGCACAATCTCACATACATGTAACTTCACATGAACACTTTAATTTTTAATCAACATGTATTCTTAATCATTTTGTTTAATGCATCCGTTCTTTTAATTACTTTTTGGAATCTTATTCCTATGCAAATATATAACTATTCTCCCTTTAGAAAAGGCTTATTTATGAAATATAAAAAACCTAATGTACATAAAACAAACCAGAGAACAAGTAAGTTTCTTTTCTCCCCTTTATGAATATACACGTTCCCTTTTATATATTCATAATTTTTTAGCAAGCCCCTCCTAACGCTACTGTATATGTGTATATAATATTATTATGTTACGCTTGTTTTTATATTTAATTTGAAAATCTCCCCCTCCCACCCCAAAAAAAAAAAAAGGTCACCCACACTTGTATTTCATAAATTCATAAATTCTTAATTTTAAAAATATGTGCAGCGTGATTGTAACACACACACGGTAAATTAATTTAATGTACCCAAAAAAAAAAAAAAAAAAAAAAAAATAATGGTGCACAAACAATATATTTTTATGCGTGTAATCAAACATGTGGTTAAATGTGAGGACTGTAAGTGCCAAAAAGATTTCCACTGTTATTACGTAACCACGGATATTCCAAACAAATATGAATCTTCATGTCACAATATATGTTTACGAGTTTTTATATTTGTACTTATACGTATGTTTTTTTCTTGTGCCTTTGCGTGTGCTTTTGTGTATGATTTTGTGCATGATTTTGTCCATCTCTTTTGGGAACCTTTTTCCCGTATCTCTTTTTCATATGTATGCTTATAATGACGTACATTTATGCGCCTTCTTATGCCTTATATGTATTCGTACATCTCACGCTCAACGCATATACTAATTCATAAGTGTCGTTGTGCTATGCAAAGTTAATTCAAAATTTTCATATGAAGAAAGCAATGGAAATAAAAAAAATTAATTCGTATTAAGGATAAACGTGAACACTTTTAATTATCATCTCTTGCTTCATTCGCAACTCACACTTCGTGCGTGTATACATAATCGGTTCATACTACAGTTACAGTTTTGTTCGTTTTATGAGAAAATCATTATATTATTTTATTTCCTCCCAAACATAAAAAAAAAAAAAGAAGATATTCTTCATCTGTATAAGGAAAAAATTATAACGAAAAAAAAAAAAAAAAAAAGTAAAAGAAAAAGAAATAACGCTAATTTGTTTTTACTTAACTTATTTTTAAGGAATTCTGAATTTGATAATTTTAAATTATATGAATACAATTGCTACTATTTTATTTATTTATTATTTCTTTTTTCTTTTCATTTATGACGAACGATTGGTAGAAAATATTTATATCTTTTCTTTTTTTTTTCTTTTTTTTTGTCCCCAATTTATTTATCATATACACAAATTTTCTGGTTAAAAAAAAAAAAAAAAAAAATACGAGTGGACAACAAATTTTTTATAAAAAATAGTCTTAAGACATTCATAATCTTTCCGTTCAAATAACTTTTTGAAATACAAATAAACAATGAGACTTCTTACGCATAACTTTTTAAAATGGTAAGTGTACATAGGAACAAGTTCACAAAACAGGAATTATGCGAGAGAAAAAAAAAACAAGTAACCACATGTACATGTTGTATATGGAGGGTGATAGTCTAACATTGTGCACGCGATCGTGTGTATATATGGTATATTTCACATGTATGTCTAGTATGTGCATAGCATTTACATGTATATATATATATATTTTACACTTATATGCTTACACATGTGCTTTTCTCACCACGTGTGAATATACTTATGCGTCAATTTAATCGTTCATTGTGCTTTTAAGTATAGTACTTAATTAGCACATTCAACAAAAAAAGTGCTCGAGCAAACTTGATAAAAATGAGACCCTGAAGATGTTGCTTCATTTACCCCACTTTTGGCTACTGTAAATTCTCTACCACCTGTGTTTGCTCCATTGTTCATGCTTATGTAGATATATGTTTACGCATATATATATATTCACACTTACATAGTCATATAAACGCAAGCGTTAAGAATATATGAACTAACAGAGTCAAGTGAGAAATCACTTCAACACTTGCACATTTTTTCAGCAATGAAATTCAATGCAGTGGAGGGTACCCACTGTCAATGCAATTAAATAATGACGCGGAAGAAAATATAAAAATATTAGAACAAGAATTTAACGTAGAATTTGTAAAAAATGTTTTAACTAAAGTTGATTATGAAGTTTTATGCCAAACGGCTAAACAGGTATAATGTCACTCCATCAAACTCTATATTTTTTTTCTTTTTTTTCTTTTTTCCCACTTTTCTTAAAAAAATATAAAGTAGACTTAAATTTTGTAAAATGTGTTTATTTTATTTTTATTTTATTTTTTTTCTAGCTAGGAATAATTCTTTTACCTAGTTATACTAGTCAACATTTAGAAGATGAAGAATTTTTAAACTCAGTTCACCATGCCCTTTTTAAGGTATTCAAATCGAAAAGAAAAAATGTATTAACACATTGTTCATAAAAGGAAAATAAATTCATAAAAAAATCGTGATAACAAGTAAAAGGCTGCAAAGCAGTAAGAAAGAAAAGGAAAAAAAAGAAAAAAAAAAAAAAAAAATTATTCTCCTTACCATTTTGTAGGTTCACATAATGGAAGCCACCTTGATATGTCCCAAATGTAATGCTTCCTTTCTCATAAAAGATGGTTCGTTTGACTCATTTTTAATATAATTGACGAATTTGCATTACACGTTGCCCTGTTTCTTTGTGCATGCATACGTGTAGACATTTAGAAGAGCAAACAAACAGATATATATATATATATATATATATATATATATCCATGTGCACTTGTTTATTTGCACATTTCTACGCGTCCACAAATACATCGCCACTCGCCCACTTATACCACCCATCCCTCACTTGTATAGGTATCCCAAATATGCTATCGGGAAACGAAAATCAAACAAGCTGACTTTTTATTTGCCTTTGTGCGTATTTGCTATTTGTTTATTTGTTTAATTGTTCAGTTGTTCAATTGTTCAGTTGTTCAATTGTTCAGTTGTTCAATTGTTCAGTTGTTCAATTGTTCAGTTGTTCAATTGTTTATTTGCTCATTTGTTCATCTGTTCATTTGTTTATTTATTTTATTATTTATTTTTTTATTGTTTTTTGTTCTATTTCAAGAACACTTCACATAATATTTGACATTTGGATATTCAACAATTACACATGATTCATCATTTTTAAGAAAAAATATTTTGGGGTCAGGATAACTAGATTGGCTATTCGAATATAGTATATTATTTACATTTTGACTTTTTATTTTTCCAGAATTTTCATATTTATCCGCATTTAAACCTTCACTTTTTCTCATCCGTGTCAAGGTTGTTGTATAAGCGTCATCTTCGCCTTTTAATCTTATTATTTTCACCTTATCTCCATCTCCATTTAATTCAGAATAGCTATTTTTTTTTTTTTTTTTTTTACAATTGTACATGTTGGGCACTCTATCGTCCTCGCTCCATTTCCTACCCATTTCTTCATCTGGTGAGCCAATTTGCTTGCCACTCAGCTTTCCATTTTGCATATCAGTGTCACTACTACTACAACTTGTGCACCTTGAGGCACTATTTCTTTTCCCCCCGTTCATTTTGTCTTTTTTATAATTCATAATTATTTTTTGAATTACATTCTCAGCTGAACTGTTTAATTCTCCGCTTGAATTTACCATATTCACATTAAAATCACCCACAGTTTTTTTATTTAATTTACACACTTTTATATCTTCAGAATGGAGGAGGTCATTTCCTCGCATTTTTTTCTTTTTTTTTTCCCCCCATAAATACATGTCCTCACTAGAGCACGTAGAATAACCATCAATGGTATTTGTTTGAACACTACCCGAAGATGTTATACTTGCATAGTCAATGCATTTATCAGCACTAATGAAATTCTTCTTCTTGTCATGACAAATTTTGTTTTTATTTTCTCCTTCACTGTAGTCTAACGAGTTTTCAGTTTGTTCCTGTGGGTCTTCATCATTTCTTTTTCTTATATCGGTAAATTGTTCCCTTCTTACGGAGCATTTATCATTATTCTCCTTTTTGGCAAGGAAAATTTTGTAAATTTTGTTTGATTTTTCGGATGTGTTATTTTCACATAACTTATTGGTATAGTATGATGAATTATCTACTTTTTTAAAATCAATTTCTATTTTATCTCTTTCTGTATTGTTATAGTCGAAACATTTATTTTCTTTTCTATCTGAGACCCTCTTGTCAATAACTTTCTTTTCCTTCATTATATTATTTCTTTCCTTTGTAGGATATCCACGTATGATCTTGCTGGATGTCATTTCGGTGTCTAATTTAGTTCTTCCCTCTCGTTCATTTGTCTTTCTTTCTCTACTAGTATTTAGCTTACTAAAACGTTTGGAGGAAATGTTTTTTTTTTTTTTTTTTTTTTCATCCTCCTTCGCCTTCGCAATTGTGTACACTGCACCTGTATACGTTGCACCCTTTTTCATACATTCTGATTTTAATTTGACCTTTTCATTAGTGTTGCCAATAATTTCTGTTTCATTATTTGTCATGTGGTGCCCCTTCCCCCTGTGCTTCTCGTTTACCATACATATGTTCTGATTTTTCTCTATTTCAAGCTTTAGTGTATTTGCTAAGCATGGATTTATTTCTCTAGTACCCAAATTTTTAACGTTTTCTACTTCTTGTTTATTTTTAGAATCATCACGTATTGAATGAGACATAGATGTGATGTCATTATAACCTTTTAGCACATACCTACAGTTGCTTTTTATTATTCCCTTTTCTATACCAGTTTTGTTGTTCCATCCCTTTTCAATGTGATTGTCCATAAGATCGCCATTTGAATTGCACATTCTATCATGTGTGTTATTCAATTGGACGTTATTCATTTTATTTGAGTTACTTCTCTCACTACGTCCTGTTGTGCTTATTTTATTATCCCAAAGATTGATCCCATGTTCTGATATTACATCTACACTTTTATTATGATCCCGTTTTACGCTAGCTGGTATTTTACCAGATCCTCCACAGATTTTGTTAAATACGTTCATGTTACTAACACAAGGTTTATTGTTGATATAATTAATTTTCTCAGAACTGTTCAAATTATGATCTACCAAACAAACGGATGACCAAGATCTATTACAACATCGGTTAGAGAAATCTCGATTTTTTACAAAAACGATTGAACTCGTTGATTTATTTCTTCTTAAACAGTTATTATTTTTCTTTTCATTACAAAGACTGTTATTCCTTATGTAAGAAAATAGTTTTGAGAAAATGTTTTCCTTCTTAGGGTTATTATTTTCGTTTTTTGTCTTATTAGAATTTTTTGAAGAAAAAAAGCAATTTTTACTACCATAAGAATTAGTTATAACTTTGTTATTTTTAGATAAACATCTAACACTTATTGTGCTAGATTTAAATCTGTCTCTACTATCCAATTTGTCATTATTATTCTTATTCTTTTTGAATTTTTCTTTAGAGTACCACAAATCAGGTCTCTTATATCCCTTACTGTTCAGCTGTGAATATTTGGGGATTCCCAACTTTTCTTCCATCTCAAACGGTACTTTCAATTCACTTATCGCTGTATTCTGTTCATTACAAATCTTAGTGTATGTCTGAAACTTTGCCTTTCCGTTTATTTTGACTAACTTTTTCTCCCTGATTGCTTTAGACATAGGTATTCTACACTTCTTATGCGTACTGCTGGTAGTGGTACTAGTGTTGGAAATGTTACCCGTGGTGATTGCACACGTTGAGGATCGATTAGGATCCTTTGTCTTATTTCTTCTTGAAGTGTTATTTCTTTTGGGTTGTTTCTCTGATGAAAGATAAACGACATTCTGCTGACTCGATTGTAACTCCTCAGTTTTCTCATCTTCGATCACCAGATTTGTGAAATTGTTATTGGGCACACAACAGGCATAGGAACAAATTCCACCTGTTGAGACTCCATGGAGCTTATGATTTTGTGAATAAACTTTCTGCTCACTTTTAAAATTCGATTCCATATTTGATAATTCGTTTATATTATCATCACACATGGGAATATTTGTACTATCATTTGATAATACATTTTGGTTGAGATCATTTAAATGCAAAGAATTATTTTCATCTACCTTTGGAGTTTTGCACTTACCACATAAATAACCGTTGTAAAATTTCGATGAGTCAATCTCCCCTTGATCATTACGCTCATATGTTTTATTTGATTCTACACCTTTTTTAATATCTTTATTATTTTTTAAAATTATTTCCAAAAATGTAGATGGTTTGGCTTTTTGTAAATTTTTATAAAAAGTTGTATTTTCCCAATTTCTTTCCTTCTCCTTGTTTTTACCCTCATATGATTCTTGTGCTTTTTTTCGAAGTAGATTAATTTCACTCTCTTTCATTATCAAACACATTTTTAATTTCTCATTTTGTTCAATTTTTAAATTTATCAATTCATTTAGAGCTATCATTTCTTCTTTCATTTCTTCTCTCTCCAAGGAGCACTCATTTGGTTTGTCTTTTTTTTTAACCTTTTCACGTTTGCTAACACATGGAGAATGTTTTTTCTTTAACTCCTTTATTATGAATTTCCTGCTAGAAGAACTGTTTGGGCCATGTTGGTAAGTACTTGGAAAATCAAACTCGAAGCTTAATTTTTCTTTATTCTCTTTTGCGTTCGTTCCTGATCTGTGTTTAGTGCTTCGAGCGTCCTCTGATTCAGATCCTATATGGTAAAACTGGTTATACATTTTCATTCTCTTCTCTTTTTCATAACTACTGCCTGCTATATTTACTCTATAATTTTTCGTCACTCTTTTATCCCCATTTTCCAATTTTATCTCATTCAGATGTTTATTAAAATTTTTCTTATTAAACTCATCACAATTTAAATAAAATTCCGTCATTTCCATTTTCTTCTTCTTAATCAATTCTAAAAGATCCTCCAAAATTAAACTACACTTTTTCTTATCATATCCTGACGAATATTCCCCTAACTCACCTGCGAATAAATCTCTACTGAGATCACTACTTCTACACTTATTTGTTATAGTGCTTCCTCTTACGCTATTTTTGCTACTTGCCTCATGTAAATAAGTGCTATGCGTGACATTATCCGAAGTGCCTAAAAAACTTTTTTTTTTTTTTTTCCTCTTGTCTTTTTTCCCTAAAATGGATTCCTTTTCCCATCTTTTTGTGGATCTATCTGTGGACTCCTCCTTGTTATCTATATTATTTTGCTTCTTCTTCGACTTGCTCCTTCCATCCAGAAGTTCTTCCCCTTCATTCACCATTGTGTTACTCTCTCCTTTGCTTTTTGAGCTCTCCTTTTCATTCCCTTTTTGGTTCAACTTTTCTTCCAAGCAACTTCCCCATTTTTCCCCCACCCTGCTATTCTGCATTCCATGTTCACTATTGCGTACCCACACAAAGTGTTTCCTTTCCCTTACACTGCCTTTTCTTTCTTCTACGTTGTCTTTTCTCTCTCTCACCCTGGATTTTCCTTCCCTTACACTACTTTTTCTCTTTCCCACACTGCTTCTCCCTTGTGCAGCCGGCAAGAATTCCATTGCACTTCCCCAATTTCGTTCGATAAGATCCAGCTTCGAAACTTCTGTTTTAACACAATTTCCTACACTTTGAATATTTTCATAATTTTTTTCGCAGCAGTCTACATCATTAGTTGACTCTTTCTTCCTTTTTACTATTTTATGTGTGAACCCTCCTATAGGTTCTGAACCGAATGTGTCTCCAGTGTTGTCGCTCCTCCTTAGTGGAATACGCTTCACACTTGAGATAACATTGTTCTTTTCACTTGTATTTTTAGTTCCCATCATTGTGTTATGTTTAAATCCAGATAAATAAACATATTTCATACAGTTTCTATTCTTTATATCAACTGCTCCTTTCTTTATGAGAACCTTCCCAGGTTCTAAATATTTCTTAAAACCTTTCATACTATTATCACTTCTTGGCGTAGATCTAAAATCATTAGTTAGAGATTTATCATATGTATTATCTGGGCTTGAATTAAAATTTAAATCCATTTCTCCTATGATAGAAATTTCATATATAGAACTTTCTTGTGAAGAATGTCGATAGTACATATCCTTCTGCAGACTTTGTTTTGGGGAATCTTTAGAAAAATATTCTGAGCACTCATGTTCCCTTCTCGTTGGTGTTTTTTTTTTCATTGCTTTACAATTACGAATTTGTTTTCTAGACATTTTTGCATTCCCCATTTCATACTTCTTAATTTTTTGTTTTAATTTACTTGTCTTGCTTCCGTTCCTAATACGGTATATATTACCTCTCAACAAAAGATTATTTGATAATTCTTTAGAACTTTTATTAATCTCTACATTTGGTTCTTTTATAATTTTAGTGTTAATTAAAAAGTCATAGTTTACTTCTTCCTGTGCCTTTCTATTTTTTGGTGACCCCTGATCAATTCTTTCCTTTTCATTCTTCAAATGCATTACTTTCTTTAATACATTCTTTTTTGAAATATTCAGATTTATTTGTCTTATACAAGCTTCATGTTCTTTATCCCTGCATTGTGTGTAACTGTCTTGAGCATTGTGCGATTCAAGATGCATCTCATTATTTTCCTTATTATAGAGACTATTCTTTTTTACGCACACTTGTTTCATATCCATTTCTCTACCACTTTTAAGTATGCACCTTTTGCTATTCAAATTTTTCACTACAAATAAGTTTCTACTTTTGTAATTTTCAACATCTCTTCCCTTTTTCACGCACAATTTAGAGGAACTTTTCTTCTCCCCATCGTGCTGTTGATTTTGAAATTCGTTTGATTCTTTCGAGCTAGACGAGATTCTCATCCTCTCAGTTCCTTCTCCTTGGGTATCTATTTGGATAATATTTCTTATACCACCTTCATTAATGAAATTTCCACAAGTTTTTCTTCCATTTTTAAACAGACCCATTTGATCTATGTTTGAAGCTCCATCTGAGGCCCCATATAATTCCCCATTTACTTCCACATTTACTGCTCTTTTTGCTACCTCATTTGAAGTGTCCTTATTTGCCCCCCCAGTGCAACATGTTCCTACACATATACTCCTACTCCTCCGCCCTTTATGAACACCAATTCCCCCCTTAGCCCCACTAGAAACTTTACTTTTCCTCTGATGAAATGTTTTCAATTTCCCCCGTCTTTTAATTTCAACCGAATTGGTCAAAAGGGGGGTGATTCCTCTAAGGTAATTTCCCCATTTATGACACAATCTGTGGTCCATACTTAGCGCATCATACTGCCTTAAATTGTTAGAATTTCTGTTACTCTTTTTTGTGCTGTTACATTTTAAATTAAGGAAACAATTTTCGTTTGGAAAACAGCAAGCTCTCCTTAATCTGGGAATAACACAATTTACCATTATATAAAAAAAAATATAATTTGATTTTTTTTTTTTTTTTTTTTTCTATTTTTTAATATAATTTCTTTTTATCCATCTCTTACGAATTTTAACTTTTATAGAATTAATCTAATTTCTATCCTATTTTCACTTCTTTTCCGAATATTTGGGACCTTGAATATAGGGAAAAAATTATATCTGTGCTAAGATGAGCACTTGTTATGTAATCTGATGTGTACTTCTTAATGCACAATAAATGATATCATATATATATTTTTTTTCATTTTTCTTCTACATATTCAGAAACGAAAAGTGAACATTTCCTTGTGTAATTCCTGGAACGTTTTTTAAAAATGGAAAGTCGTACTAAACAAATTTGGAAATATTTTTGTTAAGTATTTACTCATATAAGTGCTTAATTTAATAAAAAAATTTTTTTTTTCACATTCAATGAGAAAATCTACTTGTTCACCCAACTGGGAGGCAACCCTACAGGATGTGCAACCACAAAAAAATGTCTACAGAGAGAATTCTAAAAGGATGTTATTTTATTTTATTTTTTAAGATATTAATTGCTGTATAGTGTAAAAGTAACCAATATTTCATTAGCAGAAATTTTAATATGAAGAAATAATGAAATAAAACCTAAACATATTAGAAGAATGTTGTACACTCCTTAAAAAATAAATCCACTTTTATATAAAAGTGTGCAATATTGGAGTAAACTATACGGGAAATGGGAAGACAGAAAAAAAAAAAATTTAAACATAATAGGACCATTTAAATGCTAACATATAGGTATTACTTTATCATGTAAAAAATGTTTCCCTTAATTTTGAAATAATGAACATGTTCATTTTCCTGAAAATTAAATTCGTTGCACTTGTTTTTAAACAATTTGCTTATGTGTATGGGTAGTATATTTCACAAGGAAGAAGTTGTGCCTTTTTTTTTTTTTTTTTTTTTTTTTAGTTCTTTCCAATCATATAAACAATATTCCCTCTTCTTCTTTTTTTTATAATTATAAATGCTTAAAATTAATTCTATTTTTATAAAGGTACCTCATTTATTTTACCCCAATTTTTGCAAAAAACGCAATTGCACATAATGAGCACAGTAGTGCCCCCTCTACATAGGAGTCCTACTCCCTTCATTGAAACACCTCAATCATTTTTTTTTTTTTTTTCCTTAAATTTTCAGATAGAATAACGCGATCATTATTTTGATAAAAATGAAATCGTGTGTCAATAAAAAGTAACGAATTTATTTAATTTAAGCAGTTTCTTTATTTAAAAGCGCTTGTGAGATAATTCATCGTTCGTGTAGGTACTCGAAGGTGCAAGCAAAAGAGTGTTAATGACGTAAATGAGCAGCTGTGCAATTATGAGCAAAGTGCGTGTGAGGGTATAATATGTATACATATATATGCACGCGCATATACAAGGGGTCCTCATTTTTGATTGTTGCTCAGTTGCGCGTTAAAGACATGAAGAAAAAACAAGACAAATTGGTTTGAAGCAAAATATAAAAGAAAAGAAATTATCCTTGTCCTTCTACAAAGAAGAGTCCCAATTGTGCCATATGACTTTAACATTGTAGCTAAAGTTGCATAGAAGGTGAAATTTTTATTTTCTTTTTCTTTAAATATATTTCTGCACAGAAATTTTTCATCTACAAAGTTATTATATTGTGAAAGATGTCTCGTAATTTATAATTATTGAGTTTTTCAGCATTTTTTTATTTTTTTTAAGAATATGGAGAATTTTGTTTTAAGTGCATTTTCTGTTCACTAATGAATAACAATGATTTTCGTCTTTTCGGAAAAAAAAAAAAAAAAAGGCATCAATACGCATTTGTGAATATATATACTTGTGTGTGCATAAAAACGCCGATGTAGACTAATTCCTTGACTATCGAAAATATACTACATTTTATTACTGGTTATATTTAAAGGGAATATTATGTTACAACGTCGTAAATACATTTTTAATATACTAATGCATACCCAAAATAATTTCCACTTATACATAAAACTCGATTTAGCTGACATATGCCAAAAAAAAAAAAAAAAAAAATAATAAATACAATAAATAAAAAAAAAAAATACACAAAGTTCACAACATGGAACAAAATGACCTAAGTCGCGTTGCTAACAAAATGGCACAGAACAAATCTACCAACTTGATATTTGAGCACACAGATCATTAGCAAAAATGGGGACGAAAAATAATTTTCGAATATTTTTTCAAATTAAGCTCAACATTTTTAATGGTGTGAATATAAATTAAAGAGAAAAAGGAAAAAAAGAAATATGCAAATAAATAAGAGTAAATAAATGTTCAAATGAGCAAGAATAAATAAATACGCAAGTATGGATAGATAAGCACGCGGATAAATAAAAAAAAACATAGTCAAAATTTTACAAAGGTAAGAAGAAAGCTCATCTTTATAAAAAAAAAAACTTGAACTGAGCATGCTGAAAATTTTCTTATTGGAGCTTTCTTCAATAGTTAATAAAAAAAAATTATGAAGATCAACCATTTTTTAACTCCCCAAAGTGCATGCACAGACAGGTAAAATATTTAGGATGTGTGATTATACGCCTTACAGCTAGCTTTTTATGAGCAGTTCTTCATGTAAAAAAAAAAAAAAAAAAAAAAAAAAAATTACAAACATATCATAAAAAAAAAGACATTTATTAAAAAAAAAAATAGGGAAAAAAGTGTGTGTCTTAAGCGTTTTTGAAGTAAACACAAATATTCAAGTACTTACTATTTCTCACATTTTTTTATATGTACCCCACCTCTTTTAAAATTGTAGCAACAATTATTTCATTTCCAATTTGCACATAAAAAAGTAGCATAAGAAAATAATAATACGCAAAAAGGAAAAAGTTCCAAAAATTACCCAAACCACAAAGAAAAACGGAAATCGGAAAAACGCGCAAATATGGAACAAGATATAGAGAGAGAAAGAGAAGAGGAAAGGGAAGCAATTTACCCCTTCCAGCCTTCTTTCAGTTTTGAACATTATGAAGAACCAATAAAATACAACCTTGAAAGAATGGCAAAAATATTTTCTTCTTCGTACTTCTTCGATGGGAACTCTTGGACATCACTGCAGAAACCATTAGTCCTTAAAAAAACAGTATTCGATGATGATCGAATTCTTGTACTAAAAAAGATTGACAGCAGAAACGCACCAATTGAATTAGAGGCATCCTTGAGTGGAAAATATGACATCAAAGTGTATAAAAATAAAGATATATTATTGTGTATCGAAGGAGAACAAAAAATTTTAATGAAATTACCTATAACACAAAATATTATTACTTGGAATATTCCGGAACGTCTTCCACTCTTACACAAGAGTTGGACACCCATAATATATATGTTAAACCAAGGAAATGTATTTATTAGAATAACTCCGGAAAAATGTCTAGTTATAAGTAAAGTTAATGATAAAGATTCATTTAAAGTAAGTTGTATTGACTATTCGGAAGGCTTCTGTTGCTGCCATCCTATTAACAACTTAGCATTATTGTATGGCTCCTATGAACAACAACAAGATTGTAACATAATGAAATTACCAAAATTACCTTTAAGCAAAGGGCTATATAACTACTTTATACATTTTTTCTCATGGGGTACTATGATAGTACCGAAAGCTATTGATGTATTTAAAGGCCCTTTGTGTAGTTTTAAAAAAAGTACAATTGCCTTGATAATTATACCACCAAAGATGCATATATATGTTGAATTAAGGAGCACTTCCCCTGTAGCAACCTCCATAAAGTATAAAAAAGATTTTCTCATTACAGCAAGGAAGCCCTATCTCACCGATTTGGAAATTTATTTAATTATTCAAAACAAACTAATTAAATATGATTATTCATATGACCTTCGTTTGAATAAGGACAAGGCACCCATTTCAAATATACATATTCCTTTCAAGTTTAAGATAAGCAAAGAGGAAAAAGAAAAGAAAAAATCGAACCCTTACTATAAATGCAAATGGACTTTTATTGATTCCCTTGATCAGACACTTCTAACAGAATCATGTAATTCACCTTCCACTCATATTATGTCACAAGATTTGGCTTGCATATTTGATGCAGAAACAGGTACGTTGAAAAAAAAATCGGTGCAGTGGACAAGAGCTGATATAGCCCCCTACCTCGCCACACAATGGTCCTACACGAACATTCATATATATATATATACATATATGTACTTGTTTTCACATGTACATAAACATATATTTCCATTTTAACCTTGTCCTTTGGATAAAATTCTTTTTTATATGCTTACGTAAAATGTATGAATACACATGGTCTTTTAACATATATTTGAAAAATAATAAATGAGGTTTGAAAACAATTACATGTAATGTTTGCTATTTAGTTATAATTGATGAGTAATATAGGGGAAACGATTACATTGACATAAAGACAAATTTTATTCCCTTAACATATTTTTTTTTTTTTCACGTCATCTATGATCCCATATATAAAAACATTTTGCATGGGCACAAACAGTGTATAAGTATTTATTCATACGTAAATAAATACATACATTCATAAACAATAGTGAACAAATGGATTTACATGAATACCTTTCCTACATCCTCTTAGGTACATACTATTCTACAGATTATGGAATACAACACTGCAAAGCTTTTAAAAAGTTGCGCGTTTACAAAAAATAACTTCTTTTATTAAGAGGTTATACATACATTAAAGAATGTTTAACATATGCTTCTTTTTTTATTTTTTACTTTTTACAGTTGGGGAGAATAAAAAAATGCAACCCCAACAATCTTTCCCGCATTTCTTCACTATTTTTTTCTTTTATTTTTGCAAATTATACATGTTAAATACTAACCCCGATGCTGAAAAAGGTACTAATTTGTTCCATATACGAATTATGGGGATAAACATATATGTACGTATGAAAATCCTTTTTATTTAACTGCTTATATATAACTCGTGTATTTTCACATTTACCATTTTTCCATTCAATTGTACATTTATATATATTAAAAATTACGAACAAAGCGTGAGCAAAAAAAAAAAAAAAAAAAAAAAAAAAAAAAAAAAAACTCTTAATCGCGTTGTGTTCTGTTTACACCCTTCCCTTGCTGTTAATTTTTCAAGTTAAATAGTTATGATGATTTGGCCTTTTGAAATGTTACACGTGCTGTTTTATATACAAGATAAGATGGCTTGTATAATAATGGGTATACATCTTTTCACCCTTCTTTTCTTTCACATTTTAGCACCTCATATTTTCGGAAAGTGCTTTTGCATTATTCAGCTATCACGTATACATTGTAAGTTCTTATATATATAATATGTAGATTCATGCATTTAACAAGTCTTTCCTGCTTCACTTTTTTTTTTTTTTTTTTAATTAAAAAGCAATTTTATTTTTTTCGTTCATTTTGACAATTGTTTTTCTATGTCCATCCTTCCGGTGATGTGAACCGTTAGTTCACAAAGACCCACAATAATGTAGCATACATGTACATATGACATGTTTCCATATGAAAATAGATACATAATATTACATGTACACAAGGTACATACATATGTACGAATAATCATTAACAAGCGTTTATAAAAATACTTTTTAAACTTCAAAACACTTTTTTGCTAACTAAACTTTGCCGATTTAAAAGGCCTAGGGATAAGAGATACAATTGCATTTTTCTTTTTTTTCTTCTTATTTTTCACGTAACAATAAAGAGCTAATTATAAGATTGAACATACTTTCCGATTTATGCTTGTATTCCTCACTTATATGTTATTTACTTATGTGCACAGTAATAAAGCATTACACAAAATAGGGATAAAATTGTTAGAAAAGTTTCTTTTCACGTGTTTTAAGATATTTTTTTTTTTTTTTTTTTTACATTCCTGTAATGTAACTCAGCATATTTTTTTTTAAAATATATATATGCACACTCTGATACACAGGGAACATCAAACCGATTGTTTTGGTGAGAAAAATACCTATTTTTTATTTTTCGTAAATAACCATTTCCCGATGTGATGAATTTTACAAATATGAAATAACACTCAGCCTCAGCTCCGATAGAAGAGCATTCTTTTGAGAATAGCCTCTTTTTTTTTTCTCATGCCTATTTTGGAAGACGTTTTTTGGGCTTTTTACGTACATTCACATTGATATATATATCACATACTGCATATGCACGTAATATTCACTCTTCATTTTAATTATATTTATTTTTTTTTTATATGCGAACAAAAAAAAAAAAAATTGACCCCCCTTTGTCCTTATTTCTCCCTTTTTCTAACGCTTTTTATTTTTTTTTTTCCTTTTTCATTGAACGTTGCATGAAAAAAATTCGCGAAAATACTCACTTCTTCGCCCCTTCTTCTGTTATTTTTTTTTTTTTACCTAGTTTATTTTTACATATGACCTACTCTATCCACTCCTCATCTTTGGACTTATAGCGCCTATTGCTTAAATTATAATAATAATGCTTTTACTACTACACCACTATTACTGCTTTTATGAAATTTCAAAATATCTTCCTAAATTAAAATTATGCAAAATTAGTTACAAAAAAATATATATACAGTAAAAATTTGCATGCATATGTTTAATATAAGTATACAAAATAAATATTCATGAAATTCGACACAAATTGCCATAAAATTATTTATATATTGTATATAAAGTTAGGTAAAAAAAAAAAAAGAAGAAATGGTTTTTATCCTCTAGTATTTACTCACTCATAAAATAAGTACATGTTATTGAGAAAAAAAAAAAAAATGTATTTATATATATTATAATATTATATATAAATATATTTTTTTTTTTTTTTTTTTTTTTTTTAATCCTCGTTTCCCTATATGATATATATGTTAAATCAGAATTTAACATACTCCTTTATTTATTTATTTTGTTTAAATTGAGAGAGGCACTATTCATTCACCGATAAAGCACATATATTATTTATTGTATACATAATAATATATATATTATGCATATATATATATTATTAGGCTAGTCATAAAAATTTTACTCGGATTTAACGTAAAATCCGAAACAAAAAATAGTAGGTGATGACAATTACTTTTATAACTATGTACATAAAACCGTAAAATATATATAATAAAAATATATAATTATATATTTTAATTATTATTAATACTATCACTCATAATATCAAAACAATAAAATATAGTCAATAAAATATATATATATATTATACATATATATAATATATATAGCTATATGAATTATACATATTTATATACATAAAATATAATTATATATATATAATATATTTTTTTTTAAGTTTCCATTACTAAATGATAATCAGAAAATAAACATATACACAAAGTGTTTCCATTATTTTACTTTTTTAAATATTTTTCTGTAATTTTTATGTAAACAGTTCATAATAGTTTATTTTACCAATCTACAAAAAAGAGCGATAAGATAAATTACTAATATTTTACTGCCTCCTTTTTTTATAATATTTTTCTTTCTTCCATTCCCATATCTTTCCTTTTTTTTTTTTTTTCCTTTTTTTTTTTGTTTTAAAAAAAAAAATTTCTTTAAAAATTTTTTTTGTAAGGAGTAACAAAATTTTTTTTATTCTTTTTGCGCATCATTGCCGTTCGAAATTTCCTTTAGGAAACTATATTTCGTTCAAGTAAGTTTAAATGAAAAAAAAAGTATATAATTATTGCAAAGATGAAGAAATACATAGTATTCATTATTCACAAGATATTTTGTACACTATGTTATGCTTGTCATGCTTGTGAATGTAAGGCTGTATGATCGGGCATGAGTGTACATATATGTACATGTATGTATATGTATTATGTACCCATTGCGCACATTTTATGTACATATGTATGTGCACACATACCGTGCCGAACGCACAAGAAATGTGAATTAACTATTTGTGCGCCATTTTATGCATTCTTTCTCATCAATTGTTTCTTCGTGCGTGTACATTGGATGTATTTGACACAATGGAAATTGTTCCATACTTAATTTTTTTTGAATTATATATATATATATATATATATATATATATATACGTTTATGCTCCCTAAAAACATGCGTATTTTTTTTATGAAAAATCTTGGAGGCTCCAGTAGGAACAACTGATAGGAGCAATCATTTTGTGTCTTCCCAATTTTTAGTATCACGAAATGAATGCGAATTTCTAATATCAAATGTGCCTACTTTTTGTTTCCACATTTCTTTATTTTTCTTCATCTGTATATCCACAGTTTTTGTTTCAATTTTTTTTTTTTTTCGCCCATTTCCACTGTGCCTTTTTCCTTTCTTCTTTTTTCTCTAATCCTTAATCGATCGCTTTTTCTTTTCCATATACGGCACCCCATTTCCCCTTTTTCCATAGAATTCGTTTTATGTGTAAAAACTGATATTAGATATATTCCACACACATACCGGAGAGATACATAAACACACAAACAAGGATAAGCACAAAGAAAATCACTACTTTAATTAAAGATGGATATTGCAGTGAAAGAACAGGACTATTCAAATGGATTTATAAAAAACCAAGCAGCTTTTGAAAACCTGAAATTCAGCCATATAAAAAATTTTAAAGCCCAGAAAAGATTTCAGATTCTTTATTTTATCCTTTTTGTTCTTGTGACAGGGATATTTTTCTTTTTCCTAATTAGCACATATTTCTTCACACCAAATTATAGAATTAATAAAATAGTTCAGAATACAGAACACTTAACTTTAGCTTTTAAAATTGAGAGACCATATGACAAAATTTTAAATAGCGTATCCAAGAAAAATTTAAAAAATTACATAAAAGAAACATTTAACTTTTTTAAATCTGGATATGTAAAACAAAATTATTTAGGAAGTGAAAATGATGTCATCGAATTAGATGATGTAGCAAATATTATGTTTTATGGTGAAGGAGAAATTGGAGATAATCATCAAAAATTTATGCTTATATTTGACACTGGTTCAGCCAATTTGTGGGTACCAAGTAAAAAATGTACTACTAGCGGATGTAGTGTAAAACACCTTTACGATTCTAGTAAATCTAAATCATATGAAAAAGATGGAACTAAAGTTGACATAACATATGGATCAGGTACTGTGAAAGGATTTTTTAGCAAAGATTTAGTATCTCTTGGATATTTATCATTACCATATAAATTTATAGAAGTAACAGATACAGATGGTTTAGAACCCATTTATAGTAGCGTAGAATTTGATGGAATATTAGGTTTAGGATGGAAAGATTTATCTATTGGTTCAATAGATCCTATTGTTGTAGAATTAAAAAATCAGAATAAAATTGACAATGCATTGTTTACCTTCTACTTACCTGTGCACGATGTTCATGCTGGTTATTTAACGATAGGTGGAATTGAAGACAAATTTTACGAAGGTAGTATTACATATGAAAAATTAAATCATGATTTATACTGGCAAATAAATTTAGATGTACACTTTGGAAAACAAGTAATGGAAAAAGCAAACGTTATTGTTGACAGTGGTACAACAACTATTACAGCACCATCCACATTCCTTAATAAATTCTTTGCAAATTTAAACGTTATTAAAGTTCCTTTCCTTCCATTTTATATAACAATTTGTGATAACGACGAAATGCCAACCTTAGAATTTAAATCAGGCAATAATACATACACACTAGAACCAGAATATTATATGAACCCTTTACTTGACATTGATGACACCCTATGTATGATTACCATGTTACCAGTTGACATTGACGCAAATACTTTTATTTTGGGAGATCCCTTCATGAGAAAATACTTCACTGTTTTTGATTATGATAAGGCAAGTGTCGGTTTTGCCATAGCTAAAAATTGATTACATAAGAAGAAGAAGAAGAAGAAACAAAATTGAGAAAACATAGTAGTCTAACAGTGCTGTAGCGATACATTGGTGTGGAAGCAGTTGTTTTATACCAATAAATGGTTTAAACATTAGGATCAAAGGGGGAATGATCAAGAAAAAAAAAGGATTAGGAGGGAGAAGAGGAGAAGAGAAGAAGGAAGAGGGGGTTTGAAGACATGCAACAGAGACACATTTATAAATTCCTATATGATATTTATTGGAATAAAATGTGTCTTCCAGGAGAAAATGGAAATGGAAATAAGAAGGTAAATAAAAATATACATTAAACATTTTTTTTTCTTCTTTTTTTTCCTCCCCTTCCCCCTTCCTTTTTTTTCCCTTCCCTTAATTCATTTAGGTTATATGTAAACCTTCGAATCAATAACAAATATAAACATGTACAATGACATTGTAACAAAACTAATGCAAACAAAATGATCGATCTTTTCGCGCACACTGTCACTGTGTATATAAATGGCTGTTAAATAAGTGTTTTGTGTGTTATATATGTGTATGTATATATACTGTTCATTACTTTTTTTTTTTTTTTTTTTTTTTTTTTTTTTTTTTCTTCCGTATGAAATCATAAGAAGAAAATTAAGATATATGTATACAAGTAAACACACAAATGCTTTTATCTTAAAAAAAAAAAAAAAAAAAAAAAAAAAAATCGTAAAGGTTTTCACAGATTGCAGAATACATTACATATACATACATATATCTACTTGTTTTATGTTTTTTTTTTTTTTTTTAATGAGTCTCACTACATATTTTTAGAGAAATTTGTTTTCCATCTCCGCATATGGATGGGCTTCGAAAATGTGTATTCTTTAAGAGCAATAACCAACAGCTGTATATATATATGAGCTTTTACAATATTATAATTTTTTTTTATCAACCGTTATACAGTCATTGTAAATGTAATTTATTTTTTCCAACTTTTTTTATATTTTTATATCCCATTCATATTTTTTTATATTTTTTTTATATTTTTTTTTTTTTTTTTTTATATTTTTTTTTTTTTTTTTTATTCTTTAAGCACAAATATATTTTCATGTGTGTACCCATATTTATGCATTCTTTTCATGAAGAAGTCTTTACACACGGAGAGATGATAGCAAATATAGAGAGAAAATCATATTCTGACCAGATATATATATATGTATAGTATAATATATATATGCATGCATGTATGCCCAAATGCTTATATATATACACACTGAATCTGTACCATAAGAACATCCGTAATTGAGAAAATAAAGCAACTCCCAAAAAATAATACAATGTTGTATATATGCATAATATGCTTGTATGTATATATATATGTATATACACACGACATGTGATATAAATACTGCAAATTTTAAAACGACATCAATTTTACTGTCATATTATATGCTGGACAAAATAATCATAATATCAGACTACTTGCACGATTTGCTTTTCACATAATAGACCGACCCACTACAAAGTGTACAATTTGTAACATTGTTTTGCTTTAAATTTGTTGAACAAACGGGAGAAAAAAAAAATAAAATAAATAAATAAAAGGAAGAATTTTGGCACTTTTGTGCCTTAAGCATATATAACATTTACCGATTCTCTTTTTTTCTGTCTTTCCATTACGATACTTTTTTTTTTACTTTTTCTACAAAATGGCTTAAATCCATATTTACGTTTTCTGCGCATTGTTGAAATATACTTCTCCAAAGTGATGCATACACAAAAAACATAAAGACATTTTACTACCTGCATATGAAAAATTTTGAATTTGTTGAGCATCACTGAATTGTAAACTTTGGGGTCTTGTTACCCCAAGCTGAAAAAAGTAACACTAGTCAATGAAAGAAAATTCCACATGTAGAAAACATTGAGATAATGCATATTTTTCTAGCTTTTTTTTTTTTTTTTTTTTTTTTTATCCTCAAATTATTATATTAATCCCATATCCCCTGTTTATTCTTAATGAACGAATTGATGAAACAGAATAGTGCCCGGACAGAGCAACATGAAATGTGGGGTAGTGTTAAAAGTATTAATACCAATGTAAGCCTCCTGGGGTGAGTGGATAATAGCACTAAACATGACTGTACAAAATTTGGTGGTGCAAAAAGATCTACTTGGTATCTGCACACTTAGAACGATGAAACGAATAATCATCATATACATGTCGATATCTCGAATTGGCAACAGAAGTTATAATATTATAACGCTGTGAGTCGGGTAATAGACATATAGATATAGTGTGCATAAAATATGCACAAGCCTTTGGCTTCATCTTCATACTATGTACATTCTCGTGTCATGCACTTGTAATGTAAATGCCTTTAATAGATAAGCACATATTGTGTAAATTTAGCACGGAAATGAGTGTGTGCTTGTATGAGGTATGCTATTCATAAAAACAATGCCAATTATTATGTTGGAGTTTAAAAAAAAAAAAGGGGCCACAAAAAGGAATCATAAAAAAGGACCATAAAAAGGGACCATAAAAAGGGACCATAAAAAGGGGCCACAAAAAAGGATCAAAAAAAGGGCCATAAAAAAGGATCAAAAAAAGGGCCATAAAAAAGGATCAAAAAAAGAAATCATAGAGATCATAAAAAAAGATCATAAGAAACATATCATAAAAAAGTATATATATATATTCGTTAAAGATAATATATACACAACATCATTCATTACGTAAAAAAAATAAACACATGTAGGGTGAGTTGTTACTTTTGTCCTGTACTGTTTTGGCTGGATCTAGCAACAGGTCTCCAGGAAGGAATTGGAGGGGAAGTATTAGTTTTGCCTATACATGCATAAGCGTTTTTCACGTGGAATGCAAATACGTCATGTACCATAGCAAAACATTGTCGAAATCTCATCAAAACAGCAAGACAACCAAACACGTTGCCCCCATAAGAACAACGGATATGTGTAAGTTCTGTTCATGATGGGACAACCTAAGGGGAAAACTTCATGAATAACCCACGTATGCTCTTTTCTTCTCTTTCTCCTCTTTTCAAAGCTGCTAGTTATCATAAAAACTCTTCATCTTTCTCTTCCTCTTGTTCTTTTTTAGGGAAACATGCGTAATTGCATTAGTGGTACTGGCACTAGATGGGGTCCTTTTTTTTTCTTCATCTAGGAATTCCTTCATGTATTCTTTTTCCATTTGTTTTCTATAAGCTATGCATTGCTGTTTCACATTTTCAATTTCTTCATAAGTCATATTTTTGGTTACTAAAAATCTTTTCGCTCTTCTCTTCCCACCGCTTACTTTGTATTGAGCTGTCCAACTGCTTCTACTTTTTTCAAAATAAACTCCTGAAACACCTGTGGGTCCAAAAACTTCTCGCAAATTTTCTTGATCAACACTTGTAAACTTTTCTAACTTCTTAACTCTTGGTGATTTTATTTCATAATTTTGTGTCGATGATAACGATATGGCTGTTTTTTTTTTTCTTTTTTCTGTTTGTTGAAGATATTTCCTGAATTTATTTCTTCTCATATTTCGTAATTCTCTACTCGATCCTGCTTTGTTGCTTAAATCTTTACTATTATTATTACTACCCCATATTTTATTTTTATTTCTTCCCATATATCTACCTTTTAGTTCCATTCTTCCAACTCTTCCTCTTCTTCTTCCTGTACCATTTACACCCATACTATTCATAGCTCCACCAATACTTGCTGATCTTCTTCTTGTTCTTGCTACTACTCGGCCCCTTCCTGATGTTCCTATTGTTCCTCCTTCCTCATCATCATCTTCCTCATCATCTTCAGCATCATCTTCTTCTTCATCTTCTTCATAAAGTAACTCATCACCCCCGTTGGTCATACCCATTCCTTGTTGATGATTCATATATATAATTTCATCTATAGTTCTGTTCATTTTTTCAATATCATTTTTTCTTAACATGTGATATTCTTCCTTGTTCATATCATCATCATTAAAACAAAATTTGAATTCATCATTTGGGTTAGCATTTTCATTTTGAAATATATTAATATTATTGCAGTTACAAAAAAAATCACTTTCTTTCATAAATACATCTAGTTTCTTGTAATTCCCATTTTTTTCTTGATTCAAATTATTCTCGTAATTATCATATTGGACTCCACAACACACGGAACAGAAGCTCTTTAAATCTACAGATGATATTTCAACATTGTAAAAATCTCCTTTTCCACTTTCGTGCATGTTGTTACAGTCACTGTTCACGCCATCACTATTTGTGTAATCACCACATGTACCATAACTATGTGTATGATCAACATGTGTGCGATCAACATGTGTGCGATCAACATGTGTACGATCAACATGTATACTTCCTTTATTGAAAACACTACCTCCATTTGAATTCTCAATATTGAATAAATCTGTTACTCCTCCATTACTATCCACATTTAATCTTCTGTTGAAATTGTTTCTTCCAATATTATCTCCATCCTCCCTCCTCCTCACTTTTTCACCTTTCAAAAGGAACAAGTTTTTTTCTTTCTTCATCCCAGAACATTCGCCATTGGGTAAGTAGTATCCTTTTAGATGGTCATGAATGAGGAAATTATTACTCCCATTTCCCTTAGTATCTCTACCCTCTCCTTCCTTTTGCACCTGTCTTCCCCTGCAATTTTCTAAATAATCATGTAGCTCATTTAAATCAGTTATCAATATGTTTAAATTATTTAAAATTATGTTATTCCGCACGAATCCTTTGTTATGTAGTACCCCTTCTTCTTTCACGTTGTGTTGACTATGTGCTCCCTTTGCCTCAATCTCCTCCTCTGCCTCAGCATCTTCTTCTTTTTCATCCCTTTCTGCACGTTCATCACTCCCTTCTGCTTCTTCTTCACTCTCGGTATTCTCTTCATCACTATCACAACTATCATAATTAACATCACTATCTTTGAATCCACGACCACTACTACTACTACTACATCTGCGTAAGAGGATTCCACTTCTTCTAATGTTTACGCTTCCCAAAAATTTTGCAATAACTTCTGCAGTGCAACCTGAATTGCTCCTAACGCCTTTACACCACTGCCCCTGTGGTGAGTGGTGGTTATTATTCTGTTTCCTATCCATATCATCTGAGAGACCATTCTCCTGCTTTCCTTCTGTTGTATCATGTTGCTTCATCTCTGCAAACTTATTGAAGTGATCCCCAATCTGCTTCCGTTGGTGTTGCTCCCACTTCTCTACACTATCTTCACCCACCAATCCGCACGTAACATCATCCTTAAGATTTTTACCCCTCACAGGGTTACTACTACCCGAAGCATCAAACGAATGCTGCACGTAACTGCTATCAAAATGGGTATTGCTTCTCTTTTGAATTATATTTTGAGAGCATTCGTTGTTGTCTCTCCTTTCCTCTTCGACCCCTCTTCTACTGTCAATCATATTTCTGGCAGACTTGTCTGTTTCAGTAACACTTGTCCCGAATTCATTAACTCTGTAATGTGTTTTCCTAGTAGTATAATCTTTCCTTCTTAGTTTTGATATCTGACAGCTTTTATTATTATTATTATTATTATTCTTTGTGAACCGACTGAATGGAGAGATGCTCCTCCTCTTCCATCCCCTCAGATGCATATCCATACGATTTTGACGAAGCATTAACCTGGTTGTGTCATCATGGGATGATTGTTCATTTTGTTCTTCATCCCGTAAGTCACATAAGGTTTCTACAAATTCATTTATAAACTTTTCTGTGCTATTTTTTTTTAAATTATTTACTGATGAATAATTTACATCTTTGTATTTCTCAACAAAAGATGAAATTTTGCTTTTGTTTATGTAAAAGGAATTCCATTTTTTTGTGATATTAATCATAGTAGGTGAATGAGTACTAATAAAAAGCTGTAATTTCTTTTTAATATCTGATGAATGATCCTTATTAAAAAAATGAAAATAATTCGAGCATAAATTCACTTTATTAACATATAAATGTTTACAAGGATCATATAAAAAATTCAAAAACTGTGCTTCTTCATCAATTTTACTCTTTTCGTCGCCCTTCACATTGTATATACTATTTCTACTGTTTTCTTCCCATTTTTCCGATTCATCATTATTCCATTCTTCCTTCTCATTTTTCCACGTGCATGCTAAATGGTTATTGCTCTTATAACTGGTTGTTGTCCCTCTGCTGGAGGAAGGGCTTTTCCTTGTTTCATATTCTACAAGAGTAGGTGACTGCATATGTTGCGATGGTGATCGATCCATATAATCTCTTCTTCCAAAGGCTTCACCCCACTGATTCTGCTGCTGTTGCTTCTGATTTACTGACTCAGATAGTGTTCCCACTCCCAGGTGAGAAGAAGTGTAACTACAAGGAGTTCCAGATGCCCCAGAAGACTCATCTAAGAAAGTATCTTTTCGATTTATTATCTGGGTAAAGTCATAAAGAGTGATATTATCACCCTTGTTTGTAAATGTTGAAAATATTTTTATACTCACTAAATTAAAGTATATATAACAGGAAAATATAAACTTCTTTAATAAAAAGAAATACATATATATGTCTTCTTTACTACATAAAATTTTATATAAATGATAATTAAAATTTGACATTGGTCCATTATTTGTGTAAATATAAATAGAACACCATTTCTTTTTCCCAGTATATAAAAGCTGGTATATAGTAAGACAATTCTCCTTAATCTTTTTGATATCAGAATCGTATGGGTTCGAAGTGTAAATGAAAAATCGGCATGAATTACTTAATTTTTCTTCATAATTATTCAACCTCTCTTTTTTCCCTAAATTATCATCACCCATGCTACATTTTTCTTCATTGCATGGGTTACATCCTAGCAAAGAATCATTATTAACATTCCTCTGTGAATTTGTCCCTTCCTCTATTTTCGCTTCTCCTGAAATATTGTTGTATAAATTGAATTCACTCTGATCCACCCACCAACATGCCTCTTGCTTTCCCCCTTCCCTATGCGTTCCCCTCAAGTCTCTCTTTTCCTCTTTCTCCACTTTTTTATCTTCTTTCCTATTCTTGCTTATATGAACTTTCATTGTATGCACATACTCAGTTTCATTATACATATCTCTCTCGTTAGGTACATCTCTCTCGTTAGGTACATCTCTCTCGTTAGGTACATCTCTCTCGTTAGGTACATCTCTCACGTTAGGTACATCTCTCTCGTTAGGTACATCTCTCTCGTTAGGTACATCTCTCTCGTTAGGTACATCTCTCTCGTTATATACATCTCTCTCGTTACATACATCTTTGTCGCTATACGCATGCACGTGGTTGTACAAATCCGTGTTGTTATATGTTTTCTTGTCGTACGGGTTCATATTCATGTCTTCATATATGCTGAGATTCGGTTCTGCGTTTACATTTTTAACGACGTGATTTTCTTCGTTCTCCTTCTGAATGTTTTTTTCTCTTCCACCATAATTTTCTTCAAACAATCTAGTAGTTAAAAGGGAAATGCTTTCACTGTCGTTTTCCTCATAAGTACTGTATTTCTGATCGTTCAATTTGCCTTCGCATGGCGGAGTTGCAGTTGTGCTGCTACAACTGTCAGCTCCAGCTTTCACATTAAGAACAAACTTTTCCTCATCCAATTGGTAATGTTCATCACTGTCTGCAACACCTGTGATGTTAGCATCCACACAATTATTACTATCCAATTCGTGATATGTTTTCATATTCTTTTCTACACCATTTCCCTTATATGTTGCATTATTGGTGTATTTCCCAACTTCTACTGCTTCTTCCACTTCCGCCACTTCTTCCTCTTGTGCCATTTCTGCCACTTTTTTCACTTCTTCTACTTCTTCCATTTCAATTTCTCCCATAATAATTTTTTCTTCTTCACAATTTTTATTGGAGCTCTTAAAAAAGCTAAAACAAATATTCCTCATGTTATCTGCTGCATTCACCATATTACTCATTCATTCTATTCATCTTTCTTTTTCTTTTTCTTTTTTTTTTTCTTCTTTTCTTTTCTTTTCTTTTCTCTTTTTTTTTTTTTTTTTTTTTTTTTGTATTTACGAATGAATAACCAAATGGGTGCACACGTCGCCCTTTATATGTATACTGGGGGGGGGGGGTACGTATACAGGTGTACACCTTCAGATCACATATGTTTCTTTGCGCTACTTAAATATAGATATATATACATATGCATGTATATATGTACATATATTATTACTAATGAATGGAAAAAAATTGATATTTATTGTGCAATCATTTATTGTGGTTCATCCTCAGTGACGTTCTTTCCCCTTTTTTCACAACCAGAGAAAAAGGTTCTAGAAATTCGGGTTCTTTGAATTTAATTAATTTTCTTATAATTCTCTTGGTTCCCTAAGTAATCAGAATTAAGCTAGTCATTATCTGGTTGCTATGCAATATTCTACTTGTTGTTATTAGTATTACTTTTTTATCTATTTGTTTTATTTTTTACTATTATTGTTGTTATTATTTCGTTATTATTGGTTCTTATTATGGGTTCTTATGATTGTTCTTATTATTATATTATTATTATATTATTATTATTATATTATTATTATATTATTATTATATTATTATTATTATTATTATATTATTATTATTATATTATTATTATATTATTATTAATTTTTTTTTTTCCCTTTTTTTTTTTTTTTTTTTTATGTTGATTCTAACTTTTCCTACTTGTGCTCCTCTAAAGTGGTTAATGGAAATTTTTATTTTTTCGGGTAACACAAAAATAATTTCTACCTCGGTATATAATTATAACCTTCTATTATATTATGTGATACAAATACTATATTAATTTTTTGGTATCAGTGTCAATATATTTTATTATTATTATTTTTTTTTTTTTTTTCCCCCTCCTACTTTTACGCCTCTTTCTCCTCTTTGGTGCACCTAAAAATGGTGCTATTTTTAAAGCATAAAAACATGCAAACTTTAGCTATGCTCCTACTACCAATCCCCACTATATATGTATAAATATATGCATCTATAAGTATATATATATATATATGTATTTATATGTATGTATAAGTATATATATATATATATATGTATGTATATGTATGTATATATATGAATGTATATATACGCATGTACCTATTTATGTATATATGTATATGTAATATATTACGCACGTAAACATGTAACAGTTATACTCTCCTAATATGATTTTGCCCATCAGTAATATATACGGTGTTTTACTCTAACAACGCTTTAATTCTGTTTTTAAAAATACATACATATACGTATATAAATATATATTTTATATATGGGCCTGGAATCAAAACGAGTTGAATAACATAAGTAGTATATAACCGCTAAACTGGACTATATAGAATATATTCAAAACCGTCAAAATTTTTATACCTAATAAGAACTACTATTAGATTTGCTATATATTGGAGGGTATTATTTTATATATATATTTTTTAACTACTTATCTTTACTATCCATAAATAGAATTATTTAAGTATGCATGTGTATGTATATATATATATATGTATATTTTTTTTTTTTTTCTAATGTTCTCATTTTTTTTTTTTTCTTTTTTTTTTTTCAATTACAATGTACTCTCTTAATTTTCTATATTTTGGTTATTTTTTATTCTGTTTCATTTTTTAAATTGTTTGTTCATGTGAAGTTATAAATAATATGTACATGTGCTTAGGATAATAAAATATAAACAACGGGTGAAACAGTTAATCTAAGGCATGCGCTCAAATATATCCATATAGCTAAGTGTATATATATATATATATATACATATGGGTTAAGGTGTGCATCTAGGTTATTATTCCTATATATGTGAACATATACATACATAAAGACGTGACACAGGTGCGGGGGAACATAAAGGTCTTTTCTAATTTACATAAACGGTTATAATTCTTTATATAATCTGAGGACGAGTTATTGCATATGCATTTATCTAATAATAGAAAAAAAAAAAAAAAAAAAAAAGAAAGAAAAAAAAAAAGAATAAAAAAAAAAGAAAAAAAAAAAGAAAAAAAAGAGGAAAAAATATTATTAAAAGTATTCACAATTTGTACCAGTAAACCCTATACACTGAATTAGAAATGGGCGAAAAGGATAGATGCGTGCATTTACATGTAGTTATTCGTGGTCACCCTATATAAATGCAATATATTATGCTGTGCATAGAAGTACATCATATATGCATGTATATATATATATATATATATGTATATGAATATATATTTTTGGTATACTATATGAATTGGGTAAAAAGTTATTAATTCCATTTGGTTGCAATTTGTAGCGGCAACTAACCTTACATCAAAATGTATAATTTTGAAGAGCAGCAGAATTATACAAAAAAAATAACAGAATAATTTTTTAAAAGCGTTTGGTTATACATGCAAATATAGCATACGACGTACCATGTAAATGGATTCATTAAAAATGGAGCAAATGCAATTCTGTTGTTCCGCTTCTTTCTACTCACAATTTGAATTAATTCATCGAACTTTTCGTAAATACAACATATATATATATATTTTTTTTTTAATTAGTTAAACGTGGAAATAAACATAAATTTTATATACAAAAGGGAACAGAAGCTGGGGCAAGTAATAATATTTAGTATGAATTTAAAAAAAAAAAATAATAATAAATAAATAAAATAAATGAAAAAAGTTATAAAAAAAAAAAAAAAGTACCAGATGTATATTCCTTCATATTAAAGGAATATATATAGATGCGCATATATGTACAATATTTTCACGACATTTAAATATTTTTTAATTATTTCCTTTGCTTGTATAACATGTGTATAGGTGAATTTGTATACGTGTTCAAATTATACAAGTAAAAATGTTCATTCCTATTCGTATAAATTGTATACACACATACAAACATACAAACAATAGGGGTATGTATGATAATATTTGTACAGGTACTCCTGGCTCTAAATTTGGTTGCGAGCCTTGCTATATGTACCCATGTATATTTATAGTTATGATATACACCATAACTAATAAATTTAATCAAAAAAAAACAAAAACAAAAGCAGATCATCATCTGTAATTAAATGCTCATAATATATATACACATATATTAATATTTATACAGATGCAATAATGTGTAAATGATAACTAAGGACTGCAAATTTTAACATGTATGTTTTTATGCATGTTTAATGTGGTAAGATCAAAGAAAAAGAAATAATAAAAGAATAAAAAAAAAAAAAAAGAAAAAATTCTCATGCATAGGTGAAACGATAGGCATCATATAATGGAAAAACATACCTACCAAGTTAGATGAAGAATTCTGACGATGGTAGATGTAAAAGTTTCTTCAGTAATTTTCTTTTTGCATTAGTTCAGTTGATTTGAATATAATGTATTTTTATATGTGTTGTACACCTACCATTGTATGCACCTATGCCCTATGTGTATATTATATGTTCATATATGCATAAATATATATATATATATATATATATATATATATATATATATACACATACTTTTAGTTGCAGTGCCTTTCTATATTACGTAATATCGTAAGCACTTATACATGTATTCTCAGGTATGCATATTTATTCAAATTATTCTCGTGTCCCGTTAAGTATAGAACACAGGAGGTAACTGGTTTTCATATTAAATTTTAAAAAAATGAAAAAGCACCTTTTAAGTAATTCTCAAGAGGTGCATATAAAACGGACTAAATACAAAAACCGGGTGGGCATTAGAACACATGAGAAATATATGAAAACAAAGCGAATCATGTAAAAAAATGAAATAAATAAAAACTTGAAAAAAAAAAAAAATAATAATAGTAAAAAAATAAAATAACGATAATAAATAATAAAATAATAATAATAATGATAAATAATTTAATATCACTGCTGAATGATCACTATTTTGGTGACTTCCCCACGCCTATGGCATAAATATGTGCATATGTAAGTATATCTAAAGGCTCAAATAATGTGCAATAGGACACCCTTGATGTCAAATATTTCCCCGGAAGTTCATACGCACATGTTTATGGGTGACAAAACTGCAATAAACAGAAAGTAGTAAAATTGTAACCGTTCTGGGACTATATTTTAATACATTTAAATGGGGTCAACTGTATTTTCATTCACCTTGCACGTGTGCATAAATTTCCGGAATAACATACCGTAGAAAAAAAAAATAAAGTAAAATAAAAAGCCGGAGAAGAAGATGAAAAAAAAAAAAATAATAAAATAATAATAATAATAAAATCAAATAAGCAAATAAAAAACAAATACGTGTGAATATATGTGCACACCTGCATGTATGTACATTTCTTTGCACGCACAAGAATATATGTCATGCATATCTATTAAAGCACCAACTCCTGCACATACATATAAATGTGCTGGTACAGAATGTATACAGTACAGTCTATAACACCACAGAAAGCTATATGCTCGTAGAAAAAAAGAAAATTCTCTTCTACATATATGTAAATATATATGCATGTATGTATGTATGTGTATGTATGTATGTGTATGTATGTATGTATATGTATGTATACATACATGCACACACACCTTGATTTGCAAAAAAAATTTATCAAAAACGGTAAAAAAGTGGCTTCATCGTTTGACCCAATAAACATATATTGCGTAAACAAAAAAGTTCTTAATTATACGAAATTAAGAAAAAAAAATAAAATAAAATAAAAATAAAACGACCATAAAGTTCGTACGCTAACTGTGCATACATATATATATCCATAATAAGGCAAAAAAAAAAAAAAAAAATCCCACGTGACAGTATTCTTAAAATAAAAGTTTAAAGTATTTATAATCATAACATTCGGAAAAACAAGTGTTACAATGTCACAGGTGGCTATTTGGACAAAGGGCTTTCTCCTTTTCAGTAAAGGCATGTTTGAATGTATTCACGACAATTTATATATATATATGTAAACAGCGTGAAATATGAAAATCAACCTTAGGCAATGTAATAATGAATATATAGCATGTATGTGATCGTCACATATATGTAGTTGGGTGTAAAGGATCGTTAAGGTTTATGTATATCGAATACTACGTTAATTATGAATTCATGCAATTTCTAAATTATCATATTCGCCATTTCACAATTTCCCTTAGGGCACATTAAGAATTACGCATTTACACGCATGTACGCTTATGCATATGTGCTATATAAACTTCTCATATATGATGAGCACACTTTTATGTACTTTTGCACATTTATTATACACATAAGCACTGCAAACTTGTAGTGATGTTATGAACAAGCTAGTATAAATTTTTTCTTTATGTACACGAGAGGAGGGTAGGAAAGCATGAACACGTAGAACGTTATTTCTTTTCTACGTGTTCAAGCTAAAGCATTTCAAACATGCAGAGAATAGGGAAAAAGGCAAAAACGAATAAAAAAAAAAAAATTGCAAAAAAGCGGCTAATAATTGGCAAATAAAGAGCGAAATTTTTGTTCATGTATGACTGTAACCATTCCTGAGTCTTCTTCAACTGGATGTGTGACAAGAAGCTCACACGGTGCATACACAAATTGTAAAAAAGAAAAAAGAAGAAACAAGAGAAATGGTGTGTTTTCTCTGCTATTCACATGGAACTATTTTTTACTTATGGAAATACACAAAAAAAAAAAAGGTTTAATTCAGCACTGGGTAAAATGTTCTCACCATTGTTTCAAAAATATATAACACTGCTTCATGTCATTCTTAAATCTTGTGCAATAAAAAAATGTGGACAAAAGTGAATTGATGACATGAGCTATACAATGTATGGAAAAAAAAAAAAAAAAAAAAAAAAAAAACTATCAACTGATTGAATCATAAAATTTTCTTACAACTAATCGGTATATGGGCATAATAGGACAAGTACATTCGACGGAATGAATAATTTTTTTTTTATTTTAAAATAGCCTAAATGGAAGGGTAAAAATGGAATAGCATTAGGGAAATGAATAAAAGTGTATGTTGTAAAGGTTAAGAAAGAATTACTGAAGCGGTTAAAGAATATCTATTTATAAACATAAAATTGGGGATATAAAATAGTTTAAAGACTTGTATGTATTTCTCCCTCTTACAGAAATTCATACATACACACAAACATATGCTCACACTATGTATTTAATGTATATATGAATGTTTGTATGATTCTCTATACACATGTGCCTGTATATATGAGAGGACTATATATTTATGTACTCTCACATGTGGATATGTAATAAAAGTGCAGTAAAAAAACGTAACACTGAAAGGTGTCATATGGTTGGAGATTCTATAGGAATATAGATCTGTGTAAAGAATATAAAAGGGGTAGAAAAAAAAGAAAAAAAAAAAAAAAAAGGACATAATGGGCATAAGCAGGTGGACAGGTAAAGAGATGAATACACGAACAGATGATAAAAAAAAATAAATAATGCAAAGATACATAGTCATATAGAGTTACTTATGTCATAAGTATATATCCACACTTATACATATGATATATGTATTTTTACTTGTGTAATTTTACTCAAGTGTGAATATACATACTAGTGTGTGTTACTTAGGCATGAATATTCATATGAAAATATATGAATTTTTTACTCACATATACATTTATATAATTATGAGAAATGGAAAAAATTAAGACATAGTAAAAAAAAAAAAAAAAAAATCAAAATTATAAATTTAAAAAAATGCAAGGTTTGAAAAAAAAAAAAAAATTAGAAAGCATCTAACCCATATGAATAGAGTGCCTTCTTTTTTGGAATTTATATTTTGAAAGCAGTTCAAAGAAGATATACCTTTTAAAGGAAAAAAAAAAAAAAAAAAACAGAAAGTTGTTATTACATAGTGAATAAAATTCTGAGAGTAGAACTGGAATGGATTCTCATAAGAATTAAAGATTCACAATGTATAAAAGCACGGTTTTCTTATGTGTGTATAGATATGTCCCCTAAGGAGTAGTGAAATACTCTATGACAAAAACTGACATCTATGCATCCGAATTTTTATCTTCTTAAGCTATTATGCAGATCCACAAACATAAGTGTGATAATGCAATGCCTTATGGTAGTATGTGTCCTTTCTCACATGTGCATGCAAATGCATGTCGCACAAAAACCTTCGTAAAATGGAAAAAAAAAAAAAAAAAAAAAAAAATTAGCTGATTATGTTTAATTGTTATACTAGCCATATACAATATAGCTAAAATCAAAAGAGCGTTCATCTAGGATAGATATAAAACGTGAAAAAATTATATCAATGTGGAGGAATTACTCTTGTTTAAAAAAAAATAAAATAATAAAATAACGCACCTTCATTTGCACACTTGTATATACTTGATTTCTAAAAAGAGATCTCGCGTGTTAACCATTTTTCCGTGCTATTATTCCCATCTCTGCGTATTAATAATGTCTGCACCTATAGCTAAAAACAATTTGTAATCTTGCATGCACAGCGTCTATTCTCCAAAAATATATGATAAGCCATGGGTTCGTATACAAAGTTGAGAGCATATATATTTATGTGTTGGTCTATACACACACAATTAGCAAGCATCTGTTTAAGTATTAACATATGTACTTAAAATTACTTATGATAGCTAGGTTCACGTACGCTATGTAACCTTTTTTTTTTTTTTTTTTTTTTTTATGTCCTTTTATTCCTTGCAAAGATGACATAAAGCTATGTTTTTCTTGAATTTTTGAGATGTTCGATACGACGTGGGATAAAAAAAAAAAAGAACGCAAAATATGCAAAATGTGTAAATTTGTTTTTCAAGAGAAAAGGGGTTTACAATATCGTTACAATTTATTACAAAAATATTCGCCCCATTTTTTTTTTCTTTTTTTTTGATATAATAACTAGTTAGTATTAACCATCTCAAAATATAATTTCATACTCACCTAAGTATTGTTACTTTTTTTGTTTGCTTATTTTTATGATACCACATTATATGTTGACGCTCCTTGAAACATTTGTAATTTATAGAATGAGCATATTTCGCTTATCCAGTAGAATATAAAATATATATGCATGCATTTATGTCTGCTCATATTGGGGACCACTCTTAGAGAAATGTTATATAAATTGTTCTTTTGAAAATATTTATAATTGTAAAAAACCCTACCAAAATCAAAGCTTATGCTTACCTGGCTTGAATTTAAGAAAGTACATTTTTTGCAAGGTAATGAAAATATATATCAACCTACTGGACGAAAATTCAGTTCCTTACATGCATCAAATACAAAAATTGAATGTGAGACATAAAATTGTGTAAAATGAAGTTGTAAACGTTTTTGAAAAGGTATTTGGAGGAAAAATCACTTAATCTCGTATCAAATGGATATACAAACCTATTCTCTGCTTTTTTTAATAATCATCGCCCGCCTTCTTCCTTATGTTCGCCATGTTATGTTATGTTATGTCATGTATTTTTTTTTTTTTTTTTTTTTTTTTTTTTTCTTAACGCTAAACGATTGCAAATGCGATATATTTTTGCAAATTGAGGCTTTTCTCCAACAACCTGCCCCTCTCATGTAACTTTTGTGAGGCTATTTTTGAAAAAAAAAAAAAAAAAAAACGAATTTGCAAGGAAATAAAATGAAGAAGAGACATTATATTCACTAAAATTTCCCATGTTGTTATTTTCTGATTATTGCTATTTTTTAAAACTTCTTACTTGAAAATATATCATTCGTTGTTGCACCTGTCTTGTCCAATTTTGCATGCACTTGTAGAAGCCAATATCTCGTTTCTGTATTTTGACCACTATTGTTTTTATACATCGAGGTAACATGAAAATTTACCTCAAAATTGGGTCAAAATTGGGTCAAAATTAGGTCAAAATTTCGTCAAAATTTCGTCAAAATTTCGTCATAGCTGGGTTAAAGTTTTGTCAGAATTGCCTAAAAAAGGTGCATATGTACTAAGCTACGAACCGAATGAAGTAATCTAAAAAATTTAGCAAAAACATCTACATCCATCCTTCCCCGTGAACTAAAACCTGCGTTGATGCATAAAAAAAAAAATCCCTTTCCATTACATGCATTTTCTTTGTGTGTAGAATTGAAGAACAAATCATAAAAAAGGGAATGGTCCATTATTTTTAAGTGTGTACGAATGTGTTCATGTACTCATCACATCACTCAAGGAAAAAAAAGAAAAAGAAAAAAAAAGAAAAGAAAATGGAATTGAATGTAATGGAAAGAAAAAGAAAAGAAAATAGAAGAAAGTAAAAAACTACATTCTTCATTTTTGATGTAGTCAATGCGTTGTCCCATTTTCCAACTTGTCTAATTGTTTATTTGTGTTCTTATGTCCTTGTCCTCTTACCCATTTGTCCATCTATTCACTCATTTCATTCTCTTTTTTTCTTTTTACTTTTTTTGGATTTTCATTTGATAATTTCTGCATGCAAATGAGATAAATGTGATTTGTGCTGAAAATTTTTTCTCCTTACAAATCATCAAGCTGTGGTTTTTTTTTTTTCTTTTTTTGTGTGTCTGGGGATATCCCAATTTGTTCTTTAATTCGTGCTAACATATGTGCTTTAAAAAGTAGAGAAAAAAGAAAACAAATTGTAAATTTATGATTCCCAGAAATTTTTTTTTTTTCTTTCTGTACTTTTTATTTCGCTTTTAGCATTCTGTCTATTATGCCGATTTACAACTTTTTCAATTTGCAATTTTGCAGTTTTGTCGTTTTTAATTTTTTTTTTTTTTTTTTTTTTGGACTATGCATCCATTAATGAGTTGTCATGTACGTAAGGAAATTATTTTTTTTAGAAAAATCCTAAAGCAGGTTTGTAGAAATTTTACCCATTTCTCATTTCCTTTGTCGCGAAAAGTAAATTAATGGATACAAGAGGCGAAGAAAGTTTTGGTTCACCCGAAATTTTTACATTCTTGGAAAGTTTAGACAACAGGGGGGAAATAAAAGATCCAAAAAATGCAAATAATTTGGAAAGTTTAATCAATCTTGGAAATGTTAGCAATTTTGAGAGTTCTATCGATATAGGGAAGATAGATAATCTGGAAACAAATACCGATTTTAACTTGAGGGAAGAGGAGGAAAAAAAATTCAAATTAAAATATCAAGCAAACAGAGAAGGTAAAATGTGAAAAAAAAAAAAAAAAAAAAAAAAATTCAGATTGGAGTCTCTCCCTTTTTTTTTTTTTTTTTTTTTTTATTCATAATCATTAAAAAACTTTTTGTATGCCATACTTGCAGATTTCGTAAAAAGAAAACTGCATTCCATTCTACTTCGTTCATTTATTTCTCTAGTTATGTTGTTATTTAATTTTGTTTTTTTTACTTTCCACAATTTTTCTCATTTTTTGGCCGCTTTTCCCCACTTTTCCCTCTTTACAGACATCCTAAAAAGAATTATAAAAAGCTTAAGAGAAGACTCATCCAACAGCGAGACAAATTCCACTCTACAAAATCACATATATGAGAAGAAGAAGCACCAAGTTAAATCCATTATTACTGTCGACAACTCCAATGTGGAAATTTTAAAAAATATGAGCACAACATATGGGTACGGGCATATGAGTGAGTGTAGACACAAACACGTGGAAAAATGGGGTTATACACACATTTATACTTGTAGTTATATGCCTATGTATGAACATATTTGCAAATATATGCACTCCTAGGTACATCCAAACAAACGAAAAGCACGATAAATAGTTTTTTTTTTTTTTTTTTTTTTTTTTTTCCTTTTTTCATGCACACTAGCCTTTTAAAGATATTTCTTATAACGTTCTTCGGCGCCCTTCTGTTTTTTGCCTCAATAATTTTAATAAAATATGTGTACAAAAAATGCAAGGCGCATATGGAAAATAGGATGGTAATTAATCTACAAACTGTGATCGAGTTTCCCCTCCTTACACACTTATATATATGTATATATGTGTATACATATGCGCACATTTCTTTCTACATCCACATTCTCTTATGTGTGCTCATGCCCTCCATATCACTTTTCCATCTCGCAGAACAATTACGGCAGTATGGGAAAAACTGTATCATACCTTCCTTATCCTGTCATCATGTCATCAGAATAAAATAAATAAATTCCCTGTCACCAACAATACCTACAAGCAATATGCCATATATACGTACATATACCTTTAAACAGATAACTCATAAATTTTTGTTAAGAGAAAAAAAATGCATCTCTCGGCTTGGATGACATTTTTATACATTCCCCTTGGGAAGCACCTTTGTTAAGATGTTTAACGCTCGTATATGTATATATACATATGCAAGCATTTATATGTAGTCACATAATTTCTTTTATTTGGTTTATTATTTTACTTTAAATTAAATTTCATTATTTTTATTTTTTTGTAATCCATTTTTTACATATTAGGGAAAAATCACCATATGGACGAAACATATTACGAAAAAAAAAAAAAAGAAAAGAAAAGAAAACTAGACTTTTCCAAACCGTTCATACTTTTACACTATTAAAATAAATATTTAAAAAAAATATATATTTAGGTTAATATCACTATAGGTAAAATTTTCCTTTAGGTACACAGAAAAAAAAAAAAAGGAATTCATATAAAAAGACAGTATATATATCAGTAGGGTTAAAAAAAGCTGCATACGAATGGCTTCACTAACTAAAAAACTCTCTACTGGTTATACAGTTCATCCTGATAATAACGACGCAATAAGATCTGAAAAAATATGAGAACACACCTGTTCTTATGCCATGTGAAAGGTTCTCTTTAATATTCATGCTTTTCCATACCAATAAGGCCTTCAAAAGCAACACAGGTGACATGAACATACACATACGCATATTTCTTTCGTTAAAGGGAAAAGCCACTATTTTGTTATAACACGTTTACGTGAATGAATAATTTGAAAAAAAAAAAAAATTAAATAAATAAAAGAACGATAAAAATAATAAAAGAATACATATGATATATATTTGACTCCACCTCTCATTTCAACACAGCTACACATCAACAAGTATCTTCAAAAAGAAATTAAAAATTTTCTCCAGTCTACTTTTTAAACCCTCAAATATTCTTCTCCTTCCAAAGAATAACCCTCTAAATTATTTCAATTTTTTCCATCCTATAATTGTACACATATTTTCCTATCTCGTCAAAATCAGTTGTCATCTGCTTAAACTTCTTCTGAAGAATAAAAAAACACTTTTCCTTTTCTTGAACTGGGAAAAAGTTATTGATCAGGTTAATCAACATTCTCCACACAACTTTTAACTCTTGATTTGTCATTATTTCATTAAAAAATTGAATATCTTTTAAGGTGTTCATTATCCCTTTTGATGAGTCTTCTTTTCCAGAATTGTTTTCCTTATCTAGTTCATTATTTGCACATTTTGTCCCATTTCCTGTTTCCTTCTTTTTGTGCGAAAAATTCTGAACAATCAACTCCAATGTTTTGTTAATCAACAACTCGTATTTATTTTCGTCATTCTTCTTTTTCGTATCCTTGATGAATTCAAAAAGTTTGTCATAAATATCTTTGGATAAAACTTCTCGAAAGGATGATATCAGAGATTTTGCGTTATCCAACTTTGCACTGCTCAACTTCGCTCCACTCATCTTATCACCCCCACTATTACCATCCGCACTATCACGACCTCCAATATTACCATCAGCACTATCATCACCACCAACCTTGTTGCTGTTTTTAAAAATGCTCATCTCCTTATTATCATCGATGAGTATGCTTTTCTCCTGATTTTTCCCTTTGGTAATGTTCTGTATCATGCTAAGAATTTTTGGTTGGTTTTTCATCTTCTTGATCGGGTTAAAAACAAACTTATTTTTCTCCATGTTGTGTTTGTACCTGTTTCCCTTGTTATTGCTGCTCCTGATGTAGCAGTCTTGGAAATTTTTTCCGATTTTTTGAATATGACTATTTTCACTCCCTTCAGCACTGTTATTGTCACTGGTGCTGTTTCCACCCAAATGCCCCTTGTCATTTCCTTCAGCATTTGCATCTAAATTATGCTGTTGTATCCCTTTGAATAATTCAAAAAACTTATCTATGTCACTTTGTATCTGTTCTATATCTCTGTATATGCGAAAATGTGTTCTCACCCATTTGGAGATTTCCTTAATCCTTTGATTGTTAGAAAATCTGGAATCTAAAAAGAAAATAGATCCATAATCATTTTTATGTCGAATAACTCTTCCAATAGACTGGTTGATCGATCTCATGGCTTCTTCATTATACCATTTGTTTCCTTTCGAAACGTTTGACAAAGAAGAACCAGAATTATGTTGAGTAGTGCCTCCTCCATTTCCCCCATTCTTGTTATCGTTACTATTCGATTCGTAACTAAAATTGTCTAAAAATTCTTTTTTAAAAATAATTTTACTATCATATACATTTCCATATGGTAAACCACAAATTATAACCCCTCTACAACAATCATCTTTAAAATCTATACCTTCTGATATTTTTCCTCTACATACTCCCATGAGAATAGCTCCTTTTTTTTTCTTCTTAATAATATTTTCATACTGATCTAGTATATCTTTTAACTCAGCAGCTTTATTTGGTTCTACAAATATCGTTTTATATGAATTTATTTTTTCAAATATTTTAAATTTTTTCCAAGCATTGACAGTTTCAGTCATAGAACTATAGGAAGAAAAAAAAATTAAAACTCCATATGGAATACATGTAATAATATCGAAAATACAATTCCCCAATGCTTTGATATAATTGTCATTACTTCTATTTTCATAGGTAGACAGAAGAATTTGATTATTATAATGCGTCATACATCCTACAAATAATTGATGAGATTTAATCACATGATCATTTTCTAATATATGTTTAAAGGAAAAATAATTTCCACTCAGTTGTTTAGAAAAGGGTTCAATTGGTGATAAGGTCCCAGATGTTACAATAACTGAATTAACTTTTTCTTTTATAATTCCACATAAACTTGCTGTGGCAGAGAAACATAAAAGGCATATATTTTTACTCATAGTGTAATTATACTTATCATACACAATTTTTGTTTTGTTTTTAGAAAATGTTTTCATATTATCATAAACTTTATTTGGATCTGCACATTCAGAATATGCCACTTTTTCTTCATTAATATATAACTGAAAATATTCAATACAGTTGTTTACTGTGTCACTGAAAAGAATACTAAATGCTTTTCTAACATTATCAATAGTAGCAATGTACCTATTGATGTTTTTTACATCCATTTGAGATATCTTAAAATCATTGATATATTTGTTTAACAATTCTACCATGGATGTTAGAAGTGTGTGAAAATTTTCAAAATTGTCTTTAGTTATGTTTATATTATTTTTTTCAAAAATTTCAAAAATTTCTTTTCCTTCATAAGTTTTATGTTTTTCTTTAATTTTATTTCTTTCATTTTTTTCCAACCTTTCATTATCTAACCAAGTAATTAACGCTGTGATACTTCTATTCAATATGAACAATTCATCTACATTTATTTTGTCTTTTGTTTCTTTATCAACATCATTTACTTTTTCTAAAACGGTTAAAGTAGCTTTTATTCCTTCCAAAAAAAGGTTCAAATCGGAGTCTCTTAATTTAAATGACATTGCTTCTTCTGCCACATTTTCTATATTGTGCCCTTCATCAATTATTATGATACTATTTTCTAAATTTAATTTTAGAATTTTTCTTGTACTTTCTTCAAAAAGATAGTTATAAGGCAGAAGAATTACATGACATTCATTTTGAATCTCTCTAGTAGCATAAAAAGGACAAAAATGAATATTCTGACCTACAGAATTCCCTTTTCCTATTTCGCTCAGTGTTTCCACATCCATAGGTGTTGTAAATAAATGTTTTAATTTATAAATATATTTCAACCCATTGTGATACATACACTCGCCCATTTTCCGTGTTCTCTTACACATATTATTTAACATTGTGCCCTTATAATTGTAATTAATATTGTGAACGCATAGTTGATCTCTTGAACCCAAAATAGTTGTTAATAATTTATACTTTTCATTATTTCTAATAAAGTATACATTTTTCAGCTCTTTTATAACTTGTTTCAATTGACTGTGCGTTCTAGATGCATAAATTATTTTCGGAAAATCGCTGGGAGGTACAATTTTTTTTGGACTGCTACTACTATTTTCATTTTCTTTAAAATCGAATGTTATATTTTTCTTATTTTCTGTTATATTTATGTTCTCTGAAAAAGCTCCCTTCTTTTCCAACACATCAACTAAGTAACTTATACTTGCACAAAGTAAACATAGTGTTTTTCCTGTCCCAGTTGGTGATTCTAAAATAGCATTTTCCTTTTTTTTCAGGGCATTCAAAACACTCAACATGTAATTATACTGACAATCGTATAACTCATATGGAAAATACACTTCTACATCATTAATCGTGTATCGATGGTTCACATCTTCCTTTTTCACTACTTTGTACTTTTTATGAATTTTTCCCTCCATGATGTTTTTCACACGTACCTCCTACACATACAAGAGGTAGATATTCATGTGTGTTTTTGTGGAAGTAAGCACACTTTGGCATGTATGTCTACGGACACATGGATCTATGCTATTCTTTTCTTTCTTTCGATTATTTCCTTACAATTCGTTCTATATCCCCATACAAATATACATATAGGCATAAAAAAATATGGACCTCCTCTCCTCCCTTCACTTCAGAGCGAAGGAATAAGCAAAAATGTAGCGAGAGTAGGTACACGGCGTTGGGGAACGCATGCTCCTGCTTATTCGATGCTGTCACATGGGGAATGTTTCTTTAAAACTATCATGAGTATGTCTCAAGTTCGGTGTATTCTGAAAGTTTTCCAAATTTCCAAATCGAATATCACTTCGATGCTATTCAAAACAGTTTTAGAATTCACTTAAAAACATATTAAAAAATTTTGTCTTTATAATTGCACAGAGATGTCTTAAAAAAAAAAAAAAAAAAAAAAAAAAAAAAAAAAAAAAATTAAATAAAACAAAATAAAACAAAATAAAATTCGAATTCTCTGTCTCAATCTCCAAAAATTTATGCACTTGTTATACATCTTATACTTCCTTTGCGTCTTATGCTTTTTTTTTTTTTTTTTCTTTTTTTTCGTGGCACCTTTTCTCTCCACTTTCCCAAAAGTTTAAACAAAAAAGATATCACACGTGATAGTTAACTTGGTAAACTTTTTTTTCTTTAATTTTTTCTATGCATAAAAAAAATAAAACTATTTTGGTTTATTTTTATTTTTTTTTTAAAATCAATGTATGAGTAAGTTTCATTTTTTCTTTCCTCTATATCACTCATTCCACTTTTAAAGTTAAGAGGAAGATTCAATGTCTACTTTCGTGTCTGCTGTAGGGCTGGAATTGTATGATTATCTTATGTAGGAACGCATTTATATTTACTTTTTTGGAAAAATTTCCCTATTACAAGTAATTAAAATATGAGAAAAAAAATTTATTCAAAGAAACCCTCCTCGTTCATGCAATAAAAATTTTTAATAGAAAACGATGGAAAAGCACAAATTGAAGAACAAATTCAGTACAAAGGTTTGACGTCTAAAAATGGCATGATTTTAAAATTATTAATTTTTTTATTTTATTTATTTATTTTTTTTAATATTGTCTACTAGTCATGTACAATAATGTTGCAAAATAAAAATGTAGATCTTTTTAAAGAACACAAATTTTTGCATCTCACGTGTGACAACTTTTTATTCTCATATGAAAATGTCAAAACGGTTGGTGGAAAAAAAAAAAAAAAATGTTTTTATATTTTAAAAGCTAGTGCATAGCTTACTATGGAACATTAAAATGGAGAAATTTCTCCTGGTAATTTTCCACGCTTCTTCAAAAAATACTATAGCAATTGTACAAGGCGGTAAAAATGTATACATGTATACATGCATGAAATGTTACAGCAACATTTGTTTCCGTTGGAATATATAGGAACGTACAATAGTCCACTAATCAGTTCGTCATAAAACTGCTTCCTAAAGTGCAGGGTGAAAAATGTTCACATGTGTATCACCCATAGAGGCGTCGAGATTGTTTGAAAATAAAGAGTACTTACAAAAAAAAAAAAATTACTCATATCTGTGTGTATCAATATAATATTATTTTTACATAATCTAAAAAGTTAAAAATGGTATGAGATCATCATTTGGAGGTGAAACAATGTGCTTTATTTAAAGTGGAAAATAGCACATCACAAATATAACACACGCCTTTTTTTATGACGAAAAAAAATAAAAAATCTATGTATATAATTTTTGCTCTCCTCGCCCCCTAAGTGGGGATTTGAATTTTATGCACCAAAATGAAATCCTTAAAAAAATATTAGGAAATAGGAAAGAAAAACACATTTTTCAAAAATCTAATTTTATTTGAGTCAATAGAATGTATCGAATAAATGGCAACTTTTATTTTTTCAGTGCATGCTTTGTATAAGCGCATGTACATGCGTTTTTTTTTTTTTTTTTTTTTTTTTTACATACATGTAACATATACATACAAGCATATGTATGTATATATATATATATATATATATATATGCACTTTTTTTCTGTTGTTATAATAATACATGCACTTTATTTCAACTTTTCAAATGGAATTTTTTTTTTAAGTTTCTGATCACCCCCCTTGTAGATTAGTTTTTTACTTTTTTTTTTCGCTCTAATAAGCGCGCTTGCATATCGTCGAAGTAGATAGAGCAACACGAAAAATGGATAGGAATCTGCTTAATTTTTAAGGCTATAATGAAAAGGAAAATTTTATTTTTTTTTTTAGCTATACACGAAAAAGAAGAAAAAAGAAAAATATATCCACAACACTATTTCAACTGTAGGATAAAATGAACGACGAAGATAAACAAGAATCTAACATGAACAATGACGAAAGAGATATTTCATTTAACAAAGATACAGAAGAGGTTAAAATTAATAACCATAGAGATGTAACTATGGATGAAAACACACGAGTGTTAAGTAACATTAATATCTTCCCATATGATAACGAATTACAGAACGAAGTAAACAAAATGATTCAAAGGAACAATGTTTACTTTAAAATGAAAAACCAGGAAAATTCTTCAAAAACGGTGAAGAAAAAAAATATGAAAAGTAAAAAAAAGAAACTTCACGAAAGCGCAGCATTGAGGAAATTGATAAAAGCGGGAAAAGACTTGGAGAATAATATGCTCGACGAAATTAGCCAAAGGAGAAAAAAAAATAAAATAAAAAGGGAACAGAAAAAGGCTAAAAAGTTAGAAGGGGAATTAAAGGTCGGAAATATGACTGTCATTAAGGATATATCAAAAATGAGGAAATGTGACAAAAAGGCGAAAAACAAAATATACAAGTTATCATCCGATGTTATACACAAAATTATGAAAAAAAAATAAATGAAAATTGCGAAAAAAGAATGACAATTATTTCTTTCTTTTTCTCGCAGCATTTCGATACCACCAAACAGCTCGTTCACAATGTTTTGCTTATTTTCATGCAAAGGTATTTGCTCACTTATTTGTTTGTTTGTTTTTTTTTTTTTTTTTTTTGTGTAAAAAAATTCTCAGGTCTCCGCTTAAATAAACCTACATAATCTCATATGCTCAACGTGTTCAAACAACTTCTACATGAAACAAATGTATTTAGCATATGTACGAATCAACACCCCCTTTATTTTTATGGTTAAAAAAATGTGTGCATGGAAGTATATAGTGTTAAGTTTGCATTTACCTTTGGGATGCTTCAAAATTTTATGTTATTTTTAACCTTTTTTTTTTTTTTTTTCTATAACTACCATATATTTATTTAATATTAAAAAAAAAAAATCCTATTCGTAAAACAACACCTTAGTTCTTAATTCCTCATTCGAGACATAAAAGAACAAATTATATATGGTACAAAATCGTATGTATGGGAAATCTTAATGGTAATGTATGCATATATATATACATGTACAATTTAGTGCCCATCCACATGTACATGATTCATAGTAAAATGCTAAGTTGTGTGAACGGAGCAGCAAATGTGAATTCCAAATGGTTGAACTTTGTCATACTTATTCACTTTAAACTTATCATATGAATATAAAAACAAGGTCCATGTTAAACTTTTCTTACTTTTTATAGTTATTATCTTTTTTTTATTTTACGGGATATACTACCTTTTTTCTTCTTTATAAAACTGGTCACCACCCACCCTACTTTCGTAACATATATATATTTATTAAAACACAGGATATACTGAATATGTACATATGTAAATGTTAAATAAAAAGGGAAAGAAAAAAAAAGTGCTACGGAAAATTCATTAGAAAGAAGAAGGGGGGAGAGTTAAGCATACATTTTTGTTATAACATACATAATAATAGAAAAAAAAAAAAAAAATAACAAGAAAAAAGAAACACACCATTCTCATTGCGTCGCCTCCTCTTCATTATTATTTTCATTCCTCTTTAAAATACGAAGCAGTAAAATTTAATATATTCAAATATCTACAACACTTACATATACATATACGTGAAATCCATCATATATATGTGTATGCCACGTATATATATAATGTGATTATTATTTTTTTTTTTTTTTTTTTCAAATGGTATTTTAAAAAAAGTGCAGCATGAGGTATAACTCATAAATGAGCTTTTGTGTGAAAAGGTGCTGAATTGCTTTTGTGCACAAATCTAATCTTCTCTTTTTTATATATGACCCCTTAAAATTACAGCTGGGAGCCCCACCACTTCGAGATGAAGGCACTGAAGAAAAATATTAGCCGAAATGTTTTTTTTTTTTTTTTTTTTTTTTTTTTTTCAACGTAAACCAAATTATATTTACTTATTAGTAGTGTAAATTTGAAAAGAGTATAAAAAGCTTTTTTTTCAGGTTACATCATATATACATAAAAAAACGCAATGACGACTTAAGGGGGAGAAGAATTTATCAAAAAGGAAAAAAAAGCAGTAGTGCATTGTCATTATTGATGATCTTCTAAATTGCATTACGCATACCCAACTTTTTATCACTTATTATTGTATGACATCACCCTTACCATAAATGACCATTTACTTCGTAAGGCCAAAAATATTTACTAGTCATATATACATTTTTCCAAATCTCGCAACCCCATATGTAATAATATAAATAATAATATATATATGTTTTTTTTGTATACACCATTTTTCTTCTTCCCTGTTTCCATAAAAATATGCCCGACATTTTTCATACGTGTATCTAATAAATATGCGACGCCAGTTGAAAGAGCTAGCAAAAATATATACACGCATATAATATATATATATATATATATATATAAAATAGTGTTTAATTTTTTTCATTTAAAAAAAAAAAAAAAGAATAAGAAAAAAAAAAATTTACAACATATTTGTAAATTATTTCAGCATCTCTGTTATTTATAAAAAAACATGAATTCATTTCATTTTACAAATTAAAAGAATTTTACAAGAGGCATATTCTTCACTCGTACAAACAGAATTTTAAAATTACACTGTTCAACAGTTTAAAAGGTAATGCCATAGAATAAGTGGAGAGTCAAATATAAATACTAAGTGCGAGTTGTAAAATCTTTATGTTTACGTAGAAACTTACGTAACGAAAGCTTAATGGTGTAATAATGAGAGAATAATTTGTATACATATATATATGTACATATACCACATTGTGCTTTCATAACTGTGTGAAAGCCGTCGACGCACATGATATTATACTATACTTATATTTACATATGCTCGTGCATGTCATACATTCGTGTCAAGGAAGTAACTTCCCACTTAAAATCGTTAACCTTTCATTTGCATGAGGAAGGGTTACACCTTCCAGTGAAGTATTAAATAGCCGTTTGGTATATCCCATATGTATACATATATATATATATATATATTTTTATTTCCATGTGAATTTCTTGCCCCTAGATACGTAACCTTAATTTGTTTTTACGCGTGTGAATCTTTTGCATAATTAGATAAAAATATACTATAAATTAAAATTTATGAGCTTATATGTATATGTGTATAAACACATCTGTGCGAATGAGCCTTTTTTTATGAGTATTTTCTTTCTTTACATTATTGATATTTTAAAAGTAAAATAATTTTGCTTATATATATTTTGCCTGAGAAAGAGAAAATATGAAATTTTACCACTTTTCATCAAAAGGGAAGGAAATATCACACGTTATATATTTTTCTTAATTATTTAGACGAAAATACACTTTTATTTTTTTCACCTTCTTCTTCCCTTCATAGATGGGTATTAGCAGAGACGGAAGGCACAAGCTTCGCCTAACTGGTGGAAAAAAAAAAATTCACAAGAAGAAGAGAAAATATGAATTAGGAAGACCTCCATCGAATACCAAATTGGGTAGTAAACAAGTTCATGTTGTTAGAGGAAGAGGAAGAAATTACAAATATCGTGCAATTAAGCTAGATTCAGGCAGTTTTTCCTGGCCAGCATTTGGAGTATCAAAAATCACAAGAATTATTGATGTTGTTTATAATGCATCAAATAATGAGCTTGTTAGAACGAAAACGTTAGTTAAAAATTGCATTGTTTTGATTGACTCTCACCCATTCACAACATGGTAAGTAGTTAACCAACTGAATTGTGAAAAATGTGAAAACGAAAAAGAAAAAAATAAAAAAAAATTTTAATGCACAATATAAATAGAGGACATTAAAACTGTTAAATATTGACCTTTTTGCAAACTGATCATAAAAGTTGTTTTTTCTTTGATGATGACAAGAATATATATTTTTTAAATTTCCGAAAATAAATTTGAGGAAATTATATATTCATATTATAGCTGGAATTACCGACTGAAAAAAGAAAAAAACAAAAAAAACAAAAAAAATAAAAAAAATAAAAAAAAATGTATAAATAATAGCAACAAACATATACAAGTGTTACATTTGTGCATATTTGATTCCTATCCCATTGTAGGTATGAAAACACATTTGGTGTAACCCTTGGAAAGAAGAAAAAGGCAAAGTCTGAAGAAGATAATAAAGATGAAAACAAAGCTGAAGCTGAAGAAAATGAAGAAAATAATGAAGGAAAAGATGAAAAATTAAAGTCAAAGTCTTCTTATTCAGTAATTAAGAAAATAGGCAAATCCAAACAAATTGACCCAGTATTACTTGAACAGTTTAAACAAGGAAGAGTTCTAGCATGCATTAGCAGCAGACCAGGGCAATGCGGAAAGGCTGATGGTTATATCATTGAGGGTGATGAATTGTTATTTTACAAGCGTAAAATGGACAAGAAAAAGAGGAATTAACAGAAACAATTTTTTATTTTTATTTCATTTAAAATATTATTTTTCGCACGAAAGGAATAGACAAATTGGGAAAAAATGTAAAGATAAATACATTCTTTTTTTTTTTTTTTTTTTTTTTTTTCTTTACACAATCATCACGCACAGTATTATACATATAAGCATATAGTTTATGCATATATACATATGTGCAAAATCTATTTTACAACCTCTTTTCATTTTTATCAACCAACAAATGATAAATAAATGCATTCCCATACAATGTTGTTAAGCTCTTTAATATATCACCAAAATTATAACTCATTTAAATCCAAAAAAAATTCCACAGTTAATTTTCAAAATTGTGTAAAATTTTTACGCAGATAGTCCAAAACGTTTCCCGAAACGGGGAAAAAACGAATAAACACACACTTGTATTGTTTATATTTATATATACATATTTGTCAACAGGATGTAATAATATCCATAAAAAAAAAAAAGAATTTATCGAAAAAATCAAGGTTAATTTAAAAGGGGTTAATAAAAAAAAAAAAAAAAAAAAGCAATCATGGTAAATGAACACTGAACTTAAAAGGATGTGTAAGTATTCCGCAGTATTTATACGTATTTATTACCCCTATGAATTTCTTCATTATATGGTTACGGATTATTTTACTTGCAGTTATTCGCCTACTTTCCCTCATAGCCTTTGAGTATAGGTTGAGAAATTAAAATACTAAAGTTAAAGCAGCGTTTTTTATGTGCTCTATATATACACTTTTTTTTTTTTTTTTTTTTTTTTTTTTTGGAGATAATAATTTTAAAATATCACTAATATCGAGGTTTCTTTAAAAATGTAACACCAACATTCAGGGGACAAAATGTGTTAGTATATATGTCTACACAAATACTGCACAATATATGTTAATGTTTTTTGTTTTTTGTTTTTCTGATGTAATATGGACATGAAAATGTAACAACGATTTTCCCTTAAGACAAACGATATAAGAGGGTTATATATATATATATATATATATATATATATATATATATAAGCATGTAGGTAAAATTATTTATTCACTGTGCAGAAAAAATATGAATAATTTTTCTTTAATTCTTTTTTAAGGATGAACTATGAACATTGGGGAATAATTTCCCACTCAGAGGTGGGGTCGTCATCTTCCTCAGGTTCCTGCGCTTTTTTTTCTCCCCATAAATTAAAAATATCCTCATTTACAGATTTGATTTTTTTAATTTTGGCAACAATATTAAGGGAGAAATTCCTGAAGAGAAATTCTTCGTAGTTATTAACATCCAGGCCATCTAAGAAGTGGGTTAAAAAGGTAAAAATGTGTGTTTGCAGTAGATGGGGAAATAAAGATGCAAGGGGAACAAACTAGTGACTATCATTTGTTTGGTCAACGTGTTAATGCAAAGGTGGTTATAATGGCTGTAGTAACTATAGACGTTATAGCCCCCATAGACACAATAGCTGCCATAACTGCTGCCCTCGAGACTTACTGAAAAAGTGAATGTTAAGCGAGTTGAACAAGCCCGAGTTGTCAATGGAGAAGCTGTTGTCCGAGTAAAAGGTTGAGAATTTTTTATTTTGAACAATTTTGACTAAGGATTTTGGCAAGGCTCTGATTTTATTTAATGGGGGTTGCTGTGGACCAACTGTTGCCACAAAACCTAAGAATGTTGTTCCTGAAAAATGGGAAGACGACAGGACAGGCTTCCATATATGCAGACATTCATCGACACTCTTTATTGAATAATCTTCATGCCATAATAACAAGTATTTTTTTGGATGTGGAAATAATAAATTTAGAATTTCCTGAGCTGAGGCACTTGTATACATACTATTGATTGATATATCTGTCATTTCAAGTATGCGAAAATTATTATCCGTAACCTTATTTGATGCATAATGACCAAACAGAATTTTATGTTTATTTTTACTCATCATTCCTCTATCCTTGGGATCTATATTTTCTGCCTCGTAGATGTAAAACTGTTCTGAATTACTCACTGGATGGTTCATGTGTTCTACATAAATGGGATCCTGTTCATTTCTTTGCGAATTATTAAATCCAAAAATATCATTTAGTAAACCATTCGTTCCTGATTTATGGTTTATATCTCTATCATTCAGGGGGGTCCTGATACAACTACTACTCTGGATGCCTCCAGATGGCCCAGTCAATGAATTTCCCAAAAGATTATTGCCCAAAGAACCAGCCATAACATAATCGTTGTATATACTACCATCCTGAAATGTCGTCTTCCTTTTTGCACTTTCCTCTGTACCCAGTTCTCTATTTTCTATAACTTCCTGAACAATTCTCTGGTTGGAAATTTTTCCTGACCATATTAACTTAAAATACGTGTGATCTGTTACCGTGAACTTAAAAATTTTAAGGTATTTTTCAACTTCTTTTAGAAAGTCATCAGCATATTTTTTCCTGTCATTTATATATAAGTCCTGAAATTCGGATTTTTTAATATTTTCCACTGGGTTCAGAGTGAAACATAATTCTTGCAAAGAAATGGTAGAACCCAAAATATCAAACAGAACATTAACAAATTTTTTGTCATGTATATTTAAAAAATCAAAAAGAATACTAATATCTTGTTTACTACAGATATAATCTAAATCATCTTTATCAAAAATTTCTTGTAACGTTAATTGTTTTATTCTTAAACTTTGTCTAACTGTTTGCTGCATTATTTTAAAAGCATATATATCTCCATTTCCTTCAAATAATTTCTTTTCCATCATTTCTAATTCGATATTTTTTTTTATGAGAAGATTTTTTTTTTCCGTACTTTTGTTATAATTCTTGTTTAAATGTTCTTTCATAATTCGTCTCAATAAATATAATTCATTAAAATAGGTATATCGATGTTTTGGAGAATTAAAATTCAAATACTGTAATAATAAATTCACATGAGCATCAATAAATTTTCTATCTGAATTAAAAAATTTACATACACTGTATACTATTTGTATTTGCCTGGACAAATATTTCCTCAAATTATTTCTATCCGTAATTTCAATAGGAGTAAACCAGAAATGGTAATTATACAAATTTATGTGTACCTCTGAGAATAAATTTCCTTCCTTCACTTTTTCCTTCTCATATATGTTTAGCAAATCTAAATTTATCTCATCCTTTTTACATTGCTCATTTTTGTTCATCCAGCTGTTCATATTATTTATATTAGGTCTCCTTTCAATAATACCTTTGTTCATGTCATTCGTAAAAAATTTGTCCATATCATGTTCTTCATCACCTTCTTCTAAAGCTATGCTAGAAAAGTTATTGTTTAATCCCCATCCGTCGCTTATTAATTTGTCTTCATATATTTCTTCCTCTATAAAATTTTCTATTTCCTTGTCAAAACCAGGAGTTTCTCCTGTTTGCTTATCCTTATTCTTTCCTCCACTCATGGTATCAATAAGGTTGATATTTTTAGGATCACTATGTTCGTTATTATAGAAAGAATCATGTGAAAGTAAACTCGTGCTTTTCTCCCCCATGTGCATACTTTCATTTGTGTATATTTTGTTCAAATTATCATTTCTATTTCCAGCACTTGTGGAATTTTTTCCGTTTTGCATATTTTCACTTCTCATTTGTGTGTCATTTTTTGTCCTCCTAGATGTGTTATTGAAGTTATAAACATTGAATAAATTATCTGAATATTTCATGGATTGGGCATTGATAATTTTTTGCCTACAATACTTCTTATGAATGTAATATCGCAAGGTTTCTGCTTCCTGCAAGCTTATAATAATATACTTTTTATTTTTACTACTAAAGTATAATTCCATACTATTTAATAAGGAAAGGAAGCTATCAAAATTGGTATTGTCAAATCTATTTTTCTGAATATGATCAACCATAACTTTTGCTAAATCGTATGAATATTTAAAAGGATTAATATCTAATATGTTTAATATTTCTTGTATATTATCTTCCTTTAATATATTCCATAAATTCTGTAAAATTTCTTTTTCTGCATATTCATCATAATTGTTATGCATCTGTTCATTAAGGGGTGTAACTTGTTCCTCTGCATTATGCACACATTCGATAACAACCAATACATTCATTAGCTTCTTCACCTTTTTCGTGTTAATCGAATCTGAGTTTATAAAATTTTTAGAAACATACACATAGGAAGGAAAATTCATATATATATCATTCACTGCTATTTTATTCAGAGGAACAAACAGAGGATCATTATTTCTCATTTGAGAAATTTCTGAAATCTTGTTATTAATAAATGATAAGGGATTATTATTTCCATTTTGCTTTATTTGATCTCCTCCTCTTTTTTTCTTTACTCCAAATAAATCTGAATTAATATCATCCATGGTCCACCTATACAATTTATATTCATCTTTTTTACATTTAACATTTTTTTTCTTTTGATCTTCAGTAATTTTTTCTTCTTCTTTTTCTTTTTCCTTTTCTTTTTCTTTTTCTTTCTCTTTTTCTTTCTCTTTTTCCTTTTCTTTTTCCTTTTCTTGTTCATTTTCCAAACTGAACAAATGGTTGTCTATCGAATTGTCATCCTCTGCATTGTATTCATTATTGGTGTTCCTCCTCGCGAAACACTTTTTATATGACAAAATGGAATTATCTTTTTTTATTTTCTTCAATTTTTCAAACAAATCTAAAATTATTTGTGGCAAATTCATTTTCATAAAATCTTTTCGGGGAAAAAAAGCATCAAAATACATTAGAATAGTTTTATTAGAAATATCATAGTGTAAACAAAAGTATCGATATATAATGTCTTGCAAAAACAATTCATCTTCTTTCGTGAATATATTTTGAAACTTTTCAATAAGTTGAACTATACATAATAATGAGCTGCTCTTCGATGGTACTTGCGTTTGTATGTCAAAATCGATGCTTGTATTAAATATACCTAAATAATCTCTATAATTTAGTACCCCTATGTTTATGTAATTATCAATCAGCATCTTAATACTCTTCCTCTTAATAATATTAACTATTCCGTGCACACACAACAATTCACACTGTTTTATATTGTTGTTAATATTGTTTAGTATTAGATAGTATGTTAATTCTTTTAAAACATTCTCTTTTTCTTTTTCATTCAAATGGATACTATTATAACAATCAATAACAAACATACATTCTTCCCTGGGATTGAGTAAATATGGAGAATTCTTCTCTTCCTCTTCATTAATGAGATCTGTACTAAGATTTTTCACATGTACTTTTTCATCCAGATTATGCCTATTAATATTGGGAATATTTTCTCCATTCTGGAGTGGACTAACATCTCCTCTTCCAATCTCTTCACATTCACCACCTGTGGTACTGGTGATGTGGGACACTCCTTTCGTATCGTTTTCAGATTCTTTTTCTCTACCTTTGCTACCTTCTCTACCTTCGCTATCTTCACTATCTTTGCTATCTTCACTATCTTTGCTATCTTCACTATCTTTGCTATCTTCACTATCTTCACTGTAGTTCTTATTACATTCATGAAGAATTGGCTTTTTTTTTTCTGAAAAGTTCTTCAAAATTAGCTTACAATTGTATCTCGAGATGTTTTCATATTTCCTACCCCATTGATCAGGACACTTGCGAAAAGAATTTCCATTATGTCCATTTCTTTTCATCAAAATAACGTCCTTAAATAAATTGGTATTTATATTCATCAATTTAACTAGACACATGGGAATAAGGAAAAATATTTTCTGGTTCATACCTATCGATCTCAATCGAAAAACTCCTTGACTGAAGGATGAAATATCATTTCCTATATTTACAGTAACTAAGCTGTTTGCATTTATATACTGTTTTATATCCTGCCCAAATGTGTTGATATGATCAAAATAAATAAATCTTTTCTTAATTGGGACATAACAATCTTGCAATGGAATAATTTCAACATTAAGATGAAGATTATTATCTATTCTGTTGCTCTTCTGCTTATTACTTCCTTTTTTTTTTTTTTTTTTTTTTTTCTTTTTTTCCATCTGTTCATGCATTCTGGTTTTGTTATTTATCAATTTAGAATTCTTATTACATTTCTGTCCATCAAATGCACTTGTATACATCTCGTTGACGTACGTTAAGTCCCCCTTCACTTTTGTGGAATGCATCACATGATCATTACCCCTTGGTGCATTAAGATTGTGCTTTGTTACATCCTTCACATACGATGTATCTCTATTCTTACTTTGTCTCCCGCTTCGTCTTCTTTCTCTTCTTCTTCTCTCCAGGGGTAGCATGCACATGTGCTTTCCATTGTCGATGTATACACAACAATCGATATAATCTAAGAATTGTAAAATATAATATGCAACTTTCTTGGGAGAAATATTATTAATTAGGTAACCCGTATCGATTAGACTATTAAATTTGATTTTTGAAAATGCTAAACTTCTTAAAATATCAATGGGGGCAATTTGCGATGGTAGGAAAATAAAATTCACAATTTCAGGATCGTTAATAATGTTAAGTATTGAGCCTATCGTTCTTTTTTCATATTTACATTTGTGAATCTCTTCAGGCAATATATCATTACTGGTACCACTATAACCTACAACATACTTGAATAGAACATTATTTGTTAGGTCTTGTGAATTGGACGACAGTTGTTTTTCTGTATGTTTTATATACTTGTTCAAAATGATGCCCAATAAAAAATAGCTAATTAGTAATGGGTTCTTTTTTGTCAAATTGTACAAATCGTATAGTAACTCTTTATCGTTTAAAGCTATTCTGTCTATATTATCTACGTACTTTTTCCCTAACTTCGTTTTTTGATTCGATTCTCTCCTCCTTTTTATATTATTGTCATATATGAAAAAATTCGTGTTGTTAATGTCTTTCTTCCTTTTCCTTATTTTGGCTCCACTGGTTTCGATGATTTCTCTATACAGTTGGTACATGTTCTTTAACTCTTTCTTCCTTTGTTTTGGGCTTTGTTTGCTCTCATCTGGATGTCTACTTACCTCATTATGACCATCTCTTCCTTTATCCTTTTTTTTTTTTTTCCCACTATCCAAATTTGAAAACGATTTCCATCCCTTCGATTTACCCCGTTGACTTCTTTGGGGCGATTTTCTCTTCTTCTCCACTTCAGCATTATTAAGTTGCGAGCTCTCTTCCTTCACACGATTGGCTCGATTAGCAGATTCTGAATCATTTTTTTTTTTTTTTTTATTCTTCTTCTTCTCCTTAACATGTGATTTCCTCCCCTTGTGATTCTTTATCACATCGTTCCTTTTACCACTCACTTCATCAATATATGATTTTTCCGTTTTAATCAAACTGTTGCTCTGAACACAACTTTCACTTTCTGAGTTGCTCATGGTTGAATACGTGGCATTACTCGTATTATGACTCCCATACGAATTGCCCTTCTCACGGAAATGGCATTTCTTACGAGAGTCACCATTCCTATATTCCTCATCACTGTTTAATTCATCATTGCTTACTTCATTACTGCTTACTTCATCACTACTTACTTCATCACTGCTTAATTCATCACAGCCTACTTCATCACGGCTTCCCTCACCACTTTCGTCAAAAGTAGATCGAATTCTGCTTTCCAAATAAGATGAAGGAGAAGAATTTCGACCCACGGATTCACTTTCGGATGAATTTCCAGTGGGCGATTCCCCATCGGATGAATCGCTATGAACATGTTCATAATCCTTTTCCAAAGAATAGTTATACAAAATATTTTTCATGCTAAGAATAAAATCAAAATATCTCATCCCTTGGTATCGATACGACAAAATAGTTAATGAAACAACAACATCAACATTTGTATATTCAGACATTCCAGATGGAGTATCTTTGCCTATATATGGAATAGCCAAAAAGTACCTACTCTTACTCATTATCATTTGGCACCTATTGATCTGATCAGCTGAAAGGATACCATAGTGCACTGTATTTATTTTTGAAAAAACGAAAGGTAATATACCATTAATATATAGACGGCATAAATTTAAAATTTTACAAATAATGTAATCCAATTCATTTATTTGTTCAAATATTTTAAAATGATAATCACTAGATAATACATATAAATCTTCATTCTTCATATTGCTTGCGTCGACACAAGAATTTTTATTTGTTACTTTTCTTATATTTAATAATCTTCTTATGGTTGAAGTGCTAAAATTATTTTCTTTGCATCTATTTTTTACATTAATATCGTTGTATCCTATACATAATGGAATACATAGATAGGATTCTATCACCTTTTGAGATATCCCAATTATCTTGTAAGATAATATAAAGTAGTAAACATATCGAGCTATAATCCAAATAATATTATCATACCATTTATAATTTATTATGTGAAAATGGGGAATCATGGAAATATCATGATTTTCCACCCCTTTCTCTATCTCTTTATTAAAAGTATTCAACAAATCGTCTATATATTCTGTGTTCGTGTTGAAAATAATATTCATCGGTATTGTCAATTTTTTGCAAACAGGATAGAAAAAAAAATCTATCAAAACCCAACTTAATTTGTATCTGAATAGGGTTAAATCTATGTATGAATATGATGAACCAGTTTCTTCTATCTTATTTGACACCCTCACAGATCCATGCTTTCCTGTTACATTTCTATCGAATCCTCCAAAACCAGAATTCATATTTCTCAACACATTATGGGGCCCATTCACCCCATATTCAGCAATTTCTTCTTTCCTATACAATTGTGTTGACAAAGTGGAATTAAAATTATTTCCCATTCCATTTTTAATTCTAACTTTGTTGTCATGACGACCAATGTCTACATTACAATTGTTCATACTTGAGATAATTCCATAATTTGTAACTTGTATTTCTCCCTTTTTCCTTATTTCATCATCCTCAGAATTTATACGCAAATGTACCAGTTTTTGTGCATTCATATGTTGCTGCTCTTCCTCCCTCAGTTGTCTAATATGGTTAAGTAGACTGGTGCTTACATCTTTCCTATTTGCAACAGGAATTTTAACGTTTCTAATATCCACATCTTCATTTTTTCCATCGTACAGAAATTTCAAATATGGATTGTTCGTAAACACATCAGTAAAATTTCTCACCACGTTCACAAGGTCTATATCTCTGTTTATGCCATAGGGCCAATGTAACTCACTTTTCAGGGGATGCAAAACATTATCTATTTCGTCAATTAATAAAATGCTTTTGTTTAATATATCTAATATTCTTACAGACAAATCCAGCTGTTTTTTTAGCGTGTTATAATCACTAGGTGCAGGCACATGCCCTGGCTTTACTAGATTTCCAGATGTAGCACTACTTGTTATTCTGAATCCACCAGAACTAGTATTATTTATTGAATTTACATCATTTTGAAATCCTAAAAACTTTGTCAAAGCATCCGTAATGTGTGTTTTGGCCTTATGCTTAATCACGTCGAATGTTTTCATATTATTTAATTCTTGAATTGTGTTAATCAATTTCAAAAATAAAGATTTGATGCATGTGGGACTCGTGACTAAAATGTATTTATTCTCCAAGGCACTACATAAACTTATGTATAAATCTGTAGTAATATTATCATATCGACTGAAATTAAAATAGTATATATTCTTCTTTATTATGGAAGAAAATCTTGATCGGAATGTGTTAATTGTGAAATGAATTAACGGCTGGGGACACATATTAAATACTAAAAAATAGTTGGAGAAAATTAAAAAATACAATGGAGACAGAACAGTTGTTTTCCCACCTCCCATAATTATTTGATAACAGTACTGCTTTTTTTTTTTTATAAAATCTCTTTTTAATTTTTTTATCATTTTTACTTGTTTTTTTCTTATAATTAAATTATTCGTGTATTCAAAAATTAACAATCTCGGATCGTACGTGTAGTAACAATTGGTACTTTCTACATTATTTCTTTTGTTCCCCTTTTGTTTCTTATCAGGAACACTATTTTCCTCACCAAAATGTAATAAGAATGGATCCAGTTTAGCACATGAACTGTTCATATTTATATTATGTTCTTCCTTTCTTTCTTCTTTTTGGATGCCCCTTGTGGGAAGAAGTGTGTGTCCTTCCTCGTTCTGATCACTCGAGAAATAGCAAGTGGATACATCGGAAGAATCCGAATTGTGATCCAAAATTTTCTGCGCAATTTTTCGATGCGTAGATTTATTTCTCATTGAAAAGTAATGTCTCTCAGTCAGTGTTAACTGTGTTAAAGTTTTAGTTCCCAATTGGATTGTGTTAATTGCTTTGTTTATAACTTTCTTTTGTTTGTTAATAAGTTTGATTAATAATTTGCTTGAGTGTTTTTTTTTGCTATCATTTTCACCCGTGTTTTCATTCGTACATTTATTATCTGTAGATACCACAGTTTTTAAATTTTTTTCCTTCTGCTTCAAAAACTTCAACTTCAAATTGTATACCTTGAAGATGTTCAAAATGTTTATCACGTTGCTGATACACTCGTGTAAAAATATCTTTCTGTTCATTATTAACATGTAAAGCAAAACTACGTTAATAAATTTTTTGGCGTTTTCTTTTTTCAGATTCGGGTTTATCAGTGTTAAATATTCATATGCATACTTCGACATGAAGCAGCTAATCAAAATTTTTAAATTAATTTCCTTTTCTGCTTTTCCTAATACTCCGAATTTGTACAAAAAGTGGATAATCGTTTTGTCTTTATCAGCAGCATCGTGATCGTCACCCTTCATATGACCATTCTGCATATGGCCATTCTGTGCATGACCATTCTGCGTATGGCCACTCTGCATGTCTATATCCACAAGATCATCATTCCATGGTGTATTCTCAGTTTCAAGAGATATCTTATTTGCGACATTTCCCTCTTCTCTACTTTGGTCTTCTGCACCGTTCATTGCATTCGTTGCATTATTCAGTATATTACCTGTATCATCTATGAACTCATTTATACACTCAAGCAATTTGTTATCTCCAATAAATATTTCGAGCAGTATGTCCTTAATATTTACAAACATATTCACGTATTCCTTCAACTTTTTAATATTGCTAAAGGTCATCTTAATTTCTTCTGCGCTGAACCCGATAAATTCATATTCAACCTTTTTCCTTTCATAATCTAAGTAGGCCTTGTAATCATTTTTCATATTTTGTATAAACGTCTTAGAATAGGTGTTCTGACATGATACATTATTTTCTTCAAAATCAAAATTTAGCATATTTTTTCTTTTCTTTGTTATGTTGTTCAACCTCCCCTCATGGTGATCTAGCACATTCGATCCATTCCATTCTGTTAATTCGTTATTATTACTTGTTTTAGAATTCTGTGTGTTCATTTCTATAGGAAATATATTATTATTGCTAATGTTTGGTTCACAATCTCGCTTAACTCTTCTCAAATATTTATACAACTTCTTAAATGGAGTAAAACACAACTCATTGAGTAACTCAAATCCAACATGCACATTAGGTTTAACATCAAAGGGGTATATAATCCTCTTTTCACACATGTAATCATTGACGTTTATGTTAATAATGAGACGATATTTAATTACATCTGAAATGGAAATAGTAATGTTATTGTCTACTTCCAAAGGTAGAATGTTCTTTTTAATTTTTTTTTTTTTTTCTTTTTGAAAATTTTGAACGAATTTGAAAATGTCATTAAAGAAATTAAAAACAGAATCATTCGTTTTGAAAAAATTTAAATAATTTTTTTTCATTTTCTGATCATCAATCTTGGGAAGCATATTAACAATTTCTTGATGATTAATAATGAAAATAAATATGTATATAATTTTACTATAATGGCTTATATTATAATTGTAAAAATACAAAAACCTTGATAACAGATTGGCATACAGAAATGTGTTCTCCCCTTTTACAATTTTTATATTTAAATTGTTAATAAAAAAATTATAGATAATAAAAAAATTCTGTATACCCAAAGAGTTTATTAATGTATTCAAGTAGTTTAATGCCTCCACATTATTTTTATCATCTACCTTTTTGTAACTCATATTGTTAATTATATTTCCTATATTGTCATAAAGATTTATATTCATAAATATATTTTCATCAATATTGTTAATATATTTTACTGATTCCACCTTAGGGACGTTAATCGAAACAAGTAGATTATTTCCTCTTGTTTCTTTTTCCTTCTTCCCATTAAGACAATTTTTCAGTGATTCAAAATTGCTCTTTATATTTTCAAAATTTATTCCACTGTCCATAGAGGGATCACATTTCATCATCGTCGCGTTATAATTATTTCGCATATGTACATTTATGGATGCTGATCCTAAATGATTCTCCAATTTTTTATCTGGGTGCAAAGTGTCAATTTTGCTTTTCTTCCTATACTGTATTTGATATTTCTTCATTTTGGCTTGATTTTCCAGTTGTTTCTTCCTCAAAATGTTGTAAAAAAATAAGGGATTACAATTGTCCGATGTCAGCTTTGATTCTATGATGCTGTTAAGAATAATATACCTGTTATAGATCAACTTGTATTTATGTATGTTGATGTTACAATTTTGGTATAGAAAAATTTCTTCATCGATTGTTAATTTGCATTTGGCTTTAATGTAAATCAGATTATTAATATAAAATATCATATCTTTAATTATGTCCCAATAAATGTAAATATTCATATTTGAATTATCCTCATAATAAGTATTATTTTCATCATCCTGATTGTTTTTTCGACTTCCATAATTTTGATTTTCTCCTGTCTTACCACTACCATCCGTTCTTCTTCCACCCTTTATTTTATTCATATCCATACTTTTCTTCATATATTTTTTTTTACTATTCATGTCGTCATCTTCTTCTCCATCAATAATTTTTTCCTGAGCATTCAATTCTTTCTTTTTGTTTTCTTTTTCTGATGATAAATAATTACTATCACATGAAGACGAATTATCCGATGCACCAAAAAAGCTTGAAGTGTCAGAATTATGATTCCTTGTATCATTCAATTGATTTTTCCTTTTTCCATTTCGATTGTCCCTTCTGCTAGATATTATATTTCCACTAATTGTTTTATTCTTATTTCCACTTCTACTTGTGGTAAAATAGCTATTATTATTATTATCAATACAAGTGTTATATGGTTCATTGTCACTAGAAGAATTATTATCGTTCGGTCCTGATTTATCAAAATTCCATAAAGATTTTACATAATGAAATATGTTGTAGTACTGATCCGAATTCCATGTCCCTTTCCTAGAACTCATTCTGTGCCTCTTCTTTTGCAATATAATTTTGATTTGTTTTGACAAGGTTATGAATATTTTGAGTCTACATGCACATGAATCTACATCTGCATATATACTGGAATCACAATAATTTAAAATGTTTAAAAGATATTTTATTTCTTTAATATCGTTTTTACATATACTTAAATTATTACAATATTCAATTACCTGCTCATGTTCTTTATTTATATATTTGTATACAATAAAAAAGAAGCAGCTATAAATATTACGAAAATTTATGAACAATTTCGAGCTATGAATAGACAAAACGATGTATTGCAAATTAGATGCTGTATCCGTTTCTGCATTTTGGTTAAACATATCCACATTCTTATTAACATTCATATTTATATTAAAATTGTGGTAATAAATACTTACATACATATAATTCTTGAGAAGTACATTTATATGTTTCTCTAATAAGGTACATAAATGTATATTTTTTTTATTAAATTCTTTATACAAATTTGCAATGTTCAAAAAAAATGGTTTGTTCAAAAGGGAGACCAAAAAGAACAAGTCGTTTTTACTATTCTGCAATAAAACAGTGTTATTCATTTTTTTTATTACGTTGTAAATATATGTATATTTTTGAAGGCTCCCATTGTACAAATACATATTTAATTCCTCAAAATGGTACTTACATGTATTCTTCTTCGACGTCGTATTACTTGAAGTTGTTATATTTGTATTTGCACACATTCCATGGTTCTCATTATTCTCTTCTCTTTCGTTTGAATTCATTTTTATATCTACATTATCCCTCCGTAATGTTAAATTTAATCTTGGTATTTCAATCAAGTCAACGGATATGGGAACATCAGTCATATCGATGGTCTTATTATTAGTACATCCAAAAAGGGATGGCAAATTTAACGAATAAATTAGTAAATATGTTATATGATCAAACTTCATCAATATATTATAAAAATCTTTAAACACTTCATTATTTTCATAGCTCAAAATATTAATAAGTGTCATAGCCCTGTAATCATTATTTACTCTTAAGGAAGTAATTTTACTCGAATTCTTTGGTGTATTAAAAATTTGCAATTTTTGCACAATACTATAATGACGCATACCGCACGAAGATTTTTTCTCCCTTTTAGGAAGTATCAATCCATTCTTCATAAAATTAAAACATTTGTTTTTTTTATCCTTCTGTTCGTTTGAAATCATATCATATGAACCTGGATTAATATCACTCCTGTTTATGGAGGTAATGTCATCATCATCCGCTTCCTCATCCTCCTCAAATAGTCTAATGTATATGATAGAATTTCTGTTTTTTCGATTTTTTTTCGAACTCTTTATCTCTCCTATTACAGTACCATCAGCGTTGTACCAGAAACTGTAATACTGTAACAAAATATTCGGTAAAAATGTGGATAAATGTTCAGGATTCAAGTAAGTCTGCGCATGGATATTGTTGTATAGATTTCTAGATATGCTGACACTGTATTTATCGTACGTTTCCTTGCTGTTATAATAACAAAGACGAACATTATTATTTTCAAAATGGTAAAATAAATTTTTGCATCTATTTATACTTGTAGAGAAATAAATTTTTTTCACATCACTACAGTAGTATAGCTTTTTTATAAATCTATTCAATTTAAAATATATGTTATAAATGTATATACAATTCATATCTTTTCTGTATATTATTTCTCGAAGTCCATATTCTTCTTCATTTTCTTGGCTTCCTTTTCCTACATTCGTATCGTTTTCTTTTTTATTTTTTTTCTTCTTCTTTTCTTCCTTCTCCTTTCTTGTATCTAAATTTTTGACACTACTTTTTAGATTACCTACCCCCCTTGAATTTCTATCCATTGAATTTTTATCCCTTGTCTTTTCATAAATTTCGTTTTTTATTCTCCCACTCATTTGACCCTTATTATGATACTTCAACTCATTTTCTAAATCATAGCTGGAAATATTTCCATCTTCTACAATGGAATCATTCGTGGATGATGTACTAATGCACGCTCCAGTACTGCTGCTTGAAACTGATTTTGTCAGTTCCTTCTCTGCATTATCTGCATTATATGAATTATATGCATTATATGCGTTATCACGATTATTATTACATTCCTGGGTACATTCATTCGAAATAATATTTGTGGTATCACTAAAGGATGACTCTTCTGTGCTATTGATTAAGCTACTATCGTACTGATTCTCCTCATATTTAAAATTGAACAACCCCTCTATATTTTGCGTCTCGTAGTTTATGTTAAACGACTTGAGTTCGAAAAATTCTTTATCCTTTCTTGTCCCATATTGATCATTAACTCCTATGGAATTATCTTTACTCTTTCCATCCTCTGCACTTATTCGAATACTTCTAGAATTATCCCCATCTGTTTTTTTTATTTCATTAATTTTGTATTTCCATATGATACGGACGTACACATCATTATTTTCCTGCTCGTATAGTACACCCGTTTTTACTTCACTCGAAAGGAAATTGTAAAAAGTGGTCATGTTGTAATTTTCAAAATTATCATTCTCAGCACTAGCTGAATCTGTCTTCTTATTACTAAATTTCATATTGCCTAGAAGATTATTATTTTTGATATAAAAAATTCTAGACTTATCATATGGATAACTCATTAAATTTTTTAAGTTGATCTTTTTTGAGTTCCTCCATACCTCTAAATTATGCTTCTTACCAATAATATTAAATGCACAAAAGTTTTGATACGATTGTGTAATTAATACTTTAACATTTTTTTTCATTCTATTGCTACTGTGAGCTTTTTTTTTTTCGCTTTTATCACTAGTTTGATAATTATACTTGTTGTAAAAAAAAACATCTCTGTAATTTTTAAATTTTTTTATATTCTCATTTAAAGTAATAATATTATTATCCTTATAGGAAAATGTAAATAATTGTAAATTTATCAAAATGTTCTTTTCTTTAATTATTCTTTTTATGTACGAAATATATTTGTTATTGCTTAAGATACTATCCCTCTTTGCCTTTGCTTTTGCTTTTTGTCTTCTCATTTTTCTCTTTTCACTACTGTTGTTTACATTTTTGCTAGCATTCTTAAAAAAGGACGGGAAATTTAAAATATTATTTATCGAATTAGAATGTAACGATTCGGTATCATGTAATGGATTTGTTATCATTCCATCTTTCATGTTGTTGTCGTTTTTGTGGGAAAGGAATTTGCTTCGTCTTTTTTCCATCATCTTTATTTTTTTTTTTTTCTTCTTCTTCCTTTTTTTTTTTTTTTTCATTTTTAATTTTAAATATTTTAACTCATTTTCTATATCTTCGATTTTTTTTTTTGTCTTTGTCTTACTTGATAAGTTTTTTTCTTCATTTTGATTCATTTCACTTTTGAGTCCAAATATGCATCTGCTTTCCTGATCCATCGATAATGTACTTTTACATTCAAAATTATCTTTATTTATTTCTCCACTGTTATTTATACTAATTAAACATTGATCAAATGTGGATTTTTCCACTTTTCTTTCAATATTCCCAACGTCTCCTGCATTATTTTTCTGTTCTATTTCTACTCCATCTAGTAGACCCTTTTTACTCAATTGGCTGTTTACTTCTGAATCTTCTACATCTTCGTCATCTTCTGTTGATGTGAATTCATCGTCATAGGATGACATGAAGGATGAAGATTCATCAGACAAACCTGGAGTAGAGGATGAACCAACGGAAGTTGATGAACCCAAGGAATCAGTGGAGCCATATGAGTCTGTAGAGGTAAAAAAATAATTGGATGTGATTGTTTTGCTCCTTCGTCTTCTCCATTTATTATTATTATTCTCTTCATTCTTTTCTTTGAGTGACTGTTTCCCCTTTTCATGCCCCACATTTTCTATTGTGTATATTCCAACATGCTTAAATTTATGTGCTGGCAACCATTTCCGTATGATATTTTGATTGGAATGAAAGTTAAGGAATATATTAGAATTATACCTATTCAATCTTCCGTTATTTGAATACTCATTTTTGTTATTTTCATGAACGCATGCACAAATGTGAATGGTATGTTCAAAAATTATATTTCGCTCCATTTCGTTTCTTTCCAAATATTTCAAAAGCATGTTTCTATGTTTATGTATAGAAATAAATATATCACATTCACATAACGAAAAGGTCTTAATGAGAAGTGAAAATGTATCATTAAGGTGGCTACCAATAGTCGTAGATATTTCTAAAAGTCCCCCTCGTTCATTCTTCTTAACCATTTGGGTATATTCCATTGCCCCATTGTTTAAACCATCATTTGTATTCACAAATAGAGAACCTAGGCCGTATATGTTTTTTAAATCAGCATAATTTGTTTCAGCATTGAACGTGTAATAAGTAAGAATAAAAAAAATAGATGATAATAAATTCTTTACATTATTCCTATTTAATTCTCGAAATTTAATGTCTTTGTAAATTAATAAAATACATCCATGATAAATGCAACATGTCGTTATATCATTCTTTTGAATACATAATCTTGAATATTTTAACAAAATTTCGATAACCTCATCTTCTAATTTTCTTTTTATCTTCTTATAGTAAGTGTCCAAATTTACGTATACCTCATCAGAGCAATACAATTCATTTTTTATTAATTTTTTCTTAAGCTTATTAAAAAGATGAAGTTTTTTTTTTTTTTTTTTTTTTTTTTCCTTTTTCTTATTTTGCCTTGTTTTCTTAAGCTCATCCGGTTTCTGCTTCTTAGTATTGGATGATGAGAGTTTCCCATTGTTCGCTCCCTTTACCAATCCTTCCTTTGCTAATATATTTTCAATGTTGCACAAATTTCTTCGAATTTCTCTATTCGTTTCTACAATTAATCCTATGTAAGAATTGACATATGTACATATCATGATGATGAATACCATAATAACTCTACCATTATTACTATTCTCCTTGTCAAAACTGAAAAATAGTTCCAAAAAAGAATAAATACTACACAAGACATTTTTGGGATTCATAATTAGCTCATTTATTAGTAATCCATATTTTGTAGCAAAGATATTTCTATCCTTGGTTGGGATGAAATTATCTTCCTCTATAGTTCTATATTTATTTTTAAAAGTATATGGTTCAAATAAAATACATAGAATTAACTGCTGTATGTCAAAGGATTCAAAGCTTTTAATTCGATTTTTATCACAGAAAAATTCTAAAATTAGGGGTATTCTAATATATGGAACAGTTAAATATTGAAGCAAAATTTCTACGTCTCGTAAATCCAAAGAGGGATGTAAAAAAGGCAAATCATTCACATACAAAACGTCTAATTCATTTTCAATGTAAGTATCTGTATACATATTCGGATTCGAATATGTTAAAATGCAATTATTCTTCTTATTCTCATTAGATTGCATAAATTGATAAATGAATGAAAAAAAATTCATTTTTGTATTTTTTGGCGGACACATATAGCCACATATGTCAATTTTTCGATTAAAAACTGTAACATTTAATTTGTTTTTATATGTAAATTTCAAATTAATATCATCATATTTGTAATTACGCACTGGTGGTAATTTGTCAATATATGGACACATATAAGATTTAAATAAAAATAGCATATCACGCAAGTGATAAAATTCGGGTATTAACTGTCTAAATAGTGCATTTTCCCCACAATAATATTCTATAATATTATTTTTTTTTCTTTCTAATCCTAAATCTAAGCTAATGTTTTCTAATATTTCTATTTCACTTGTATTTATATCATCACTTTTTTCAAATAAAAAGAGTTGACTATTTTTGTTAATTTTTTTTTCATTAATTTTGTAAAAGTATTCAATAATATCTGATCTCATAATGTTTAACTTTGGATTAATAATGAGGAAATATTTACTAAAACATTCAAGTGCTGATATATCTATACAATATCCTGACAGTTTTATTTCCGTTCCTATCCCTGTATGTAAGTACTCATCCAGAGAGGAATAACTCTCATTTTCCAATATATTTCGAGAAAACTGTTTCATCATTTGGAATCGGCTTATTTTTCTATTTCTCCCTTTGTTTTGCCCTTGTTTCATAATTTCTCCTTCATATTGTCTTCCACAGATGGATTCACTGCAATTACTAAAGCTGCTATTTCCACTACCAAATTTATCAGTCCTCCTGCTTCTACCCCTTTGATAAACAAAATAATTGTTTTCCCCTGTGGAAAATCCATTGTAATGCACAGAGAAAGGAGAATTGACATCATCGCAAGGTATTCTTAGCAAAAAATCGTACAGAAATAAAAGCATCGAGCAGTTAATAATTTTGTACATAACAATCTGCTTATTCTGTACAATGGAACAGGAAATAAAATAGATATTATTATTCATGTGATATATTTGGTTAAAGAGACTAATTTGTAGAGATCTTTTCAATTTTTGAAATTTCGATAAATAAATAAAATGTTTAGGAGATGGTAATATATTATTAAGGACATGCGAGATAAATGAAAAAGCCAACAAATAACAATGTTTAATATAATTTTTCTGATTAATTAATATATTTGTTACAATATTCGTTTGGTATATTATTATGTATAAGTCATTAAAACATTGAATTGTTCTCTTCGAAAGGTAAAAAGATATTGGTATATTCACATCCTTTCTTATTTCTATTTTTCGATAATTCTTGTATAACTCTTCTTCTAACAATATATTCATGGGAAATTTAATACTATTTTTATAATCTTTATTTCTGATTAATTCCCCACCACTGGTTAACGCTACATGTGCGTAAAATTTCGATTCCATCTTACTATACATGTGCTTTACAAATAGAACCTTTTTTAGTATTTCATTCAGGATATCATTTTTTATCATTTTTCTTTTTTCATATATTCCCATTTTCATTTTACAAAAATATAGGTGAAACAGAACACACAATTTTCTTATACTCATGTCAAGAAACACAAAAAATGTGTGATCTATTTTATTTACATTTTTTTTCATTTCATTTTGTCCAAATGTACTATTTGGAGAAATGGTACAATCATTTTGTGTGTACACATATCCCTCTCCCCTTTGGTCGTAATTTCCATTCAAGTGATTGTTACTATCGAATAAAGGAGAAGAAGGAACAGGACTACCACTTCCATATTCCATATTATCAAAAAATGTATCAATCTTATCACTTCTGTAATTTCCTTGATCTTCTTTTGCAATTTTGTTGAACCGAGGGTTCGACTTATCTTGTCTGTTTCTCTCTGCATTGTCATATACAAACAAATCATCACATAATTTCAAAATGATACTATAGTAAAGAAAAATTTTAAAAACTTCAATATCCTCTTCTTGTATATTCAAAACTTTAAGCATATGAATTATGCAATAATATAAACACATAGAAAAGGACGTAAATTTATTTTTATAAATATTAACATATATACCACCTCCATATTTATCATTTTCACTTCTTGTATTTTTATTTCCTCGTCCATCTGAGAAAACATTCTTATCAGAGTATCTTTCATCATACAAATGAGGACTCATTGAATCATTGTGCATGGTATTGACATTATATTCGAAGTTATCCCATTCCTGATGATTCACATTTTGATCAAAATCGAACGAATTGAAATAGTCCAATTTTTTATGTGTACTATTTTCATTTTTGTAAATTTTGTTCTCGTTCTGGAAATCCTTTGTTCTACTGCTTGCTTGGTCAAAATTTATCAAATTACCAGAATGGATGAAATTATTAAAATTTCCCACTGTGCCATTATTAATATTCAAATTTGAATTATCTGAATAGTTATATGAATCGTTAAGGAATTTTTTTGCATTAGACAAGTTCCCAATTTTATTGAATGTATCATTATAATAATCAAAATTTGAAACATCATTTTTTTCCCCACTGATTTTGTTCATAGATGGGTAAAATTTCTTGTTACTTGTAGGACTACTACCACTCATACCATCGAATATATTTTTTTCATCTGCCTGCTGAGCCACCTTAATCGTTTTATTATTAGACAAATTCCAATTGTTTGTTAAAAAAGAATTATTCAAATATGGCAATAATACCTGATATAATATATCAACATTATCAGGATTAGGAAAGATATAAAGTCTATATAAACATAACCAAAATAGAGAATTTGTTAAAAAAATTTTGTTAATATTTCTTATACACAGTGTTACATCTCTTAATAATACTCCTAAGTTTTCCACCTCATCAATTTTAAATGGATGATATTGAATACCATACACAGAATTATTTAAGACTGTGAAACTGTATATATTATTTTTTTTATGTATTATATATAAAATTTTCACTAACATTTTTTCTTTCTGTAAATAAAACCCACCAGGTAAAATCAAAAAATTATTTTCATTTAAATTCTCAATTTTATTGATTATATCTAAAATAAATGTATATAAATTGTTTACATCTAAGTATCCATTTTTTCTATGATTGTACGTGTGGTAGATAGAATATATTCTTAAAAACAAACTATAGTCACAATTATATAATTGATTTTTTACAAAATGAAATACTTCTGAAACTTTTTTATAATTTAATGTATCATTTATTGTGCTATTATTGTAACTTATTTTCCCCAACAAATTATCTAACAACTGAACAAACATGCAAATGTGATTACTTATGTTAATGCTAAGACTCTCTACTTCATTGTCATCTTTTCTTTTTCTCACAATTTCGTATACATTGTCCTTTGTGCTGATATTTAGTTCATAAAAATCTTCGCTCAAAAATTCCAGCGAATATGTATTATTCCAGATATAGTTGCTCATCTTGTATAACCCCACTTCCTTTGCAGGATTGAAAAAATAAAGTGAGGGGCGTCCCTATCTCTCTCTGTGTCTGTCTGTCCGCGCGTGTCTGCTTGTCTCCCTGTGTGCTCAAGTAAAATATGCAGTGATTTATATAAACCCTTTAATTACTTATATGCACATATGGATGGATCTGTTATGTCAAAGGTCGTAGGAAGAACCTACACAAACGAAATGACTCATCGAGGTACACTCTTCACCACAGTACTGCATGTTACAATTTCAACATGCCAAACATGTGTGCACTTGGAAATACTTTTAGCAAAAACATTCCATCTTCCTCCATTCGTTCAGATCTTCGTATGTCCTCACACGCATGCTCACACAATGGTTCATGTATACGCATGTATTGTGTTGCCTTTGGGTGATAAAAAAAAAAATAAAATAAAAAATGCACCTTGGGAATAATAAACAGAAACACAGTCGTTTATGTTCTGTTTCTTTTTCTATTGTATATTAATGTATTCATATGCTGGCCCTTTTTAAATGATCGCACCTTTGTCGAAAGTATTGACTAACTGACAAAGCTATGCACGAACAGACGCCATGTATACTTACACATAATATGAGCACTTATAAATTGTGCTTGTAACATGAAAATAGCATAAGTATTCTTGAAAGCGCCTTATTTTTTCTATGAAAAAATAAGTTTCATCGTAAAAAAGATGAATTCGCAGGAAAAAAAAAATAAATAAATAAATTAAAAGAAAAGAAAAGAAAAGGATAAATAAAAATACGAGAAAAAATGTGAAAAGGTGTTTGAACAAATGTTGAACAAAAAAGTGAACGCCAACTTGAAAGTGAACTTAAATGCAAACTTAAGTACAAGCTTAATGCGAACAAAAATTTGAACAAAAACATGTGCATAATAATATATGAACAGAAATGATAATTTTTAAATTTCCGGGTACTATGAATTGTGACGAAAAAACGACGCAAAAGAGTAAAAAAATTTTGAACTAATCTTTATTTCTCAAAGATTAAAAAGAAAAAAAAAAAAAAAAAAAAAAACATGTCATCCGTCAATATATTTTTTCACATTTATATGCTTATGAGCCCAAGCCATATTGCTTTACATATTTTTTCATTGCTTATATTTTGTCATTTCCTCGTGAAATTACTAAAGGACAATCCTTTATTTGTAAACAATATGGGGAAATGCAAATGTTCAAGTGCTGAACAAATGTTGTAATTTGACATGTTAACAAAATAGGATATTAAATCCTCAACTTCAATAGGAGGAGAAATGTTTTTGCTTGATCAGTGACTCCACAAAAAAAAATTCGTTTCAGGGAACCTGCTACATGGGACTTAATCAGATTGGCAAAAGACTAAATTGTGCATGCACAAATTTCTTCTTTTGTTCATCTTCATTCCAATCAATTAAATGCTCTTTATACTTTATATAATTTCTTCATTTTTTGTTTTTTTTTCCCCAAACTTCATGTATTGCATAAAGGAGTCATGTTAACAATAATTAGTAAAGTATGCCGTATATCAAATATTGTGATCAAATGGGCTAAAAGGGAGAACTAGTTTTTATTTTGGAAAAAAATAAATGGCGTGAGCGGATGTGTTGGAATTGTATAATATATATGTCCATATATACAAATACAGATTTAGGGTAATTAAGTTCGGGAACCCCAATTCATAGTCGCTTTAAGATTTTTCATGGACACCCCAACAATTACACCTTTCCTTTTCTTTTCTTCTCCCTGTGTAATTGTATTGTATATACACCTACACAGACGGCGTTTATCGAGTTTATTCTTTTGAAGAAAAATAAAGAATGCAAACATGTGAGAAAGGGTATATATGTAAATATATTTTTTGTGTATAGGTATTTTTATTATAACTTTTACTAGTGCATTTTATACGCTTGCCTTAAAATAGTTTCCCCACACTTTCTTTTTACACCCATATTTTACAAGGCACCCCTTTTTAACAATAAGATATATAGGAACTTTATTGGATAAAAATTCAAGACAAAAAAAAAAAAAAAAAAAAAAAGTCATATACTGATCAGTCACGAAAAAGGAAAAATAAAAAATTATATTTTTTTACATATGACATTTTAGTAAAAAGTAAAAAATTTTGATGCAATGCTAACAAATATGTACAGCAGTGAAACGATTTTCTATTATAAAGGGGAAAATAGGAAAATGTTTAAAAAGGAAAAGAAAAAATGAGTGTGCAAGGGGAATAAAATAATGCTATAGTTAAAATAAATTTTTCCTATACATATTAAACCAGAAACAGTTGAAAGCAAGCACACAACTGATTTGAGCCATACTTTAAAGTTTAAACGCTCAGGAAAATTGCCTTTATTTATGGGATATTCCTTTTTTTGCTTGAACGAAGCTTCCACTTTAAGTATATAAAAGGGAAGGTAATATTCCTCTCTATTTAAACATATATGCATATATATACACACATACAGATATGTATACTTAAACGCTTTAAAAAAACGGATTAAACATATTTCAAACCTACGGGGTATAACACTGTTCCTTTAACCTGAATATGGCTATTTTAATACTAATAAAAGTATTAATATGTGAAAAAATTTAAACGTCTTTATATATATTTTGATTAACCTATTTAAATCATAGAATATTTTTTTTCTTCCCTCACATTTTTTAAAAAGGCAATGTTTTATAATTTTTTTAATTCACAAACAAAACCAAGGTACTGAAAATGCGAAGCATTTGAATTGTCGAATAATTGTGATTAATGAGGATAATTATTTACGCTTCTATAAATAAATATGTTAAGGTTTACGATCATTTTCTGGTACACTTTTTTTTTTTTTTTTTTTTTTTTACCGCATTGAATCATATGGTGTCGCCATTAGTGCTTCTACACATATATTGCAATTTTTTTTTTTTTTTTCAACTATTATCTGTCTAATGTGCAAAAGGACAGAAGCATCAACCTTTTGCAGAAGTATTATCTAAAGTATTCCCCTTTATCTTTGTACTTTCTTAAAACTTTTACTTTGCTTTTTTGCAATAAAATCTCCTAATTTTGAAAATTCATATAATGCAACGATTGACAATAGATAGGTGTTCACTTGAATAAGCGCAAAATTATCCCCATGTACGTGTTAACTTTTGAAGAACACATAATTTTGAAAGACGTCATTCTTTTTCCTTTTCATGCTTCTTTTGTATAAACACATATATGATAATATTTCCTAATCTCTTGTTATATTAAGTTATAAAATAAGAATAAAATTTCACCCACTTTTTGTGAAATACCGAAAAATATAAAAGTTCAAAATTTCAATTCCAATTTGCAATATTTATATAAATTAATGAAAGTGGAGGTTCGACAATCACACTCATTTTTACTTCATTAAGAATTTGTGCATTGTCATGATTAGGACGTATTAGTACCTGTTCAAATGCATCACGTTTTGCGTCTCATACTTCCTCTACATCTTCCATCACTTTTGATTCTCCATTTATTGTGCACACCCCACTGCGGTTTTCCATATATTTCATTTAAACTAAATCATTTGTGATTTCCAAAAATAGACGCAAGATGAACAAGTATATGAGTTCAAGTAGCTCCATTTTGAATAATAGAAAAAATGTAGAGAATGCCATAAAAACTAATATAATGGCTGAAAAAGGCATGGAGGGGAATAAGAATAAAACCAATGAAGAAATTTATTTCGAAATAAAAAAGAATTTATTAAAATTAGAAAAAGTATTTTTAGAGAATGTGCTTTTACAAGTTAAAAAAAAAAACACTGCTGGGAATAAAAATTCTGTTGAAAAATTAGCCATAAACGAATTAAATAAATACAAGAAAAATATTGAATTGTTAAAGAGCAAAGTAAGCATAGAAGACAATACTGACAAAATAGTTAAACTCGAAAACAAATTAAAAGAAAATGAAGAAATATTACAAAAATTAAATAATGACAAGGAGGGCCTAGAAAACATTTCAAAGCAACAATTAAAAGCGATAGATGAAATTTGTCTAAATGAAACACAATTATCAATACAAACAAAATATGAAGAAATCAGACAGTTAAAGGAAGAATTGATGAAATTAAAAAATACATATATGGAAAATGAAAATATATTAAAAAAAAAGCAAGAACAGCTAGTTAATATAGATAGTCAGCTAAAGAAAAAAATTTTTGCCATTAAGAATGCGAAAAATAGTAGTAACAATAATAGCGGAAATGCTAGTAGTAACAATACCTTAATGGGGAATAATAGTAAAAATCTTTCGAATTACCAAATACAAACATTGAAGGCCCAAATAGATATGATAAATGAGAATATAAATGCCGATACACAATTTTATGAGGAAAAAATATCCGAACTAGAGAACAATATCACGTCATCTCAGAATGACATTGAGTTTTTAAATTCACAAATTGAAGAAATAAGGAAGGTAAAAAAAAAAAAAAAAAAAAAAAAAAAAGAGAACTCGTTTATATTTCCTACGAAATCGAGAGAACAAGATCACGTGTCCCATTGCAAACTTCCGATGCATCTAGAGCATTGCACAGGTATATTTTCACATACTCTACCATTTTCCCCTAACGTTTTTTTCAGAACATTGAAAATGTCACCTTAGATATAAAAAAAATGAGAAAACAAAAAAGCGAAAAGTAGCTCTAGCTGAAAAAAAAAAATTCGTCCTGTATTTCCAGTGAAAAATAAAACAAAAGGGCGCCATCATGCATGCCTTTAAATTTCATTATAAATGGAAAAGCATAAAAAAAATATAAAAGGAGGACATTAAACGAAATCCAAAATTAGAAAGAATGTAAATTGTAACAAATGTTTCACGCATCTCTTCCTCTACTGTTCGAAAATTTTTATTTTATTTTTTTTAACCAACTATCCAAAAAAGCAACGTTTTAATTTTTTTAAATACATGAAAAAAAAAAAAAAAAAAAAAAAAAGACAGGCAGGCAGGCAGACAGAAAGTTATTGGTAAGAAACTTTATCATTTTCGAAAACTAAAAAAAAAAAAAAAAATCTATATAAAAATGTCAAAATTGTAAAAGCGTTAAATCATAAATAATAAGATGTAGAACGAATTTACTAAAAAAACAAAAATATTAAGCAAAAATAAGTAGTTTAAACTAATAATACGGCTAAGACAAACATACGTTAAATTTTGGGTGGGACCTTTTGAATATTTCCATCATAATATGAACTTATAAATAAGCATTGGTATAAGCAAGTTCACAATAGGAATATCACAATAGAACTAATACTCCTGCATGTGTATGCATTTGCTTATATGTACATCTATACATGAAGAACCTCCCACATGGAAATAATTCCCTCACGCAATTTTCCTGTACCTCCTGTACCAACTATGCGTCGATTCTGTAAGGACACCTAAGTTCTTTTTCTCATTCAAAATTGCCTGAAAATTTAAGTAATCATTTAATGAGTGACAATTATTTAGCAAGTCACGCAATTCGGTGTGCACTTGAAAGTATTTATACAACATTTTAAACAAATGTCCTTTTAAATATTTAGTGTTGGACTCATATTTTAAAAACAAATCATAATACTCGTTAACTACATCAACTGTGTTTACATTTTGATTTGAAAAAAAATATGGCTTTTCAAGTAAAATTTCAGCACACATAACTGCATCAGCTTTGGTATAATTTAAGCAATTTTGTATATCTTCAAAATATTCGATGGATCCATTAGCTACTATTGGAATGTCTAATCTTTCTTTAATTATTTTAATAATTTCATAATCGCACTGTTTTATATTTATACCCTTCTCTTCTTTTGTTCTTCCATGAACAGTAATCATTTTCACATTACGACTTTGCAAATCATAACAGAGATTCAAAGTTTTCTGATAATCTTGGTCAATTTTTCGAATTTTACAAGTAATAGGAATATTGCAATTATTGGTTATATCTGACACTAAGTTAACCACTTCATCATGTTTTTGTAATAAGAAAGCTCCATAATTTCCTTTTTTAGCAATTTGCTGTGGACACCCTAAATTCAAATCAACAGCATTTACATCATTTTTAATAAACTCAATTGCATTTAAAATAGTTTTAGAATTATTCCCACAAAACTGAGCAATCAACGGTTCATCTTTATCACAACATTGAAAATAACCTTTTCTGTATTTTTCATGTTCAACAAAATTTTTTGCATGTAACATAGGGGTAAATGTTAAATGACAATTATATTTTCTACATAGTAATCGAAATGCCAATTCACTTAAATCTACCATAGGGGCTAAAATGTGTTTAGGTTTTCCAATTTGTTCCCAAAACGTTTTTTCATATGTTTTTTTCTGTATAAGTTCATATGATTCGTCATTATTCATTTTCCTCTTTTTCGGCTAATCTAAATTATACTTGATCTTGGGAATAATATTTACCTATACAATTTTGATTACCTGATGTTGTACATGTGCCTCTATGTCAAAAATAACTATTAGCTTTTCAATATAGTTTAGATTGTTATGGGAAAAACTTCGTCCCCTTTTTTAATGATAATTAGGGTTTCTTCCTTCTCTTCATATGGTCAATTTTATTACTAATCGTCTCTCTCTCTCGTTTCTCTAAATTTCTCACACTTCTTACAGAACACATTAATGCTCATATTAGTGTTTTTTTTTTTTTTTTTTTTTTTTTTTTTTTTTTTTTACATACATTTTTTGTTTTCTTTTTTAACCATTTTAAATTTAAAATCACAATTTTTTTTGGGTTTTTTTTTTTTTTTTTTTTTTATTTTTTTTTTTTTTTTTTTTTTTTTTTTTTTTTTTTTTTTTTTTTTTTTTTAAAATAATTTTTTTTTTTTTTTTTTTTTTTTTTTTTTTTTTTTTTTTTTTTTTTTTTTTTTTTCACATACATGTGTAGGTTACGCTTTTAACCATGTCAAATATGAACTCACAATTTGTTATGGGTTCGTTTCCTATACTTTTGGTTAAATTTCTTTTTTTTCAACGCAAGTTAACAAAAGTTTATAAGCTGTGTAAAGGTGTAGTTACTTGATTAGATTAATTCACCATTATAATTCCTTCCAATTATCACTACTGACATTACTCACTTATTAATGCTTACATTCGTAAAAAAAAAAAAAAAAAAAATGTATGCGCTTTATAGGGGGGTATCGATGTATTGCTAAGTCAAATGGAGGTTAATGTCATTATGATGTTCTTAAAAATGATATTTTAAATTTTTTTTAAAAATATTAAAAACAAAATAAAATAAACGTTTTCAAAAAATGAACAAACGGATCAATGAAATATGGATAAATTATTTTAAAATGTTGCTAAACTAATATTCGTAATATATTTTAAAATAGTGAGGAGAAGGGAAAAAAAAAAAAATGCATAAACGACTTCATTTGTTGTGTCGAAAAATTTTTTGTTTTTATTTTTTCTCCGAAATTTTTTATGAAAACTTCTACATCTTGCAACTTCTCGATAAGGGAAAAGAAAGTTAATTCGACAATAAACGAACATAGATTGATATGAAAATACAAGTTTGTGAATATTTAAAAAAAAAAAAAAAGAAAGAAATTAAATGATATAATGCTTAAAAAATGGGAAGTACTAATATTAAATACTTAACGCTCACAATGTTATCTGCAAATTGAGACAGTAGAGCGGGGGTAGTATATATGTTATGTTAATTTTATTAATATACACGCTTGGTTTTACTGAGGTCTACTAGAACTCGTGATCTTTTTCCATTCAGCGAATTGGTATAAAATTGTTCCTTACCATTAGACTTAAAGTGAACTTGAGAAAGAAGCAAAGGCTTTAGGTAGTGAAAAAAAAAAAAATAAAAAAATAAGATAAAGACACAAAAGCGAGAAAATTGGGCCACATAAACGACAAAATGTGGACAGAATTATGACAAACCAGATGAAAAACATGCCTAAAATGGAAAAAGGTGTGATTCTGCAAAGGTGAATAAAGTCTTGTCACAAGTGGAGTGTATCTATCACTACACACAAGTTTTATGTGCTCTTCTCTAATAAGCATCATCTTCAATTGTTGTATGTTTCCAATAATTTATTAATCCGATATCTAAAAATGCGGAAAACAATAAAATGTTAGTGTGCGAATGTTAGGGGTAAAAAATAGGAGGCGTGATAACAAGGAGCTTAGCACGATTTAGGAATACAGAAATAGAGAAGCTCAGAAATGGAGAAATGAACAAATAATAATCAAATGCAAATATGCTTGAGGGGGAAAGGTGCATGTAACCAGATATACACACATTTTTTTCGTTTTGTTTTCCGACGTGAACATTTTTTCCTACCTCTCTGTCCCCTGCCTTCAAAGAAGGTATGTTGATCAAGGGTGGTGACCTCATCATGGAACTTTCCATGAGATGTTAATTTTATTTGATGTAAATGTCCCTTACTTCTATCAACGAAAATTACAGAGTCCACATTATTATATGATAGTACTATGAATGATAAAACATCGTAATGAAGGGGAAAAAATGAAACTTCTTCCTTATTAAACTTCACCAACTGTTTTGTAATATTATTTATTGTTAGGGGAATGATTAAAATTCCTTTTAAATTTTCAGCAGTTGCATATATAGTTGAATTGTTTTCATTAAAATTTAATGTATTGATAATAAATTTATACTTGTTCAAGTGACATGAACTCTTAAATGAAACGTTCCCTTTTGCTAACTTTGATAAAAAAGAGAAATCTAAATACAAGGAATCAATAACTTCTTTAGTCTTAATATCCCACATATAGAGATAACAATCCGCGGAAGCAGAACAAAATATTGTGGGGTTGATTAAAACAAGAGATGTAATAAATAGTTTATGTTTTAAATAAAAGTTATATATTTGGTTCATTTTTTTATTTTTTATTATTCTGATTTTTTCATCTCTATCACCTATTATTAAAAATTTATTGTCGTAATATAATGATATTACGGCAGAATTGCACGTAAGGATCGGGTGCATCAATTTTTCATTTTGAAAGTTTTCAAAGTAGTGCCTTTCTAGCTTCTTCTTCATTAGTTCCAGTTTACTCTGTTTCTGCATTAGTGACTCTTGAAGAATAGGTTCTTCTCTAAGCCCTTCCTCATTTTCTACACTTTTCACTTGGCAGATTTCAGCATTAGTGCTATCTAAGTTTTCCACAGTGTCACCTTCAATTTCAGTTCCTGCCTGTCCATCGTGCAACATTTTCTCAAAATTATTCATGAAAAACAAATCTTCGTCCTTTTCCTGAATTTCATTCAGAGAATCGATTAGGTATTTTAATTTTATAGTGTGAATTGTATCCGCGGTTGTAGAATTATTCTCTCGTTTTACAGGATCCCCATGTTCTTTATTCAAACATGCCCCTCCACTTCTTACCATATTGAGATCAAACAAATATACATCACCATATTTATCAATGAATAATATTTCAAACGTGTTGTCTTCTTCCTTTAAACATTTTAGAAAATAAGCTTTTACAATTTTTTTTTTATGTATAATTTTGTAACATACTGACCAATGTTCATCATAAATTACTATTATTTTATCGTCGCCACTTGTTAAGAAATATTTTTTATTTATATTTACATCTAATGATCTTAATGCATTTTCATGTTCATCGATTTTTTTTACACACTTCTTTTCCTTCATAGAATAAAGTATCAAGCTGCTGCCATATCCATAAATTATATATTCATTGTGATGTATTATTGGAGACTTAGCAATACTGGGATAAATATACTTTTTTTCATCTTCGTCTACATTATCATTTATTTCGTTTATGATGGGGATAGGACCCTTTCCAAATTTCCGTTTTCTCATTTAAAGAGCGAGTAAAAAAAAAAAAAAAAGTGTGACAGATGAACTGTAGACAAAAAAAGGGGGTCGCGAGATAGATGTTGTATTATTACTACATCTGCGTGAAGATTTGAATATATAATTTTATTATTTTGGATCATAGGTGAAATTGTCTACTGATTGGAGGTGATATCTACACATGTTTTTCTCCTACAATTTCTACTGATATGGTGATGTGGTGTGGTGTTATGGGCACACAATTAATTCTCTCACCATGTCACGGTGCTAAGGGAACAACTTAATTTTGTTTCGCTTCTTATATACATGAAGCACATAAAAGGAGAAAGTAGAAGGTAGAATATTATTTTAATCTTATCTCTACTCTTCTCTTCTTATGTTCGACACTATATATTAAAACTAGTTTTATTATTAAATTTGCAAAAAATGCGGGAAACAATTACAAACTTTTTCTAAAAAATAAAATGAGAAAAAAAAAAAAAAAAAAAAAAAAAAACATGGGTAATTGTTAACTGAAAAAAGTTCATTAGAAATTGCATTTTTTGCAATACATTTTTGCTATAAAATTGTGGCATAATATCTCCAAATATTTGCATCTATTCCTACAGCACAAATAGATCTAAAGCGTGTTTTTTTTTTTTTTTTTTTTTTTTTTTTTTGCCCTTGCACTCGTTGGCAAAAAAAAAAAAGTCATGTCAAAGGTGCAAACTTGTAGTATTCTCAACTTTCTTTTCCTCTTCTACCTTTTTGGTTGCTATCACCCTATCCTCTAATTTAATAAGCGAACTGAGTTATTTATATTTATGACAAAATTTATTCTTATTGTTTGATACTTTGGCAAATTTTTTCCCAATTTTGCACTTGTCAAAAAAGTGCTACGGCAAGCATAACCAGCTTGTTAAATTGTGTCAAATTATCATGGGGGGAGAGGTGTAGGAAAAAAAAAAAAAAAAAAAAAAAAATTTAGTACATTCTAATTATACATATTAAGAGGAATGGAAGAAGAAAAAAAAAAAGAATAATACATGAAGCATTTTTCTCAAGATAGCCACGTGAACACACTCAAATTTTCAAAATGAAATTAGAGGAAAAGGCCGAAAGGGAATGTACATCTATCGATACATGTTACCTAAGGGTATTCCCAAAACAAGGGGACCAAACTACACATATACAATTGTTCCAGCACGCCAAGGAGTACCAATGTAGGCAATGCGTAAATATACACATTGATGTATAATATATGTATATGTATGAATGTGCAGGCGTGTAGTGTCCCTATCCCCATTATATACACCCTTTTCTCTTTTTCTTTTTTTCTTTTTATCGAAACCCCATTACACACACAGATACGGGAGTCATGAAGCAGTTCTGAAAATGTCACACTGAACCATCTAACAGTTATGAAAACGAAAAAAACTTCGTTCATAGTTATTTGTACACTATTCCTTATCGAGGAATTTTGTTGTGTGCAAAAGAAAAGAATTCCCAACATTCTATTTTACCAAACGAAAAAATGCATACGAAATTGTAACATCCTTAAAAGGAGGAACAACATTGAGAACGTAAATTTTCTGAACAAAGTTTCGTCGTCTCAGCTTAAAAAATTTTACTATCTTTACCTTCACGGAAATGTCATTACTTATTTTCAACCAAGGGTATTACATAGTCGATGTCAATCCTATGGATCAGCATCGTTAAGACATAGTCGCGAGATATGGGCCCCTCATGTGATAAAATTGTACGCAACAAGGGGCAGAAGCGTAGGAAACACTGAAAAAAACATGAAATGCAAAGAAAATGAAAAAGAGATAAAAAGTAAAGTAAAAAGAGAACGGAAACTTAGAAAAGGGAAGAAAACATCCCCCACTGAAATTAAAGGTGGGAATGATGGGGAAGATAGGAAAGAGGTTGAAGCGCTCGAGGACATATCCAATTGTGAAATTTTAGAAGATGAGGACAAAAAATTGAATAATAAGAAGAAGAGGGGTAAAGCGGCCAAAAGGGAAACAATGGGAGAAGTATTAGGGGAAGCCGAAAAGAAAACAAAAGATAAATCCAAAGGGAGTACCAAAAAGAGCACCAAAAGGAGTGCCAAAAAGAGCACCAAAAGGAGTGCCAAAGAGGGAGAAGGCACGGAGGGGGGAACCCCGGCTAGCAGAACGGCACCTGTCAATCGAGCCTCAGAACAAATGGAAATTCCATTTGAAGAACCAAGTGAAGACGAAATTTACAAAGAGACTGATGAATATTTCAGGAACGAGTTTATCATAGAGGATACAAAAGATGATGAAGACATAATAGAGGCAAAAAGGGGAAGTCAAAAGGGGATGAAATCCATAGAAACAAAAGAGGATAAGGAAGGAGACAATGAACCTGCTGGCAAGGAAAATCTCAATCCACAGGAAGAGGAAGAAAAAATGGAAAGAAAGCGAAAAATTGAATTCATTAAAAGAGTAGAATTTCTCCTACAGGAAGACGAGAAAAATGAAAAATTATTTGAAGAAAGGGAAGATATTGAAAAATTGCGATTTGGGGAAAAACCTCCACCTGGAAGTGAAGAATTAATGCAAATGATTTTAAAAAATGTTCATGATGAAAATTTTCGAAAACAGAATGATACATGGGATTTAAAGAAAAAACATCTTTTTTATGAACTGTTCAGAATTAGCAATTCGAATAGTTTCAAGACACATAAAATATACACACATGATGACTTAATACATGGAATGAAGTACAGAAAATTGGGAGAAAGTAATTTATGTGTAAGTGAAATTTGCATAGGGACGAATATGTACGAAAATGAGAATTTTATAAGCGCAGATGATGTTAATGTTTTGTTAAATATGGCTTTTTATGAATATGGAATAAATTTTTTTGATATTTGTGAATATGATCCATTTCCACATGACCCAATTAGCTACAAAAAAGGAAAAAATAAAAATATGAATTTATTTCTCAAAAATAAGAAAAGAGAAAATATCGTCATAAATTTACGAATGTGTTCATCAAGAAATGTGGATAAAATTACCAATGGAGAATATTATTTAAGCTGGATCATGGAAGATCTAAAGGATGATGTACCAAATTTTTACAACATAGAGGAAAGATTAGATAAAATTCTGAAAAATTTAAATACAAATTATGTGGATATTTTAACCATCGATTTACCTGAACGGTATATACCCAATGGTGGAAAAGGGGAAGACACATACATATGGGGTTTTGAAAATTTGAATTCTCAACAAAATGAAGAAAAGAAAGAAAACATATTATCTATAGAAGAACAGTTTGATATATTAGAGAAATTAATTCTTAAAGGAAAAGTTCGACATATTGCTGTTTCGAATGAATCTGTTTGGGGAGTATACCAATGGTGTAATTTGGCAAAAAAAAAAAAAAAAAAATATATGAAAATTGTGTGTACACAAAACTTGTACAATTTATTACATCGAAATGAAGTAGAATCATCAGGACTTGTAGAAATGATATTGAAAGAAAATTATAATGTACCGTTAGTACCTTATGGACTATTAGCTGGAGGAATATTAACAGGGAAATATTTAGATCCAGAGAGATATCACACTATGGGTCCAGATACCGTACTAGGTGATGATCAACTTGATCATGATTTGGATGATTCTAGAGGAAATTTAGCTGAAGATTATGGTTATTTATCATATGGTCCAAGAAATGGTAGATGTAACAAGTATCCCCATTTGTACAAATCACATAGATGTGTATGGGCTCAAGATGCCACTGCAGAATATATGAAATTAGCTAGATCTCACGGCATGTCCCTAGCTCAATTAAGCTTAAGTTTTGTTTATAGTAGACCATTTGTAGCCTCCTCCATTATAGGTCCTAGAACGATAGGACAGTTAAAAGATTCTGTCCTCTGTCTCAACTATCCAATGTATCAACATACAGAATGTGACATACATGAAATATTTTTGCGATATAGAGGGTGCACTATGGATGGTAATACAATTCTTAATAGTCTAGAGGATCCAAACAAAACTAGCCAAACTGCATTTTACAAAAGTGCAAATATACCCATATTAAGTGGAGGAACCCACTGGAATAATTATCCTTTACCCTTCTTAATGAAGAAATATGAGTACACAGATCTGAAAGAAGAACATGATAGAATGAAATCAACTTTTGGATTAAATGACGAACCGAATGATTCAAATTTTATCAGTTCACGTATATGGGTTGAACGAGAAAAAAAAAAGGGAGAATATTTTGCACTCAAAGAGAGTGTATTATTTGAATGGGACAAATATAAGATATACAAGGGAGTAATGACCAAATTAAGTGATAAAGAAAAATATATATACGATACATCTGATTTTCATTTTTATTTCAAAAATAACACCATATCAGTGGTTCCAACTGATGAAGAAATATCGAATTTTTATCAAAACAAAGAAAAAATTAAAAAAATTATTAATCAAACTATAAATGATTGTCAAGAGTTATATCAATATCAAGAACAGTTAGGTCAAGATATGCCAGACATTTTCAACAATCTGAATATTGATTTAATTTATAAGCAGCTTTTAAACAGACACAATATAAATCCCCTTGATAAAAACGAGCTAAATTCCATATATCAATACATCAAGTTAACTCCTTCAGAGATAAAAACTGAGGATTTCTGGTACATCTATAACTATAATCCGTTAGACACATCATTTGCTGTTCGCACGGGTACCGAGCCGTGATAATGCTAGCAGTTCCTTCAGTATCGAACAAAGCATATCCCGATGATACAAAAGATACCACTCCTAATTATGTAAACATACACACCTTAGTCAAAAAAGGAAGATTTCTTATAAGGTTCTAACCTGTAGAGCAGTTTTGATATTAGCATTTTCATCATCATCATCATTACCATCATGGGGAAGAGAAGGTGACCCTTTTTCTTTTCTTTTTCATACGTCCATTTTTAGTAGCAAATTTTGTGCAATTTTTATTTTTTTTTTTTTTTCATGTATCTCTTTATCCGTTAACACATGTATTCTGGTTGTATATTTCTTTTTCGTTTTATTGTTTCATTTTACTGTTTCGTTTTACTATTTCATATTCCTCTTTCATTTTAATATAACGTCTTATTATTTCATCATCACCTTATTATTATTTTTTTGTTCTATTCTATTTCGCTTGTGCTATTCAGTACGAGTATATTGTTGTGATCAAGGGAATTCCAGAGGGATTTTCATGAACAACTTTTCTCAAACTGTGATTTCCGTGATGGGTAAATCTCAATTTACGCTATAACCAAATGATACGTTTCAAAGTTCTATTTCATTAAATTATGTTCGCATTAAAATGCACAAAAAATGATGCATCTTGAAATTGAGAAGTCTTTTTCCACTATCCTATTTGTTCACTCTCTTACTGTAAACAATGGTAGTGGCATATTCACCTAGAGATAAATCATATCCACCCAAATTGATTTGTTCTATTTCCTCTTCGCTTATGTGGCAAGTGCATAGGTCTGATGGTAAATCAATTATGTTATCATATCTGTGTGAAAGGGAAAAAAAAAAAAAAAAAAAAAAAAAAATTCTATGTATACAGGCATATTCGTTTACAGGTTATTATACATTCATAAAAATGTGTTTGTAACCATATGCTCAAACAAAATTGTAGATGCTTCTTCTTTTTCTACATATCCTAGCTTGTCTTTTATATATCTTTACTTACATTACTATGTTATCGGAATAATATTTGTTTTTTTTCCTTAAATGTGTGTTGGAAATATTCGATCCTTTACTACAGCTTTGTGAATGGATCTTCAATTTATTAACTAAATTGGTGTCGTAAATGTTTTCACCATTTTTGCATTCATCCATTTTACTTTTATCGATTAAGCAATTGTTAGTGCTGGTCTTCACTTCTGATATCTCCATTTCATCAGATTCATCATCATCATTATCATTTAAAACTAACATGTCATTGTCTCCATCACTTTGACAACCATTCTCATCGTTTTCTTCCTCTTTTAAGCTTACATAAGTGGAAAAGGTATTCTGTTGTGTGATAAAATTGTTCATATAAGTCTTCATTATCCATTGTTTGTTTACAGGCCTGATCCCCCTTAGGTGCAGAATAAGAGAACAAAATCCCTTTTGCTTAAGAATCTTTGAATTTTCCGCATTGTCTATACGTTAATAAAATGGACATGGATAAGATAAAGATGAAGAAGAAAAGGGGTGTCATGAAATGATTTGTAAAAAGTTGATGGGGAATACATGATATCATAAAGTTGAAAAAGCAAAAGAGAAAAAAAAATACGAAACTGTCACATGCAAAATGTGGATAAGTCGTGATATTCATTTTTCTTTTTTTTCTTTTTTTTTTTTAAGTATAACATGATTTTAGAAAATGTTTCCAAGAAAAGCCCCCCTTTCTATATAGAAATCTCATCTGGGAAGTGTGGTTGAAAAGGTGGGGATTAAAAAGGATTCACATGTGCAGGTACATATGCAAATATATATATATATATTTGTATGCTAGGGGTGATTCGAATGATGCCTCTCTTTTTAAACCTTTATGTCGTGCAAAATGTTCGCTATTTTTATTCTGCTATCTATGGATTTCCCAAATTCTGCTAAATCGGACTTTTTCGAAAAATATTACCAACAAATTTGAAAAAAATGAACAAGCCATAAATATATATATATATATATATATATATATATATATATTTATTTATTTATTTTTTTTTTTTTTTTAAACATATTTTGCCATAACAAAAGGTTTATAAAATACATAGGTATTTTTATTATCCCCTGATTTCCCCCTAATATATGCATTTTTTACCGCATTAGTTCGTCCATGCATATATGCACTTTTGCATTCATACAATTGTGAAGCATAATTATGTAGTGACGTAATTTCCCGCTGTTCATAATATGATCCTTCTTTTTTTTTTTTTTTTATTTATTTCGCTTCTTACAAAGGCTGCATGAGTGTTACAAAAAATATCTTCAGTTGAGGGGGAACATTTTTCATTTTAGTACTTTTTTGTCTATATATTATTAATGTGTTGGAATACATGATAATGAAATGAACTACATGATGTCATTTTTTTATTTTGAAAAAAAGATAACACGTGTTGAAATTAGAAATGGTTGTATGCACATTTCAAATAATCATGTATACATACATGTATATATATTTTTCTCACAATATTTCTCCCAATTTTTTTTTTTTTTTTGTTTTTATCAACACTGGGAGACATGACTTCCCTTTCAAGGGGTCAATTTATATACAAAGGGAAAAATGACTAATTCGTTCTACAGTTGTTTACGTATGCACACAAAGAAGGGAAAGATCAACAGGCAATGGAAAATTTGTCATACAAAAAAAAAAAAAAAAAAAAAAAAAAAAAAAAAAAAAAAAAAAAATAAAAAAAAAAAAAAAAAAAAAAAAAATTTTTAAAAAAAAAAAAAAAAAAAAAAAAAAAAAAAAAAAAAAAAAAAACCAAATTTGCTGATGCTACATACCATGAACACTTGCGTTAAAAACATTTTTATAAATACACTGTGGAAAAAATGTCATGTCATTGGAAAGATAAAGTTAATAAATGGAACATACAATAATCGACAAGGTGTTGTTCCTTAATATCACATGCTAATGCCAAAATTTTGTGTGCATAGAGAAAAACACACAAATTTTGCGAAGGTAAATACATTGCACATAGCAGCACATTAGAACATGAAGACGTTCCACCCTGGATCGACATGCGCAACATCTCTACTTTTAATGAATAGTCGTAAAAACTTGTGGTTTATAATAAAATCTTAAACATTATGGACGTGGGCAAATAAAATTCACTGAGGAGGAACTTTTGCATCTGCACTTGCCCCTCAAAAATTTAAACCGAAATATTTGTTTTTGCACTTGTGATTACACTTTTGGGTCTTCTTTTAAAATATTAGAGAACTCTTCACACATGTCAAGGTCGCAATGTTTGGGTGAAAAAAGAAAGGGGGGGAAAAAAAAAAAAAAAAAAAAAGAGAGTTCACAAAGCAAAATTGGGCAATGTTTATCCATGCTTCGTTGGTTTTTATTTTTTATGTCGCCTTATATTATATGTATATATATATGTATTTTTTTTTACTTTTTTTTTTTTTCATCACCATCTCCATTTTTTTGTTATCACTTTTTGTGTTTTTGTTTATGTAATTACTACCGCTATTGCTATTACTATTGCTACTGTTTTTGTTTTTTGGTTTGCCCCCTCCCATTTCCCTCCCCCTTGTTTTTCTGCGTTTTACATCGTTCATACTTTCCGCTCGACTACTCCCCTCACCTCGATACGTGTGTGCTGCCATCAAACGTTTTCCTTCAGAAGCAAAAAAATTATTTATATTTGCACATGTGAAAAGCACCGAAATACATACTTATAAAAGTTACATTTCCCCCCCTTTTAATTCGTCCATTGCTTACTCTGTCCCCTTTTCCTCTTTTCCTATTCTATTTAATTTTATTAAAACTTACGTCATATTTGTACTTTGTATTTTATATGTCATACTTGTGCAACCAACCCTTCAGATAGCCCAGAATTCAGTTCTAGGGAGGTGACTGAAGCATATATTTTTTTTTTTTTTTTTTTTTTTTTTCCGTTTTCTAAGCACAGATCCAGGTGTTTGATTTGCCTCTTCTCAAGAAGCATCACGATGAATACTCTATAACGTGCACTTTCAACGACACTGCTACAATAGCTTTACAATATCGCTACAATATCGCAACCATATCGCTACAATACCGCTACAATACTGCTACAATACCGCTACAATAGAAGGACAAAATGGTTTTCATCACTATATCCGACGATAGCAAAATCATAACCAGCCTTGATGTGCATGAAGACACGGAAATTTTCACAATAATGAACATCATTGAAAATGACTTCAGCTTAAATATGAACGAAAACGAACTGATACATAACGGGAACCCAGTAAACAAATTTGACACGATAAAGAAGCTGAATATAAATGAAGGAGACCTACTGTTCGTTAGAAAGAAGTTGAATCTTGATCTGATGAACGAAGAATTTAGAAATGCGCAGATGGGATCGACATCAGGAATAGACTCTTCTAGAGGAATAGAAAACACATCAAATAATGGTACGATTTCAACAAGTGGTGGTAACAATGCAAACAGTTTTAACAACTTAGGAAACACAGGAAGAATGAACGATGCTGCACTTAATACTCTAATGGAACATATTCGAACCTTTCAAGAAAATGAGTACATAAAAAAAGAAACTGAAATTTTAATGAATCTAAAAAATGATAGATCTAGAATGGGAGTATTACAATTACAAGACAAGAAACTGTATGACGCTATAAATAGTCAAAATGTAGAAGAAGTTAAAAAAATAGTTAAAGAAAAATTAGAAATTGATAAAAAAGAAAAAGAGAGAGAGCAAAAGATGTATGAGAATGCATTAAAGGATCCATTATCAGAAGATGCACAAAAATTTATTTATGAAAATATATATAAAAATCAAATAAACTCTAATTTGGCATTAGCACAAGAACATTTTCCCGAAGCATTTGGTGTTGTTTATATGTTATATATACCGGTAGAAATAAATAAAAACGTTGTTCATGCATTTATAGATTCAGGTGCTCAGACAAGTATTATGTCAAAACAGTGCGCGGAAAAATGTAACATACTCAGGTTAATGGACAAAAGATTTACAGGAATAGCTAAAGGAGTTGGTACTAAATCCATTTTAGGGAAAATTCATATGGTTGATATTAAAATTGGAAACTGTTTTTATGCTGTTTCTTTAACAATTATTGATGAGTATGACATTGATTTTATATTCGGATTGGATTTGTTAAGGAGACACCAGTGCCTTATTGACTTGAAAAAAAATGCTCTCGTTATTGAAAGTAATGAGATCCCATTCTTACCAGAAAAGGACATCATTGCCAATTCGTCTCGAAGTTTCGATTTTGACGCTACCAAAGAATCCGATGGAAATTCCTGATTGTTCTGGATTCCTTATGGGAACTTTGCTCGATGCGGATTAAGAAGTTTGGTGATTCCCCTGTTTCATCCACAATGCTAATTTGTATTTTCTTTCCTTTTTCTTTTCTTTTTCTTTTCTCCCATTTTAGGGACGTCTAATTATCCATTTGCCCTTATTAACCATAACACCCATTTTTTACGGCAACTAGTATATAAAAAAAAAAAATAATAATAAAATGGTAAAAACAATTAAAATAAAATAAAGTAAAATAAAATAAAAATTTCTGGACAAGATACATTTACAACCAAAAGGTTTGTACATTTTACTTTTAGAAAAACATGGAGTGGCTTTTAAATTGGGAAAATATATAAATATTCGAATAAATGTATTTAAGACCATAACTTTAACCCATCATACGAATTCATACCATACATTGGACATCCCAATACTTTCATTTTCGTTACGACATCGCTATGTGCTAAATCCCCCCCCCCAAAAAAAAAATCAATCATGCTTGCTATATATACAGCATGGAAAAAAGTAAAAAGGTAAAGAAGCAAAAAAAAAAAAAAAAAAAAAAAGAGAGTGTATAGCTCGTAAAGTGTAGATCCGCATGGAAATTGTTTAATTAAGAGTTTGAAAAGAAAAACACATAACTTTTGACAACTTTTCTTTTTTGTTTTTATGTTAAGGTGTTAATAAAAATAAGATGAAAAAAAAAAAAAAAAAAAAAAAAAAAATTGAAATTTATAAAAAATTATTTCATAATTATAAACAAAAACTTAACAGCATACAAAAAAATATTTTTATTAATCAGGTATTCTTTCATAAGCATATAGGGGTAAGGGTTCACATGTAATTATAAGTAAGGTATGTGTTTTTTTTTTTTTTTTTTTTTTTGTTGATGTATTTACATGCTTATACATTTGTTAAGATGTAGTTATGAACATATTGTGTGTAGAGAGAGAAACAGACGCAGGTACTAATGCATAGGTTTTATATATCTTTATAAGTACGTTACGGGACCATTTATCCACTCCAAGAATTCTCTTTCGTTTATAGAACACTTCTGATGCTCATCTAAGGCATTAAAAATAATAAATAAATCCAAAAAATCAAAATATATATAACCATTTGTATGGTCCGAACACATCCTATTAAATTCTTCAAACTGCATTCCGTGGTCTGGATCTGCTACACTGTATTTTCTGTAACAATCAATATATGCTCCCTTTGATACCAACTTTATAGTTTTTTTTAATTTTTCCAATCTTAACGATTTTCTTAATGCTATCAAAAATCCAACAACTGCAACTGCCAATATGAAACTACTAAATAGAAGAACCCAGAAAGATCTAAAGAAGGTAACCTTTTTTGAGTGTGGCCACAGATTCAGGCATGACATAGAACCTGTAAAAGGAAAATTTTGCATATAAACAAATGTGTTTCATAAGTATTCCCTTGGGGAAGAAATGTTTACTAATATTAGATTGCCCAAGACTCTTCGTATGGAAAGCATGAACATGTCCTTCAGCATATATACAGAAAGGAACCTCTTAAAATGCATGCATACCTAAAAAGAAAAACCACACAGCTTTTCCAGTCAATCTTGTTAAAAATTTTATGTATTTCCTTATCATAATTCTATGCTTTGCAGCCCATCTTGGGGTTCCTGGAATATCCAAAATCATCATTATTAGACCCATGGTTCTGTAAAAACGGGGAAATATGTAAACGTATGATAATGTGTAAAATATACACGAACAGTTGGATGTAGACACAAAATATAGTCCACAAAAAATGCACATGTGCAAACATAGGAATTCCTTCAATGGTACGTAATTCAAATAGGAGTAATAAAAGTCATTGTTTTCGAACGGGGATACACACATACAGGTGTGTCCTGAACTCGTTCATATAGAAGGAATGATTTATCTGCACCCGAATCCATGCTGAAAAAATTTGCACACACTTAGACATTAAAAATTCTACATACACACACACACACAGTGAATTTTTATGTGTATACTTACATCAAAAATGTGGAAACCACAAAATTGGTAAAGTAAAAATATCTTAGCGATTCCAATAATGATATTATACCACAAAAAACGGTCATTACCCCGGAGGAAAAAAATAACGTTTGATACCTCACGTTTAATTTCATCAATGTATTTTCAATTGTTTCTCCCCCTTTTTCCACCTTCTCGGCGATGTGTGCTCCATTTGTTTCATCTTCTCTTTCTTTACTGTTCAGTAGACCTTGGTATTCTTTGATTAAGAAGAAAAAAAAAATAAAAGAAAAAAAAAAAAAGATGGATGTGGTAAGTTTTTATAAGTCATAATGTGATACGCAAAATTAACAAACAAAACAATAGAGAAAAGATAAACTTCACACACTGTACCGATACAAAATTGTGTGAAGAAAAAAATTTATTCGCAGTTGTGTTTAACATTTCCCCTCATGCTAGAAGCATATACTATATATAGACATTCTCAGTGAGAAAAAAAAAAAATACACATAAATTTATACATCCATACAGGTATAGGCACAAGCTTTTTTTATGAATATAGCATTTATTTCTTCCTACCTGAATCCATTTTATCCACTTACTCTATTATGTATATATATATATATATATATATATATATATATAATATATATGTTTTTATTTCCCTTTTTGGACCCCTAAATTGTGATTTATATATATTTATATATTTTCTTTTTTCCACCTTTATATGTTATATTTAAACGGTGAAAAATAATATGGAATTACAGAATTGGGAAAATATGCTTGTTCCAATTTTCCATAAACACCTTTTAAAAAAATAACAAGGCGAAGAGGCAAAAATACTGGGATAAAAAAAAAAAAAAAAAAGGCAAGCAGTTAGGAAAAAAAAAAAAAAAAAAAAAAAAGGACAAACAGATAGGAAAAAAAAAAAAAAAAAATTAGCGTAAAATTACAAGAAAAATGGAAAATAAAATAAGCATGAAGTGATCTAGCATATATGATGACTACTGTGTGAAATGTGAAAACGGTAAAGTGAATGCTACATATCCCTAAAGGGGGAGGAACTATGAAAACAGAGAATAGTACAAAATAAATATAGTGGAAGCTCAACTTAATCGCAAATAAGTGTAAACAAACGAAGATAAACACGGGTAAATGAAAAGTGAAATCCTGTTATATTACTGCAGTAGGAGTAACAATGTTTACTAAAAACAAAAATTTTATGTTGTGTAAACACACAATCCTTGTTCTTTTTTATTTCGTTTCCTTTTCTTTCCCTTTTTTTTTTATTTTTTTTTTCATTTTTGTTTCGATTTGTTTTCACGTCCTCGATTTAATTTACGAAAAAAAAAAAAAAAAAAAAATACCAAGCTAAAAAAGATAAATATTTTCTTAAAACTTCTGAAGTGCTGAAAAAAAATTGAAAATTTTTGCTTGATCATTCAATGGGTTTTATTTTATTTTACTTTATTATTTTATTTTTATTTTATTTTTTTTTTTTTAATTACCAAACAAAAGACAGTCATTCATTTACAAAAATTACAGTAAAACCGTTCGAAAGAAAGAGGGATAAAATCGCGCAATATTTTGCGGGAAAAAAAAAAAAAAAAATGTATACATTTATACACAAATTTTTTTTCATCATTTATCTATATGTAAATTTTAAAAAAATTCCTCACTTTTCTACCTACTAAGAAAAAGTTCCATTTGTTTGAATACAAAAATCGCTTACAAAATTCCGCACACAGTTATAAAACAAATGAACAAAATGACACACTGAAAAAATGGGTTGTTCACAAACGTTGAACATGTTGTGTACGTATTAATACGTTTCGAACTTAAGTCCAACGTCGTACTATATATATTTATCGCTTTCAAATGTACGCAAATGTGCGGAACGCTAATTTTTAATTTTTCTTTTAAATTAATGCCACGCTAGATGCATACCATAATTCTCTACATTACTCCACGTGCACGTGTATTTGTAAAATCCGTTCCAATTTCTCATTTTACTGTCGATACAGAAAAATGTTTAAAATGGAGAATTTCGGGCTGTCACTTCAATTACACAGAAATGCGTATCAATTCAAATATATATGTACACACTTCGTTCGGAACGACAACTAAGATAGTGCATTAAAAATTTTGCAGCTGCATTTTTGCAAAATCAAGAATTGCACATCATTGATTGTCTAAATAAACAAAAATTCACCTAAACATTTCATGAGAAATAAATTCCTTTCGAAAAAAAAATGTTGTTACAGAAAAGAAAAAATTTAGCACGAATTATCCAACACTGATGTAATATGTTTCACATATTTTCATGTGTAAAATGAATGTATATGAATTAAACCTGATTGCGTGTATTTAAAACTTGAAAAATTGGGGGGAAAAAAAAAAAAAAAAAAGTTAAATTGAAAGAAAAAGTTATAAAAAATTGGAAAAAATTGGAAAATGTAACTATAAATCTTGGGGTAAAAAAAATTTACCAACCAAAAGTACACTTTTGGGATAAGAAGTAACGAATCACTTTTCATTTTTTGCTTCACAACTTTTTAATTTAGTTGTAAAATTGCAAAATTAAGCTTCTACAAATTTGTTCAGCTGAAATTAAACTTGACCAAAAGTACATTTTGGACATATACATGTTCTTTCACCTCTTGTTTATTTTATTTTTCTTATTTATCTGCTTAGCGAATTAAATGCATATAGGCACATACTTACACCCACGGTCGCTTTTGAGGGAAATCACAAGTAGCTGCACTGGTAAGGCTAAAATTGGCATAAAAGCAGATTAACATAGAAATCGAATAAAAGAACAATATATACATTAAGCTCTACTATTAAAATGTGGATATTTTAACAATTTTGAAAAATGTCAATTTGTTTTTTTTTTTTTAATTTCGTATATTCTCCTACCAACAAAATGTAGCAAAAAAAAAAAAAAAAAAAAAAAAATATAAATATCAATAAGTTACTATTTAATGTTAATTTTACACTTGTTGTCTGATAAGACACTTGGATATAGCAAAATGCACAGATATTTTGGCATCCTAGGTTGGTTTATAACCCTTATATATATGTACTTTTATAAGCATGTATGTATATGTTCACTTCTTGGGACACTGTTAGAAATGAAAAACCTCATGTAAGTTGAACATCTCATGATTTAATTCGCTATATTGCCAAAGAAAAAGAAAAGCGCATGCCAGTATCATTTTTGCATATTCCTATATTTGTTTTTTGCTATAAACAATTCTTTTTTAATTTCATGCTTCTTGTTCATTTGAATACATAGAACAGGTTGTCAACTTGGGTATAACATTATTCTTCATTTAGTCAAGACGAACGAGCAGGAGGCGGTGTGTGGGTATGAGTACGTATGAGAGTGCATGAGCAAATACGTGTTTCGATATGTGTTTATGTGTGTGTGCAGGGGGGAAGGGAAAACGTCTGTCACATGCATGAACGGTAATTTAAAGGAAAAGGGTTAATGGCTATTTTTGCCTGTTCTATAAATATATTGTTTTTTTGACATGCAATGTAAAAATTCTTTGAAACAAAAATGCGAATTCTTAGTTATAATGAAGTTGGATTGACTTAATGTGAGTGGTGTGAATTCACTATCTTTGCAACATACACACGGGGAAAAGTATTCAAAATAGGAAATATGTGACGTGAAAATGAATGTGTCTAGCATATGATCACTTTGCAAATGCATTTACGTTAGAGAAAGTTGCATATATGTAGGATTATCGCCCTCATCTTCACATTCAAAATGGTCGACGTGTTAAGAAGTTATGTTGAAAGGTACATAATCCCATACGTCTTTGTATACGTAAACTTGTGTAATAATAAACCACAAAATTTGTATTGTGCATTTTGCCTTTCTTGTCAAGCTCAATGCAACAAATAAAAGCGGAGTTCAGATGGTAGCAAAGTATCATGAAATCGTTTAAGGAAAACATTTGTTTTAGTTCTTTTCTTATTTTATTTTTTTATTTCTTTTTTTCATACATTTTTATATGTTGTGAGAACGGTGGGGGGGGACTAATGCCGAGTGAAGGAGCAGTTGAAAAACTGCTTTGTTTCAATGTTTATAAAAAATCATAACAATGCGCACCCAACGAAATTACAATAATTTTTAAAATAAATTAAAATTGTGTAACGCAACTTTTTTTTAAAAAAAAAAAAAAAAGGAAGTTTTTTATTCTTTGCAGATGAAAGGGAAATATTGAAGTATGCTTTTCATTTTATTTTACGCTTAAAAATTGTACATTTTTTTGAGAAAAAAAAAAAATTAGGTCAAATATATCTTATTTAAATTGTTCCATAAAATTGGAGGCAACACTCATGGATAATATTCCTTTCACAATGAATGTTACATGTAGGAAAAACAACAAAAACAAGAATGCACGAAAATGGTAGAGGAAAAATGAGTAACCTGTGATTTAAATACTTGTTTATTAACATATATATATTTGTATTATCATTTGATGATATATATATACGCGCCTTTTATGTAATCATACACTTATATATAAACTTTTAATGAACATAACCACGGTTCATGAAAAGGATATACTTGATTACTCACCATACCTCAACATATAACATATATCTTCATTAAGAAGAAAAAGAAAGAAAAACAGAAAAAAGAATAAATTTGTTCTAAATCGTGATAAAATTATATCATTACACATAAATAATAAATACGATTGGGGAGTGTGCTTTTTCATTTTTACATATAAATTTAACAAATATCCGAGTGTTAATTCGTCATTCCCAAAGATTCAGTTACTACACTATTTTCAAATTAGTCACGTCCTTTTTTATGTGAGAATATTTATCAATTAAACACGCGCAAAGCATACAAATGTCCAGAGAAACGTAGCCTTTTTTCTATTTTTTCTTTGTTTTTTCTTTTTTCCTTTTTATTTTTTCTTTTTTATTTTTTCAATTTTTTTTTTCCTTTTTGTTTTTTCTTTTTTGTTTTTTCAATTTTTTTTTTTTTTTTTTGTTTTCTTCTTTTTATTTATTTTACATGTAAATACATCAAATAAAGTTTTCTCTCCATGAACATACCACCCAGCAGAATAGGAAACTGTGTACCCCTTTAAAATACGAAAGGGTTACACCACATTTTTTCACCAAACCAACACTGAGCGCTTTGCAAAGAGAAATGGAAAAAAAGAAAAAATGAAAAGATAAATTCATACGTTTTTTATGATTTATTATTCACCATATCATAGTCACATTCTTTACACTATATTCCTTTCGTTTCGCTCTTTTTTTCTACAGATTTGTAGCAATTATTTAAATGTCCCTCCACACTTCGAAATGAAAAACGAAAATATTCAAGCATATGTACATAAGCTGATAAACACATATGTATATGTTTAAATGGATGGATATCTAAAAAAAAAACACACACATTTCGTCTATATCATACGTACATACCCATTTGCCACCTGCATATGCATGCATAAAATTTTACGTGCACACCTGGCTCCAGAATGCAAACATATTTTTCTCACCCACCTTGTAGATATAAACTACTCGAAATGGAAAAACTTAAATAACAAATTTCCTTCGCCCGAGATATATTTTTTTTTTTAAATCTTTTAAAAAGCTAAATGACATAACTGAAATAAATACAATCGACTTTTACAATTATAATTTTTAAAAAACACAAATAATGAAAAATGATAATACGATAATTTACAAGAACAATACCTGGAGTATATACAATGTATGTTGCTCGCACGTTTTGTTTGAATTTTTTTTTTTCTTTTCCTTTTATGTGAAATTCAGTTTGCAGTTATTATGTAGCGTTTGCTACATGCTAGTACCATTTCAAATATACTATAATGTACTGTACTATATTTTTATACTTTTCATTTATTTATTTTTTTTTTTTATGTAATGAAAAATTTTACAGAATAAGCCTAACTCCTCTGGGAATAAAAAAAAAAGGTATGCTTGTATGTTTATTTTTATTCATCAACTTCTGTATCTACATGTACATAATTGTCATTAAAACGATATAGACACTCCAATCTACATCCCTTTTAAAGACGCATGAGGGAAAAATGTACAAAAAATTTTCGCATAATTTAGCCATCATTGTGCCAAATATGTAACAAAAGTATTCACTCTTCATGCATATAGTACATTTCCTACATTATTAACATATTGTTGTACCGTCATATCTCCATACCTTTTTTTACGCACCTTGTAGCCGAGTGGAATATTTAACCTTATTGGGAAAGGGTCAGCTGTTTGAAGATATCCAAAAAGAAAATGATGAGAAAAAGGAAGAAGTAACGGACATGTATATTTACACAGGGAAGGGGGTTGAAAAAGTTTCAATAAATACAACTACAAAAGATAGAAAAGTAGAAACGAATAAAATTTATCGATATCAATATATAAAGGAGAAAATATCAAATGCTTTAAAAAATCAGGAAAAGATAAAACAAAATACGAGTGAGAATAACTTTCCAAATGTTGGGGATAGTGATCCAAGAGATGTTTTTATTTTTGATAAGTTTAAAAATGAAATCAGCATTTTTAACCACAAGAAGAGTAATGAAGAAAGTGACGACAAAAAAAAGCTAGATGATACCTCACAAGGAATATTTCTTATGGAAGGTTCGCATGCACATGAAGATGTGTATAATATAGAATGTGCATTACCCATTAAAAATGTTTGTGAAGTTGACGATGTAATTCCAAATTTAGATATAAGTAGCGCGATAAATGAATCTTTTATCTCGAACAATGTGATAAAACCCTTTAGCTTCCTAAAGGAGAACGCAGAAATTCAATTAGGAAAGAATAAGAACCATGATGAAGATGAAGGACCCGTTTACAAAATGGAAGAAAATATATATACGAAAAAATTGGAGGACCAAACGGATTTTAATGATAAGAAGAACATAATTCAGAATGAAATATCATCTGATGGGGAAGCCCTAACAAAAACTAACGGTGACTTTTACATATACACGGAAAAATGTAGTGACATAAGTAGTGAATCAAATGATGAAATGTATTCAGAACCAGAAGTGAATACGTTGAAATTGGAATACGAACCTCCAAAAGAAAAGGTTTTGCCACATTCTAAATACCAAAAGGATCAGTGGAAAAAAAGAGGATATTTCCAAACAGATCGAATGAAGGAAAGTTATAAAAAAGGAAGTGATGATGCAAACACACCCCATTATGAAAATAACCCATATAAAAATAATCGGCATGAGAATAATCGGCATGAGAATAATCGGCATGAGAATAATCGGCATGAGAATAATCGGCATGAATATAATTGGAATGAAAATAACTGGAATGAACATAACTGGAATGAAAATAATCGTCATAAAAATAACTGGCATGAAAGCAACCCTTATGAAAATTTTACACATGAAGAGAGTGTGCAAGATTGTAAAAGATATGAACGTACAATGAATTATGGCCAGAACGACGAATTTCAGAAAGTGCAAAAAGAAATAGAATGTCTGAACTTGGACATTGTCAATGCAAAGCACAAAATGCAAACAATCAATAACCAAAAGAGTGGAAAAATAAATGTTCTGAATAACAAAATTAACATTTTAAAGAGCAAATTAATTGATAACCACATAAATAATCTAAATGACGATATAAATATTGTCAATAGTGAAATCGATATTTTATTCACGAAAAAAATTAATAAAATGTATAAACAAATAGATTACTACGCGAAAATTTTAAACGAACAGTTAGATAAGAAACTATCAAGTGAAAACATACATGAAAGTTCCAATTCGCTCGTGTGTAGCTATATACAAAGACAAATAAGTAACATTAAAATTCAGATAAATAATTTACATGATCAGGTAAATAATCATATGTATATGCAAAAAAGCAATAAGATGTTTAACCAAATGAATAGCCAAATTAACAACTTCAGTAACCAGATTAGCCACCACATTGACCATCAGATTGATCACCACATTGGCCATCAGATTGATCACCAGATCGATCATCATATTGATCACCAGATCGATCATCATATTGGTAATCAGGTAGGAGGACACACAAAAAAAGACCCCAGTAGAAAAGGGAAAAATGGACACTTGGCCCATCGGGGCACCTGTAAGGACTCACTCAGAGAAACAGACTTACAACAACATTACCATGAAAAACATATACAAAAAAAAAAAGGTTTTGTCAAAGACGAAAATAATCTCAACAATTCTTACAATCTCCGTAATAACATTCATGGTGATCTCCACATGAATATGAACATAAACAAAATAAATGTGGGGACAAACAATTCAAATTATGAGAAAATAAATAATATTTTCAATGAAAATAGTAATAATCATTCTGGCAACAAAGGCGATGATTCATATTTTAAGAATGAGGAATATCAAAGTGAAACAGGATTCAACACATCCGATGAAAATATTACAAAATATGAAACAAAGTGGAGTAAATTATACCAAGATAGAAGCAAAGAATACTTTTCAAGTAAAAATAACAAAAGAATAGTTCAAAAAAGGAGGAAAATAAAAAAGGAAAATCGATCATACTATGATCATTATGAACAAAAAAAGAAATTAATTAACATGTTTAATCGTATATCCAAGCGAAAAAACGATAAGTATATCGAAGAAACAGACAAGATGATTTCCCTTCCAGATAATCACACAAGTGATGTTCCCAACAAATGTGGATACAAAATGGGTTCACAAATTCCTGTTAATAAAGATGACATACGTAATGATTCCCCATACAAAAATGAAATTCTGTTCCAAGACAACAGGATAAGCAATCCTAAGTATCATGATATTTTGGATGAAGAAGAATCATCAGTGGAAAACAGTGAAGAATATAATAAAGTGGATGAAATTGACATAGCAGATGAAAACAAGAAAATAATTCCAAGAGACAAACGAATTCATAAAGAACAAAGCGGAGAAGAAGATAACCCTTTGAATGATGAGAAGTTAATTTATTTAAAAAACAAGTTGATGCAATTGAATTTATATAAAATGAATCAAAAACGAAAAAAAGAAACAAACGAACTAAACAATAATGATGTGAAAGATAATACCAATAAATATGTAAATGAAAATTTACAAAATGTAACTCACACAGGAATACTCCCGTTGAAAGATAAAAATATCCAATCTGTAACCCATATAGAGAATGGTAACAACTCAAACGAATTCTTGTCATGTAAGCATGTAACGGGTGACAATATGAATAGCAGAAGTGAAGCGTATAAGTCAATTACTCTAGAAGAAATCCAAAATAATGACAATAATCGAAGTCACGAAAATATTTATGGAAGCAACAGTGCGAAATATCAGGAAAAAGAGCTAACTAGCAAAAACAATATAGAAAAGGAAAGTTACTTTTTTGAGAACATTAATCATTTAAATAATTCCAGAGACTTCACATCAATGTTTAAAGAACTTATTGGAGAAAAAAATGAGGAAAATGAAAAAAACATAATACACAATTCTAATGGCGACACACACACGGATAAAATGATTGATGATTCTTGCTTTAATGAAAAGTCAAAAGTATTTCAAAATGTTGATAAAGAGAAGACGGTCAAAGAAGAAAATAACGTAGATATGCTGAGACATTTTTTTTTCTTTAAAAACGAAACAAACTGCTTAGATAATCTACAAACGACGATTAGTATAGATAATACAAATGCTTCCCAAGAGGACGCAGCAGATAATCAAATACAATGGAAAGAGACAAATACATCTCCCGGAACAGGTGAAACAACAAAAGAAAAATTTAGGAGTACAGAAAACACACAGATGGAAAATACATTTACAATAGACAAAATTTACAACTACACTGTTAATTATTACAACCAAATGAACGACCCAAACGAGGGGGAAAAAAACAAGCAAAAGGAGGTTGTAAACGAACCAAATGCATTCATTTAAATATCAGAAGAAATTCGTAAGCAGATTAGCCAAAGAAATTCATAGTCTTTCTGCTCTCGTGCAGAAGAAGTCAGAAAAAAAAAAAAAAGCATAAAACGAAGTACTGTTATTTTTATGCGTAAACAAATAAGCCCCATAAAGGTGCACGCGTCCCATCTTGAAAGTATTTATACGTGTGCAGCCGTAATTGTGCTTCCATATTTGGACATATAATTTTGCACACATTCGTCTTTCCTACGTTTAGCCTTATTTTTCGAAAATAAACTCACACTTCAAATGTTACAGGTACTCTATCCTAAATGAACTCCGGTAGCAATCAGAATAAGGAAGAAAGAAAAAAATGGGACAAGCAAATTCCACACCTTAAGAGATTCAGTTTACATATGTTGACATGTGTTGATCATTCAACTTTCCACCAAAATATCAGAACATCGGGTATTACCGTTAAGGGGAAGGCAACCGTAAAATGGCAAGTGTGCAAGAGCGCCAAAAGGTAAGAAAAAAGGTAAAAAAAATTTAATAAAAATAAAAAAAATGTAGAAAAAAAAAATGTAGTAAAAAGAAAAAATGTAGTAAAAAGAAAAAAATGTAGTAAAAAGAAAAAATGTAGTAAAAAAAAAAAAAAAAAATGTAATAAATATAAGAATACATAATGGAACAAAAATACATTATAAAATAAAAAAGGAAAAATCTCAAATGTGTAAATAGAGAATGTGTGAAAAGTTTTAAAAACACATATATACAAAATCAAATGATGTGACAATAAGAAAAAAAAAAAAAAAAAAGCAAAACACAGTGCTAGGTTAAAATAAAAAAATATTCATACCCTTACAAGGTCACAATACACATATATGAACATATGCATGTAACTGTATGCGGATGAAAATAAAGCAGAAAAGAGTTTAAAAATGTTAAACTAAGAATTCTCTCAAATAACTGAAACTTCGAAAAAGTACCAATCTGCTCGTAATATTATATATATTTTTTTAATTTCAACAAGATAATGAAAATATATGAATTTCTCATCCAATTTTACTTCTTTTTTTCAAGTATTTTATGCTCCTTTTGCATGTACAATTCTATGTAGTAGTACATAACATATTTCTCTATTACCTTTTTCTTGTTTTGTTTTAATCGATTACAACGTCATGTGCATTTTATACTTCCCTATGGGTTTATATATTGTGTGCTCGCAGTGTACGTTAATGTATAGTTTTTTATGTTTTTCACGTTTTTTATTTTATTTTTTATTTTATTTTTTATTTTATTTTTTTTTTTTGGTTTGAAACACTACCAGCAACGACATTGCTAGTAATGCTGAGGTAACATGGTCAGAACTGGTTATAACAATTTTGTTTCATCTCCTCTAAGGAAACCAATATGAAAATTTTTTGCCATAAAAATTAAAGGAACACTAGCAAAATTTAAGACACAAATACTTTCAAAACACCGTGAAATGAGTGTCCATGTGGATAGTGAAAATCTTGTGTAAGAAAAACCTGTTTCCTTTTTCTTGCTCAAAAGAAAGAATTATTACATTTATTGTGTGCTTTCATTATACACTATTTTATTATTTGCTTTATGTATTATATTTTTTTAATTTTGTCCGACTATGATAGAATAATAATTAAGTGACGATCAAATAGCAATGTCAATTTGTGGCTAATCTCGTTTAAGTTGCATTGAGAAGAAAAAAAAAAAAGGAAAAAAAAAGGAAAAAAAAAGGAAAAAAAAAGGGAAAAAAAAGGAAAAAAAACATATGTTTCCCCTCCCTCTCCCAAGGTAATATGGTAAAGCACATAATATTTATGGTACCAGTAAATAACTTTCATAAACAAGACATACTTTCTCTGTGTTTTTCTCCTATTTTCGATGTGGGGCTGTTCCTATTTTTTCAATTTGGATTTTAGGATTGAGGCCTGGCTTAAGAAATTTTTTATTTTTAAAATTGGATCCATCTTACTATTTTCTTTTTGCACTGTGCAAAAATTATACTATTTTTTTTTTTTTTTTTTTTTTTTTTTTTTTTTTTTTTTTTTTTTTTTTTTTTTTAAAATTTTTTTTTTTTTTTTTTTTTTTTTTTTTTTTTTTTTTTTTTTTTGTTACTTTTCTCTTTTTTGCCATCACTTGGTTCTCATTTTTTCTTTTTCACTAATTTTATTTATCATTGTAAAATTTACCTGAAATTTTTATTTGAAGAATGCTAAAAATGCTAATGGAATTATTATATGCAACGTTTAAGCGTTTTCTTTTTTAACATGAAACATAATAACTTGCCCTTAAAATATTACGTTTGCCTTAGCTTTTTGGATACGTTTCATTTAAAAAAAAAATATAAAAATATAAAAATAACAGGATGATAGAATGGTAAAATAGTAGAATGATAGAATGATAGAATGGTAGAATGATAGAATGGTAGAATGATATAATGATAGAATGTTAAAATAATAAAATAAAGCATATATATCACAATAAAATTTATAAATCCTGACAAAAAAAAAATAAAAAGTCATCAAGGCGAAAGGGGTGGTGTACTTTCGCGCACAATTGTTTATGTCACACGAAACAAGGCCATGTTGGAGATGCACTTGCTCAATAAAAAGTAAGCACATCCTGAATAAGGCACATATAAAAGTATATATTTGAACATATACATATATATACAACAGTGCCATATTCGTAATGTCTTAGGGGTGATATATGATCACATTTTAACCAGATATGTGTTTCCACGCATTTAGAACTCAGAAAAAAATTGAAAGTACGCCACCTCGTTTTCATTAACAGAGTTGTGCATATGACCAGTGACATCCCCAAGTATTGTAATTTTTCCTACATTCTTATTGTGTTATATTAATATATAAATATTTAGAAAATCGAAATGAAGATTGCCTTGGTTATACTTTTCATCCTAACATCTTTGTTTACTATAAATATTGTTTATGAATATATTCATACATTTAATTCAAGAAAATTGAAACCTAAGAAAATCGCGAATGATAATAAGAATCTTTTGGAGTTTTTTTTACATGTTCAAATTTTGCAAGATATCATTGTAGCATCGTTCGTTAACTTTTTAATTAAAATTAAACTATTCTTTCATTGCATAGCACGATTTTTTCTTTTTAATAAAAACTTACATATTCCAAATACAGATGATAATAATAAGCAAATTTCCATACATGATAATTATGATAATGATGAAAATATCAAAGATGTGAATAAAAAATGGGAAAATGTTCAAGTAAAGACAATTTATTTTATAAGACATAGTGAATCCATATGGAATAGCATTTTTAACAGAACATTTTCAATAAAAACATTTTTAAATTTTTGCTTAGTACTCCTTTATGAAGTTTTCTTTTTCTTTAGCAAAAAATCTGCACTTATAGATTCCCCACTTAGTAATACAGGTATTATTCAGTCAATTGAATTATCAAATTTTTTACAACATGAAAAAGGTACGATTAACGACGCAGATAAACTTTGTGCAGTACCCATAAATTCAATAGAAAGAACTGAAGAGAAATACAATTTGGATGCAAATAAAAACATTGAAATGTCAGAGTTCAGAAAAAGTGATATTAAAAACGAATTGAGCAACAGAACAAGTGACGGTGCAGATGATGGTGATGATGAAAATGATCATGTTAATGTGAATCTTAATGTCAATCATATGGACAATGCTAATAATGCAGATAATAATAACCAGGTTAATAAGTTTCTTGATCATGCATATGCAAAGGATGGAAAAAAAGGAATATCCGGATCAACACTAAGGAAAAGAGGTAATAATAAGGATTCTTGCGATAATACACAGAAGAGTAATGTATACGAAAATGGAAATATGGATAATGAAGATGGTGATAATAATAATAATAATAAATATTTTCCTATTCATTCGAAAGATACGAATATGGATCAGCATAATAATCCTGAGCATGAAAACTATCAACGAGTGAGCAGAAACAACTGCTGCGAACGATACAACCATAAGGAAATTATTAATTTAAGTTTGAAGGATCATATTGATATCCTCAATAATAGTGTAAAGTATAGAAGTGCCATTCTATGTTCAGATTTAAGAAGAGCTATATCCAGCTGTGTTATAGCCCTTTATAATAGAATAAAGAAACATAATGAACAAATACAAGTACTAAATTCACTGCAGGAAATAAGTAGAAATCCAGATTGTGTATCTTTGTTTGATTACCATGATAATACTTATATAAGTACAGACATTGAAAATTTTGTGCATAAAGATGTTGATAGAATATGTAAAAAAAATATAAACGTTAAAAGGAATTTTACGAGTAATAAATTTTATGATACACTTTCATATATTTTTAATAATGATATGAACATATTCATAATATTTGGTCATAGTTTATGGTTCCGCCTCTTTTTTAATTATTTTCTCAAACAATCGCACAAGGCTAAAACGCATAAAATACAAAACTCAGGAGTTGTCGTTTTTAACATGTTGAAATATGATCAAGATGATCAAGTCCATTATGAAATCGAAAAGGATAGCATCCGTGTGCTATATAAGGGGTTTCTAGAGGAGCACAACAAAGCTGAATAGGATATCCATTCTATTTAGCAAGTCAAAAGGGAATGAAATCAACGGTTTCATATACGTATAAAAAAATATGACAGTCTATGTTGTGACCGTCTTCCAATATGGTGATGATCTAAAAAATTTGCAAAAATATATCAACCATCGAATGGATATCACTTAACCAGGTAGCGACCATCACATCCTTTGCGTCAAAAAAAGTAATCACAAAATTTAATGGAATTATTTGTGAAAAATAATTATGTAGCAAAAATTTACTGTACGGACGAATTCAATGAAAGAGGAGCAGAATATCCCATACTCAAGTCATTAGTAAATTAGCAGGTGGGGGGAGGAGGGATAAAAAAAAGTACATATGTATACACAATAATAATAATAATAAAATGATGGAGAATGAGTACTTAAAGACAAACGTGATAGTAGAAAATTGATATGAAAATAAAAATAAAGTTTCGAATAAAATTGAATTCTTAAATTTTTATGTTTTTTTTTTTTTTTTTTTTTTTTTTTTTTTTTTTTTTTACATTTGTAAGATGAGTAAATATATATATATTATATATGTGTGTAAATATGCGCGTATAAAATTATGAATAGTTCTTATCAATTACTATATGCGCATAACACAAGCAACTCTAGTTTCTGGGTATATATTATATTATTTTTTTTTTTTTTTTTCCTCCTTGACATTTTTTTCTTCATCTGATAATCACAGACATAGTGTACATTTTGCATATTGCTCAATTGTTCACGTGCTTTTTTCTACCCTTTTAAATACCATACAACAAGTGCCTTATCTAAAATACCTTATTGTTCTTTTTTATCCAAGAACTTAAGCTACATTTTTTCCCTTATTTCATTTGTTTGTTTTCTATTTTATTACTTTTTTTTATGTATTATTTATTTATTTTTTTTTTTTTATGTATTTTTTATTTATTTATTTTTTTTTTTTTTTTTTTTTTTTTTTTTTTTTTTTTTTTTTTTTTTTTTTTTTTTTTTTTTTTTTTTTTTTTTTTTTTTTTTTTTTTTTTTTTTTTTTTTTTTTTTTTTTTTTTTTTTTTTTTTTTTTTTTTTTTTTTTTTTTTTTTTTTTTTTTTTTTTTTTTTTTTTTATTTTTTATTTATTTATTTATTTTTTTTTTTTTTTTTTTTTTTTTTTTTTTTTTTTTTTTTTTTTTTTTTTTTTTTTTTTTTTTTTTTTTTTTTTTTTTTTTTTTTTTTTTTTTTTTTTTTTTTTTTTTTTTTTTTTTTTTTTTTTTTTTTTTTTTTTTTTTTTTTTTTTATTTTTTATTTATTTTTATTTTTTTTTGTATTTTTTATTTATTTTTTTTTTTTTTGTATTTTTTATATATTTATTATTTATAATTATTTTTCTTTTCTTCTCAACATTCAATAACCTTTTGCAAACTTTATAGCACCATTGTCTAAGTGTTTATTGCATCTTTTTTTCTATTATTTTGTATGCACTTAGGAATCAGTATTTTTTATGCACTTCATAAAATGAAATACCATTTTGTATGCCATTTTTTAAATCAATGTTTTAACTGTGGCTTTATTTTTTTTTCCTTATTTTTATTCTACTATTTTCTACGATTATCTCTTCTATGCCCTTTTTTTATTATTGATTTTTTGGCGGCTCTCATTTTTAAGTATGAGAATACGAAAAAAAAAATAAATAAAATAAAAACTAAAATAAAATAAAAAAATAAACTTGTACCATTTTGATGCCTTTTTACAAATTTATTCAATTGCCAATTCGTTGCATACTTTATTATTTTTTTTTTTTATTTACTTTTTTTTAAATTATATTTTTACATGCTATTCATGTTGGGCTTAAATGACATGTTACATGGCACTAGAAAAACATTGGGTTAAATTTAATTGAAAATGGTAATCCTGAAACTGTATTAACTGATAAAATAATTAAATTTGGCTATTATTTTTTTTTTTTCTATTTTGCGTTGCTGCACTTTTATATTTATGTTTTTACTTATGCATTATTATTTAGTTTTATTTATTTTTTTTTAAAATTTTCTAATCCTTTAACTTTCTCTTTCACGAACCAATGAATGATTTACAAATAAATTATGACAATTTATTGAAGGATAGATATAGTATAAAGGATAAAAAAAATAGAGGGTTCGAAATAATATAAAAGACCTATGCAAAAGGGCGATCTAGGAATAACTATTTCAGCATTCAGTTATGTGATATATATATACATATTTACATAAGTATGAATATATTTATATTTTATTTTATATTTTTTTTTGAGCTCTTTTGTCAAGTTTGTTGATATAAGAGGATTATTTGAATTAATCCATAGCATAGTATGTATGTACATATATATACATACATATAGATGTACATATAGATATATATGAACAAATGCTTTCTTCCCCAAATGCCGCGCTCTCACACTTTAAGGAAACGTAGTGCTGTATATATTGTACCCCATCGACGATAGTGGAAAGGAGAGTAGTAAGCAAGAGTAGCTTTATTCCAATTTTTTTGCAACTTTCTTCTATTTTTGGTGCCTACAAAACTACGGATATTTTAAAGTATCATGTGTAACAACAGACGGAAAAGAAGGAATTCGATTTATATGCTACATCCAATGAAAGCATAAGAAAACACGTATATTATTTGTATGCATGTGTATGTACGCTTGGAACACTGCAGATTAGAGCGATAGAACAAAATTTGATTCCACTCCAAATTTGCATTAGTTCCATTCTCCAATTTAAGCGACATATATGAACCCGTGAATAGAGTAGATAAAAAGGTAGAAAACGAAGAAGAGCATATCAAAGAGACTTATATGTATAAAAGGCTTAATTGAATATTAACCTTTGTGTCAAGAATATTTGAGAACGAAATAGATTGAAGTTTATAACAATATCATTGTAAAAAGAAATTAGGATCCACTATTTTTTATTTGCACATAATTTTTTCTTTATATTTGTTTTGACAAAATGGGGTTCTCTGCCCTTACCGCACTTATCAAAATCAAGCTGATCATCTTTTGTTTCAAGAGGCTTCTACTGTTTAACAAATATAAACATATTAAGTTAGATGCACAAAGGAGGAAAAACAGAAAAAAATTAAGACAAGCGCAAGCAAATAGTGAAAATGCTGTAGCTGAAGCCGACATTAGAAAAAATGTTCAAACGAAAACAATTTATTTTATTAGACATAGTGAATCAGTATGGAACAGTATATTCAACACGAAGGTAACTATGAAAAATATGTTGAACGTAGCCCTGATGTTTTTTTATGAAATTTTCTTTCTATTTAGCAAAAAATCAAGTTTAATTGATTCCCCATTAAGTAAAAGTGGAATAGAGCAATCTATGGAATTATGCCAATTTCTAAAAGACAATATTAATGATAAGGAAAGTAAACAATTATGTGGAGGTAATGAATTTATGCAGTTAGAATATTTAGATCAGGCAACTAAAGAATTGGATGAATTTTATACTAAATTATGTGATGGTGTTTATAATACTATAACAGAAAAAGAACAAAAATATGTTACTATTTGTGATGATTTTTTTTATCAAACAACAAAAGAAGAACAAAAATATGCTGGTATTTGTAATGATATATTTCTTAAAGCTACGGATGAAGAAAAACCGTACCAAAAAATATGCAATGATGAACAGGACTTATCAAACTTAGAATTTCACTTTAAGAAGCTGTGCGATGGCTTCTATGATGCAGCATTATATAAAGATAAAGGATTTGTTCAACGAAATTTTGAAGAAAGTGAAGATGAAGATGATGATGAGGACGACGATGATGATGATGATGACGATGATGATGATGATGACGATGATGATGACGATGATGATGACGATGAAGATGATGAAGAGGATGAAGAGGAAGAAGAAGATATTAAAAAGCCTAACCTGAAAGGTTCAAATACACAATTGAAAGGTTCAACAGGAAAATTTCCCCAAGTGGTATATGCTAAAGCTAAGGACCCCAGAACGGAAAAACAAAGAGAAGAACAACTCAAAAAGGAAAGAGAAGAAAAGCTCAAAAAGGAAAGAGAAGAAAAACTCAAAAAGGAAAGAGAAGAAAAACTTAAAAAGGAAAGAGAAGAAAAACTTAAAAAGGAAAGAGAAGAAAAACTCAAAAAGGAAAGAGAAGAAAAACTTAAAAAGGAAAGAGAAGAAAAACTCAAAAAGGAAAGAGAAGAAAAACTCAAAAAGGAAAGAGAAGAAAAACTCAAAAAGGAGAAGGACAAAAATAAAACCCCGTCATCGACAAAATTGACAAATACGAGAGATAGTGGTATGAGTAAGAGTGAAGTATGCTTGAGACCAAAAGCTCCTAAAGAGGAAGACCCAACCAAATCTATGTTTGATTTAATTCTTGATGGAGAATCTAGCGGATTGGGTAGTGACTCCCAATTTGAGCATGCAAAATTACTAAACGCTCCAAAGAAGAAAGAAGGAGACTTAAGACGACAAGCGATGCAGAAGAATTTTCAAAAGTCTCTGGAAGGTACTAGTACCGATGCAAAGAAAGATGAATTTGGAAGCACACTCAGTTTGGGTAGTATTATGGATGGAGATGACGGAAGTAGCATAGGTGATCCTGAAGAAAAAGATAAAGTCAAAACTGATTTCGATACGGCGTCTGTTGCATCTGCAGATGAAGAAGTATACAACTCTGAAAACATGCTTAATATGTCTGTGCAAGAACATATAGATGTTTTAAATAATACTAAATATCAAAGTGTTGTGTTATGTTCAGATTTAAGAAGAGCTATAACGAGTTGTTTCATTGCTCTAAAGGATAGATTCAATACAACAGATGAAAACGTTTATATTTTAAAATCATTACAAGAGCTTAGTAGAAATGCAGATTCGATTACCTTATATAATTTTTACCACAGATATATAACACCTACTGCTAGCAATTATGTGAGTGCAGACGTTGACGCTTTAATTAAGAAAAATGTAAAAGAGGCTGAAATAACACACAAGAGCAGATTCCAAGATACATTATCATATGTTTTTAAGGATCCAAATAACATTTTTATTATATTTGGTCATAGTTTATGGTTTTTAAGCTTTTTTAGAAACTTCTTACCACCCCCACACAAAGCAAGAAATCATAAAATGAAAAATTCCAGTGTTGTCGTGTTTAATCTTAGCAAATACACAGATGAAAAAGATGAAGAACAATATGAAATAGATAGAGAAAGTGTAAAAGTTGTGTTTAAGGGATTCGAGAACAAGGTTTATGCTAAGGACTAACTAACTGAGCTTATGTGGAAAAAGCTATTTCCTGGGGAATTACAAAATAAACAATATCCAATGAGTTCTGAATAATGGAATTTTGTCAGCACTTACTCCCTTTTTGCATGATGAACTTGCTGATGGAGCTTATTGATGAACTGAGTGAACAATTGACTGTTGATTAGGCCCATAGTTCAACCATTGATTTAATTATTTATTATTTAAGTGTTGATTATCCCATGATTTGGACACTGATTTAATTGCAGTATTATGTGATAGATAATGTAGGAAAAAAAAAAAAAAAAAAAAAAATCAACCAGTACTATTCCATAGCACCATACATAAAGCCCCCCCCCCCCCAGAGCATAACAATATACAGTGTTAAAAAAAATGTACACCTCGAAAAAAGTACAATAAATAAGCAGAAACATATTGGTGTCAACAAATAACAAAAGACATTAATGTACTGTGTATTCATAACTATACATTTGTTATATATTCCGAGGGGAAAAAAAAAAAAAAAAAAAATTATGAGTGCTTATAAAACTTCTAATGTACTATATTTTGAGTTATATTATAATTCCCTAAATTTGAATATACATCACAGGATTATAATATTTTTTAATAAATGTTATTTATATTCGTTCATGCATTCGTACAATTATTTCATTATAAATTTGCGTGTCTGTTTATTGTTACAATTAGTAACATAATTATTCTATTTTATTTTTTTGTTGTTATAACAATTTGCTTAATTCGGAAATGATGCTCCTAACATTCAATAACGAATCTTTGCTTAATTCATATCTGCATAAAAAAAAAAAATTTTATTTTTTCATTTATTTTTCTCATGTATGCACATGCCATTCGATGTGCATCGAAAAATGTGTAAATGTGCTCACTACTTACGCTCATATATATATATATATATATATATATATATATATATATATATATATATATATATATATATATCCTCTCGCACATGTTTCTCATGATCCGTACATGTAATGAATGCATTTATGCAATGAGGCGTATAAGCACAACGAAAAAAATCGATGTCAATATTATATGACTAATGATATGAACGGGGAAATGTGTGCACTATATGCAACAAGCCATTAAAAAGCTCATGGTGATTATGTGTGTATATATGCATATGTATATATTTATGTATATAATCGTATGTATATATTTATGTATATATGCTTATGTACGTATATTCATGCATGCCCATATGTTTTTTTTTTTTCTCCCCACACATGCACGTGTCCACCTATTGAATATATACCTATTCATGTTAACTACGTAACTAGCCTTCTTTAAAAAGTAATAATGGGAAATTCTGTTTTTATAAAATAGCGAAAGGAATTCGAAAAAGGTTGAAATGTTTATGGAGAATATTTCATCACATAACTGCTTTATCAGCATCCTATAAAATACATGGTTCTTCTGAAGCATATCCAAATAATCTAAGGATTTAAAAATATATAGAATGCTGGTTGGGCTAAATTTGAGTTGTCCACGGGTCATTCGATCCTGTATGATGTCTTTGATTTCATTAAAATATGGTAATGCGTTATTTTTGTCCATTATTGTCGCAAAATAAAAAAAATTGGTTATTTGTTTTTCTTTCAAATAATAATTAAAAAAAAAATTTTTTGAATATTCAAGCATTTTTTCAATTTGCTCATTTGTAATCCCAAACTTTTCATTTAAATGTTTAAATTGAGATTTAAACAAATTTAAATCTATAACATATTTTTCGAGCAAATAATTCATTTCTTTTTTTTTCTCATTGTATAAAAAAGTTATGTCCTTCTTTGAACACTCCTTATCATTCTGTATACTGCTGTAATAATCTTCTATCAATGTTGATTTTTCATTAATCGCATAGTCACTATCATTTATGTATAACCTTTTATATATACTTAGGTACACCAAGCTGGTATTCTTTAATAGATCTATTAATTCAACATCCCTTACACAATTATCCGTAATAATTTTCATAAAGGACGACAATAAATACACAGGCATGCAATGCACATTTTTTTTTATCACATTTGTAATATCCATTTTTAATTCCTCTATTTTGTTATTTTGTAATTTGGATTCATATAATCCTTTAAAAATTAAATAAAATTGAAATATTCTAAAATGTTTTATATTATATTTTATCTTACCATACAAAAAATCGTTAAATAAGTTAAAAGAGTAGCCTAGCATTAATTCTATGCTTTCGCCTTTTTGTGAACACGAAACTGCTTCACTTGGAATGTGGTTCTTATTCATCAGATTCTCTATATTTGAGATATTTTGTTTCTTTTTCACATTTTCTTCTCGATTATGTAATTCCTTTTTAGTGCCATTAACATGTTTACTATTCCATCGAGTGTATTCTCTTTCTATGGGGCCATATTTCAAAAAGGAATAAGTCACCAAACTTATATTGTTCAAGGAAGTTGTATTAATATCATTCAAAATATTGTTATAAATAATTTTATAAATTTTCTTACGCTCTAACAGTTTATCCTTCAATGCGTAAAATAAAATACTCAAGTAATTAATGTCTAATAGATAGCATTCTTTTTCAATTTTAGAAAAAATATAATTCCAGTTTGACAAATTCTTTTTGGTAAAAATGCAATTCGCAAAGCATAGAATTGAAATGTGTTTTATATTTAATTTTTCAATATTATTGTTTAAGTAGTTTACTAATTTGTCTATTACATTTTTATTCCTTTCTTGAAAAAATAAGTTAACCCTATCCAGTTGGCAATATACCAGAAGTGATGAGCAAAGGAAGTCAATTTCACTCAAATCTAAATCATACCTGTTAAACGTTTTTGAAATACTATCAAACAGTAAATATGCTTTGTTTATATTTTTTGAGATATCTAAACATTGCAAACTATCCGAATTACATATAATTGTAGATGTATTATTAAACGTGTAAAATGAATTAATTACACTAAAGATACTATTAATATCAATATCATTTCTATTCAAGATAAGTAATGAACTATGCTCAATTATTTTTTTATATATATCTTCATTATAAAAATTATTGTTATTATTCATTGCATATAATATATTTGAACAATTTTTTATATTTAAAGAATGTAAATTGCTTGAGATATTCCCAAGCATTGTAAGAAAAAAATAATGGTTATAAAATATGGATTGGGATGAATATTTAAATATATAACTTAGCACATTTCCATTTATTTTATGAGCAATTCTTGTGCATCTATTTAATAAATTCTTCCAAATGAAACTTTCAAATATGTTTTCTTTTATGCATTTGTTCATAATTACACATAGAGTTATTTCATCCATTTGCTCAATATATAGACTACCACCTAATTTGCTATGTAATGATATATTTGGGTAACCAAAAAAATTTAGACTTGTTTTTTCATTTATCATATCTTGATTCCCATTTTCTACAACGAACTGTTTATTTACATGTTTCTGTTTCCAGTATTCTCCTTTAATGTTAATTTTGTGTACATTTGAATTCTCCGCCAATGGTCTTCTTGTTTTGTATTTATCGTTTTGTTTGCTCCATTTTCTCTTACTGGGAGGGTTATAATACCGTTTGTTCAGGAAAAAGAAGAAACGTGTCTGCTTTGTTTTCATTTAAATACTATTTCTTCATAATACAGTCATGTCAAAAATCGTGCTATACATAGGCTAATTTTAAAATTATGTATTATGTAAAATTAGGGCGTGCATATCCATGTATCAAAGCGGGGAAAAATCCTTCAACTTTTGAAAATCCAACACAACATTGTGAAACCAAAAGAAGAAGAAAAAATCTGGAAACTTATGTCCAAGTTTTTAACTGTTTTGTCCTATTCACAGCATATTATTTTCATATCCTTTTTTAAATACTGAAAATTGCATTAACCTCATCTGTTGTAACATTTTATCAATTTTTTATCCCTTGACTGTCCCAGACGATGTTTCATAGTCCTAAACACAATAGCAAATTTTGTGCTATTTTATAGTTTTACAAAAAATATTGCCCAAAAAATATGCTCAAACAAATTCAGCTAAGTTGGTATACTTTTAAGGGATATTTTTTTTTTTTTTTTTTCTCATTTATTCGACTTAGCATGAAAATGCAATAAAAAAATAAATAAATAAATAAATATATATATATATATATATATATATATATATATATATATATATATATATAGAATATATAAATAACAGAGGATAAATAAATTTATTCAAATGTGTGGCAAAGTAGTATACGAGATTACTTTTTATTTTACGCGGTTTTGCTACAAAGGTGTTGTGAATAAAAGCAATAAAATGAATATTCGACAGTTGAAAATTAGAACATGTTAAAAGAAAAGCTTCTGTATTTATAAACAAAAAAGGAAAGAAAATGGTAATATAGTATTGGGATCTTTCGGCAAGGTTACATACTAAATTGCATATTATGTCCTGTGTAATAATTAAAAAGGCCTATTTTTTTTTTTTTTTTTTTTTTTTTTTTGTGAACAGTACAGTAACAGTGTATTAAATTTACAATATACTTTAACAAAATCATGTAGGATAAATTGTTAAAATACAAAATCAATTGTAATCTTAGCAATTGTGATGAAATTTAGATTATAAGATGTTTAATGATATAGTGTATAAATGTACACCTTACAACCTCAAGGACATATGAACGCAACATTAACAATTTTCACGTGCAAAGATATATTTCCCCTATTTGGGTATTTAAATCAACTACTATTACACTATATTGAGCTTATTCTAAGTTACATTTTTGCATACTTGTGAAAAACGTTAAAGAATTATTTCTACAATTCCTGTGTTTCCTTTTTTTTTTTTTTTTTTTTTTTGGACAAATCAGATTACAAAAAGAACAAACGCTGTAGTAAAAAATATCGTGAGTGCGTGTATAAATATGTATGTAAATTCATGTATACCCCAACTAAATCTCACGTCTTTTATGCATACCAAGTCTAAAGGCTACTATAAACCTTGATTTTCTCAAATGAAAAATCTTAATTTCCAACTTTTTTTAGGGAAAGCTTTCATTTAGTTTGAATTTGTATCGTACCATACTAAGTGGCCATAAATCTGGAGCTTATCTACGTGGCGAAAAACTTTCTTTAAAAGAAATTGAGGTAATTCATATATATATATATCAATATATACACGCAGGCAGACAAGGCGACAGCTATAATGACCTTGCAACCATAGTTTTGCAGACTCAAAAATTAGACTAGTGTGACATTTTCCTTTGTAAGAAACGGATTATCACTGACAGGCATGAGTCATGTAGTTTTATTTAAATAATAAGGAATATATACACATGTATAAGTATAAAATATTTATCACACATATTAAAATTTGTTCTCTATTGCCATCCATTTTAAGTCAAAAAGCACAAGGGGTCTAAGGGGAAAGCAAATAAAGATCACTACATCCATTATACATGATAAAAATAGGAAATGGAGATTATAATTTTTTTTCATATTTAAAATTCTTAAAATAAAAAGTACTTCATGCCCTATAGGGACCTTCTGAAATTTACCAAAGAAAAATGTTCTTTATTAATAAAAAATTTCATTTTATTTCTCAAATTAATGCGTTTTATAAATAATAGAAATGTATTTCTAACATAGTTATACCTTTTATTTTTTTCTTTTTCGATTATTAACCTTTTTAAGTAAATCGTGCATAGCAATTAGTATTAAAATGCACTTTTTTTTTTTTTTTTTTTTTTTAAACGTTATGATACACTATGGAGGTATTTTAAAAAATTAAACATTTTTTCATGCTGTTTTGAAAAAAAATTTCAAAGGTTCCATATATTTTTCATGGATATACAATTGAAATAAGGAATATATAAAAATTTGTTCAAATTTTACTTTTTATTTTGCGTAATGCTTATTTTACAACTGTGTTAAAAGTATGTTTAAATATAAGAATTCATAATTGTGCTAATATACTTTTTGCTGTATTTTAGTACAAACATTTTAGTAGACAAAGATTTTGTATGAACTATAGAACAATCGAAAAATATGCCACGCAAACGTAGAAATAAAACTCCCTTTGTTTGAACATACATAAATTTGTAAAATGTTGTAAACAGAAAAAATTAGAACATTTGGGTATGGCGAGAATTATGTACTTGTGTGCATAATTATTTTTTTCTAACTTGTTAACACATTTCTGTAGAAGTTTACTTTGAGATTGTATAAAATTTTATAATTCTGAACGACTGTTTTAAAATATGACCTTCAAATATAAAAAAAGGTCTAAAAATAAGCAAAGGAAAGTTTACTTTTTGTGCAGTTGTATAAAAAAAAAAAAAAAAAAAAAAAAAAGTATTCCATATTAGGCATATGTCTTTATTTGTTAAATGGAGAAATTCAAACCTTTTACTCAAGCGCGATAAGCATGCTCACATACGAAGATGTACACGTACGAATTTGGCTTGATACATGTATATGCACTCCTCTTTTTTTTAATGTATCCGGCTGTTCTTTCTCCCAAAGAAGCGCTATAATAAGTCATACGTATCATCATGTTGACTAAAAACTGTTATACGAAAAAAAATTTCGTCCTGTGAAGCGGTGTTAACCTTGTTCGATTTTTAAATTGTGCAAGTAATTACATATACATTTATATATAAATTCTTTACTGATAATAATTTCTGAAATTCTGTAGAAAAATAAAATTTCACTCGTGTTAAATTGGAATACACAATTAATAACTAAACCCCATAACATGTATAACGGCACATAAATTTTTAACGAAAACATGAAAAAAAAGAAAAAAAAAAAAAAAAAAACGAAAAAAAGTACACAGTGGGATATTAAAAAAAAAAAATAATAATAATAAGAAAACAAAATTAAATAGCAGCAACAAACAAATGAAGAAATGGGGCAGCACACCTTTAATGGTGTAGCCTACAGGGCGTACTCAAAGTTTAGCAGTGCACAATAAAAATGAGGAATATCTTGTACATGCAAAACTATGCATATTGAACGTATGCATTTTAAAATATACTATGAACGCTTATACACTATACAATGCTTATCCTATCATAAATACTTGAACACCATACATGCAAAGATGCCACACGTATTACAAGAGGACACTGGTAAAAAAGTGCATCGAGAAATTGAAATATTTGTAGGATTTGCCATGAACAATTTTGAAGGTTTATTCGACGGGCCTTAAAAAAAAAAAATATTTTTTTAATCGCTCATCCAGCCAAATGTAAAATTCAGCTTTTACATTTATATTGTGGCTTTTGCGTTTTCTTTCACCCTTTCTTTACCTTTTGCCTTCACCTTAATTTTCGCATTAGTCCTCACCATTAACTTCACCCTCACCCCTATGAATTTTTTTATTTTATTTTTTTATTTTTTACGCAAATATTTTTACATAACAGCTATATTCACTTTAGCCTTAAAATAAAAAAAAAAAAAAAAAAAAAAAGGTAGATGACAATTTTATAGTGTAATATGATATAGTGTGATACTGCGCAAAATCATACAGCGCAAAATTATACAGCGTAATATAATTAAACATATATGGCAACATAACACTTAGCAGAACACATAACAGTGTGACATATGGAAATATATTACTGGGCTGTGATGCACATTATAACACATTGCGGCATATTATGGCATATTATCCTACATTGATATTTTATATAGAGGGAGAAATATCCAGTAAAAAGGGGTTCCACCCAGCTCGCTAACCTTTCACATGTAGAGCTATAACGTATCCCCATGTTTTTATATACATACGCGTGTACATATACATATGCATATATACTAAAACACACTTAGAACAATTTAAAATTTCAGTGTGAATAAGAAATTAATTTTACTAAAAATCCTTCACATGTGAATGAAAAAGGGAGAAAAACAAAATAAGAAAAAACGAAAGAACGAAAAGAATAAACAAAATTGTAATCAAAATAGTGAGCATAAAAAGGAAATATAGAAAACGGGAAAAATTGAAGATTTAATTTTGTGTAGTTCTTTTCCCTTAATCTTCGCGTCACATAGGCCAACACAGTGAATGTTTGAGCAAACTACCCATCATACAGGCGAAAATTGTAACACAGATCAATACACACAGCAGTAAGCATATTTAACAAGCATATCATAAATCACATGCACACACGTAAGCACGTACAATCAGCAAGGAGTATATCATATGGTCCACGGATACACGTCCACTCACCCATGCGCAAAGGCTTGACTTATCAAAACCAGCACATGCACAGACACCCCTGCATTTGATGGTAAACGTGCACATACACCGATTTATGTGTTAATCCTTGTAGAGACCCAAAAGGTCAATAAAAAGAAAAAAAAAAAAAAAGTAGCGGATTTATATATTATCTCATATCCCTAGGAGGGGAAGAGAAAAAAAGTCATACGACGAATTTTATAAAAATAAGAAAAAAGGACAAAACATGAACAGCATAAACACAATGAGTAACAGCACGCAACAATTTAGTATTGAGAAAAATGAATTAAGCTATGGAGAAACAAGATTGACAGAACAACAACAACAATGTAATTATCAGATGAATAATCCGTACAACCCTGCGCCATCTATACCTGCAAAATTATTTGTTAGCTCTATTCCAAAAAATTTAACAGAAAATGATATTAAAACCATATTTGAAGAATATGGGAATACTAAAGATGTAGTTTTTATAAAAGACAAAAAACCAAACGTAAATCGAGCTAATGTATTTGTTCGAATGGAATCAATTTATTATGCACAAAAGGCAATACAAGATTTACATGGGAAAAAAGTATTATGTGAAACATTAGGACCATTAATAGTTAAATTTGCAATAGGAGAATTAGAAAAATACGGTGTTAATATGCATAATGCAAATGAAAATGAAGCCAAATTATTTGTAGGTTCATTACCCAAAGAGATAACAGAAGATCAAATAAGAAATTTATTCAATAGATATGGAAATGTAACAGAAGTTTATATAATGAAAAATAGTAATGGGGTTAGTAAAAGATGTGCATTTGTTAATTATGCATACAAAGAACAAGGAATATTTGCAATACAAAATCTAAATGGCAAAATAGCTATTGAAAATGCAGAAAAACCAATAGAAGTTCGATTTGCAGAAACAAAAAATCAGTTACAAGAAAAACAGTTATTAAATAGAGCCATGCTAAACCCGTTAAATAGTAACATGAACAATAACAACGGTAATAACAATAATCAAAGTAACAATAATACCAATAATGCTTTCCTACAATCCCAGCAATTTAAAAACATGCACGTTAATTCATTTAATAGATATCCAGTACATATGAATTATAACTTACAAAACAATGCAGCTCATCAAAAAAACACAAACAGTTCCGCTAATTCTCCATGGAAACAATATTTTTCAAAAGAAGATGGACGACCCTATTATCATAATGAAATAACGGGACAAACACAGTGGCATAAACCTAGAAAAATGGAACAAGATTTTATGAACCCATTAAATATGAATGAAGTATCTGGTCCTGTAGGGGCAAATATTTTCATTTTTCATATCCCTAATGAATGGATTCAAAATGATTTATTAGCTGCCTTTTCTCCTTTTGGAAATATAATTTCTGCACATATCGCAACAGAAAAGGACACAGGAAGAAATAGGGGATTTGCTTTTGTGTCATATGATAATGTAGATAGCGCAATAAATGCTGTTAAATATATGAATGGATTTTTGGCACATAAGAAAAAATTAAAGGTTACTATAAAGAAAGGGGAAGAACAGTACGTACAAGCTCTGCTCAACCAGAGAAGTAAACTGAGCACACCCGATAATCGAAGAAATTTTATGAGTCCCTCACCACACACATAGGGACATATTGTTTGAGAAAATGGCTATTGGAGGAAAGGTGTTTATACATAAGGGGGGTGAGAGATAAATGTACACATGTAATGTATATGTGTATTTGCCTATATACTGCTCTTGCTTTCCCTTATTTATTCATGTATTTTTGTGCCTGTATGTGCTTGTGCACGTTCTATGTATAGGTCAGAATATATAAAATAGCACGCATATATATATATATATATATATATATATATATATATATATATACGTCTGTACCTGTTTTTATGCACGATTTCTAAAGAAAAAGAAAGAACATTATCCAAAAAGTTCATGAGACATATGGATGCATATATACTCACTGGAACAAAAAAGATCACCAACTGTATTTGCACAAAAGAACTAGGAAAATACGCTTAAAGGAGAAGAAAATTCGAGAGCTCGAAAAAAAAAAAAAAAAAAAAAAAACACTTAAAAATGAAGATATAATAAATGTTCACACATATTTTTGTGTAGCTTCATATTTGTTTTCCACAATGAATTTTTTGTAGTAGCGTGCACAACCCATATATATATATATATATATATTACACTCATATTTATTTAATCTACATATGAATATTTAAATTTTGCAGGCCCACATTTGGCCATTCATATTTATGAAAATGTTGATGTGGGCGTAAGCTGTACGTACATGTTTATGTATAAATATGTGCATATATATATACACATATATGTAACAAGGAAGATGGATAAATGAAACATGGCTCGTCGTATAAGTGCCACGAATAGTGGTGCGTGGAATTTCGCATAGAATACATGAAAGCACAAATTAAGAAGCGTTTTGAAATGAAAATAAAATAATATTCTTTCAAAGTTAATTTGTTGCTACGTTTAATGGCATTAATATTTTCTTGCTGTGGATGTTAATGAGGAAGTAGTTGTTGTAGCAGTGACTGTAGTTGTAACATTGACTTTCGTTGTAGTCATAGTTTTCATTTTTAGCTGTATTCCTAGTTTCGATTTTACGTGTAGCTGTAATTTTATCCATTTATTTATTTTTTTTTTTTTTTTTCTTATGTTTTGTGCATACGAATTCATGATTGTTTGTTAAAATTAGTTTCTGTGAATGCTCAGAGTTAATTTAATCGTAGATTTACATGGATTTATGCTCATCTCATAGGCATCTACTATACTGCTATAACATATGGTGCATTTTTAATTGCATGTAAAGATGTGTAATTATATTGTACAAAAACACATGTGAAGTGCACTTTTTGCTCATTTACAATTTGCGTTGTAACAATGCACATGTGTAAATATGCTTATATAAAAAATGGAGTAAAATTGTTTTTATTTTTTAAAAATTATTTTTATCGTATATGATATGCAGTATATAATTTTTCGACATATGAAGTTGTGCAGTTGAAGGGTTTCGAATTAATTACGTGTTTACTTTGTATTCACGTAAATGCAATCACTTATACAATGTCCATAATTGGAGCATATGAACGTGTATGTAAACATGTATACCCATTCATTTATATACATAAATGCGCATATATGAGTACGTGTATAAGAGTAGAGTATTCTATGCCTCTACAAATATGCAGGTGAAACATTTTTACCTATTTAACCTTATCTTTTTTTTTCCCTTTTTTTTTTTTTTTTTTTTTTCACATTTATTGATGAAATGCATAAATACCCAAATAAGAAAATGAAAATTTAAAAGCACGTCATATAAAAAATATAAAAAAAAAAAAAAAAAAAAAAAAATTAATTAATCTTATAAAAATTTATGTAAAAAAAAAAAAAAAAAAATTAATTAAACTTATAAAAATTTATGTAAAAAAAAAAAAAAAAAAAAAATTAATTAAACTTATAAAAATTTATGTAAAAAAAAAAAAAAAAAAACAAACATTATTATACCTTAAAAACATTTAGTATATAAGACAAAAATGTATAACCTTAATGCAGTATATATTTTAGACATGATAAACCATGCTTTCTTGTATAGTTCATTATACAATGAAATTATAGGAAGGCATGTTTTATTTATATATAAGGAGGTAAAGCCAAACGGATCTGTGTCTCAGTAGAGTGAACATGGTCTAATGTTGACACAAGTAAATGGTAACAGCATATGTATCCCAACCTAATGTCCTGTATCATGTATGCAACTAGGGGATTACAAGAGAGAACATTATCGAAATTTCATTTCGCCTCCTCTTGATGTAACGATATAGAGACGTTGAATAAAATGAAACGGAAAGCAAATCCCTTCTATATTTTTATTAAATGAAGCAAGTGCATACAGAAACCCTTTGGAAATTTTACATTCATGCAAAAGGATTTTTTTTTTTTTTTTTTTAAATATATTTTTTATTACAGCTTACATAATAAATGATAGTTTAAGAAAGGACTAGAAATACACTCAAGTTGTTCTATTCCTTTTTGCTTGTATAAAATGAAAGGTATATTTGATGGATGATCATAAGCGAATTGAAGATAATTAAAATTATCATTATGTTTCTTATTTTATTTAACTTTATTTCGTTTTTTTACATGTGTTTTTCTTCCCCTTATGTTCACATTTCAAGCAATTTGTTGAGGACTTTGAAAAACTTTTTCTCTGCATGTATTTATTTGGGACTAGGTACCACACACTAAATGGCACACTACTGCACAACTTTTTCCTTTTAAACAAATTTCACAACAGTTCGAATTTCAAAAAATAAATTAGATAAATTTTAAATTTAAATTCAAGGAACAAAGAACGGGCTGGAGTTACGTGTTCACCCCTATTATTTGTTTTCCTCACTGTCATTACATAGATACATATGATATATGTGTATCTGGGTTTTGGTATACATAAGATTTTGTTTACATTCTGTTATGGAATAATTCGATCATGGAGACGTATTAACAGCCACATTTAAATGTAAAGAACAACAACTTGATGTGAGATAAGAATGGTAAAATATTTGCACGGTATGCAAAACTTGATATGTTTCCTTTAACAGTATGTTCATTTGAATTCAGAACTGTACATAATGTTTTTTTTTTTTATTTACCTCTCCTGCAATGTATTTGCTACGTATACTTGCATTAACATGCTATTGTGCTAGGGAATATCCATGCTGAATACACTATTTCCCAAATTATCCAGCAAGCCATTCTATATATTTGCCGTATTACACGTAAAGTAAATAATGATTAACAAAAAAAAAAAAAAAAAAAAGAAGTGTATAAAATAATCCCCCCAATCGACACATACTTATAAAATATGAATATCATTTATGATAATTATAAAATGATATTAAAGAGTAGTTCAGTTTACACCATGTAAATTGAAAACATGTATAAACTGTGTTACCAAATTTTGTGATTATAAAATGGGCACCAAAAATGTCACAACCTTTTTTTTTTTTTTTTTTTTTTGCTCTTTCGATTTATCATTTTTATTCCCGTTCATATGATAATCAACATAATCCTATTCTCCAAATGTTGTCCTACATAAACATCTGTACTTGCCTAAGCTTTAGGTGAACATCTTAACTTCCTAAGTTTCGTATTATTGCCCTGAATAAATGCAGTGAGGCGAAGGCTATTTTTTTTTTTTTTTTACTCACTTTTTTCACAGATTTTTCCTTTTGTGTAGTGACTACGACAAATACTGCTGATATGAAAATACATTTCACAGTTTCGAACCATCTTCCCTTAGTGTCAAATATATCATGCAAAGGTTCAACTAAAGCATTTAACTATACTTCGTACATGCATAGTAATGAATACATACATGTGTGCGCGTTTATGCACATGTGGGTGTATTTTATTGCCACTCCGTTGGTCACTTTTCTTTATGTACATATTTAGTTATCCATTTTCAGCTTTTTCGCATATGAAAACATGGCCATGAGAAATCATTTTTATGTGTTATAAAAAGCGCTTAACTTAATTCCATTTAATTTTATGCATTAATGGAGCGTTACCAAACATTTTATAAGGTATGTGTGTACCTGTATGAATATATGCAAATATATGTAAATGTATACATTTGGAAATGTATTATATATGCGTCAATGACATACGCACATTTCACATGCTGAATTGAATAGGAATTTGTGTGCGTCGCAAAAATAATAAATATTTTGTTATTTCCTCTAATTTTTAAAGTAATTTTTAAATTTTATATTTCAATTTAATTAGTGGTGGCAAGTGTAATTTTATTTTATCATGAGCAACGTACATTTAAGCTGACATTTTAACGTAAATAAACAGTTCTGCATGTTACATTCCTCATGCCAGGGATATTTATTTTTACCTTTTTTTTTTTTTTTTTTATTTTAAATACTTTTTTTTCGTTTTCCCATTTTTGTTTTTTTAGAAGTTAAGGAGCTTAACATACATCTTAAATCTTTTACATATATATAACTTTATGTACATCTTAAGTAGCATATTTTCACGCCAAAATATTCAACCTTGCACTAAAGGTATCAGCATCCTTAAACGGGACACGCAAATGTTCTGTATACATATATATATATAATATTTATATATATGTTTTTTTTTTTTTTTATACATATATAGATATATATTTATGTATAACGCTTTGAGCGCCTAACTTTCTCATTTTGTATTATTTCGTCGCTCCTCTCCATTTTTTTATTCCTTCATTTTTCATTTCTCATAATTTATATATATTTTTTTTAATTTTTTTTGAGGGAAACCAAATTGTTTCTGTTAATCGTGCCTTTACACATATGTAAAAGCAAATCATCTGTGAGATAATTTGTAAGTGTTTTTCTTTAATGAGTGTTTTAAAAAAACAGATGAAACCTCCCCTCTCGAAAAGTATATTGTCATAGTTTTGAAAAAAAAAAAAAAAAAAACGCATCCTGATTGCCCATAAATGAATGTAGATATCCAAATGTATTAGTCTTACAAATATGTGAATTTACACATATGTATATGCACTTATGTATGCTTGCACGTATGCAACATATGTAAATATCTTCCCCCTCCCCAATGTGTTTATTCATGCGTGCGTTAGCATGCCGACCTGTATGACCATTTAAACATGTAACCCGAATTCCTTGGTATTGACTTGCGCCAAAGAAAATTATCCTAAACAGTCATATTCCCTAGGAATTCCCTAGAATCCCCTGTCTATATATTACGACACATCCGAGCATATCCGTCAAGCACTCTATAGTTACATGTATTGCAACAGTAGTATATTCTGCATGTACAGCCACAAAAGTTATATATGTGTGTATCATAATTGATTTGCTATTTCAGAAACAAGGTGCATTATTAGCGTAAAATGGTTTGTGAAAAAAATTAAAGGAAACAATGCCAAAAAGTATTGAAAAAGATACGGAATGCAATGGCCCCATAAGCGATTCATTCTTTGGAAGCAAAATTAAGGTGGACAATTCAAAAGGAATTAACGATGGGGACCAAAAGGAGAAAAATAAAAAAAAATTAATCAACGGAGATAGTAATGCAGAGGACGAGAAAAAGGAGACAAGCATTGGTGATAAATATGCAGAGGAAGATAAAAGTTTAACCGGCATAAGCAATAAAAGCAGAAGTTTAGACACAAATAATGAATATCTAGAAGATATAGAAACATTAAAAAACACGCATAATAACACATTCAAAAGAAAGAAAGGAAGTGATGAAATAAAGGGGAAATATGAAAATGCAGAAGATCAAAGTAACAACAAAAATAATCAAAAAGTGGAATGTAAAAGAAAGAAAACCGTTAAAGATATGAAATATTATAAAGATATAAAACATCTAAAAGAATTATCTAATTCAAAAAATATAAATAATCGATTTACAAATTTAATTCGATTTTATGGATATAATAAGACACTTAATAGTTTAAGTAAAAACAGAATATCTACAATCAACCAAAATAATAACAACGATAATTCAAATTCAGAACGTTTTCAATCCAAATTAGAAACATTTAAAATAAGATGCATCTCAACACTGATATTAATATTTTTCTACCTGCTGACGCTAGCAGCGGGACATTTTTATTGTTCTGTTTTAGTTCTAATATTAGTTACTTTTGTTTATAGAGAAATAATATCTTTAAAAAGTGTAGAAAATAAAGATAAAAAATTACCAGAAATTTTTTACATAAGATGGTATTGGTTTTTTTTAACAATATTGACGTGGGGAATACCATGGATTATACCAAAATTAAAATATCAATTTAGGTTATTTAAATATATGTTAAAATATCATTCGATTATTATGTTCATATCAGCTTTTTTTGGATTTATTTGGTTTATATTATCCCTAAGAAAGTTTTCTCTGAAATACCAATTTTCACAAATAGGTATCATATTGTTATCTTCTCTATTCATTGTAACCCAATCATTAATGCACATTGCAAACATATACTCAGGGCTTATTTGGTTTATAATACCAGTAACGTCAGTTGTTATCAATGACATATTTGCCTACATATGTGGTGTCCTGTTTGGTAAAACCAGATTAATTGAATTATCTCCAAAGAAGACAGTCGAAGGTTATATAGGATCATCTATCATAACTGTTTTATATAGCATATGTGCAACCTATTTTTTACAAAACTATAAATTTTTTATTTGTCCTCAAAATCATATTTCTTTTATACCATTTCACACATTGTACAACACTGATTGTGAAGACAATTCCATTTTCAAACCCAAATATTTTACCCTACCAAATCAGTTAGCTTCTCTATTACGTGTGAAACAAGTATATTATACCAATATGGTTTTGCACGGATTAGTCTTAAGTCTGTTTGCTGCCTTTTTAGCGCCTTTTGGCGGTTTTTTTGCATCAGGATTTAAGAGAGCATTAAAAATTAAGGACTTTGGACAGTCAATTCCAGGACATGGTGGAGCTACCGATAGATTTGATTGTCAAATTTTCATTGGTATGTTTACCTATATCTATTTGAAAACATTTGTTAAAATTAAAGGGAGAATTAATTATTCCTACGATGTACTGATTGATTCAATACAGAAATTGGATCATAAGGAAGTTTTACGACTCTTTAATCAGTTAAAAAATATAATAGACAAAAAAAGGAGGAGAAATACAGATAACAAGAAGGACCATCCTAAAAACAATTCCAAGGATAATAAATGCAACAATGAAAAGAGACCAACATTGACCTAGGGAAAGATCCACATGTTTTCAGCATTGTAGAATATATAATATAATGCCAGTAATGCATGTAGATAATAATATAAGTGGTGTGGATCATGCCATATGTAGAATATATGCAAGCACGTAGATATTTAACAGAACTCATATTATCCATCGTATTCTAAATTAAAAAATTCATCTCATCTCTCCACCTTCCGCTTTTACCAATACCATGTTTGTGCAAATTTCTTTTATGCAGATATTTGTTACACAAAAAATGTAAAATGAAATATAAAAAAAATAAAAAAAAAAAAAATCAAGAAAAGAAAAAACAAAGTGTACATACACCTGCGCTTATATATACCCTCTTATCAAATATAACGAGAAAATTTTTGTGCTAATTTTTTTTTCTTGTTCATTGCTTGTTTGATATGAAGTTATATTTATTAGTCCGAATTAAAGACTTGTAGATATAACAACCTGTGTATGTGTGTATGCGTATGTGTATATATGCATATATTGTGTATTTACATTTTTTTTTCCATTTCACCCAAAACGTTTAATAGGTGTTTCACATGCATGAAAACACAGAAATATATTTATGTACTTCAAGAGTGTATGTATAATTTTACATTGTCCTTACACGAATGAAAAATTAATTTAGTTAGTTACATTGCATGTTCCAAAAAAAAAAAAAAAAAAAACATTTTTAATGCTAATTATTTATGAATGTTCATGTAACTAGCTTCATAATTTTTTTTCTTTTTTCCAATTTTTTTTTAAGCATATCTTTACGCAACTTTTTTAAGAGAGTATTTTTATGGGCATACAAAAAAAAAAAAAAAAAAAAAAAAAAGACAAAGCTGTTTGTGTTACACCTTTTTCCCGCTTTTTTCTTTTCTTTCCTTTACTTTTTTTTATTTATCATCATTATTTATTCCATTTTATGACCCTTGTGTCAACATTTTACTTATGACATTGGTTATTTCATTTTGTTATTTTTAAAAGAAATTTAAAATGATTTTTTCTTCTTCATATAACCTCACACCTTTCATTTTTTACTTTTTTTCTTTTTAACAATTTTAAGAATATACATATGGAGTTATGTTTTTTCTCAAATTCAACTTCAAAACTATGCAATTATAAGCTATACCACAATAAGAAGTTTAATTTCAAAGACATATACAGAATACTCTCATCCCTTTACCCGTATCCTATTACAACCATAAAATTGTGTTTTTGTAGAATTATTCATCTGCTAAAAATATTATGATGTCTTATGTGTTAGGCATCAGTACCAAACGCTAATATATATGTACGCGGTTAGAAGGCTAATAATTCTGTTTTCATTTTGTTTACTTTTTTTATTTTTTTTTTTTTGTTGCAAGATTAATTAAAAAAAAATATATAATTGCTCAATAAAAAAAAGGAAGTGTGTCTATGTAAGCACACATGTGCGGTAAACAACATTTTTATTCCAGTACTTGAAAAAAAAAAAAAAAAAAAAAAGAAATGAAAGCATCAACCCAATGTGTAAAAAGTAAATCATGCTAAAAAAAAAAAAAAAAAAAAAAAGTTAATTATAAATAGTATAACCTATTTTTATAAGCTTTTCCCATTATGATGCGAATCCTTATAGCGCATAACATCATTAAAATGTACTGCTACAAATGATACGCGAGCGCATGTGGATATCGACTAAAAATATATGTATTGTGTCTTTTTAGGGGAAAATCACGTTTTATATGATAACAAAACATTAAAAGGTGTGCAAATATGACACAAATAAGGGGAAAAAATAAAACATTTGTGACGTAGGAACGCTACAGACTTAATCTAATAACGCTTGCAACCCAATGACATCTGGTTGATAGCATAATTTAGTTCCAATGTACTAAAGGACATAGTAATAATCCTCAATACTGTATTATATTGAAAACAGTTCAATAGTGATACATGTAGAAGGTAAAAAAAAAAAAAAAAAACATTTAATGATATTTAATGGGGTCCTCTACTCATTCAAAAGATCCATTTCATTCTTCAAGGGGGCATCACTTAAAAATGTCTCTCAATTCGTTCAGGTATTCTAGAATGGAATTTTTAAAAATAACATTTACCTTCATTTCGTTGTATAAATTGTATAACCTATCAATACAATGCTGTGTTAGAATTATGTCTACATTATCATTCAATGATTTGGGTTTTCTATAAAAATATCTTGTGACATTCAGAACGACTATTCCCCATAATCCTCTTAAATTATAACTTTGTAATTTAATAGCTAAACAAAAATACTTGCTGCTTATTTCAAATTGATTAAGTGTATAATGCAATTCTGCACAGGTTAATATGTTGTACAAATTTGTAGGTTGCTGTAATAAAATTTCTTCAAAACAGTATATGGAATAACTATATAAACAATTTGTTAAATATATTTCTGCTAATTCATGCCATGCTTCTATGTCCACTGGGAACTCCTTTAAATGATCATTTAATAATTGTATAACTTTATTTATGTCTTTTTCTAATATTTTTTTTAAATTCACAATTCTTGCTCTTATTAAAATGTCACATGGATCTTTCTCTAAATAATCCTTATAAATTTCTAATGCTTCTCTGTTTTTATTTTTAGATTCATATACCATTCCTTTTAAAATATTTAGTTTTTTCCCATCTAGCTTGCCAAACTTTTCATTCAATTTATTAAAACACATATCAACATATTCATTTAAATTTAATTCAATAGACGCTCTTAAAATATGTTCGTAAATACTCCATTTAATAAATGAATTCCGCCTTATATTTTTTTTTATTAATTTCATGCCATAGTATATTATTAATTCTTGTATATCCTTTTCGAATGAACTCCGATAATATTTTTCTATGATAGTGATGTCATTTTCTTTATAAAATAAAATATTACCTTCATTCATTTTGCATTACACACACGAAATAAATAATGTAAAAAATATATAAAAAAATATAATAGGGGTGAGGGAAAAACTTGGGAAAATTTTTTTCTTCTTCTCAATTAAATAATAAAATAGCATTAAAACCAATACAAACTAAGCTAAATTCGGCTTGTTTCTTCGTTTTAACTTTTCACCTATGGGTTGGTAGTTTTATCTAGGGTAGTGATGTAAAGGAGAAAATTCAAGAATGGGTGTACATATACATACTACTACATCCCCTATCTTTAGTTATTAGGGACCTTTCTTTACTTTTTATACTATTCGTCTATTATTTAGCACGATAAACTGAGTAATCTTTTGGGAATTGATCTTCTCTTATCCTTTTTTTTTTTTTTTTTCTTTTTTTTCTAGACTGGCAACTTTACAATAGTGAACACATTTTTTTTCTTCTCGCTTAGCCGTTTTTCTACCTCTTTCTGCATACATAGCTTTTGTCACTTGGTCTGCTTCGTAAAATAAGAAATGAAAATAAATATTCACTGAATTTTTGTTTTTCTCTCATATTCCATTATTATACAAAACTCTGTTCTCTGTTGCGCATAAAAACAGTATTTTTTTTTTTTTTCTTTTTTTTTTTGCTTCTTTTTCGCGTTAAACCATCACCAAAAATCAATAATGTGGTTTTACTTTTTTAGCCTCTTTTACTACTTGAACAACTAACTAATAATTGATTAGTTTTTCCCTGCCTTTATTTTATTACGTTTTAATTCAGTTTATTTTATTTTCGTGTTATTTTGTTATTTTTTTTTTATATCTTTTCTGTGCCATTCCTTATGTGCAATATTTTTTTAATTCAGTAATGAGCTCTTTGTTTTTGTTAGGCCAGCACATACATATATGTATATATATAATTATTTATGTATGCTACTCATTTCTCATTTTTCGACCTAAGGAAATTTCGGGTCTTTCCTTTTTATGCCTCTTATTTGCTACTTCATCCTGTTGATGGAATACATAATATGTTACAAAAGAGACTCAAGAAATGTTTGGCGAATAAAAAAAAAAAAATATATGAATTAAGAAGCATTCACCTGGTGGAAACACAGGTGTGTTTTATTATTATTGTTGTTATCATTATTATTATTTTATTTATTTATTTATTTTTCCATTCACCAATAACGTGTTAAAAGTGGGAATCAGATAGTTATAATGACATTGTGCTGTGTACACTTAACATTATAAAATAGCCTTATTAAACTTATGAAATCTAATAAGCGATAGTAAGCCTTAAATTGTGATTTTAAAAAAATTGGGAATTTTTTTTTGAAACACTGCACAGAGTGTTCTGAATAAATGGAAATATGTATCCCAACAATAAATAAAAGCATATGTCATTTCATTTTTTTTTTTTTTTTTCTGATGTAATTTCCATGAAATTGTATATTATCCCCGTTCTATGGGTGAAGCATATACTTGTGCATTTAGATATACATGCACACATAACTGTTACACTTGCATATGTTCATAAAGCTTTGATGCTATGGGACTACACTCACGAACGCCATTTCTTTTACTACGTTTGCATCCAATTATTTCTTTTTACCCACTTACAAAATAAAAGGGAAGTCATTACATTTTTATTTATGTACTTCTTACAATTGAGCATTCTTTTAATTTTCCACCACACGTGAACAAAAGAAAAAAAATGTTCTCGAATAAATATCGCAATGTAAAAAAAATTATATCCTTTCCCGTTCAACATAATATCCACATCATTTTTATAAAATAAGAATTTCTACATACTAACTTTTACCCCTCCTTTTAATGTAACAAAAAAATTGTATGTGTCTTGTGTACAAGTACGTGGAAAAACGGGAAAAAAAAATAACACGTTTGAAAAACAGCTTTAAAAAACACATTCGCTAAAAGTATACAAAAAGATAATCAAAAATTGTGTGTTAATACACAACTCATTTAACTAAATATCCATTTGGTACCTATATTTGTAACATCTCTTGCAACAAAAAACTTCTATGCGCACGAATCGCAAACAATTTAAAGATTAAGTACATGTATATTTGAGTATACATAAAAATAAAAAAAAGTGTCCATGTACTACCTACTCTTATGTATTTTTTCATGTCTAATAAAACATTTATAGAAATTAAAACACAACAGAAAACGTAAATGTGTAATACCTTTTATTATTTATTTTATTTATTTATTTATTTTATTTATTTATTTATTTATTTATTTATTTATTTATTTTATTTTTATTTTTTTTTATAATTGTAAAAAAATAATCCATGTTTTCTTCAACTAAAATCGTACATGAACATGTTAATTGTACAAAGGGACGTACTTTTATAGTATATTCAAAAAATTTGTTACCCAGTGACAAAACAAGTAGCAGTTCTACAGGTACTTCAAATCTAGATAAGAATTTCGATAGCAACAATGAAAAGGCAATTGTACTTCTTTTGCATGGGTTAAATGGCGGTACTCACCAATACGAGAAATTGATGAACTCATTAATTAACTCCAACCATGTGTTTATATCACTAGGTTAAATTTCTCTCATCCGCTTCACATGTTCGTATTCGTCCCTATATCCACGCATGTGCTTACCGTTATGGAAAAATACTTGTGTACACACAAACAAAAAACTTCTTTGCAAGAGATCTAATAAGAGTTCCCACTTTATTACCCCTTGTTCTTTCTGCTTTTAACAGACTTTTATGGTCATGGAAATAGCATTTTGTCACAAAACCTGAACAAATTTACCGAGCGATTATACACAGAACAAATTTACGACGTTCTAAAGTGTAAAAATATTTTAAATGCAAATTTCATTATCGTTGCTTTTTCTATGGGATGTATCATAGCTAGTAATTTTTTTCTTTTTTTTTTTCTACACACTATTAATGCCAAGGAGAAGAATTCTTTATTATGTACCATGCATGTGTGTTTTCATTTATTTTTTATATAGATATTCATAACACATAAACCTTTGCGTTCATGTATTTGTGTACGTGCATGTTTTTTTTCTTTTTTTTTTTTTTTTTTTTCTTACTGTAGCACACCTATCTGGAGAAAACAAAATAAAAATAAAGAAGTTTTGTTTAATCAGTGCAGCTGGACTAGCGAAACCAAGACACCGATTTTTAATGTAATGTTGTCTTCTACATATGCATCCGTTTTGGAATAATGACCCATAAAAATGTTGGCACCTAAGAATCATCCAAATCTGAGTTTATAAAAAAATGTTCCCTCTCTCCTACCACTTTTACCACGTTTGCAGTTTTTTGTTAAAATACAATATAAGCATTTGCTTAAGACTGGCGAAGAAGTACAGCCATTTGATGATTTCCGAGGATGCAATTAAAGTTATACGCAACTTTAAAATGTTACATGTATACACCTACAGAAATCTTATATCATTTTTTTTTTTTTTTTTTTTTCCTTTAACTAATTTTGTATAATTCTTATTCTAAAAAAAAAAAAAAAAAAATCAGAATGAATATTACAACTTCGAAAATAATGTAGAAGATGCCATTAAACGGTATTCCATACTACGGGAAAATGTAAAAAAATAAAACAACAATAATAATAAATAAATAAATAATAGAGAGATTATCCCCTTTCCCCAAATTACAATATCCCACTTGTAAACAATTTTAAACTGTGCGAATGTGCGATAATCCAATATGTATATTTTTTTATGTCCTAATTGGGGGGATATATCAACACTATATGTAGAATTCACACTTTCGTGAAATTTCACTTACTCCCTAAATTACAATTTGTTGAAGGATAACCAAGTCTACATATACCGAATGGGTGTAATGAGCATAACATTATAACTATTGCATCTGGAGTGTACTGATTTATGGTTAGTGTTTCTCTTTTTGAAAAATGGAATTTTATATTTATGATTCTTTTTTATTTTTTTTAATTGCAGCATGAAAAATTTATAGAAACATTTCTAAAGGTACTAACCGGAATTAAAATTCAAGATTCGAAGAAGCACTATTCTGCCTTATTAAAAACGAATGCAGAAGTTCTTTTTATTTATGGGTATGTACATTTGTTATATCCCATATTAAGTTATGCTTACCGATTATGGGGATACATATACATAGTTTGATATGTATGTGAACTCTTCATTTTTTGATTACAGCATTAAATTAAGATTAGCAATAATATCTTCACCTTGCTGTTTTAACAAATTTATTCTATTTTGTACGTCCATTTTATATTTTTCGATAAAGTATTTAATTACGTATAAAAGAAGATCCTAATTTTTATTTACACACACACACACTCTTTTTTTTTTTTTTTTTTTTTTTTTTTTCAGGAAGGAGGACAAGCTAACTCCTTATTCATATACCATAAAATTTTTGGAGAAAAAACAAAAATATGTTCAGAATGTGAAAATGGTTATTTTACCTGAATGTTGCCACCTTGTGATACATGAAAAATATCATGAATTGGTTCAGCACTTGCTATGCTTTTTGCATTAAGTTTAATCACAAACTTTAGCACATCATCCATATTGTGCTGTGTACATGAGATTGATAAATGTTTGTAACTCTTCACGCCATTTGTACATGAAAAAAAAAAAACCCAAAAGAAAATGATAACAAAAAAAAAAAAAAAAAGAAAGAATGAAAAGAGAGAGAGAGAGAGAGAGAGAGAGAGAGAGAGAGAGAGAGAGAGAGAGAGAGAGAGAGAGAGAGAGAGAGAGAGAGAGAGAGAGAGAGAAAGAGAGAGACAAAGAGAATGAACGTAAACGAGATAACTAAATGAACATTTGTGTCATTTTCTGTCACATCGCTAATGCCACATGGTTCTTTCCCACTCCTGTTAAAAGATGAATTCCTTTTAAGTGTTATAAATACTAATCCCCTCTATTTGTTTGGCTTAACTTTGTGTGCACTCATTTTTTTTTTATTCTACATATTATACACAAAAATGAGAATTCAAAAACGTCATAAAGTTTCCGGTATATTTTACAGTCAATTTATAATTTTTGGAATTGTTACATCTTTCATCTCTTTTTGCGACTAGTCCATTTCCCATTTTTCCTTTATAATTAATTATAACTCAAAAAAAGTTAATACAAACCACATATAAAAATGCACATGTATCGTGTGCATAAAACTTTTTTTCCCTTAATTATTTACAAATTATAATTCAGCATAATGAAAGTGGTGTGAGCGAAAAACATGTAAATAAATTATTCTTTTTTCTCTCCTAAAGAATGTTATTTTTCCTTTTTATATTTCTAAAATAAAACTTCAGTTATACTTTTTTATTATATTTGCCTTTTTTTCCCCTCACCCCCTTTTTTTTAACAAACAACTTTGGATGTATATATAAAATGTGGACAAAAAATTGATGTAACAAAAAAAAAAAAAAAAAAAAAAGTATTTTTTCTTGCGTCTTGCGAAATAATGATATAAAAGGTTAGGCAGAAAAAAAAAAAAAAAAAAAAAAAAAAAATGAAAAACGATTAAAAAACCTGCTATTAAGTCTCCCCAACCCCACTAGGAATTTATACAGAGATTTTACAAGATACCTACAATTTATTATTTTTTTAAAAATATGAAAACGCTTTTATACATGATATAAAACATGCTACTTTAAAGTAATTATGACTTTATATATATAAATATATATATATATAAAGTTAGCAAAATGGTATAGAAACAGTTATGGAATAAATATGGGACTGACAATGTGGCAATTGAGAAAATAAGGGAGGAAATGCTCATATTTCCTACACAATTTAAATGGAAAAGAAAATCTTTAGCAACTTCAATGGGAGCAATAACTTTTACGAGTTAGTGCAAAAATTGTATAATTTCATATATGTGAACGCACTATAACAGGACACATTTATAATTATTATATATCATATATATATTTATACCTAAAAAAAAAAAGGTGCACAACATATTTAATACGTCATTTTTTCCAATACATTATCTTCATAACATTAAGGATTGTCCCAGATATCATCAACCCAATTCTTCCCCATCAACACCAATTTTAAGCAAATATACCAATAAACGTGGTGGAACGTTTCGTTAGTTTATTATAAAAATTCATTTTTTTTTTTTTTCTTTTTATCACTATATTCTCGATTATATGTTATCTCTTTCCTTTTTAAATCCTTTACCGTCCAGTTGCTTTGATACCAATTTTTACCTTATTAATATTTGTTTAAATTCAAACTTTTTTAGAAAAAAAGAAAATATTTTTTTGATCATCATGATTTTGAACAATATGGACGACAATTTTCATAACACTCATCAAATTGCTCTTAATGGATGACGTCATTATACACGTTACAATGCAATACCAAGTTGTGAATCAGAGCAAAAAAAAAAAAAAAAAAAAAATTATTCGAAAAGAGCTACCAAGCCCATGTATACCTTACGTGCTAAAGTACTTATGTATTGTATATGCATAGTTTGCCACCACTCTGACGCAAATTCATGCATCCATCCACCCATACATAAATACAATACATCTATTTTTTTTTTTTTTTTTTTAAAGAATACAATACGACATTATATGTATGAGGGTATCATCCCCAAGTGAAATAACATCTTTTGAATTATGAATTTTACGCTTTTAAAATTTAGTTATTAACCTTCACTTTTTAACTCTCTTTTTTTTTTTTTTTTTCTTTTTTTTAATGTCACCTGTTAATCTACTTTTTTAAAATATCAATTTTTAATTTACACCATTTTTGCATTTAGTGTTCTCTTTTTTTTTTTTTTTTTTTGATCTTTATAATTTTACGTTTTACTTTCCTAGAAAAAGGGACAACGTTATAACTTAGAGGAACGAAATATATAAGTTCCTCTTTGGAATCTACTTATTGTTAATTCAGGCAAAGGGACAATCCTTTTGGAGGAAGATTCTGCAATTACGTAATCGTATATATATGTCAAGTGAGTCATCCTTATGATCACGCATACACACAAGAAAAAACGCACGCTATACTATTCAGCACCACAGAAAAACAGCATAACAACACAATGTTTCATCTTTTCCTAATGAAGAATTGTTTTATTGGTTCATAGCATAATGCACAAATTAATATATATGCACCCATGGTGTGTTAATTGTATGCTTTATTACACTGGATCTCATTTGGGATATTTGTATTTTTACACACCCATTGAACACGGACGAGATACCATAACAGACACATATGTATGCATTTTACAAACCTCCATTTTGATATAAACCTAATACATATATATATATATATATATATATATATATATATATATATATATATATATATATATATATATTTTCGTGATATCTTTAATTTAATATTATTTATACCAATAGTGCATGCACAATACACCTACAAGGAACCACTTTTTGTAAAACTTATCTTATGGCTGTCCAAGAACAAATCATTGAATCTCCTATATACACATATATGCATTATTGTGTATACACATTCGTAGCAATATCAAGAAGTTTCTATTTCAGTGTATATTAAAGGGAGAAAAAAGGGAGGTGTAATATATTTTAACCTTTTTTTAAATCAACATCCTAGATTAGGAAATTTGTACTTGCTAAGTATTTTATTTTATTTTATTTTTTTTTTAAGTGTACTTAAAATGGATTCAGAAGAAGATGTAAATGTTATAACAAAATATATCATAGTGACAGGAGGAAATATGAGTGGGTTGGGAAAAGGTACAGCTATGAGCAGCATGGGCGTACTATTACTAACAAAAAATATTTTACTTACGACAATAAAAATTGATCCGTATTTAAATATAGATGCAGGAACTATGTCACCATATGAACACGGAGAAGTGTATGTGCTAGAGGATGGTGGAGAAGTTGATTTAGATTTAGGGAATTATGAAAGGTTTTTGAATATCAAATTATCGTATAAAAATAACATAACCTCGGGAAAAATATATGAAGAAGTTATTAAAAAAGAAAGAAAAGGAGAATATTTAGGAAAGACAGTTCAAGTAGTTCCACATGTAACTGATGCTATTAAGAAATGGATTAAAGGAGTTATAGATGATAATATAAAAAGGATGAAAAAAGAATACAATAGTGTATCTGCATCAACACCAAACAAAGTTCCATGTATTTGTATGATAGAAGTAGGTGGAACTGTTGGAGATATTGAATCAGCTGTGTATTTAGAAGCTTTGCAACAATTAATAAATAATTTAAATGCAGATGATGTATGCTTATGCCATTTATCTTATGTACCAATTATAGGTACATTGAGAGAACAGAAAACGAAGCCAACACAACACAGTGTGAAAATTTTAAGAGAAGCAGGATTAAAACCTGATTTCATTTTTTGTCGATGTGAAGAACCATTAACAGATGAAGCAATACAAAAAATTTCTTTGTTCTCACAAGTGAAAAATGAACATGTTATATCCCTGCACGATACATCAAATGTGTACAAAGTACCCTTAATTTTAGAACAACAGAATTTTAGTGCTAATGTTTTAAAAAAGTTGAATTTACAAAATATTGTGCTTAAAAATAAATTGCATATAAGTCCATATTCTTTTAATACATGGAAACAGTTATCTGATAGATATGAGTCATCAAACGAATCTGTAATTATTGGTATCGTAGGAAAATACACAGCTTCAAATGATACATACCTGTCGATTATTTCATCCCTTGTTCATGCGTGTATAGAATGTGGATTTAAGCTAATAATCAGATATATTAATAGTAGCCATTTATCCTTGAAAAAAAAAAACAAAAAAATACATATAGATCTGAAGAGAAAAGCAAGAAAATATTCATATGACACTTTTTCACAAATTAATACAACACAAAAACATATTTTTGTTGATGACACTACATCAGATGAAGATTATGACAAAAAGAGAAGAATGAAATATGAACAAGCTTGGGATACACTAAAATCAGTTCATGGCATATTAGTTCCTGGAGGATTTGGAACTAGAGGTATTGAAGGAAAATATTTATCATCCAAGTATTGTAGATTGCACAATGTTCCATATTTGGGAATATGTTTAGGTATGCAGACAGCTGTTATTGATGTGGCTAGACAATACCTAAATAAGTATGCGAATTCTGAAGAATTTGAAGATATTTTGGAAGTTCAGAACAATTCGGATGACAAAATGATTAACAAGAGGAAGCGTGAGTTTCATAAATACGGAAACGAAATTCACAATGGTACCACTTTATATAAAAAAGGAGGAGCATCCGACACTGATGATATTTGTTTGAAAATGCAAAAGGAACAAGAATCTCATATTAGAAGTAATGTTATGTATACCAATCAAAAAATTAGAGATTCCAGTGTACATAATAATGACGATAATGATAGTGATTCTATCTCACAGAAGAAGAACACTATATTGACCTGCTCAACAAGTGAAGAAATTACAAACAATATCAATTATGAAAATTCCGAAAATGGAAAAAATGGTCAAAATAACGAAAATTTTGAAATAAATAAAGGGGGAAAAAAATATTGTGCCGTATTGGGTAACAACATAATGAACTGTGATTCATCGTCAGTACTTGACAATGAAGAAGAAATTTTTGATAGTGATGATTTTTCAATAACGCAGAAGAAATATATTGATGATATTCCTAAAAAGCTAGAGGATCCAGTATTAAAAGAAAAAATAAAATTAATGGGTATAAAAGATTACTACAAAAGTGTTAAAGAGATTGATAACAATAATGTAATAATTTCAATGAACGAATTTAAGGGGGATGATAATAAGGGAGGCACCATGCGCTTAGGTGTCAAGCAATCAAAAGTAATTGACAAAGATTCATTAACCTATAAAGCATATGATGAAGCAACATATATATTCGAAAGGCATAGACATAGATTTGAAATTAATCCTAAATATGTTCCCCTATTAGAATCCGTTGGATTAAGTTTTGTAGCCAAAGATATTGACAGTGTTAGAATGGAAATTTGTGAAATAAAAAATTTAAATTTTTATGTTGGGGTGCAATTTCATCCAGAATTTACTTCTCGCCCATTTAAGGCAAATCCATTATTCTTGGCTTTCATTCTAGCATCCAAGGGAAAATTAAAAGAACGTCTAAACAAGCACGGAAATAAATTATGTTCAGGAAGTTTATACAATTAAATCGAAATGAGAGCAAACAAATCAACATATTCGAATTGGTGCACAATTAAATACGAAAAATAAATTAACCCATCTTCGATGAAGCATATATTATGGGAGAAAATGCCATAGTGACTTAAGCATTTTTATGTTTTGTGTTTTTTTATATTCTCTGTCCCTACCGTAATTGTATAATATATGTGTATAATAATCCTATTTGTAAGACATAACTTGAAAAAAAAAAAAAAAAAAAAAAAAGAATAAAATAAAATAATAGTAAACAAGTAAATAGATCAATAAATAGACAAATAAATTTTTAATAAACCTTATGGATACATGATGCCACGATCGGTACACCATTTTTTCGGAATCAGAGAATACTTAGAACAAAATGGTTCTTACGAAAGCATGCTTAGAAAAGACACAAGAAGTTAAAAACGTGACCAAGAGAGGGAAGGCAAAATTTGTCTTCCCTATTTCGTCACGTATCCATATACAAGAACAATATTTTATAATATGCTTCAAACATGTGTATGAATTTCTGCGCTCACCACTTTTATTATTTTTTTTCTTTTTATTCCCATCCCCCCCCCCCTAATACACACATATATATATACATACATACGCACACACGCACATGCACTCTGACTTTTCAATCAGAATATTTTTTTTAATTTTATATATCCGCCATTTATAAACCTTTTCTGAACATTTGGCACTTTGCATACATGTGTAAATGATACTACATTTATACATGATCGAAATTTTTTATTTTTAAAAACATAGAATTAAAAATAACGAACGAATCCTTTTTTTTTTTTTTTTTTTTTTTTTTCTATGCATTAATTGAAAATGTGATATCTAGATTTTTTCCATAGTTATACGAAGCTGGGGAATGATGTAAATTATTCGTTTATCATAACAGAAAAACAGAACATGAATTCTTTACAGCCCTTTCTATGAGCAAACAAAAATATATATATAAATATATACATACAAATCTGTCCACATTGGGATAAGTTCCCTACAAGTTTCACGATATATTCATTATCAATAGTAAAAGAATGAACCTAATAAATGCGTTAAGGTGTGTTCTTAATCAAGTTTGTTGGTCATAAATGCCATACATTTTGTATTCAATTAAAAGGTATTTAATCGTTAACAAAAAAAAAAAAAAAAAAAAAAAATTGTCTACTTTTAACGTAAACTTGCGAATGGAATGTACATATAAGGGATATTTAATTTTGTGAATGAAAAAAAAAAGGAGTGATGTTGGTAAAGTTATGTTGAAGGGAAGATAATTTACACCTCCTCCCTCTCTGTCTCTCCTGAGAAAAACACTTTTGACAAATAAATTAGATATAGAAATATGCAATGATGGAGATGTAAATAGATTTCCAATACAGTGTGTGTTCTAGATATGTGACATTATCATACTTCATAAGTAAAATTAAATTAAATTAGTAAGTCAAACGTTCATGTGATTTTCAATGACGGGTGCAGGAGGATATGGAGAAAAATTAATAATACTGGAAATTTAATTTATAACAAAATATAAGATTGGTAAGCAAAATTGCAAAGATAGTTATTTCAAAATTATTCTTTTTTCCTTTTACATACATGACATCGAAACCTGCAATGAAAAAGTTTAGTTCTTCATCCATCTCCATGCAATTATCAGACAAGATTTTTCGTAAGTTGTAATTTACGTTGTTCACAAGGAATTTCTTGTTTCCAAAACATAAGTCTTTGCTGAAATTCTACAAAAGTGGGGGAAAAAAAAAATAATAATAATAATAAATAAATATAAGGAACCAGTTCAAGCGAAACCAATGCAAAGCAAAAGGCCAAGAAAAAAATAAAATAATTTCTTCGGTCAGCCTGAACGGATAATACATACAGAAGGTGCTCATGTTTTATTTATTCGTCCATCTGAGCAACATTCGTATTCAGTTCCTTTTATTTATTTAAACAAAATTATGGATTGTGAAAAAATGCAATTGGGTATATAAGTGTGCTTTCTTTTTCTTTTTTTTTGTTTTTCAAGGGGTTGAGCTTATTTGAAATTCTCTCATATTTTTATCATATCATCCAAGAGAAGAAGCAAGATACATAATATATATGGTACGAATTTATGCACACGCTACATGAATATGGATTATCACTTAAGGGAAGAGAACCCAGCCTTACATAAAGGGATACATATTCCAGCTCGTTCTCCATAAATGTTCTTTCTTCATTTATTTATTCAATTATTTATTTATTTTACATACCGGTATCAGAGATCTTCCTATACGTTCAGTATAAAGGGGAATGGTAAAATAAGGAAAAAGGAAATACGAATTTGTGTATACACATTTGTGGGCAAAATAAATAAATATGAGATTGCTGTATTGATTTGCTAATATGATACATGATTTTTCATAAATAATTTTCAAGAGATTAATCCGAGATGATTTATACACGGTGGATAATTTGGGTTCTATCGGTTTGCTTAACTCTAATATAGGTACAAATTTTGTAGAGAAAAAATTCTTCGTAATTTTTGTGAACTTAATTTTCAGTAAGTATAATTTATATTTATCTGCCGATAATACTAAATAATTATTCAACCATTTTTTTTCTTCTTTATTAACGAATGAATCAAACATTTTTTTGTTTATATTTACACATGAGCAAGTCTTTTTTTTTGGAGGCGATTGTTGATTTCTACCACATGGATCGTTTTTTCCATATTTACTCCTTTTCTTCAAACCATTTCCTATATGAGAATACAAAAATCTTAACATTGATATATTCAGCATAAGGATGTCTTTTTTCCATTTCGGCAAAAGAAGGTAAAATAATTTGAAGGGGGATATTTTTTCTAAATTTCCTATATTTAAAGTGCGCAAAATATGAATATCAGATTGTGTTACATCATTTTCTCCTATTAAATTTTCTGAAAAATCGAATTTATTAGAATTCAAAATATGATTCCTTATCCATACCATGTATCTAAATATACGTTTAGGTGTTATGGGATGTTTTTTTCTTTTTTTAAATAAATTTTTTGTTAAATATGTAAGGAAGGAATATGTTTCTGTGTTAAAATATAATTTTATAATTTTTTTACTTCCATCATCTACTTTATTTTCATAAATATTTTTGGAGTTATGTAATATTTTACAATTCCTTAATGTAATTAAATAAAATATTTTTACCACTTTTAGATTAATATAAAATGTATTGTTTACATATTTTTCTTCAAAAATTATTTTTCTCATTAAGTAATTTTTCAACTCCCTTAGATTAACGCGTATGATAAAAATGATTGTTTTTGTTCTTTTGTAATGTAATTCTTTTTCGGATTCTTTTTTAGTGAACCTATTTTGTCTTTTCTTCTCCTTGCAAATGTGTATGTCTGTGTGGAATATGATACTTTTACGTTCCCCTTCAGGCAAACCCTTTTTAGCATTCCACTTTTGAATATTGTTATCATTTTTGTCTCTTCTTCCCTTTTGATTTCCTTCTTCAAAATTATTATCCATAGAACAAGAGATTTCATCCATCAAATATTTTACATTCACTATGAGTAAACCTCTTCCACAATACCTGTACAAATTTTGCAAAATGCTCATATTTTCAGAATACTTAATCTTATAGTTATCATTATTTGCTTTTAAAAAACATATGTTATACTTTCTGTCCTCTCTCCTTAGTAAGTTCTTCAGATTCCTGTTCTTCATTCGACATTTGTTTTTAATGAACGTTTTATTTTCCATCACCTCATTTTTGTTCGCATTTTTCTCATCACAATAAGAATCATATTCAGAGTCACAATCAGAATCACCACAATCTCTTTTGACCCTTTTCCCTCTAGTGTAACCTGAATCGGAGTTTAGCGAATCTGAGGAACTCACATCTGTGTTCTCATTTTCAAAATCATCCAAGTATTTCTCATAAAGAGTTTTTTTCGCGTTTTTCTTTTCTTCCTCCACATAATCATCCTCGTCCTTCTTGTCACTCTTATGAGAAGTATTATATTCATGTCTTCTTTCCTTTTTGCTCGCCATTCCTGTATTCATGTGATTACCCTTTTGGTCATTCTTATATAAGTTATTTTCCCGAAAGTATTTGTCATGATTGACAATTTTGTTAGTACGTGAAATGTTTATTATATTATTTATCACATTGTGCAAATTAGAGATATTATTTTTCAGTATAATTGTATATCCCACATTTTTTGGTTGTGTTTCATGAGTATGCACACATTGTTCCTCCTCCTCCTCCTCTTCTTCATCTTCCTTCATGAGACTTCTTCCATTCTGCTTCATCCCATTGCTCTCGTTTAGTATGCTTTCCTCTTTTATTAACTTTAAATAGGATTGAAAATTCTTATTCATTTGTTCACAACATTTTCCTCCGCTACTGATTTGATCAATATGGTTGCTGTCACTTCTGTTATTTGTGTTATTAACTCCTACAAGTGTGTGTCCATTTTCCACCTCTATAGACTCAAAATATACAGCATAATTCTGCAGAATTTCTCTCAAAACTTTCGATTCCTGATAATTTGCCGTGATATGGAAATTAAAATATAGCCTCGGCTTTAATGTCTCAAATTTTCTGATACACTCGGTCAAGACTTTTTGCTTGACATGATGGTATATATCTTTACAAAAGTTCATATCTGCATACTGATGAATCATTTTCTCAAAAAGTGGAATCCATTTCTTGGTACTTTCTTCACGATTTTTTCTCTTTTCTGACAAAAAATAAAAACTAAAATCATTTCTTATTCTGCGAATATATTTAAAAAATAAGGATTTTTCATGTTTATTTTTTTTTATGTAATCTTCATCTGACAGCTCATCTGCAGTCGTGTACTTATCATTGTGGTTGTCTGATTCACTGCAAGACGATGAAGAATGGATATCTGATTCCCAGCTGTCATGATTTTGGTTTCTAAGATAAGGGAAACTGAAAGTTGATCTTTCTTTCCGTTTTTTTCTCTTTCGTATCTTTTTCTTGAATGAAAAACGTTTGTTCAATATAGTCTTTTCATTTGCACTAGATAAAGTATAGTTTATATTATTCTTGTCATGATAATCGACATTCCATTTTTTATCATCGTGACAAGCAGAATAACCGAATTCATAGTCTGTTAAAATACAAACATCCTGAGATAAACGCTGCTTTGTCAATTTTATATTTTCCAATCCATCTGATCTTTCTGTGAATTTCAAGGGATATACTACAATGTATGGTTTTAGCAAATTCTTACAGACATATTTCATGGTTGAGTAAATACGTTTAATTTTTTTTGGGGAATAATATTTTGTATTAAAATTTTTCTCAGTAATTATTTCTAAAATAGTGTTTATGTGATTTTCTTGTAAACATTCTGTTCTTTTCATATTCATTCTGTACAGGAATGTAAGGAATGACTTAAAATTAACTCCCATTTGGGTTTCATTAATATTTAAAAGGGAACATTTAAATAATTGAAAAAATGAATATTTTTCAAAAATTGGAAAGAAATTATCTATAGATTGATTTTTAAAAGGAAAATATTGATAATAATTAAAACTAGGTCTACCATGAATCATATTTTCTTTATAAAATAAATCCATAAAAATATCACATTTACTGACATTCTTTTTTAAAAGAAAATCACAACTCCATCCCATATGTTTTAATTCATGTTTACATAAAATATTATTTTTTTTCATACATGTTATTATTTCTTTTTCTTTCATCGTTTTATACATTTTGCTTTCATGGTACAGTTTTTCAAAGACATTCTTTTTTCCTCCATAGTTTATTTTTACTGTCACATTGGTTAGTAAGTTGATGGTAGTGTTGTTATTTCCATCATACATGTGCATATTGGGGTGCATACTCATATTTCTATGCCTCTCCATGCTTTTCCTTTCTTTACACGGAGGTAATATATGATCATATATGTTATAATTTCTATGCAAGTCGTAATTTTTTACATTGAATGGATTCCAAAGAACAATAGATTTATCAACAGAACAGGACAAAAGAAAATTATCATCTGGTGAAAATTTTACACAAGGTATATTGTGCTTATGATATTTTATAATTATTTCGCAAAATCTCGAAGATAAATCGAAAAATAATTTATACATAATATCATACCAATCGGCTGAATAAAATGTAACATTTGAAAAAGTCCATAAAATTTCATCTGTTCGATTTTTTTCTCCATTTAAATACTTCTTTTTTGCTTTATTCAATAATTTTTGCGGGATAACATTTTCAGGCACGTTATGACAGACATAAGAAGCATTCTTGTTATTATAAAAACTATTTCTTATTTCTTCTGATTTGTAATGTACAAGAGAACTAATGTTATGATCATAGTATTTTCTCCTTGTATAGCCATCTTCCATATTTTTAATTTCTTTTTTTTTCTCTTTTCTCTCTTCTTCTATAGTGAAGTAATAATACCTTAAAAAGTTGTTAAACAAGTGATCCTTCTGAAATAGACCATTTTTAACTAAATGGTCTTTCCGTGCCCTTCTCATTACATTCAAGCGATTGATACCTTCTTTCGTCGGTTTGTCACGTAGGATATATTTTTTTTTTCTTTCATTTTCTTTTTCATCCCTTGAGTCAACATTTTTCCGGATTTTCCTTTGTCTAATATTGATTTCGTTTCCTTCGCCTGCTTCTGTGCCTGCTTCTACTTCTGCTTCTTCTGCTCCTTCCTCTGTTCTACTTCCCTTCAAGCGTGTCTGCAACTCACGCATCTTTTCATCATTCAAGTAATAATTTTCCTGCAGTAAAATTTTATGTAACCACTTGGATTTTATAATAGCTTTGTTTCCCCTATGCTTCCCCTCTAGGCGCAAGATATCATTTACATCTTTTTGCGCTAGCTGTAATGAATGCTCTATGTCATAAGAAACTGACATTATCTTGTTGCTGTGGTCAACTGAATTATATTCAAAATCGTTTATATTTAAAGTAACAACATTCGTATCATCGTTAGCTGTATTTTTATTTTTCAAAGTGGAAAATTTTCTCTTTAAATAATATTTTGATAACGTTCCTTTTTTATTCTTTTTTAAACTAATGTTGCAATTGTTTATATATAATTTGGAACAATCGTGTTTCAGAAATCGATAAACTGAATTGAAATCTATTATATTGCTGTCTTCAAAACACAGATTTGTGTTTTCACATTCTGAACATTCATCATCAGATGATTGAGATATTTTGTTAAAGTCACTGCTTGTATCGCTTGATGAAAAGTCATGCGATGAATACGATGATTCTTCAAAATCTAATGTCGAACAGCAACTCATGTATTTATTTAAATTTGTTACATTATCATCACTCTCACAGGACACATCTTTTGAATCTTCCTTTTCTTCCTTTCTCAAAATGTCTTTCTCCACACATTCCTCTCCATTACCATTGAGTGCCCTGTGACACATGTTTCTAGAGTTTCCTATTTCACTTACTTGTCTCATATTATCATGTTCTTTCGACGAATGTCTACGTTTAGTGTCATTTGCACTACTAATGATATTTTCCCCAAATGATTGTTCGTTTGGAGGATCTTCTGTGCTATTCATCAAATAGTCCAGATTGATATGCATGGCGTGTGGTGCTCCATCGGCTACATCTTCCACCACTTCGTCTGTTATGTCCTCCACCACTTCGTCTGTTATGTCCTCTACCACTTCGTCTGTTAGGTCCTCCACCACTTCGTCTGTTATGTCCTCTACCACTTCGTCTGTTAGGTCCTCCACCACTTCGTCTGTTATGTCCTCTACCACTTCGTCTGTTAGGTCCTCCACCACTTCGTCTGTTATGTCCTCTACCACCTCGTCTGTTATGTCCTCTACCACCTCGTCTGTTATGTCCTCCATCACTTCCCCCGTTACATCTTCCACCACTTCGTCTGTTACAGCTTCCGATATTTCTTCTACTATTTGATGGGCTACATCCACCTCCAATTCCTCCGTCACTTCTTCAGCCACATCTTCAGCCACATCTTCAGCCACATCTTCAACCACATCCTCAGCCACATCTTCAACCACATCCTCAGCCACATCTTCAACCACATCCTCAGCCACATCTTCAACCACATCCTCAGCCACATCTTCAACCACATCCTCAGCCACATCCTCAGCCACATCCTCACCTACGTCTTCTGCATCTTCCATTCCCTCGTGTATCTGCTCCGATTGATATTCTCCCGTTAGTGCACCTTGACTATCGGACCGAACATCCCCCCCCCCTGGACACTCCTGCTGCTTAGCAGCTCTGATGTTTTTCTCATACAAACCTTCACAAATAATAACAAAATCGAAAAACACTTCAGACGTAGAATCAGAGTTCAACATGATTTCATCGGCACTCCTAGATAAGGTATATATGTACTTAAGAGTAGCATCATATTTCTTATTCGTGCATGCAGATTTTAAGCTAAAGGGGATTTCATAAAAACATTTATTTTGAATTTTTCCTTTTTGAATTTCCTTTTTTTTTTTAGTTTTAAAATTCTCCAGTTTATTCGTGTTTTTAACATTAGAATTCATGGATGGAAAATTCAAGTCACTTCTTCCTATTTGATGGAAAAAGTTAGTATTCAAGTCTCTATTTGGATTATATTCTTGAGTTATATTATAAGTTACATCTTGAGAATTATTATTCATTAGACTTGTGGTCCAATTACCTATACTTGCATCTAATGAGGGAAAGCTATTTCTATTAGGTTCCCTCACATTTAAAACATTGTTATATACAATGTTCAGAAAAACATATTCACATTCTTGATTAGCTTCATTAGAAATTCGAGAATTTTGTGAATTCCTACTATCACTGTTATGTAAATAAGCTGGATTACTATTATTCGCATGGACAGTTCCCTGTGGTCTTAAATGTATATTATCTAAATTATTTGAGTTTATTCTAAATCTCCACCCGTCAAGTATTGCATCAATTCTATCTGGGTTTGCACCTAAAATGTTATTAACTATTCTACTTGTGAATGAGTTATTTCGTGAATATGAATCTCTAGAACCTGTTTCTCCAATACTGCTTCTTGACACATTCGCATTTTCCCCTGTGGTAGTACTCATTTGTGCGCCTCCCAAATTGGATCCTCTGGCTAATATAGAACCTTGATTCGGATGTGCTATAAATTGAGAAATATCTACAATTGGTGGACCATTTAAAGCACTTAAATATTCATCGTAACGCAAATTTGGTACATTGTTTAGATCTGATCTAGACATGTAATAACCTCTACTTAAGACAATTGGGGTGGACATATTGGTGAAATTTCCTATAGCGTTATTAGTGTTTAATATATTCTGAGTACCATTTACTATATTATTTACTATTCTATGTGTGTTTTCACTTATAAATTCATCCCTTGTGTTTGGAAAATTTCTGCTACCATGTACATTTGTTTGATTTTCTCCAACATTATTTCGCACATTATGTAAATAATTGTTTCTCATTAATCTAAAATTTTGTAATGCACGTGCAAAAAGGCGTCCACTACTGGATACATCTGAATTATATCCATTCCTTATAATTCTATTTCTAGCTATTGATAACAGATCTTCATTAATAAATCGGTTAAAGTTATTTGTACTTTGGCTACTTGCACTATTATTTATATATGAGGAAAAAGGTGCTCCTCTACTATGTACACTGCTTTCAAATATGTCAGAATATTCAGAAGTGTTAGATCCTGATACAGATACAGATTCAGTTTCCAAATTTAGTAATAAATTATTGATAATATTTTTCATTCTTATTTTTTCATTTTTATTTGCTGCGACAGTGCTACTTCTGCACAAATCATTCATTTCCATTTCAAATGTGTAATTTAAAATTCCATTCATATGCGTTCTACCTGCAATAATATTTTTTAAAGACTTTTTTTTTTTTTTCATTTTTTGTTTTTTCGTTTTCACTTTTTTAGTCTTGTCTATTTTATCATAACTGTTCATGGCCGTTTTTTCCTTTTTTTTTTTTTTTTTTTTTTTTTTTTTTTTTTTTTGTTTTTTATCATATACCAAGTCATCTTTATCAAAAAAGAAGGAAAAATAATTGTTATTGAGTTCTTCATTTAATTGTCTCCTTGGTTTAGTGGAAAAATTATCTGGATTCTTCTCCCTCTTATCGTTCGTTAAGTGCATAACATCTAATGTGTTGTTATTGTGATCTCTCAATTCGCATACGATTAGTATTTTTTGATTAAAGAAGTCAAAATTTTCCTCTTTCCCTTTCTTGTCCATTTCTAATGGGGTTACTACTACCACTTCAGCTTTTTGATTTTTCCTCTGTTTGTTGATTTCCTGTGGATTTTCTAACATTTGAAAGTTTTCCATCAATTGAGATGATTCACCTATTTCAAAACTGTTCTCTCTGCTTCCAATATCCTGGAATTTTAAAAACAAATCCGGAAATGCATGTCTTTGTATACTCTTTACGATAGTTTTTAATTCTTCTACATCTTTCACTATAATGTCGTCATAATAATTGAAATTTTCTTTACTTCTTTTATTATATAAAACTATAAAAATGTGATCATCATTTGAAATTAGTTGCTTCGCGTGGGAAAAACTAAAATCCTTATGTCTCTCTTTAATAAAATTTCTGAATCTTGTGATTATATTTTTTAATACATTATTCGCTTTCTTGTAGCTATGCAAATGCTTATGATATATGATTACTTTATTATTACACATTAATGAATTAATATTGTACATGGTTCTTCTAACTTTTTCTTGAGTATCCTTACGGAATGTATTACATAGCACATACTTTTTTTCAACTTTGTACAAATTATACCTTTTCTTTTTAATATAAACAAGGTTTTCTACATCCATTTCGCCATCACTGGTTGTGCATTCTGTGCATATATCTTCATTAAGTAGCTCCATATCTTCTCTGTGCATGTGTTTATTCGAGAATCCATCATACAATGAATTATTGCATGGCGATTTTTCTCGTGGCAGCTTCTCATGTGACATATCTTCACTGCAAGAATCTTCAGTGGGTTCATAATTCACTGGATAAGATTTTGAACATCCCTCATCAATTTTATTGTTTTTCAAAATGTCCAAATAGTTTTGACGAATTTCTCTTAGGCAACCTTTCGAAAGATTCGATTTTCTCCTTTTTCTTATTTTTTCATTTTGAAACAAATTAGGAACACTTTTTAGTGGCATATATATTCTACGTAGAAATTTTATATACCAATTTTTCAAATATTTCTTGTTATTAATTATTACCATATGTGGGTGAAGCAATTTCAAATTAAGACAATACTTAGAACAAAATCTGTTCGCATATAATTTCTTCATTTTATGAATGGTTCGCTCTATACTGTAATGAATATTCCATTTCATCTGATGAATATCATTTCCTATACCTGCTTGTTTTAAAAATAACATAATTGCGTCAGTGGGAAAGTTATAAGATATGGTTAACAAAATATTTTTCAGATTTTCTTTTCTATTAAGAAAAAATTGTACTATGTCTATTGGAATGTTACTTTTATTAAGTAGTATGGATGTCACTGCCTTGTACAAATTGGATTCATAAGAACGATATCCTGTACTAATCTTTGTTACATATTTATGATTCTTTTTTTTTACTACATCTTTTTTCCTGCTTTGAAGTGGCGCATCATAAGGCACGTTAGTGTCTAATATTTTTTCAGTATCTTGGTTGTTACATTTTTCCCTATTATCTAAGTCGTATATATTACCATTCTCAAGATCTGAATTAATTGATTTTTCTATCAATATTTCATTTTCAACTTCTGGATAGTAGTTCCTTTCCCTTTTTCTCAATTCGATATCTCCATTCTGAAGGTTATCAGAAGCACGTTTTTTCTCTTGTTCAAGAGGGACATTGTGGTTTGAATAAAAATTTGTTCTCAACTCTTTTTCGTTCATTAATTTACCTATTTTCTGATATTCTTCTTCACATGATAAATTTGACAAGTGCATTGTGGTGGTAATACATTTATTATCATAAAAATATTCATTACATACATTATTGAGTGCGTTATTTTTCTTTTTCTGCTTCTTCGCTTTGGGTGGAGAACAACTAAAGGATCGATTATTTTCATCCCTTTTTCTGTTCAAACTTTTTATTTTGATGGAACAATCGGTTTCTTCATCCTTCTCGTAAATGTCTAAATATACGACTTCTTCAGAAATTTTCTCTTTGTTGTAGAAATGGAGTGGTGAATTTTTTTTTTTCCTCTTTTGTTTCTTTTCTCCTTGTTCTATTTTTCCTGCTACAATTTTTTCTTTTTTCATTTTTCTTTTCTCATCCATTTCACTTTTCCTTTTTTTCCTTTTTTCATCCGCATGGAACGTCTCATCCACGCTATCGAAATAAAATGGATCCTTGTCATCATTCGCAAACAAATGATTCACCTTAATTTTTCTCTTTATAAAAACATTTTTAAAGAACTTAATTGCGTCGTCATAATTATATCTTCTCCTAAAATAATAAAAATTATTCAAGTTGTAAATATTTATATTATGAGTATTAGATCCCACGGCTAATAAATTTTTGGAAAAATTGAATGAAATGGCCCAAGTGGACGCATCTGAATTAACACACTTTTTGTTGTTAAACACAATATCTGGTTGCACATATACATGTGCAGATCTTAATATTTTGTCATTGTAGTCTACATTAAATAGATTAAATGTAAATATATTAAAATGTTTCCAAATATTATTATGTTTTATTTTAACACTTGGGTCTAGAAAATTCTCTAGCCTTTTGCTATATTCTTCATAGTATTTATGTTTTATATATAATTTACAGAAATTAACAAATTTTTTCCTTTCCTGTTGCATTATATTTAATCGATCCACATATAAATTATACTTTTTCATGTGCTTATTTAACTGATTTAGCTGTTCTCTTTTCATATTTCCAGGGATGTTTTTTTTTTTTTTTTTAATGCTTATTTTGGTTCTCTCAACTTTGTTAGAGTTTATTCTTTCTTCTTTTTCACGTACTATAATAGATCCTCTTTCATAGACATCCCTTTTTTGTCTTCCCCTACTGCTACTTGTGTGTAAATCCGTATTGTCTTCATCTTTTATCCTTTTTTTTTTTTTTTTTTTTTTTTTCTTCTTCTTTTTTATCATCTTTTTCGCCATTCTTTTCCCTTTTCTCATAGTTTTCATTAAATCACCATCATCAAGGAAAATTTTGGGGCTCCTTCTTTCTTGCATGCTTTTGGAATGTCTGTATTTCGAAAGTATATATCTGCTGTCCTCATCATCACTGGATGATTTAATATACATGTTCACAAATTCAGTCTCTTGTCTAATATCATTAATGTATTCATTTTGCTGATTTAGATCCATATGATTGTTTCTTAAGTTATAACCCATATAGATATTATTCCTCATTCTTTTGTAAAAGTTAATTTCTTCCATTTCTTTTGCATCATCCCCTAGTAAATAATTTACATCATGATTTTTTTTAAATTTTTTTTCACAATTTTTTTTCTTCATCTCAGGATTATCATTTGGACACAATTTTCCTTCTTCTCTTCTTCCTTCCATATCTTCTTCATCCTCTTCTGCACTTTCAAGACTACTATAAATTTCGCTAATTTTAAATTTGTTTTTTCTCACATGCTTGTATGCTTTTAAATTTCCATATCTCTCCTGATTCATGTCACTACTATGCATATTTTTAAACACATCCTTTGTTTGTCTTAATAAGCATTTGTATTTCATTCCACGTAACACTTTTTTATAAGTATTTTCTTGATATAATGCTAGACTCCGCCCCTTTGCTTCTCTTTCGTATAACCATTTTTGATGGGAATTTTTTTTATAATCATTTGTTTTCTTCGTTTTTAAAATGGAATTTTTTTGTTTAATCTTTTTTACATGTTTATTAAATGTCCTGTCATTGGAGAGGATTTTTTTTGTTTTTTGTTTTTTCTCTTTTTCTAGGTACATTCTATAAAGACGTAAATTTCTTCTTTTCTTGATCTTATTTTTTATGTGATCAAAATTGTTAATATGTTTGGACAATTTGAATAAATCTAAAAATTCTTTCGTATAATTATTTGCATGTCGATTATTGTGCATTAAGTTTAAAATAAGTTCATTTTCATCAATTTTTAATTTATTTAAAAAATTGTAGGAATCAATAAATGAGTTTTGAAAAAACGATTTGTCATGTGGGGTGTGTGCATTGTAGTAGTATGTCTGTTCATTAGTTACCTTTTCTTCATACCTTTTCGAATCTTGCAACTTTTTCTCTAATATAAGCTTTAATTTCTTTTTAATATTTATACATTCAACAATTTTTTCTACATAATAAATATTTGTGTCTTCTGACCATCCCACAGATACTAAGACACATTTTTCTGTGTTATCTTTTTCTTCACATTTAATATTCACATATCCTTTTGAATACATATGTGGTGACAAAATAAGTGAAGGAGTAGGTATATGCATCGATTTCAAATTTAAGTCTTTTTTTACTTCCTCATGCACATATTTTATTTTGTTTAAATTTTTAAAACTGTTGTTATTTTTACTTATTTCTTGCTTCTGAAAATTTGTTATTACATCATTTATATCCTTATCATACTTATAGTTATTGTATACATTATTTTCCATAAAACTTTTTAATTCATACACATAGATATACTGCCCATACATTATAAATACCAATTCATATTTTTTACTTACACATAATAAATTCAGTGCAAAAAAAACAAATTTGTGTTCTATACTTTTGCTTAAATCATGGCAAAATAGCAAATCAGCATCACATTTTTTTATAGTTTTCACATTTTTCCATGGATTATAGATTTTACTTCCACTTGTCTGTGCCATCTGTTGTATGTGTGTGTGTGGAAATAAACTCAGCTTGATGAATTCTTATATATCCTTATAAGTTCCTATTCCCCTTATATTTTATGTACACAGGGCTCCACCTTTTCACTCTTTCGATGTTCATTAAAACATATGCACAAAAAGGACAAATGGGTTTGAACAGACAGAACGAAATGTAGCCAATATTGTCAAAATTTTCAGTACTGTCAATATGACCAATGTAGCATGGTGTACAGAATTACCCGTGGAATATCTCCTACATAAGGCCCTTCAACATCATTGTTCAAAAATGGATATAATTAATTTCTTAATAATGAATTATAGGATGCTGAACGTGCATGGTCATAAGGAATCATGGAGAAATTGTGAAAAATGGAAAATCCGGAAAACAAATAGGTTTAATGTGTTTTTTTATTTTATAATTTAAAAAAAAAAAAAAAAAATACTTCTTTTAAAATATATGTATATGAAAATTATTACTATTCAAAACATAAAAAATACATGATCAATAAAATCATCCTAAAATAGTACAAACTGTCTCAGGATACTTTCTTGAATAATCTTTTTTTTTTTATTCTTTCATTCATTTAATAGTTGGTTATGTATAGTTACTCTTTGACACTTTTGTAATCTGTCTCTCTATTGAGTTATTCTGTTTGGAAAAATACAAATAGAAATACACCTACATCCTTACAGTGTGTAATTTGCTTGACATGCGAGATAGCTACATTAGCTTTTTGTGTACTTGTGTGCGTGTGCTTATTTGTTATTCATATATAAAAAAATTAAGAATTAGAAGTGTCGAAAAATTGATCTCAGACTCGATCAAGAATAATGGTTAAAAAAGTACGAACAATTGTGGAAAAACTAAGAAAAAGTTGAGGAAAATATAAGAAAAATTGGGGAAAATATAAGAAAAATTGAGGAAAATATAAGAAAAGTTGAGGAAAATATAAGAAAAATTAAGGAAAAAATAAGAGCAATTGCGGAAAAACTAAGAACAATTTAGGGAAAATTGTGAATAATTATATAAAAATATTTACATATGTATAAATATGTAAAAATTAGAAAAATTCAGCAATATATAAAACTTTTTTTTCTCCTTTTTTTTCCCGATGTGGAATATGTTATGCAAAGTAAATAGTGGTGCTCCCTTTAATTTTTTTGCATATTCTGTGCTACTCTTCACAAGCTGGTTGAGGAGTGTTAAAAAAAAAAAAAAAAAAAAGAAAAAAGAAAAAGGAAATCGCTGCTTTTTGTAGCCTTTCAAAAAAAATGAAGGAAAAAAAAAAAAAAGAAATAGAAAAGTGTTTTACATTTGTTCATGCTTCTGTTCATGCTTATCGTGCATATGTCCCTACGTCATGTACATTTTTTATGTTACGGTATCAATGCATATGTATGAACGTTCTTAAGTGCTGTGTTCTTGCATGTAGGAACGCACGTGATGTAACACAATACACACTCCAAATAAAAAAAAAAAAAAAAAGAAAAAAAAAAATTTCGCACACTAATTTATTAAACAATACAAGCACCATTTTACATGCCTTTGGCTTAAGGACACTAATTTTTTTTTTTTATTTCCCTCTTCATTAATATTTGTTCTTACGAAGCAATTTATTCACTTACAGAATTTAATGGTATTTATTTCTTTTGCCTCCCTCACCAGTGGCTTGGAGTAATGGAAAAAACCTGATACCTATTTGTCGTAACATTACAAAAAAAAAAAAAAAAGAAAAACCAATAGAAAAGAAACGGAAAGAAATGAATCCTTTTTTTTTCCATTTGAAATAGTTTAACCGGAAGAAAAACAAATTAAATAAATACACTAAAATAAAAATGAATGAAACATTGTGTACACAAATATATAAGTTATAATTAAATAGGATTGCATCTATAGAATGATTTTTTTTTTTTTTTTTCTATTTTTTTTTGTTTCCTTAATTATCCCCCGTTTTGCCTAAGGGTAAAGAGTTTATTTCAGATATAACAAAATCAAATAATATATTACAAAATAAATGCAAATTTAGAAAATATATAAAAACTGGGAAAGTATAACAAGTTTGATTTAAAGAACAAAAAAAAAAAAAAAAAAAAATTATTAACGAAAAAAAGAGCCACCATATTTTTATACTTTATACTTAATACATGCGTGCGAATACAATTCAACACACAGCTCATTTTATTGTTTTGATATATTTTTAACAAACTTAAGAAGTTGCAAAAATACGCCAGCGTTACAAATCATTCGCTTGTTCCCATTTTTATATAATAAAAATAAAGCGTTTATATGGAGAAATGAAAATTTATGGACATTATATTACACTTAGTAGAAATTATGTATGTGTAATGATGATCGACTTTTTTTTTTTTTTTTACAATAATTGTATCTTATATACATGTAAGACTAACACAATTTTCCTAAAATAATTAGTTATCTTTTCCTTGTTTTTTTTCTTTTTTTTTGGTTTTATCGCCTAGGAAATGTGACTAATTTGTCAAACACGAAACATAAAATACCACTTAAATTTACCATTTCAAAGTAAAAAAAAAAACATGGAGACAAAATTGTTCTATGGGGATGTCGTTTCCATGTGCCCTAAGATTAATATTCCTTTTTAGGTGGTACCTTTTTATGATGATAAAGCCAATTATGTTACTTATCAGAAATGGAATGATCCATGATGAATTCACAAAAGAATTGCTGAATTTAGGGTTCACTAAAATTTATGCTATAAGTTTTCTTCGACACAAAAGAAATTCATTAAAATTTAAAGGGTTACATACATACGTGCATAGTCCTGACAAAATTGTACATACATATACATTTTGTAAATGTGTATATTTGTAAATTCTATAAGACTAAAAGCATGATGAATAGATGAAAATGTTGGTAAAATCCATATGCTTCAACGACTTCTCAAACATCTTTACGGAAGCACAATTCAACACATGGGTGGGTGGGACGATTTAATCTTTTTAAGAACACCTATTATTCAGTAGAATTTTTTTTGAGGGAAAAATGTACACATATATATACGTACAGATATTTGAATATCTGTTATTTTTTTTTCTTTAATTTATTTTTTAGGACCACTCAATGGTACCTTCCTTTTTTTTTTTTTTTTTTTTTTTTTTTTCTTTCTGTTTTTTCCAATTTGCATGTTTTCCCCGGAAAAAAGAAAATTCGTTATGGAAAAAATATGGTAGGAATGTTCTGCTATTGCAAACGTTCCATAAAAATGTAATATAGCTATAGTAATATTATCAACACTTGCATAACAGACGTTGGTTAAACGAATAGTGCACCCTTTACGAAACAATTTTTTTTTTTTTTATTACAGTCTTTGTTCCACTTCCCACATACAAATGTTACTTTGATGGCGCGTTTTTCTCAATACCTATTTCGCCTTTTTAAAAAACAGTTTCACCCAATCTATAATAAGTATGAAACTAAATAATCGTGCATCCGTGCAACAGTTATATTTTAAAATACAGAAAAAAAACAATAATAATAAATAAATAAATAAATAAATAAATAAATAAATAAATAAATAAATAAATAAATAAATAAATAAATAAATAAATAAATAAATAAATAAATATATAAATAAATAAATATATAAATGAATATATAAATAAATAAATAAATAAATAAATAAATAAATAAATAATTCCGTTTCGATTCTGTGTAATAAAACTGTAATTTGCAATGTAAAAAATATATTTTACGAAAGGGGTATGCACTAGACGGCACAAAAATGTGGATCAGAACAAAAAAAAAAAAATTATTATAGAAGGAGTAAATTCACACATTCATGTAAATGCATACGTGAACATATATATACGAAGACGTTTCTATTACGACCCAAAAATACTAACTCATCTTTCCTAGAAAAAAGAATAAAATGGCCAAAGCACAATTGTATACTTCTTTGAAAAGCGGGTAAAACCCGTTGTTCTTTTTTTTCATCAGCGGTGCTTTAAACAAATAACAAATGAAATTTTCATTTATTTGCATTTAAAAAAATAGAGAAGTGATGAAATGACGAAGTAGCGAAATAACGAAGCGACAAAATAACGACATAACAAAATAACAAAGTAGTAAATTATGCAATTATAAAATAAACATAGCGCTATACTAAGAGAAATGCACTAAAAGGCAGAAACGAGACGTCAGAACGAATCAATGATAATATGCACAAGAGAAAAGGAATGAAATGTATCGTTATACGTTTCGCATACGTAAAAACACGTTCGTGCCTATATTTCAAAAAACAAAAAATTACAACGAACTGCAACGAGCTGCAACGAACCGAAACAAACTGCAACCAACTGCAACCAACTGCAACCAACTGCAACCAATTATTAGCATATATTTTTTTGTGAAAATAATTTAAACAAGATAAAAAAAATAAATAAAATATATTGATATATAATATTTAAAAAGTTGTACATTTTTTGTGAAAGAATTTATATAAATAAATAATGAATAATGTGTCTAATTTTTAGAACAAAGTAGTAATAAAAGTTCTCCAAATTTATAATATGTTTTTGGTTTAAAGTTCCTTTTTTATTTTATTTTTTTTTTTTTCTACGATTTTGTGTTTAGTAAAATTTTTTTTTTTTTTTTTTTTTTTGTGTGGTCATGGTTCATTGAAACAAGTTCAGCTAAACTGCTATAAACTGTAACACAGCACTAACAATTAAAACTAATTTTTATTCTTTAGATTTTGCACATCACAACATTTTTAATTTTTCTTGCGAATTTGTGAAGAATAAAACACACATACAAATTCTCGTGCACACAAAACATACACACCTATATACATATAACAACGTGCTATCTGCATCATCAAATTTCAAAAAGTTAATAAAGGGTTGGAATGAAAAAAATGATAGTCTACTCGAGTTCATTATTGGTGCTTTTTTATACACTTTTTCAAGAAGTGTCGTATGGTATACATGTAAATGGGGAAAGGAGAATAGTTAATCACAAAGAACACGAAGGATTTAACGTTGATGATATTAATTCGTGGATGAAGCTAGATGATGCAAATTTTTTAAATACATGGACAAAAAATGTGTCAGATATATCTTTTATGCAGAGTGAAGCTAGCAAAGAAACTGGTAATGCATCGAATACAGGTTCTGCAAAAGGTAATTAAAAAAAAAAAAAAAAAAAAATGAATCAGTAAATGATTTGCCTAATTAACATTCTATTATTTCTATAAAATAATAATTAAATTGATGTGCTTGTAGAACTTTTCTTCTTCGCCTTCATCAAGTTTTTACCATACGTTTCTAACATATATTTCCCCCATCTACTTAGGCACAAGCAATAGCAAATATAGCACGGATTGGGGCTTTATGACTGAACAAAAGGATGATAATAAACCTAAGAAACCCAAATCTAACTCAGGAGAATCAAAAGCTAGTTCCTCGGAAGGAAGCTCCAATGCATCTGGGAAATCAGATTCCACATCATCATCAACTCCACTTTCAGAATATTCAACATATGCTTCGGGTTCTTCCTCTAGTGTTGGTACTAAGGAATTTGATAAAGAAATGCGTGATTTCATTGCATATCACCCTATGGATATTTGGGTTAGGGAAATGGGTTCGCTAGAAAAAGACTATAAAAAAGTCAAAGATGATGAAGCTAAAATTTTAGGCGAAGAACACAATGAAATTGAAGAAAAAAGAAAAGAAGAACGATTAAAAATGTTAGAAGAAAGCGATGCACAAGAAGAAAAAAATGAATCTGAAGATATCGATTTTCTAAAAAATGAACATACAGACACTCGAATAAAAGGTGGGTTTAGTGAATTCATTAGTAATTTAAATCCATTTAAAAAAGAATTAAAACCATTAAAAAAAGAAATATCATTGGCTACTTATATTCCGAAAACAATACCAAATAAAGAAAAAATTATGAGAGACATTGGTATAACACACAAATATGAACCTTACCAAAAAAGTATTTTGTATAGTTGTCCACATAATAACTATTTATTCAATGATATTGAAAGTTTACATAAAGAATTTGCAAAAAATAAAGAAAGAGAAGCATTTACAAATAAAATTGTTGATCATAATAACGAATGTTTAAAAATCTTTGGGTTGTTAGATTATGAATTACCAGATAACGGAACTAAATTAGGAAATGTAATTGGTTCTTTTGGTGAACATCATATCAGATCATACGAAATAGAAAATGATTTAGTTAAATATCAACCGGATCTTGATTACATCACCTTAGCAGATGATTATAAATTACTGCAAAATGATATAAATAATCTAGAAAATGTAAATTTCTGTTTATTAAATCCAACAACATTAGAGAATTTTCTAAAACAAAAAGAAATTATGGATATTATGGGAACAGATCGTGCTGCATATGAAGAAAAATTTACAAAATACATGGGAGAATCTATTAATTGTCATATCGAATCTTTAATATATGATGAACTTGATGCATCTCAGGATATAAAAATTGTTTTGAAAAATGTTAAAAAAAAATTATATTTACTTCAAAATGGATTAACCTATAAAAGCAAAAAATTAATTAAAAAGATATTTAATGAAATTGAAAAAAACCCAGACCCAATTATAGAAAAACTTACTTTGATTTATGATAATATTTACCATCTAAAAAGAGATTACACATTTTTAGCATTTAAAACTGTATGTGACAAATATGTTTTTCACTATAACATACACGCATCAATACAAGTTATGACATTATATCTAATGGATTATCTTAGATATTATGGTGCTTGCTTTAAAAGTGTAATTGTGTACAATGCTATCCTATCTGGTATACATGAACAAATGAAGCATTTAATGAAATTAATTCCAAGAAATAATATGTTAACCGATGCTCATTTTGAGGCATTACTACACAAAAAGAATAAAAAAATTACAAGAAAAGATTATGTATTAAATGATTATGATCCTAGCATCAAAGCTTATGCTCTTACCCAATTGGAAAGACAACCGATGGTTGTTGTAATTGATGGTTTTTTCGAGGCAAAAAAGAAAATTTTATCAAAAATGATAGCTCAAATGAAACTAGATTTATTTTCAATTACAAGTGAAGATTTAAAAATACCCAAAGAAAACGGAAAAAATTCAAAATTGGCAGCTAAATTAATCAGCTTGTACAAAGCAGAAATTAAAAAATTCTTTAAAGAAATGCGAGCAGATTATGTCTTCATTTTGAAGGAACGTTTTAAGGGTCATTACAAAAAGAACTATATGTTGTATAATCGACTACAATAGTCTTTTTAATCAATCAAACTGAATCATAATATGTTTCACATTATTAGGAATTCAACAGTTGTCATGTGTCTACTTTTAAGTATAACACTTATTGATATGGGGCTTGTATATATTTTTTGAAATAATTTTACTATTTTTTCTTCGCACGACAATTGTGTGTTGTGATTTTTGATATTCTCTTTTATTTTGTTATTATCAGTTTTTTTTTTTTTTTTTTTTTTTTTTTTTTTTTCTATTTCAAAAATTTTAGGACATTTTTTTTTTTTTTTTTTTTTTTTTTTACTTTTTTTTTTTTTTTTTTTTTTTTATTTTTTTTTTTTTTTTTTTTTTTTTTTTTTTTTTTTTTTTTTTTTTTTTTTTTTTTTTTTTTTTTTTTTTTTTTTTTTTTTTCCATTGCAAAAATCTTAGGACACTATTTTTATATTTTATCTTTCTTTTTACGCTTTAATTTTTCCTGTTTCCATGTATGTTTTTTAATTTTTTATATTTTTAATTTTTTACTGTAACTTGACGGATTTGCTTATCCTCCTATTCTGTGTTAAAAAACATATATGCAGAAAGATCGTAGAACGTTACATATACAGCACTTTATATTGTTCAATGAAAAACATGTAAGCATAAAAAAAAAAAAAAAAAAAAAAAAAATATAACAACATATTTAACTGCTATGAATGCTTTTAAGAAAATTATCTCATTTTAAAGAAGTTTTTACGAATTTGAAAATAATTATTGGCTTTCCAGTAGACATAAGAAGAATGCTGTTGCGTGTTGGCAGAAGCATGAAACTAACCCATCTTTTGCTATACATAAAGGTGATACTTTTCAACATGAATTTGTTCTCTTCGTTAAATAAAATATTTTATATTTTAAGGACCTTTTTCATTTTTATAAAAAAAAACAATTTATACATAAAGCAAATTTGCAAAAAAAAAAAAAAAACTTAAATCATTACAGTAAGACAAATGAAGGTAGTATGATAAATTATTCAAAATAAAATGGAGACTAAACAAAAGGATGCATGAGAAATTTCTAATTTTATTTACCATCTTTATGCAATTTGAGTACCTCCAAAAATTGACTCATTTCATAATTGTCCCCAAACACGGGTATGTAAGTATGTATATACAATTCGTATTGGTTGTTCATGCTTTCTAGTGTACCACTAAATACCCCCGCCCCCTCGATGTAAGAATTGTAAAAACATGGAAATTGAAATCGCAATTAATATAAATACCTTAATATATATAACTCATGCCAGAATGACTTCTTAAGATTACAGATTCACGTTTCTGCTACGTGTAGTAAGATGTATTTAGAAGCTAACTGTCTCTCACAGATGTTATATCGTACATTAGCAATGTGTCCATATTAGGGAAATATTTACTTTCCTGTTTTTAATCTCTTCCTAATTTTTCTGATCGAACGACAGTCTGGACGTGCTCCGTTGTTTGCCTAACAAGAGGATCCAAATGTGATAAGCGAAAAAGGTGCACAGTAAAAATGAAAGTTTAATATTTGTATTGAAAAAAAAAAAAAAAAAAAAAAAAATCATGGTACGGAAAAATTGTTAGTAAAAATACTCAACTTTTGGTACAATTAAAAAAATGAGCAAATATTACTTAGCGGAGAATAACGCATACCTTTTTTGGGTATCTTGCACCTGGACTTCTATTCCAAAAGCGTAGCATTTGCTTCGTGTTCTTTCCATTTGAAAAATGTTCGCTTAAAACCTCTTTATTATGAATTAAAATGCTTTCATTTAAAAGTATTGAAAAATAATCATTTTCCATTGTGTATTTTTTTTTTGAACAATTCAAATTGAATAAAATAAAATTTCCATTTTTACCAAACAATTCTTCTGAAGAAGGCACGGTCTGCCTTACCTTCATGTTTGAGAAAAGTACATTTTTAAAGAAAACATTGTTGCAAATGTAATTTTTTACTTTTAATATCTTATTCATTTTGTAAAAAAATGGACGAAAAAAAAAAAAAAAAAAAAGGAAAAAGATGGACCTCTTGTTATATATTTCGCAATTTCCAATAAAAGAAAAATGTGTGGTAGTCCATGCTTCACATATAGGGATAAAATGAGTTTTGTTCTTGCATCTATTTTAACTCCCTTTCGTTTAAGTTTTTTTTTTTTTTTTTTTTTTTTCGCCATTCATTAGTGAATAAATGGGTGCATTTCATATGTATATGTGTGATAAGAATGTATAATAATAGCAAAAAAATGAAAAGATATTTATTATTTTATTATTTGAGAAACTTGTTTCAGGGTCATTGTTATTTATTATAGAATTCTTTTTTTCTTTTGTTGGGCGTACAAAGTTTTTTTTTTTTTTGTAGAACCAAAAAAAAAAAAGTACTGTGTTAAACTTTATCAAAGGATTTAAAATTGGTGGAACATTGTTTCAATATACAAAAATTTGTTCATAAAATTTTCCCATTTTTCAATTGTAAAAATGGAGTTTAAAGCTATTTTAATTTTTACACAAATTTTGTGTCAACAGCGATTTGTTACGGCGCGAGTAGGAGGATAATTTCATATACACATATTTCTCTTTTTGTGGGGAACGCGAAAATATACAGTACATATATACATAGAATTGTCTTAGGGGACAATTAATCTTTGTAATCCTTTGAGTAATCAACAGAACTGTTTTGTTGAGTCATTCTATGCCATAATATTTTCAAGGGATCACAGGAACATGAATATTCTGATGAGCATCGTTTTTCTATTTGCAAAAAGAAGAAACACACATTAAAATTTAGAATGCAAGAATAATAAAAAAAAAAAAATAATAAATAAAATAAAATAAACACAACCCTTAAATTTATTCTTAATTCTTCGTGGGATAATTAATGCTGGAAAGCATATGCACAACTTATACTAGTTTTGTGAACATGTTCTTGCATATCTCCCAAAATATCCACGTTTGAAGAATATAAATTTTTGATGTCCCACCAAAAAAAAATGTAACACTTAAATGATTTTATATATTATATATACATATCTCTTTTTATGTACGTTATTTAGTAATTTATATAACGCTCCAATTTTGTGGCAATATTTTTTTTACATGTAATGTCTGAACTTTTATGGCCAAATTATAGTCATTCAAAAGGGAGGGGAGATTAAAAAGGAAAAATATGTTCCAATTTATGTAGAATGGTAAAATAAACCTAGTTATATGAGTTTAGGAGAAAAAAAATAATACGTAAAATAAATACTTTTCAGGCGTACGCACATGGGAAAACGAGCCGTTTCTTATTTTGGGAATGAAAAGAATGACAGTAATGTCACTAATGTCACTAATGCATGTTCATATGTATATGTGTTATTCGTACAAAAATGAAACGCATAAAATACAGTGAGTTCCATAAGAAAGGCTGAACAAATTGGCTCACAAATTGGCGCACAAATTGGTGTACAAATAAATAATTTAACCCCACTCGCATTCTCTCAGCAATAGGCATAAAAGTCCTGTTCATGTCCTTGCACAGTGTTTGATTATACACACATATATGTATATATACTCTTTACACTTATATATGAACACAATTATGTTCATTCCACTGATCTTACGCCGCATATAGTAATACTGCTTAACGTACAATTTGGAAATTTTTTTTAAAAAGTACTGGGACTAATTTTACATGTCATTAAAAATTGAAGAAGGCCACTATTTACATGGTCAGAAAATTAAATAAACAACATATTAACATATATATATGTAAACAAAAAAAAAAAAAAAAAGAATAAAATAAATAAATAAATTTCACTTTATTTAATATATAAGACTAAAAAGGATAAACGCAAAACGACATTATTGCACAGGACTGTAAAGTTTACCATGTTACATTTACTATACTATAATGACACATATTATTGGCGACTGATGCTCAAAAAGGCATAAGCCCGTGAAAGTAGAAGCACTTGCGTGATCAATCTTAGGCAACGTGCATTTGCGTGAATAACTTATTTTGGCCTGACCACGCATGTAATATATATAACTATGTATGCATATATAATTGTGCATACAAATGAAATATATATTTGCTGCATCGCGAGTATGATGTATTCACTTTTACAGGCACTTTGAACGAGGGTAATTAATTTTTTAAAAACAAAATTCAATAAGAATGCAACAGAATAGGAAAATATTTTATTTATTTTTTTTTTTTTTTCTTATTTGAAAAAAGTAGGTGAGAATAAGTATTTGATAACTCAAGAAAATTCTTTATCAGTATAAAAAAAAAAAAAAAAAAAAAAAGAGCTCATAATTTTAGAAAAATCAAATTTTATTAATGTAAATATAATGACATACTACCAAGTTTATACATGTAGCATTTTGTTCATATCACAAATGTTATTAATACCTACGTTTTCATTTTTACATAACATACATGCATATGTATATATTAGAACCCCATTTGTATTGCATACAATAACGAATATAAGGTGCGCATCACAACTACTTATAGTGTAACTTTTTCGCACATACTTTTATAAATATACGTTTAGCGTATAAACTTATTTGTATAGTCAAATCCATCGAAACAGTGGCCTGGAAAACGCATATAAGTATATGCACATATATTTTTGTAAATAAGAAGAGGGAGAACTCATTTATTTATCTACCTGCTCGGAGTTGAAGAAAATTGTGAGAATTAGGGAGGCAATAAATATATGGTTCCTCGAAGGCACATCCGAAGGGTTGTTTAAGCCGTACATATATATATATATCATTGTATATATATAAATATGTGCGCATATCTATATAGCATGTGAAATTATGATCCTACAGTCTTTTACTAGTTTATGATTGTTTGACACCTATTTGATTTTAATAACAGCCGTTTCCCCGATTCTTCATTCTTTCCATACGACGTACCACGTCCCCTTTTTATTTTTGTTCCCCACCTGACCGAATCTTGACACACCAACTTTGTTGCCGTCATTTGTAAACATAAAAAATGAATATTAATGAAAAGGATAAATTAGTTGAACAGAATTTAGAGACTCTAGATGTAACAAAATTAACACCCCTGAGTGAAGATGTAATTAGCAGACAAGCCACCATAAATCTTGGTACAATAGGACATGTGGCGCATGGAAAATCAACACTTGTTCATGCTATTTCAGGGGTCCACACTGTTAGGTTTAAACATGAAAAAGAAAGAAATATTACTATAAAATTGGGGTATGCAAATGCTAAAATTTATAAATGTACGAACCCAGATTGTTTACCACCAGAATGTTATAAATCTTATGAAAGTAGCAAAGAAGATGATCCAATATGCCCACGCGAAAACTGTCAACATAAAATGAAATTATTAAGACACGTATCTTTTGTTGATTGTCCAGGACATGATATTTTAATGGCAACTATGTTAAATGGTGCAGCAGTTATGGATGCAGCCCTTTTACTGGTTGCCGGAAATGAATCATGTCCACAGCCACAAACATCTGAACATTTAGCTGCGGTTGAAATTATGAGATTAAAACATATTTTAATTTTACAAAATAAAGTAGAACTAATTAAAGAAGAACAAGCATTAAAGCAACAAGAAGAAATTAGAAATTTCGTTTCAGGAACGGCCGCTGATAGTGCACCTATTATTCCTATTAGTGCAGTTTTGAAATATAATATTGATGTTGTGTGTGAATATATAGTCACACAAATAAGTATACCAAAAAGAGATTTTATATCTTCTCCACATATGATTGTTATTCGATCCTTTGATGTTAATAAACCAGGAGAAGATATTGAAACTTTACAAGGAGGAGTTGCTGGTGGTAGTATTCTACATGGTGTTTTAAAAGTAGGGGATAAAATTGAAATTAGACCTGGAATTATTTCAAAAGATGAGAAAGGAGAAATTACATGCAGACCTATCATATCACAAATATTATCCATGTTTGCAGAGAATAATAATTTAAAATATGCTGTACCTGGTGGGTTAATAGGGGTTGGTACACGAATTGATCCCATTTTAACAAGAGCAGATCGATTAGTTGGACAGGTAATTGGGCATTTAAACAAACTTCCAGACTGTTTCGCTGAAATTGAAATTTCTTACTACTTGTTAAGAAGATTGTTAGGTGTTAAATCACAAGATGGAGAAAAAAACACTAAAGTAGCTAAATTAAAAAACGGAGAATTCTTAATGATTAATATTGGATCGACGTCTATTGGATGCAGAGTTACGGGTATTAAATCTGAGCTAGCCAAATTGGAATTAACTGGACCTGTGTGCACAAAAATTGGAGATAAAATAGCTCTAAGTAGGAGAGTGGACAAGCATTGGCGATTGATTGGATGGGGGCAAATTAACAAAGGGAAGCCCCTCGAGTTGCAGGAGCCAATTTAAGAAAAAAAAGAGGAAAGTCTCATGTTCTGGTATAGCGGAATGTGGTCACATGTTTGGAATAAATATTTGTGCACATAGTTATGCATGCATATATATATATATATATATGTATATGTACTTATATATGGATTCACGTACGATATACTGCTGTAGCCTGTGTGTATGCCGTTCACACACCCAGGTACTCCATGTTTCTACACCTCATTGTGGAAATAAATTCCCATTTTTGTTTAAACTCTTCTTTTTAATTTTTAATACATGTGAAATGATTTTTATGAAAAATTTACCAAATCTGCCAAATATAAATTAACTTGAAAGGAATAACTTTTTTATGTATATGTACATATATAAGTATACATGGATAAACATGCCCGTATGAGTACATGGTCGCCTATATATATACGTACATACATATACATGTGTGTACATGCATTTATATGGGATATTCTATGGATTTGTTATAAATATAACACAGTGACATATTTACTATGCACTGAATTAAATTTTCAAATTAAAAAAAGATTTATTTTTTTTCTCTTTTTTGTAAAATAATTAAATCCATGAAAAAATACTACAAATGAATCCTTTGTAGATATTAATGGGAGCATATATTTGTAAAAAAAAAAAAAAGAAAAATGGCATATGCGTTAGTATACTGGTATACCGGAAGAACCTAAAGGCATTGATTCCATATAATTTATTTATGAAAGATCATATTTTCAAAATGCATTATATAAAATGTATGCACATATATGTGTTCCCATAAAATGCATTGTATTTATAAGCATGCAAGTAAAAAATTGTAAATTAAGAGAAATGTGAATATAAAAACAAAAAAACGAAATATAATAAATAAATATGTATATGTATAAAATAACAACTCAAGAGAATTGTAGTAGCTATCTCTTTTTTATTTTTTTGCAAAATTCTGAATAGATCATTACTCATATAATGGGAACAACACATATTCGTCGTTATACATAGAAAAAAGGGATTACGCATAAGGAATAATTTAAATGCATATGTATGTCATACATTCCTTTAAAAGTTAATGCATTTTACATAAAAGGAGGTGAAACTCCTCCACCCCAAAAAATAAACCTATAACTTACAAAAGTAAAACATTTTTTAATACACGAAGCTTTTGTATTTGTATACATATAACTGTGCATATTTACTTATTTAAAAAAAAAGAAAAAAGGAATATCGTGAGAGGTAGGAGGACACATAGCACACATGCGCATTTTCATATATTATGCCATTAAAAAAGTTACAGTAATGAAAAAATGAAGTCAAATGTGAAGAGAAAAAATGAGAATTCATAATTCTTTTTTTTTTTTTTTTTTTTTTTTTTTTTTTAAATATTCTTTTATGCCAACATAAGTATCCTATTTCTTGTGTACATGTATGCGTGCATATATCTGAATTAGTATATATCTATTTTTGCATGTCATGTACATTCATATAAACTCCATTCCCTCACCTTCTGACATTCTGACGTTTCATAAAACTTCTTTATTTATATAGACATATATTTATAACTCAAATTAACGGTTTGTATACATGATAGCGTAATACATACCTTATTTATAAATAATTTAGACAACAAATTCACGCTTTAGAGTTATTATGGATTGCATTGGATTTGAAAACACGAAATTAAAAAATAAAAAGTATTTATTTGATTCATTCACTTTATCAAAAGATAAAAAGTTAACGTGAACATTCCTGTCTTTGTCAATCTTTACACTGAATTTCCTGTTTGCACTGAGATTATCATATATATACTCGTACGATCTAAAAAGGGAAGTGGGGCAAAAGGAATGATATCGTGTGTGTATGTGTGCACAAAAAAGATTTGTGTGTGTGTTTATGCATATGTGCATTTCACCGGGTGTATATACATATTTTTGCATGCAGCATTTACTTGTCCTTGAAATTAAAGATGGGCATAAAGACATTGTTGTTATACTTCAAGGAGAGGCAGACCGAGCCGTCGTAGTCATTGTTATTATTCCTCTCAATTATTATTTTGTTATTAAAGCTTATGTTATCACCATATTTATTGTAGTATTCATATAATTTACTTTCTAAATTTACAAGAACTTTTTCATTTTTGAAATCGTAATTTGCATTTAAATAAAAATTATCAAAGAACTGAAAAAAACTCACCCTTTTTATAATATCTATAGTATTGAATTCTCCTTTGATAATAGTATTATAAGCATTTGCATATGCATTAACGTACACCACCTTTGGAAGTTGATAAACTATATTTGCTCCTAAATTACTATTTTTTAATATAGGGATATTAACATCAAGTCCTAATTCATCAACACAAAAAAAATTATTTTTATTAAAATTTAAAAAATTCGTAAAAATTTCTTGATGATCCGTTATACTAGTATTAATGCTGCTACTATTTTTCTCCTCCTCCCCCTCTTTATTTTCTTTTACTACAACTTTAACAGGTACATCTTCACTTTTCTCTTTGATACTAATATTTGCATAAACACTTAATTTATCTTTGTATAATCGTTTCCTAAACTTGGTATATAAATTTATTTTTTTAATGTTGTCTTTTAAATACTTATCTGATTTTAAAAGACTCAAGTTATTGTAAAGATCTAGTATATCTTTTTTTATTTTATTTGAGCTCAACGAATATTTTTGATTTCCTATTTGTAAATTTATACATGACATATCATTCAACAGAAAAAAAATAACAAAAACTAAATATGCTATGGACATATTTGCTATTTGTTGTAGTATCAAGATTGTTCAGGCTTATATAAAAAAAAAAAAAAGAAAAAAAAAAAAGTGGGGGGTTGCAAGTTTTTTTTTTTTTTTTTTTTTCCACTTCGTCTTTTTCTTTCTTTCCCTACTTCTTTTTAAACTGTTTCATAACAATTAGTTTATTTTCTTCCTTTTTTTGTGTTACACGTTATAAATACACATCTAGAACAAACTGAAGAATACTTTTGCATATGTTTATTTTTCTTCTGATCTCGTAAAACATAGTGTTCTTCATTCACATCGCACGAAAAAATGGAACAAGTAGGGAAAAAAAAAGCAAAACAATACCAAAAAAATAATAGATTAAAAAATAATGTCATACGTGAAATAATTGTAATATGGATAATGTTATAAAAAAAAAAAAAATTGTATATATGTGAATTTGTTCTTTGTAAAGTAAAATGAAAACTTGTTTACGTAATCGACAAAGAATAAAAAACTAAAGTATTGCGTAAAAATTAAAACTTGTTGTTCTCGTTGATGTGTTTTGAATATGTAATCATTAAAAAATTGCTATGAAAAGTTAAGCTTTCTTGTTTTGTATTCGCATTCATACCATATTCATATATACATGCCTTTTTTGTGCCTCATGATTTTCCGCTAAATTTTTTGATTGTATGAATATGCGTACCTCAAGTATTAATGAAATATGAAGCTTTTTTATTGAATTTATTTTTTAAGATTTTTTTTTTTTTTTTCCTTTATCAGTTAAGCGTAATGTATAAGTGCATCTTAGAGAAAAAAAAAAAATATATATTCTTTTTTTTATTGTTAAGGGATGTTAATAAATAATACAAAACTTACAAGTATGTATATATATGTATTATTATTAATTGTGTGGTAATGTTTGGATGCGTATATATCTTTGTTTTTAATCTGTATGTTACACACATTTTTATGCTCATATGCATTGCACATACAGTATGTTCTTATGGTGTAAGCACATAAGCGCGCGTGTTATCTTCTGTTTAGTTTTGCTTCGTTTGGTTTTGTTCGGTTTAATTTTGTATCTTTTGGGTTTGCTTATTTTCTCATCATCTCATGTTTTATACCCCTTTGAGCATGCATGTTCTTTACAAAAATAAAGAAAGATTTAAAATATAGTTGTGTGGTTAGAGTTTCCCCTTTTTTTTTTTTTTAAATTTTTTATCTTAAGGAAATGTAAAAAGTTTACATATTCCTGTAGCCCTATTTGATAAAATGGCATTCTATATATGTGTGTAAATAAGCACATATTTTTTTAAATACACATTCTCATTACATATATTATTTTGGAAAACTAACATCCAGCATAGATTAAACAAGCATGCAAAAAATAATAAACACGATTATTCTACTTAATCATTATATCCGTGCAAATATACATAGCATCAGCATATGAAAAATTACGTATAATTTTTTTTGAAATTTCCTACGAATAAGCTTGTTAAAAAAAAAAAAAAAAATTAAAAATGCAGTGAGGAAGTGATTGCCTATAACGCAATTGTGAAAATTTGAAATATATGAAAAATAGTTTAAGCTGAGATATCTACCCTTCCTTTTTTATAACCCAATGTTCAGATGTTTTCTTCTATGTTTAATGACAAATACAAAAAATTGATATATATATGGGAGACAATTCTATGAGATAATTTCTGTTTGTATATATAGGTATATGTATGTGAATTTACACAGGTGTATCCAAAGAGCATAAACAAGATTGTTCTAATTTGCGTCACACTAACATTTCGTTTATACCTGTAGGAATTGCCCCTATGCACGTGTGCACATTTATATGTAAGGTATTGTGTATTCTTATACCTAGATCTTTTCTTCACATGAAGTGAATTATTATAAGAGGGACAAACAATAAGAAAAGATAAGTAAAAAAGGCATTTTACGAAGAGTTTTTTTTTTTTTTTTTTTTTTTTTTTTTTTTTTTTTTTTTTTTGGTATTTTTTCTTGTGTTTTTTTTCTTCAATTTTTTATATTTCCACTAAATTACAAAATCAAAAAAGAAATAAGGAGTACAGCATGAAATGATGTAACATACCCTTTTTTTGTGAAAAATGATTTTTCTAAAGTTTTATAAATGTGTGCAAAGATTTATTCCCATACACAATCTTGTCTACTAAACCAAATAACTTGAAGCACAGGGACATGTATATTAAAAGGCAACATGTAACTCATATGATAATTCACACACATAGGAACGTAATTTATGTGATAAATCGCATCATATGTTAAATTATAACTTGATCAAACCTTAAAAAATATATAAGTAAAAAAAATACACAATGTTATCGAACAAAAAAAAAAATATATATAAAATCTGTAGAACTGGAAAACTTCATTTTAAATGATGTGTTAGTTTATGGAAATTACATTTCGCATTTACACTTTAGTCTCTATATTAAAATTTTTTTTGAGCAATTTTTTTTTTTTTAATGTACAATTTATTTCACATATACTATATTTGACACAATCGCTATTATGCAAATACACATAGAGGTTATTTTCTTTTTTTTTCCTTTTTTCATGTAAAAAAGTTTTGGTTGCGTACATTCAATGCAAAAAAAAAAAAAAAAAAAAATAGTAAAAATAGAAAAGTAAAATAAAAGTAAAAATAAAAAGAAAAATAAGTAAATTCACAAACAAATAATATGGGGTGAATTCATCATAAAATGAATAAATAAAATAATGCTTGTTCTCTTTGTCGTTTTAAAAACGTGCAAAGGTGGAAAAAAAAAAAAAATTCAATTACCCTAACTACTTATTTTACTCTATCTATTTTTGTCTAATTGTACACAGACATCTGTATGTACACATATATATTGTGAATATGAGTACATTTAGGTGCATTTTAACCCATGCAATAAACAAAATAATTAATGAAGCCATGCGCACTTTTTTGCCTCTATATTTCAACCTCATGACATAGCGTTTGTTACTTTAAAGATAGTACTTTACACTGTGAATTTATAGCACATTTATTTCTCTATTTTTCACTTTTGTTATCTATATGCGCGTATTCATATACACACATTCATTTTCAAGTGTACATATTTGAGTGTGTCCAAGTGCCATACACGCACATTTATACATATGCTCATGCAAATATTCTCATTTATGCACATAACAAGGTGCAGCCTTCAATAGTTATAAAAGTATTCGACATAAAGGACGTAAATAACATTTGGACCATTTCAAATGAATTGTCTACATATTTACATAGTACTATTACACGCAACTTTTTCTTTTTTTTACCTATTTATTTCTCCCTATCGTCATAAATTTTTTTTTTTTTTTACCCTTTTCTACATTTAAGCCCCATATTTATTTGAATAAAGAAATAGTCTTTTTATTTTCTTTTTATCAATTTCTCCCCATTTTTTTATTATTTTTTTCTCTTTCTTTTCATTTTTCATAAAATTATGTTTAACTATGAAAGTATATTCATTAATGAAGATGCTATATCGGGTAATGCAGAAAAGAAGCTTACCTCTCACTACACTATTCTTTTTTACTTCTCCTAATAGTTCCCTTTTAAGTTCCTTATTTTTTACTATTTTTATTATTTTATTTTTATTTTATTTTTTTTTTTTTACTGTTCATTTATTTTTAGAAATGACCATAGAAGATGTAAAAAGGTTGAAGCCGTATTGGAATGTGCAAATAGCTAATTTTAAGGAATGGTAAAGATTTTCTACAAGGACAATTATACAAGTGTGCGTTTATATATATGTACAATAGGTACATCTGCCCGCACGTTCGGTTTTGTTGTATCCATTGCACCCTTTTTGTTCCTTTTTTAAACCGAAAGACCTTCCCAAATATATTCGTTCATAAGAATGTGCATTGTATGCTAAAGGGATTTTTCTACATGTTTGTATAAATACATGTAATGATATAATATATTTTTCTTTTTTTTGAATGTTTTTTTTTTTTTTTTTTTTTTGTTCCTTTTGTTCAGTCCCAAGGAACCTGTTTTTACCTTGTTGCAAATGGCAATACTGTTAAATAAAAAGACCATAGTTGGGTACTTGTTGGCGAGACGAGGTTTAGACATTAATGCTCTTAGTAGGAATAACCAAACTGCTCTTATGATTGCTTGTGAGAGGAAGGTATGGAAATCTACATGTATGTCTATACATATTTATGTTGCTGCAACTTTGTTAGCTTTTTCATGCTTTTTTTTTCATTGGGAGAAGGGGAAATAACTCAAGAGAAATATGTTTTACTGAAGATTATATTTTCACTCCATTTTTTTTTAAGGTGCCGTTAGATTGGATTGAAGCGATACTAAAAAAGGGTGGAGATTTAGGCATAAATATAAAGGATGATTTTGAAGAAACTGCTCTGGATAAATGCAACGTTAACTCGGAAGGTATTTTTACAAATTATGGCACACAAATGTGGTTTTATATACATATAAACATACGCTTTTATTGTGTGTACTTATAAATGTCAGATATTTTTTTTTTTTTTTTTTTTTTTTTTATTCGTATAAGTCAAAATCATTCATTTATGCTTAAATTTTTACGTTTATTTTTTTCTTGATATTTTCTTCAATGTTCCAACTTTTTCCTACTCTACTTTCAGTCTATCAATTACTTTTAAAGTATGGAGCCATAGAAAATGTAAGTTAATTAAAGGGGAAACATTAAATGTTTGTTTATCATAATTAGGAAAAGAACAGTGTAGAGCAGAATATATATTCAATAATTTTGCGCCTTTTAACGCAACTTAATTTCGCGATATATACATATATATGTATATATATATTTTTTTTTTTTTTTTTTTATTTTGCTCCTTAACCTAAAGAAGAACACCGTGAGGATGAAAGGCGACATGGTACACTAAGAATTGTTTATGCTTCAATAGACAAATACAAATGGATATTGAAACTACGGAGATACAAAAATTCGTAAACATATGTGTATATATAGGTGCTACTCTGCTGGTACCCATATAGGTGTGTATAGATTTAATATTCACACATTGACACATGCCATTTTTATACAGGCTAAACCATCGAAATACGGAGAAAGCTTATGGCTGAATGTGTGTGGGTGTGGAACTAGATATTACAAATAAATATTTTCACACTCCAAAAAGAAAGTTATGAATCCATTATTTTCAAATAATTAATGTGCGATTATGCTAAATATGGAATTCAGTGCAAGTATTTTTATCGTCCTCTTTTTTTTTTTTTTTTTTTTTTCGGAAGCACATTTTTACTAATTAACAACTCTAGGACATATATATATATTGCTATATAGTGTTCATACAACTTCCCTTTTTTTTTTTATAATTTTATTTTATCCCTCTCTTTTGATGCCATTTTTTAGCTAAACTATTAACACTACTGATGGGCATTTCGAATAAATTAGCCCTTTGGTATTTTTATTTTTATTTTATTTTAATTTATTTTTTTTTTTTTTTTTTTTTTGCCATTGCCTCTCATTGTTTTTATTCTAATATTCATGTCTTTATACGCAAAATGCTAAAAATATGATTGCTATAATTCGTATTACAAGTTTTTAAACAATCTTGGTTAATTTTTTAAAACTGTTCTTATTACACCTTACGTAGATATGTTATTTTATATTGTCCATCACTATGTGTGAGTGTAAGCATATATATGCTTTCCCCCTCTTGAGCAAGTAATTTTTACGAAATTTAATTTTTTATCAATTAACAAGGACTCGTGGGGAAATTGTTATTTTTCCACTCATTGACCATCATACACGTAAATGAATATATATATGTATATACTATTGTTATTTTTTTTTCTAGTTCACTTTTTTTTTTCATTTTTATTCACGAGTTTACTAATTCCCCGCCCCTCAACCTCTATTTTGCAATACAGACACATGTGTCCATAAATTCATGTATTATTTTACCACCATTCCCTTTCACTTCTTAACGCGCCGAGGTGATAAAATGAATAAAGTTGATAACAATAAATTTTGCTATACTTATTTATCATATGGGAATAAAAAAATATATACGCGTATTTATAACGAATGAATACGTAAAATGAGTATCAGTTAAGTTGCACAGAAACGATGCACAATGTTGAGTCTTACATAATTTTTTTTTTCTCTTTGCAATTTTTCCCTTAAGAAGGAACATAAAATAAAGATTCCTCACATAGAATAACTACACAATAGTATATGTATATGTTTTACAAACATATAGGCACCCAAACATTTATGGATGCGTGTTGATACTTATATATAGAAAGAAATGCATATTGGGTTATATATATTTTTAAAGAAATAGATATATTATTGCACATGCTTAATGTGCACATAAATTCGATGCTTTCCCAACTTCAGAGAAAAAGAGAAAAAACATGTTCTTAAAATGTAAAAAAAAAAAAAAAGTAAAACAAAATAAACAAAATAAACAAAATAAAAAAAAAATTAAACAAAATAAAACAAAATAAAACAGAATGGCCAAGTGTTTCAACATTTTTCAAATATTTAACAAAAAAATTATTGTGCATTTTTATGAAGTATTCAAGAATAATAAATTAAGGTCTTGTAATTAAAGAAAAAAAAAAAAAAAACGAAAACGAAAATGTAATAAAAATGAAATGAAAATTAAAATGAATTAAAATTTGTCTATGAGAACGTAGTTTTTGTTAGGATATCAGATCAGTTATTTTTTCATGTGAAAAGAACATTGTGAAGTAAAGAATGTGAGCTTTTATATACCTAATTATGTACATTTACATTTATATGAGTACTCATATAAATATATACATATATTAAAATAAAAAAAAAAAAAAAAACACAAGAAAAAACTTGTTTTAAAAAAAAGTATACCAACATACCAATTCCCCAATGCTCCTTTTTTATTTTTTACATTGATAATACATAATACTTAACCTCTGCGTTATATACCCTTCTTCTGGATTTATATACAAACTACTTCTTTTGCATGAACATATGGCTAGATGAGCACTGCTACGCGTAAACAATCTGATATATATTTATATATACCAATCCCCATAGTGACTAACCTGTAAAGAAGTTTATGTGAAAGTTGGACTTACTACACATGTATACAAATTTACATCCTTACGTACACATATAATACACCCCATACACACACACACACACCCTTTTGGCGTTTCCTGTTTCACATTAAAAAGATTCTCATTACTGTATCATTAAACATGAAGTAACAATGGGGGCACTATTTCAACCGATAAATCAAGTGAAGTTCACCAATGTTGCTATAGTGAAATACAAACACAAGGGGAAAAAGTTCGAAATAGCTTGTTATAAGAACAAAATAATTGACTGGAGAAATGGTATGTTTAAAGCATTGAAAAATGATATTGAAAGATAAAAAAATATCAACCTCATACATATATCACCTCACATATTTTAGTGCTGTAAGCATTTTCCCACGTACGTACATCTTAATCCCCATTTTTTTCATCTGAAGGAATTGAGCTGAACATAGATGACGTTCTGCAATCGCACTTAATTTTTACAAACATATCGAAGGGAGAAATAGCCAAAAAATCAGAACTAAATTCTTGCTTTAATTCGGATAACAATTATGAAATTTGTAAAACAATTTTAGAGAAAGGTAAGAAGAGAGGACATATATATGTTTTTTTTTTTTTTTTCTTTATTATTTTTTTCATTTTTGGTGTATACAAGACTTATTTTACATGACTTCAAAACATTCTTTTTTTTTTTTTTTTTTTTTTTTTTTACAATATAATATTTACCATTAAACGGAAGGTACTTTACAAATAAGCAATAAAGAGAGATCAATTTTGAAGGAAAAAATCTACAAAGACATGATTGAAATTCTTCATGAAATTAGTGTAAATCCTCAAACAGGATATCCGCTCTCAACAAATATGATTGAAAGTAAGTATATTTAAGGTTTAAGGTCCCTACTCTGCTCTTGAAAAGTGTATTTTTGGCTTGTATATTCATATATGTATTATATATATGTGCATATGTTACAAGTGCACTGTTCATTTGGCCTAACTCGATTCTTACACTTATACAATACCTTTTGTTATAATCTTCAAAATATCAAAACATTATAGGTATGGTAAGGAACATTGGGTATAGCATAAACATAGATGATAGTGCAAAGAAACAAGCGCTAAAAGTTTTTGATATTTTAAGTAAAGAATATAACGACGTTATCCAAAGGGCATTTATGAGAATACAAATAATTTGTGATGATATTATAAGAGATGACGTTGTAAAATTTCTTAATAGTAATAATGTTATCATAGAAGAACAAAATTTAACCAATAACATTAAAAGAGAAGAACTTGTGGATTCTCAAAATAATCACATGTATGATGAACATGTCGACATAGAGAAAAATAAAGAAATAAAAAATGGTATGTGTCCACATAACACAAAGAAAAATCATATTGACCTGTCATGTGAATCCTCTCAGATAAATTTTAAAAAAAATATAGAATTTGTAGGAAATCCATGCTCAATTGATTGCACGAAGAATAGTACATATAACAACATCAGAACGGAAATTGAAAAAGAATATCATGATGATGAAAATGATGATAGAAACAAAGAAATCCGACAAAAAGATACATGCAGCGAAGACGAAAACAATCTCTTAAATTTGATCACTAATGGTAAAAATATCTCAGACGAAAGTATCCATATGACCAGGTCTAATGAAGATGAGCATAAAAACGACAAAGAGGAGGAGGAAGGAGAAGACGAAGAAGAAGGCGAAGAAGGAACAAACCGTTGGACTAACGAAAATTACGCTAATGAAAAGGAAAAAAGTGTAAATATTTTAAAAAGTGATAAAAAAGAAATAAATGATTTGTTAGATGTTAATTTAAATGTTGAAATAAAAGGAAATAAACAAAATGATACATGTTTACAGAATAATGAAAAGAGAACGAACGAGCTCATCAGAAGTGATGATAAGGTAAAAACAAAACAAAAAAGGAATAAACACGAAAAGGAAAGAAATGGAAGGAAATTTGAAATACATAAAATCGTGTTCTTATGCTATCCATGTGTATATAAATTCGTGGACGCCTTCACCAAGAAGTATAAGAAGAACTGTTCTAGTAAAATTCTAAACAATAACGTTAAAATAGCCTCAGCAAATAAAAAGAAAAAGAATACCACGGAAAATTCAATAAACGAAGCAGATGATGTAATAAGGAGGAAAACCAAAGCTAATGGTGGAAATATAATGATGGATAATAACCTAAATAGTGATACTAACGGTAAGGTAATCCATAACAAGAATAGTATTAGAAGCAGTAGTAACCATCGCCATGATGCGAAGAAACCCATTCTTGATGCTTCAAATATAAATAATAATGGAGGAGACCAATGTAATTATCAGAATGATGACAAAAATGAAGTATCATCAACGGTAGCGCATGAACAAATAAAGGAAGAACCAAATGATAAGCGAAAAAGCGAAACCGTAATAATGTGCACAAGCTGTTTAACAAAAATTGAAAAAAGTAACTATAAAGTACATTGTAGAAGTGATTTTCATGTGTATAATGTTAAGAGGAAGTATAAGAAACTACCTCCAATCACTCTAGAGGAATATATAGAAATCGACTTTGACGTTGCACACTTTCATGTTGATATGTAAACTGTTTCAATTTTTTTGTAGAACAAAATTGAATACAGCAATAATTTTTTTTTTTTTTTTTTTTTCTGTATCTTATTTGAAAATTGTTTCAGATTTATGTGTATTTATGTTCATGTATATATGTTATATACATTATGCATTTTTTATGTATTCCGTTGGTTTCTTTTGTTTTTTTTTTTTTTTTTTACAAATTTGTGCGAACAAGCATGTGGATTCATTCCTGTCTGTGTGTGTACCCCTCATGTACTTTTTTTTTATGTATAACTTATGCTTCATATATCCATGTATGGACATATATACGCATATATATATATATATATATACACAAGCATATACGTATATGAGTACGTAGATATGTTGGATTATTCATTTGTTACAGAATTAAATGCTTTATAGGCATGTACTTATTTATTAAGAAACGAAAAAAGAAAAAAAGATTGATAATAAATAATGAACACAATTATTATTTATCACCCTAATATCATTCAGTTGTTATGTGAGTATGACCTAATTTTATCACTGTTTTGTTGCAATCCTATTTTTTTATGATAATTTCTATAAATTTATATTTCACAATCAAATTTTTTAGAACAAAATAATAAATTTTTTTTTTTTTTTTTTTTCTAAATTAATAATTAAAGAAAAGGTGTATAAAAAGTTACATTTAAATGGGTTAGACAAATGAGTTCCTGTGGACAGGGACTTTTCATATTATTTTATGTCCGTATCCTTTTAGGTGGCCTAGTTTTATCTTTTTAATGGACATTATATTGTTTTATTATTACTCTATTTCATGATTGACCTATGTTACGTCACTTAAACCATACGAAAAAAAAAAAAAAAAAAAAAAAACGTTTCTTTTTATTTTTATTTAAAAAAAAGCCTTATTGTGCATTCGTATAAAAAAGGAAAAGCCACATCAATAAAAAGAAAAGCTCAAAAGGTGCAAGCTCTGTAAAAAAAAAAATAAATAAATAAAATAATAATAAAAATAAATAAATAAGGAATAAAAAAATAACAAAATGTACATGTATATATATATATATATATATATATATATATATATATACAAGTTGCAAGCAAATTTTGTGTTCATGCTAAATTATGCAAGAGCGCATAATTTAAGACAAGCGCTACTAATCAAAAGAACAGGTTTATTGATCATAAATGTTTTCACTCACCTGTTGTATATCCCATGAAAAAACAATGCATGCATAAAAAATAAATAGTAGTTCATTTTCTAATTTTCCATTGCTAACATTCCTAAACATTGGTATATTGAAAAGGAAAGTGGTGAAAATAAGAAATATCTTTTCCGCTGCTGAAGCGTAACAATGTGCAAGGGTAGTTACTGTTGCAATTTTTTCTCGTGAAACTATCTTGCTTATGTGCCGATTGATGTAATTTTTTTTTTTTTTTCCCCCTCCATCCAATAGATTGCAAAATTTATTCATCACATTTTCCTTTATTGTTCTATTCGATTCTGATTATGTCTTTGTTCGACAACGAGTGTACTAGTATTTGAACACAATTGGGACAAGAAACAACAGTAGTGAAATATATAGGGAAAAAAAAAAAAAAAAAACATTCACACTGCACAAAAAGAAGTAGAGTAGAAACATATAGATATATACACTTGTGTTAGAAACTAAAAATTTTATTCCTAAATAAACACCTAATGGAAATAAAACTGAACATATTATTTAATGAAGTTTTGCTAATGCGAACGGATGAACATGGAATAGAAAATCATGACAAAGTGTTTATCGACAAATGGCAAAATATTTTATGTGTGCAATGCATGAATAAAATATTTTTTAAGAAATCTCCTTTATATAAAAAATATATGCTATTTAAAAGCGTGAATGAAATATACTCCATAAAGAACTGTCAAGACTTTCGATACCATTTTTCTTTTTTCCTACTTGATCACACCTTGTTTTTATCAAATACATTTAGTTATTTAGAAGGAGCATCCAAAAGTGGTAATGATGCTGTAAATGGAGTAAATACAAAGGATCTTGGAAAAAGTTTTGACAGAGCCTTTGGTTGGAAGAGTTCAAGGTGTCTTGATAAAATCAGTGACATGGACAGTGACACAGAGAACAATAAAATTCGTGGTGAAATCAATGATAAAAAGCATAAGAGGAATCTTTATCCGGATAGTAAAAGAGTGCGTGATAGGAAACACAGGACGAGTGGAAATGTGGAGAAACGTGCGAATATTAACATGGAAGATGATAATAAGAAGGATTGTTATGCAGATGCAGTAAACAATGAATTAATTACCTTAGCAACAAATGCATGCAAAGAATTTTTAAGCACTTGTTCTGAAGATTTGCGTAATGTTTTTAGAGACGCAATTTATACATGCGTGCTTGTTAGGCTAAAAAAATTTTCTACTAATAAGAAAAAGTATTTTTTCATTTTTAAATTATTAAAAAATTTAATGGATGATGTAGAAATTATACATAGTACATTGAAGAAGGAGTCAGCATTTATTGAAGAATTTATGAAATTATTTGTAGAAAATTATGCAATATCTGATAATTTAAAAAATGGAACAGAAAAAAAAAATTTAATTCCAGATTCGGATAAATGTTTAAATCGGCCAAAGCAATGCAACAGTAGTAGTAATGGTGATTACAACCGTAATAACTGCAACGAAGTGCTGCTCACACTCCAAATAATTTTTAAACTGTGGTGTGACAATTCGCTATGGCAAATTGATAAAGAATTGTTGAAGAGTTTTTTTACAAATCTTATTATAAATTTCAAGTGCACTAGCAAAAACACGCAGCTGTGCAATTACTACATTGAATTTATTTATATAATTACGAAAAATTACAATGACATAATATATTTTTTTAACACAATCATTTTTGGTACACAAAAGGATGTGCAAAATCAGTTGGTGAAACACACAGAAAATAATCGAAAAGTCCCTCTCGACTCCTCCTCTCCGCATTGTAGAAATTTTTCTTTTAACTCCCTCGAACATTCACACTCAGGCAAACGCAGTAGCAGCGATCCATATATTAGCAACAACCGAGATAGCCAGAGAAGCAGCAACATTAGCGGAGGCAATAGCAGACGCAGCAGTGATAATAGCAGAATCGGCACTGGCAATAGTAGAATCCGCAGAGGTAATAGAAGAAGCAGCAGTGGTAATAGCAGAAGGGGTAGCAAAAATAGCACACACAAGAATAACTTCCCTTACAACCATCTATTGAGAAAAAATGACGACAGCTATGAAGATTGTGAAACTGACTCACCTGAATGGATTCATAAACGTTGCCAGAATTATAAGAATGAAAATGATGTTGAAACGAGTAAAAACGAAATTACACAAAGTAATCAAAAGGGTAGGAATATTTACCAATGGAAAAACAGTAAAAAAGAACATAATGAAAATTACGTTAAAGAAACAAAAGTCAAATTAAAAAATGTAAATCTCGTGCATATGCAAAATGAAAAAACTATTTTAAATATATTTTGCCGTGAAAATAAAAATATCTCAAGTGCAGACATATGCAACCAAATGGATGAACATCATTCCATAATAAATTCATATAGCAGTGACACATTTGATGTTATGCCACGAGAAGAAGAACAAAAAATTAATGCATTATTTACACAGCAAAAGCAGGGAAACAAATTGTGTTTAAAACTGTTACAACAAAAGAATACACTAATAAGAAGAGACACGGACTCAGGGGAAGATTTGATAGACATTAATGATTCTGAGAAGTACAGTAATAATTACGAAAACAATACATCACGCGATTCGGATTTTTTTAAAAATGAACATAATTGTGATATTGGTTGTGTTTCCCAAGAAACGATTGGGTGGAAAAATAAAAAAATGTCCCCCAAATTGGATTATTACTATGATATAAATTCCACTACTCAAGGTATTAATAGTGCAAGAATTCTGAATTATTGTGGCAGTGGTAGCTCCAGAGCAAAAGGGTTAGAAGCGTTTGCTGCGGGTGAAGAGACAGAAGAGGTAGATAAGTTTACCTCCGGTGAAGAGATAGAAGAAGTAGAAAAGTTTACTCCTGGTGAAGAGATAGAAGATTTTTCCACGAGTAAAAAGAGTGTAGAAGAATATGCAATGGATGAAAGACTAGAATCGTATAAGGGTGGATGTTTAAATGTGTGGGATCCACTAGAATCATTATGTGTGCAGCACTTTCATGACGGAGGTGAGAGAAAAGAAGAAAAGGAAGCAAACAATTACGAAAATACTGAAGAGATAAATGCAGAAGAGGGAAGAAGCAGCCCAAGTATATTTTCCAAAACGTCCAATACAGATTCTGGTACACATAACAACAATGATGTTATGCATGCAGAACATTGCTACGACACAGATTCAATGAATCGAAGTAACGATGATTTGAACATGCTAAAGGAAACGGGAAATATACAGATTTTCATTATTTTATGTGATAATTTACAAGAAACATTGTTAAACCATTTTAGTAGAGATATACAAATGAAATGCCTAGAAATATTTTATAAGTTTTGTAGTGTTGATAAAAGAATTGTGAACATTATTTTATCCAATACGTCACTAATAGAATGGGTATTCGATTTCTTATCAAATACAAAACATGAATGTTTAAGGGAAAAGGCATTAAAATTTTTAGTTATTTTTTTTATTCACAATTCTCTTTTTTCTCATACTCATGCACATTACATGATCGATGTCTTAATTGATATAATTTTAAAATATGTAAATAAAAGTAATAATTCATATAATCAGATTAGTAATGATTATTCCAACTTTTTTCACTTTTTAAAAGCTCTAAATATGCTGATAGATATATCCCATGCATCTTTAAAAATATTTCATGTTTTTAAAATCATCAATACAATAACCTTCATAGTGGTATCACCTAATGCAGTTCCTACAAAAGTTAAAGACATTGTTTCTTTCTTTGAAAATTTTATATTTGAAAAAGATGAAGGTGCGAAGGAGGAGCAATATGTATCAATGAAACAATGTGAAGCGGCTGAAAATGATACTAATAAAATGTATACTTTTCATGATAACGCAATATCATTGGGTATTCATTTAAAAAAAAAACCTTACATGTCTGATAGATTGAATAAACAGAAAAGTAAGACAACGGATGGAATCATTGATGAAGGTGAACACCAGAATCCCTCCCTTGGGGACACATGCATTAGGGAAAAAAATAATGTAAACGAAAATTTTCGAAAAAAATTAGATGAAGAAAGACCATGTGATGATTTTCTTCTCTGTAAAAATGGGAGAAACGAAAACAGACATACAAACGATATAATGGAAAAGGTTTATATAACCAATATTTCAGCTCTTTTTAAAGTATTAAAAACATGCTCAAAAATGATTAAAATGGTAAATGCAAATAAGGAAGATGTATACGTAGAACTCATTTTTAATGAGAAAAATGATTATTTATGGGAAATATCTGTGGTAGTTATGAAATTACTATATTCTCTAATTTATATTTTAAATAAAAATGAAAGGATTTTAAATAATCTTAAAATTATAGACGAACAGGAAAATACAGAAAATGGAAATGAGTTGCAAATCCTAACATTTGTAAAACTAGTTCTTTATTTATTTATTGATCTACATTCTTTTTTTAGAAAAATTATGAAAGAGAATAATAATCCTTTCAAAAGTGACACTATATATTTTATCAAATTCTTGTACCTTTCTTGTATATTTATCTTTGAAAATATATGTAGAAAAAAAAAGCTTTTTCGAAATATAAGCACCAGTCTATTTTTTTCTTCCTTCTTTACTCCCTTCTTTCATTTATTTTCGAATGTTCTAAGTAATCTGGATGACCTTTTGTCTAGAAATTTGCAAAGATCAACAGCTGAATCGACGTACACAAGTGGAAAAAGTATAGATGATGTAGATGTCAATGAAAAGGATGAAACCATATTGGATGAAGAAGGCAAATCAATTGTGATAAACTTTGAAATGTACCAAAATAAAATGAGAAAGGTCTTAATAAAAAGTAAGCCGTTCACCCTATTCTTTCAGTATGTATCTAGCAAAAATTATGGTAATTTCAATGTGATAATATGAAATGATATCTAATCTTTTCACGTAATTGTTTTTTTTTTTGAACAATGTATCTGTATTTCATATTACGCGGTTCCATTGGGGGTTCATTTTTGATGAACTTTTTCAGCACCCATTTTTGATACACTTTTTTTATACCCATTTTTGGTACACTTTTTTTATACCCATTTTTTCTTTCCATTTTCCCCTCTCCCTTTTATGCGCAAGACGCCGAATGCTACAGAATTCTGCACTTACTAATCCATGAAGAAGATGGAATGTTAAAGGAAAGAGAAAATATGAAAGAGATTTTGATCGAAATAATAAATAAACACGACTTTTATTTTACCAAAGTTTTACTCTTTAACTTTAATGACAAGGAAGGGGTAATAGAAACGGTGATATATATTTTTTACCTGTGTCTAATTTATGATAAAAAATTTATTGAAAAGAAATTAAATGTCAGTAGGGAGGATAATTATGTGGAAAACCTTTTTTCTTTTAACGATTATGATATTAATATGAATCCACTCTTTTTATTTATGTCTTTATCCTATTCTTATTATTTTATAACCAAAGGGAAAATTGCATCAGTTTTTAAGTGCATCAAAAAAGAGATGCACAAAATAAATTTGCATTTATGGATAAATATAAAAAAAATTAAAAATATATACTTCGTTCTTGACTGTATCTTTTCCTTGAAAATTAGTAACAGTACATATAGCAACTACTTTTCCTTCATCATGCATGTAATCAAATTGGAGTTATCTTTGTACACTTCTAACCAGCCTGAGCAAGTGGATAACAGGCTCTACTTATCTATTTCAAAAAATGAGGTAATTTAGAGGATTTAGTTACAACTTTAGAGAAAATGAGTTGAGAAAATACGATACATGGATAGAATGGATGATGAAAACATTTTACGGTTCTACAATTTTCCACATGATATACCAGATGCGAAAACATATAATAACTCCTACTCATAGTAGTTAGAGATCACGTACATGTCCGAAACATAACTTTATATTATACCTCCTTTTATTTTTCCATTTTTTTTTTTTTGCTACAGGATTTAGTACAGAAAATTTTTGAAAACGTCGAAATGAACAATATCCAAAATAATCATGCAATATATGTTTATTATTTAATAGTTAAACTGAGAAAATATTCTTCAGATCATTACAAAACTATGAGTTTATACAAAATTATGAACGCCGTTATTAAACATATGCACACAATTGTAAAAGCAGAAGACGAAATTAATGATATATTTTCTTTTTTTTTTATATTTTTTGAAAATCTAGAAGTATATACGCAGACAGATATTTTTAATATAATTACAGTGTTACAGAAATTAACACATTATATTAAAACTTCCTTAACAATATTTTTTAACAAAAATGCAAATGTAAAGGAGAACATTGATGAGATACTTGATGTTCATTTAAAATTTGAAAATTCTTTTTTTTATTTTATTATAAATTTAATTTTATTTTGTAGAAAATATAAACAAATACAAAATATAAAGGTGCTATCCTCCTCTATAGCTTTAATACAAATGTTGTTATATTGCATACAATTTTGCAATTATTATTTTATGAGTTTATCTTTTTTAATATTATCTTTACTCATTTTACCCTTACCTGATATACCACAAAAAAGTTCCCCATTACTAATGAAAGTGTCAACATCATTTGATAAATATACTGACGAAATAATACCACCCAATAATAAATTTCCTACATTAACAGAATGTGATACTAATCGAGAAAAATATGTTATTAGACGTAGTTTGTTTTACCCTTTGGTCAACAGTACAAATATGAATCTTAGAATTTCTTCTTTATCTCTCCTACTAAGTTTGCTTCTAACAAATGTAATATATATGTATCATTGTAATACTTTTCTCACGCCCTTTGTGTGCCATTTTTTTTTTTTTTTCTCCTTTGTTTATTCTTAATTAGAATAAGAATACTCATGTCACATGTCTCATCTGTTTGACTTATTAACATGTTCACTTGGATACACTCTCTCTTTTGACATGTTTTAATTTTCGGCAGGACGTTGTATTACTAGAGGACGAGACCCTAGACTTTTTTATCATCCTTATAAATAGTTCCTATTTAAATGTTAAATAATTTCTATATAAATGATGAATTTTGAACGGCGAAAAATTAGAGCATCAATATATTTACACTCCTTCCTATAATAATTATCTCCTCTTTGGAATGTCTATAATTTTGTTAAAAATTCACTGTCCCTGCCACAAACGCATATGCATATACATATGCATGTACATATACATGTACATATACCAGATGAAATATATATTTTCTGTAAATTCATTGCCCCTTATTTTTTCGCCTTATTATTAGGAGTGGAACGAAACTGTGAACAATTTACTATTCGCAATACTTAACGTCCTACTACTTTCATCGATTTTGAATTTACAAACAAAGTCATTTTGCTTTAACTCCATTTATTCATTCCGACCGTTTTTTTTAAGATTCATATTACGGTTAAATAGGGATCAGAAATTTCTCATTCACAAGTTATTTTTTCTACTCATAGTTAGTACATATAATTTTGGATATACATCTTTTCATATATTTATACATCATTAGACATTAAGACATTATCTTCCTCAAAATATAACAAAAAAAAAAAAAAAAAAAAAAAAAAAAATGGCTCCTTTTATATATTCCCCTAAGTGTCATCTCATATGTGTATATCATCACCTTATGACGTATATGTATCTTTTCGATAGATTGTCAAAATAAAGCCACTGTGGTTCGACCTGAAGCTGTACAGTGAAAAGGTGCTTGCAATGTGTTTTGAATACTCTGAACTTTTAGCTTATAATATGTTCACACAAAAATGGCTACCTGTTCGCCTATATCCGAATATATATATATATATATATATACATACACATATTTATACACTGAACATATTCTCCCCCCCCTCCACTCATTTTGCACTGTAGATTTTGAAGATCATACTGAATATTGTAACAAAAAAGGACCTCGACCTCGCGACATTTCATTGCATATCCTCCCTTGCATACGAAGTAATTTCCTAATTTTTCGAGATAATTTTTTGAGTTAATCATTTTTCACAATTTCTTACCTTCTCAATCTTGTTATTTTTTGTCCGCTATTATTTGGTAGGCATTCCTTATAAATAGAGATGGAACAATGGGCTCATACGAAACCGGTGGTAATTAGGATAAGAAATAAGTCATTAACATCTTTGAATAAAAAAATAATTATATTCACAACACCTGTGGTGACAAACTATACAAATTAAAACACGAATAATTTGACAATTAAATACTACACATTCCACACATGCTCGTCTCCACAGCTAATAAAAATGTTATTGACAATTTGGAAGATTACTTAGAAACATATAAAAAAAATATAAAAGACAACGATAAGGATATTCACTACATGTCATCTTTCAGCAAATTTAAATGTATCTTTTGAAAATGCGGATAAAAAAATGAACAAAAAAAAAGAAAAGAAAAAGAAAAATATAATTCCCCAAAATAGTTTATATTTTTTTTTATTTATTTTTTTTTAATTAATTAAAAGCATTTTCTCCTCTCTTCATGCAGGTAAACATATTGATGAGGATGTAGTTTTGGCTATTTTAAATGCGACAAGATTGTTATTGTATAGATAAAATTAGAGACAAAAAAAAAAAAAAAATAAAAAAATAAAATAAAATAAAAAATTAAATAAATGAAAAAAAAAAAAAAAAAAAAAAAAAATGTGCTGCAATTGAATATGTATAACTCTTGTTTTTTTTTTTTTTACGAATTAATGTGATTAATTAAATAATATTTAATGACAAAAAAGTTTTTATATTTTTTGGACTGATAGGAATTATACAAATTCGTTGCATACAAACATGTTACATAAAACAAAATACATGAGTTTGTGAAATGAATACACGATTTTTTACATACGTAGATATATGTATTTACGCACATATTATATCATATACCTTGACCTACACATAAAAACGCATATACCGATGGATTCACCTAACTATCATTTATATTGTTATACAAATCTACATTCAGTTCGTCCATGTTTTCGTCAAATTTTCTCTTATAAGACAGTACTTTTTTATAAATAATTATAAGAAAAAACAGCAATATTAAGTTAATGAGCCTACAGGGGATGGGGGGTGAAAGGGAGAATGGAAAAAAAAAAAAAAATTAGTAGATAAGTAAATAAGTAAGCAAACAAATAGGTAAACAAATAAGGAAACAAATAAGTAGACATATACGTGAATAAAATACAGGGGGCAACAAAAGGAGCAAAAGGAAATTAAAGCAACGCAGCGCAAAAAATTCTCCAATGATAATCAAAAATGAGCTAATTTCACAATTGTTTCAAGGGACTATCTTACTGTATATATAATATAAAGGCGTTTCCTATTTCTTCATCATCATAATATAGGGACCCATAAAAAAGTATTAAAAAAAATTCAAAGAAACGAAAATTTATTAACAACTTGCTAAGCCTTACAACCCTTTCATTGCTATAATTTCTACATCCAGTAAAAAAAAAAAAAAAAGAAAAATGGGAAAATAATATATTTATTTAGTCATGAACCTTTTTTTTTAATCATATACACATATTAATGTATATTACTGGATAGAGATGTTTCTTAATTTTCCTTTTTCTGAATCTAACCGGTTAGTGGAGTGTAATATAATAGATAAGGGGGAAACTAAAATTGATGATATGCCTATAATTATGTTTTTAAAAATGTGTGTATCGAAAGCAATGCTTACACATATTGTCATAATCTGCAATTAATGAAATGGAGGGGAAAAAAAAAATTACTAAATTGAAAAAAAAAAAAAAAAAAAAAAAAAAAAAGAGATGATGTTCATTTATAAGGATAAATAATTTTTGGTATTATTCCTTACCTGGGAAAATATAAAGACAAATATTTTAAAAGGATTAACTTCGTACGTTTCAATGATAAAAAGAAATGTGACTATTCTTATTTGCGAATCGATCAGGTAAAACAAGAATACGGATACTGCAGTGTAGGTATTTGTAGGTGTGGGTATATTATAACTATGGTATAAAAAAGAGATAATGCATAAATAACATAAGCAAAAAACAAATGATGTATACATATGTACACACATGTATACACTCTTTTGTACGATTAGCCAAAGACTTACATAAGTATTTTTTAGTCTTGTTGTTCGAAAGCTTGGACAATGGATACGTTCTAAATGTATTCTGTATGTTTAAAATCATAGAGATTATAAAAATGATTGCAATTGATAGGGAGCAAAATATGCCCCTTAAAAAATTCAGTATTATTAGGGAATTGTCATTATAAGTGTACTCTAATGTGCCTTTAAAAATTGGGCGGTGGGGGAAAGAGAGAATGGAAAAAAAAAAAAAAAAATTATTATTTATGTTTATTAAGGTAATACTAAAATGGTGGGATAATAAAATTCTCTTTGTCTTCATATTATTGTTGAAAGAGTGGTACGTATTTTTGTCTATTTATCTTCAATAGCAATCAATTTGCTACATTTACATTTGCTAATTATAATATGAATACATTTTTTTATATGATATAAATGCATGATACACATTTAGGTATTACTTTTTATAAAAACACTATCATACTGAAATATGACAATGTCGTAACAAATATAAAGAAATGGTAAATGCGAAAGGGCAATTGACATAAAGTGGTATTCTTGAATTTCATCTGATAAGAATAACTTTTCATAATTTTGGTAGCACTGTAAAGGTATATATATATATATATATGAAAACATGTTATGTGGTTATTCTGGTACATTTTTTTTTTTTGCTTGTAAATGTACATTATTATAAACACAAAAATAGTTGCATGTTAAAATGTTACACTTTACTATTTTGAAAAAGTTAAAATTTCAAACATACTTGTGTATATAAATGAAATCCGAAAAATGTGGACAAAGAAAAAATATATTTTTTATCGTATATGTTCAGGATCGCTAAATATGACCACAGACACGTTTGTGTTAAGAGGAATAGGAACGCCGTTACGTTATACGAACTGGAAAAAAAGGAACAAATCGAAGTTACAAATAAGGGGTCAGTTGAAATGGTGTGCAAATATATGTGCGTGATATATATATATATATATACATGTACATGTGCATGTACTTGCACATTAACATATACAACTCTATGCGCAGTTTACTTCTGTTCTTTCTTTTTGTTGATTACCAGAGATAAAATTTCGTGGCTAGTATTAACGTAAATATAAGACTAAATATGTTAAGTATAACAATCAATACGGTTAAGAATTTGTTTATTTTGCTATGCTCTTTTTTTGCGTTCGTGTCCAACGTGTTATCACTGTGTATGCTACTTTTTACAATAAACATTTTATTCACAAAATGTAGTATACAAATAAGATCATAGGTTCGTATTTATATATTCCTGTGTGTACATATGTAGGTGTGTATGTACTACTCTATCGTTTGCTCAGTAGTATATTATACTTCTTCCCCCTTTCTTAAGCGTTTTTCCTCCCTTGATACTTTTGCTATTTTCTATCTTTGTCTTGTTCATGTATTGCTTTTGTATTTGATGCGTTACAAGTATATGTTGTCTTGTATGCATGTATATGTATTTATATAATTTTCTTGTCATTTAACTTTAGGCCTTTTGCGTAGCTCCCTTCCTAGATACCTCGAACAATGAATACTTAAATCCCCAAAATTTTTAGATCGTAAGAAAGTATTGTCCTTTACAAATCAGTTTTTGTTTATTATATATCCATGTTTGAACAGAACTCATAATTGCAAAGGTACTTTTGTGGAACGGGAAAATGAAAAATCAAATGTTAACTCAGAAATATATGCATGCACTATAAAATAGTATGCAGCAAATTTTACACGGTAACCAAAAAATGCTAAGCATCATAAAAAGAAAAACGAAAAACAAAAAAGGCGCAAAGTAATGCAGATAATTTTTTTTCACTTTTCAAATATTACGGTAAATGCCGTACAGTTTTAGAATAAAAGAAAAAAAAAAAAAGAGGCATAAAAAGAGTATATGTACATATGCATATATATGTATAAGTGAGTAATGTCAAGTAATGTAACACACGATTAACGATTGGAGACTTTTAGTGGCGTAAGAAAAAGTAAATATAACAAAGAAAATAGTTTTTAATAAAAATGTTGAACAAATGTTTTGTTCAAAAATAAGAAAAAAAAATTTTTTTTCAGCATAAAATTTGGTCCAAGTTGTTCACATTTAAACATGTATTGAGCCGCCAAAAGTAAAACTTGATCGGTGTATGGCGAATTTGCAAAAGTGAATATTTAAAAAATGTTCATATATGTAAAAAAAAAAAAAAAAAAAAAAAAAAAAAAAAAAAAAACTTATAAAAAGGTGAGATCTTTTGTATAATAAAAAAATAAAAGATGTCGAGTTAGCAGTACAAAAAACATTGTATGCGCAAATAAATAAAAATGCTTAAGTGTATGTAAGAATGCAGAACATGCAACGAATATACAAATACATGTGCAACAGTCATTTTTGTCTCATGCTTTGCTATTCGCTTCTCTATGTTTCGCTGTGTCCCCTAAATGATTTCCCTCCCTCCCTCTCTCTCTCTCTCTCTCTCTATATATATATATATATATATATATATATACATAAACACACACATACACCCGTGTGTATACGTGTACATTATGAACACAAACACATCAGAGCTGGCAAACAAAATTAGATACGTACCGCTTATTCACGACACATAAAACACAAATGTACACCGTTACAAATGTTTTTGTGGCCACATTTTGTACAAAAGCTTTCTAGATCGTTTTAATTCGTAAAGGCTAAAATATTCACCTCTTGTTGGTAGGTAGAGATCTCATGTAAATTTTATGAAAAATGTAAAGGAGGGGGAATATAAAATCACTTAGATTCAGTGTTTTGAAAGTGTAAGAAATCAAAATGATCTCTTCATTTTTGATTAAATCATTTTTTTTTTTTTTTCTATGGATGCAAAATTTCGATTGAGAACTGTAACAGATACGATGAAATCATTTATAATGCTCATGTTGTATGAAAAGAAAAAGAGCCAAAATGAAGGTTATTGCACTTACGACACACAAGGAAACACTTATTGCACGCATTTGTATATGGACTCTCTACTTGTACCTTATTAGGCTAATTTATTTTTCCCTATTTGCAAACCCGTATAATAATTTGACAGTTATTGTAATCCAGTGGACACAACACTTTGAGAATGAATACTACACAAAATTTTAGTAAACATTTAATAAACAAAATGCGTACAGAATCCGTACATGACATAGTTGCTAAATAATATGTGAATATCTCTTCTTTTATTTCATATTGCATAATTCTTTTTTTTTTTTTTTTTTTTTTTGTCAGCTTTATTTCAGAAGATATTTGTTTATTAAACCTTTGTAAATACAGCTGTAGGTTTATTATATTATTGATTTTATTATTTATTTTTTTCATTTTTTGTGCACCACCGAGAGATATAATTAATTTATTACCCTATTTGACAAAAAAATAAAATTTTATTCACTTGATATAGGGATATATAAACTAAAAGAAAAAAAAAAAAAAAACAAGACAAAACCCAAACCAATATAAAAACTACATAGTAACAGCAATATTTAAAGAAAAATACATTTAACCACATTTTACCAGCAAAGAAATTGACTCATGCTGTTCACGTGAACAAAAGAAATTAGAATTATCCTGTTAACGTGTAATTGCTTCCAGTTCCATTAGGATAAGCTTTAACCGCATAGTTAAAAGGGGAAGTGTTAAGATGTGCAAACAAGATAGAAGTGTGGTGTAGACACCTTCTACTTGTGTCATTATTATTATTTTTTTGTTGTTGCATGTTACTTTAGTTTAGAATAGAATAGAATAGAAAAATATCAATCACCCTGGTTACTGTATCTGTAATTATGAAGTGTTTTACATATATATGTGCCTTCGCACGAAATGTACTGATTTGCCTTGGAAAGGGAATAACATTTTTCCTAGTCTTGCTCAATCAGAAGACTTGAATGTTATATATATGAGGAGTTAAAATTTTCCTTTCTAAATAAGTAACCAAAAAACATATAGAGAGATTTTCTCCTTTACTTCTTCTCACTATAGGAATGTTTTTACCTACAACCCTAAAATCAAAATTATATATGATTCTAATAAATAATCATTATTTAAAATACCAAAGTCACAAATAAAAGGTTTACATTAAAGCATCTTCCATTAAAAAAATTATAAAAAAGGCACATTGTTAATTTTATAATATAATGCGAAAAAAAAAAAAAAAAAAAAAAAAAAAAAAAAAAAAAAAAAAAATCCTTTTCTTTAAAAAAAAAAAAAAAAAAAAAAAAAAAAAAAAAAAAAAAAAAAAAAAAAAAAAAAAAAAAAAAAAAAAAAACCTTTTTTTATACAAAAAAAAAAAAAAAAAAAAAAAAAAAAAAAAAGGAAACAAAAAAATATTTATCTTTAAATATGTAAATATACATATAAAAAATGAAAAAAAATTAAATCGAATAGGTCAATTAAAAAATGATACGAAGTTTAAAAGAGATGGAATACTTATGATAAAAAAAAAACAAAAATGTGGGGGAGGGGTTTTACCATCATAAAAAGAATTACAGTAAAATTACATACAACATGTTACGTATAGTCTATATCTTGTGATTTTTTTTTTTTTTTTCATTTTCTTTATAATCATATAATATATTTTTCATGATTGTTTTCTTCTATTCTGTTAGTAGTTATTATACTTTTTCTTTCCTCTTTCATTTTTTTTTTTTTATTTTTTTTTTATTTTCTTTTCATTATTAATTATTTTAATGGGAGCTAATTTTTCTGAAAATTTAATTTGGACAGCTTTGCACAACATATGTTGATGTAAAAATAGCTGCCGCTAAGCTTACTATCAGAAATACTAGGGACAATATTTGAATTAATAAATTATTCTTCAAAAAATATTTCAATTGGTTACGTTTTAAAATTATGCCGATTAAAAAACCTGTGGGAATTGGTGAGGCGTGCGGACGAGGTATGGAAAATATTCATTCAGTGTGATATGTGCATATAAATTCGTGTAGGCTCGTATGCACCTCTGTATGTATATATATATATAAATGCAAACACATGGGGGGGTTGAAAGTATTGGTAAAATGGATGTGCACGAATTATTACCTCCAAGGAAACCAAAAAAGTGGCTGTATATGTTAATACTGCCAGTGTTTAAAGAAAATTTAAGAAATAGAAGAAGGAGGAAGAAACAAAATAAATGTACACTGATGCTAATTTTATCTACATTAAAATTAGTCATCATTAAAATTTCTGAAAAAAAAATTCCAATAATTCCTGAAGAACTGCTACTGCTTTCAGTGGTAGAGTAACAATATGTTAATGGGGATGATAATATTATTCCATATATACCTACAAAGAAAGTGCGAGTTTGGGTACATATAACAACGTGCATTGTGTGTTTCATCACAAATATTTACAAAACACAATTATGCACAATAAAAGAATGAAATAAATTTCAAAATTTCAAAATAAATGTAATTTTTAAATTCCTCATTTCACAACCTCTTTGGTTTTATTTTCATTTTTGTTCTCATCCTAACCCGTAAAAACATATACTAAAAAAACAACATATGTTCCGTACAGATATTCTAACAAAAATCCGACAGTTAACTGAACATATGTATTTGCACAAATGTGATTAAAATTTGAATGTAAAAATAATGCTGTAAAGAGGCGATAAAATTCGGCCTTCTTAAAAATATTATGTGGAAAATTGCTTCCAAAATTCTTTAAAGAATCATCTAAAAAGGGGGAAGGAGGTGTATATTTACAATTATTTATTGTGTAAAAAATATGACCAAACCAAAGGTCATACTCGAACAAAATGTACAGTGCAATATATATGCGTTATATGCAGCCTGTGGTCTATACACAAGCGTAAAATGTTACGGATATTATTTCGTTTTTCCTTTCAAAATATACTTGATGGGGTTAGAGTTAAATCGGATTTGACGGATATAAGTAGGATAAATATTACCCACTGAATGAATGTAACATATAGGATTAAACTAAAAATTGAAAATTGGGGAAATATTCTATATATAATTTTTTTTATTGTATTTTCTTTATTGTTATCAATATATATTCTCTCTTCTTCTAAATTATCCAAATCATTCTTATGAATCGTTTTGTAAAAATGGTCATTAAATTGTCCACTTTCACAAACAGAATAATTATGGTTTAAAAAAATAATAATTTTTTCCTTTTTTTTCCTTGATGCTTTTTTTCGGAATATAAAAAATCTTCGATTGCAAAGTACCGAAGTTTTAATTTTATATTTTTCTTTTATAATTTTTTTTTCTTCTTCAACAATATTTGCATAATTCATCATACGCTCTTCTTCCTTTATTTTTTGCTTCTGTTCAGAATCTTGTAATTCACCAACATATGCCTCATCAGTTTTTTCCTCCACTGGAAAATCTATTACTGGGGTTTTTGCTTTAGCTATATTTTCGCTAGAAAACATTTCATAATATTTATTTTTCTCATTCACATTTAATATATAATTGTCTAACGTCTCTTTTGTATCATTTTTTTCTTTTTTTTTTATATTAGCTTTTTTCTGTTTTCTTCTTCTACTATCGAATCTTTTTCTATTTTTAAAATAATGTGCATATTTTTCATTATCATTTAGAAAATTTAAAAACTTTGCATTATCCGTGCATATACTGCTTCTATTTACGGTACGTTCCTTATTTTCATTTATGGAAATGGACATATGGATTCTTTTTTTTGTTTTATCATAATGACTTTTTTTGTTAATTTTATAATTTACTTTTAATGATGTATAATCATGATGATCTGATAAAAATTCTTCATACGTATGACTCATTCTTAACTTTTTTTCTTTTTTTAAATTGCTACTTTTATATATTTCTTTTTTTGAGTCACTATTATTATTATTATCATAATCATCATCGTCTTTATCTTTAATCTTATCATTTAAAAAATTATAAAACTGTACAGTATTGTTACTATCTAGCTTCAATAACTCGCTTTTTCGTTGTTTTTCTTGTTTTTTTGATAATGTGGATTTACTATTAGCTTTATTTTTTATTTTTTCTTCATTCGCAGTGTCTTCATCTTCATCATCTTCTTCTTCCTCTTCCTCTTCCTCCTCATCATCTTCTTCTTCCTCTTCCTCTTCCTCTTCCTCATCATCATCTTCTTCTTCATCTTCATCATCTTCAATCTCATCATCATCTCCCTTCTCTTCATCATTTACTTCCCCCGCTTGATCTATTTTTCCTTGTTTGAGATTGTTTTTTTTTTTTTTTTCCAAATTTTTTTCATTCCTCTTTTTCTTTTTGTTATTTAGCTTAGACTTTTTATCTTTACTGCACTTTGCGTTATTGTCGCTTTGTGAATGTTTGTTATTTTTTCGTTCTATTTTTTTGATAACATTATTTGAGTTCGTAGAACTACGAACGTTAGCATTCCCATTCTTTTGGGAAGTATCATTTACACTACTATACTCCTTGTTATATAGATTTTTATCATTATTTTTACCACCATTATCATTGTCCTTGTGGCTATAACTCTCATTATTATCCTTGCCATCTTTCTTCTTATGGCCATTTCCCCCACTAGAATTATAATTATTCTTTTGCTTGTCTTTATCATACTTCTCCTCTTTATCGTCTTCGTCATCGTCGTCATCTATTTTTTCTCTTTTATCTTTTGACTCTAGAAAAGCTTTTGTTTTTGTACAAGATTTGTTGTTTTCCATTTTTTTACTTTAAGTAAACGTAGATTTTCTATGCTTACTATTTCCTCTTTAGAACTTCTGCGCCTCTATATTTTTGTACTTTTTCTTGATGTGTCTTTTTTCTTTCTTTATCTTTCTATTTGTGTTTCTTAGAGATTACAAAAAAAAAAAAAAAAAAAAAAAAAAAAAAAAAAAAAAAAAAAAAAAAAAAAAAAAAAAAAAAAAAAAAAAAAAAAAAAAAAAAAAAAAAAAAAAAAAAAAAAAAAAAAAAAAAAAAAAAAAAAAAAAAAAAAAAAAAAAAAAAAAAAAAAAAAAAAAAAAAAAAAAAAAAAAAAAAAAAAAAAAAAAAAAAAAAAAAAAAAAAAAAAAAAAAAAAAAAAAAAAACACGTAACAATGGTATCCACAAAATGCGTTGTCTTGTTACGTAAAAGATTAAAAAAAAAAATTAAAATACCAAAAAAGTGAATAATGGAGAAAAATGGAAAAAAAAAAAAAAAAAAAAAAGAGGGGGAAGGCCGGAGGAAAAAATGCCAAAATTGGCAAAGGGGAAAAACGACAAATGACAAATCAAAAATGGTAAACAGTAAATAGCTATAATAAAAAAATGACAAATTAGGAAATACAAAAATTTCATCCTAATATTACGCCTATACTTTTGGAATAACATACAATCGTCATTTGTTGCCTTTTCTTCCTATATGTTTCCCTCTCAAACTTTTTTTCCTGAACATTAGGTAATTATACATACATACAACACATAACAATATACATGTTAGGCTCTTCATAATAACAGCACATATACTAAGTTATACCTTTCATATCATATTGGTCAAAATGTTCATATGAATTAGAATACATATCACATGTTAAAGTATTATAAATATATACATATATATGTACATAAGTCATGACATACATATAATAACACATGTAATGTGGTACGTAACGTGTGCCGTCTTTACGTAATTGTGATTCCTTTTTTTTTAATTCTTTTAATTTTTTATTTTGTTTTACACATATAAAATTATCACTTATATGATATGTACATGTATGCAACACATATATGAAGCGTATATTAGTAACATGTAGTACAAAGCTTCTGTATATGGAGTAGCATATAATACGGAACGCACATATCAAACATATGTACATATCACGTATACATGTTTTAAAACTAGTTTAAAACGTTATTCTTCAAAAAAATTCATCAATCAACCATTTTCAAAAAAAGTTTCACTTCACAAATAACGTATGGGCAAAATATTCGTATTTTTTGCCTGTTCACTATGTATAATTTAATTTTAAAAATTTATAAAAAAAAAAAAAAAAAAAAAAAAAAAAATTCATAAAAATGAAAAAAATTTTATCTAAACTAGATTATTTGATAATCCGCAAATAATCTTGTATATGAATAGAAAGTTTTTAGGATAAAGAAAAAAAAAAACAAAAAAAATTAAACATTTATGGGATAGATTTCCAATATACGTATATTGCTGTTTTTGAACAGCAGTGTATTGGGGTGCCCATATTATATAAACGCGCGTGTATGTATATAAACAGAAATGTAAATATATGTATATATATATATATACATTTATCCCATAATTTCACGTTCAGTTACCCACATGCATGTACTACACCGCCGCTGCAACATTTGCTTATATTTTTCGAAAAAATCAGTTAATAATTAACAGACAAAAATATTCGTAAATATATACAAAAAAAAAAAAAAAAAAAAAAAAAAAAAAAAAACTTTGGTAGATGATATGTAAAGTAACAGTAACACAAAATTTGTAAGTTTAAAAAAATAATTTTTAAGACGTGTTATAAAAATTGGTTTTCTATTTTTGTTATATTTTTTTTTCGACTTTCTTCTATGGAGCTATGTGTTTTTTTTTTTTTTTTTTTTTCTCCTAGCACATTGATGTACATTTATATGTACATATATATACACATACACATGTACAGTTACCACACATGTACACATATCACATGAATCACTTATGGTACGCGACCATGTATTTGCATCCACAAACATATAAGCAGCATTATGTATGATTTGCATACTTTCACTCATTTTTGAATTTTTCTTTTCTCCTACATTTTCAGATTAGTAAAATAAAACGTGTTTCCCCCACCTCCTGTGATCTTTTTTATTTCGTAAATATGGTTCTGAAGATAACTTTTCTGAGTGTTATGCATTTTGTATTACTCATATTTTTTGCAAGCAATATGTGCAACTGAGAATAGTGTTTATTATTCAAACCAAGAAAGAGTGGAAGGAAAAGGCAAGTTGCGTAAGGTAAAATGCCGAACGTACTGTGGTGGAAACGTTATATGCATTTGTACATATATATATATATATATATATACATACATATACATATGTACGTATGTGTTCTCTACGCATGGTATACACATACAAACAGTGACGAATAACAACGCAAGTGTAATCAAAGAATTAAGCTAAATATTGATGGCACTATTTTTTTAAAAAAACAAAACAATAGGTTGAGTAGATATGCATAATGACCCTTGTGTCCAAATAAAAACACTAGGTTGAATTATCCACATGGAAATCTCGTATATAACAGCGTTGTGACATGTACATATACTTAATTACATTTATTACTTATTTTAAGATAAAAATGGTATAATGGGATTAATCAAAAAAACAAATTCGAGACCCATATAACAACACATCTCATTTGATCAAAGAAAGCAGGTGTAAACTATTTTTAAAAAATGGTAATATGAAAAATGTATACACCAGGAAAATAAGAAGTCTCATGCCTTGCATTCCCAAGCTAGAATACTTAAGGCATAATTCTGTTTAAAACTTGTAACATATATATATTAAACGCAGTGTTATAAAAAAAAAAATATATATTTTTTGTTTTTATGGAGAATCCTTTAGAATTTTACTTTCTTTCCTCCTCACCCCCCCCACCCCCCTCATTTACCTTTATGTACCCAACGGGGGTTGTCAGGAAGGATGTTATAACTTTATTAATTTTAAATATTTTCAATTATATCCACATATACATTTTCATGGAAAGGATACGATTTGGCGTTACCTATACGAAATGTTTTTTTAAGTTTTCCTATTCGTTATTAATTTGAATATATCTTGTTGACAACACCAACTTTGGTAATATCCTATCATATATTTTTTTTTCCAGAATAAAGATTTTTGCCTTTTTTTTAAGACATCAATTAAATTTGGTCCAGTGTGAAAAATTTCCATCTGGGGAAAAAATATTTTCACACGAATCTGGGTGCATATGCATAAAAAGTGCTTATTCATACATGTACATACGCATAGTGGAAAATATGGAAAATCTTATTTTACCGTGAAAAAAAAAAAATAACCAGATTATTCTGTTAGCCTTACCATTTCGCTTTTCTGTTTCTTTTACCTTTTTATATTTCTTCATATTTTTTTTTCTTCTCAATAATTCTACTGTACACGTTGGTTTTAAATATAAAAATTTATATAAATAATATATTTCCCTTTTCTGCTAAAAATTTTACACGTATACAAATAACCTTAAGTTTGTGTTTTTTTTTTTTTTTTTTTAAAGCTTAGTAACCCTATTTGTTCAATTATGTGTATGACTATTCTCTATATCTTAGTTGCAACTTTATGCATACCATTTTTAATGAGTTTTCCAGCAACGGTTTCTTAGCACTATTGAAACGATTCTGAGATATATATATATATATATATATATATATATATATATATATATATCCATATCCACATGCTTAGGTAAACTATGACAAGTGCACTGCCCTTTTTTTTTTTTTCTCCAACTAATGGAACCTTATGATTACATTTTGATTATGCTCAAAGTTTCAATTATATATGCAACTTCTAACATGCTTGAATTAATATGCTTATGTTATCAATTATCTATTTTGTTACTTTTTTAACCGCACTCGGAAACTTAATTGTTGGTAAAATAATTCTCAAAATAATGCACTTAGTTTATAAACGAAATTGAAGCATACAATTGAAGTTGGAATAAATGCGCCAAAAAATTATCACTTTTATTTTATTTAAATATATGTTTTTTTTTTTTTTTTTTTTTTTTTTTTTTTCAAACGAAAGGTCCAATGACTGTAAACTTTATAGGGGAAAAAGTACATATTAAGGATTGTTTTTTACATTTTCATTTGATTATAAAAAATAAAAATGGCAAGAAAGCCAGACCATGAGTAGAAGTCAAGAAGAAAGGGTAGTGGGCATAAATAAAATATATACATATATATATGTACACATTTTAATGGAAAGTAAAAGGAAACAGCAGTTAAAAAAAAAAAGTATTTCCAAAGCGTGCGCGAAAAGGTTAAACTAACAGATATAAAGAAATATATAGGAAGAGGATACAAAAAAAGGGTTACACAGTGGACACAGAGACATACTCAAGCAGCAACGTAAAGTTATATGAAGTAAAATATTGCCATATGAAGTGACATATAGCCATATGAAGTGACATATAGCCATAGAATGCGAACGAATAATGCGTAAAAAGAGAAAAAGGTCTGATGGATATTTTTTCGATAGCTTCTAATTTGCAGCAAATAGCCATTGGAGGTGTAAATTATGTAAATAACAAATTAAGAAAAAAAAACACAAGTAGCGAATGTAATTACATTACATATATAGTTATAGGAGAAAATGAAAAACAACCGTACGATATTAATATGTTTTTTTTGCCATTTAAAATATGCACAAAAATGAAATTGAAGGAGTTTAAAGAATATTTCCCATTTAAAGATAACGTTATATTTCGATTTAAAATACACTTGTCAGATTTAATTGATGTTATCAATGAGGGAATAATAAATAATACACCATTGATGAAAGAAGATACTAACAAACGAAACGAAATCAAACATATAATTTCAGACGAAAATGAAATTAAAAATATATTAAGACAAGATAATTTAAATCATTTATGGGTAGATATAACCAATGAAGATTCATATGTTCCCTTCTATAATGGTCAAATTATTGTAAAAGTATTATTCATGAATACTGAAAATTATAAAGAATATGATAATATTTATTTTAAAAACATTAACCCTTCTGAATACTGTCGCCCCATTTATAATTTAAATGTTAAAAACTTATGTTCGTATACAGAAATAATAGAAGAAGAAAAAGTAAAAAGTAATAATATAGACAACGCTGAAGTAGGAAGAGATGAAAATTTCGAGGAAAACATAAAATCCTTATCGCCCCACGAAGATAGAGAAAATCTTGGACATTCAGATCAGAGGAAGAACACCCAGAATGTCGTTGGCAATGGTAGTGGCAATAGCAACATTGGAAACACTGATGAGTTTGCTGGTAGATCTGGAAATTATCACAATAATCCCTACTGTGTAAATGGTCTTCCTATTGAAAGGACATACAAAAAAGGACACATACCCGAAAGGGCCAATCAGCAACCGAATCAGTACGAAAAGAATATAAATAATGAATGCAAAGAGTACAACTTTTTTCAAAATGAAAATATAAAAAATGGCAAAGATAAGCAGAAATCATGTGAACATATTTTAGAAAAAAACAGCTACTACAATACATCCACGAAACTGTTACTGACTAGCCGAAATAATGCACTGGGGCAGTATGAAGACACATCCAAAGGGAACACGAACCAAGACAAGGATGGAAACTTGGACAAGGGTGGAACAAGTGATGTGAACGAAAAAAGTGATAATAATAAAAACAGTGACAATAAAAATAAATACAAACAGGAAAGACAAGATGCTATTAAGATGAACGTCAGTAACCGTTTACAGGAGTTAAAAGAATATCGAAACAAAGAAGAAGAAAAATTTAAAGAAAAAGTGGTTATACGTGAGCAAATTAAAAAACAAATTGATAAATGGTCGAAAATTTCAGATGATACATATAAAGATATAAAGGTAATGCTAAGTACCTTAAATGACGTCCTATGGGAAAATTCAGAATGGAAACAAGTCCCCATGTCTGATTTAATATCCAATTCTGTTACGGTTAAAAAAGCGTATAAAAACGCTATACTCCTGTGTCACCCCGACAAGCACCGAAATAAACCAGTGGAACGTGTGGTAATGCGAAAAAAAAAAAAAAAGGATATAATTTTATATATGCATTAGTATGCATACTTTCATGAATTTTACATATGCATATGCACTTTCGTGTGTCTCAGCTGATTATGCAGTGTCCAGCTCTAAAGAGTCAATTGCCAAAAAAAAATTTTAACGTTAAAAAATGCATAACTTAAAAAAAAAAAAAGGGGAAGTGATGGAACGCTTGAAAAATTTAGACATTAAAAAAAAATGGTGGATAATTTAAAGGGGTTAACAATAAAAAAGAATAGCCAATTACAATGATCAAATAAAACTGGAGACAGTTGATAATAAAATAATAAAAAAAAAAAAAAAAAAAAAAAAAGTAAAATAAAATCGTTTCAGAAATGTGCAAAAGGATTCATAAAATTGATTAAAAATACAAGGATATGCGCATATGAGTTGCTCCTAAATGGGCTGATTTTATGGGCAGGGAAGTTTTCCCCATGAGAAGATGACATCTCTCTCTGTCTATATATATATATATATGCAACAACGTATGTACACAGGTGCATACCTGCTTGTGCAGCAACCTGCTCATCATGTAAACACTTATCCACACTATTCTCTCTTTTTCGCATCTCTCTTTTCAGTTAAGAGCAGAAATGATTTTCCAAGCGTTAAACAATGCCTACAAGGAGAAAAAAATAATGTAATAGTATGGACACAACATATGGCAAAATGGTACATAAAAACGTAACATATTTATTTTTTTCGTAAAAACATTTTCAAAAGGGCATTATACCAAGCAGGAATCGAAAGCAGAATTAGAAAAAAAGTGAAAGACATAGTGATATGACTATTTTGATTTATTGCCACAATTAGTTCTTGCTTTCTTTTTTTTGTTTTCTGCTATCTGCTTTTTGTTTTCTGCTATCTGTTTTCTGATATCTGCTTTCTGTTTTATGCTTTCTGTTTTCTGATATCTGCTTTCTGTTTTCTGCTATCAGTTTTCTTCTGTCTGCTTTCTGTTTTCTGCTATCAGTTTTCTTCTGTCTGCTTTCTGTTTTCTGCTATCTGCTTCCTACTGTCTGCTTTCTGTTTAATGTTTTCCTTTATTTTATTATTATTTTTTTTTTTTTTTTTTTTTTTTTTTTTTTTTTTTTTTTTTTTTTTTTTTTTTTTTTTTTTTTTTTTTTTTTTTTTTTTTTTTTTTTTTTTTTTTTTTTTTTTTTTTTTTTTTTTTTTTTTTTTTTTTTTTTTTTTTTTTTTTTTTTTTTTTTTTTTTTTTTTTTTTTTTTTTTTTTTTTTTTTTTTTTTTTTTTTTTTTTTTTTTTTTTTTTTTTTTTTGTATAATATTTTTGTGTATTCATTATAAAAAAGCAGCCAATGTAGGTATGTAATTGTATATGAAGGCATTCCTATGTGGTTCAATTTTGTGCTTCATTCCATGTTCCCTTTGTCCCGTCCTCTCACTTTATATGACTACAAATATATTTTTATGTCTATGTATATGTGTATATACATATATATATGCATGAATATTCCGATGTACGCATAATATGTACATATACCAATATTATGCACTTATTGCAAAAACTATTCACAAAATGGGACAAATTGAGCTTATTTTTTGACTTCAATATACAATACAATAATAGACACAAAAAATATATTTAATCCTCGAACGTAATTTCCTTGCACGAATCAAAGATAGTAATGTTGCGGATCATTTATGCTATTTTGAAAAGGAAGCAAGGAAAAAAAAAAAAAAAAAAAAAAAGCACACATATATATGCATATATGCATATGTCTATAATAACCACAATGAACCGAACATCGCAATGTTCATTTTGGAAGAGCATTCCTGATTTTACCTCTATATTTTTTTAATCCTTGGAGCCCCAGTTTTCAGCTATTTTTACGGAAACTTCGCACTTAACTTTTTTCAAAAAAAACGAAGCTGAATTTTCCATTGATTGCACCAGAATTTTTAAAGCATCCTCCTGATACTTTTTATTAACTTCGATTATAATTTCATCGTGTACACAAAGAATAATTTTCCCATCGATATGTCTCAAATTTTTGTACAGTTGTACTAGGGACAATTTCAAAATATCTGCACAAGTACCCTGAACTGGGTAATTCAAGGCTTTTGTAAAAGAGAAATAAGGAAATATTACTTTCCTGTTTGATAAGGTACAATACTCTAAAGATCTCATTTGTTTTATATGATTATGCCATCTGTATATTCCCTTATAGTGCTCAAAAAAGGAGTTGTAAAAATATAAACATTGATCAAGATTCATATTTAAATTGTAATACGTGTTCGCATAATTTTTTAAATTAACATAATTCATACCATAGATTAAACCAAAATTTATAGCTTTAGCAATATGTCTGTCTTCTTTATTTATATCACTTATGGCTTTTTTCGTTATAATGCTTGCTGTTAAGGTATGTAAATCGATATTATTGTTATATGCCTTAAGCATAATGTCGTCATTAGTAATTTCAGCAGCTATTTTTAACTCTATTTGTTTAAAATCGGCAATTATAAATATATTATTTTCATTTGGAATAAAAATTTCTCTAATATTTTTTTGTCTTGGAATTTGTTGTAAATTTGGCTTTTCACTACTAAATCTACCAGAGAACGTTTTTAATTGATTAAACGTTGTATGTATTTTGTTGGTTTTTTTATTTATATGTTGTGGTAATTTTAAATAAAATGCTGAATATATTTTATGTAATTTTCTATAATTCCTTAATAAGACAACTTCCTTATGATTTAGAAAATTTTTCAAGTTAGAATCGGAAGTGTTTTCAATTAGCTTATTTGAAATATCTCTAACATTATTATTCTGTAAAGCTTTCAATACTTGTTGTTGTGAATTAACATTTATTTCATCGTTTTTTAACTCTTCTTTTAATTTACTAGTTTCGGCTTTTAGCTCATTCAAAATTTCCTCTGTACTTTTATTCAAACTTTCTATGTCGACTTTGATGCCATTCAATTCCATATCACATATTGGTAGAATGCATTTATTTTCAATATCATTCACAGTGTCCATATTTTCTTTATATATTTCCTCTTTTAGTTTTTTGTATAATTTTAATAGACAGCTTGAATCTCGCGCTGCATAAAATAATTGGTTATTATTTAGGAGAGAATTATTCCATACACTATTTTGTTGTTGCTTGTCTAATATTACATTTAAATATTTCTCAACAATATTGTTTAATTTAAATCCATACATATTTTTATTTTTATCTAGTAATTTGCTAGCTATATACGTATCGAAAATATTGTTGATTTTAAAATTATTATGCATCAAAAATTTCGCATCGAATTTTCCATTTTGTATTATTTTTACTACATTTTCATTTTCTAATATTTCTCTTAACCCATTCAAAATGTTCTTTTTCGTTATATTAAACATATCGTAAATGACAACTGGGTGATTCTCCACAGCTATCTGAATGAGACGTATATTTTCATCAAATACTTCTAGACCAGTTGTTTCAATATCTAATCCACAATATTTTACATTTCTATAAATATAATCTATTTTTTCATTATAATTATTGTCATGTATGAGAAAAAATCTGGACTCGATATCATCATCAAATTTTTTCATAGGTTCAAAGTACTCCAAATTTTCACTAATAAGAATTTTGTTATCTCCTTCCAACTTGAACGTACCATTTCTTTTGACAATATTATTATCTATATTTATTATATTGTCACTAATATACTTTTTTGTAATTTCATCTCCGTATACATATTTTACTTCTTCACTGAAGTGCTTCTCATTGGAATCATACTTGAGTGCAGTATGCTCATGTAGTGAGTTTATCTCGGTATCATTTGATTTAAGAATATTGTTATGACTCTTCATTTCATCTTCATTTATGAGTGATACTAGATGCATATCATTTTGTATATTCCTCTTACTTGGCAATATGCTGCAATGGTTGTTAATTCCAGGTGTATCATTATTTGTATTGTTATTACTTCCTGTGTTGGGGGTATCACTAAATCTATTTAGTTTTAAATTTTTATTTCTTTTGTTTTTTTCATTGTTTTTATCTGAACCACTGTTTTGTACATTCTCCAATTCATACTTAATCGAAATGTACTCTTTTGGAATGTTCTGTAAAATACTTATGAAAACGTCTACCTTTTTTAAATTTTTTCCAGCAGTTTTTATATTTAATTTATTCGTCTTTATAAAATTTCGAATATCTTTTATTGTGGAGTTGTTATTTATTGTACAATTTCTCATTGATATGGTTATTACTCTATTTTTTTGCCTTTCATTTTTCTCATCTTTTATTTCTTCACATAATCGTAGTAACCCTTCATTGCTCAATCTGTATGATGATATATTTTCCTTCGATAGATCTTGTACTCCTATTTTTTTCTTCTCACTTGGATCAGCAGTAATTAATGTATTCATGTTATTATCACTTACCTTTTCATTATGATTGATTCCACCGTTTTTGCTTCTCCCTGGGGTTGTTATAATTCCTCCAGAATCCTCCCTTCTTAATATATTGTTTATCTGATCATTTTCGGAGTGCTTCTTTTCGCTTCCTTCGCCTCTCTCGTTTAACTGATTATTTCCCACACTATCGTTTTTATAAAGCATTTTGTTATCTCTATTTTGCTTACTACCCAGGGTGTTTGTCAGTTCATTTCCACCCTTGATTCCATTGTTAATATGGTTCTCCTTTGATGCATCCTTTTGTAGTGTTTCTCTTTGTGATCCATCATCGTTTGGTGAGTTCGGCCTGTTCAGACTATTTCCATTTTCGGTGCTAATCTTGCTTCGATATTTCTTCATGGAATGCTTGGATTCGTACTCATCACTCAGCTGCTTCATATAATCGTATTCATCACACATAGTAAAGTTTATATCATCCCTGGGTGGCTGAATATTTGAGACAAATGTAGAAGGGGGTGTTATATTCTTCAAACCATAGCTGCTACTAGAAATTGAATCATTCAAATAGCTAATTGACATTTCCTTTATAGTCATATTTTCTTTATTGTAAAGGTATGGTATTCTGCCTAAGCTGCCTTTGAATCTGTTTTTTTTAATATCTATAAAAAAAATAGTTTCATTTGTTTTAGAGACATGTCTCTGAATGATGAAAACATTGTCTGCTTCTTGAGTCGATTTTACACTACCAAAAACGGATGCAATGGAAAGGAGATTATTATCTTCTTTCCTTGGGTGAACAACTAACGTGATATGAACATTTTTATTTGTGCTAAATGATCTAAATTTATCAATAGCAATATTTTGAAGTTCATAAATATCAGAAAATTTATTTATATTTAACATAAATTGTAAATTATCAATAATAATATGTTTCACGTCATATGCATAAACTGCATAATCCATAGCATCTAAAACTTGGTCGATGTCGGTACTTCCATGAAATTTTAAAAATTTTAAAGGCAATAATTCAAACTTATCTGCATATATATCAAATAAATCTATATTCTTTTCCAAATTTTTACCACAAAATTGGTTTAACATTACCTTACCTAATTTTATATTATTAATTTCGAATGAACCCCATAGGGTTGATACACCTTGTATACAATAATCTAACGATAATTGTGAAAGTAGTGTAGTTTTTCCAACACCTGTTGGACCTGTCCATATAGATAATTCTCCCATTCGCAATCCATATAAAAATTTATTTAAGGATGGAATAGTCTTACTTTTAACACCATTTATTCTATCTGGATATTTTAATTCTTCCAAAATGTTCTGTCTTAAATCGTTGAAATTTAATATTTGACTATGTTTCACCTTTTCACTATTTTCTATAAAAAATCGTACATCTATATTGTTCTTCAAGCAATCATTTGCGTCTTTCACTACTATGCTGTTTGGTATATACAAAATATTATTTTGTATAAAATGGAAAGTTCTCGTCTTGTCTTCTAGATGAGATGATTTATTCACTTCATCTTGATTTCCTACTTCTGAAGTGTTTCTTTTTGTGTCAACATAAATCTGGTTTTTGTTACCATCTTCGTTTTGTGCCTTTTTCAAATTTTGCGAATCTGATTTATTATTTACCCCAATTTCAGGATTTATGGATGTGTTGTTTATCTTATCCTCTTCTACTTTTCCCATGTCCTTATTTTTTCCTTCATTTTGTTGAACAGGTTCTTTTTTTTCTCCTTTATTTTGTTCAGGAACATGAAGTGGGTTACACCCAACCTCATTGGGGAAATTAACACCACTTTTGATTAACAAATTTTTTCTCTTCTTCTCAAACAATTCTTCATCTAGATAATGCACATTCGTATCTGTTATAACATTGGTTCGACCTAAACCAATTTTATTGACAAAATTAAAAACACTTGATTTTCCAGCCTTGTCAAAATCCAGCCATAAATGTATTTTTTTATATTTTTCTAAATATGGTAATAAATATATCGGTAAAGATTTCGAACCGTTTGGTAACGAAATAGCTGCATAATTCGTTTCTTGACTTACAGTCATAGCATCTATCTCACCTTCTGTTAGGATAATTTCTTCTGAATTGTTAACTAAATGATCACCAAAAAAAAACAATTTCATTTCGTCTCTTACATTTTTTGGATATAGTCTCATATATCCTTTATCTTTTAAACTTCTCACTTTTATCCTGATAATTTTGTATGAATCTTTTTCATTCGTGTTATTTTTATTTCCATTTATCCCTATGGAATTCATGTCTTCTGATTTCTTTATGAATGGGAAAATTAAACACTCGTGCTTTTCAAATTTACCTGAATTTTCTAGTGACTGAAATTCCATTATGGAAAATCCTATATAATATTTTTTTAGCGTTTCTAAATTTAATTTTCTTTCATTAATTAAATATTTCCTTGCATTTTCTGCTTCCTTCGAAAAGAGGAGGTTCATATTATACACCTTAATGTCATTGAAAGTTATTTTCTCTTCTTCATATGTGTTGCTTAAAACTGTACTTTCGAAATTACTTGTTACTAAATCTCCCATTTTTAATTTGAAATCGTAGAAGCTTCCTTTATATCCGCACCGGTGGCAATAACTATTTCCTGTATTCTTAAAAATTTCATGCTTATACATATTATCATATTTATATTTGTGTGGTGGGCAAAAAGGACAGTATTTCAGAGTTATTTTGATATCTGTTTCTATGTATTCATATTTTTTTCTATTTAAGTAGCTGTACACATCATTTATGTTTATTTTGTAGTACTTAGATACGAATGTGCTTTTCGCACTTAATACAATGTTGCTACGGTTACTACCACCTCGGGTGTTCCTTCTCTGAGGGTTGTAAGATTCCCACGGATCCACGTTATTACATGGCGATTTTCTTTTGAAATAAGTTTTTACATTATTTTTTCTTTTCTTTAAAAACTCATAATTTGTTTTTAAATAAAATTCAGTTTTCAATCTATTTTTGTTCTGAATTCCTAAAGCAAAATGTATAAGGAAGAAGTAAAAAAGGTAAAATTTGTACCGAATCATCTTCTCATGGAGATCATTTTATTTATGTCGTAGTAATGGCCTCCTCTCCCCCCTCTAAAAAAAAAAAGAAAAAAAAAAAAAAAAAAACGGAATCCCATTTGCTTATAAGCATATTCCCGCTTATAAATTTATACGTCTATATACACAATTATATATATATATGTATATATGTACATATATATATAATTAAGTGTATATGTTGAGGATGTGTGTGTATACATGACACATGTTACCAAGTTGGCATATGCCCCTTTACACATGTCCGTTGCATGCAGGAAGAGCACTTGTCACACATTATATAAGCACGGCTAATATTATGTAGGCCAATTTGGCTCATTTTACATATTTGCCACATTTCGCACATATGACATGTTTTGCATATTTGGCACCAGATTTTCAACAACTCAACAATTTGTATTAAATTGGTGTTCTAGTGTTTACACGTTTTAACGAGTATAGACATTTTTATAATTTCCCAAACTTGGGGAAAAACAAAAAAAAAAAAAAAAAAAAAAAAAAAAAAGAAGGTAAATATGAGCAAAAATGAAAATACGAAAAAAACGATAAAAACTATGATAATGTCGCTAATTATTATGCTAATAACTAATTTTTTTTTTTTTTCTTTTTTTTCATGTATTCCATGATGAATGCAGCATTCAAGAAATTGTTATTAATTGTAATGACTCTACAAGAATGTTTAATACACATTTTTAAAAGCTTTACGTAAGAGTTAAATGATATGTAAAATTACATATTGAAAATAAATTCATATCCTCATAACAGCTGAATATCTTTGAACTATGATTCCTATACACATTCATTCACTTTTTGCCACGATTGCACATTGTATATATATTTATGTATAAGCGCTGTTAAATTAAAGTGTTTCTTCTTAGTACTTGTACAAAATATAAGAACATACATATGTACATTCATAGCCCACGCCTACATATATCATATTATGTATACCTAAAATACACACCAAAATAAAATAAAAAAAACAGAACAATGTTATTCTTATTCCTACCACCTTCCCGCCTCCCATATTATTCAAATTATTGACGAAAAAAAAAAAAAAAAAAAAAACCTGTTTATTTTACGTAGGTGACTAACTCACAAACATATACATATTCTGCATGATATTACGTGCCAAACATATATAAAACAATATGCCAATTCAGAATTTTACATTTATACATGCACGGAGTATTTTTTTTTTTCTCTTAATTTTTTTCCTACATAAAAGAGCACTCTATATTCCGGGTTGATGCCGGTCCCCAAAGGAAAAAGAAAAAAAAAAAGAAAATTTTTTTTTTTTTTTTTTTTTTTAATGATAATCTTACTATAAATTTATATACGCATTTTTTACATTTCAAAAGGAATAAAAAAATCTTCTGTAATAATTTATCACTTATTTTCGCGTTTCTTCAATTTGAAATTCCCCGCTTCTTCAATTTGAAATTCCCCGTTTCTTCAATTTGAAATTCCCCGTTTCTTCAATTTGGAATTCTCCGTTTCTTCAATTTGGAATTCTCCGTTTCTTCAATTTAATTTTCCGCTTCTTCAACTTGTTGCATGTTTCTTTATACATATTCCCTCTATTTCATTTTTTTATTCTGCCTCTGCCCCCGTTTTATTTCCATTTTTTCCTCAAATCGTTTTTTAACTAAGCTCTTTGAATTCCATATAATTGGAGCAGATATATATAGGTTTACATCCTACAAATGAAGTAGAAAAAAAAAAGTTACAACGCTTTAAGCATTTCCAGAAAATAACGAAAAAACCTATTTCCGAGTATAATAAGCAAAATGTATAAGTTGAATAGAGAAAAGAAAATTTAGAAAATGGAAAGAAAAACCAATTAAAGATACACATACACATGAGATAATAATGTTCCAAATATAGTTTTATTTTACATATATATATATATATATATATATATATATATATATATATATAACACCTACGTGAATATGAATGTATAACACTCTCTAACTTGTTCCAAAGATTAGTATTATTCTACGGAACCCCATATTGTAATTTCAGGATACATTTATTAACCTCCTTTTTGGAAAAACAATGCGGCTATATATGAAAAGAGGTAGAAATGCATATGTACTTGATAAACATTAGGATTGGAAAATTAATGTCTTACCTATTGTTAGTTTATCAGTCTTCTTCCATTATATGCTTGTGCACGAATCATTTTTACTATAACTGAATTCATTTTTTTTGTATGCAAGCTGTACGTATTTACTTATGTATTTACTTATAAGCACACCCTTTTCCCGCAAATGCACAGGCATAATCTTAAATAGAAGGGAACTGAGAAAATTAGCAAGAAAAAAAAAGAAAAAAAATAAGCTCCTTTTTTCAAAAAAAAAAAGTTCCAGAAAAAATATTGCCCAGGATATCACACATGACATTGAATCAAAAAGAAAAACAACAAAAAAGGAAAAGGAAACTAAGAGGAAAAAAGAAGAATACAACGATAAGGATAATTTAAGTGAGCCACCTAAAAAACAAATAAAAACGTCTCGTAGCAAAATTAAGTATGATATAGCAGCTGAACAAGAAAAAGATAATCTTTTGTTATCGTACTTATCGAAAAAATTAAAAATTAACAATGTTGGAGATGGGAAAAATAACAATGAGGAAAAACTTCTTAAAGAATTGGAAAAAGATGGATTTGACTCGAATTTACTAAAATTGACAAATATAATATTTAGTGAATTCCAGAAAAGCTATAAAGATGAACGTAAAAGAAGTAAAGCAGATAAAGAACATGGTGATGATAGAAAAAGATATTCACAGGAGGATGAAGACAAGCAGAGTTTAAGCGCAAGTGAAAGAAATTCGGGAGATGACCAAGTCACTAAGATAAAGTCAAAAAGTGAGATGAAAGAAAATAAGAAAGAAAAAGAAAAGAACAAGGAGCAGAAACAGAAGAAGAAAACAAAGGCAAAAAATGAAAAGCAAATTAAGGAAAAAAATGAAAAGAAAATTAAGCCAAAAAATGAAAAGCAAATTAAGCCAAAAAATGAAAAGCAAATTAAGGTAAAAAAGGCAAAGCATAATAATACAGAGGAAGACATGGAAGGGGGTGAGAGAAAAATCCCCCCCCAAGGAACATCCGGAGAAAGGAAAAAAATTATGAAGGCGGAAAAAAAGATAAAGAAAGTTAACTACCCTGAAGAATCAAAAAAAATAGAAAAATTTCTCATGGTTTCTCTAAATAAGACATCTGAATTTAATATAAAATGTATTGTTCATGATATATGTAAATATTTTCATGATTTAAAAGATCTTAAGCTGAAAGTTATTTTTAATGATATCCTTATAAAAATAATATCCAATCATTTTAACAATGTAAATGTTACAGACATTCACATATGCATCTGCGCAGTATTAATATGTATATTCAACAGTTTGATATATCAGAATATGCTAAAAGATTTTTTAAAAGCATTAACGGAAATTTTTAAATATCTCTACCAAGAAAATCTCGATTTGTTAAAAAAAATGGAAAGGATTAATGAACTGAACAGTAACCCAACATTCAAATATACAGTTAATAACATCAACAATGAAAAGGATACTGAAAATGGAAAACTTGCAGTATTAGAAAAATCAAACGAAACAGACCAACATTGTTCTAGTGCACACGCATATTTGAATAATTCTAAAGGGAATGATGATGAGATAAACTATGCAGTTAGTCAAAAGGAACAGGATCTATATCAAGATTTTAAAATTATTCTGAGAAACTTGTTGAAATGTTTCAGTCTATTTTATGCACTAAATTACGTAGATTTCGATTGTATAACTGATATAATTAATGTGCTATGTGAAAACATAAGCATTAACAGTGTGGACAATATAATTATTATTTTGAAGATATGTGGAATGAAGCTAAAAAGTGAGGATGTTACTCATTTGAAGTATATTTCGGAATATTTAAAAAAACAAATTGACAATTATATTATGAATAATCACATTTGTGTAGAAAGAAGCAAACTACGATTTTTGATTAAAGATATAGATGATTTAGAAAATGGGAAAATGAAATTCCACTTTTTGAATAAATTTGAATTTCTTTTCAGCATTTTAAAAGAATTTGAGAATAAATACAACTTTAAAGGGAACATGATATCATTCTCTTTTTTAAAAACGTTAAAAAGCGTCGAATTTACAAGTATACAAGGTGGAAAAGGATCTAAAAAGAGAAAAAGTACAACGAACATAAAAAAGGAAAAAAGCAATATGGATAAAACTGGTGCAAAAATAGAAAATGCTACTAGCACAGGTGATAGAAACAATAACATGCTCAGTGAAGAAGAAACGAACGTTATAGAAAACAAATTTTGTAAACTGAACTATTTAACGAGTGGGGAAGAAGCATACTTCAATGAATCACATTTTAATAGAATCTTAAAACAATATAAAATTCAGGGAATTTTACCAAAAAAAATTTTCATAATTATGAAAAATAGTCTGAATGTTGATGAATGTGTGAATAATTTATCTTTAATTTTAAAAAAAAAGAAAAATATACCTCATGTCATACAAACAGTTATTCAAACACTTCTCTATAACAAAAAATATAAAGTTGCTTATGCCAAAATATTAAGCAATATATCAAATATTAAAAATAGGATATTTCTTTTCAGCTTAAAAACTATTTTTATAAATTACTTGAAGAATATAGATAATTATAATTTAAAAAAAGTTCTTTTCTTAAGTAAGTTATTTGTGTTTTTGCTTAAGGAAAAGTTACTGAATTTTCAAATTTTTAAATTTATCGAAATAGGACAAGAAGGGGAAACAGAAAAAAAACAGGAAAATTCAAATATTTCTTTTTTTTTTAAAACTGTTTTTATTTTAATTTCATTGCATGATAAGTCGGGAGATTTGTCGACAAATAGTGAATTGTGGAGCCATATAATGCAAATCACACGAGGTGCTCATTTGGGCAGTTCCTTTGTACACATCTTTAAAAAAATTATAAAGAAGTATATATTTTATGAGGTAAAGAACATAGTTCGTATATACCCTAATTTTAAGATAAAATATGCTGAGATGTTTTATGCCTTTCTGGAAAAGCAAAAAAGCCTAGGGAACTCTCCCTAGCGCGACACATTCCGCGCATTTGTTTGGTCCTTTATTTGCTAATTTTTTTTTTTTTCTTTTTTTCGCTAAATATTTGTATAATAAAGAAAAAAAAAAAAAAAAAAAAAAAAAAACAGTTAACACATGTCTGTGTGTGGTTATGCGTGTTTACACAGTGGCTACGGATAACACGTTATATATTTTATTATACTTTTTTAACATAATTGTATTTTTCCTTTTTTTTTTTTTTTTTTTTTTTTTACGTTGCACTTCAATCTATTTATCTAAAATAGTTTGCAGTGCTCATTTGCTGCTCATATTTTTTGTAGTCTGTCAATGGTGTTTGCTGTAATTTTATGAAGATTACGAACTTTTTATCATCTTTAAACGTTTTTCTATGAGGAATGTTTAGCTACTACACCCCGGTCGTAATACTAAAATTGCATAAAAATAACATTCACTTCAGAGACTATTTCCTTTTTAATAAAATTAAAATAAAAAACTACTTAATTTTGAATAAGTTTTTTTTATCTCTAAAAGTATTTTTCCGTAAGTTCTGGCATAATAATAAGAAAAGAAGAAAAAAAAAAAAAAAAAAAAACAAGTATATACGTACTCATATATGCACATATATATGGATTTACATAGCCGCTAGATCGAACGGCTACCAAGTAAACAAGAGCAAAAAAGAAAAAAGAGAAAAAAAAGAAAAAAAAGAAAAAAAAAGTGATAATTGTTTGGATGTATATCATTTAGTGAGGCATTGTTCTTCCAAATACTGAACCCATTTTCTGTTTGACGAAATTGGATAATAAAAATCGTAGCTTAATTGTTTATTTGTTCCTCTCTGATTTTTTAATTTTTTAACGATGATATTGTCACGTAAATGTACACATAAATTAACTTGTCGCAATTTTTTGTATCTCATATGTAATATAGAAGGAAATTAGGACATGTAAAAAAAATATGCTTAGGGAAATTATCATTTCACTATTAGTCATACTTAACGAAAATGTTCTTATATATAGCTTTTCTTGCAAATATGCAAAGAAAAACATTATCTTTGTAAATAATAAGGTAAAATGTGCCGAATATGAGAAATGCCAAAATCATAGAATAAATAAGCTATATTGTATGAAAAAGAGGATTAAGAAAAATCAATTCCATGATCGTTGTATAATAAATGTTAAAGGAGGAAATGGGGGTGATGGTATATGTTGTTTCACAACATTTTCTCAGAAGAAAAATAAAAAGTATGCTTCTGGTGGTAGAGGGGGGAAAGGAGGTGATGTATATTTAATTGGAGATAAAAAAATGGATAATTTTTTAAGCATAAAGTTAAAGTCTTTTTATTATGCCGGAAATGGAGGTAAGGGATGCAACAATAATCAAAATGGGGAAAATGGAAAAGACGAATATATATATATACCAATAAATACAATTGTATACGATGAAGACAAAAAATTTATTAATTTTATTTATTTAAATAACCAAAAAGTGCTAATCGCAATGGGGGGAAAAGGTGGAAAAGGTAATTACTCTTATAGAACTAAGAGTTTGAAAATACCATTTGTCTGCCAATTTGGAGAAAAAACAAAAGAAAAAAAAATTTTTTTGAAAAAAATTTTTTTTACCGATTTTGGCATTATTGGATACCCCAATGTGGGGAAAAGCACACTCCTGAATAAAGTAACCAACGCGAACGTGAAAATAGCAAATTATAGCTACACATCCAAATTTCCCAATCTTGGTGTATTTAAATTCGACAGTGGGGAGGAAAATACCGAGGTGGAGGAACACAATTGGGAGAAAAACTACGAGGAAGCTGAATTCTCAATGATAGACGATTGCGAGGAAAGAAACGAAGATATGGAAGATAATCAGGGAGAAGTAACTGATCTAATGGAGGATACAGAGAACGCAGGACATGAAAAAATAGGTGCAAAAAATAATTACACAGTTATAGATTTTCCTGGTATAATAAAAGATTTAGACAAAAAAGTATCGAATATATCCTACAAGTACCTGGAACATCTAAAATATTGTAAAATGTTAATTTACATGTTTGATATAAATAGTAGTAATAACACAATTGTTGAAACGTACAGAAATATAAAGGATGTTTTAGTGCAGTATGATCCCATTTTTAAAAATAAAAAGGAAGTTGCACTGTTAAACAAAATGGATATATATATAGACAAGGAAAATATAAACACACTAATTAATTATTTAAAGGATATTTTAAAAATAGATAACATTTTTGGCATATCAGCATTAACAGGAGAAAATGTAGTAGAAGCAATAAATGAAATTTTACTAAATATTAATGAGGAAAATACCATAAGTGAATTTACAAAAACTTTACCAACACCAATTGATATTGCAAAAATTGAAAATAGTGACAACTTCCGACCATCTCAATTTGAAATACACAAATACAAAGAAAACATTTTTATCGTTAAGGGGAAATATATTGAAAATCAAGCGAATATTTTCAATTTTTCCAAAAGTGATACTTCAAAAATTTTTAGCAAAATATTACATGATTTAAATATAAATGTTAAACTAAAAAATGTGGGAGCCAAGGAAGGGGATAAAATTATTATAGGCAATTATTCCTACGATTTTTCTATGGATGAGGACTAGAAAATCTCATCGGCTACATGTTGCGTGAATAAAAAAAAAAAAAAAAATTGCACTTAACAATAAATAAATGTTGCTCTATTTTTGTTTTTGTTTTTGTTTTTCTTTTTTTTTTTTAAGTACTGTTTATCTGAACGAGCATAATTCTGCGAAGAATTTGTTTGTAATGACATAACCCCCAAATGGGACAATTCCACCAATGAAAATTTTGTATGCTTATATTTTTTAAAAAAAAAACGGCAAAGTGGGCTATTTTCAGCAGGAAACAAACTTTTTATTTTCAGCAGGAAATACATTTTTTATTTTCAGCAGTAAGCGAGTTTCTCGTTTTTTACTATATAATTGTTCTCTTGCCCATTTTTTTGTCACAATATGAGTCCCCACACAAGCAAATGACAAAATAAAATGCATAGAGGAAAAACCCTCCTCACGAACTACTCGATTAAGGGTAAAAAAAATATGATTGCCTCAAAATGATCATACGCAAAAAAATTCGAAAACGAAATTGGCACAAGAAGGCAAGGGGATCACACAGGGATGTCCCAAATTTTGCTTCCCCAAGAGGGAATAATAATTACCGACATAGGAATAGCGCAAAATTAATGCATGAAAGAAATATTCATAAAAGTTCGTTTACCAATTTTGATGAATTAAGCAAAAAACATGCATTTATAAATATATTTTTGCACAAAAATAAGAATGGGAAGTTATATTACGATTTTGGGAAATCTTTAGCTACCTATTTTTTGAGTAAAGCAATACTAAAAGAATACTACGGCCTCAATTTTTATTTGCCATATGTTGATTATGAAAAAATTGAAGAGGTTTTAGGACACATATCATTATTGTCAAAAGACATAAATAACGAATCTGCGATTATATATGTGAATGATATAGAAGAATTTAAAAATATAATCTTAAATTTGTATCACGAATACAACAACAAGTTACTAAATTCAAGCAGTGAAGGTGAAAATGGTATACTGAACAACCCAAATCATGAATTAAAATGGGAGTATTCCATCGAAACAGAGGAAGATATGAATCAGAAAAGATTTCTATGTCCATGTATTCCTGGTAGAGCTAATTACATTCATTTTTTATCCGATTTGACTGTATTAACTACTGTGAATGAAGAGGTTTCAAGTGAAACTAAAGGTGGTGAAGAGACGAATGAATCAGTAAATAATTATGAAGAGATAAAAAATGTAAAACATCTTACTATACTATATGGCAGTTTAATTAAAGTACTTGATATTGGAGTAGGTGCAAATTGTATCTATCCACTTCTCGGAAATTGCATATACGATTGGTCATTCACAGGGGTAGATATAAATCTAGATTCTTTAAAATATTGCTATATAAATATTTTACTAAATAATAAAGAAAATAGTATCTTATTGAAATATCAAAAGGATAAGAAGAAAATATTTAAAAATGTAATAAATGATACGGATATGTACTTTTTCTCAATGTGTAATCCTCCTTTTTACAGTATCGTAGAAGAAGTTAATAAAAATCCGTTTAGAAATTTACAAGCCAATGTAGATGAGGTGGTTTACTTTGACAAAGACCAAGTTACAACTACAGAAGCTGAAGAGGTGATAAACACAGCTAGCCAAACAAGACAGGAGGATATCTTAAACGTTGATCAACAAAACGATCGTTATATTAACAAGATTTATGAAAATACGAACGAAAAAAGGGGAAATGTCAATTTAGAAACTAACGATTTTATAGCATCTTCTATTAATCCTGAGGAGGAACATGTTAGTGTGACCCAAGTAGTAAATGAAGATCTGAAGAAAAACGATATAAAACATTGTATATACAACAATGACAACACTGGAGGAGAATATGCTTTTATCTTAAATATGATTAACGAAAGCAGTTGCTATTTTTACAACGTAATATGGTTTAGTACTTTAGTATCTAAATTTAAAAATGTTAAATTAGTAAAAAAAGAAATAATAAAATCTATGAGAATGTACAATATACAAGGAAAAAACCAAGTAATTTTTCTTAATGCCCTTATAAAAAATAACATACATTTTAATCAATATGTTCAATTTCAAAATGTAGAAAATGCATTCATTCCAGTTTATATATCTCAATATAGAATATTCGAATCACATACTGGAAGAATAACTAGATGGATTATTTGTTGGTCCTATTATTGCGAAGAGCAAATAAATTATATAAAAAAATTATTGCACGAACGAATTATTAACGTCTAAAAAAAAAAAAAAAAAAAAAAAAAAAAAAAAAATTAGGAGTAGATATGTATGCGAAACACAGGTGTGCTACACAACTGTATGTTGTTCTTTTGTTCTTTTTTTTTTTTTTTTTATTTCCCTAAAGGAAATATCCAGTATAGATGCATTTTAATTACAATCAAAAGGAAGAAAAAAAAAAAAAAAAAACATGTGTGGATTAACATAAACAAACTAAATAGAAATGTTGTTATAAAAAATATATAAAAAGAGAATCAATGTAGAATAAGCCTCCAAAAGGGTAATCCTATAAAGTTTGCATTGAACATGCATGGAAATACAATTGATGAAAATGAATACCCCTAAGATGTCTGACACGAATAGGCCCTACCCATATGTGAATTATACGTGCCTAAATTGTGCACTCGTAAATTATGCGCGCCTAAATTGTGCACTCATAAATTATATGCGCCTAAATTATACATGTGCAATCTAGGCATACCTAAATTGGCCACATCTAATCTACCCATATGCACAGTGCGCACAGAACCAGTCTTTTCAGCTAAAGTGGACCAATACATTGAAGGCAGAACATATCTCAAGGTTGTTAATCCGCTCGTACTCCTCTAGGGAAGTTTTTATTGAGCCCTCAACTACATCATATTCGTCAGAATCTATATTCAAATATTTTGGGCTATCCACAGTGACATTTATGCTATTATCTGAATAAGTAATGATCTTTATATTAAAATGAGAATTTCTTACCGCCTGTACAATGCAATTTTCAACCTGTCTATTCCATTCAAAATTTTCAGCATCGTTTGAAAATTTTTCATTCAAATATCCCATTAATACGGATTTTTTAACAATTTCGGTTATTACATCATTATTTAAATCATTGAATAAAATATCTTCTTTCAAAAGAGACACATATTGATTTATTTCGTTTTTGTCTTCTATCAGATTTATCATTTCGCTAAATTTTTTTTTTTTATTTAAAAAAATTGTTATAACATGTGCAATAACATCTTTATATTTTTTCCCTATTTTTTTAAAGTTAATAAAATTCCCAATTTTTGAACTATTACTATTCATATATACATCAAATAATTTTTCATTTTGTATCTCTTCATTTTTTGCATTTTTTTCAATCTGTTCTAAGGTTAAATTTTTATTAATTAAATTGGAAACATTCTTTTCACTTCTATTTAATAAGTCCATGATTTCTTCCTCTTTTAAATTTATATCTTTCATTATCTTTTTAAAGTGATCGCTATTTATAAGTTCTTTGCTTTCTTCTGGTTTCAAATTACTAATTAAAGAATTATCATCTCCTGTTGTGAAGTGTTCCATTAAATTGAGATTCGAATTTTCTGTTTCATTTGAAGCATTATTTTCATCTTTGCTGATTTCATTTTCTTTGATATTCTTTAATAATTCAGAAACCGATAAAAGTTCATTATTTTTACAACACATCTCATCTTTTATGTCAACCTTAGGGTTGATGTTTGTAGCATTTTGAGTGCTTTCCCCCTTTATGTCATCATTTACGTCTCTGCTATTCTTATCATATTGTCCACTACCATCTGTTCTTATTTCATTATCACACCCATTTCCTTTTTCCTCATTTTCCAATTTATTACTATCATTTAGAATGTTCTTTTGGCACCCAACCTTTAAATTGTGCTCAATTGACAAGTTTTTCTTTTCTGAAACTAGTATAGGGTTTAATTTCTTTCTCAATTTGTATTTATTCCGTGTTAAATATAATTTCAGGTAATGGTAATTTTTTCTTTTACTTCTACTGACCTTATGGAAGGAATAACCAAATGTATACCTCGAAATTCGAGAATGAGTTTTTTTTTCAAGAATTAAATGTTTTTTTGATTGTACATTTGTTATTATTTTGCTATTATGTGGTAAATATTCACTTGTCATAAAATGGGCTCTGTTGAATTTAAGTGTCTTCATAAAAATGTACAAAATGAAATTCCAAAAGATGAAAGAAAATAATTTCATTTTTTTTTTTTTTTACAATTTCATTATGTTAGAAATGTGGAAATATATAATCCTAACTTGTACATTTTTTCCATCCTTTTAAATGCTATTGAAGCTTGGTTATTTTATTTCTGTTGCAAATGCCACGTCCTGCATTTTCTTATTACACAATTTTTTCATGTCCCATTGAGGCTAATCGCCCCGTTGTGATTGAAGAGGTTATGTTTTTGTTATATCCTGTTATCTCGATCTATGCAGTTTTTCTTCTGTACTTTTTTTGTGGTTATTTGTTGGCTATTCCCATTCCTTAGCCGATTCCCCAAATTGCTTTGCTTTCCCAAATGTGATATATGTTTGTGCTTTATGTTTAGATAATCCTTTTTTTTTTTTTTACACGTAATATACTCCATTTTATTTTAATGTCCCACTTGATTAGTTATATTTAAAATGTGGTGAATTACATCCAATTATTTATTCATTATTTATTTGTTTACTTACTCTTTTTTTCGAGGCATAGTGTGAAAACGAAATCATTTGCTTTCACACATTAGCAACTAATCTACGGGGGTCACTTTTCTTTCATTTTTTAGTCCATAAAGAAAAAACGTGATGGTCTCTTCGCTTAGCATGATTTTCAAAATTGTCTTACTTTTAATACACGTTCATTTTTTTTTAACTCCCATCTTTGATATGTTAATCCACTGCACATGCATAACACAATTGTCACCATTCCCTACCTTTACACCTGACAGCATTTTTTTTTTTTTTTTTTTTTTGCTGTTGAAGCTTTATCACTTTTTTTTTAAACAAAGCGTGACGCTCTGGGTAATTAAAAAAAAATATATATTTATGTTGTTATTCACATAGAATGTATGTAATTTTTCTTTACGTTGCTTCTCTTTGCATTACGTTGCATTACGTTTCTTTATTTTTCCTTTTTCCTTTATGATACTTCTAAAAGAATCAAGGTATAATATTGATAAAGGAAGCCCCTACTTATGGAACATGAACTTCTTAAAGTGCAGAATTCATGTTTGTTCTTAAATTCTAATTTTTACATGTATACATAATTTCACAATTACGTATTAGTTTTTATAGTTTGAGCATGTTTTATCATTCTAAATAGAAAGAAGGGTTCAAAAGTGTTCTTTTTTTTTTTTTTTTTTTTTTTTTTTTTTTGTTTTATCCCTCAATACATACGTCGCTGATAGTACCAAATTGTTATCCAATTTTAACGCCTTCGTTGTGATAATACGAGCAGGTATCGCCTTATTTATATGCTTACATCTACGGTTAAAGAGACATTCGTATATACAACAAGGTAGAGGAATATACACTTCCATTATTGCACATGCACCTGAATGGCCACTTAATTTAACAGGAATGTGTAAGCATCTAATTAGTTTTGTATTATGTATTTTAATATCTATCAAGGAAATTATATGTTGGACAGATGAAGGACATATGTTAGTAAGTGCTATTGCATATAACCTACTGAATGAAGAAGAAAGGTTAGTACTAGATAAAATTTTTAAGAATTACAAAGAAGACAATGATTTCAACAACCCTATAACTGGAGCTGTATGGGCTGACCACATAAAACCAATTGATTATCACTATCCAAATAATGTTAGAAGAATAGGTGGTATTGATCTAATGAATAAATGGCATTATATAAACATACCATACAATCCAAAGAATGCTAAGATAAATGAATATCATAAACAGTATTACATAAAAACAGACAATGCTTTAACAGTGTTAAAACATATATTTACTTCATTAAAAAATGTAAAGAAAAAAGAAAACCATGGTACATTTTTTTCATATAATTTTAATTTAAGATATTTTATTCACATTTTTGGTGATGTACATGAACCACTACATACTATTAATTTTTTTAATAAAAATTTTACACAAGGAGATAGCGGAGGAACTCAAATTCATATATTGTATAATAATAAAGTAGAAAAATTACATTACTTATGCGATTGTGTTTTTCACACAAGAAGCAAGAAATGGCCAAATACAAAACCCGAAAAAATACTACAAGAAGCATATGGGTTAATGAAATTATATCCCCCTGATTACTTTGGAAACAGATTAAAAAATGACTTAAATGAATTAGAATATCTCGAGTTTATGATCAATGATAGTTACAATAAAGCTGTCGAAAGTATTTACTCGATCTTCCCTCTTGATACCTTAAACAAAAAAACTTCCTATGTTATAAATACTTTTTTTGTTATTAACCTAAAGAAAATATTAAACGAACAAATTGCTTTAGGAGGATACAGATTATCACACTACCTAAAAATTATGATAGCCAACGTTCCTACAGATCTCTTGCAATAGAATATGTACATATAATATATAGCAGAAAAAAAAAAAAAAACTTATCCCCAATGTGTTTATGCACGTTGTACTTGGTATTTCTCACGTCTTTCCCTCTCACGTTATTACTACTAAACAATGTGATACATCCGCAATTCTGTACATGTATATAAATTACCTCTTTCATTAATTGCCTTTAATCATTTGAAAAATTGTTTTCTTTTCATTTTTGTTCTCATTTTTTCTCCTTCCTGATTTGCCCTAACATAACGCATAAAAGAGTAAATCATATTTCAACTGATATAAAAATAGTTACCCATTTTGCAACTCTACCTATTTTATTTTATTTTTTTGTAAATTTTTGCACCACAAATGATAATCATATTATTTATTCAACTTGTTGTTCTAGTTTTATAACATGTGTACATAATTGTTCATATGGAATTCATTCATGATAGCATGTGTAGGTAAAAGTGGACACACGCGATTATTTTATTCTTGTTTTTTTTATTTTATTTTTTAATTTTATTTTATTTTTACTATTTTTTTTTTTTTTGTGTAGCTCATTATATATATATACCTCTTTATGTGGAAGCACAGAAATAATTGTCTTTTAAAATAATATATAATATGTGCAAAAAAAAGAAGTAACATTTTTTAATAAAAGATTTTTCATAAGCATATTTATGCTTCTCCCGTTTTAATGAATCTAAAGTATTGTATCTTGTTATCATTCTTCTTCAATTTTTAAAATTTAAAAAAAAAAAAAATGTAACAAAAAATAAGGCAGAATAAAACAAAACTGAAGCAGTAGTAACAATGGAAAATTGTCTAAAATTAAACATTGAAAGTGGGGTGTATTCTCACTTTTATTTTATCATAAATAATTACATTTTTATGTTCCTGAATATCATTATGAAAGAGAAAATGGAAAATACTCCTGGAGAAGTGTACACATGTATCTTCTTCCTTTACGCTTATTGTATGCGCATTGGCATGCATACAAATATGTGTATGTGCATACCTATTCGTATACATTTCGACGAATGTGTGTAATTCTGGGAATGCATCGATTTTGTACTTTGAATGTGTGCAAAATTCTTAATGGTTCCCTGTGCGCGAATTTTTACTGACGCATACACAGAATTTATAATTAAAAAGTTGTCCGTGCAATGTTATTTTATGGAATGGCATTATTTTGAATTGATTTTCCCCCCCTTATATATATATTTTACTTCTTTTTATTATTTATTGTTTTTTTTTTTTTTTTATTATTATTTTATTTTTTTTTATTTTATTTGTTTTTTTTTACCCTATGATTTTGCCAGTGCATTGCAGTGAAGATGTTTTTTATGTGAAACGTTTTAATTTCAGAACACATCCCCCTTGATCATTTCTATTTGCGCATAAAGGCTGTATACAATTTAACAATGCTGGTAAGTACAAATAAAAATTCAACTTTGTCTAATTATTGCTATAATGTGTATGTTTGCATACATTTTTGTTCATTTTATAAAGGAACCTCATTTTCAGTTGTTTGTTAAGGAGGCATAGTTGTAAAATAGCAAAAAGTAGACTTATTTTTTTTAAAAGAAGTAAATAATAGTGATAAAAAAAAAAAAAAATTGTATTTAGTTTGGTATACCTATATTATCAACACTTCTGTAACATTTTAAAGGAATTATTTCATGTTGTGTTGTGCGTAAACATTTTATTTACAACATGAGGGTGCATGTTTTTTTTAAAATTTTTTGAGTTTATTTAGTTATTTTGTTTCTACCTCTTTTTCCAAATATAGATTTTTTTTTTTTTTTTTTTTTTTGTCCTCACTTATTCGTAGCAATTTCTTTTTAGTAGTACGAAAATACTAAATGCTGATATATAACAGTTTGAATGATACCTACTTTAAAATTTAGCTAGTTGTGCAATCCCAACATTGATTAACATTTCCATTTTTTTTTGATGATATACATTTGTTTTTGAAAGAATATACATATATGTATATATATATGTGTCTATGTCTAGGCCTATTTCTAGACAGCTTTTATATTTTCCCATGTTAGAGCAGCTATGCGAAGTTATTGTATCCCTTTCATCAAAACTTATTGTATGCGCTTATTATGCTTTTTTTACTGGAGTTCGCAAAAGTAGAAAAAGGGATTCAATTTTTTTCCTTTTTTCCTTTTTTTTTGACTTGATACTTTATTCGCAGGAAAAATCTCATTATCGTTTTTGCAATTTTGACTGCTTATATATATCCATGTTTAATTGCCTATGGTTTTTGCTTATCTATGCTTTTGTGCATATCTCTTAAATGTAATGCACATACATTTATATATATATATATATATATATATATTTTATTATCATTACTCTTTTACAACCGTTGTAACGAAAATATTTAATTTATTCTGTTTTAAACTCTTTTTTAATTTAAAAGTTTTGAAAAATATTTTTTCCATATCAATTGCACATGTGTAATGAACATATGTGTACGTTAAATTTTCGCTCTTAATGATGGCACATTTAATCAAGTATGACTACTTTAGGGATTATTCAGTTTTATGCTAAATAAGCAATTGTGCTTTTAGGCTTTAACATTTAACATTTAGCATTTTTGTGTCTATTTTTTTTAAAATCTTACTTACCTTGTTCAATAATATGAATAAACACATATATACATACACAAATAAGTAAACACCCATCAAGTTTGCCATCTATCGCGATGAGAAATCCGATTGTGTTGCTATTATTTTATACATTAATTTTTATTCAAAGGGTTGTCAGCTGGTCTGATGAACCACATATGCTCATAAGTTATATTGCGTATTGTAATTTAAATGAAGATGAAAGGGAGATTCTTGACAGAATTTTTGCACATAGTGTAGATTCTAATTTCAATAACATTATAAGTGGATCAACATGGCCAGATCATATAAAAATGCAGGATCCAAGAAGAGCTCATTTACCTTTCCCGTTTGAAAGACGTGAAATATTAGACATTTTTAATGACTGGCATTATGTAGCAACACCATATAATCCTACTAGAGAATACATAAATCCTAAATATTTATATGGACATTTGGGAAAACATAATGCTGCAGGAATATCAAAACATATTTATAGAACACTAGTAGGTATTGACAAAAAACCCCAATATGGATCCTACTATTCTTATAATTTCTATTTAAAATATTTTATCCATTTATTTGCTGATATTCATCAACCATTACATACAATTACTTTTTTTAATAATCATCTTACACGTGGCGATAAAGGAGGAAATTTTGTTAGTATAAGTTACAGAGGGTTGGTAGGAAATATCCATTATTTGTGTGATAGTGTATTTAATACAAGAAGACGTAGATGGCCTGATGTGGATTTAGATTATATCAAAAGAGAATCTCTTAGTTTGATGAATTATTATCCTCCTCGTGTATTTAAAGGACTACTAAAAATGCCAAGAGATAAGATAGAATATATAGACACTATTGTACATGATGCTTATGATTTAGCTATTGAATATATTTACAGTAAATTGCCAATTCGAATGATATCTAGGAGGAGAGTATTCCCTGTTAATAATTCTTTTGTAATACAATTAAAAATGGTTCTCAATAAGCAAATAGTGTTGGCCGGATACAGATTATCATACTATTTAAAAGACATTATTAGTAACATTCCAAATGATTTGTAGATCCTCAGCTATGTGCCTCTCTTTATCAATCAAATGCTATGCAGGAGCAGATACCGTCCTCGCTTATTTCCGTTATGCTCTTACTGTGTCATGTCATCTCCACAGGTTTGTGCACACTCTAACCGATGTCACAGGGAATGTCAGTGTCAAGGGGAATGGCATTGTCAAAGGGAATGGTAGTGTCAAAGGGAATGGCAGTATCAAAGATAATTTCAAAGTATAAGTATAGCTTTAGCGTTTACTATGGAAATGGAACGTTTACGCATGTTTTGAAAATTTCCGTTTAATATTCCTTGCCCTTTACATAGGGATTTTCTTCCTTATATTTTGCTTTATAAAGAGAACATTTATATTTCCCTTTTTTCTTTTTTTTTTTTTTTTTTTTTGTATACATAAACACATGCACGAATGTATATTTTCTCATAAATATTTCTCTCCTATGCTTCTCCCGATTTTCCAATTCACGTGCCCAAGGCACAGAATATATCCAATTTTTTATATTTTTGTTTTATTTTTTTGTATAATTTAATGAATTTCGATAATTTTACAAAGAATGAGATTCCTTTTTTTTTTTTTTTTTTTGTGCTATTTAAATTTGTGGAAAATACCGAATAGGGACCAACAATAAAAGAGTTAAAATTAAAGTGGGGTGATCGAGTTAACTTTATATGCTAATTCATTCCAATTACGTTCTCTTTTTGTGCCATAATTTATTTAGAGGAAGAACAACAAAAAAAAAAAAAAAAAAAAAAAAAAAAAAAAAAAAAACACCGAATATCTCTGTTTCTAAGGAGAAAAATTAAAGTCTTTTCTCTGCAGTCAGAATAAAATAATATCAACCATGGAATTAGCACATGGATTGTATCATCAAATTAGTTAAATTTATTGTTGCCACAAAACATTTTTGTACTTTACACAATTTTATTTTTTTCTTGACCTCTATGTTTTACAAAAAATACAAACAAAATTTAAATTTCATTATTGAGAATTTTTACACCCCTAGTGTTATAAAGAGAAAATATAGAGTTTACCCCCATGTATAATTTTTTTATATTCGATGCATTGAAAAGCTTTCAAGTCTTGTGTGCAAAAAAAAAAAAAAAAAAAAAAAAAAATACACAAATTAAAAAGTATGTATATTTAAGTAATATTCCCCATTTGGGGGATTTGGGGGACCACTCATCGAATCAAAACCTTTTTACATATTATTCAATACATGCACAAAAATTTTGTGGAGAATAAATGTAATATCTAAAATAAAAAAAAAAAAAAATAATAATAATAATAATAATAATAACTAAATAATCTCACTATATTTTGGCATCACCATCTGTTAATTTATTCAAAGTGATAAAATAGTGAAGAAGAAATAAGTACACATAAGAAAAGGGTTGCAAAGGCTAAAAAGATTTATTAACATTCATATAAATGTGCAAGTATAACTGTTTTCATAAATTAGGTACACATATACATATGTCCTTCTGACATTATTTACACATTTGCTCATACCCATCTAGAACCTTTTCAGAACAAACAAACATTCGAAAATGTACCTACACATTTAGTTCAATTAAGGAAAGGGAAAGTATTAATAAATCCGTTACAAAAAAAAAAAAAAAAAAAAAAGTCGCGAAAAAGTCTAGTTATCCAAAGTATCTCTTGCTTTCAATGTTAAATAATTAAGTAAAATAAAAAAAATAAATAAAAAATAAATACAAAGGCAAAGGAAAAGGAAAAGGCAAGTGAAAGATACATATATACACACCCACAACCAACGTCCACACAAAACATATGTTTCTGAAGGGAAGAGCAAGTTGTACATTAATACTACACACCTTTGTCATATTCTTCAACGCGCGAATTTGTGCTTTTAATTTTTTTTTTTCCACCTTGCTGCACCTTCAAAATGAATATTCTTACGCAAATAGATGATGTCTTTACAAATTATATAAAAATTCATGGACCCACGGAAGTAGATTCCTACTGGGATGAGGGAATTGTGGTTAACAAGTACATCCATTTGGGAACTGGGAGAGGAAAAATTGCAGAAAATGGTGCAGGAACAAATGACAAACCAAATTTCCAACAAAATGGAGCCCAGAGCCATATTGATTTAGAGGGAGAAAGGAGAAAAGACCTAGAGAATCATAAATCGATGAATGAAACGCATGTTACGAAAAAAGAACAAAATGAGGTATATGAAAAAATATTCGCCGCCTCAAATTTATGCGATGAAAAAAATTCCACTTTGGGAGAAATAGATTCAAAAAAAGAAAATCTATCTTCTAGTAACGGCATGATTGAAGAATGCTTGTGCTTAAATAAAATTAATAACTTGGATGAACTTAAAGATATAGCATTAGTCAGATGGACATGCATGGTTCAGCAGATAATTTCTCCTGAAAGTTATTTAGGAATTTATAAGTTAATAAATAAAAAAAATGGACAAATTATTTTAAAGAGCTCAAAATATAGGGACTATATTGATACAGATGAAAATTGGGAAATAATTGAGGATGATGAAAAAAGAAATATTGATGAATATTATGAATCAAATTACGAACAGTACTGCAATAGGGAGAACCAGGAGGATGCAATAAAAAATAAAATTAATCAAACGGATGATAAAAATATTCAACTATGCAACAATTTAAACCTCACAAGAGCAGGAAAAAACGAAAACAATAATGGATATGATGAATTAGATCAAAAAATGTCGCCACAAAATAATTATCACACAAAAAAAGAAGATTATATAATGCAGAGTAAAAATGATTCTATACAGATATGTGGAAATGATAATAATTTTAAAAAATATTGGAAAAGATATTTATTTTTATGTACCAACATTCCTGGAAATAAAAGTTCTTGGTGTAAACAACTGTGTGACTATTCTTCATATAACAGCAGCTGTGAGAACTTTTTAAAAAGTATAAATGATGTTAGGAATGTTTGTTCTTATACGTCTATGTCCCACTCTTGTGGTTTAATTAAAGACAATTATAAATCCAATGATGGTTCTCATTATCCCATTGGTGGCTCTCATTTTCCCACTGATGATGTACAGAGTTCGAGGGAAACGATATGCAGCAGTGATTTTGAAGCGGAAGAAGATAGGGCAAATGATCATCCTACTGATAGTAGCTTAATAAACATGAATCCAAAGGATGATCAAAATGAACAGTCTTATGACTCACAAAAAAAGAACAAAATAAGATGTATAATAAAAATATACGATGATAATAGTCAATACAACGGGAAAAATGAAAATAATTTTTTAAAACTGAATGACATAATTGAAATTATCGGAATTTATCGCAAACATCAAATAAGGGATTATGAAGATTGTGAAAAAAATTTTAATTTTTATTTTTATTATGATCAAAACTTTTTAAAATATCCATGTATTCATGTATTTCAGTATGTCAAAATAAACTATTTTAATCCTTTAAGTAGTTGTATATTGTTTAAAAATGAATTGTCCAATATTTTGGAAAACGGCCCTTTTGGCACCATCAGCGAGTTGAGGAAGCACCTTCTTCTACACATTTCAAACAGCTTTTCTCATGACTTGTTGGTTGCTCATTACTTTTTCTTTTATTTGTGTGGAAGTTACATTAAAGAAAGTAAACTAAAACTAGGTAAAATTAGTCTCAATATTTTTAACATTTCAAATGAGGAAAATAAGAAAAATGTACCAGACTTAACTGCAAAAATGGAAGAGACACCCAAGAAAATTACGAACGAAGTAGCCAATGACACAAACGAGAATATAACACAAAGTTTGAAAAATTATGAACATAAAAAAGGGACAAAAGATAAAAAAGTACAATGTATATCAAGTGAAACATTAAAAATAGTAGAATTTACTCCAAACGAATTCCACAAAAAGTGTGAAAAGGATTCAGAGATGAAGGGAAAATGTAAAAAGGAGAAAAAAAGAGACTACCCATGGCATGTTCACAAAATGAACACTATGATTAAAAATTTAGTACCATTGTATAGATATATTCCACTTTCTATAGAAAAGTTAAGCAGTGAATATTTAATGTCTGTAATGAATCATGAAAATGGAGAATTGAAAAAAGGAAAATTGCAATTAGCAAATAATACGTATTTAGTTTTTGACGAATGTTTATTAGAAACGGGAAAACTTAATAACATAAGTACAAAAAATTTTCTTTGTATAGAAAGGTTAATTACTTCTCAAGAAATTGCATTTATTTTTAACACAGATATTACATTCGAAACGCAAAATAATATTTTAATCTTGTCAAAAAAAAAGTCCATGTTTGTAAATTATGTGGATATACCTATCCCCATATATCACAAAAGAGGAAAGGGATATATTCCTAAAAATCAAAATGCAATTAGTTTGATAAACAAAACAGAAGAAAATGAAAATGAAAAAAACAAATTAAATGAAGAAAACATTTCCAAGAATGGTAAGCAAAAGAATGAACAAAACACGGAAGGACGTGCTGATGATGACACAGAAAATTGTTCCAATACAAATGAATCTGCAAGTAGCACTAGGCCAAAATTTTCAACTGAATTTATTAACACTTATAAAAATTACAAGCCTAATGAAAACGAATTAATGCAATTTAGAAGATACATAAATTATATATTGTCAAAAAATCATTCGGCAAAAATCCATCCAAACATAACAACATACATTACGGATTCATTCGTGTCTCTTCGACAAAAAGGCAAGGATATAAACCAGTTTGTTTTAAACTCTTGGATATGCATGGCTAGAATTTTAGCCTTTTCAGATGGGTCTGATGAAATAAATAAGGGTCATTGGGACTACATCATGAAGCTAGAAGCAGAGAGGAGACTCAGGCTTAGTCACCTCGATGTTCTCTACGTTTAGACTTTACACGTGCTATTTCGATAGTCCATATGTGAGATCATTTTTTCGATCATTTTTTCGATCATTCTTTGGATCATTCTCTCCAACATTTTTATTAACTCCTCTGTTTTTCCCACGATGTGCTTCTTCTTGTATGCCATTCTTATTTTATATGCTTCTTTTCCCTTTTTTCTTTCCTGCTTACAAAATATTTTTACTCGTATTAATATCAGAAAATTTTATACAATGTGTGCCTTCATCCCCTGTCCACCCCCATCCTCTTTTAAGCAAAATTTTTATGTCATTAAAGTTTTATGCTCGTCCAGAAAAGAGCATTCAAACAGATACAATAATGTATTTCTATGTAAATGTGAAATTTTCCTAATGTTTCTTCGAATTTCCTCATATTGTGGTAGTTCCAATATATAGCTTTTTACCGCAAGAACTACACAACTCAGTCATACTGAAACGTGCTTTGTAAAAGTATATGATGTAAAACATTTCAAACTATTAATATATTATGTGTTTAAATCTAATTTTCACTTGTAGTAGTGTATGGCAATGTATGTAGGTATTCACATCTCGACATGTCTAACTACTCATGCATGTGTGTCACTTGAGGAAACGCATCGGTTTTCACTTTCTTAGTTATAATTCATTTGCCTCATAGCGGTAATTACTCTAGGATGACAAAAAATAAGTTATTCAAGTACAGTGAATTGGTAAATTTGTTTCTTATTAAACATTTTAAATCATTGATGTCTTTGGTGTCATCCACTAACAAATCCGTAATGAAGAAAAAGTTCAGGTTGAAATTTTTTTCATCATTAATACTGTTCACGTTCAAGTCTAAGTTGTTATTCTTGCCAATCTGATGATGCATATGCATACTAATTTTTGAATTCTTAAAATCTAAATATGGAGGCGTGAACACTTCTTCCGGGAGTTTATTCTCTGAGGTTCCAAAATAATTCTTTAATGACCTGTTGGGAAAAAAAAAAAAAAAAAAAATAAAATAAAGGAATAGCACAAGCGACCAAATGTGGAACTGCTTAGCTTGGAAGAAAGAAAAAATAATAAAATTAAAAAAAAATAAAATAAAAATACTTATCAGTGACATTCTAGTGCTCGTAGCTCATTTGGTTTACCATAATTCCGGGACTACAAAATTTCGTAAGAGAAATTCGTTGGATATATTTTCATATTTATTTTCATCTTCACTAATGTTTAAATTAAAAATGAATGGATATTTCAATATCATAGATTTTACTATTTTTTTCTTTATTTCAGGAGTACATGGCAAATTGCAATTTCTTAGCTTTTCTAAAAATTGAATGTCTATTTTGATCTTGGATAATTCTTTTTCAATTTTTTTTTGAGCATCAATAAGATCATTATGTTTGGGAGGATCCACATCATTAGGGACATTTACTTCTGAACACGACATGTTCATTTGTTGATTGGATTTTCCTCCTGTTTGTTTTTTTTCTTGCATATTTTTAGTTTTCCTCTCCTCATTTTCATTTAGATCACCACCCTTTGCCTTCTCAAAAAAATATCCTTCATTTTTCATTTTTGGAAAACTTTCTCTTTCAGCAGAACTTTCTGTTTCACTGGAAATTATGGAATATTCACAGGACTCGTTTTCAGAATCGACATAAATATTTACATACTTGTTCACCAATTTATGTATTTCATTTTTTCTCCTCTCTTCTAACTTGTAAAATGTGTCTTCATTGCATATGTCAGAATTGAACTTCTCACTGCTGTCATTACTACTACCAACCTTTGACAATGCTTCAGTCACATTTTCTTCCTTAAAATCATTCGATTTATTGGCATTTTTTATGTACTCTTTTAGGTCACTTTCGCTACTTCCTTTACTTTCATTTTTCGTTATGTTTACTTTATTCAGAGAATGAGTATTTGAGTTGTGTAAATCACCATCATCATCCTTCGTTGACTTAAAGTTATCGAAACTGTTAGTAATGATGGACATGCTCGACCTAAGGGGTAGGGTTGAAGAGACAGACGTTTGTGTCGTGTAGGATGATTTTGAACAGTTGGAAAAACTTTCATCGCTTGAATTTATTGCCCCATTTGAAAATTTAGAAGAAATAGAAGTGTTAGAACTGGGAGATTTGCAATATCCCTCCGAACTGCTAGAATAACTAAATTCATTAGAACTGCTATCACTTTCTCTATCTTGAAATTCTTCCAATTCTTCACTATCTAAGCGCGTAGAGTTTTTAGAAAACGCACAATTAGGACCCTTGTAACCTACATTGGTTTTTTCCCCTCTACTTTCTTTTTCACAATTTTTTTTGATGTTGTCAAAAATAAGCTGATCAGATTTTATATCGCCGAATAATTCGTGAAGGCTAAAATAATAACTTAGAAATATAAATTTAGACAAATTAAAATTCCTGTATTTCTCGATGAAACTTTTAGAGCACATGATAAAAGGAACTTTATTAAACTTATTTTTAATAATGTCAGCAAATTTTTTTAAATGATCTTTTAAAAAATTAAAAGGAAGGACTATTAAATATATCATTTTTTCACTACTAATTATGTCTGTTTTCAGAAGGTTCATTTTTTTATTTTTTTTTTCCAATTGTATAACATCTATCCATTCTCCATACTGATTAAGAAATTTATTATTATAAAAGTCTCCCTCGAATGTGAATATTTTATTTTTATATGTACCTTTTCCGTTCATATAATTATTAACCCAAGTTCCCTCATAACTGGACTGATTAAAACTCCATTCATAATATCCCCATCCATTTTTTGCATTATTTTCATAATATCCAAAATAGATATTTTTATTTATATATAAATTAAATCCTAAACCACTTTTTTTATTATTTTTCCAATTTCCAATAAACTTATTTACAACGATATCTTCCCCAAAGGCGTTTTTTTGTAACGTTATTAAAATGCCATATCCATCCTTTATATATTTATTGGATTTTTTTTTATTCTTTTTGTCTGTTTTTGCTCTGTTAGATGTGAATTCTTTAGTTTCGATTTTCTTAATATCTTCATTTTTATTTCCCACAGAATCTATGTCCTTTTCTTTTGATTCATGTGCGTCACTGCTCTCTGTGATGATTGGAAGGAGAAAGTGGATGAACACGAATAGGATAAAATGTCTTTTGTGCTGGTGTTTTGGTACATACTTATACAAATGACAACACACAGTGCATAGTGATGCCATTTTTCAGTTGATGGAAATGAAAGCAAGACAAAATTGATGGAGAAACACTTTTTCTTTCTTTCATGCTTTTATTCACTCTTTTTTTTTTTTTTTTTTATTAGGCACTTCATGCATGCACAAAATGAGGACTTAATTTTTCTTCCTTTTGAAAAAAAAATAAAAAAACAGATGAAGTGCCTATTTTTGAATATATCAGATTATATTAACTAAAACGGCACATAATAGAGAACATTCATTTTTATTCAAAAATATCAAATATATGAATATATGCTACGTGAAAACATATGAAATGTCTACTTTTAACTTGCCCAATATAGATATAGTTACAGGACTTGAAGCACTTTACGCTTTTGTAATTAAATATATTTAAAAACTCCTCTTTTTCATTAACTACAAAATTTATGGGGTTCATTTCTCTCCCACTATTTTCCCTCATTTGCTTCAGATACAAAAGTATGTATTTTTATCCCTTCCCCGTGGTACGACAATATGTGTAAAAAAAAAAAAAAAAAAATGTTGCAAAAAATATTTTTAAGACGAGGTGTTCTCTTTTGAGAAATATAAATGTACACTATGTTTATGTTAGATACACATGAGAGAACTTTTTTCATTGAAAAAAAGGAATTAGATTTTTATTAATTTTTTTTTTCTCCTCGCACTTTACAAATACATTTTAGCTCAAATTTGAGATTATAAACATTTTGCAGAATCTATAAGTTGATGTCGTTAGGATATAAGTATCTTCACACATTGTTTATATATTGTCTAAAAATATATATACATTCTTACAATTTCTCGTATAAAGCATGCTTGTACATACTTTATAGTAAGAAAATACTTTCTGTAATTTAAAAAGTGGGATGCAAAAATCTTGGTGCCTATATAAACAAATTATGTTTCGGCAGAAGTAAATGTATATATAGAGACAAGGAAGAACCATTTTTTTTTTTTTTTTTCCCCCTTTTTTATTTAACTCACCATATTTAGTAATTTAATATAGCATTAAGCATATTAACTTATTTGATATCAAGGAGAGAAAAATAATATCATATTTATTCCCTCTAAATATAGACATGCGCACACAAGTTTACTCAGATGTGTGCATTAGGTATATATCAAGCCGTTATGAAAGAAGAAAATTTAAAAAAAAAAAAAAAAAAAAAATGTGCTCTATATTTGTGACCTACAAGCATTTTTTTTTTTTTTTTTTCTTTAAGGTGTTCTACTTTTATAGAACGTTTTTTTCCAATTAGCTTATATGATTAATTTTATTTTATAAGAACCCCCCACTTTGTCATATAAAATGTAAATCCCAAAGGGTTACTTCTTTTTCACATTTCAATGAAATTCATCAAGACCGTTTGTTATTTGTTCATTCACTAAATGGAGATACTTCCACATGCAATTCTTTTCACTTTTATAATGACATATCTTCATATGATATATCATTTCTTTTATTTAATTTGTTGTGAGGAATAATTATGTAAGCCAACAGATGGGTGATATCTACCATTGGTTTATACGCACATGTATAACCTATTCATTTACGAATATAAAGGTAAAATGTATGCTCAATTTATAAAATAAAAAGTTGTTTGTATATATATATATATATATATGTATGTGTGTGTGCTTTATTTTTTTTTTTTTTTTCCTTTTATTTTTATAAGATCTCTACCCTTTTCTTACATAGTAAATGTAAATGACACAATGAATATGTATAAAAAACATGATAAAATGCACTAATAAATGCGTAGTTATTAAAATGGACAATTGGTGTTTAATTATTAAATTTGTTTGTTCAAAAAAAAAAAAAAAAAAAAAAAAAAAAAAAAAAAAAAAAAGAGGAGTAGTAATAGGAGTAGTAGTAGGAGGTGATGGAGAAAGGAAGGTGCAAAGAAAGGGTGATAAAGCAAAAACTTAAAGGAAAATACACGAACGTGCACTAAAATATGCTAAACTTAGCGAAATTGAAATGAGATAAAACTTCGTAATAATAGATGCTCTTATTTACTACTTCCTTTGTCCTATCCGTTTAACCAATGCAAAATCTGAATAAATCATTAAAAACTGCAAAAGAAAAAAAAAAAAAAAAAAAAAAAAAAAAAGAAAGATATAAGCAAAAAATGTGGCGTGAATTCTTGTGTGCAAACATTTTATACAAAATTGTAAATTCATAAAAGAAACAAATTTGTAACGCTTCATATATTAAAGTAATTAGGAGACACTATATAATTGCCCTTGTACATATATAATCGGTGTTAAAAAAAAAAAAAAAAAAAAAAAAAAAAAAAACAGTTACTGAAATATCCTCCACTAGGTAATGGGAAAAGGTGGAAAGTTCTAACAAATTTGATTGGCTTATTCTCCTCAATAATAATATCACCACAAACTAAAATTAAAATGCCATTATTGGGTGTCGGTTGAATATCTAGGCTTAGACATTTGTGAACAACTGTAGGTGGCAATTTATTCAGTCTTTCAATTATCTGACTTGTTCCTCTACATTGATCATTTTCAAAACTCATCATACTAATGTCTTTATACAGTGCCGCTAGTTCATTCCTACGATTATGTTGAGTAAAGGGTCATGATAGTGAAATATAACATGTATGGTATACATATGTGTGAGCATGTGCATATATGCAAAAGTTTTTATTCATAAAGGGGGACCCAACTTCATTTTTATTTTTTCCTTCTTTTTCTTTTTATTTCTTTCATTCGTTCATTCGTTCATCCGTTCATCTGCTCATCTGCTCATCTGCTCATCTGCTCATCTGCTCATATTTTTCTCTTTTTTTTTTGTTTTTCCAATCCCTTTTTTGGGAGAATTCGGGAAAAATTATGTCGTTTGCTTTGTTTTCTAACCTTCCTGTGTTAAATAGCTGAAAGTAGTGATTCACAAACTCCTTTCCAATTTCTTCGAATTGGGGATTTAGCATATCCATTTTTTGCAAATAGAGGTGTAAAAATTAAAAAAAAAAAAAGTTTGAACAAGTGTAAAAATGAGTTCTTGTGTATTCTAATATTAAAAATATCCTAGTATAAAAAAAGGATATAAAAATGGTATTCTCGAGTTTTAATTTTATATTTATAAGTTGTAGTAATTTGATGCAAAATGTGCTAATGTATATGTATACACAATATTATTAATGCCCTATCGAAGCGATATGTAGGCTTGGAGATTTATTGCATGACTTATTTTTGTATTAAATATGTTTGTGAACTTAATGAAGTTTATTTCATTCTTTCATAATTTTCGAAATTGTAAACAATGGGGTCAGTTGTTTTTCCCTATAAGTTGTTTATTTAAAAAGGGATATATAAAATAAAGATAAAATATATATACAAATATGTATATACATATATATATATATATATATATGTATAAATGTATAGTACGCGTTTATGTATTACCAACGGGATGCTGTACCATTTATTTTACAAAAATTATTATAACACAGTTCATTTTTTAATACGTGCTCAAATTAGATATAAAATATTAAGTTAAGATTCTCGAAAATGAAAACGTATAGAGGAGATTACTTTGCGTGAATTTCTTTTTATCTTCCATGTAATATTGTGTATAAATTTATACGTAACTTTTTTTAAGTTCGCGAACAGGGGTTCATACGATGAATATGAAGTAATTTCTAATTTTGTTCAATTAAGCATAAATATGTGCATATGTATATGTGTGCCATAAACTATTTACATATTTTTGCTTAACATGTTTTCATACTGCTTTGTGTGCCCATTACGTGCGTTTACTTTTTCACAGACCAGGTTACAACATTTCAAAGTCAACGCTAATTTTTGTTTTGTACATAAACAAGATGAACCCTTTCTTTAGTACCTCACCTTAAGGATTTACTTAATGTACATATATATAATTCTCACACAAATTGCATATAAATCTTCCAAATTGTAGATTCATTTTAAAAATTATAATTCAACTAGTTTATCAAGGTGTATACATAAGAAAGTTAATATATGCGGATGCATTAATATATGTGCAAAAATTAAAAGTGAAAATTTGCCACTCTGTAAGGGGGAAAAAAAAAATATATATGTATTATATACATATTGAAATTTGAGGTGAAAAAAAAGTAACAAAATTTAGTAATTAGTAAACCTAATTTAGTATAGAAAAACCCAACTCCTTTTTTTCCTTTACATTCTTATGCATGTTTTTTTTTTTTTTTTTTTACGTTTCAGCAAATGTGTCAATATAACCTGTAACATCACAAAACTCGACAGTGCAAAGGGTGGGGAAACACATATATGTTTATGTTAACGCTTATCATGTATTATTTTCGAAAATTTTCTATTGTGTGTAATACATCATTTTAGGAATAATTCTTATTTGAAAAGTTAAGCAAGGGGTGTTATATTTTTCCCCGCACAACAATAATATAATATTCCCTGACCTATTCACACAAATGTGTACGTTCAAATGGTTTATATTTTTCCTAATGATAAATCGTATAGAGGTAAGGAAAAAAAAAAAAAAAAAAAAAAATTTTATTTAGAGCCATTGTTCTTGTACCTATTCCTATGTATAACCTGTTCGGTATAAATAAATACGCTTCTGACATTAGTGCACATGGCTTATGATTAATATTTCTCGATTGTGGAGAATAACATTTGATACAATGAAAATTCTTCGTATGCCATGTCCCAAGTGTATAAATACATATGAGAGAAAAATTAATAAAACAGTTTCTTTAGTAATTCAAGGGAAAAATTATACACACCACATATCTATACAATTCGATAATTATATGTGTGTAACATTACAATACGTAGTTGTAGAATTTTTCATCACCCCCATTATTTATACCTAAGGGATAAAATAACTCTCCTTGTTTTCTTATCTCGAAATAAGCTATTACTCCTTACAATTTGTACCTCCAATATTTTTTCACAAAATGATTTGTTTACTACTATTATTTTATTTCATTTTTTGAAACACTCATAGTGTTCATATGAAATAATATTTCAATGAAAGTTTGCAACATCCATGTATTTTAAAAACAAGGAGGGAAAAAAGTGCAAATCAATTCATTTGAATCATTCCCTCAGTTATGTTCCTTTGTTTTGTGAGGGTCAGACAATAAATAGTATAACTCTATAGTTTAAAATGGAAAAGTAAAATAAAATAATAACATATGCAGGTTGTATAAAAAGAGTTATTGTTAAAATACTTGCACTTATGGTCTTATTCAAAATCTTAAGGGAGCACAAAATTTAGGATGCACATTTCAATGCGTGCATGTAAGACACATTGACATATATATGAATGTGCAGAATATACACAGTAAATTATCACCAAATATGCCTTTAAAAACATATATTGTAAAATAATTTAAAAAAAAAAATGTACTACAATGGATGAACGTCCTAGTGGAATGCCCGAAAAAAAATTGGATCACACATGCTATAAATCTTACAGTAGAAACGGAACATCGTATTTTTGCATTTTTAAATGCCAGGAACAAAAAAGGAAAAAAAAAAAAAATTAGCAAAATTAGGTAAAATTAGGCAAAATTAGGCAAAATTAGGCAAAATTAGGCAAAATTAGGCAAAATTGGGCAAAATTAGGCAAAATTGGGCAAAATTAGGCAAAATTAAACAGATTGAAAGGTAAGGAAACATAACGGAATGCCAAAAAAGTCAATGAAATGTGAACAAAAACAAGAGGATCATTAAGTTAAATTTATCTGTATACGAGAAAAAAAAAAAAAAAAAAAAAAAAAAAAGGAATGGGAAAGTAACGTTGAATTAAAAACGCTTCTATCATTTACAAGACAATCCAAGCACTTTTTTTTTCCCCTGCAAATACACACCCTTTCCATCATACCTAGTTCTCACCACATTTCTTATCTTTCCTCAGTATTTGTTCAATGCGAAGAGAAAGTAAGACGGAATATACAAAAGGGTGTTTTTTTTTTTGCCGTATTTAGATCTTTTATACATCTTATTAAAATCCTTTTCACAAATATTATAAATGTTATATGCATCTAAATAATTTATATTCGTATAATGTATATTTGTGTCACGCATTTGTATATATACATTGTTTTGAACATGATCCGAAATACCTTCTATTTTAAAATTATATTTTTGTAATTTTTTCAAAATTTTTATTTGAAACCTGGAAATTTTCTTATAAAATTGTTTTTTCAGTTTTTTAAATTCTCTTTCATCAAATGAGTTCCTATTTATACTGAAAAGGTTAGGCATATTCATTATAATATTGCATTTCTGCTTTGTCTGCAAGGGAATTCCTTCAGAGCTCGTGCATGGGAAATTGTTCCCGTTAAGAATACTGGAAATACACTCATCATGTTTGTCAAAGGTTCCTTCTCTACCCATGTCACGGTGTATGCAAGTCTTCATACAGGAACAACTATTACTACACATGGCTTTACATATATTTCTAGGAACAACACACTGATCCAATGTGCAATAGGGAGAAACGAGGTTATGTAGATAAGCATTACCCTCACTCAATTTGTTGGTCGTCAACTTTCTGTTCAGGTTCTGGGAAGTCGAATTACTATTTATTTTGTTGCTATCAAAATATTTTGATATTATTTCTCTACTTAAGGCACCATCACGCAATGTTATTTCACCCATGAATGAATTCGATAACTCTTCCCAATTTGAAAAATGATGATCTATGGTTGTTAGATTTTTCAAATAAAGATCATAGCAAGTTTGAGCATTTTTTTTTTTTTTTTTGTTTTCCTCTATACATTGTATGTAATATTCCTTTTGGTAGTAACTTAAAAAAATAAATAAAATTTGTTTTGAATAAATATTTCTGAGAAGTGAGTTATTATATAAACATGTCTGCTTATCACTAAAATATTTCACATATATATAATAATTATTATAATATCTTAATGTTAAATTAAATAGTTGATAATAAAAATAAATTTTGAATGGATGATTTTTATTTAAGTTAAGTATTGAAAAGGTGTCTTTTCTTTTTGCAATTTTAAAAACAATCTTTTTTTGAAGTGCATATATAGGAAGGTAATAAAAAATATACTTTTTTATATTACTTAAGAACCTTTTCTTATAATATTCAGAATGTATAATAGTTGGTCTATAACCCTTTGTTAAATATAGTACACTTTTGCTAAAATTTTCTACTGATTTATCCCATGTATATGGTCTTAAATAGTCAATAATTTTGAAAATAATTACAAAATTTGCAATATCTATGTGTATAAGTAATGAATAATCCATTATATCTTGTCCAGATAAAAATTCCGTATCTTCTTTCAACGAATCCATTAAATATTTATAGTCATTATATTCTAAATTAATTACGTTCGACTTAATGAAATCTTTGAAATTATCATCAAATAGGATGGTATAACTTTTGAGAGAGTTGTAATTATTTATTACGAAATTATTATATTTTTCCTGAGAATTTAAGCTCTCCAAATTTTTATTTTCCAAAGGTTCATTATTTAAAAGGTTGTATGTTCCATCTTTAACGGAATCTGTTGTACCTTCACCTCTAACTTTGTGTTTGATTAAATTATCTTTATTCAAAATGTACTCCTTTTTTCTTGCTAAAAAATGAAGTGAAACTTTCGTGCTATACAAATACTTAGTTCTTAACCTTTTTGCATTTCTCTTATGGATAATCTTCTTTTTTCTTAGTTTACCCAATTTTGTGTTCAAGAATAGATGCTCCTTAGTATTATATATGATGTCATTCAGAAAAATACGCCAATTTTTTTGTTTTTCTTTTTTATTTCTTCTACTTTTCCCTTTGCTTACATTTCGAGGATATTCCAATTTCGTGCTCTTCTTAGCAATTTTTAAAGAATTTCTTTTCTTTTCTTTTCTTTTTTTCCGTCTAATTCTCATCAAACTGTTCCTAGCTGGCTCAACATTACGACATATGAAAAATCCGCATAGCATCTTTTGTTTAGTATTTCTATAAATTTTTTTCATCGTTTCTGCATTGTTTTGACTGTTGTATCCATCTGTTGTTTTGTGTTTCTTACTCCCTAGTCCTTTTTTGTCACCAGAATTTATTTCAGTGCACATTCTTTCATCTTGCTCTTCCTGTTTTTCGATAAAGCTTTTTTCTCCTTCTACATTTGGTGCAATTTTGCTTACATCTTTTTCCTTTTTTTTTTTCACCCTCTCTGCATCATCTTGTTCATAATTTTCTTCTCGTTCAATTTCTCTTCCTTTGCTGTGTTCTTTTTCTGCGGAGAGATATTGCAAATATCCCTTTTTGCTGTAAAAAACATTCATAATTTCCTGCTTAAGATTGTTATAATTTGTGCATTTAAAGTTGATATTTTTCTTTTCCATGCGAAGATATTTACTAAACTGCCTCAAATTAACAGATATTCCTGAAGAGTTATCATCTGTCATGTCTTTTTCTTCAGTCATTTTGTATGAATTATGTGATAACGTGTCATTTAATTCGAAAAAAGAGAAGCTTTTTTTATTTTGCTTCATCAATTTTTGTAAATTTTTTTTCTTTCTTGCACCTTTTATATCAAAAATTAAAATTTTCGAATTGGTACGCTCAATTTTCACATTTTCCAAAATAATGTATGTTTTAAAAGTTTTCCTATTTTTTTTTTTAATTTCAATTTGGAACAGCCCATACATAAAACATAACAATGATTTTTTTCTTTGAAAACAAATATCTGAAAAATGTTGAAAAAATTCCTTGTATCTTGTAACAAAAGATTTAAATTCATATTTATTTATTTCCTTTAGAATGTACTTATCATCATATGTTTTCACAAAATGTCTTTTTTTATGGTCAAAATTGATGTAATTACTTTTTATAAGTGACCTCAAAAATGTTGTTTCTTTTTTGCACAAAAATTTTCTCAAGTAATAAAATTGTAGTGGAAAATATATATATACAGAAGTGTTATCATTTATAGAAATAACAAGCACTTCATTATTTTTAGAATTTATAAATTTATTTATCATACGATTCGTTAAAAGTCGATTTGTCATTATTCTTATGTTTTTTTTTATATATTTCTTTATCTCCTCATGATGTATGTCCTTCAAATGTTTATTCCTTTGTGTTCTTTTTTTATTTCCACACCTTAGTTCCTTCTTTATGATAATTTTTTTGCTATCATTTAGTCTTTCTTCCTTTTGCAGCAAAACTACTTCGTCCTTATATTCGTCCGCCTTCGCTTCGACCTCCACATTTTGATTTGCCTCGTCCTGCACATTTCGATTCGCTTCTTTCTGCTCTTCTTCAAACTGGCTAGCTCGTCCTCTTTTGTACGTTCCTTCCTCGTGTGCCCCTTTTTCCTTTTTGTAAATTTTTACCAATCTGGTCTTGTACTCATCAGATATAAGCGCGTGGAATATCGAATTAGACGTATCATTTGGGTTTAGTAAAAACACAGAACTTGTTTTTCGTGGTTTTTTCATTTGCCCTATTTTATCTGGTTTGGTCTTATGTCCTGCTATCCCTCCAGAAGCTATAACCGAATCAACTATATTTGATATATGCAAATAAAACAATTTCTTGTTCGAGTGTTCATATTCCTCTTTGTTCATATCATCTAAGTATTTTCTCTTCCTATAATTCTCAATGTTATATATATAGTAAGACTCCTTCAAGAATAATTTATGCACATCATACTCTCGTACGAGATGATGGTGATTACTTAACTCGGATTTGTTTTTACTCAAACTTTTAAGGTTTTTTATATTGGATTTTATTTGCTTTTTCTTCATATCGATTATGTGGGAATATTTTTTTTTTAAAAGCATCAATTTTTTCATTTGTACCCTTTTGTATCTAATATTTTTGGATCTCCATTTAACACTCTGCATACCATCACAGTTATGTTTATTTGTACTGTAATTATCAGAATAATTGTACCGAATATTTGCAAAAAAAAATGACAAGAATTTATTAGGAATTCTTTTCATACGTCCTTGTAAGTTATCCCAGGAATTCGGCACGATATAACGTAAATATTGCAGTTTTCTATTACTTGTCAATTTTGTCATTGTTTCAATATCTCTCTGAATTTTTAATTTAGTTTTTTCTAATATCATAATATAAAAAGAGAAAAATATTTCAATGTCTAGTGAAAAATGCTTTTCCATCAAATGGGCAATAGCGTAGTAGTAGAAATTTCTAAACACTTTAATTAAATACATTTTATAGAATCTCAATTTTTTCTTAAACTTTCTGAACAGTAAGAATTGTTTTATTAAATTTTCTTTTACTTTGTTAATATCTTTTAAAATGTATTCATGTTTACTGCAAGTCTGTTTTGTCACATACACATTATCATCGTAATTTCCTTTTTCTTCTCCATTTGAATAAACTGTTTTGACATTAGTCTCATTTATACCATTACTACCATGTATACCCTCTTCACATGAATCATTCGTTCTCTTCTCCTGATTATGCAGAACATACACATTTTGCGTAACGCTGTTCGTTTCTCCTTCTTCTTCTTCTACTTCTTCTTCTCCTTCTTCACATTTGAATTCATTTGCTGCACTATTCAGAAGCACATTGTTGCACTTATTAAACTTTTCGTTATTTTCATTCTTGTTCACATTTATTTTCCATCTTTCTTGGATATTTTCTTTCAAATTTTCTTTCTCATTTTCTAAACATCCCTTTATTAATAAAAAATTGTCCTCAATAAAAAAGGCTGTGTTATTTACACAGTATTCAATTTCATTTACCTTAATGAACATGTTTTTTCCCAATAAAGTGATTATAAAATTAATTGTAATATAAAAATTAAAAAATATTCTCTTAATTATAAATAGGACATTAAAAAACCCTAATGTAGAAAAGTTCGAAATTTTTATATATTTACATTTTTTACATTTATTCGTAAAGTACAGTGGTGATGTGGGGTTATTAAAATTTTCTTTCTTCCTTTTTTTTGGAGATATTTCATATAAATGTTTATTTTTAGATCTATAATATTGTATTATGAAATTATAAATTAAATATTTCAATGAGGAATACATGGGGAGCATTGAACTTGTGAAGAAGGGGAAATTTTCTATAATATTATACAGGTTAAAATTTGTGTATATATTTTCTTTTCTCTCTTTTGTACCATTTCTATATTTACATTTATACTTCCTCGTTATGCATTTACATGGATAATAGTAAAACACGCTGTTATAAATAATATTTTTCACATTCTTCTTGATGTAATTTTTAATTTTTCGTTCATTTTTTATTACACTATAGCATTTCTTACATTCATCCTGATTAGAACAGTAACATGCACGACTACAAACGTTAGATCTATTGATTCTACATCGTCCATATTTACTTTTAATTTGTCTTTCAGAATAAGTTCTATTATCCCTAATGCTTTGGTAAATATCGTTATCGTTCATGAAAAAACAAATTTTTATATTTCTATAGCTTAGTTCATAAGTATTGTTTTTTCCATTATGATTGCATTGCATGTTCATATAATTCTCTGAATGTATGATGGTTAATAAAAATTCGCAAAAAGAAAAATTTGTATTCAACACTTTTTCCTGCACCACATCACATTTGTTGCACATGATATTCATAATTATTTCATTTTTTTCATTATCCTTCTTTTCCTTTTTAAATAATATTACCACTCTCTTTAAAAATATTTGAATACATATTTGATGATAGCACAGGTAATTTCCACACGATTCAAAGGGGCATATCCTGCACGATATCCAAGTGGTGTGTGTGCAAGGGGTGATTATGAGTTTGTCTTGCTTACATTTATATATATATATGCACATGCGTCTGCGTGTGCATCAATATAATTCAAGTTTTTCCTTTCAAAGTATGCAAAAGGGTTTAATGTCTCTCCTTCTTTTCTCTCTCTCTCTCTTGCTGCTCTCCACTTACAGATTAAAGGCCAAGGCGTGGATGACACAGACGAACTGCTGTAGGGAGATATCGAATATATACTTGTAGTTGAAGAAAAAGTTGTAGAATAACTTTTTGGCACTATGGTTTTGATTGTCGAAGAGGTATATATTTATAGAACTGTACAAATTATGTATAAACATGTAGCTGGGACATATGAAATAAATTATCATTTCTATGTTCTTAGCTGACTCGAGTTGGTAGCAATAGAATAATATATTTTGTGCAATTATCTGCTCAGCCTTTTCATTAAGCTTTTTTTCTATAACTATTTCATCATTAAAAGAAATAGGATCACATAAAATATTCGAATCCTTCAAAAACGTTTCATCATTTGTTATTACATTGTTTTTATTATAATGCAAATAAGCACTATTAATAATTTTTAAATAATAGTACATGCAATTATAATTGCATTCCAAATTTTTCATAAAATTCTTAAATATAAAATAGTTTACGATGTCTATTATTTTGTTACTTTGAACATTAAAAAAACAGTGTTCATAATTGTTATATACTTGTTCCTTGATAATTTTATTTGTCTTTATTAACATGTGCATAATTTTTAACCTTTCTCTTGTTAGAGGATCGTGAATATTTATTAAATGAAATAAATTGGACATGAAATTTATTGGAGTATTTTTTATTTTCTTCTGTGTGTGATTATAAAAGAGAAAAATAGAAGAAAATAGCACAGAATTGCTAAATTTCTTATAAAAATTGTCACATGTAACATTTGTGCTTATATTCCTATCAGGTATGTGTAAAAGTGTTCTGAACATGTAGTTATTAAAATATAATTGTCTATAAATGTGAAAAGTTAAAAATATACAAAATTTTATTAACTTTTTAACCTTTTTAATTATAATAACATTTTTTATATGATTTATTAGAGCCTTCCTTTTATTTTCATATTTTTCTTTCCTCACAAGGTTTATTTTTTTTTCTTTATTTATGAAAAAATAATCAACGATGTAATCATCATTCTTGTTTTTATAATACACTTGAAGAAATTTTTCTAGCATGTTTTCTTTTTCCGTTTCTCTTTTAAGTAGTGTGTAGAACATGCCATTATGTTGAGGTTTATTTCCCTTCTTTGTTGTCTCATTCCTGGATCTATAATCCAAGTCTGCAGGAGTAATACTACTCTGTTTCTCCATACCATCCTGTATGCCTTTTTTTCCAAATATGCATATGGTCAAAAATTTGCTATTACAGCAGAGAAAAATATTCTTCACGTTTTTTTTATATTTCTGAATCTTGAAATAATTTGCCTTGGCTATATAAATATTTCTGTCAAAATTTATAAAATCATCATAATTTAAAATTTTGATACGGAGCATGTTGGATAGGCGGCATAAATTTTTCTTTTTTATGCTTGTGAAATAGTATATTTTTTTATTCATTAATAATTTTTTCAAATAAAAATCAATTTCCCCATGAATTAAAATGATGTTCAAATGTCGATTAGACAAATTTTTTAAAACGAAATAGGTGTAATTATAGTTATAATTATAACAATTTTCTAACATTTCATACTCATTCTTTTTTTCTGCATCTAGCAGTAATACTTTCGGATTCTTTATTTCCACATCGTCAAAGTATATGGAGCAGTTGCTGAATACTAGGCCGTTAATATAGAAACTGTTCACAATATTTTTATACGGGAAATATTTTACCTATACGGAGACATATGGATAGATACAACTAAATATGTTGGAGGACACGCATAGATAATATTATAAGCACAATATAGACAGGTGTCGTCACACAAAGCAACTCTGCTGTAATACTGATTTTAAAAATTCATAAATTATGGAAGAATTTGTAAACTCGTTCTTTTTCCTCCTTCCTGATTTCTCACCTTAACATTACTGAGAATATCGTATCCATAACTGTGGTAATACTTTGATATTTCATTCAAAATGTTGATGACGTGGATGCATAAATCATTCTTAATTCGGTAATATTGAAGTTGATTGGATATCACTTTGTAAAAGTACCTGTTAAGTTGTATATTTGTCTTTAGGGAAAAATTTATGCTGTCGTGATAAATATTTTTAATGATATCCTTTTTAAAAAAGTTAAAAAAAGGATTAAATTTTTCACCTAGTATTTTTTTTTTATTATTATTTACAACAAAACTGGGTGGAAGAAGAGGTGGAATATACTCTTGGATTTGCTCTTTTTTTTTTTTAAAATATTTTTCCTTAATTTTTTCAAAAATTAATTTTTTTTGTTTTTCGTCTATTAGAGAATCATTGTATGTCTTGTATATATGCTCACTCTTTTTAATTATATTTGTATAAAACTTGTTGTTAATTATGAGGCTGTAATCTGAGATTAAGTGGATGTGTGTGCACATTGTTATGAAGCCTTAGACAAAATGATATGAATTATAAAGTGTGCATATTATTACGTAGCACGCTCATGTAGAGAACAAAAATCAAAAATGCATTTGGCATGTGTTAACATAATGTGGTTCCATAACACGAATCAATGATTTTTAAATCGCATAAACATCGTGTAATAATTGTTTCTTTTAATGAGTGAATTTCCATTGTATTCTTTGATTATATGAATAATTATACCACACAGTATTGTCACGTTTGTACCTTCAAATTGTTCATTTTTTATTAACTATGGATGTTATGTTATATCATATTATGTTATTTTATTATTTTTTTTTTTTTTTTCCTCTTTATTACCTTCTTTCCTTATTTCATTTTTAATTATATTTGTGGTAAGTCCATCCCGCTTACTTATCGGAATATATGATCCCTTCCTTATTTTGTTTTTTTTCTTTTTTTCCTGTATCTGTTTTGTGTCCAAAATTTCTCCATCGTTTATGCACTGGATGTTGAAGCGGTTAGACAAACTGCTATTCCTGATTTCTTTCAGATATAGAAAGTGGGGAGAGGGGAGGGGATGTAAAACAGGAATAATACAAATGCTTTAACATTTCCACACGCTTACATACTTATCTAAAAGTATATAATAATTCATACGAATAATCAATCCATGAATCCACTCACCAGAACTTCACTCGTCTACTCCCAATCCATTTCCAACTCTTATGATGTACGTCTTACCACTGAACAGGGGATAATTCAGGATCCATTCAAAAAATCTCTGAGAAGTTTTTCGGTGTTTTGAATCATTCTGGAAACTAAAATAGCTATCCGATAATCTACTTTCCATATTCATTTCGTGTTTTTCCAAAAAATGCATAAGAAGATTCAAAGGTGTATTTACTAAGCTTTCATATCCTACACATTTTTCTTTACTAGTTTAATTTACTCATCTGGCTTCTTCTTTTTCCTCAGAATGTAGTATTTTAACATGTGTTATTTTGCTATTTCGTATTATTTTCATTTCTTTTTTTCTCAAATTCTTATCATAGCAACTTTGTAATTTTTACAATTTTATATTTCCGCTTTTTTTTTTTTTTTTTTTTTTTTTTTTTCCACAAATCCATTTGTATAAAATGTTCTGGAAAATGCCAAAATTCGAATGACTACATATAACTTCTTAACTAAATATGTAAAAATATCATTTAGGCTTAATAAGGGAATAAGAAAAAAAAAAAAATAAATAATAAAGTACTGATTTTTTTTTTTTTTTTTTCTTTCTTTATTACCTTTTATTTTTTATTGCAAAAGCGATAAGGGTTTATTATTTTATTTTATTTTTTTTTTTTTTTTATATACATACTATTATAAGATAAACTCAAGCGAATTTTTTCTTATACATTTTTGTGTCCTTAAGAAAAAAAGAATTCAAGAAACTGTTTTTGTTTATCATGGTTTTTCATACCATCTTGTAAGCATGTTAAAAATAGAATTTATAAATATCATGTTTTAACAAGTTGAAAAAATAGATCAATAAATCGACAATGCAATGAAACCAGTAACCAATTCGGTGAGCCCATCATCAAACAAATCTGGATGTCACATCATGACAATTCACCAAATAAAATAAAGAACAATAAAATATATAAGTGTGCAACACTCTCTGTATAAGAAACTCTTTCAAGCGTTCCCCAAATTGGGGACACGAAGTTATATAACTCATTTATCCTTTTAACATTTTCTCATTTTTAACCACAACTTTGAGTTAAAAATATATTTAAAAGGAACTATGCAAATAAATATATTTTTCATTGGATTTAAAAACAAAAGACATATATTCTGATCAGGTATGGAGGTATGTTATAGCATTTATTATTAGTTCTTTTTTATATATATACTTAAAAAAGACAATTAATATGTTCACAATACTCATGTGAGAGATGCAAAAACTCCACCCAATTGTAATTAAAATAATGAAAAAGCAAACTGCTGCATTTGTGAGACAGTATATTAAGTGTAGGACTTTTAACATTTAAAAAAAAAAAAAAAAGATTAAAAATAAAATTAAAAAGGTTTAAAAATTAAGGTTTAAAAATTAAGGTTTAAAAATTAAGGTTTAAAAATTTAGGATTAAAAATTAAGTATTCAAAATTTAGGTTTAAAAATTTAGGATTAAAAATTAAGTATTCAAAATTTAGGATTAAAAATTTAGGATTAAAAATTAAGTATTCAAAATTTAGGATTAAAAATTAAGTATTCAAAATTAAGAATTAAATATTAAACATACATTTTTTTAAATTAATCACACAGAATGTCCAAAGTGATAAAGAGGAACAACTGTTTGCACAACACAATTGTGTGAGGTATTCCATCGTGTTGGATAATGAACTTAAAGAAAAGAGTATTCTTTCGCTCAAGCATGGATGAACAAGAAAAGAGAAGCCATTGCATGGTGGACATGAAAACACTACGATACTTTTACTCATTTTAAAAATGTGAAAAGGCAAACAGAATCATAAAAAAAAAAAAAAAAAAAATGAAAAACATTCGTAAAATGCAAATAACGCTTACATGATATTATAAATTCGTCTATGTATTGTGTATAACATAGATATATTTACAGATACATATAGTAATGTTGGCGTATATATAAGCCAACTGGTCAGGCATATAATGGGGAAGAAACGTTTTCTAAAAATATACACCTTAATTTCACCTTTGAACTAACAAAAAATTTAACACATATATGCCAATATGTACGTACGTCTATTATGCATGTAATATTTACACACGAACAAAATTCTTAATTTGTTTAAAAAAAAAAAAAAAATATATTTCTACTTAATTAGAGGTGTTTAAATTTGTCTTACACACCCTTTAGCAATATTGCACATCCTATATATATATACACCATATGTAAGTATTTTAAAAAAATTGCATTAAAACGTTTTTATGTGATCCATAATTTCTCCTTTACACACATGTTCTTAACCCTGAACATGTTTGGAAGTGACGTGCTACTTGCTTTTTATATCATTAATACATTTATGTATAATGTATATATGTTTCCCCCTTTTTGGTATACAGCTCTGTTAGAATTTTGCCTTATATATACATAATATGATACATATTAAAATTCTTACATATATAATTACTGACACTACATTTTCTTATGTGCACAAATAAAGGGTTTATATATATATATATATGTATATATTCCCCCAATTTTCCACCCAATTAACTTTTCGTCCACCTTATATTTATTCACAATACAGACCCTTTGAATATCTTTATTTTGTTATTCATATATTTATATTATACTTTATTGTAAAAATGGAATGTGAGCTTTCATTATAACTTTTTCATATTTAAAAAAAAAAAAAAAAAAAAAAATTCGTGAAAAATGTGTTATTATACGTACATAAGCCATGTGCATCTCATCTAATGTGTGATGTCGCGTGTATTAAAAAAAAAAAAAAAAAAAAAAATTGTGAAAAAAATACAATTATTTATTTACATTATTTATTTTAACCCTTATGGGAATATATTAACTTTAAGAAAAAATATTAACGACAAAATACTTTTTCTCTGTGTTAATGTATTTTTGAAGATTTTTATTTTTTGGGGTTCTATGACAACTTTTGGTTCTTAAAAATACTTTTCTTTTTTTATTTTCTGAGGGACTCTTTATTTTCAATCTGTGTAAGGTAAAAAAAGGAAGGAAATGCACAATTATATAATTATATATGCTTGTAAATATATTATGGGAATACATATACACTTAAATTTACACGCATATATACTATGAAACGGTGAGCTTACATGATTTTTGACGTGGTTCTTTACCTTATATATTTTAACAAAAAGATAATATAAAATAAAACAAGAAGGGGGGAGAAGAAAAAAAAAAAAAAAAAAAAAGTGTATAATATACATAATACTATCATTTTGTGACATTTTATATGTGTTATTCATCTTTTGTGCTATAGATAACCGAAAAATAACACACGTTGGAATAAAAAAAGTAAAACACAAAAAAGATAGAAAATAAAAAAATATATGTATATTCATGATGACAAAAAATATTGGAGAAAGATGATAAATAAATTTTGAATTTTACTTTTTAGTGCAAACATGCTTACGCATAGGTGTACATTTGAATAAATATATAGCATATGTAATAGGAATGTGTATGTTCCTCTACATGCATGTATAAGAACATGTATACATAGGCACATGCATTTATAGGAACACGTATATATAGTCACATTCATGTAAAGGAACATACACATTCCTATGATTCATTTATTGTATAAACAAAAATATCCATACATGCAAGTTAGAATAATTTAATCCCTTTCTACTCCACATTTCCAGGTAATCATATTTCATTAAGAAATACTTGTAAGACCTGTAGAAAAAAAAAAAAAAAAAAAAAAAAAAAAGAAAAAAGAAAGAATCCATAATATAAATAAAAAGAAAAAAATAGCAAGGTATATAAAGAGACATCTTCTTATTTCATCTTCATAATTGCCTAATTTAGTAGAGATTGTATATATAGCTTTTCCACATTAGACAATGCTATGCAGATTGAAGGAAATGAAATGGAGAACATTTCCTCTATAATGCAAGTAACACGTCTGGAGGTGTGCTTGTAACGTGGAATCTTCATCTCCTACTCTTACATTAACAATGGAAATCTTTTTTTTTTTTTTTTTTTTTTTTTTTACACAACCAATTATTCTAATTCTTTTCCTACTTATCAGATGGCAGAAGAAGTTGTAGCCTTAGTAGTCGATAATGGAAGTGGAATGGTAAAATCCGGGTTGGCAGGTGATGATGCACCTAAGTGTGTATTTCCATCAATTGTAGGCAGACCCAAAATGCCAAATATCATGGTAGGTATGGAACAAAAAGAATGTTATGTAGGAGATGAAGCACAAAATAAGAGGGGAATACTAACTCTAAAATATCCAATTGAACATGGTATAGTAACTAATTGGGATGATATGGAAAAAATTTGGCATCATACATTTTATAATGAATTAAGAGTTTCCCCTGAGGAGCATCCAGTGTTATTAACAGAAGCACCCTTGAACCCGAAGACAAACAGAGAAAGGATGACTCAAATTATGTTTGAATCTTTTGATGTGCCAGCTATGTATGTTAGTATACAGGCCATTTTGTCCTTGTATGCATCTGGGAGAACGACAGGTAAAGGAGAACAACAAGAAAAATGGAAAATGATAAAAAAAAAAAAAAATATGGAAAAACACTGAATAGGGCTGTAAAGGATGGACCGAGATGCACGCTTCTTCTTTCAGTGTAAAACTTTTCTATAGATTTCTTTTGTGCATTCATTTTTTTTCTGTTATGTGTTGCTTTATTTTATTTTTTCTTCTATTTTTTATTTGATTTTTTTTCGCCTTCTTTCTTGTCCTTTTTTTATTATATCCTCCCCCCCCCCCCCCTCTCCATCTCACAGGTATCGTTCTGGATAGTGGAGACGGAGTAAGTCACACCGTCCCAATTTACGAGGGATATGTATTGCCACACGCAATAAACAGAATAGATATGGCAGGACGAGATTTGACATATCACATGATGAAACTATTTACAGAAAGAGGACATACATTTACAACAACAGCAGAAAGAGAAATAGTTCGAGATATAAAAGAAAAGTTATGTTATATTGCATTGGACTATGATGAAGAATTAAAAAAATCAGAGGAACATTCTGACAAAATTGAAGAAATTTATGAATTGCCAGATGGTAATTTAATAACAGTAGGTAGTGAAAGATTCAGGTGCCCAGAAGCTTTATTTAATCCAACATTAATAGGAAGAGAATGTCCAGGATTACATATTACTGCTTATCAAAGTATAATGAAATGTGATATTGACATAAGAAAAGAATTATATAGTAATATAGTACTCAGTGGTGGCACGACCATGTATAATAATATTGGGGAAAGATTAACAAAAGAAATGACAAATCTAGCCCCATCTTCAATGAAAATTAAAGTTATTGCGCCCCCTGAAAGAAAATATTCTGTGTGGATTGGGGGATCCATATTGTCTTCCCTTTCAACCTTTCAACAAATGTGGATAACCAAGGAGGAATATGAGGATGCAGGTCCAAGCATCGTTCATAGGAAATGTTTTTAAGCCAAATATGTAATGTATGAGTAAGTACGTAAAAGTAAGTGCCTTGAGACGTGTTATGAAGTTGTGTACCTTATGGTCGATACATAGTTCTTCAAATTATGAACATCCCAAGGGAGTGCAATTATGTACATATGAAGAAATCTCGAACGGATAAGCAGTAATTAATATGGTATTGGTTCCTCGGCAGAATAACATTTTTGCATCATACGTTTTTAATGTTTATGCTATATGGTGGTTGTGGTGGTGGGGAGCAGGTCAACACGTCCACACACCTAGATGAACACGCAGAGAGTGAAACAATCCTCTTTTTCCTTTCAATTTGAAGAGCGTCAGTTTTATTTTATATATACATATATATATATATATATATATATGTATATTTATTTTATTTTTTTGCCATTTCACCACATCGCCATCCGGTGCCCTATGTCTTATGTTTCCCTGCTATCCTATTTGACCACCAAAATATTTTCGCCTTTGCACATTGCCAACCCCTCAGCTTGCTGCAAAAGTCTTAATTTGAATTTTATTTCATTTGACATTAACCAAAAAATGTTTTTATTTTTGAAACTTATATTTGTTTAAAGACTAAATTTTTGGTGATTCTCTTACTGCATTTGTTTCATATAATACTCTGTTTTTTAAAAAGTAGTTTGTTGCTTCTTTTTCGTTGCTCGTGGAAAGCTGTATCCATGAAATCTTAAAATTATGTATGTTTATGCTTCACATGTAGCCCCATAGGAGTGCCTGAGGAAAATTCCTTCATAAAGACTCTCAAACAAACCATACATGAACACATTGTATACCAACCATGCGCATATTTATATATGTACACGTACATATGGATATATAACTTGGGGGGGGGGAAAAAAAGAAGTACCTGTAAAAATAGACATACTAAATGAAGCAAATGTTATTTGTTACTGCAGAATGTGTGTACACCACATACTTATATATACGCCAAGGTCCTTTTTCGAACAAGCTTTTTTTTTTTTTTAAACATATTTTTACATGATCATAAATTTTGTGCTTTAATTAGGGAACACTTACACAAAAAATTAATTTAATGCATGTCGTCACCTACGTAGCATACCATTTTGAATATTTGTCATTATCACAAAAGTTGTATACAAAAAAGACGCGAAGGTAAGTCAGAAAAAAAAAAAAAAAAAAAAAAAAAAAAAAAAAAAAAAAATTAATAAAAAAAAATAAATAAAAAAAGAAAAAAAATAAAAAAAAACTATATTTAAATAATGTTAAAAATATGGAAAAATTTTTTAGGAAAATTTTTGTGTTTAGCTCCCTTTTTATTTTTTTTTTTTTTTCAACCATAACTTTTTTTTTTTTTTTTTTTTTTTTTTTTTTTTTTCCATATTTTGCACAATTTTATCCCACCTGGAGGTACAATGTTTTACCCATTTTCGGATTCCGGCCCTTGCCGATTCCCTTTTTGATCCCCTTTTTGGTCCCCTTTTTGATCCCCTTTTTGGTCCCCTTTTTGGTCCCCTTTTTGGTCCCCTTTTTGATCCCCTTTTTGATCCCCTTTTTGATCCCCCTTTTGATCCCCTTTTCGATCGAATAAATAAAACGTATTGAGAACCATCAAGGGGAATAAAATTGTTGCATCTCCAAAAACCTTAACATGATTATTCGTGTGCCCTTTGATTTTCCCCCATGATAGAGCTTCAGTGGTGTTTGCACCACTATCGCTACCATCATATTCATTAGCTGTATTTACATAAACAGCAAAATCGGCCCCGTTTCTCATCAAATTTGCATTACATACATGATGTTTTGGTAATCCTCCTCCTAGAATAATAATTCCAGATTTCTTACAATTTAAGGCCAACGAATTAATTTTTTTAATATCTTTTACAATGTCTAAAACTAAATTATTTTTTATTTTTTTCCCATAATTGTGAAAAAATAAATTATCCCCTAATGATCCATCTGTCAACCCTGGGCAAAATATTGGGATGTTATTTTTATAGCACCAATAGATTAGTGAACTTTCATCGTTTATTTCTTTTCCTAGTCTATGTATAAATTCTGAGGGGCTTAAATAATACATGTCAGACTCTTCTTCATCGGAACTGTTAGAAGTCGTGTCATAAACAGGAAAAGATGGCGATGATAAATATTTGTTTTCATTTTTTCTGTTTCTTCTTTTCTCCAACTTCTTCAAAAACATTTCTTCATTTTTTCTGTTCTGCTCATGCAGCATTTTGTTTAACAGCGGCTGAAGCCAATCTTCAAATTTACAATAATTATCATTAGGAACAATTAAATTTCCTATTCGATTCCACCCTTTTTTTCTTAATTTTTTCCCATTAAGATTAAAATCACCTAAATAAGTTTTAGAAAAGCATTTTATAATATCTTCTTCCACGCCTCCAGCAGTTGTTACAACTACATCTATGAAATTATTTTTTGTTAGATACACAAATATTTCCCTTAGGCCGCTTGATATCATATTGGACGTAAAGGAGAGCCAGATTAGACATTTTTTTTTCTTTTTAAGTGCGTGCATACCACCACTACCATCATCATTATCTTCATCTTTCACACCTTCTTCATCTGCATATTTATAATATATCATTTTATTTATTTCATCTATTCCTATGCCCAAATTCGTAGCTTGAAAGCCCATATATTTATACTGATTGATAAATTCGTGCAAATTAATTTCTTTTTCGAAATTAATTCCTTCCACGATATCTGTGTTATCTGGTATCTTGTTTGATTTAACAAATACAGATGATTTAGCATCATTAATTTCGTTATTATCATCATTGCTTTCTCCATCATCACTATCATTACTAATTTTGTGCACCTCCTTAAACAACCCTTCGTTCATCATGCTTTTTTTAGAATTTTAAAAAACTTATATTTTCAAGGCGCACTTAAGGATTAAAATTGGGCTTGTGGATTGACATAAATCAATAATTCATTGCTAAAGTGCATATGCCATATGAACATATATATATATGGTGACGTGTTATAAGAAAATGTATTTTAATTATAGTTTCCTATTTATCAACTCCTTCAAACCCAGTCTTGAAAGTTCTATTTCTACGTTTTTTTTTTTTTTTTTACAACTCTTCTCTTTCTCAAATCAAATAGTTCATGATATTGCCTCTCCTTTTGTACTTCGTGATACTAGAAAGAATTAAAACAAAATGAGTAGAATAGTGATTTGTATATGTATGCTTCCTTACATATTATGCAATTATCAAATTATGAATGGATGAATAAGTTAGGAAGATTTATTATATTTAAAGACTAGAAACTTTGGGCGAGATGGCTTCAACTATTGCTTAGTTGTGACAAATCGGCTTAATCCGTTATTTGTTCTACCCTCAACAATTTCAACTACATTTGTACACTTCTTTTCCTTTTTTTCCCCCTACTTTTTAAGTCAGCAAAAATAGTTTTTTTATATATAAGTTATGTTTCCTCAGACGTTGTATTTTTTCTAAAGCATTTCGCAGGGATCTGAATGTTCACATTGAGAAACAACGCGCGGTGAAAATATAGGGGTGCAAAAATAAAATAAATAAACAATATATATATATATATATATATTTACAAATTCATAGATGATAAATAAGTAACAGTGCATAAATGCAATAAAAGGAATCATAATGAAAAAACGTTTGCCAGATCTGCGTTTAGCGTATAAAATGTACTAAAGGTAAATTCTCACACAGAATGAGGCACGACAACTCCAATTCATTACCATCAATGCTGCATGTATAGCTGCACTTTTCTTCTAGCATTTTTAATAACTTTTCCAATTTTGCGTTAATTTTTTGCAGAATTTGTGTCCCCGTTTGTCAGCTTATATATGCCCACTTAAAGGAAATCCTTTTTTCCCCTTTTATGTCTCCATTTTCTTCCAATTTTTTCCATTTTCCTCCCCATTTTTTCCATTTTTCTTCCCATTTCTTCTCCTTTCTTCCAATTTCCACCTTTTATCTTTTACTATCCACCCACTCTCAGAACGAATAATACGAATTCAACGATACAAAACATTAGATGTAATAAATCAAAAACAACAAAAATGGGCAGTTTCACCTAATTTTTCAAGGGTATATAATTAAGAATAAACCGCTTCAAGTTGTTCAAAATTAGAAGTCTTATATGCTTATCCAAGAGGGCACGGTTCTACGTGTACAATTGTACACACCCATTTGTCATGATCATGATAAAACTACTACATCACCGAGGTGCGACTCTACACCTGATGTTATGTTTTTCTCCCTAGCAGCAAAAAAAAAGAAAAAAAATAAAATAAAATAAAAAAAAAAAAAAACTTATTTCATTAAGACAAAACGAGGGAACAATATTGAAACAGTTAAATATATTTTTTTATGGATAGTCATCAAGTGAACCTGAATTTTTATCCATACAATGAGGAAGAAGAAAAGGTTAATATAACCAGTAATTTTAACATATACTGTTCATACGATTTGATTAAAGAATTAAAATTAAATGAAAATGATAATGTTGTTGTATGCCATATTAATTCATCAAATAGTTGTGAAGGAAAAAAATCGTACGTCTGTTGTTGCATCAAGAGCTTGTCTGAAATGGACATGAAAAAAAAGACAAAGCGGAATGATGTTTATACCAATACCTTTGTTTTCAAAAGTCTAAACATTGACATATCAAACGAGGGGAAATGGGAAGATGGAATTAAATATGGAAATGAAAAGAATGACAATAGGATGGAGAAAAAAAGTAATAAATGGACAAAAAAAAAACACTACAGTATTCGCGTTGAAATAAGAAAAGCAGAGCTTTATACCCCTATTCAAAGAATAAAATTCAGTGTACAGGAAATGTATAACGAACCTTATGAAAATTTAAAAGATTATTATTATAATGAACATAACAGTTATATGTTACAAACATTTTGGAATAACTTAAAAAGTAAAAATATGGAGAAATACATAAATCTCTCCTTGTTAAACACTTGTTTATTTCCTGAGAATTCTTTAAAAATTTGTGTACTAGGTATACATACCCATTTAGTAGTTTCTGATGTGGTACTTCAAATTAAAAAGAATCAGAATTGGGACAAGGTTCCCTTTGATAATATGTTTCGCATTCCTTATGTGAATCATAATACCAAAATTGTCATAGAAAGAATAAAACATATTCAGACAAAACACGTAAGAAATGGTAGCAGCTGCACGAACATCATGAATGACAGCAGGGAGAGTATCAACATTAGTGATTCAAATGCTAGAGGTTATAAGAAAAAAGATAAATGTATTAATTCTGCAAAGAATGATGAAACTGGAAGAAACGATTCGCATGAATTGATCAAAGAAATGCAAAAAGACAATACTCCAGAGGGTAGCAATTTTTGTAAAAAGACGCAAAAAATAAAAGATAAAAATTATTTAAAAAAAAAAGAAAAAGGAAAGAAGGAAGGGTTAAAGAAAATAGGGGGGTATAAAAAAATAAAAGATGAAATATATTATTATATTTTATTGCCACTCATATATAAAAATATATATGATGAATTTCATATAGATATCAATAGAGGTGTATTACTACATGGCCCACCTGGTTGTGGGAAAACTTTCATCGCATTGGCAATAAAAGAAGAACTATTGTTATTGAAAAGAAAATTATTTAACTTGAAATTAAAAAATAAAATGAATGACCTAATTGCATCTAAAAATGATAATACTACAATAAAGGAGTGTACTACTAATGAGCAAAAACAGGAGCATAATAAAAGGATACAGCTAGGTGATAAATATATGAATGATAATATAATTTTACCAGAAATGGAAATTTTGAAAAGTACAGATTTAATTGATAATAATAATAGTGGAACAAAAATTAATGAATTATTTTTAAGATGTTATAAAAGATATAAAGAAGAAAACAAGTGTTCTATTATATTTATAGATGAAATCGAAATTTTATGTGAAAAAAGAGAAAATGAAAATATAAATTTATATACCTCGACGCTACTTAACAATATGGATGGGATCAAAAAAAATACACACACAATTTTGATAGGGGCAACTAACTATATTAACAAAATGGATTTAGCCCTCAGAAGAAGCGGAAGATTTGACAAAGATATTGAGATTAATATACCCAATTTAAAGGATCGTATTTCCATATTTAAAAAGAAATTAGACAAAATTAATCACAACATAAGCCAAAAACAAATAAAGGAAATTTCAGATATGTGCCAATCGTATACTTGTTCAGACATAAATGCATTAATCAATGTGGCTATGTATATGAACTTAAAGGGAAATAATATCATATCTCGCAAGAGGTTTAAAAGGTCCTTGGCTTGTTACATCCCAAGACATGGGGATTCCATTCAAGAAGTTGGAACAAGTGTGGTAGAAAATGAGGCCAATGCAAGGGTCGAAGTAGTAGAATATCAAAGTGAACAGCAGAAAAAGGACATCATTAGAACCCATGATGGAAACGATGAACCGGAGCAGATGATACCAAAATGTGACGCAACAAATGAAAAACCCGTTTCTAATTTCAATGCACCTGATAAGAGCCATTTGCTAAAATACACACATTTACTGAAAGGACTAAAATATGTAAAACCATCAGGAATGAAAGAATTATACGTAGATATCCCGAAAACGAGAATTAAAGATATTGGGGGATATAAATTTGTCAAAAGGTGCATTATGGAATGTTTAATATATCCCAAAAAATATAAGCAGGTATATGAAAAATATAATATACAGAGCCCTAAGGGTATATTATTATATGGCCCCCCTGGGTGTTCCAAAACCTTATTTGCAAAAGCAATAGCTAGCGAAATAAACATGAATTTTATAAGTGTTAAAGGACCAGAAATATTCTCCAAATATGTTGGTGAATCTGAGAAAACTATTAGAAACATATTTAAGAAAGCTCGAGAAAATAATCCATGTGTAATATTTTTTGATGAAATTGATTCGATAGCTGTAAATAGAAATTTAAATCAAAATTTTGTCTCCAACAGAGTCCTATGTCAGTTATTAAACGAAATTGATGGAATATACAATCGAGTAGATGTAATAATTTTAGCAGCAACCAATAGACCTGATCTAATTGATCCTGCATTGTTAAGACCTGGAAGATTTGATAGAATTATATATGTACCCCTACCAAATTACAAATCTCGATTTTCTATTCTTAAAAAGACTCTAAAGTTTTATAAAATTAATAATATGATCCATGAAAAAGGAAAAAAATACCTTCCCACAAATTCGTGCATAAGTAACAATAACGAGGAACAAATCTGTCCCAGCCATGGAAAAAAAAGTCTTTCCAAAAATAATGGAAATCAATCAGAAGTGGAAAACAACAGTGATAGTTATTACACTATAAAGAAGGGGAAAAATATAAACAAGTCTTTAAAATATTTCCCCTGTAATAATTCTAAAGAGCAGATTTCTAAAGAATTAGAAAAAACAAGAAACGATAATTATCAAATGGAGAATGAAAAACATTACAACGAATGTAACGTAGATTCGTATACTCCAATGTGTGGAAAAAGTGGAGATGTGGAAGAAAAATTGCCTGATCATAGTATGTATGGCAAAAAGGGGGATGATAAAGCAAAGTTAAATGTAAATTATTCACCATCGAGAGAAAATTCTGAACACGAGTTAAACAATAGTAGAAACATTAGGGGGAACAAGAAAAAAGAAAAAAATCTGAATGAAAGTAATTTTATACAACTATGCGAATTTTTAGCGAAGAATACAAAAAGATATAGTGGTGCAGAAATTGTAAATATTTGTAGAGAGGCATCAATATGTGCATTAAGAGAAACTCTTAAAAAATGCAAAAATGAAAAACAAATGATAAGGGGTTCATTTCCCACAAGTTCTTTTGTTGGTCTTAGAAAGGATCATTTTGTCAATGTCTTAAAAAAAATTAAACCGCAAACATCCGATAAACTTATAAATTTCTATAAAAATTATAAAGAACAAAAAAAGAGATAAAACTGCAAAAAAAAAAAAAAAAATAAATAAAAATAAAATAAGTAGAAAAAATAAAATAAATAGAAAAAATAAAATGTAATGCGGGGAGGAGATACAGGGAGAAAATGAGAATCCTTTTGCTCTATTACTCCCGTTACCAAAATCTATGCTATTACAATGCTGCATATACAACGTAGTAATTTTCTTTTTATAAAATCCATAATATAAATATAAAAAAAAAAAAAAAAAAGTGCAAATGAAAGTTCTCACATTAAGATAATTTTTTCGTTATTTTATTTTTTTTTTTTTTTTTCTCCTATTTTTAATTTTGTGTGAATTTATGCCATTACATCACACCCATATCAAATTTTTTTTGAAATAATTTATTGCTCATAATTTGTTTTTGTTACTTCAGAAAAATGTGTACACATGTAGGTTATCTCATTAAAAGATCGATTCGTGCGTGTACGGACATTTATGAAAACGGGGTAAAATATGTGTATGAAAAAACGTTTCTTTCAAATTTAATTACAGTCCATCATCCACAACGGTAAAAATGATTCTAATACATTGCTCTCGTTTTACTCTTGTGCTTTACATTGTATTCGTCTTTCATGTACTCACACATCAGAATGCGAATTTGTTATGTGTTTTTTTTTTTTTTTTTTTTTTTTATCACAAGGTGATTGGAAGCAGATATTATATACTACGAGACGTTACCCAATGAGCTCTTCCGCAAATCACTTCTCTTCTGCAAATCGCTTCTCTTCACATTCCCAGTTCACAACAGCACAATGCCAACGTGTGCGGGTGGAAAGGATGCACACTTCCAATTGTACAAATAGTACTTGAGTGAACCATCCCCCTCACCGAATTTCAAGTCCTCAAAGACAGACTTATTTTGCATAACTTCGAGGGCGTTAAAAACGTCGAAATTATTTTTTTTGGCTAGAAGAATTGCATCTTGCATTAGATTTTTAAATGTGGTCGTAGTGGTTACATTGTAAAAAGAATATGCAGCATTTAAAGTACTATATTTATCATTTCCTAAAATTTGGGATGGTAGAGAATAGAAAGAAATCATATCTGTTATTTCTCCAGATTCTACATTTACATACGTATAAATAACATTATCAATTGGGATAAACCAATGAGCAATTTCTTCTTTGGTAAAAACAGCATATAAATTAAATTGCTCTAAGTAACTATTTAACAATTTATGTACTCCTTCAATATCTTTTTTTTTCATTAATCTCATATTTTTTAAATTTAATGAATCATTTACTTTATATAATTTAATAGCTCTACTCATAGTTAACCTAGAATTTAAAGATGAGAAACCTATTTCAATTAATTTTTTCACATTTATAGATCTATGATAATATCTTGCATCACTTACTGGTTTTGGTAAATACACACCAGCTGTATAAATTGCTTGCCATATATTTTCTAAATTTATTCTTCTTGTAATTTCTTTAATTAATACTGGTGCTAATCTTTTGGATCGTAATGTTTTGTGAACACATAAAAAATTTACTTCTGCCATTTTTTTAATTTTCTTATGAATACATATATCCGTTGGAATTGCACTTATAAACCCAATTAATTTATTAGATGCATCATATTTTACACCAATATGCCATGATTTTAAATAATTTGGAGACGTCAACGCCCATAATAAAAACTCAGACGAGTAATTAAAACGAAAAATATTATCATCATCCTCTACGTAATTATCTGTTAATAATGTATAAATTTCACTACGGTCCTTTTCGCTCTTTACATCACACACGTACCATGAATATCCTGAAGGAAGTTTATATTCATCCTGTAAAACAGGGGAAATAATAAAAAAAAAAAAAAAAAAAAGAGAGGCATGGGAGGTGGGAGATACACAAACAAATTATTAAAAAAAGGGATAACAGATTATATCTTGAATAGGATATTTAACCTCTAGAACTGGAAAGAAATATGAACATTAATATACATTAGAGAATTTAGCCCGGTTCTAAAATTTTTTTTATCAACTTTGCAAAAATAAAAAAAAAAAGTCTTCTCTTACTTTTCGGACATCCTCAACTTTGTTATCACTTATGAATGGCTCGTTCACCTGAACAGGTAGAGGAAAATTGTGCAAAAAAAAAAAAAAAAATAAAATAAAATAAAAATAAAATAAGCTTATTCATATGTATTGTGTAGGTAGATTTACATACAACATATGTTCTTTCACCCAATTAAGTAAAAGGGGAAAAGGACAGAAATATCCACATGCGTGAAAATTATCTATCCACAACAGGGGGAGAAATTAAAACCTTCATAATTCATTACCGATTCGTTAAATTCGTCATTTATTTTGGGAACAGGTTGAGTGTACCAAAATTTGTAATCAATTTTTATTTTATCCTTTGCATTTTTTATTAACTGGTATATATCTTTTCCAGAAAATTCCTTCTAATGTAAGGGATGTGTAGGAGCAAGAAAAAAAAAAAAAAAAAAAAAAAAAAAAAACGGAATAACAAACATATATGTATATATAAATAGGTGTATAACGAAAGGTATATGGTCTGCGCACAAAATCTCCTTCCTAATGAGGAGAGAAATATGCACCCGTCTGTTTTTAAAAACATTATTCAATCATAATCCATATCCTGTGTCCATTTCATGCAAGCACATCCACCTTTCTCTCTTTCTTTTGGTTCTTACATTATCATCATTCATTGTTTAGTTATCAATCTGCCTGATTTTTCCTTTTTCTGAAGAAGGACAAAACTACGTAGTCTCTCAATATATGCTGGTGTACATATAAGTATACACAACTATACATATAAAACCCAAACATGCGTACATACATGTAGGTATAAGCAAAATATGTATCTACACAAATTCTCCCCTTCAATATGCAAAGAGTGGTTAATATCGGTACATGTCACTTGTGCTCGTTGGGTAAACCTATCCCCTCCCGTGTGAAGCGTGTCAAAATGTATGAACTTTGTGTAGTATATAAACTGTGATACGAATATGGGACGTGCTAAGAGAATTAGTATGGGCATAAGATTCATGTAAAATTGTATATTTATATGCACACATAAGGTGGTAAAAACGGTTAGTCGTCAATGGGGAAAAAAATTAAAATTTATCAATTCGGCAAATTTAGCGTATGCCTCCGTAGCATGCCATATGAACGGTATGATATGATCTCATGCTGATTTAACATGCACTCCTATGGGGTGTGATAATTGTTATTTACCAAAAATTAGCAAAAATTGGGAAACCCTTCTTATGAACTTGCTAAATTTTCAAAAAATTCCATTAATTGACATAAGGCCGATGCACTAATTGCATAATGTGCCCTTCACCTTATTTAAGAGAATTTTCACTTTCGTATTTTATTATCATTTGTATTTAGAGAGAATAATATTATATAACGGTATAGCACCATTTTGAGTGAAAAATTTTGTGTATTATCAAAACAAGATTCATTGCCTCACCATAATAAATATGTATGGTTCCCTTCGAAACGTGAAAAAAAAAAAAAAAAAAAAAAAAACAGATAAATGGATAACAAAATAAACAGATAATCTACTTTTTTAAACTTAAAAACTTAAAAATTAGGTTAGTATTAAGCAACCATGCAATACTATTAAGGGTTAATTTCTTCATCATTCCTTTGGCTAATTCGTATTGCTTTGCTTTATTTTGTGTCACTTCGTATCATTTTGTATTTGTTTGTTTTTTTTTTTTTTTTTCCTATTCTACCTTTTTTGTGCATGCAGGAAAAAGGCGGATCGCGTTGACTAATACACACCAGAAGTATAAAATATACGGTTCTTATAGTTAACGTTCTTTTTTTTTTTTTTTTTTTTTTCTTTTCTTTTTTATATTTCTATGGAAGAATGGTTGTAAAACAAAAAGGTGACGATCACTTCGAAAGTTTAATGGTGTTCCAAATATATATACACGTACATATGAAAGAAAAAAAAGAAAAAAGTTAAAAATTTCACCTTTTAAGCAAATTTATTTATACATTTATTTTTGCTTTTTTTTTTTTTTTAATTTCTCCCAGCACATATTCATAAGTGTGAACTCTCTCAGCTTCCATTTTTTAAACACCTAGCTAATTAAATGCACACTTTTTTTTTTGCATACCCCACATTTTTAATTATATAGGTGGGAATTAAACAAGTGTTGTGAATTACAAAATTGAAGAACTCGATCCGACAAAACGTTCGAAAGGAAAAATACCACGAAATAGAAAAAGTGTGCAAAAGAACTCTTAAGATTTACTAGCATGTGAACAAATTGCTTGCACTACCATTGCTCCTTTGTGAGGTAAGGCATGGGTATGATAAGGAGATATTTTCCAGTAGTTCTCTTTCTATTTCTCCTGTTTTTTTTTTTTTTTTTTTTTATTTTTCCCGCAAGTTAAAAAATGTTTTCCCCATGTACATTCGAAAATTGCATCTTTAGTTTGAAGAAAAATAAAAAAATTGTGAGGTTTCCGTTGTGTGACACTACAAGAAAAGAGCTTAACATATATACAGAATATATACAAATTTGTAATAATAAAAGTGGGGTATATATAAAATGACACAATACTTAATTCCATTTTTTTTTTAAACATTTATGAAGTTATAGAGACTGCCATCATTGAAATTATATATTCATGTTTTTAAAATAAAGTTCTTCCTTTTTTAAACATTTTCATTATATATTTGATTAATGGGGTTCTATAATTCTTTTAATTTCGAACGTTTGTCCAAAGGTATTGTATTTTCTTCATGCGTGTATTAAGTACTACTAATTTATACATACCAATCTTTTTCACATTTTTTTTTTTTTTTTTTTTTTTTTACTTTTTTAAACAATTTTCACTACCTTTCAACTTTTTAACAATTTTGAAAAAAATAAAAAAAAAAAAAAAGAAAAAAGATAAAAAAATAAAGGAGCACTGAAATAGTGAAACAAAAATTAAAAAGAAAGTGTATATAAAATTTTTTAAAATATATGGGAACATTTAAAAACAAAAAAAAAAAAAAAGCGAGGAAAAAAAAAGAAATGCAAAACTACGAAACATCTCTTATTTTTTGCTTACAGTTTATGAAGCGTAAAAAATGATTAATAATCTTTCAAGTTCCCTTTCACATTTGATCCTTGTTTCTTTTTTTTTTGTTTTATTTTATTTTATTATTTTATTTTTTTTTTTTTTTAACCTTTTTTAAAAGCACACCTTGAGATACATACTTTATGTGACCATCATCTCTGTTCAATTTTCCAAAAAGAAATAAAAATAGAAGATAGTAGTCGTAGTATAAAGCTGAAAATAAAGTAGCAGCAAAGTAGCAACACAAGGAGCAGAAAAGAAGTGAGGGCAATAGCTGCAAGGGCTGTAAAATAAAACGTGCATTTTTACGTAACCTGAGGAACGAACGCAATGAATTACAGAAAACTTCTAAGATAACAAAGGCTCCGCGAAATAACTTGAAAAGAATTAAAATTAAGAGTTTCATTTTTTTTTTTTTATTTATTTATTTATTTTTTTTTAAATACATTTTACATTATACTCTTGCACAAGTGCAACAAAATCAAAAGATGGTAACATTGAAAGAGGCAATATCAAATGTGTTCACCAACTTGAATGTAATAAACGAGAAAAAATTAGAAAAGAAAAAAATACAGCTTCAGCAATTAAAAAATTTCGTAACATTTATTATACATAACTCTAAAAAAAAAAAAAAAAAAAAAAAAAAATGTGCAACCATACTTGTTCATTGCATGCATAAATACGTGTATTTTTGAGTGAACTATACTTTCTATGTATTGACAAATGTTAGAAAGTAGAAAGGGAGATTTTTAAGTGTGTCTCTTTATCTCCCATTTGCTTATCTAGCATTATGCTTAACCATTACGTATGCATTAAAAGAGAAAATGATTTCGAATGTGTTTTTTCCCCCAATACTATATATGTACACATAATAAGACATAAACATGTATATACATTTTAATTTTGAACATGTAGAATGAACAAAAAAGGGAAATACTCAACGTCTTGGTACACATTCTTCAAAAGTAAAAGAAATATGAATTTAAGAAAATGCACACAAATAAATACACGGAAACGAAATACATCGGACCATTTAGAGACTTGTATATATGAATACATTTGTATTTATTATCATATGCGTACATGTAGTGCTTCCATGAATATATGTGCACACTCGTGTTCATTTCTTTCTCTTCAGAATAATTGAAAATCCTTCCAGGGCAAAATTTCGATCTTTAAAAAAAGACAATAAAACGTTTATTAATAAGGTACAAAGAAGGAAAAAAATAAATTCATGGCATTATTCAGTTTTTTTGGAAATTTTTGTTTCATTTATTTTTTTTGTCTCCAGTTCAGAATAATCCGCACATAAATATATTTATATGTATACATGGACGTCTGTTTTATATATGCTTGAGCGTCTGTTTTATGCATATTTAAATGTTTGCATTATGTATATTTAAACGTTTCTGCCCTTTTTCTTCCTTTAATAGCTCGTGCGTTTTAATGGAGCAGACGTTGTCCTAAGGTGCCTTGGTTTTGAGGAGGTAAAAATGGAAAAATTGCGAAAAGGAAAAAATGTTAACCTCATGGGATGAAATGATGTCAACAATTAATGATTTTTTTTTTTTTTTTTTTTTTAACGTCTTCGTTATAATTTCCTTTTGAAGGATGAAGAAAAATGGTTCTTTCCAGTTTCAAAAGACATCACATTGACAAGGTACAAAAATATATAAACCATTTGGTCCATTCTGTTTAAGCAACCTCATATGTTTATGTGTTTGTGCCTATACCTTTTTTTTTTTTTTTTTTTTTTTTTTTTTTTTTATGTTTCTCGAAATATGATCATGTTTAATACACGGTTAATATCTTTATACATACTCAGGAATCTTAGTGAAATCCAAGAATTGGGAAAAGACAGTGTGTATATGGGGAATAGGTCAGAATCCGTTTTTGAACAGAATCAATCAAATTATTTGAAGGAGTACAATAGTTCCTTGAATGGTTATAATATTTCTTCCAAATTAAATAAAAATGAAGGAATTATAAAAAATAATTCAGATGAATTAAAGTTAGGTGGCTTATCAAAAAGAAGATTAGAAAAAGAAAGATTGGAATTGTTAAATGAAAATGAAAATACAATTAAATTAATACAAGAATACTCAGATAAGTGGATAATTCAAATTAAAGGAGCAGAAAATACTTTATATTCAAATGAAACATTCAAAATGCAATTTAAGTTTACGGAAAAATATCCAATAGGTAAACTTAACTTATACCGTTCTTGAGAAAAAGAAGGAGAGAAATAATAATTTTTTTTTGACAAGCATATGCTTGTCTATATTTACATTTCATGGAACATGTCCTAGTTTATATGTTTTTCTAATCCTGCACCCTGCCTTACCCCAATTTTTGCACACGATCAAAGCAAATTTATATTTTACTAATCATTACTTATAAACTACTCCATATCCAGTAATCATCGCCACATATTTACTATCCTATTTTGCAGAAAGTCCAGAAGTAATATTTATTGGAGAACCACCAATTCATCCACATATTTACAGTAATGGTCATATTTGTTTATCAATTTTATATGATCATTGGTCACCTGTTCTTTCAGTTAATTCTATATGCTTGTCTATTATATCCATGCTTTCAAGTTGCACCAAAAAAAGAAAACCAATCGATGACATGCTTTACTGTTCTGCTGGGCACAAAGTTTCTCCCAAAAACATGAGATGGATGTTTCATGACGATAAGGTGTAATAGCTTTTTTCCCTGTATCTTGAATCATGGGGTAAAAAAAAAAAAAAAAAAAATGGATTATATTGGAATATAATAAATTTTTATCCTTTTTATTATTATTATTATTTTTTTTTTTTTTTTTATTTTTTTTTTTTTAGTATGTGACAGCTCTTTCTTTATGTTTGAATGTACAAATTTTTTCCTTATTCAGAAAATTAACCAATTGGCAGTTTTTAGCAAATTGGAGAACATAACAAAAGGATGGAAAACCCTTCAAAAAAAAAAAAAAAAAAAAAAAAAGAAAAAGCACAGACAGTTAAAGCAGGGTGATTAGGCATTTTATGTTTGTATTTACCACTTCTGGTCCGTATCCTTTTTTCTTTTTTCTTTTTTTTTTTATAATTGTCATTTTCATTTTTTACTATTTTTTACATGTATATTGAATAAAATGTGATGTTACATTTTTTTCGAATTATGTCTAGCTAATTTATTAAACATTAAAGAAAATTTCCCATATGTTTGCTTTAATGCGTCCGAATTTTTTTTTTTTTTTTTTTTTTTTTATTTATTGTTAATGTACCAATTCGTTTTATGCCTTTTTTTTTTTTTTTTTTTTTTTTTTTTTTTTTTTTCAATTTTTTTTTTTTTTTTTTTTTTTTTTTTTTTTTTTTTTGGCTTTTACACCTTATCACGACAGTTGCTATTATTTCAGCTGCAGTGTTTGCGCATGTTACATTTACTTCTTTCATTTTTACGTTCGCTGCTGCTGCAATTGATACTGTTATTTTTTTTTCTCCCTTTTTTTTTTTTTTTTAATTAGCACAACTTATCCCCAGATTTTTTGTTAATCTGAAGCGGGACGATATAACGGTCCTGTTTGAATATCTCCATGAATATATCTAATCGTCTGTGTGTCACCCACACTTATACACACACACACACACACATAAACATGTATACATGCATACGTATATGCGTGGATCTAATAATAAGGAATGCTAGTACCAGAGATTATTCCCCTATTTACACGTTCCAAAATATATGACCCACAGTAAATTCACATTCATAAGCAATGTCTCCTCAAGCACACAAAATACAGATGATTAACAAAACAATTTTATGGGAGTTGAATAACCCTATATGATTTGCAAAATTAATTAAAACGCTACCCATTTTCCTTCCCTTTCACTTCTCTTCGTTTCGTTGCGCTTCGTCTCTATCTCTTTCTTTCTCTCTTTCTTTCTCTCTTTCTTTCTTTTTTTTTTTTTTTTGATCTACCAATGTAATAACAAAAATTTATGCTCCATTTTAGTTATTTTGAAGAAAGTAAAGAAAGACATGGAACGGGGAAGTTTTTTTTAAAAAAAGTTGTAGAATTTTTTACATGTTTTGTCTTGTACATTTATGCAAGAACATGGAGGGATAATGTCTCATATTCTCATATGAAAAGGGAAAAAACATGAACGAGAAATGAAAATATATTAGAAGAACAAAAAAATTGAAATCATTTTTTTTTTTTTTTTTTTTTTTCTCTTTTTTTTTCTTGTTTTTCCCATCTTTTAGCATTTGAGAATGTGTAAATTTTGATAAAGAAACAAACACAATATATTAATAAATAAAAAGGATACGTAAAAATTTAGACCATAGTGAGGAGAATACATATATGTATATATATATGTATGTATACATGTACGCGCACCACATTGCTGCGCAGAAAAAGAAGGTAGTTCATTAAGTCAGAGGCATATTGAAGTTTAACTTTATGGAAAAGGAACTAGCATTAATTAGACACATGGGTATACATATATACACACACATCATTTCTTTTTTATATTTTCACCTTTACAAATCACTAAGCATATTTTATGGGTTGTAAGCGTACCACAGATACATGTGTTTTATTACCTTAATTTGGAACTTTTGTTATATATCACTTCTTTGCATCACATCTCTGCATCATCTATGCTTTTTTTTTATATACCCCGACGCAAACATTTTAGGAAGATGTTAATGAATGCAAATGTTAGTGAAATATCTTATTGTAAATGTACCCGAAAATAGAAGTTATTGAATTTTTTTCATTTTCTCCAATGTTACTTTGTGGTATGCTAGCGTCGTATGGCTTATTTATTTTGTTATACTCCTTAGAGTTGCAATTCATCGATTTATACTTGGCCTTTTTGGTTTTATTTTGAAAAGGAGAATTTTTCTCACTGTGTCTTTTTCCTGGTCTTGAGTGTTGCAAATATTCCTCTGTTGGCATGTTTTTGTGTAGAATTTTTAACATTTCAAGCTCCTCTGATTTACTCATTTCGTCTGATTCGTTATCTATTAATTCGACAGAATATGCTCTTTCTAACATCATCTGTATCGTCTTTTCATCCTTGACAATTTTATTATTTTTTTTATTTTCCCTATTTCCATGGGTTATATCTATTCCCTTTTTTTGATAATTTTCGGACATTTGTGGATGGTGCCCTAATTCCTTTTCGCATATCTTTTTATACATTTTTTCATTTCCATCTGTATTAAACGAATTATTGGTGGTTTTATTTGTTCTCTCTAATTTATTTTTAATTGTTATATTTTTTTGAGATAAATTATTATTTTTCGATAAATTATTATTTTTCTTTTTATTTATTTTTTTCTTTTTTGTTAAAGCATGATCTTTTTGTACAAATTTTACTTGCTTTAATTTATTCTTTTTCATGGATTTTTTAGTTTCTTTGAGTTCATTTGTCGTCCGATTATTACTGATATATACATCTTCTTTTTTCTTCTTCTTTTTATTCTCGTTCGTATTATTTCTTCTATTAATAGAACAGTTTTGCTTGTTCCTGACGCTATGATTCCCTTTCATAGAAAAGGATTTGCTGATTATTAAGGAATTAAATTTATTATAATTTGTACTTTTACATTTTGTTATTCTGTCTAAAGAAATGTTAGACCTTTGTTTAACTAACGTAGTATTTTGAAAAAGTAAAATATTTTTTTTCTTTTCTTCTTTTTTCCATTTCTTCACTTTAACAAAAAGTTTAGCTACTTCTTCAGCATACATCTCTAAATACAAAGACACTTCATTTTTTATAGAATTTACATAATGGCTTCTCATTGAACTTGCGCTATGGCTAGTTACTCTGATTTCTTCAGCCTTCTTCCAGTTAATTTTTTCATTTTTCAGTTGGTGTTCATAGGCATATAAAAATATTCTTTTAGATTCATCAATATCATACGCCCTTATTTTGGTTTTCTTTTTCGTAGCCCCTTTTTTCACCATCGTTCGTTTTTTTTTTTTTTTTTTTTTTTTTATACTGCTTTATTATTTTGTTACTATTTTATTACTCAATTATTTTGATATTACTTTATTCGATTTTATTTTATTTTTTTTTTTTGTTTTTCTTTTTTGACTTCCCACTTTCTCTTCCTAAGGCCCATTTCAGTATAATCTGAATAACAAAATGATAGAGGATAAAAAAAAAATTTTTCACTTGTCAGAAGTTAGTGAACATTCAAAAATTAAGATAATCCATTATGTCTATTTCTCAATTTCTTCAAATGTGCTTAAGCAGATTGTGTAAACTAAAAATCATTATTCGTAGCATGTGTAAGAATAAAGTAGGAACTGTTATATTTGCTTAAGATTCAAGAAAACATGAATACGTATTCATTTGTTAATTCTTACTGGTATCTAATGTTCTATACACATGCCACACTTCAAAGAAGTATCAAAAAAAAATTCAAAGTAGAGGAGATGTTAGTGTTTGTAAAAGGCTGCTTTAATTTCCTCGTTTCTTGTGCATACGTTGAGACACACACAAGAGAGATCCAGTAAGAGAAAAAGAAAAAGTTGGTTTTGTCAATTCGGTAGAAAAATTTTAAAATAAAAGTTTCTTCATGCAATATATATAAAGACCTCTTCGATAGCAGTTCTTTGTACCGGTATTGTGTCCCATACTGTGTCTAAGTCGTGATGTTTAATTTAAGGTACATATTTCATGGGTTCCCTTTTGGAAAACGTTATTAAAAACTTCAAAAAAAAAAGTTATGCAATTTTTTTTTTTTTTCCGCTTTTTTTTTATAAACTATTAATAAATCATTTTTATGCTTTCCATGTGTGACATATTTAATGGTATACATATTATTTACACATATTTACAGCTATCAATGCGGTAGATGTTATTAATTTGTTTATTCGTATATTAATTTGTTTATTCGTATATTAATTTGTTTATTCGTATATTAATTTGTTTATTCGTATATTAATTTGTTTATTCGTATATTTATTTGTTTATTTATTTGTTTATTTGTTTATTTATTTTTTTGTTATGTGAACATATAACACTTATTACTGCATTTGAAAATAATTGAAAAAAAATATATATGCATGTATATACATATTTATGTTTGATATTATAGACGTGACTATAACTGAGTAACTGCTTTTTTTCCACCCACTCCCCCACTCATTACTACAATGTTAATAGTGTGAATGGCTAATTAGTATTCATTTAAATTAGATGCATTTCCATTTTCAATAGTTTAATAAATCTTATATCATTTTATGCCTAAAATATTATGAACTAGTTTTATTTTTATTATTTTCTTTTTTTTTTTTTAATGTCACTTCAGGTGAATATTTGAATTTTTCACTAAGTGTGTTTCTCCCTTTTGCGTACAAAAATGCATAATAGACATGGATTGTTCTCCCTGTGCACCTCTAAATGTAAAATAATATTTCTCCATTGATACTCTCTTATGTATTTATATTCTAATGTCTATACCTGAACAGACATAGATCCTTTTGTAGTTGGATATTCCTATTTGGCATTTTTCTCTCGGACTTAAGGAGAGATTGATTATATCAGTAGAACTCCTTTTATTTTTTTATTTTATTTTATTATTTTATTTTATTATTTTATTTTATTATTTTATTTATTTTTTTTTTTGTTATTTTATTTTATTATTTTATTTCCTTTTTTTTAAGTAAAATTCACACAAAGCGTCTGATTCAAGCACTTTTCTATCTCCATGAAAGTGTGTGCATATCACTGTCAGATCATAGACATGAACATTAACATGTGTTTTGCCTCACTTTTTTATTTGCAAATGTGCAGGTATATAAATGCACATTCAAAGAGCTCCCATTTTTACTATTTTTCTTATAATTATGAAGCACACAAAACATTGAAATGGTAAAAAATATTTCCCTAATAAATTGGGGTAATTCATTGCTCAGTCATCTCAAACATGATAGTTTATTCCATATTTTCTATGCACTTGTGCACGAAAAAAAAAAAAAAAAAAAAAAAAAAAAAGACAACACTGATTTTTTTTTTTTTTTTTTTTTTTTAATGCCTTTTTTTCTCCCCATATTTTGAAAAGAACAATGGGCACCCATTTTACAAATTAAATTAGTGCCTATAGCTTAGTTTCATTCAATTATAAGAAACAGATAAAAGAATCGAAAAAGAGCTCCCAAAAAGGCTAAAAATAGCACTATAAATTGGAGAAAATCAGCTCAACTTTTTTACACGACTCCTAACCTTTTATAGTGCAAAAAAGAGAAAAAAAAAAAAAAAAAGAATAAAAACTACTGAATCATGTAAAAATCAAACTTTATTATTTAAAACACGTCTAAATTTTGTCATAACTGCAATTATAAAGTAAACTATTCGCGAAGATACATTAATGAAAAGTACACGCCTTATTGCCAACAAAAAGAAAAAAGAAAAAATGCGTTATATACTTATGAACAATTAGACAAGCCTCAAATTGTCACATTATTTTCTTATTTCTAATAGGAAAATTTGAAATGAATAGATAAATTAGAATTATAAGAATATTATCGCAAAAATGCATTACTTCTGCGTATAAAAAGACAAATGTAACATTAAGAGCTTACACCAAAAATGGATAATTAATTTGCGTTTTTCATATCTATCCTTAAGAAAAGGGCCATTATTCTACTTTTTTTTTTTTTTTTTACATATGCTTGTCTAACCGAATAGATAATGCATGAATCATGTTGCACAAAATGGGATTAACATTTTTGGTAATTGTTAAATTTTTTGTTAACCAACTAGTTCAATAAGACCAAATAAAATATAACAAAACAATATAGCAATAGTGGGAGTAGTAGTAGTAGTAGTAGTAGCAATCAAATGTCATGATTGAAGAATTGGCAGATTTTTGCATATCGGTTCATGTCTCTACGACTAAAGGTATGTCTAAAAAAAATGGCACACTGTACACGTACCTAAATTGTACAAGTTGATATTTTTCCTTTTTCTTTTCTTCTCGTCCAAGTTTATTACCATTTATTTTTCCTTACACACTTATCATTTCTTTCTTTATGATTCGTTATTCTCTAGGTTAACAATGGATCCCTTAAAAAAGAAGAACAAAAATTCATTAGAGTAATTTTCAGATGATTTTCTCATTCTTGCATCAGTTTGGTTGTGATTTATTTGCATTTTTTTCTTTTTTTCACGCTTTTCCTTTTTCTTCTTCGCGAACTTTTCGCGAACTTTTCCCGAACGTTTCACATTTTTGGGTACTCTTTTTTATGAACCTCTATTGGTGATAGCATGTCGGCTTTTTTTTTATTTTCCATTTCATTAGGTGCTTATCTAAGGAAGATGTAGAAACGCTGATAAGAAAATGTTACAGGGATAAGTTGGTATATGGTTATATAGAGAGATCCATATGGAGGAATGAGGGAGAGAAAATGGAAGAAAAAAAAAAGAAAAGAAAAAAAAACATACATGTAAGAGAAATGATGCAAAAATATATCCATGTAAAAGTAAGGGAGAAAGAATATGTATACTCCAGTGGAAAGCACATCCATTTTGCTCTTGTCCAAATTTATTTTCATAGGGTTTGTTAAATGGAAGGACTTTAATAGAAAAGATTTCAAAGAAAGATATTCAGTAAATACTTTTAAAAATATATGGAGAATGATAAAAAGGAAGTAAGATTCTGAAGATGATAGAAGCAAAATTTATGACAACAGGATCTAGTTAAAATGTTTTTGTAGGCAAATGATTCAACTCTCTTTATTTTACTTTTATGCAAATGAGACTAATCTAGTTATTCTACGTAAATGAACATTGCAATGATTTTTTTGAGGATGTATCCCTTTGTAAGTTTTAAACTCTGTTATCTGAGTTTGGTCTAGACTTTGTCAATTTTTCCTTCATTCTTCTGCACATGTTATGGGCTTATTCTGCACCTCTTCTAACTTCTCCACAGATTTGACATGTACAAAAAGGAATACCATGATGTGATGCAGGAGGCGGAAAAAGAAGCTAAAGACATAATAATAGAAAACAAGGAAAGAAAGAAAAAGGAAAATTTAAATATATTAATCCCATTAAACTCAAAAATATCGCAATCAAACATATCTTTGTTAAGAAATTTCACCAGAGTAAATAGTTATATATTCAAAACATTTAGTAATTATTACAGCCCTTTGAACAGTTCTAAGGATGGAAGTCCATATAATTTTGTATTTCCAAATAAAGAGAGACTATCGAAAGATAAAGAGAAAGAAACAAAAAAAAGAATAGATTATATAAAAAGAAACATTAAAGATATACAAAGAAGAAGTGAATTTTTAGATTTGTATTTCTTAGTGATATCGTTAATTCATGGGAACAAAAAATATGCTTTATTAAAAAAAATGGAAGAATTATATTATCAAAATAAATTAATAAAGTGTTGCAATAATTTAAATCATATACATAATAATAATATACTATATTTTATAAAAAAAATTTTAGAAATTAGTCTAGTAACATCTAATAGCTTAAAAAGTGTGTATACAAAAACTTTAGAGAAAAAATTTGGTAGTAGTAAATATATTGATAGCAAAAACTGTGTCATTGTCGAAATAAATGAAATTACTTACTCTTTTAATAAAGATTTTATTAATTATAATAACTTTTTTCATTTATTTAAAAAAAATCTACATTTTACTTGTAATAAAGTAGTTTCTTTTTTTATTCCCCTTCCGAAGAAACCCAATCATTTGACTTTTAAAAATAATATTTTTTATTATTTCGATAGCCCTATATTTATAAGTACAAAATTAGATGAAGATATATATAATTACATTTATATAATTCATAAATTTTTTCTTTCATTTAAATTCTGGCTATTTTATATGACATACCAAGGAATAGACAAAATGAAAAATCTTTTTAACAAAGAGGTTGAAGAATTAAATTCATTTTTCGAAGCAAATTGCACAAGAAGAGACATATCTAAGAAGGATAGGAACGAAATTTATAATTTTAGAAAAAATATTAACACTTTTTTACTTCTATTTGATCAAAACATTCAGAATATAATTTCATTATCCCTTTATGCCATCAAACTGTATATGAAAAGGCGAAAAAAAAGAGATATCACATATTTCAAAATTCTCAAAATATTGAACTTATCTCTTCATCCTGTTTGTAAAAAAAAAATCATGCGCTCGTATCCCATCCATCTTAAATTTATTCATTCTGTTTTTCTAAAAGTTCGTCCTTCCTTTCAGAAAAAACAAGTGTGCCATGGTCGAGTGTGTTAAGACTAGTGCTGTGTATGTGTGTGTGTGTGGGATGGAATGAAAGTTCTCTAATGAATAGTCCCTCACACCATACCCACTCCACCCCTCACATATATATATATATATATATATATATATATATATATATATGCACTTACGTATGTTTACAACAGGTGTAGTAAATTCCGTTCATAACACTTTGAAAGAAATTCTTGAAATGGCCCAGCGCCCGGTTAAGCAGATATTTGCAAGATTCATCCCCCCCTCTATCATTAAAACTTATAGACTCTTTTAATATTGAATAGGCTTTTTTTTTTTTTAATAATTTTAAGTATCTAAGTTTTTCCTTTTTTTTTTTTTTTTTTTTTAATAATATAAACGTGTAAAAATGCATATGAATGTATGTGTAGGAAGGATATGTAAACACGAACAGACACGGGTGCACATATATAGGTTCGTAAGAATTGGAATGGATGCGTGTTTATATACACATAAGTTGTTATGTATATATATGTGCATACCTATATATATACACGTACACTTTTCTTGTGTGTGATTTTTTTTGAAAAACAACTTTTTCATGACTTAAAAAATAATATTTTAAGAGATTAATCTATAATAGTTGTAGAAAAAACATAAAAAGCAAAAGAATTATTCTTCTTTAGGGAGTTTTTTTTTTTTTTTTTTTGTTTTAAAATTTGGGTTAAACCACATCCATGTCGGTTTCTCTTTTTTTTTTTTTTTTTTTTTTTTGCACTTTTTCTTTTGTTTATCCTTTTGACACCCTTTTTACTAGACCATATATAACTGGATTAAAAAATGTTTTGCAGCATGCTTTATTCTATTTATTATTTTTTCTGTATATGTTAATTCATTTTTGTTCCACTTTTTCTTAGTTTCAACAAATTATTATGTGACGATTTGGTTGAGCATACATCATTTTCGATATTCTATACACGATCAGGATGTAGCAGTGTCTTAGTTAATTTTTTTTTGTTGTTGTCTTTTTTTTTCTTTTTCTCATTTTCTCCTTTTAGGTATACATAAATAGCCATCAATTTTAATAGAATTCTTCTCTCGATTTTGTGCATTACTTCTTAGTTTTCTGGGTTTTCAAAATATTTTTCTTAACCTTTTTATCGTCCTTTTTATCTGATTTTTTATCGTCTTTTTTGTCTAATTTTTTATCGTCTTTTTTGTCTAATTTTTTATCGTCTTTTTTGTCTGATTTTTTATCGTCTTTTTTGTCTGATTTTTTATCGTCTTTTTTGTCTAATTTTTTATCGTCTTTTTTTTCCGTCTTTTTATCATCCTTCTTTTCTATCTTTTTGTCAGCCTTTTTATCATCTTTTTTGTCAACCTTTTTATCGTCTTTTTTGTCAGCCTTTTTATCGTCTTTTTTGTCAGCCTTTTTATCGTCCTTTTTTTCTACCTTTTTGTCAACCTTTTTATCATCCTTCTTTTCTACCTTTTTGTCAACTTTTTTATCATCCTTCTTTTCTACCTTTTTGTCAACCTTTTTATCATCATTCTTGTCAAATTTTTTTTCTACCTTTTTTTCCTTCCCCTGTTGCCCCTTACCCTTTTCATTTTTCGTGATTTTTTTTATAACTACCTTTTCGGATTTTCCTTTTTCCTTTTTTTCATCACTTTTTGACTTGTCACTTTTTTGTGCTTTAGAATCAGAAACTTTAGAATCCTTTTTAATTTTGTGTTTTCCTTTTTCTTCTTTCTTTTCATTTTTATTAATTTTCCCGTTCTTTTTTGTCTTGTCGTCTTTTTTCATTTTTCCATTTTTCACGTTTTCCTTTTGTTTAACTGGGTTAGGTGCCTTCTTGGTGTCACTCCATTTTTTGGTTTTTAGTTTGGTCATTGTTTGATTTTTATTTTTCATTTCCTGTACTTTCTTTTGTTTATCAATGGTTTTGTTTAAAGTTTTCTTTTTTAAAATAGAAGTTACAACTTTTTTATTTCTGAACGTATGCGTGTTTAATTTTTTGTAATCTAAGCTGGCTCCTTTTATTACACGGTTCATTGAAATGTTTGATCTTTGTTTAGTGAACTGTACTTTTGCTGGTGTGAGCTTCTTTTTTTTGCTTATTTTTTGTGCTATGTTCAATTTTTTTTTTTTTTTCATTTCGTTCAGCTTTTCCACATCTTTTGAGTAGTTCTCTATGAATTGGGGCAGACTGAAGGGAAAAGAAACAAAAAAGAAAAAAATAAACAGAGGAGGAAAAAAACAAACAGAGGAGGAAAAAAACAAACAGAGGAGGAATAAAACAAACAGAGGAATAAAACAAACAGAGGAGGAAAAAAATAAACAATAAGGAAAAAAGTAAACAAAGAAGGAATATTGTAAAAAAGAGTGGAAAAATAATGTCCAAAAGGACAAAAAAAAAAAAAAAAAAAAAAAAAAAAAAAAAATTCATAAGTAAGCCATTTTGCCTAAAAATTTCCAAGAATTTCTCTGTTTATACTAATAAGTCCATTTCTATGTCTAAATAATTAGAACTTTCCCCTAGTGCTCAAATTGTTCTAAATAAAAATCTCATACAACATGATATACCACTCTTCTTAGCACTGTTCAGCACTATATATATATTTTTTTTTTTTTTTTTGCCATATAACATATTACGGCTATTTTTGTAGCTCCTATTTTTTTTTTTTTTTTTTTTTTTTTTTCTTATTTATATGCGTAAAAAAAGAACATATAAATACACAAATTTGCATAAAAAATTTTGGTTATATGATTCCACATTTGTCTGCATATACAATTACGTATACATTTGCATGCCTCCTTATGTGTTACATTTTTTTGGGCTAATTTTCATTTAAAAAGGTAAAAATAAAAGTAAAAATGGGTGTATATATATATATTTGTGTATGTATATGCATGCATATATATGTAGAGAGAGAGACCTGTTAGCTATGCTGTTGTTCCATAAATTTTTCATAGTGTTTATGGGGTATTTAGTTATTTTCTTTTTTTCGGCCAATTTCCAATTAATTCGTCCTGAGTTGCGGGGTTTCGGGGGAGGAAAAGGAAACATGTATTCGTTCGTTTCTATATTTGCACACAAGCGTGTGCACTAATCACATGCACAAGCTTGTATATTCACACCTTTACATGTGTGTGTTTGGTGTGTGCTTAAATGTAGGGAGAACAAACACTTTAACTTTTTTTCAAAAATTGACACCCTTTTTTTTTTTTTTTTTTTTGGATCTTTTTATAGGTCAAATTGCTTTATTTTGTTATGTCTTTTATAATTATCGTGTGTTACCATAAAGCAGTTGCTGTTCGTAACCATACAAGAACAATTTTTTTTTATCCTTTTCATCAAAGTTTGTTCTAAAGGGAAAGATAAAATAGAGCTACTTTGAGATGGGAAGGAGTTTTTACTATTTTTTTTCCATTTTTTTTTTATTATTTTTATATATTTTCCCCATTTTTCATTTTTTTTAACATTTTTAGGTATTTTAAATGACTGAATATTTTCGTGAGTGGTTGTGCAACGCTCTTGGTGTATTTTCAGTAGTATCAAGATATTTCGATAGACGTATCTTTCTGTTATTTAGTAATATGCAGCAGGGTTAAGATTGATTAATTGTGTTCGGCCTCTTTTTTTTTTTTTTTTACCCCTTTTAGCTGCTTACATCCATTTTAATTCACACATGTTTCTGTAATTTTTTTTTTTTTTTTTTTTTTCTTTTTTTTTTCTTAACCTTTGATCCTCCATGTTTTTATTATTATCAGATGCTTTATTCATTTTGGGGACAAGCAAAAATGCTGGTGTACGGCTTGCTTAACAATTTGTTTTGGGTATATGAAAAAAGGAGATAAAACATATAGGGAATAACACAAATGTGTGTATTTACAGGAATGTATATGTGTATGTTTAGAATGTAGAGGTAGAAAAACACAAAACAAATATTCTAGGGAATGGAAATTTTCTTTATTCTGTTTTGAATTTTGGAAGAGACTCCAGCAGTGTGATATGTTCGTGTTCGTGTTTGTTTAATTTTTTCTATTTAATGTTACTTTTTATTATTATTTTATTTATTTATTTATTTTTTTTTTTTTTTGCATATATTTTTCGTATTCTTAAGCTTTCTTATTTTTCTTCCTTTTCTCCTTGTATTCCTCTCTACACTTTTGTGACTCTTCTCAACGATACACATTGAGTACTACGTTTTTCTCAGCAATTTATTGCGTACACATTCTTTTGTTTCTTAATATAAATACTTTTATTTTTAAGGGGGAAAAAAAAAGGAAAAAAAAAAAAAAACTTTTTATTAACGCGATACTCACTGAAGTACAGCGAAAGACAATTGTCTTACATGTACACTCTTTAGCGAGCGTTTAGAAAAATAGGAAAAAAAAAAAAAAAAAAAAAAAAAACGATAAAATGATGAAATGATGAAATGACGAAATGACGAAATGACGAAATGACGAAATGATGAAATGACGAAATGACGAAATGACGAAATGATGAAATGAAAATCTACAGATGCACATTTTGACTAAATTTATTTTTTCAACATGTGTTAAAATATATAATGATAAATAGGAATGTGCAAAATATTGTCAGCTTCGTTCAAAATATGGAAAAATATGGAGATACTGCATTCTATCACACCTTCTTATGTAGTCTTGGGTACCTTGCGTCGAAAACTCTGCTACATGTATTATACATATATATAAACATACATATATATAAACATATATATATATAATACATATATATATACATTTTAATTTCGTGATGTAATCGACGTTGTGTTTGGATTAGGATTTGTACATGAAGTATATATGGACGTTTGCGTTTGCGTCCTTTTGTACACCTCCTTTTATGTACATTTTCTTGTGTACTCTTATGTTTTCTCTTAGAATAAATGTTTTAATTTTTTCACTCAACTTTTTCTCCTTTTATATATCTTACAGTGGGAAAAATTGTTCGGGGGAATAGTTTTATCTTTTTATTAACATACATATATATATATATATGTTACCACTATCATAGTTCACATTTATGTTTTAAAAAAAAATTTGGAAGGTTACTTCAAATTGTTTTATAAAATGAGACCATCGTGTGGAAGTAGAAAAATAAATGGACAAACGAATGGAAAATAGATACACTTATAATTACGAAAATAATTGCACATATAATTAGGAAAATAGATACACTTATAATTACGAAAATAATTGCACATATAATTAGGAAAATAATTACACAAATAATTACACGAATAGTTACACGAATAGTTACACGAATAATTACAAAAAATAATTACGCAAATAATTACACAAATGAATATGCAAATAAATCTGCAAACAAATTCGAATTCTTTCATCTCATCATTATGCATAAACTTCCAAAAGTGATGGGGGTCTAATTTTTTTTACTCTTCAAGTGAATAATAAAAGGTATTGCATGCTACATGTTACAAAAAAATAAATAAAATAAAATAATTAAATAAATAATTTTTTCCTTGTGTGCTTCGTAAAAGCTATAATATGTGTATTTTTTTTTTTTTTTTTTTTTCTTCCACAGGTCTATTTCACCTCATTCCTTTTAATTCTTCTTCTTTTCTGGAATACTACAAGATTATTTGTCAAATGTGTGTTCTACTTTTCATATACATAACGAACATGGATGTTGTGTTTAAAAACTGGTTAATTCACATGTCTATGCATATTGATATGCGTATATGGCTCAGGTTAATATAACATTTCAAACACTTTAAACGCTTCAAACATTTTAAACGCTTCAAACATTTTAAACACTTCAAATACTTTAAACACTTGATTAAAAGGTTTCTCTCGTTTTAAGAATATAATCTTAATTATCCTTTGTACAAATTATACTTTCTCTTCACAAGAAATATTTATGCTTTTTCCTCTTTTGCGTATACTTCATTCAACCTTTCGTTTTTACAATTTTTACAACTATTTTATGCTAATTTGAAATTGTGTGTGTGTAAACATAAAGTTGTGCGTTTGCGCGCCCAAATGAATATTACCATCCTCTCTCTGTCATAATTGGCTGTGTTTTTCCTATACATCATTCTCACCTAAAATTCATTTCTTAATAACACTAAGGAATTTACTTAACCTTTTTGGACATTTTGTGTACTCGTGGACTTCTTCTCGTCTCATAGCCCTTGCAAAAACAGTACAGATAAGTCATTACACTTGTAAGAATGAACAGAAATATGCACCTGCGTGAAAATTAAACAAAGGATTAAAATGATGTTAACTGTGGAAAAGTAGCCTCCACTCTATAGCTTAAAGTGGATAAAATAAAAGGTGTGCATGTTCTTATGCATGAATTCATACTTTCTAGAAGTTATTAATAAATGCACAATCAATGGGACCTACATGTATTAGCACATTCACTGGAAGCTACAAGTACATGTACACACATCTCGTGTTGAAAAAAAAAAAAAAAAAAAAGGGATGAAACTGTGTGTGCTCATAAACTAACACATATAATATTGAAATACTAATCACTAAACATGTACACAAACGAACTGTTTAAGCCTTTTTTTTTTTTTTTTTTTTTTTTTTTTTTTTTTTTATAACGTACATGAAAAAGAAAGTGAAGGGATCACTTAATAATACCGATAATTTTGTGCATTGAAAAAGTTGGTCCTTCTTTTTAAGCAGTTCTTGAAAAACATGTTTTAGGGATTCCATTTCTTATATTTTACGTCTTTCTGTAAGTGAACAGATCTATATAACAGTTTTTTTTTTTTAACTATAAGCTTAAGTGTTCGTTTCAATGGATTTCGTGGAAACAACTTATAGGTACTCACTCAACCTTTATTCTGAATATAAAATGTTACATTTTGTTGAAAATTTTCCTCAATTATTATTATTTGATGTATAAATATAAAAATGTATGTATATATTGCGTATGTGTATAAGCATGTTTATTTTATACAGTTTATCTGTTTTTTTTTTATTTTTTTATTTTTTATTTTTTATTTTTTATTTTTTTATTTTTTTCTTTTTTGCGAAAAGTTTAGCAAGCTACAGAAAAAAAAAAAATTTTTTTTAAGTGTTTTTTATCACATGTTCTTACGTAATAAGAGCATGGCTTATGTCTCCTAGCAACACAATTAAAGCACCCTTGTATATCCATGTAATGTGCTTGTGGTGTATTTGCAATGCATTTTAAAAAGTTTTGCTCAAACGGGGTGGGAGTAAATGAAGAGATGGAAGAAAACGTACTTTAATCATATGTTTCACATGAACAGTGTTTTGCATTCGATGGTTCTCAATAAATCGTGTGCATGTGTGTTGCACGAATATGCAAATTGTGGAATCCATTACAATAAGAAGAAAAGCATGCTCCTAGGAAATAATCAAAATTATGAGCCCTCTTTTTCTTTTTCAAAGTCGAATGTAACCATACTTCCTTGCCTTTTCCAAAAAAAAAAAAAAAAAAAAAAAAATAACCTACATATACACGCAAGTTTTATGCACTTAACTATGCCTCTACACAACAATGCAGCTCACAGAAATGGAAAAAACTTAAGCATATGTATATCTATATAGACACGTATATTTGCTTATGCCCACATGTATTAGGCACTCCGTTGCATGTCCCTCTGAAGTATCCTTCCTCCATTTGCAATTCCGTAAAGGTGTTTGCTTAACTTACTCATTTTTTTTTTCTAGTGTATCCTTTTTTAACACAATTGCTTAAAAAGGCCTGAATTAATTAAGCAGTTATTCATAAGCATATATGGACACTCTCACAGACACCAATATGATCATTCACCTTTATTAGTAGAAGCAATTGTATATAATATATAATACCATCTCCCTTACATCAATATCAAGAGATGATTCATGAAATTTCATGGAAACAATAATTATACAAAATCAGAATTATATACCCGCTTTTTTTTTTTTTTTTTTTGCTTTTTCCATACCTTCCTTAATCTTACGCTAACTTCTTAGGGTATGATAACAATTTTTATCGCTTACTATATTGCTTATTCTTTCTAGCCTTTTTAAGTCCATACTTTTTCCTTTCCACTTTTCTACTATCAACTGTCATAAATTTGAATGAACGGAAATATGGTTTTATTTTTAGAGATAAATTGTAAGCTATGTATTTAACTAGGGCGTGAAAAATAGCTACACTTTGTCCTGATAAGCCTCCTCCAATAACTTTTGCCACCACATTGAAATACCTATGCATACATAAATGTAATAAAGGACTAAATATTTTATTTATGTTCAAAATTTGATATTGCAAATATTGATACCCATCTCTATTATTTATTATTAAATTATTATTTCCCTTTTGTAAAAAAACCGTAGCTACTGCTCTCTTTTTTTTTCCAGAAAAAATTAACTTTTCTTTATGTGTTTTCCTATTTTCATCAAATGAAAATTTTTCTAACCCACCATTTTCAAACATGTAATCATATTCTTCTTTAATGTCACATAATAAACCATACAAATCGCAAGACATGTACTTGTTCATAATATCTTCGTCAGTTGGCTGGATTACATTCGTCATATTTTCAATCTTATCCATTGTTGATGCTTTTTTTTCTTCCTTTTCATTGTCCTTTAAGAAATTATTTAATGTATTATTATGTACTTCTTCCTCAATATTCTGATTTATTCCTCCTTTTTGCGCGGATAGGATAGAATAGGATGTCTTTTCCACCCCTACATTATCTGCTTCTCTCTCCTCATATTTTTCTTCGTGTTTCTCTTCCTGTTTATCTACGTAATCGCTATTTTCAAATTTATGCTTATTCTTCGCAATCAAATCGCACACAACTTCATAAAAATATTTTTTCAATTCGATGTTGTAGGCACGTTCTGTGGGGAACTCGACAGGGATTTCTTGTATGTACTGATAGTTTAAATACTTGGTAATCCTATCAAATTCATTTTTATTATGCAGGTTATAAATATCAAACCGAAACTTGCTTATGTTATTAACATAGTTGTGCATATAATTACCTTCATCGAATATAGTATCTTCATAATTTAAATGAATATGTTTTTCTCTCTTATCATATGTTAACAACTCTTCATCACAATCACTTATTTTATGAATATATTCCACCTCCTTTTCATTTATTAAATCTTTGGTTAAATCAACTATTTTGTCAAAATCTTCTTTGCTTTTTATATAGTCCATTGTAATTCCATGTTCTTCATCTACCCTTTTTTCTGTTTCATCCAACTTTTTTAATTCTTCTTCATCTGTTTTTTTATCGTCCTTAGAATGTTCATAACTTTTTTTCTTTTTTGTTCCTTTTTTTGCCTTAGCATTACCTCTTCCTGTTTTAGTGTCTTTACCGCCTTTTTTGGATTGCAACTTTTCTTTGGCTTTTCGACGAAGCTCTTCTATTTCTTCTTCTGTAAATACTTTCTTATCTTTCTTCTTAACATTTGTTGTTCCATCTTTATCTTTTTTCTTTTTAAAAAGAGAAATGTTTTTTCTGTTCTTATAAGCAACATCATACCTAAAGGCTTTAAATCTACTGTGTAAAAAGAGAAAATTTGACAATTTTGTATTGTTTCCTGTGAGTATATGTAGTATTATATGTCTTATACCTTTTCCATCTTTCTTGTATTTACTTTTCCAAAAAAACACATCCAACCGCCTTATTCTTCTTGTCTTCCCATATTTAGCATGTTTTATGCTACTTATTCCTTTGCAGTTTTCATAGTTCACGTTTTCAATATTTATATGATAAAATAATGTACATAACAGAATTAATATAATTATCTTGTTATTCACATGATATAAAAACATGTTTTTAAGTTCTAGTTCTACTTCTCACTCCTGCATAACCATTCACGGTGCATTTTCCACTTTCCGTCAAATTTTAAGGGGAGCGAGGACTATGCTACTCTTATTCTCATTTACTTCTTTTGGAAATATTTATGCGTACCTCTTTTTCGCTTTCTTCTTAATGTGTTTTACGTTCTTTAATCTCTCTCCATCACCTGTTCTTTTTCTTTTTTTTCAACCCATTTGTAAGCTTTATGTTGAAAAAGGGATGTAAAAAAAAAAAAAAAAAAAAAAAAAAAAAACGATGGAGAGATATTAAGCAGGAAAGTCAAAAATTGAAAAAAAAAAAAAAAAAAGTCAATTGTGCAAGTGGGGAAAATGTTTCAATGAATAAAGCAAGGCATGTAACAAAATGACAGAATGATAGAAGGATAAAATTCATTATGCACAGTTATAATTCGAGGAAATGGACGTTCTAATCTCAATCAAATGTGCAAAAAATACTTTCTCATTTCTATGAAAAAGTGGGATGGGGTAGAGAGGGAACAAGAAATTATATAACGTGTTTATTATACATAGAATCTTAGTCATGTGCACACAAAATAAGTTAGCTTTATCAACTTTTTTTTTTTTTTTTTTTTTTTAAGCAAAATTCTACTTGTTATTTATTACATGTTCAGGCGATTCCTTAAATTGTTCATATGTTTTATGAACACTTTGTATATTTTAAAAGCGTGCTTGTTGTAGTGACTTTAAAATCCCAAAACTGACAAATAAATAAGATATGGATATCAACCCCTTTCATGATGCCTGAAATGATTTGTTTTCATAAAATGAAAATTCCTTTTAAAGCAAGAAAAAGAGAAAAAAAAAAAATTATTTTAATATAAAAGACACAAATGCGTTTGAAAACATAATGCTTTTTGCACATAAAATTATACATAATTTATCGTTATTTTGTGTTGCCAAAAAAAAAAAAAAAATTACGTTTAATTTGGTAGAAAATGGATATATATATATACAGATAGATCGAGAGAGAGTGTAACTCGCCTCACAAAAACATAATAATCTTTAATCATGATCTTCTGTTATATATCATCCAGTGAGCAACTCGTGAACAAAAATGAATCTACACATTTTTGGAATGAATTCCAAGAAAATGTACAACATTGGGGTACGCCCCTGGAAAAGTGGAGGTATCCAATGGGGGAAGATAATTCATGTGCTTATTACACACGCGTAAGGAAAATACCGAGATGAAGCATATCTAAAATAATATCCCAAATGAATTTATATATAAAAAAAATTAAAAAAATTGTTATAAAGATATCAAGTGTTGACCACTCGCTTTACCCAATAAATCAAATTTCATCCGAATTTTTGACAAATTGTGCATAACCCTTAGTTTCTATTTTATCTACTAGGGAATAGTCTCCACTTTCTATGATTTTTCCTTGATGCATGATATGAATAAAATTTGGTTGAAGCAATTCCAACAGTTTCTTATAATGAGTAACTATTAAAAATGAATTATTTACTTTAGAAAAACTAGTAATAACGTTTGAAGTTAATTTAAAAGAGTCTACATCCAAACCAGAATCAGTTTCATCTAAAATACAAAAAGCAGGCTTTAATATTAGCATTTGCAAAATTTCATTTCTTTTTTTTTCGCCTCCACTGAAACCATAATTAACAGGTCTATCTAAAAATTCTGAACTCAGTCCAACTTTTTTTATTTCATTAATCATTAAAAGATCAAATTCTGTGGCACTTATCTCTGGCTCATTTCTTTGTCTCCTATGGCTATTTAATGCGGCTCGTAAAAATTCATTATTTTTTACCATTGGTAATTCCACAGGGTATTGAAAAGCTAAAAATATACCACAGAGTGATCTCACATTAACAGCTAATTCGTTTAAATCTAATCCTTTAAATTTCATAGTGCCATGAGTAACTTTATAATGTGGATGGCCGGCTATAACTTTCGCAAGTGTTGATTTTCCGGAACCATTTCTTCCCATGATTGTGTGCTTTTCACCTAAATAAATTGTTAGATTTATTCCTTTCAATATTTCTTTTCCTCCTTCTACCTCTATTGCATGCAAATTCTTTATTTCTATTAGTGGCATTTTTTCATTCCATTCAGGGGATTGTGTAAGAACTTTTGATTCATCATCTAAATTTTGTAATAAGGACAACCTACTAGCGTCTTCATTGGAATTCTCCATATGTAGTACCACATTAATTCTTTTTCTAAATTTTTTATTTTTTATTTTATTTAATAAAAAATGTAGTTTAATTGGATTACCATTCTTGTATTTACTCTGTAAAATGTAGTTATCAAGTTTTTTATCTTTTAACAACACAACGTCTCTTATTTTTTCCCTAAAGTGCATGCATCTCGTCATATCGAAAAGTGTGACCACTGCACATGCAATTATATCCCATTTTATTATTCGCATTTTTCACAACGCGCACATATTTACACATGTGTGCTTATGTAGATATTTTTCTGCTTTTTTTATTTCTAATTTTTTTTTTTTTTTTTTTTTTGTGCTACTGGTAGTGGTCATTGAGATGTCTTGTGATTTCCACAGAGATATATCATAAACATTGCATATTTATCTTAACTTCTTTTCTTGTATCCTTATTAACATGATAATTTTGAAGTGGTATACCTTCTAATTTTATCATGTAGCGATATTTTTGAGGGATCATGCATCCACAAGCACATATGAATATGATGTGATAAGGCTCACCTTTTGTGGTTATGTATTCCTTGGAGTGCCAATGCATTTAGTTATACATGTATTCATGTATGAGGACTTGTGATAATTCTTCCCTTGAGAAAAAATATCCCTAGTTTTTTTTTTTTTTTTTTTTTTTTTTCCAAATTTGAGAAAAAATGAAGTTTATGAAGAAGAAATCGTTCGAGTTTTAAAAAAGGAACAAACACGATATGTATGTATATATATATATATATATATATATATACACTCTTGTGTCAGGAACAAAAATTTACACTTCGTGTAGATTACTAAAATGGAATCTCTTACTTTGTCATCCTTATATTGGATCTTTTGAATTTCCCCTAATTGAAGTAAACAAAAGGGGAAAAGAGAGGAAGTTTAACAATTTACTAGGTATAAAAGGAGAGAAATGACCCATCTGATTTTAATATGCATTCCCAATCTTTTTGCTTTGTTCAGAAATTTGGAATATGCCAGAATTTTTAAATCTTATAAAATCGATAAGGATATATGGAATTCATTTTATTTACCTTAAAATAAGTTTCTTCCTTCTTAAAATTTTGTTTGCCTTTTGTTCTACACTTGAAGACGCAGAATTTGAAACATTTTACCCTACATGATTTGTCATTTTGTGATTCCACGATTTCACGATTTTGTAGTTATTGCCTCACTTTTGCACCGTCCTACACACATTATCTCTTTTTTTTTTTTTTTTTTTTTTTTTTGTTTTACTTATTGCAAATTTTATATTTTTGGTGATCCCTCCTTAATTGAAATTTTACGTCTTTTATTTTTACAAATTAAATGTGCAGGTTAATTTGTTCGTATGTTATGCAGCAGTTCTGTTTTAGTTGCATAACATGCACGTTATGATTTTCATTTCTATACAATTTATATATTTCTTTTTTTTTTTTTGATATTACTCCCCTATAATTCCACTTTGAAATTAAAAACTTGCAACTGAAGAAAGAAATAATGAATGAATTCTACATTAGAAAAAAAGAAAAAAAAAAAAAAAGCTTCTCGAAGTAGCACTTGGTCTTTCCACATTGGAGAAGTAAAAGAGTTGATAAGCTATATTCCCTCGTTTTAGTCATATGAAATAGGAAGAAAAAAAAAAAAAAAAAAAAAAAAAAAACTCTGATAAGAAGTTATCGAAATGTGCATATTTCCCAAAGCTGAATTGTGAAAAAGTAAAAGAAAGACTACAAGATGAATCAAAAATCATTCTATAACAAATCAAAAGTAACAAAGGAAGATATAGAAAGAGAATTTGACAAAACAAATGGCACAGTGAAAAATCACATCTGTGAACTTAATGATAGGGAAAAGATATTATATGAAAACACAGATCAAGGCATATACAAAAAGAACTGTTTCTCAAGATGTAATAAAAAAAGGGAAAAAAATAGCATACATTTTAAGGGTATTTATAAAAAAGAACATATATACCTTTGCAGTGCCATTGAGGATTTTATTTATAAAAAACATGATACCATTCCAATTTATGGGGAATTATATTTTTTAAAAAAAAAAAAAAAAGAACTACTGAAAAGGAGGAAGTTGTGTGTAGGTAATAAACATTATGCCCAGAACCTGTCAGAAAATTTTGATAGTAGTAGCAATGACAGAATATACTGCACAAAGGGTATTGAAACTCTTGTTTCACTTGATGACAAGAGTAGTTGTAACGTTAATGGGTCTGAATCAAATGCCCTGGAATTAATAACATGTAAGAACAGCACAATAGGATTAAAAAAGACGACAAGTTCTCCCACATTCTACATGGGAAATGTGAAAGGTGTCTGGAACAATTATAAGCATACGACTTGTGAAGAACTAAAAGGAGAAGTAAAGCACAATGAGAAAAATTGTAGTGAGTTTTATTTTCAGAGGAATCAGAAAAGCACCTACAAAACCCGCATTAACGAAGCAAAAAATCCAACTAAATATGGAGAAAGAAAAATCATATCATCTAATAGTTCATATGCACTAAACAAACAAGGTAAAAAAAGGATAAAATCAGAAATGAGTAAAACAGAGGGAAAAACACACCAACGAAATTTAAGCACAAAAAGTGTGGAGGAAAAAACAGGAATAACAGGTAAAACAAGAATAACAGGAAAAACAAGAATAACAGGGAAAAACATAATTCCTGAGAACTTAAAAATTATTAGTAGACACTCGAGGGAAAATATTTACAACAAAATTTACCATTTAAGAAGCGAACAGTTGGGGGAAATCAGACGCAGTAAAGTACAAAAACAAATTAACAAATGTGTAAGCGGAAAAATATACATACAGTTAAGTGAAAGGAATAAATTAAATAGCATGCAGCAAGTGCAAGAGAAAAAAAATGAATATAACATTAATTTTTTAAACAATTTATTCAAAAAAATCGAATCGAAAAGGAAAAAAAGATATAACTATAGAGGGTACCTAATAAATAAACACTACAAAAATAGGATTCATAAAGAGAGCTATTCTGACAAACACAAGGAAGAGCAAAAAGAAAAATCACAAAATGCAGCAACACTTTCAGAAATGATACCTGAAGCTGGGGGAGAAAAAGGAAAATCTTGCATGGATAAACTTGCCTGTAAAAGCCTCACAAATTGGTCTGAGGAACAATGCACTATGGATTTTATTCAAAATTGTAGATCCATTGATAAAAGAATGAAGAACTACATAAATGAGCAGATTAAATATTATGGAACCAACATGCGAAAAGATAACTTCGATCAAATTTCTTTTTTTCTCCAGAATAATTCGCAAAAAGGAATTCCTCATGGATCCCTCAGCAGGTGCTGCGCCTCCCAATGTGACGCTTAAGAGGGGCATATTCTTATTTTCTCTCGTTCGATTTCTCTTTCGATTCCTCTTACTATATTTCTCTTACTCTTCTTCTCCTTTTTACACCCATTTGGCTTCCCTTCATTAGCTTTACCACCCTACTCTGTTTTTACTTCCTCAGCGCAGAAAACGATAAATGCAAACAAAAAGAAAAAATAAAAATATCCCCAAAGATTATCCCCAAAATCAATAACAGGAACGAAAAATTGAGAAGAAATCATAATACTGATGAGAATATGCATAAAAATGGACAAATACATTCATGTCTAAATTGTGACAAGTGCATAGATTTAAAAAGTTACCTTGTAGAATGTGAAGATGAAATGAACATGGATCGAAAGTTGAAAAAAACAAGAGATGTATTCTGTACAAGGAAAAATGGAATAGTGACACACAAAAGAATAAATGAGAAAAGTGATAGAAGTGAAATTTATACAAATTTATTAAACAAAAATAAATTCATCAAAGAGTTCAAGAATTTAAAAAAATTGGAAGAAGAGGAAATCGATTTCTTTAAAATTTACAAATATTTAGCAAATGAAAAAAATGTTTTGAAAAAATTATTAGATCAACAAAAAAAAAAAAATAATAAAAGTTGTTTAAAAAAATTAATTCAAATAAAAAAAAATATGATAAAATTTATTAATAATTTTGAGAAAATATTTACAAAAAAAAAAAAAAAAAAAAAAAAAAAAAAAAATTTTTTATAAAAAAAAAAATAAAAAAAAAAAAAAAAAAAAAAAAAAAAAAAAAAATTTTTAAAAAAAATAAAAAAAAAAAAAAAAAAAAAAAAAAAAAATTTTTTAAAAAAAAAAATAAAAAAAAAAAAAAAAAAAAAAAATTTATAAAAAATTTTGAAAAAAAATTTAAAAAAAAAAAAAAAAAAAAAAAAAAAAAAAATATATGTTTTATAACACAATATATCAAAAAGACAGATCTATCATCTCATATTAGTTCTCTCTTAAAATTAGTACAAGATATTATACATCTATTAAACAATCGTTTTTTTTACAATATGACATAAATTATGAACATTTCAAAAACTTTGATTAAATCAAATGTTCATTTTCATTGTATTATTGAGGTCTGCAAAAAAAAAAAAAAAAAAAAAAAAAAAAAAAAGTGCTGTCTTCCATTTGGTCATACAATTCGAATTATATAAAGAAGGGAAAAAATAGGGTATATACAATAATTTCTGTTTTTATCAAAATTATATAGACACATAGACATATAGAGGCTGCATAATTCATCAGTAGGTGTCACTGATCTTATCTTTTTTTTTTTTTTTTTTTATCATTTCTTGATTACCTATATTGTGCCAAAAAAAAAAAAAAAGACACATTGTTCCAAAATGGTGTCATTTTTTCTTGCTCAAAAAATTATTTAGTTTTATTTTGTCGAAAAAACTTAATTTGCTTTTTGTTACTGGTAAGGGTAAGGGGGCATAATCGTGGACGTGAGAGTGGGCAAAAAACGAATAACACACAATGCGAACGAATTTATAAGTTCTGTATAGGCTACAAAATTTATACGTTAAAATGATAAGCATTTTATTTAGAGCTATAAAAAAAAAAAAAAAATTCTTAGATTCAGTTAAAACAACTGCTTAAATTTGGTCGTACAACGTTTATTCAGTTTGTAGGACAAGTCATCTTTTTCTCCTTCTTGATTCATCCGTACGGTCTGAAAAAAAAAAAAAAAAGAAAATTATGAAAATAAAAATGAAATAAAAATGAAATAAAAATGAAATAAAAATGAAATAAAAATTAAAATAAAAATGAAATAAAAATAAAAATGAAATAAAAATAAAAATGAAATAACAGAACATGCAATAAGGAATATATGACTAGTTTACTGTCCTAAAATGCACATTTGTAATTCCGACCGTTCGAGTGTGTAATGATTTGACTACCTCCTCAGAAGGACCTATAAGAGACGTTTTGCACAATTATATAATGAGGAAAAGGTATAGTATATTGTAGTGTAGCATAGTGAAGTACAACCCAGTGCAGTGTGCCATATTACACTGTAACTTAATAAGAACCGAAACAAGTGCATGAATTAAATGCTGTGTCATCACAAGGGGTCACACATTAGGAAGATCCGTTATGTGGTATGCACAAGTTTTTTTCTTGTTCTCACGGATATAGCATGGAAATGCAACATATTTGGCGCTAGCTATTTTCTATCTGATATGGGATTTTGGCTAGCTGCCCATGAGGGTAGGGACTCGCTGGGTTAACACTTCTCCAGGCTGGAATGGCAGCTCGCTACTCACTTTCTGTGACTTACCGTCGTCTGTGGCTCTAATCCAGCCAATTTCATCTCCTAAATTTTGTAAACCCATAAGATCACGAGATTCTAGTAGTAGTACTTTGGGTTTCTTTTCTGAAATGACTAGGTGTACTACAGCTACATGTTTCTCATTGGTTGGCAATTCCTGTATATACAACTTTTCTACGTCTATTTCGAATATTTTTCTCTTTCTTTTTATGCTAACTTTTTTGGATTCATAGTTAAATGAAACATTGCACTTTCTCGTTACGACATTCGCTTCCGCTGAAAAATGGAAAATAAAAAAGAGATAATCAATAGCACAGCGTGTTTAGATATGGATATATGAGATAATGTAATCCCCTTTATTTAATTTCCATCTTTGCAAAATTTTTCGCATTTATATTCGATTCAATTTTGTATGCACTTTTTACATAATACAATGTGAACAAGGGCCTCGAATCCATTAGTTAGATATTCTCGCCTCATCTTCTTTTCGGAAGCCACGGGTTCATCATCTACTTTTAGAGAATTTCCTTTTAAGCCTTCACATACAGTTATATCTTCGTTTTTGCATTCTTCCTTAGATGCCCATGAATCTCTTTTAGAATCATTGTTCTCTTCGAATAGGATATTTTTTAAAGGATGATTTTCTGAGTCATGACTGAGTTCACGATTGAGTTGGTGACTCATTTGGCTGCTCAATTGATGACTTCTAGGATGACTCATCTCATCACTTAGCTCATAACTAAGAGAGGTTCGCACTTCATAACTTCCATTGTTGTGTAGATTCTCAAATCCATTTTTAGAATTATCACAGGAGATACTCTTAAAAAATTCATCCATCGAAACTGCATCATTTTTTGATATATTCTCATTGCTCTTACTGTTCAGGCTTTTAGCAAATTTGTATCTCGGTGCAATTGTGGGGTTCTTTTCGCCACTAAACTTTTCCCCGACTTTACTGCACTTATTTGAGCCTGATTTAATATCATTCTTGTAGTTCCAGCTGGGATGACCCTTTGCTGGGGCATTCAATGATCTGTCCAATGTTCTGTCCAGTGATCTGTCAACTGCTCCGTCCATTTCTCCATCCATTGCACTGTCAACTGCTCCGTCCATTTCTCCATCCATTGCACTGTCAACTGCTCCGTCCATTTCTCCATCCATTGCACTGTCAATTGCCCCATCAGGAATTTCTCCGCTTCCACCTTGCGCTTTCGAAATATGAGATAACTTGGTTTGGCGGGGCAAATATTTAATACAATTTTTGGAACTCTTTCGACTTACATTATGTGATGTAATACTAATACTTTTTAAATTCTCGTTGAAAACAAACTCTTCAATTTTTTGGTTAATTTTTTTTTTATCATTTGAACAAACATTTTCTTTCGTATTTTTCTTCTGAAAAATGGATACTAACGTAGACAATGAATATGTGTTTGCTGTCACACCTCCCTTATTCTCTTTTGTTTCTTTGTAAATGTCCATATATTTATTTTCGTTCTTGTTATAGCACACGATTTTCTCGCCTACTTTTATTTCCTTGTCTGAGTCGAGCTCGACGGATACGACATTAGCCCTTTCTTGTGTTTCCTGCGTTTTCTTCTTTTCCTGCGTTTTCTTCTTTTCCTGCGTTTTCTTCTTTTCCTGCATTTTCTTCTTTTCCTGCGTTTTCTTCTTTTCCTGCATCTCCCTCTTTGCCCTATCTTTAGATTTAGCAAAATACTTCTTGATATCCCTTTCCTTTTTTATTTCCAAATGGTCGATTAATCTTATTTCATCGCTGACCTTTTTTTTTACGCTTGCCACACTCTCGCATCTTTTCATATCTGTACTTTTCCTCTCATTTGAACTAATGTACTTTTGAGATGGATCATCTGCCATTTTGCACTCCTTCCACTTCCACCCTTTATGCATTCTGTTTGATTTATTCATTTTTCCTCTTTCAATCTTCATTCGGAGATAGTTGATTTTTGCAGAATCCTGATGGACATCTTTGTTCATTTCAGTTGGGTATGTCTGTTGATGATTCCTCTCCTTCTGCTTCTTCTCCTTCGTGGTCTTGTTATGCTTCTCCTTCTTCTGCTTCTTCTCCTTCGTGGTCTCGTTATGCTTCTCCCCTTTGTTAAGGCTAATTTTCATCATTCTGACATTTTGTAATTTTCTAACGGAAGGGCCGCCATTTTCTTTATCGGTGCAAACATAAGTAGCTTTCAAAATTTTTTCCTTCCTTGTTTTCAATTTTGCAAAAATGTTGTCTATTGATTCTTGTCTATTAATAATGTAACTACTTTTTTCTTTTTCCAGCACCCATTCATTTTTGCATTTGTTAGATGGAAAATTGGTACCTTTTTCCTCTTTTTCAAAAGTTTCTATCTGCTCTTGATTCATTTTTTCCCCTTTTTTTTGATCTACTTGCAGAGTGTAAAATGGTATAATTTCCTCATTATCATAAAAATGAACTTGTCGAGTATTGAAAATTCCTTTTTCATAAAAATCGAAAATTTCCTTTTTATCATTTAATTCATGTTCCTTAAATATGTATTTGTATTTCCCTTCTTTCCCTTTTCTTATAATAATTTTTTCTTTTTTTTTCTGTTTAGTCAAGTAGCAGAAGTCGACATATTCATCTGACCACTCATTTTCATTATATGTTTTTATCAAAATATTATCATTATTTTTGCTTTTTTTGAATACTTCTTTTTTTAAAACACCACTGGGATCCATTTGAAAAATAATCTTTTCTTTCTTTCTTTTATCTAATATGACTTTCTTGTTCCCAACATAGAAGATGCAATTTTTCGTAAAAAATGGGCTCTCCTTTTTTTTTTTTTTTTTCACTTTTGCACTTCTAACATGATGTATCATCTGTCTGTTCCTACATGTTTGCACTTCTGATTCGTCACTACTTGTGGAAAAAAAATAATCGTATTCATTTATGCTTATTATATATTTTTCTCTCCTTCCATAATGTGTAAAGAACTCAATGATAGCTTTTATATTACCATACTTATCAGTCCTAAAACTGGTCATACTTTTAGATATTCCTGATAAAATATTTTTCAAATCATTTGAATATCTCATTTTTTCCATCAGCAGGGGTCTATTCTTAAGGTAAATACTATTTCTTCTATTCTGTAATAAATTTATTTTTCTTTGACAAATTTTAGTGAATTTTTTTCCTAGCTTTTTTCTGTCTTGTAATATCAAATTTAAATCTTGAAATTGTAAAAATTTGAATGGCTTCATCTTCCTATGTGGGTCATAATGTTCTGTTTCGCTTAATTCTTCAGCTGCATACAAGCATCTGATGCTATTCCTCATTGAAAAGCCTCTTTCTAAACAATTTTCATTATTTCGGGGTTCATCTAACTCTGTGAATGCCTCCTCACGAACTTTCAATCCCTGCAATGGTACACTGAATTTGGAATTTCGAATATCCTTTTGTACATCATTTTCTACAAATAAATGAAGAAAATGCATAAACAGGTGAATACTCCAAATGGAGAAATATATATAAGTGAATGAATTCTCTAATAAGGAAAATCATATCATTTTCTCATCCATATTGAAAGGAGAATTTCCATCTTCCATGCTTCGGGTAAGACCTTTTGACAGCTCTCCTTTGTTATCTCTCTCTTTTGTCAGCTCTCCTTTGTTATCTCTCTCTTTTGTCTGCTCTCTTTTGTTCATTTTCGAATTTACACCTGTTAGTGTTTTTTTTCTCCTGCTTTCAGGTTCATAACCATCATCGGTCTTTCCATGTTTTCATTGTCAAGAGAAGAAAAATGGAATTAGAAATATTAACATATATATAGATCAAGGGTGAAAATGCGCGTAAGGTGCGTGTCAAATGGTACCGACGGCACATCTGCACACGCCGCATATATTATTGGGACAATTCCTCATTTATAAAACTATCGTTTTAATTATTTTTCTATCTATCTATATATCTATCTTTTTTTTTATTTTCTCCATTTTTTACTATACCAAATTGCCCGATCCAGGAATCTTTCTAAGACCATGATCCCTAACCAAAAGTAATTTGTCCTTCCATTGATCATCTACGTTATTCTCATTGTATTTCATTAATAAATTAGACAGAGTATTATAAACGGAATATATTTTCTTCAGGTACTTTCTTTTTTTATTTTCATTTTTCTTCTCCTGTTGAACCGTGAAGAAAAAGTTAAGGCAATGTCAGAATACGTTACAAAATTTTGTATCTCACATTTTCCCATATATCTATGGACACTTATATGTAACATTGCTCAGGTTCATCTAATGAAGTAAATTCCTTCCGCTACTTATTTTTATTTATTTATTTATTTTTTTTTTTTTAAAGATATTACTATCAGGGAATATAATTTAATCGTTGCAGAAATGATCTTCTCAACTCTCTCATTAATGTCTGTAACAAAAAAAAAAAAAAAAAAAAAAAAAAACAAAATTCACACATGCATTTCACTGTTCATAAAAATATGCGCATGAATACCATGCGGCTTTATCCATCTGGTTTTGTGTCTCTTTTCCTTTACCTTTATTAAATATGTTGTGCAATTTTTTATCTTTCAGTATTTGTATATACAGATCAAGAATCATGTATAACTCTGCACAAAGAGAAAATGTGTTGACCAAGCAATAAGAAATTTACATATAACTACAGTTATTTTCAAACCAGTGATATGTAATAGGGAAAAAAAAAAAAAAAATAGTAATAGCCCCTTGCTAAAATACATACATTTGCCTCATTTAGATTTATACTATATCTGTATGTGCACATTTTTTTTTTTTTTTTTTTTTTTTTTGTTTTTTACGTTCATTGATTATTTTCCATTTTATTTCATCTGCAATTTTTAGTGTATCCATACATGAATGTTCTAATGTGTCTTCAAGCGGTTCTTTAAGGGGGTACATGATCAATAAGAAAAAAAAAAAAAAAAAAAAATCATAATTTTTTACCCTTCAAAAAAGGTAGAAAGCAATGTTTCATCTCATCTTTCAGAAAATTCTTATGTAAATTCTAAAATAAATATCTATGGGTTCAACGAAGGAAACACATGTGTATATACTTCTATGACAAATTAAGTAATATAGAAAATGTGTTAGTCTGAATATAAATGGAGGTACACACAAATGTATGTGCAAGTTGTATTAACCTTTAGCCAAGAGAAAAAGTTTTCCCTTATTTTTAGCAAAGCATTGTGAAATACCACCTAATTGATGTTGCTTGTACAAACACCTGTCACTTGAAAAAAAAAAAAAAAAAAAAAATAGGGAAATTTTGTTCACAGTGTAATTACAAAATTTTATAAGAATATAGAAAATTTTCAAAAATATTCTTTTATATTACACATTTGGGTTGGTTTCTTGTGGTAAAACTAACAGTTTCTTATTATCCATTGTATATTTTAGAGTAGTGGTACTAATTTTTCTACTCTTGCGACTCTGTGTCAGTGGTTTTCATTAACAAGGGAGATATTTCAAGGGATTTCTTGTTGTCATTTTTTTTTTTTTTTTTTTTTTTTTTTTTTTTTTTCTTTTTTTTTTTTTTCAAATTGTTTTTTTTTTTTTTTTTTTTTTTTTTTTTTTTTTTTTTTTTTTTTTTTTTTTAAATTTTAAAAAATAATGTTTTTTTTTTTTTTTTTTTTTAAGGGATTTTTTTTTTTTTTTTTTTTTTTTTTTTTTTTTTTTTTTTTTTTACTTCATTTTGTTTTATTCAAATGCTTTTTTTTTTTTTTTTTTTTTTTTATTTTTATTTTTTTTCCTGATTCATGTAAAATTAGAAAATCAAGGCTTTTATGATATGAAGAACTGAAAGAGAACACCAAAAGTTACCGGTACACATTGTGCACACGTGGATTTTTTTTTTTTTTTTTTTTTTTTTTTTTTTTTTTTTTTTTTTTTTTTTTTTTTTTTTTTTTTTTTTTTTTTTTTTTTTTTTTTTTTTTATTTTTTTTTTTTTTTTTTTTTTTTTTTTTTTTTTTTTTTTTTTTTTTTTTTTTTTTTTTTTTTTTTTTTTTTTTTTTTTTTTTTTTTCCCTATTCTTTTGCTTGTTTTATTTTATTTTTGCCTCTTCTTTTGCTTATTTTATTTTATTTTATTTTATATTTATTTATTTTATTTTTTTTTGTGCACAAATGAATTGGCAAGAGAGCCAAAAGAAATATTTCAGAACAGCAGGGGATAATAAGTCTTATGTATAAGATTGGCAATGCACATGAAATTAAAACGAGTACAAAAACAAAGGAACTAAAATGAAGGAACCTGAAAAATATAACCATGGAAAATTTTTATTCTAGAACTTGCTCGATAGGAAAGGTCTCACAACTATATCAATATTTCCATCTCGTTGAACAATTCAAATATCAAACAACTGTTCAAGAATGAGATTTCGAAAAATAAAAAATTTCCTCATTCACACAAATAAAATATTAAAAAATTCTGAATAGCCAAGGTTGTATATATATATATACAAAATTGGGATTGTCAATTGGACGAGGAAGGGAAAAGGGCACGGAACAGAACTGCGGTTAGTGTAAAGTGGTTGTGGAAGGACTACCAAAAAAATGAACACAAAAAAAAAAAAAGGGCGAAAAAGCGAAAATGCTGTCGTCACATTTCTACACTCCCTTGTAGGTATAACATAAGTATTATCCTAATGCCAAAGCAAAATGTAAAATACAGAAAAATGCTCCATTTATGAGAAGAAAAAAAAAAAAAAAAAAAAAAAAAAATCGCTATAATGGGGAAGTATTTATATTTCCTCATTCTGCATCAAACAACAGCGCACACAGGTGCATTTATGTAAGAACATGAATTATAAATATTACAACTATATGTTCTATACCACACTGTGGTATTATATTCTCTATAATAAGCCTTTGTGCATGAGGAAATATACAAATATGTATATGTAAATATATATTTATATACGTATTATATATCTACACTCCTAAGCGGGCTCTTCCCCTTATGCGAGCCAAATTCATCCGGTAATGTTTCTTCCCAATAAAAATGCAAGAAATGAAGAGAAACGTCAAAGAAATAAAAACGTTCATCAACTTTTTCTCAACAGGAATGGGGTGTCAAATTGATCATTCTGAACGATGAACATACAGAACGAAAGGAAAAAAAGTTAATCATTTTTTTTTTTTTTTTTTTTACCCCTCGTTATGTGCATGTACAGAAAGAAAAAAAAAAAAAACGCACATTTCTTTTAATTTATCACTTTATTAAGCAATAAGCTTCTCATTCGCTGTTTTCCCTCGTTTATAATATAATGTAATGCAATATATGCATATACCTACATGTCATCCCATGCACGCATTTGTTAAGGAAGCCTTCTCTTTCCCCTCTATACATCCATACTTTACCCACTGAATTGAATCTCGCAAATGCAGCAGAATGTGAGTTGTGACATCATTATACCCCAATTGAGAAGCAGTAAATTTGGAAGGAAATATATGTACTTATACAATATAAATATGTACTGTTGGTCACTTCAATAGTTGTTGTGAAAAGGTTCCTCTTCATCCTCTCTATATACATGTGTTGTACCTGGCACTTATTGCCCTCACAAGATGAAGGAAATAGGTGAGAAAAAGGAAACTGACAAGCAGACCGAATTGGTCGAAAAGAGCAAAATTGTCGAAAGCAAAAAAAAAATTCACTGTTCCATCCCGAAATTTATCCTTAAGAACGAACTGTTACAAAAAGCTATAAAAAAATGCTTACCCGAAAACTACAATTTTGAAATTTACAAATGTATTGACATTATTTTAAGGGAACAGTATAAAAATATTGTGTTGCAAATGCCAGAAGGACTACTAATATGGGGACTATACATTTCTGATATTTTGTATTTTTTTTGTAATTCTGTGGAAGAAGTTATTATACTTGGAGATGTTACCTATGGTGGATGTTGTATTGATGATTTTACAAGTGAGAAATTGAACTGTGATTTAATTATTCATTATGGACATTCTTGTTTAGTTCCATTGACGGTTACAAGAATTCGATGCATATATGTTTTTGTGGATATAAAATTAAATTCCTCACATTTAGTTGAAACTATTAAAAAAAATTTTTCTCCAAAGGACATTGTGTTAATCCTTGGTACAATACAATTTTCTTGCCTTGTTCATAGTGTTCATAATATATTAAAGAGTGAAAATTATTTTGATATTTTCTTACCTATTCCTCAAGTTCTCCCCTTAACTAAGGGAGAGGTACTAGGATGTACATCGCCTAACTTATATCGATTTATTTATGAACATATAATACAAAAGTATGTGGAAGTAAATCAAAGTATTCATTTCGCACAGAAAGAAATGAATGAAGAAGGAAATTGCCAAGATGGAAAAAGTTTTCCCAAAAGTATGTCGAAAGAACACAACGAGACATTCATAATAAACGAATGCAAAAATTTTTTGAGAAAAAATAACGTCAAAATTGTGTTCATAGCAGATGGTAGATTTCATTTGGAAAGTCTCATGATACATAACCCAGATTTTACATTCTATCGATATAATCCATTTAATAAAATAATATCACAAGAAAAATACAATTACAGGCTTTTCTATGAAATACGGAAAAATGAAATAAAAAAATGTACAAATTGTAAAAGTGTGTGCATTATTTTAAGTACTTTAGGAAGACAAGGAAATATAAATATTTTAAAAAACATTTTAAATATAATAAAACAAAAAAATATTTCCTTTTTTATTCTTTTATTACCTGAAATATTTAATGAAAAATTATCCTTATTTAAAAATGTTGATGTATTTATACAAATTGGATGTCCAAGATTATCAATTGATTGGGGTAATTACAATGATAAACCATTATTAAATACATATGAAGCTTATGTATTTTTGAAATCACTTAAATATAGGGATATCTATCCCATGGATTACTATGCCAGTATGGGCAATGTCTGGACGAACTATAATGCTGGTATTGGTCAAATGACAGAAAAAAATTTATCCACCAGGGAGCTTATTAAGAGGCGTATTCAAATGCGTAAGAGCAAGATCGCCATCCGTTACCAATAGTTCTGAGTGCACGTGATAAATCCGTATCCGATATGAAGTAGCATTCGAAAAAAGAAATGTCCAGAATGTTATATCCATGCATACATATATACATACATATCCATACATACATGCACACACAAGGGAAATCTCTGCCAGCTGCTGGAGACACACTATGAAATAAAAAAAAAAAAAAATTTAGCAAACTGTGCTCAATATCTTTAAATTCCTTTCTTTTGTTTCTGCTTTATTATATTCGATATATTTTTTTTTTTTATTACACTAATTTTACACTTTATTTCTCCACTGTTCGGCTCTGAGTCCGACCAGAGGTTAGAGCAAGCACAATGATGTGCACGCTAAAATATGTATAGCTATACATAACACATGGTATTGTTCTATACTGAATTATATGCATTTGCAATCACATTTGCATTAGAATTATGAATTTTGCTTTTTGGCACATACAACAATTTGGCGCTGTGTGTAGCGGCTTATGCATGTTCGGTCGGTTTGTTCACATTTTTGTTCTTTGATTTTTTCATGCTTTTACTTTTTCGTGCTTTTACTTTTTCGTGCTTTTACTTTTTCGTGCTTTTACTTTTTCGTGCTTTTACTTTTTCGTGCTTTTACTTTTTCGTGCTTTTACTTTTTCGTGCTTTTACTTTTTCGTGCTTTTACTTTTTCGTGCTTTTACTTTTTCGTGCTTCTACTTTTTCGTGCTTTTACTTTTTCATGCTTTTACTTTTTCATGCTTTTACTTTTTCATGCTTTTACTTTTTCATGCTTTTACTTTTTCTGTTCAATCCAGAGACAACTGCACGGCAAATTACAGTGCCGTGGAATGAAATATAGTTGCCAAGGTTCTATTCATATGGCCTAGGCGTTTGTGTTAATATGTACACATTGGAAACTCTCTGATTCATGCGAATTTCAACGAATTTGAAGTGTCTACTTTTTCAAACATATTTTGGAAGAAAAGGGGGTCTTGGGGAATGTGTCTTTTCTCCTTCAAAAGGAGAACTTTTTTATGGAAGTAATAATGCAGAATATGTATATATATATATATATATATATACATACACTTGTGTATGTGTATATACAGCTTTGCCCATTTTCCTTTCGTTATATCTTCAAGGATTTTTTCTTTTTTCTCCATCACCTATTTGTCTTCTTTCCCTTCGTTTTATGTTTCAAAAGCATACAATATGGTCTAACCATAAATTTCGTTTCCCCATTTTGCTTAAACAGTAATGCAAAATAAGTGTTTTTTTTTTTTTTTTTTTTTTTACATAATTTACGAGCGTCGAAAAAGTGTGAAATGTACGCAAGCATGTACGTATATTTATACACTTATGCATTATCCTCACCTCAAATACTTTTCTGTCATATTTTGTAATTTTCCTGAAATTGTGCATATAAACAAAATTCCAAGAATATTTCGTGAATAGTTCGCTTTTGCGTTTTCGGCGTCCATGAGCTTGAACGAGGAGGAGAATTAGTCCAAATTGTTGCGTTACGTTTTGCTTCCCTGTGTTTTGTTTTGTTTTGTTTAGCTTCGTTCTGCTTTGCCACTTTCTTTTCCCATTTCATTTATTATATAGGTGTTTCCTTTGTAGTCACGCATTGCGTATTGCACAAGTATGATGGTTTTTTTTTTTTTCCACTTTTTTTTTTTTTTTTTTTTTTCATTTTTCCCTCTCTTTATATGCACAATAAAGTAATGCACAACTCCACACATCCACATGGCGTAATCTTTGAAGAAGAAAAAAAAAAAAAACGATTAACTAAAAAAATAAATCAATATATTTGTGAATTTTTAAGAGTTGTAATTTTTTGACATAAGGATGAATGCACTGCACATTTATAGTTTAGGTTTCTACTGTAAAATTTTGTGATATCTTCTTTATTAGATATTTTCTATTTTTTTAAAAGTTTCCTTTTTTTTTAAAAGTTCCCTGTTTGAATTGAAACTTTTGTCACATTCTAGGGAGAGTGAAAATGCCATAAGCATATTTGAAGGCATTTGTATGGACACTTTATATTCGTATGCTGGGAGCGGAAATTTTCATCGCAAATTTTCCCCTGAACATTTGCTATGAACCCCTTGTAGCGAAAGTTTGGCACCTGCTGTCACAAAACCAACCTTCACACGCAAGAATAAGTCTCCGTATGTATATCTACTAGATAGGCACGATTCCCACCCAACCCTAAGTAAAATGCACCTTTTTTTCTTCTACTTTTTATTCCTTTTTTTCTGCCTATTTTGCTTCCTTTTTTTCTTCTTCTTCTTCTTCTTCCACTTTTTGTACCTCTTTTTTTTTACCTCTTTTTCTTTTTTATCCCCAACATTAGTCTTTAGTTAGTCATGCAGTACTGTAAAAAAAACGCCCCTTATGCGTAAAAACTTTCAGTTGTGTATCACTTCCCTTGACCCCAACAGCTTTTATCCGTTTTTCCCTATCTCATTATATTTTACAATTATTATATAATTATGTATTCAATATATAACATGCCTCCCATTTTACACTTATAGCAATACCTGTGAAATGCCATATTTGAAGAAAATGATTTTGCAAGAAGGTGGGAGAAGTTTTCAGATAAACAATCTTTTACTTAAAAGAATTTTTACAAATTCGCGAATAACAACAAGCATATGTTTGAATGCGTTCCAATAATCGAAGGAATTGTCCACGTATAACTCATTCATGAAACATACATATTTATAATTATGCATGCATATACATGTATACATAGATGTATTTTTTGTCTGTACCTGTTTGTTTTTTATACTTATTAACAAACTAGAAAATATCGCATTGCGAACATTTTGCAGCAGCCCGTTTGTGCTTTTTTTTTTTTTTTTTTTACGTTTCATTTGCTTGCAACATTACGCGTTTAGTCATAAAAGTACACAATTATTGACACAACATTCGATGGACACTTCAATGTAGTTCTTTCTTTTTCTTCCCTCGTCTGTTCTAGTCTGCTCTTGTCTGTTCTTCTAACCTCTTTTCTGCTCTCTTCACCTCTTTTCTCTTCTTTTCTCTTCTTTTCTCCTCTTTTCTCCTCTTTTCTCCTCCTTTTTTTTGAATATTTTTTTTCCCAGTTTGGAAGTGTTAATTTTTTTAATGTGATAAACCAGAGGCACAAATAAGTAACACAGTGGAGAAGTCCTGCACATGCAAAGAAATCAAACAGACAAACATCCAAGCAAGCGCATAACAACAGCACAAATTGTGTAGGAAAAGCAATACTCTTTAATTATATATATTTGTCATAAGGAGAAAAGAGAGAAAGGATCGTGTTATCCCTCTCATTTCAGCATTTTTTTTTTTTTATCTCTCATTCGAACGTTGTCCCACAAACACAACCAAAATGGAAGAAATAATCATCCACATGATTGTTATTGCTCCTTTGACGAAATGGATAATAGGACCTAATAGATATTGGAATAAGGGAAAACGAGAATACGGAGTTTATATTGCACTATTTTTACTATTCTGTGTAGGAATATACGAGTTAAGAAAACCAAACCAGAATTTATATGAAATACTGGAATTAAACTCATATGCAAATAAGACAAATATACAACAAGCTTTTAGGAGATTATCTCGAATTTATCATCCAGATAAATGTAAAGAAGCAAATGCATTTGAAAGATTTAATAAAATAAGAGAAGCTTATGAAATATTATCAAATGAAAAGAAAAAATATATATATGACAGATTTGGAGATTTTGCTGGAAATGAAATTACCAATTTTTTTTATGTAGAAATTATTATTATAGCAATATTTCAGTTTGCTATTTCGTTTATATTTGGATTCTTATATACATATGGAAAAGATAATGAAAAATATCGAATTTTAATTTGTTTATATATTGCTCTAAATTTCTGCATTGAATTAATATTCAGATTTAGCCCTGAGAGTACACACTTCCTTTCTTTTCTTCCTATCTTCTGTCATTACACGCCATTTGAAAGAATAAATTCATTGAGAGTTCTTGTTCCTCTAGTCATGAATGGTATTCTTCTTGTGGATGTTTATTTTATTGATGAAGACACGGATCTTTATGTATCTACCTTTTTTGAATATGTCTTTGAGAATAGTGAAAAAACAATAAAAAATATGGATGATGCTGTTATTTTTTGCGCCCGTTTGGTAGATGGTAATGGGAAAAAAATATTTCATAGGATGGAATAACATAGACATGTGCAAACACTACTGGCATATAAAATCTCCATAACTGCACACCATAACTTGTTTATCCATCAGTGCAAAAAAAAAAAAAAGTAATGTATCTGTGTATAACGAACATAGTGCATGCCTTTTTTCTGCAGTAGTGGTATTCCCATTTTTAATTGCAAATTTTGTTTTTCCATTCTCCCTCCCACCCCATATTAACTTTTTTACCCAAATCACAGGTAAAGTAAACAAAGGAAGCAATTTCTCATGGAGAGAAAAAGACGCATATAGTCATATGACCAGTATTGATGAATTGGGTGATAATGAAACATATGATGAGAAATGTGACAAAAATGATTTTTTTTATAGATTGTTATATAATGTGGTAGAAATGAGTACAGAGAATGTTGAATTGAAAGTTCCAAAAAAAGAATTATGTCGTCGTTTCGATTGGTCTAGGATGTACACTGCTAGTGTTATGGAAAAAAGTTCCGTAGACGTAAGATTACACAAATTTGCATGTTTTATAAAGTTCTTAAAACAGAGAAAAATAAAATAAAAAAAGAAGACAAAGAAGAAATGTAACGTTTTGTTCGTGTGTTTAATACTGTTTAACCCGCTTGTCCAAATTTCGTCCACTTTTTTCGTAATGCGTGAACAAGCCTGCATTTGCACAAGCGTTTACACATGCATAATGCACAAATTTCATTTTATTTTTTCAACGGCCATTCCATCCCCACAGAAAGACTTTGAGGAAAGCAACGCGTCCACGGGTATCTTATTCTCATCCTTGCTCTATTTTGTTGGTTTAATATCCCATCTGATGTCCAAATGATGCGAAGAACTTGTGTTTTGTAGGTATCTAAAGAAAATTTGGTTTTCCAAGTGCGCTTATTTGACGTTGTTCTAGTTGGTACCACTTGACATTTTTTAATTTGTTTTGACATTTTAATTTTTTTTTTTTTTTTTTTTTTTTATTTCTCTTTTAAATCATCCATTTTGTTCCTTTGATTCATCACTGTTTGCTTTATTTCATTTTTTTTCAATTCTTGCAGTTTCTGTAATTTTTGCAATTTCTGCAATTTCTGCAATTTCTGCAATTTCTGCAACTTCTGCAATTTCTGCAACTTCTGCAATTTCTGCAACTTCTGCAATTTCTGCAACTTCTGCAATTTCTGCAACTTCTGCAATTTCTGCAACTTCTGCAATTTCTGCAACTTCTGCAATTTCTGCAACTTCTGCAATTTCTACAATTTTTCTGCTTATTCCTTCCCCTCGTCTTATCCCTCATCGAGGATTCTAAAAAGATTTCATGTTTTTGTTTTTCATCCACAGTTTAGGGGAAATATTAATAAACGCGTAGTATTTGTGTACACAACCTTGTCCATATGCATCAGTTGTTTTCTTCCTTTTTGTATTTATTTTCCAATGATTCAATTAGGTATTCCATTGCTGAAAGTTTATGCGAAGAAAAACACAAAAAAATGAAAAAACATGGTAAAAAATGAAAAAAATGTGATAAAATAAAATAAATACATGGTAAAAAATGTAAAAATAGAATAAAATAAAAACGTTGTGCATAGTGCTATTCTTATACTTCTCATAATATCGCCAAACTACTTGGCAATTTTTGAACTTTTTGTGTTAAATTTTTTAATTTATCTTATGTCTTACGATCCGCTATGTTGTCCTCTGGAGGAGATAAATCTAATGTAGAGATAAAAACATTAGGGAAAAAAAAAAAAAAAAAAAAAAAACATCAAATGGGGTATAAAAAGGCAAAAACAAAACCAGTATGAAAAGGAGAAGAAAAGAACAAAAACCCATGGAATATGACACATGGGGTGTGATGTGTATTTATTTATATAAATATTCATATATACATAAACTAATAAACTGCATGATATATGCTATACAAAGTTATGAAACTTACTGAGGGACATTAAAATAAAATTCAAATGTGAAGATAGAGACATATCAAGTGACTTCAAATTTGAGTTCAAGGATCTACTATTGATTAAATCCATGATGTCATATTTGTTTTGATATCCTACTGGCATATGTCTGAACGTAATTTCAAAAAAAATGATATCCTTCAAAGTGAAATCTTTTACATAATTAACGTTTTCGAATGGTTAAATTATAGAACGTGTGCGTGCGTGTGCACACATTTGGATTACAACTTTTTCGTAATCTATGTATAAATGCATGAAAAAACTAAATTTCTTGAAACTTCCCACATGTGTAAATATATATACATACATTTCATATACGAATTTGTATTTATTTCATTATGTGTTCTCTATTTACGTTTTCAATTCTTCATAGGCTTCCGGAACTTCCAGTAATTTGGAAAAATATTCACTCACAAACAGGTCCTTAAAAGATACGGCTACCAGTATTGGCATATATATATATATATATATATATATATAAAGGGAGAAATATATGAAGGGCAGGGAATGAGCAGAGTAGTTATATATTTTCTTTTCTTACACGAATTCATAGAAAGAGGGTTATTAATGTAATGAATGAAAATGATAAAGCGGTTTCATGTATTTATTTTTTCCAGTTTTTCATCTGCTCATTTGTTTCTCCTTTTTGTGGTATCTCACCTGTCTTTGTTTCTATATTCTGCAAGTTTCTATTGTGTGCAAATAGCAAATCCGACAAACCAGAAGTATAGTCACTTTGGTTATATCTCCTTTTGCTACCAATATCTGCATTCATTCGAAAGTGAAGAAAAAAAAAATTGATGAAAAAAAATTAGACAGAAAAAAAAAATTGTTTATGTGCGTATATCTATATATATGTACAGAAGCATACATATATGTAATTTCATTTCATTTATTTAAGATACACTTTGGATAACACAATAGCAGTGCAAGTCTTACCCTTGGCTAAATCGTTTGCTATGATTGAATTGAATTTTCTCACAAATAACTGGGTGAAGACATAATAAAATCGATAAGGTGAAATATAACAAAGTAGAGATAAAAATAAAGATAAATAATCTCAATTAGAAATAAAAAAAAATTCCTTTTCGCTTTTTTAAAAAGGAAGCTCCTATATGTAAAAAGAAAAAGAGGTTTAAAATTACTTCATCCTTCGAATCATCATAGTCTTGCATCCAGTAAAATGATACTTCACCTTGAATTGGATGAGAAAAGTAAAGTAATAAAAAAATTATAAGGTAAAAAAAAAATAAATGAGTCAGGTAAAAATAAAAACAAGTTCATATAGTCATAATAATAAACGCATGTCAATATGGCCATACGTTGGCAGTTTTGAATTGTTGTATAATAGGTAAAGTTTTTTTTTTTTTTTTAATGTTTCATCTTTTTCACTCAGTGTAGTTTTCCACATAAAAAAGGGAATAATTCAAATGTTCATTTCCCCATATTGCATATATAAGGTTCAGCCAGTTTATTTTATTTTATTTTATTTTTTTTTTTTTTCTCTTTTCATGTTAAAAGTGTTACACATTTTACATTATGTTTTGACTTTGTCTTACCTCTCAATTTATTCCTCAGTAGATATACTCTTCCAGTTTTGCACTGATCAACTTTTTCCAGGGATATACTTTTTGTTAATATCAAATTGTCCTATATGTAATGAGACGGAACAAACGTTAGCATATTTAGTAGATGTAATAATAGAATTCTATAGGATTGTTCAAATAAAAATATTTTCCATTATCTGACTCCATCCTTTTCAATCTCCAAAAAAAAAAAAAAAAATACCTCAACTTTATTATTTTCCCTATTGATCCACTGGAAGTTGTATAAATTGTCGCATATCTGTTTTGAATTTTTTTTTTTTTTTTTACAATGGAAAATTTTTGTGTAATGGGATGAAAAAAAAAAAAAAAAATAAAATAATAAATTAATACTTCTTCAAATTAAAATACAAAGATAATTTGTAAAATCAGTGTTTGAATGAATCCATAAATTAATAAAGGAAGGAGCAACACAGCAGTGCACTCCTGTTACTGCGTTTTCTAATACATAAAAAGCATGTCTCATTTAGTAAAAACAAAATATGTTTATTTTGTTTTTATTATTTTATTCTTTTACTTTATAAAGAACTAATTTTCCCTTTCGTTTATCCGGCTTTACTGTCTTTCCATCATAAATGCATTTTCCGGCATTTATTTCCAAGTGTATTTTCTAAAAAACGGAAAAAAATTATTAAAACATGCAACAAGGGAATAAAAGTGATCCACAAGGCAGCTCTTATTCTTTAGATGTGTTTACTTCCTTTGTAGGCGGTTTTTTATACGAGTGCATATATATCTTCACACACGAGTTGCCCTAATGAGAATACAATGTATTTTCAAAATATTAGGTAAAGATCCTTTACCGCTGCATCCATTTTGTACTAATCGTTTTTGACAGAATGTAATCTTTATGGGATAAAAACGAGGAGAACGTTAAGAATGGGAAAAAATAAAAAAAATTAAAAAAATGTTTTTTTCCTTGCTTCGATAAAAACCAAGATGAGCGCGGCAAAAATAAAAATTGTGAAATTCAACGGAATGGTACTGAATCTGTTAAAAAAAAAAAAAAAAAAAAAAGAAAAAAGAGTACATGCACATATATAAATATATATACATATTTATATATACACTTTTACGTGTGAGCATTTCTTTGCTTAGCGTTGCACTGCAACTGAGTAAGAACAAGCAAAATATTTTTCTCATGTTTATTTTTCCTATCAAATGCCAATTTAGTGAACAGTCGACTCGATTCATGTAAGAGTGTGTCAAAGTTATCGCACCAGTTACGAAATATTCCTTAAACCACAACCCGTTTTGAAGCTCCATACATGTTTCTTTCCACAACAATTTAAGCAATTAAATGTGAGTCAATAAATAAATTTTTGAGATTTTTTTTCAAGCATGGATTGCCCTTACATTAGCTCAATTATCGCGGAAAGAGTTTGTACCTCATGCACCTTATGCGGTACATAAGAAGAATGAGGACAGACATCCAAATTTCATTTGCAAGCACATGTTATATACATATATGCATTTTTTTGGTATCAACAAAGAAAACGTATATACAAATAATGTGCTCAAAAAAACTGCAATGACGTGTTACAGGCACTTTTACGGAGATACCTTTTTATACCTGACGCATTCGAGGAAAAGTTTTTTTTTTTTTTTTTTTATAAATACCTTGGTGAGTATTTCAACTAATACCGTTATTCTTAGCTGTATGTTATGTTCCACAGATGAGTAAAATTACGTGAAACGTTCAATTATTTCTCATCACCATTTTAATGCTAAAAAAATTATCCCATGTTGTAAAACATACGTAAAAAAAAAAAAAAAAAAAAAAAAGGAACAAGTCTTTAGGAGAAAAAACAAAAAATGACGAATAATATACTTTGCAGTAAAAGACCCATACAGGTGTTATAAAACACATGTATTTACCAATGTGTTCAGGAGTTTTTTTTTTTTTTTTTTTTCCCTATATCTTACACATTTAGAAAACATTGTATCTTTGGTACACACGTTATGTTTACTTGTGTAAAAAAAAAAAAAAAAAAGCACATGGGGATATATTTCAGTATAACCATGAGATAATGATAGTGTTTCCATAAAGATCATCTGGTCTGCAAGTACGATTAACTACAGCCGACATCTTCTCTTTTTTTTTCTTTTTCTATCTTTTAGAATTCATATAAGGTGAATAATATAGGGGCAGAGCATCACCTTTTTATTTTCCTTATGTTTTCAATAAAGTTACACATTTTGTATGTATATAAAATAACACAAAAGATCGATTTGACAGAAAAAATTTTTTTTTTGAGAAAGTTCCAATTCATTGTGCATTTTACATGAATACAATTTTTTTTTTTTTTTTTTAATTCACTATAAGCGTACTTGTGACATTTTATATTAACTGTTCATATTTTGCCATATTTTGTCATGTTTTGTCGTATTTTTTTTTTTTTTTTTTTTTTTGTTCAAGTTTTATATTAACAAGTCATAATTTTTATTTCACGAAATGAGCTTCTTATAAGTGATTTATATGTATTAAGCTACCGAAATGGCAAATTTATTATTTTTTTCACCAAATGATGACCCAAAAAAAAAAAAAAAATTAAGCTTTTTTTAATTAAGCAAAATGAACGCCCAAAATGACACAACATTATACAAAAACAAAAAGCACTAATTGAATTTATAAATTTTGGTAAATATTTTTATCGTGCATAATATTTTACATATAAACCAAGTATTTTTTTTTTTTTTCTCTTTAAGTTGTGAATGAAAAAATTAGGAAAAAATAAAAAGTTTCACAACTTATTTTACACTTATATACGTAATGTATAAGCAGCTATGTTTATGGGGCACGTAAATATGCATTTCGTGAAAAGGGAATAAGATATATTATATATATACATATATATATGACATTAACATGTACGTACAAATACATGTAAGCTCAAAATAAATACTCCCACACTTGGTGCTCGCAGACCCCCTTTTTTCTTTTTTTTAAACACCCCCAAAAGGGTTTCAGCTCATGCTATATTATTATATTTTATCAGTCAAGGATTATATACATATATTACCAAAGCAAAACAAAACGGATATATAAAATACTCATATATTTTATAATAAACGCATCCCAATTGGGTGATTTTTTTTTTTTTTTTTTTTTTTTTTTTTTTTTTTTTTTTTTTTTTTTTTTTTTTTTTTTTTTTTTTTTTTTTTTTTTTTTTTTTTTTTTTTTTTTTTTTTTTTTTTTTTTTTCTTTTTTTTTTTTTTTTTTTTTTTTTTTTTTTTTTTTTTTTTTTTTTTTTTTTTTTTTTTTTTTTTTTTTTTTTCAATTTGTTTTTTTTTTTTTTTTTTTTTTTTTTTTTTTTTTTTTTTTTACTTTATTCTATTTTATCTTATTACTCTTTTTTTCATTTTAATTTTATTTACTTTTATTCTATTTTATCTTATTACCTTTTTTTTCATTTTTATTTTATTTACTTTTATTTTATTTATTTTTAATTTATTTATTTCATTTTATTTTATTTCCCTATATTTTATTTTTTTTTTTTCATGTCAAAAACATAAGAGATTCTAACATTTTTATTGTGCCCCTAAGAAAAATGTTTAGTTAACATCATTAACTGTTTTATGTTTTCACGCTAGCGAAAAACATTTTTCAATCATTTTCAATTCACTTATTTCATAATTACCCGTAAATATTATTGACGCCTGTTTTTACAAATACATGCAAAGCATTAAATGCATATACATTATAAAAGCCAACAATAGCGTTGATTATAATTTTTGAAAACTTATATAGCCCTTTTCCCCGAATTAAAACGCATGTCAACAGGATTGAAGTAACTACAGAAGCAGTTTTTACTTCAGGCTTTGTCAAGCAATTGGGAGTTATTATAATTTTTTCATTTTCTTCTTTCTCTTCGTCTTGTCCTTCCTCGTCATCTTCTTCTTCTTCTTCTTCTTCTTCCTCTTCTTCTTCTTCTTCCTCGTCGTCTTTTTTTTTGTTCTATTTTTCCCATGTCGTATCTTTTTTATATATTGAATAAATAGGAAAAAAAAGGCACCACCCTGAACAGTAAAATGTAGGACTTTTCGCTTTGAATAAAATATATCTCTCTTATATGAATAGGAATGAGAGGTGCACATTAATGTAAAATGCAATGAAAGTGTGGGAATGAGTAGCAATTCCCCATCCTAAGAAATATATAAGATCACTACGTGCACTTGATATATTGACATTGTGTAAATGCAGTGCATTTATACACTTTATGTATACATGATATGTAATGCTTATTTTTTTAAAATATGATAATTGGTTATTAAACGGATTCATCTTATGTAAATTTTTTAAATGTGAGCACATCATAGAAACTATATTTTTCATACTTAAATTTTATTAAATTTCTCCCTTTTACCTTTTCAGGTTCAAGTTAGCTCTTTTTCCAAAGCATTACCCCCCTCCTCAACACACACACATATACATACACACATATTTATTAAAACATTACATTACGTTGAGACTATATTTAGAATAAGCAAATATCAGCAGAAAATGAAACGTATAAATGTATATACTTATAATATAATATTATGTGCAACTTTAGATTGAATTGAAATTGCCTCTTTTTTTTTTTTTTTTTTTTTTTTTTTTTTCTTTTTTTTTTAACAGTTTGTTCTATAAGGTTTTATTACATTTTTCTTATCTATATATGCTTATTTGCAATGTACATTATTATATGCATATATATATGTGTACAATTTTGCATAATTGCCAAGTAAAGGGGAGATGGACACCTTTTATAAATGACGGTTTACAGGAACTGCTATATATACACATTCATTTTTGTGAATTCTTTTAACATTATTAAAAATTTGGTAATAAGGAAAAACATTTTGTTGCAAGTTTGAGGGAATAAAGCAGAATTTTTGCTAAATTGGGATTGTTGGAATATATAATAATCAATTTAAATTGTCGGGAATTATAAAGGCATATCAGCACAATATATATATACATATATATACAGACGTGTATGTAATTATGTATCCTTTTTGTGTTTGTATATGCAAGTATATGTGTATAATGTAGGAACAGTAGCACACAAAAGAAGAAAAAAAAACATTGTATGTGTATGATTGTATGTGCATGATTCTCTGTGTATGATTTAATGTGAACGATTCTATGTACATGATTGCATGTGTACATATATATATATATATATATATATATATATATATATATATATATATATATATATATATATATATATTTTAAGAACAGCAAAATTTTGAATCACCTTTTAACCGGCTATTTTAAAAAGATCCATTTTGTTAACGTTCACTTGTGTGTATTTGTTTTTATATATTAATAAAAAGTCACATTTTCCCTGACGTGTGAGATATTTTACCTATACCATAAGCGTTTCCTGATCATACATATATATATATATATATATATATATATATGTATACATATAGATGCCTACATTTTTCTTTTTTTTTTTTTTTTTGAAAAACACATTTATCCTTCGTAAGTAAAAAAGAGAAATGAAAAATTGGGGTTATATGAATGAATATTCAGTATATCAACCCTAGCCCGTGTCTAAACACACACACATACACAGAGAAGTTTGGCCTTTTTTTTTTTTTTTTTTTACTTAATGTTAAGGGAGAAAGCTAAAAAGAAATAAAAAAAAAAAAAAATACATACATGTGTGTATATATATACGCACATGTGCATGTTTGTACTAAGACAGAAAAAGGTGAAATTATTTATAGTCGCTATGCAACCATCAGCAACTTGTTAGAATTTTTATCCCAACAGAAGAACAAATAAAATTAACACGCAGAACATGTAGGGATATGAGAAATTAAGTCCCTTTGTTCATATCGAAAACGTAGGAACGTTTATATAAGGCGAAAACAAAGAGGGGAAAAGATAAAAATATAAACTAAAGTATAAACTAAAGTATAAACTAAAGTGTAAACTAAAGTGTAAACTAAAATATTTATTATAAAATTTAAAAAAAAAATAAAAAAAAGCACACAATAATAGACCTATGATGTGATATCCATGACCCATCGAATTACACTTTTTTTCTCTTTTTTTTTTTCATAACATTAGTTGAATCTGTCTATACGTTTTTTACATGTGTTTGTGATTTGTTTCTTTAATTTGTATAATCTGTAGTTTTTTTTTTTTTTTTTTTTTTTTTTCCCCCCTCTGCATATCCTTCGCACTAGTAATACATATGCAGATGAAATTAGGACATATTGAATGAATAAAATATTTTCAAGAAAGCATTTATTAAATATTTTACAAAAGAATAGTAACACTAAATATTGCGTGAAAGAGGAGAAGGGTGAGAAAAATAAAAACACATTGAAACGATAGTAGCAAAGTAAAATGATAGACACATTTATCTACTGGAATTTTAGGGGGAGTAAAGGAAATGCAAACATTTTAAGATTATCTTTGCCGTGCAGTTATAATACAATTAAGAAAAAGATTTTAGATGTGACGAATTTAAACTTGCAAAACAGCTTAGATATACTATTGTATCACAATAATAAAATATTAAGTGAATATGAAAGTATACAAAATGGAATGGTGATAGAAATACAGCGAAGTAGTATAGATGCTGTGAAAAATTTATTACACGAAAGTAATCATTCCTATTTGGAAAGAAATAAAAATGTGCAAGATACAAATAATACCAACTCCAATGGGAAACCAAGCCAAATTCACAATAACAAGACATCCATCGCTACCACTATTGGAAGCACTTATGATAATAATTCCATTCTCAGCAGCAGTAGTAGCAACAATCACTATGATAAACACAACAACAATAGCATTGGTAGTAACGGAAATACAATAAGCATAAGTGCAATTGATAGTAAGCCATATAAGAATGAATTCAATAGATTACCTAAAGTGAGTAGAACATCCAACTACCCATATAATAATAAACAACCATGGAATGTATACAATAGAAATAACGTAATAATGAAAGAAGATAATGAAGAAGACGAAGATATGAAAATTCAATCAGTAATGGAACAGAATAATGTGTATTATAATCGACGCCCTGAGTATACTAAATCAAAAATGATAAATTATTACAAAAAAGATAAAAATAATAATAATAATAATATTGGTCAATTTTCTCCAAATAATAAATTTAAAAAAATATCTTCGTCATCCATTTCGAAGAATATAAATTCCTACAATTCTGTATCTTCATCTAGAGGAGGAGAAGAAATAACTTTTCCAAATGGCATGATATCAACAAACAATAAATTCCACATGGGAAATCAAAGTAGTAAATATTACAAAATGAAAAATGGTTTACAAAATGGTGGATATCCCAATACTACCATGATTAATAATACATATTATAACAGTTATAATAATTCTAAAAATGTACAAAAAACTAATAACAATATGAACAGTGAGGATATAAATACAAAAATAGTGCCTCCTGATTATATCTGTCATATGTGTGGAAAAAAGGGACACAGCATAAAAAATTGTACTATGAGTTCTTTTAATAATAATAAAAAGATAAAAGTGCCCACAGGTATCCCAACAAATTTTTTAACAAAAATTAAACCAGAGGATATTAATAAATATGATCAAATTTATATACTGAAGGATGGAAGTTATGGAGTTCTGAAAGATGTTGAAGATGTTAGTGGTAGTGCTTATTTATATCGAAGCGTAGATGACAAGCTTAATATCTACTTAGGTGTCAATGACTTGGGGAATACAAACGCTGCTAATAATCGAACTTCTTGCAAAACCTCTGACAGAACTATGAACCTAAATGACAATCTTTCTCGTGGGAATAATAATAACTCTTCTTCTGAAGGAACTGAAGGAGTGGATAAAATCTCCAACATTTACAAATGTCTTTTATGCAAAAAACTGTACTCTTCCCCAATAACCCTTCACTGTTGTAGTGAAACATATTGCAAAGGATGTTTATTCAGATATAACAGAAAAAGAAAAAACGATTATTCATCTTTACAATGTTCTTTATCTGGAGATCAAAATAATGGGGAAGGCAAATCCCAAATGATGAAATGTCCAAACTGTCAAAAATCTATAAGTTCAGATGAATTAGTCATTAACACTAATATTAAAAATGTAATTGATACCATTCTTAGAAATCAAAAAATTCATGGCACAAATAAGAAAGCGGAAGAAGTAGATAACAAATTCGTAAGGGTAGGAGGAGGAGGAGAAGAAGAAGAAGAAGAAGAAGAAGAAGAAGAAGAAAAAAACGATTTGTCTTCTAACCAATCCAGTATTGTTCCATTGTCAGTAATTCATAATCAAAAGAAATTCTCAGCTGCGTCATGTAGTGGGAAGAAAGTTAGTTCTACTGGTATGACCTCTTCCAATGGGATATCATCTAAGATTACTGCCACAAGCATGTCAAATATTCTAAGTTACAAGAATCAAAGTTCCAATAACGAACCAATTGATAATTCTACTAACCACAATGAATCATCAATATCCCCTCAAAATGGAAAGTTATATTCTAGAAAACCATTTCCAAATAATTATCCAACACGTAATGAATTTCTTTCTAATAACAGTAAAGCAACAGAACAACAAAATTCAGTCAGTCGTGGAAGTATGTACAACTTAAACGACGAAATTTTTCAAGAAAATATTTTTAACCCTCTAATTAATTTTCCTATAAATTTTCTAGAATTAAAAAGGCAGCATGATTTTGCAGCGGCTTACATAGCACAGTATAGAATGAAACAGAAAAAAAAACGGAAGAAAAATATAGACCTTAGTAGGCTTATTGGGAGGGCGGGAAACCCACCACGTGTGCTGACACTTCAGTAGCTATCCTGAGGGATCACCACGTGTTCTGATACCTGTTGTGTGACTCCACAAAGTTGACGAAGCAATGTAGTTGTTTGTAAAGAAAAAGGGAGTATGGATTAAAGGTTAAAACAAAACTGTTATGCCTCCTTATATTACCACATATTTTTAATTAAAATTTAGCTATATCAATTGATACCTTATATTTCCCTGCATGGTTTGTACATTTTTAATCATTTTAACCATTTTAATAATTTAATTTTTTTTCATTTTTTTTTGTTAAGACTAAAATTTGTTTATTTTTTATCCACCGACCGTATGGTGTATGTCACCTTCTGCTACATTTTCTTTAAATTTTATTTGGGGCGGTTGACACATTGCTCCTCTAACAGCATGTGTCGTGCACTTACGAAAAAAAAAAAAAAGGCGTTATAAAAAAACTATAAAAAGGGTACAAAATCGTTATATAAAAGTTGCAAAAATGTGATAAAAATGTGATAAAAACGTCATAAAAATGTCATAAAAAACATGTAATATAAAAGCATAAATTTAAGAATTAAAAAAAATTACACTGCAGAATTACACATTCGCATAATTATTTTTATGTATTTTTTTTTTTTTTTTTCCTTGCAATATTCTAGGCATATAATGTCTATTAAGTCATGCATGAGTGCTCGTTAGACATGGATAATTTAATTCGGGTTACATATCATATATCCACTTAGTATATTTCTTTATTGTGTCACTTTCTTTCTTCATATTTATAACGAAATAACATGTTTCACATATTAAATAATTTTTTAAATACTGATATATCCAAAGACACTAACCAAACCTGCACACACTGGGAATGCCTTCTGCACCACTCTAATATGGATAAATAATTTTATGTTTTTCTCTTCTTTGATCGTCCATGAATTTTCACAGATTATTATACTCTTCATGCGGTGTGCAATAAAACGGTGCAAATATGAAAATGTCATACATGCATACTGTAGTTATTCTATTATATTCCATTTTATTTGTTTTTATTTTTATATTTCTTTTTGCTCCTTTTTTTGTATACAAAAAACATCCGTCCCCACAGAAATATATACACATCAAAATATAAAAAAAAAAATTATTATATATATAACGTAATCCTATTGTCAACTATATGGTCGCCTCTTTGTAATTCATGGATCAGTAACACATATATACAATAGGTTTTTATGATTCAATAAGCGTTTAAAAACGAAAAAAAAAAAAAAAAAAAAAAAAATCCTAACGTGTTTTAGCAATATCTTATTAGTGTATAATATAAAAAGTATATGAAAACATTATTATTATATATTTTTATATGAACCCATCATCGCATTAATTCACTATAAAATGATCACGGGAAAATGGCCATAAGAACATAAAATGATCCTTCTTTACTTGTTTTGTGTAGTGTTTAGGGATACTATAATAATTGCTAATGTGTAATGAGATCTGAAAGTAGTACTTTCAATTGATAACCATACAAACTGCTGGACTACTCGCGTAGTTCTAAAAAAAATTATATAATTTTCCAAATCTCCTAGGTCATCACATACACACCACAAACACTATATCTCTCTTTCTCTATCCCCTTTTTGTACACAAATTTACCACTTCTCCCTGTATGTACCATCCCCCATTGCTCCAATTTAATAAACATCTGGAGATAATATAGAAAACTTTTTTTTATTCGGATTGTTAATATCATAAAAGTACTGGTGTACCTTTGCTTTAATTTGATTTAATTCATCATTCTTTTTTTTTAATTCACATTTTTGTGTACCCACTAATTTTTGTAATTGGATAATTTTTTTATACTGTGTTTTAACTGCACTTATTAAGACCTTTTTTTCTTTCTGCAAGGTATCCAAGTTTATTTTATAAGTATTTTGAAATTTGTCATAATCATCTTTACACATAAAATTATTTAATATAAATTCACTTAACACTGGGATCATAATTTTTTTAGCTTGGTTAATTTCGGTACATGAGCGTATGCTTTCCAAGATGTTATCAATGCATAGTTCAAATTGCTTCGATAAAAGTTTTTTATTTTCTTCTCTACACGCTAATGATTCCCTTATGGAATCATTTCTTGTCATATTGTTATTTGGATGACTTTTCAAAATGTCCAGGTTTTCGCAATAGTGGTCATCATATACTGGGTGGCAATCATTTATCTTGTTGTTGTTGTCTGTGTAGTTGTTACTGGTGCAACAATTTGAGACAGCATTCAAGCAGCTCGACGAACTTCCACCTAAACAGTTGGCCGAACTTCCACCTAAACAGCTAGCCGAACTTCCACCTAAACAGCTAGCCGAATCATCCCCTAAACTGTTAGCAGAATCTTCACCTAAACAATTAGCCGAATGTCCCTCTAAACAGCTATCAGAACCACCACCCAAAGAACTATCAGAACCCCTATCTGTGTCACTACATACACCAATTTTTACTTCCTCACTGTTGTTGCAAGTGGCATCTTGCGAATGTAGTGTTAATGAATGATCTTCATCTTGCTTACTCACATTGCCATACTGTTCATGCTTTCCTGTGCTGGTATTATTACAAGTGTCTTGAATTTTTATTCTCTTTATTATTTTCTTTATCTCACAATTATTTATTATTGTATCATCGTTAATAAATTGAACGGTTCTCTTTCTTCCATGCTTGAATCCATATATGTCTTTTATTATATGGTTTATATCTACATTAATACTATCACATGTACAGTTGTTCTTTTTTCTCTTTTTCATTAAGCATCTATTATCTACTCCTATGGCAGCCGCTGACATTGTAATCTTTGCTTGTAATACTGAGATATTTTGTTGCGTATGTTAATCAATTATTGAAATCTCGCTTCTGCACTTTCGATACCATAGAACAGTTCTTTCTCTCAAAAATGGTTCAAAAAAAAAAATGGCTGAACCTTTTTCCTGGGAGTGATATTTTGTGTCTTCCCCTCTGATTGTCTTATATACATGCATATACACATGTATGATAGGGAAAAAAATAGGAAAAAATTCACTACAAATATAAAAATTATACTTGGTGTATTTTACTTACATAGAACAAAAAACCTACATATATCAAGGGGGTGGGGTGGGGTAATATTGTCATACGTATATCACTCCGACGTGTACATAATAAGGAAAGAAAGAAATTGGATAAACAAAAAAAAACATATATATATATATATGTAAGATAAAAATAACTGGAGAGGGGCAGATTCAAAGACATGTACATGTATATATATACGTCCTCATTTTAGAGGTATGAAATAAGGATAAAACTACGGCTATAAAAACACGCAAAACATTTCAGATATGCAAGTCCACAAACATTTTTAACGAGTTAACAAGAAACCTGCATAATTGTGTACCTATATAAACATAATTACATGGGATGAAGGCAATTTCATGCATTCAGTTATGCATTGGTACGTATACATTTATGTACGTACGTATGTATATTTATGCATCTATGCATGTATTTATAAATATAAACATAAAAAAGATCATAAAGATGAAGATAAAGGAATTGGAATATACTGCCCTCGATCGCACTTCTTCTACGCATATATATGGTTCACTAATGGTTTACAAAAAAAAAAAAAAAAAAAAAAAAAAAACAGCAAACAAAAGAGGAGAAAAGAAAAGAAAACACTCAAATCAAAGCGTGGAAATGAGTGATTTTTTTATCCTTAATTTAATTCAGTTAAAAAAATAAAAGTGTTATGTTGTGGAAAAGGACATATAAAAATTGTGATATATGTTTTTTTTTTAAAAACTACTCATGTTTTCTTTCTGTAAAGATTTTAAAACATTTACCTCTTATTATGTCATTATATATAAGCGCAGAAATAAAATTTTTTCTCTTATCCAAATATGTTTTGATTTGGGGTAAAATGTTTTAGGCAGTAAATATTTTCTCACTTTTTTTTTTTTTTTTTTATATAGTTTGATTCTTTCGTTTCTTTGTCCCCGCCTCCCTTTTTTTTTTCGTTTTATTTTATATGAATATAACAAAACGAGTGATCATACCATTGTAGTTAAATTTGTACATTTCCACGAAGCCCCTTTGCGTATATATATACATGACATGACATATAACATAACAATATTTAGGAATATATTTACTCGATAATTTTTTTTTTTTTTTTTCACAATGTACAATATTGCAAATTGTATTTTTATGTGCGTAATATATGCATGTATATATTTACTATGGGTATTATTTTTTACGTTCATTTCTGGTTCATAAAATATTGCATGTATAAAATATATATATATGAATATTACTTTTACATGCTCATCGTCCTGTATATATATATATATATATGCATATCAAAAAAGTGGTAATGGTACATGTAATTCATATATTAAACGAACGGACAGAATATATATATATACATACTTGTTCGCATAACAAAAAAAAACAATTGCATGTAGAATTGTTTGTTTTTTTCTATTTTTATTCTTTGGTTGCGTAAAAGATGAGCAAATACTGAAAATTTTGTCAACTTTTTTTTTTTTCCCCCCATGTTGCTTTTGGCAAAAATGAAAGAAAAAGATGAAGGGAAAAAATGGCAAAATAATATGAAAATAAAAATAAAAGCGAAAATGCAAGAAATGGAACAAAATCCTCCGTACAATTTCTAAGAAGTAGAAAAAAAAAAAAAAAAAAAAAAAAAAAGGCAAATGGGCAAATGGGCAAATGGGCAAGTGGGCAAATTGCCAAAAAACAAAATATATGGTAATAAAAGGAGGAGGGGGGTATGGACACATGCGTAAAACCAAATCCTCCAAATGCAAAACAAAAGGTCCAAAATTAATTATAACTCGACCAATAAACAGAAATAACTAATATGAATAATTTCTACTTTTATAAAGGAGAGAAAGGCACTCATAACATATTTGGTAATTTTTTTTTTATGTATTAATGCATATACAAAAATTACTTGAAAAAGTAAAATCACATAAATGTAGGGTAATGAATGTTCTTTTGTGAGTACGCATATAATAAAACTTATATAGAGTTGTAGATACATTTATATATAAGCGTGCAAATGTTTCGCTTCAGAAAAGTTGAGTACCAATTCTACACGTGTGAATCTACATATATGTGACCATGCGATTGTGCATATTAATGCTGGATATACTTAAGCATGAGTGGAAAAAACGTAAGAAAATGTGTATGCAACCGTTCTATCTATCTATCTATCTATCTATCTATATATGCACGTGGTGTGAGTTACTATGGGCACAGCACCTCGTACTCGAACGAATGTCCCTTTACAGTGATTATTGGTATGTTAAATCAATCAGGATTATGCACATAAAATTCTACGGGAAAAAAAGGGGTCAAAATGCTTACAGTTGAGTTTATTTATGTACCCAATAGCAATAATATTTATATTTTGAGAAAATACCTATGATAAAGCACACTGAAGTGAAGGGGGAGTACACGTTAGGTCTAAATATACATTTTGCACAAAAACTATGAAACAAAAAAAGAAAAAAAGTGTACTAATTTTGTATGTTCTATATAGAGGTATGTGGAAGACAGAAAGAAAAAAAAAAAAAAAAAATGTATATATGTGTAATGCAGTGTTGTATATATTTTTTTATTATCTCTATAGAAATAGTGTGGAATTAAAAATACAACATAAAAATTAAGATTACTTTTTTTTTTCTTTCCCCCACTTTTTTAAACCTAATTATATGTTACACAAAATCCGAATATACGTGTTATTGTTCCATGTATTATTCACGCAATGTAAATAAAAAAAAAAAAAAAAAAAAAGAGGAAAATTTTACATACTATTCTTTCGAATTGTATTGTTTGTATAAAAAATACAAAAAAAAAAAAAAAAAAAAAAAAAGAACACTGAAACAGAAGAAAGAGGGTGAAGGGAACATGAAAATAAAATAAACAAAGCAACTCACACACAGTGTGTAGAGATAAAAAAAAAAAAAAAAAAAAACAAAAAACAAATATTTAGATATTTAAAAAAAAGTTCTCTTCCATTAGCCACTTGCTACATGAACGAAAACATGCTAGTGAAAGTGGGTGAGCTTGGAGAATAGAACGAGTTAAACAATTATCTGATTTTTTTTTTCTTTTTACATAGAGGTGCATTTATATATATATATGTATATATGTGCGTGTTTTCTATTTCTACACGGTGGTCACCACTGCGTTTGGATGGCTGCCTGTTTTCCCTTTTACAAATGTGCTAAGAAATAATGTGAAAACAAAAAGTAAATGATTGCCGTAGAACCAGCCTTGGACATTATTGTTTACCGGTGCATCATTGTATGGCCATAGAATATGCCTCTCATGGAGAGGGGTACGCATTTGTGCATTTATGGAGATACACGAAGGATGTGTAAAAAAGTTTTTATGGAAAAATTAGAACTACAATCACCTAAGTAAATAAGGAAGGGGGTGGTGGTGATGGTGGTGGGAGATTTTGGTCATTATTATATCCATACCATTCTTTTGCATTTCTCTCTATAGGTGTAAAAATCTCTGATTAATTGTAACAAGAACATATCCATACGCTAATTCTTGGAAAAGCTAACAATTTAAATTCGCAAAAGGTGAGAACAACATGTGGACACAACATGTGAGGAGACCAAGTTTTGAATAACTTATTTTAAGAGGGAGAAAAATTTATGATGAGAACTGGGGGTACTACATAACTGATTAGTATGTTGCTTGAATTTATACACTCTCCTTCTGATAAACAACTCTTATAAAATGATAAAACAAAAAAGTTGTGTCTTACAATGTTATGATAGTACAGTTGGCACTCTAGGGCAGTATATAACCACTGGTAATGGTTATTTAATTAACCCAGGAAAAAAAAATAAAATAAATGAATAAACAAAGGCGACAAAAATAAATGAATAAACAAAGGCGACAAAAATAAATGAATAAACAAAGGCGACAAAAATAAATGAATAAACAAAGGCGACAAAAATAAATGAATAAACAAAGGCGACAAAAATAAATGAATAAACAAATGCGACAAAAATAAATGAATCAAACAGTGTTACATATGTTACTAAGCGTATATCCGAATTAACCAATTTGGACACTATGGGAGACTACAAAAAGCACACATTAGGTGAGGCAGATATATATGTATTTCTAATTCCATTAATGAACTGGTTGATCTTTTGTGTTCTTTTATTTGTCTACTCCACACTAAATAGTCTTATAAAATGGCGTAGTGTAATTTTTAGGGGGTTGCAAATTTGTATTTGTATAGCCCACAGAGTTGTGTATATACCTTTGCACATTCATTACTTAGCGTTGTGATGTTTTTCCATGATCATGCAATTACATAAGGTGCAATAAAGATGTCTCCACTAATCCATTCATCCAAACACATATTATTCGTATGTATAATCAACAAGGAAAAAAAAAATAAAATAATAAAATTAAGGTACCAAATAGCAAGTTTTATTTTTCACTACATATACTAGCGGTAAATTTCTCACTGCATATAATAGTGTGAAATGGAGCCTTGGAACTCACATAACAATACATGAATAAATCGTGAAATGTTAAAAATTGGATGTAAACTTTTCCACAAATGTGTTGTAATGCCACTGAAAACTGTTTAATACTGTTGAAAAATTGCAAAAAAATGTTTAAGTCTGATGAAAAAAAAGGTAAAAATTCATTCAGTAATGACACGGCAGCATTTTGCTTAGATAACAAAAGCCTGATTTTTTTTTTATTACACCAAAAAAAAAAAAAAAAAAATAGCTTCCCTCTCTTATTAAGCCACACTTTTTATCATATCCTCCCCCACACTTGTATATTTTTCGCGAAATGAGCACACAAAAATTAAAGCATTTATTATATATATATATATATATATATATATATGTGTGTATATATGTGTATATATGTATATATATACATGCTCATGAGTCTCATGTTATATTATTTGTTGTGATGCATTTCTGTTTTTATTTTTTCCATTTCTGCCGCTTAACTTAATTGAACAAGCCAAAAAGTTCACTCGAGAAACACACTTGAGGGTATCTCATATCCTAACTATCTATTTCTTTTTAAGAAAAAATTTACTAATATGCACAACACTTTTTTTCCCTTTCGTTTCATTCTTCTCCTTTTCGGTTGGGATTTAAAAAAATGTAGGAAATATTGAATTCTTCAGAAAAAACTAAAAATATATATATATATATATTACTTTTAAAGATATGTGAAGATACATTTTTTCCATCATACATGCGCGATACAACGTAATGTAAACAAAAAATGAAGTTTTTTTTTTTTTTTTTTTTTAAACTCCTTTCTTTCAACGGAAAGAAAGTAAGGGGGTTGGGGAGTTGAAATCTTTTCCTATTTTTGTTGTGCACCGCTTTTTTATATTCATAAGTTAAAACTTAAGAAACAAAACCTGTCGTGTCGTGTTGTAAAACTCTAAAATAGAAGAGCATACCTTTTATGAACATTTTTTTTTTTCTCTTGAGCTGCATAATGAAACAAACACAGTTTTCATCTCTTAACTTTGTGAGGAACAAAAAGAAAGAAATTGGGAATGAGGAATTCATACTTGTTTACATATACATGTGTTTACATATGCATGTGTATAATATATATACATACATGTAAACATAGTTTTGACTTAACACCCCTTGTTGCTGATTTAGAGTAAACAAACAACTCTTACCCTACCGGTGCATACATATATATATATACATATATATATGTATATATATGTATATATATGTATATATATGCATATATATGCACGCACATGCGTTTAAGCAGACGCTACGTTGTGCTATTCCTGCATGTGTTTATTGGAGGATGGGTACATGATCTGAATTAATTGTGTTATAAACCACCCCATCTGTTACATGCAACGACAGTAGTAGATATAGGTGCATTACCTTTACATGCATGTAACAGTATGCATATGAAGTATGTATTATGCATGTACGTATGTATGTATTATGTATGCATGTATGTATGTACGTATGTATGCCTGTATATATACACAGTTGCGTAACATGTTCTCTCACCTTCCTCCTATGGGGCTTTGGAGATGAAAACAAGCATAACGTCCTCCTTTACCCATGGTGCCGACACTTAGGTCAAAATGTTTTCGCGTATTAAAACAATTGGAAACGAACAAAAATACAAGTGGGGTATATATAGTTTACATATGCATATTATATATATATATATATATATATATACATACATACATGTATAGCATCATCTCTCGCATGTACTACCCCCACTGTGCACTCTCATATACATAAGTTTTGTTTAAATCAAACAATACATCCTCCATAATAGGGCAACGTAAATGAAACTAAGTTCTATGTACATCTCATCAACTCATTTTCTCGTTCACTTCGTTCCACTTCGCCGGTTTCTTGGTTTACCCATTTTGTTCCTTTTTTTTCACTTTTTTTTTCAACTTTTTTTTCACTTTTTTTTCAACTTTTTTTTCACTTTTTTTTCGACTTTCTTTTCGACTTTTTTTTTAACTTTTTTTTTTTTAACTTCTTTATCATTGTCACTTTTTTTCAATTTTTTTTTTTTTTTTAACTCCTTTTTTTTTTTTTTTTTTTTTTTTTTTTTTTATTTTTTTTTTTTTTTTTTTTTTTTTTTTTTTTTTTTTTTTTTTTTTTTTTTTTATTTTTTTTTTTTTTTTTAACTCCTTTTTTTTTTTTTTTTCATTTTGTTTTTCTTAAATATTTTTTCCTTTTTTTTATTTTTTTTCATTATTTTTTCTCCTTAGTGAAAAGTTATAACAATTTTTTTTTTGTTACTTGATTAAGATTTTAGTGATGCAACATTTGCGTTATCCTGCATGAACATTGATATTACCATTTAACAAGAGGATCAGAAACGTACGAACAGAAAACTATAAGAACAAAAAACAGTGCGAACAAAAATCAGTACGATCAAAAATCAGTACAAACAAAAAACAGTACAAACAAAAAACAGTACAAACAAAAAACTGTACAAACAAAAAACAGTACGAATAAAAAAGGGCTCAAACAGAAATACAAACTATAAGCACGAATATATATAGCACTTTTGCATATTCTGAATTAATCATTCATCAAAGCAAATCCCACTTAAAATAGATTTTTCATTATACCTTTTAACTGACAAGGTAATAATACGCCGTCGAAGTAAAAAGGCTTCATTGAATTTTTATTGCATTTGTATAAGCATTATACTTACGTAGATATACATACATGCTTGTACGTACGTGTACATATATATATATATATATATATATATATATATATATATGTGTACGCATGTATGCTTACAGACCATTTTGCCAAAATAAAACTTGTAATACACAAGTTTAGTTATTATGATGAATCAGTGCTGCTCCAAAAAAAAAAAAAAAAAATACATTGAGAAAATATACATATTTTACGTACATATTTACATACATATAGATAATTTATGTATGTATCGACATGCATACACTTCACGGTTTTAGTTTGCTCTTGTCCCTTTTAACTAAACGTGAAAATTTCATACGAAAGATAGGGAAAAATTATACTACCCGTTGGGGAAGATCCCTATCCATATGTACATTGCATACATGCACATACATACGAGAGTATATTTTCACTTAGAGATATGTTCACCTAGATAGATATGTTCACATAATAGCTATTGTAAACCAGATTTGTGTGAACCTAGTTTTTTAAATATGCCTTTTGGAATATATTCACCAGTATTAATTTCTGACATGTGCATAATTTTTTTTCTTTTTTGCGTCCACAGATGGGAAGAAGACCCGCTAGATGTTACCGTTACTGTAAGAACAAACCATATCCCAAAAGTAGATATTGCAGAGGTGTGCCTGATCCCAAAATAAGAATATATGATATGGGAAGAAAAAAAGCAGATGTAAATGAATTCAGTGGAGTTGTTCATTTAGTTTCTTATGAATATGAACAAATATCATCAGAAGCATTGGAAGCTGCACGTATCAGTGCAAATAAATATATGATTACAAATTGTGGTAAGGACAATTTTCACTTAAGAGTTAGAGTACACCCATTCCATGTTTTAAGAATAAATAAAATGTTGTCGTGTGCAGGTGCTGATAGACTTCAAACTGGTATGAGAGGTGCTTTTGGAAAACCAAATGGTGTTGTAGCAAGAGTAGATATTGGACAAGTTCTACTTTCAATAAGAACAAAAGAAAACTTTGTTTCAAAAGCTTGTGAAGCCTTGAGAAGAGCGAAATATAAATTTCCAGGAAGACAAAAAGTGTTTGTTAGTAATAAATGGGGATTTACCAAATTTTCAAAAGATCAATATCAAGAATATAAAAAAAAGGGAAGAATTATATCTGATGGTGTCAGTTGCAAGTTCATAAGAGAAAAGGGACCATTAGATAAAATTTACAAAGACATAAATACAGTTATCGAGTCCTAAATTATTTTGTACATTATATTTTCTTTTTTCTTTTTTTTTTTTTTTTTTTTTACTTTAACATCCTTTCTTCATTACGCGTTGGATTACACAAAAAAAACTATCCATTATTTTCATTATGGAGTTTGTACATATAGTGATGTATATATATAGGCATGTATACATGTTTGTGCATATGTACGTACATGTAGTATATACGTCTTTCACTATCCCACTATTATTACAAACATCTCCCTTTTTTTTTTCTTTTTTTTTTTTTTTTTCTCATACTATCCATTTTTGATTCTTTATCTTTTAGCGACAAATTGCTAATTTAAGAAAGTTAAAGATTCATAAAAATATAACATTTTTTGAGAGATTAAGCAGGAGAAAAAATAATCTAACATATAACATTATGTATAAATTATTCAAAGGTGAACATGTAAAAATAAGGCGATATATTTATATATATAAACGCATATGCATGCTTTTTCACAAGGGGTTTTGAAAAAAAAGCAAAAATTCTAAAGTGGTGTAAATTAAACTGGGCCAAGTGATAAATGCCCTTGTCACATCTTACAAAAGATGTCAGGGAATTTCGCATTCGAATTGATGTGCTTTTCTATATATAAATGTATATGTAACGACAGATGACATTTAATTTTTTTTTTTTTTTTTTTTTTTAATTCCATTTTGATGACTTTGTTGAATGCTGCGCCATGGATTATATTATAACGCTTTATTATTTCATATATTCATATTTTTTATCTCCCGGTTTCAATGAAAACAGATTACTCTATGTAGTAGCATACCATTTTACAAAAAACAAAGCTTTTATTGAGAAATTCCATTTTGGTATATTTTATTCAAAAAAGGGACGAGTTATTCTACTATACATTGGGAATGGTGTATGCTCAATGGTGCCGGAATTATAATAATCCTTGACCGTTCCTTGGGCTGTGCAGCAAAATATTGGATAAATAATGATAAAATTTGGTAATAATAATGGTGGTAGTATCAATAGTGGTAGTAATAATAGTAGCAGCAGTAGTAGTAGTGGTGGGCATAATAATACTTCCCACTTTGTTAGCCTTTTTTTTACGTAAATATCATACGTGATTATTTTTCCTTTAATGTAAAAATTGTACATGTATATATACATATATATATTTCGTTCTTTTAATGCGATGTTCAGTGTTTATCTGTTTCTGGTGTATCTGAAATGTTTCTTCTTCTAAATGTCTAGTTTTATGTGCAGTTTGATGAATCTTTTTTTTTAAGCCCAATTTAATAATAAGTAGAGATGAACACATAGTGAATGTATATTTACATATATGCATATCCCACATAAGTAATCACGTTTTACTGTGATACATAGAAATCTCTGTAATATTATAGAACTTACTGAATTGTCTATTTTTAATGGAAAATATAAAAATGCGCGTACTAAATGCACACCTTGAGTTGTAAGCTCTTCAGAAAATTTTATCATAACATATATTGCCTTCTATTTGACAACCTCGAAACCCCAAAATGTCGAATGCACTTTCACAAATAAGTAACATACATGTGAATGCAGTTATGGCAAAAGGGGACAAGGTGCAAAAATTTATTTCAATATATAATCACTTTTATTACATTTTTAGCATGATCAACTTGCAGTGCCAAGCAATTCTTTGCGAGATAATTTACGTTTCAGTCATTTAGGCAGTTTTCATATGCTTGAAAATTTCTTCCTTCTTGTACCTTGTGCATATATATATATATATGTATGTATATACGTATATGTATAAATATATGTATGTATATACGTATATGTATAAATATATGTCATCGCTACCCCCCTTTTTTTTTTTTTTTTTTTTTTCCTTTTAGCTAATTATTTGAAAATGCATACTTGTGATAATTGCCAAAAAAAAATATAAGTAAAACTAATTTAGTTGTTTTAAATATTTATATAGACAACTTTTTGTTTTAAAAATGTTTCCTAAGTAATGGTAAGAAAATTGGCTTTACATGGGTGCAACTGCTCTTTTTAAAAGACCATTTATTTTTTTTTTTTTTTTTCCTCGTTTTTTCACACACATGCTTAATACCATATATAGAATAGTTAAAATAAGCAATTGTAAAAACATAATTTTTAGTGACTCATAATAAATTAGGACTAACAAGAGCAAACAAAGTATTCCTAAAATAATGTCTTGTTCATAACAAATTAAATATTGTACATAAATAGTTTATGTATATTTTATTTTTATTTATTTATGTATATTTTATTTTTATTTATTTATATATTTATTATTATTATTTTTTTTTTTTTTTTTGACTTGAAAGATGTTTTGTTGGACACTTTTGACTTTTGGTACCTCTGAGTATATACGTACGTTACATTATGTCTGTCTTATGCATATACAGGGGCGAGGGGTGGGATATATAAGACCAAACTTGCAAAAAATTAGGGTGAATGTTTTCAATTGACAAAGTAAATGTGTTCTCTCCAAATGCATATATATATATATATATATATATATATATATATATATATATATATATATATATATGTACAGCCATTTTTTCAATGCATTTTTATTATTATTATTTTTTTATTTTATTCTTTTTTTTTTAAAATCCTTTATATGTGTATCTTATTTAACTTTTTTTATTTACATAAATTAAAAGTTGGATAAGAATTATATTTGTTGAACAAAAAAAATACCATAAGAAACTGTAAATTAATATCCCTCCCCGTTGACTATTATTTATTCTATGAGAAACAACAAATTTGTGTAATATATACACATGTACACGCACAGGTAAAAACATATACATTTTTAATTAAACAGTTAAGAGGAAATTATAATGGACAAAGTGAGAGCAGCTTAGGAGGATAGACGACAAATGCAAAAGTGTGTACCTATATATATATATATATATATGCCCAGAGATATGTGTACAGAATTTTTCTCTTTTTCTTACGACATGTATGCCTGAAGGTATTTGTTTACTTATTTACACCTATACTTAAGCTTACAAGGATATCCGTTCTAGCTCTCGTGAGACATGTATATATATTCATCTCGTTATAAGTTATCCCCTTCGCCCCCCTTTTTTCCTCTCTCATTTTTTTAAAACTTTTTTAAGAATTCTAAAATATGAGGATGAATAGGGAATGAACTATAAGTGAAGAATACATGCCTTATTAATAAAATAGCCTCATTGAAAAATAAATTTACCTAATTGCAAAAATTTACTTCCTGTGTAGTGTTTTATTTTGTAAAATTTATAAAAATGTTTATAATGTTCTTCGTAAAGCTTTTTTTTTTTTTTTTTTTTTTTTTTTTTTTTTTCAAAAAAAACTTGTTAAATGACAAGCTCTTAACATTTTGCTCGTTTTTTTGTTCTTTCTTTCGTTCGCTCCTTTGTTCGTTTTTTTCATTTCCTATTCTATTCTTCCTTTCTATCCATTTTGTATAAATTAAAAATATACTTGTATTATGTATATTGGTGTTTATCAGAAAACCCTAACTACATGCATATTTTTCCTAGTGTGTAGATATTGTTGATGATATCATATCTTAATGACAAGTGTATTTTTTTATGCTTATGCTGTATCTTGCATTACATAATACGCTACGCCCTACGTACTTTTGCGCATATATCACACAATATTACATGGCATTACACAGTATTACATGACATTACACAATATTACATGGCATTACACAATATTACATGGCATTACACAGTATTACATGGCATTACACAGTATTACATGACATTACACAATATTACATGGCATTACACAATATTACATGGCATTACACAGTATTACATGACATTAAAGGACATTACACATAGCGATTATTTAATTTTTTGTTACGTTTAATTATATCATCGTACTTTTGCTCATTTTTATTTTCATTTTTTTTGAGGAATAATTTCATCTCACAAGGAAATAATACACATGTAATGTAATCGTATAATATTATTTTCATTTTAGCTTATATGAATATACATAAGGATGTATACATAACTTTTTAAAACGTAAATTGTAAAGAAAAAAAAAAAAAAAAAAAAAAAAAGGCAGAAAAGAAGAAAAGGCAGAAAAGAAGAAAAGAAGAAAAGAAGAACAGCAGAAAAGAACAGCAGAAAAGAACAGCAGAAAAGAAGAAAAGAAGAAAAGAAGAAAAGAAGAAAAGAAGAAAAGGAAAAATGAGGAAAAAAATGTTAACATAAAAGTGTATTTTTTGATATTTGCGCTTTTGTTTGTTTGTGTGTTTCTGTACTTTTGCACGCATGTGTAAATGTAAAAATGTACATTATATATATGCTTTTATATATGTAACAGCACATGTACAATTTTAATCCTTTTACATGTTACAATTTTTTATATTTCATTTTTTATATTTTTTTTTACGTACATGTTTTTAAATAAAGCAATATGTATCATTTATACATTTTTATGGTTATATATACGTATGGGGCCTGTATGGCACGTTCACGTGTTAAATTCATATTTTTGAACAAGTAAATACATACACATATGTATTACGAATACACGTGTATATAAACATTATATACATATGTATAAATATGTAAATATAAATGTAAATATAAATGTAAATATACATGTAAATGTATGAATGAATGTATACGTGCACATGTTCACATGTACACGATTTTTTTTTTCCTTTTTTTTTTTTTTTTTTTTTTTTTCTGACACGCAACATTTAAGATTTTTGTCAGTTAAAATTTAACATATTGATGTATTCATTCATAGGTCCAAAATTAACAATCTTTTAAACATTTGATTTAGAAAAATAAAATAAAATAGTAATAACACAATAAAAAAAAAAAAAAAAAAAAAAAAAAAAAAAAAAAAAAAAAAAAACAGAAAAAAAAAAAAAAAAAAAAAAAAAAAAAAAAAAAAAAAAGAAAAAAAAAAAAAAAAAAAAAAAATAAAAAAAAAAAAAAAAAAAAAAAAAAAAAAAAAAAAAAAAAAAAAAAAAAAAAAAAAAAAAAAAAAAAAAAACAGCACCTGGAATTAAAACAAACGTATAAAGAAAAAAACTGTGTAAAGGGTGAAAAAAAATTAAATTGTGAAGAGTAGAATTTTTTAAAAAGGAAAAATAGAAAAAAGAAAACATAGTAGGATTACAAAGTTATATATTAAGTAGTATTTCATATAAGAAAAACATAGTACTATTAAGTAGTTATAGACTAAGAAGTATTTTTACATATAAAGAAAACATAGTAAGATTAAGAAGCCCACACACTAAGAAGTATCACATAAAAAAGAAAACATAGCATGATCCGGAAGTTATATAAACTAAGCAGTATCACATAAAAAGAAAATATAGTAGGCAAAAAAAAAAAAAAAATATATATATATATATATATATATAAGTAAATATAGAATTAAAAACAAGAAATATCAAACGGAGGAAAGAAAAAAGAACATACAAGAGGTAAGGATAAACGTAGTATTACAATAAGGAATATTAAACTGTATAGAAAAAGGAGAAAAGGGGTTTAAGCAAAAAGGCAGAAAGGAAGGAAGGGAAAGAAGGTATAATATATAAGAAAAATATAACAGAATAAAAGAACGAAAAAAAAAATACTAACAATAGTATTAATAATAACAATAGTATTAATAATAACAATAGTATTAATAATAACAATAGTATTAATAATAACAATAGAATTAATAATAACAATAGAATTAATAATAACAATAGAATTAATAATAACAGTATCATTATAACATAAAAAATAAAGTAAATACTCGTAATAATTTATTTACACATGTGAAAAAAAAATAAAATATGTATATTTTTGTCTGAGAGAATATACTAAAAGAGAAAACATGCTTTTAATAGATTGGAATTACTAGGATAAGGGAGAAGTGTTATAGTTATAAAACAATTAGTAAAACGTAGTCTTTTTTTTTTTTTTTTTCCTCTTTTTTTTTTGAACCATAATTATTAATACTAGATATATATGCCATATTTCAAAGAATTATATATTCCCTTCTCATGCAACTAATAATATGAAGAAATATTTCTGGAATTAATTTCGAGGAAGATTACACATTTAGTGAAAACGTAGGGGAATAGTACTATGATATACACATTTCTATAGATGCACTCATATTACATATGTATATGTATATATATATGCATATCCATGTACACAAATGTGTAAGCCCATGTGTATCAGCACTAAAATCTGCATGTGTATGTAAACGCATATGTACCTTTTTGCTGCATCCGTTCTCTTTACCCAAAAGAAATGCATAATTTTTTTGGCCCCCATCTTGTCGTTCATTTAACCCCATAAGAAAAAAATATAATAATATATAAGAATAAGAAAAAGAATAAGAAAAAGAATAGGAAAAAGAATAGGAAAAAGAATAGGAAAAAGAATAGGAAAAAGAATAAGAAAGACAAATAAGAAAAACGAATAAGAAAAACGAATAAGAAAAGCCTTCTTCATGATTAATAATAAATATAGTAAGAAGAATTATTATTTCATCATTCCAAGGAGATAACTACAATTTTGCTTGAGTAAATATTTATTATGGCATTAGAAATAGATATAGATAATGTAATATCAAAACTAATAGAAGTTCGAGGAACAAGACCAGGAAAAAATGTCAACTTGACAGAAAATGAAATAAAAATTTTATGTCTATCGAGCAGAGAAATATTTTTAAATCAGCCCATATTACTAGAATTAGAGGCACCAATTAAAATATGTGGAGATATCCACGGCCAATTTTATGACTTGTTAAGACTCTTTGAGTATGGAGGTTTTCCTCCGGATGCAAATTATTTGTTTTTAGGTTATATATATCAACACATGTGTGTCTCAATACATGTACATACATGAGGAGGAGAGGAGGAAAAAAAAAAAAAAAAAAAAAAAAAAGAGCATACTCATTTTTTTCAACATTCGTATGTTTTTTATTTATAAGCACGCATACCAGATAAATGCTTATTTCCCAGCTGTATATTTTTGTATAAACGTAGAGATTTTCTCCGTATCATCCTAATATATGCTGAAAACAGTGCTATATTTTTAATTTTTCTGTGTATAGTATATATATAATCCCCACAAATGGGAAATTTGTCGATAAAATGTTTTTTAACATTTGGGAGTAGAGATACATTTTCCCATGCACAGAAACATACACCTATGTATATACATATATACATGCATTTATGTAGGCATTACCCCCACATGAGCATGTGCTCGTTTATTTTTCCATGATTGTAATTTCCCGAATCATCCATATTCATTTTTTCTATCCCCTTCATCACATCTGTTTTTATAGGAGATTACGTCGATAGAGGAAAACAAAGTTTAGAAACGATTTGTTTACTGTTAGCTTATAAAATAAAATATCCAGAAAATTTTTTTTTACTAAGAGGAAATCACGAATGTGCATCGATTAATAGAATATATGGATTTTATGATGAATGTAAAAGAAGATATAGCGTAAAATTATGGAAGACATTCATTGATTGCTTCAACTGTTTACCAGTTGCAGCAATAATTGATGAAAAAATTTTTTGTATGCATGGTGGGTTATCACCAGAATTAAATAATATGGAACAGATTAGAAAGATAACAAGACCAACGGATGTTCCTGACAATGGTATATTTTGAAATATAAGATTGTATGAGCAATCGAGTTATATTTTAGACATTCATAGGAAATGCACAAATGTTTGATATATAAAGTGTGTATTGCTATTATTACCACCTTTATTTTATGATATTTCACTTTTTTTTTTTCTTTTTTTTTTTTTTTTTAGGCTTATTGTGTGATTTACTGTGGTCCGACCCAGAAAAGGAAATAAATGGATGGGGAGAAAATGATCGAGGGGTTTCATTTACTTTCGGTCAGGATATAGTTCAAAATTTTTTAAGAAAACATGAATTAGATTTAATATGCAGAGCGCATCAGGTAATTGAAATATTAATTGTACACATATATATGTTTGACTTGTGTTATTATAGAAGCCCACTTTATATAAATATGGTATTTCTTTAGTTGAACTTTGCTTTCTTTTTTCTGTGTATAAAATGTTTACTCCTCTTTTAAACTTAATAGGTGGTGGAAGATGGCTATGAATTTTTTGCAAAAAGACAGTTAGTTACCTTATTTTCAGCTCCAAATTATTGTGGAGAATTTGACAATGCCGGTGCCATGATGAGTGTCGATGAGACACTAATGTGTTCATTTCAAGTAAAAAGACAAAAAATGGGAAATATGCAAAATGGGAAAAATGCAAAATGGGAAAAATGAAAAATGGGAAAAATGCAAAAGTGAAAAAATGCAAAAGTGATAAAATGCAAAAGTGAAAAAATGCAAAAGTGATAAAATGCAAAAATGAGAAAAAAAACAATACTGAAAACGTTTTTTCTCTTGCAAACATAATCATGTGCATGCACATATATATATATCTCCTTTTATGTGCCCTTATTTTATCCCCTTCGCGCAGATTTTAAAGCCAGTTGAAAAAAAAAAAACTTCCAATTAAGTGCCATAATCCAGAACCCCAGTATTTAAATTCTAAAATATAAACTTATTAATTATACCACATAAAATTTTGATATATATGTTTTAATTTAATTCATGCAGCTTTTTTTTTTTTTTTTTTTAATTCAAATTTGTTTAAGGGATTGTTTTTGCCAATATGCCCTTATTACCCCTTATATGCCCTATACTAATAACACACTCAAGTATGCAACCACACGCATACACAAGTGCACAACCTTTCTCCCTTGCTTCTATATATATATATATATATATATATATATATATGTGCGAACACGCTTATAAACATCCCATGCATACACACGCTTTTTTACACACATATATAAGCATATATAATTTTTCAAATTGTTTACATAGTTTAAATTTTCTTTTCTTTTTTTTTTATTTTTTGAACACCCAAGAATTTTTTATAAAAGCAATACTTCCCCCATACCGCTATTACATTTCTTATTTCTACATGTATATATTTACAAATGCATATGTGTAAAGCATACTTATGCAAACACATGTATATCTATGTCTGTATATACACAGTATTTATAATGCGTGTCTTTTCATTGCTTTTATAAAAACTCTCTTGGGGTTTTTAATAATTTATTAGGTCATCTATTTATATGTACATGTATAAATATATACTCACGTATGTTTTAAAATAAAAATAAATACGCGATGACAAACTTTACACGATTACAAACTTTGCAACATAACAAACTTTTACACAACAACAAACATTACACAACACACATATATGTAGATGCATATTTATTTACCTATTTGTGGGTGTACACATATTTATCTTCATATATTTAAATTATTAATATGAACTATTTATTCATTTATTAAAAAAAAAAAAAAAAAATGACACTAAATTTAAGGTTCAGTAGTACAGAACATATTTGTTTATTAAAAAGGAGTGAACATGAGACACACAATCGGTTTTATATTTAAGAACACATCGAAATAATCTGTGTACTTTTTTTTTTTTTTTGTTTTCTTTTATACTCGGAAGACATGTATCTATGCTTATACATGGTCTTTTATAGGGTACACGATTATTTGCGCCCTTAAATAGCACGATAATGGGGATTGGGGAAAACAAAGAAAATAATAAAAATAAAATAATAAAAAGAAAATAATAAAAATAAAAGAGATAAAATAAAAAAAAAAAAAAAAAAATGAAGTATAAATGAAGTATAAATAAAGTATAAATGAAGCATAAATGAAGTATAAATGAAGCATAAATGAAGTATAAATGAAGTATAAATGAAGTATAAATGAAGTATTAATGAAGTATAAATCAAATACAGACAAAGCAGAATATTCTAAAAAGTAATACGAACATTTGGTATATTGAAAACGTTTGGTGCTCTTTTACACACACGGATAACTTAGAAAAAATGGAAAATGTGGGAATATTGTGGTAAATGACATAAATCCATAAATGTGGTACTCTTGTTATGCAAAAAAAAAAAGACTAAGGACTTATCACAACTGCAGATCTTTATGCCATTTTTTTTCTTCTATCGACTGTTCACAAAACTTTCATGAGTTCTGACACTTTCACTGGTAATTTCCATTTGGGCTTTATGCCGTATAATTTGAGAACATATTCGAGAATTATATGGGAAACCTAAAAAAAGGGGAGAAAAAAAAAACAAAAAAAAATAATAATCAAATGGATAGAAATAAGGAAATGAAAAAATGGACGAACGAAGATAAAAACGAGAGTTCATAACTGCACCGTTGGTGTACTCAGTTTTCACTTCTTCCGTATGGAGGTGTGTACATCTTTTTCACGTGGTCTAATTTATCTCAGTTTTGCACACGTTTCATCAATTTTTTCATTGAATGAGGAACATGAGTTATATAATGACAATTAGAATTTTGTTACTTACAGTTGCCCCTTTAAAAATGTCTGTAAGGAGGATGGTGAGAGAGAGATCAATCTCTGGAAAAGATACAGCAAGACATCCGGAAAAATCTGATTGTCCATACCCGACAATCCGTTTAATCTTTGAGTTATTTTTCTTATCTTTTTTCGTTTTGCCATGTTCCTTCGTTTTGCCTTGTTCCTTCGCTTTGTCATGTTCCCTCGTTTTGCCTCTTCCCTTTGTTTTGATTTTATGCAGATAAAAATCCTCATTTATGTTGTCTGCATATTCACACTCAAAGAGCTGAAACCCCATTCCCCACTTTCTACTCATTCCTCCAGTCAAAATCAAAGATTCTACACTTTCATCAAGTGAATATGTTTTCCTGACTTTGTTCATAATATAAGGAGGGAAAAAAAATTTATTATTTGCAAAAGCTAGTATTTTACACATAGCCCTAGCAGTATATCGCCCATTAATAGGGATAAATTTATCCAGGATCTTTTTGGAATCATAAATTAGGGGATCAACTACATACGGCTTTGCTTGGGCTAGCTGAAATAGTGATATGTATTCACTACACTGTTTGGCATTGAAATTTTCTAAATAGGTCTTTAATTTGGTTTCCAAGTTGCATTTATTTACTAAACTGGTTGTGCCTGCCCCATTTGCTTCGTTTATCCCTTTTGTTGCATTTTCCCCATTTTCCCCATTTGCAACTCTCGTAGCATCTCCTTTACTCTCGTCCAGCACATTGGTAGCTTCACCCACCTGAGAATCATATCCTCCAGTTTTTTTCCCCTTTGTATTTGATTTCAGCATACTACCAAATTTATTATTCATACTTTCCTTTGAAACCGTTTCAGTGAAGTTAATGTCTCTATTAGCATAAGCTAACCTCCAATAGACATCCGTTTTTTTATTTATTGTATGATTTTCCTCTGATATTAGATCTTTGTTGTTTTTTTTATATAGTTTATTCATGACTAAATAGGTTTCTAATCTGTGCTTCTTCTCTTCCATGAATCTTCTTTCTTCCATTTCGTGTGCACTGTTGTTCGGAGAGGAACAGGTGCCGTTTTTTTCTTTTCCTATTCCTTTCGCCTCTCCTCTCGCTTTTCCCTTTTTTTTTTTTTTTTTTTTTTTTGCGTCCTCATTGCAAAAGTGAGAATCACTAAACATTTCTATTTCTTCTGAATATTCATTCGTGTATATATTCATTTTGTTCTTCCTTTTCAAAATGTTGTTTCTTTGTTTCTGCATAATATTGTATTTATAATCAATTAGTTTTTTCAAAAGTTCCTCATCATTTTTGATTAGTTTCTTTAGCAAGTCTTGGCTCACCGTTTCGAATGTGTTCAAATTCTTTGTGCTGATCCCCTTTTTTTTCATGTTATTCGAGCCTACAGTTCCATCATCTTCATTCTGCATTTTGTTAAATAAAGGGTTATTAATATTTCTAATTTTCTTATTTTTTTCTTGTATACTTCTTCTTAAATCCTTTATATAATTAAACAATTTTCGATACTTTCTGTTTCTTCTATGATATTGATTGTACTTTTCCTTTAGCACACTATTGGCAGATTCATCTCCACTACTTCTGGCATTAACATTGTGAAAGAGTGTTTTAATATTTTCATCAAAATTCAATTTATAAAATCGATTTCCTTCCTCTAAATTGTATGAATGATTGTGTTGATAATTTGTGTCATTTTCTGTATTATTATATTCTGGTGAATTATTCAAAGCATTTATAAAAATAAAAGGAGCACTATAATTAGATAACAATTCATCTGTGTCATTCTGATATTTAAAAACCACACAATTAGAATTGTTAGAACTATATAATTTGTTCCCTTTTTCATTGTTCATGTTATTATTTTCACTATAATTGGTTAGTTTGTAATTCATGCAGCTGCGAGACCGTTTATTTGTTGTATGATCATTTGTGTGAACAAATAACATGTTTTTTTTATTTTTTTCTGAAAATCCTAAATTAGAAGTAATTTTGTTAATATTTTTTATATTCCATTTTTTGTCCATTTTATTATTATTCATGTCTTCTCTTAAAAATTCATTACAATAATAGTTATTATTACTGTGCAGGTAATTTTCATACATTTTCCTATTTGTATAACTGCATAAATTTTTATCATACATGTAGTTAAAATCATCATTTCTGTAATTATAAACAAATTTATTGTTTATATCTTCATTTTTCTTTTGTTGCATCATGAAAAAATTTTTCAAAAATATATTTTCATTATTTTCATACATATTTTTTATCGAATCATTAATTTTCTTCGTTTTTACTCTTAAATTGTCTACATGATTTAGTAATTTATTTCTAAAACTAAATGGTTCTTTATTTTTTGTATAACTATCTAGAACATTATTCGATACACATTTCTTTCCTTGTATGTCAATATCTGCAATTTTTTTATTGTTTAATAGGATATTCACTTGTGCATTATTATTACACTCCTCTGCCTTAAGATTTGTTTCATCTTCTAAAATTTTTATTTCGCTCTCTTCCACGCCATTCAACTCATTCTTTCCCAATTTATTCTTTTGCATATTGTTGACACTTTTTAACCATTTACCAGAATTTTCACATGGATTATTCTTTCCAATACTAGAGTAATAGACATCGACACTTATTGATCTCCGCTTAATCGATGTTATCTCATCAATAAAACTGAATTTAACATTCCCATGTTTGTTTATTGGTACACTACTTTGGATTTCTCTATTGTTATAAATTCTATTAGACGGATTCATATTGACATTTTTTTTCCCTTGATACATATCATTTGCAAAATTGGAAATGTTATTCAATTTTTTATTTTTTGATACGAATGCATTAGGTATTAATTCATTACTTCTGAGGATGTTAGAACTTTCTTTGATTAGACTTGATTTTTTCTCTTTATTGTTATTTTTTTTCCCTTTTTCATTTGTTTTCATGGAAGGGTCGTTATTATTTTTACTTTTTTTCATTTCATTTTGATGCTTTTTTAAAATGTAAGAAGGAATTGGTATATACATTTCATCTTTCAAATTTAAAGGTTTAATAATATATTTGTAAATATATTCATAGTATTTAAGTCCTGATATATTATTAATCAATTCTGATATGATATATGTATCAATTAGGTATAAATATTCTCCATACATTTTGGATTTATTGGATACATTGTAATTTCTGGAATTTTCTATCATTTTAATCATTTCATCAGTGTCAATAAATTTGCTTAAAGTTATTTTCTCATGAAATGGTTTCTTAATAAAACATTTCAATGTTAATACATCTTTTATTCGGATATTCTTTTTATTATTGCATATGAACCCATCCCAATAATTGCAAATATAATCGTTTATTGTGCTCTTAAAATTTCTTATCTGCTTTGCTTCAATATCCTTTATAATTTTCTCACATATTTCCTCCTTCTCCCTATCGTACCTTGTATCATACATCTGGCAATCTACTCCTTTCTTTTGACGATTAGTCCTGGTATTCTTCTTCGATCTGGAGACAAAATAATTATGAGAATTCATCTCAGAACTGATGCGTGACAGACTCTGATAGCTGTTAGTTGAATCTTTCTCATTATCATCCTCTTCTTTGCTTCTGCCCTGATCCCCATCACTACTAAAAGAATGATCATAATTTTCACAATATCTGCTTGTGTTATTGTTAAAACCATAGATGTTGTTGTACTTACTCCTTGATGTAGTTCCTACAGGAATGAACCCCTCCTCTATCTTCACCTTTAATTCCTCAATGCCAACTTCTAAAGCAGATGCATGAGACCCATCAACAATTCCTTCATTAGCAGAACAGAACTCATCCAAATGAGTATCCGTCTTTTTTAATTCATCAAAATAATCATTTTCAAATTTATTAATTCCATTTGATATTTCATCTTTGCATTTGTTTTGCACATACTGCGATACATCTATAATTCCAAGTGGAACTTCATTAGCTGCTTCGAATTGTTTGTTCTGCTGATCTTGTGATTCCTCCTTCTGAATTAAAATCCTCGGGCAGTTGTCATTATTATTCGCATTCTCTTCTTGGTCTGTCTTTTTTTTTTTTTTTTTTTTTTTTTTAAAATTTAAAAAGAAATTTTCAAAGGAATGTTGTTCATGAACTAAGTTTGACATTAGATGTATCAAAGCAATAGTTAGGATAGCTTTATTTAAGGAATAACCACTAAAGAGGGAATGTCTTGTTATTGGCCTCCTGTCTGTTGTGCTGGTTACACCAACACATGTATCAACAACAATTTTTTTATTATGTATAATAGCTACTTGGCAACCTAATATTTTTTTCTCCTCGTATAATCTTTTGAGTAAATTATGAATTCTTTTTTCAAGAAATGAATTGGGAGTTTTATCAATTGGGATAGTGTAAATGGAATGATGAATCGGTTTATACATTTTTTCTAATGCTTCTCTTGCTCTTCTTGAAAATATACTAAGATAGTTTATACTTACATTCATTTGGGTACATAAACCATGAAGTAATGAAGCTACTCGCATAAAAAATATAATATCCTTTGGGACATCACTAATTGGATTTTTATCTACAACATCTTTTTTGTCTATATTTTTCAAAACTTCTAAATTGCTATTTTTTTTAACATCAAGGGGACCATTTGTCTGTTCTTTACTTCCACCCGTTCCTGCTGCTGTTGTTGTTGCAGCTCCTTCTTCACCCATTTTGTTACTTGACTCTTCTAACTTTTTTAAAAAAAAACGCTTTAAATTTTCAATATATATTTCTGGATCATATGTGAAATCCTCCTTAAAACAGAAACCCATATCTTCAAATGCTTCTATAATATTTAGAACATTCATACAACTTATATTGTAAACTAATTTACAAAATGCTAATTTCATTACTCCATCTAATTGTTTAATCAATCCCCAATCGATAATCGCTGGAACGAATGTGTATGATCGTCTTCTATTCTTTTTTTTTTCATCAGATTCATGTATATCTTTTTTATTTATTTCTGTGTTCTTTTTTTCTTCTTTTACATTTCTTTCTTTGGAAGATTCCCTCTTTGCATTCATACATTCTTGAAACATATTCCTTTGCATATGGAGAGAATTATTTTCATTTTCAATCAGCTTTGTTTGACATTCTCCTTGACCCATAGAATTTGTACCTAATTGGAAATGGTCTCTCCTAGGATTGGAATAAGAAATATATTCTTCTGATTTGGAAATACTTTTTCGAATTGTGCTTACTCCATCACTCATATTTTCATTAATGATAAAATTATAATCTTCTTTCAATACTTGATCCGAAATTTCCTCATTTTTTTTGTTCGAATAATCAACAAAGCTGAATGATTTGAAAAATGGGTTCATATTACTTGTTGGTTCACATTTCATCTTATCTATGTTGTACCTTGCATCTATTAAGTCCTCCATGGATGCACTAGAAATGTTAGATTTATTTGGTGCATTCAGCTTGTTGCATCTGTTAGATGTACTAAATGTGTTAAATGCATTTGACGTGTAAGAAGTGTTAGAACTGTCAGATCCATTCATCGTTCCAATAAAAGATTTTTTTTTCTTTTCTTCGAAATCACTTGGATTGTCATCAGCAAGATGCGTACTCAGAATTAACTTCTCATTATTCTCTTCCTCTTTGTCTCTTTCAGCTACTCCTGTGTCTTTTTCCTCATCTTGATGTTCGCTTTGTTTACGTCTATGTAGACTACTTCCATCGGATCTCCTTTTTCTAATCCTCCGTCTGTGTCTTTTCTTCTCTTCCACCATAACAAGTATATTACCTGGATGAGGGTCTCCATGAAAAAAACCATCGTTATGAATTTGATATGCAAAATAATCAATAATTTTATACACTAAATCATAGGCATTGATGTTATACTTCTTTATCGAATTGGTATCTGTTATTTTGAACCCTTTTATATATTCCATTACTAACACTTTTGAGGTTGTATATGCACAATAAATTTTAGGAATTTTTAAAGGAATTCCAGATTTTTTAAAAGTATTATAAGCTAATATCTGATGATACAATTCGTACTTATAATTCAATTCCCTAGATGCAGAATCTTGCCATTCATCAATAAAATCCGTGAAATAAAAATTCTTGTCTATTAATCCAAAGGCCCATGATACTTTTTTCAACGTATTTATATCAGACGAAAGAAATTGATCAATTCCCTCATGTTGAATTTTTATAATAACATCATAATCATTTGTTTTCTTAATTTCATTCACACTTGTTCTGTTATGTTCATGATTCTTTAATTGAGCTCGATGAACCTGTCCTATAGATGCGCTCGCTAATGGCTCATTTTCAATGTGTTCGAATATGTCATAAATGTTTCCTATAATGTATTTAAAATGGGGTCAAGGGGTTCATATATATATATATATATGTGCAACTCGCATAAGTCATCGCATTCACACATGTAAATACATCCACTGTGCACATGCATCCACACAACTTGTATATTTCATTCAAAAAATATATAAAATTTAAAAAAAATTAAAAAAATTGTATAAATAACAAGATTAAATATAATCGAACCATTTGTGTTCCATACCTAATTCTCTTTTTAAAATAATTTCTATCTTATCAAAGGAAGATGTTGGCATCATGTCTTGCAATTTTGTAAACTTTTCTATGTACGGCATTGGCATGATATTTTCTTGCGTACTTAAAAATTGACCTACCTTTACCCACCATCCTATAGAAGAGGAAAGGGGAGGACAAGAAAAAAAAAAAAAAAAAAAAAAAAATCTAGACACGTTGAAAGATGGACATAGATATATTATGCTTCAAAATATATTAATTACCAAAAATGATGGTTGTTTATTTCAAAATAAAGCACAATAATAATGGAATAATTACATACCTCTTAATTCGTATATATTGTTGAGCATTTTTGTTGCAAATTCTTCATGCTTCTTCTCCCAATATTCTGTCTTTTTCTCCACAGGCATTTTTTTTGCTTTCCTCAAGGCATTTTTGTATTCAACGTACAAACTGCTGCAGTACCAAATGGTCTATCAAGAATGAAATAAAAACAAAAAAAAAAATAAATAAAATAAAAAACGTACGGAAGAAAATATTTTAGAATAAATAGGATGAAGCAAAATAGGATACATGAAAAATTAGAAATCAAGAACCAATGATTCGCAATGAGCAGCTCCCCTCATAGGGTTTTGCACACAAATGCAATTCTTCCGTGAAAGAGAAAAAAAAAAAAAATAGAATAATTCTACGAATCAGTTTACACTTCATATGATATGAAATTTATATAAATATACAAATTCAATATGTCTACATGTATAATGAATATGATACACGTTTTATTTTTTCTCATTTTATCTAAAAATCTTTTTTTTTTTTTTTTTCTAAGCATACCCGGATCCTACGATTCCATTGGTCATACTGGTTCATTCTTGCCTGAACGTAATGTGAAAACTTGTTTTTTATTTTATTTTTCTTCCCCAAGAATCCTTGTAAAATTAAAATATCAAATCTTCTTGTTGGAGTGCGTGTGACCAGTACTTTTTCCTTTTTTTTTTTTTTTTTTTTTTTTTTACGTTTTCTTCAAATGTGAACTAAAACAAGACGTTGAAACTTGCAAAGGGTATAGCCGTTTCTTCGTCCAATGGTACAAGGATAAGAAATCGATTATGTATGATGTTAATATTTTTTTTTTTTTTTTTTTTTTTTACTTAAAAAGTATAAAAAAAAAGGAGAAAAATAAGATTGAAAAAGAAAAAAGTAACGAGCCGTAAAAGACATAACAATAAACACAAAAAATGAATCACAAAAAAGAAAAGCAAAAAACAGTGAAAATGGCAATGACAATAACAGTGGAAATGAAAACATCATGGGTCAAAATAAATGCATAAATCGATGTTCCATTAAAATTAAGCAAAATACGGGAAAGTATACCACACTTCAATGTGAAATTTTCTACTTTCATTCAACTTAAATTAAAATTCTGTATTTTATTTTTTTTTTTTTTCCAAGAAAAATGTCTAAATAATCAAATTTACAATATAACAATAACTGCTGAAACACTGAGTCGTCTAAAGCGATATTGTAATTTCTCGCCATATATAAACAAGTCACAAATATATGCAGAAAAAATAGCAGAAAAAATAGCAGACAAAATAGAAGACAAAATAGCAGACAAAATAGAAGACAAAATAGCAGAAAAAATAGCAGACAAAATAGCAGACAAAATAGCAGAAAAAATAGCAGACAAAATAGCAGACAAAATAGCAGAAAAAATAGCAGAAAAAATAGCAGACAAAATAGCAGACAAAATATACCTACGTAGAATGAACAAACTTGAGTAACAAGTGCTCATATATATATCGTTCTTAAGCAATTACATATGTAATGTTTTTAAAAATATGATAGTTAACTGACACTGATTTTTTCTTGTTCAAACGCCATTGGTGGAGAGACGTGCGTAATGGGATAAGAACAATTCGAAAATGTTAAAAACGGAAAAAAGGAAAAAAGGAAAAACGAAAAAAAGAAAAAACGAAAAAAAGAAAAAACGAAAAAAAGGAAAAACGAAAAAAAGGAAAAACGAAAAAAAGAAAAAACGAAAAGACGAAAAAACGAAAAAAAGGAAAAACGAAAAAAAGAACACATTATCGTGATGGGTGAAGAGCGTATCCACTTTTGTGTCATTCAAAAGATTCTCGAATTTTTGCTAGTTTCCCCCATGAGAAACATATAGCTGTACAGAGTAATAAGCACACCTTAAGCAACTATTGAAGAAATTATATCGAAAAAACAAATATCATGTGCAACATACAGGTGTATTTGTTTATACTCATATTTTGTACACACGAACATACATATAACCATGTATGTACAAAGTATGCATATATGAGCATATATAAATATATATATATATATATATCACTGCGAAGGGGGTGTATAATGAATTCAGGAAAAATAACAATACATGTAAAATATAAAATATATCACATGAAAAAAAATGATTATACTAGAGGAGTGTATTCAAATGAGTTATTTATATGGGGAATAAATCACTTAATTCAGGTTACACATTTGTTAATTTTTCTTCCGCATTTTTCTGTATTTCTTTGCGTTGCATTTTTTTTTCTTTGCACTTTTCTGTATTTTCCACGTGGTGTATTTTTCTCAGCACATTTCTGTACTTTTCGCTTAGTATTTTTATGTCGCATTTTTTTTTTTTTTTTTTTTTTCCGCATTTTTCACCTTTCCTTTTTTTTTCCGGCCCTTTTTCGTTTAATGGGAAACGTTTGAACGGATGGAACTTAAAAGTTGCGTGGCTGCTCACAAAACTTTCATATATATATATATATATATATGAATGTAACATATGTGTATACATGTGTGCGCATTTTTATTTTATTTTTTTTCTCGAATGAATGGAAAAAGAATTACATTTTTTCCTGTCATTCTCTTCACTCATAATCTCCGCTTCTCTTCAAAGACACGAGGTGCAAATTGTCAAATGGTGCTCTGCTTATGTGTAACTGCACATGCAACTGCGTCTGTGTGAGGCCGTGTGAAAACTGCTGACAAAGCCATCCTTTTGTGCATGAAGTGTGATCATATTTTTCACCTTTCACTCCTTGTGTTTTTCTACATTTTTATTTTATTCCCCTGGTGTGTGTTTAGTATGCTGCATCAGAACAGCGTGAGAGTGTGAGGGTATCAATAATCATAAAGGTACTAAGTATATGTTTCAATTTACCTATAAAATTTTCGAGAACATTTGAAATGGCAAAAGTGCTAAAATGATGGGTAAAGGGTGAAGCGAAAAAGGGAAGCAAAAAAGGGAAGCAAAAAAGGGAAGCAAAAAAGGGAAGCGAAAAAGAAAGAGAAAAAAAAAAAAAAAAGGACAAACAAATAATGTAAATTAAAAAGGATTCACAATTCAAAATAAATGAAATCGAAACCCCTACTAACCCCGCAAGAGCAGTTTTTCCCAAAAAAAAAAAAAAAAAAAAAAAAAAATGATAAAGACCATGTGGTAAATCTCGTCCAAAGCGTATTGGACATAATGTAGAGAAAAATGGAGCGATCAATGAACATGTTTATTTTTTCACACATGAAGAGTTATGTGAACATTTGCATAAGTCCATTCATATAAAGCATCCTTTCTTATTTATACTGCGTGTTTGTTTTACGAATGGCTGCAGGTATATCATGTATACACACATACAGGTCTATATATAATTCATATGCAAAAACAGTTGTGATGGTTACAGATATCTTATTCCTCAGATATGCAATAGGCATAGTTGCAAGGTCAATGAAGGACCTTTCATAAGAAAACGAACAAACGTCAACACAGCTTATTTAGAAATTACATTTCGTATTACAAAATATAGATACATACATATATACATACATATAACCAATGCTGTAAAAGAACATCCCACTGATAGGCTAAGAGCAGGGTCCTAATACACATACACTATTTCAAACTGTAGCAACAAATTTGTGTTCTATTCACATACGTGTACCTACAATGCATTAAGATAGGTGTATACTCAAAATATGACATCATAAATTTACACACCAATATGTGTTGTCTACTATAAAAACCATTGTATAGACTATTAATAAAACCATTAGCCTAACTTCAACTGAGCAGGAAAAAAAAAAAAAAAAAATGTACAACCTTGCACACGCAAAGTAAATATTTCCATTTCGTTTTTCGAAAAATGGGATATATCTTAAAACTACAAAAGTGGGAAGTACAATAATTGTTAATATCAAGGGATTCAATTCAAATGTAAAAAAAAAAAAAAAAAAAAAAAAAAAAAAAAAAAAAAAAAAAAAAAATCAGGTTCTCTGCACAAAGCAGAACAAATAAAAAAAGAAAGATGAAAAAAAAAAATAAAATAAAATAATAAAAAAAAAAAAAAGGAGTAAACAGAAGGAGTTAAATGAACCCTTCATGCTTTCCAGAATTGAAATACTATTATAAAACGTTAAAATTGATTTTTTTTTTTTTTTTTTTTTTTTTTTTTTTTGTCACTCCAATGTATCTTTCAGCAAAGTGAAACAAGAAGTAAGAAAAGGCGCAGAAAAGAAAAACAGGGTCTCTGCAAAAAGCAGAAAAAAAAAAAAAAAAAAAATAAAAAAAAAAAAAAAAAAAAAAAAAAAAAAAAAAAAAAAGGAGTAAACAGAAGGAGTTAAATGAACCCTTCATGCTTTCCAGAATTGAAATACTATTATAAAACGTTAAAATTGATTTTTTTTTTTTTTTTTTTTTCTTCTTTTTTTGTCACTCCAATGTATCTTTCAGCAAAGTGAAACAAGAAGTAAGAAAAGGCGCAGAAAAGAGCAAGATATTGTAGTCTCTCACCCCTGCCCCTGCCCCTGTCCCCCATCATATTTCCTCCTCATAATGATAAGAGATATTTACAACCCTGGTGAGAAAATTGAAAATGAATTTCTAAAGGAGAAGATTCGATCCAAAATAAACGATATGCTAAAATGGAAGAGGAAAGGTTTTCCAGGAAGTAATCCAGTATCACTAACAAAACATAACATAAAAAATTTACTGAATAAAGATTATTTAATATGTGAAAAGACTGATGGTGTGAGGTACTTTTTATTTATTGCATCTAATACGACATTTTTAATTGATAGGAATTATGAAATATTTAAAAATGATATGCATATACCTAATCACGATGATTTAACAATGAAACAGCAATTGACATTGCTAGATGGTGAATTAGTAGAAGATACAGTTTTTAATGAAAAAAAAGGAGTAGAAGAAAATAAAATTGTTTATTTAATATATGATGGGTTGTATATTCATAGGAAAGATATAACTAGCTTAAACTATTTAGAAAGATTAACAAATGTTTATAATTTTGTCATAATCCCACTGAAGAAATACCAGAAACAAAAACATCGCATGAACAACCCTACAGCTCATATATCAACCATTTCTTTTGAATCTCCTCATGCACATCTTCCTGTTAAAAAAAATGAAACTGGTAGTGTAAACAATAATCCAAGCGATACAATGGTTGGAGAAAACGATAAAAAGGCAACTTTGGATCAGTGGAACTCTAATAGTAGATGTATCCCCTCGTTTAAAAGAAATGCAAATCAGGATTTAATGGAACATGATTTTATGGATGATGGAGATGTGCATGCAGATGTACAATATGGTGGTGCAACTTCTGCTGTTGCTGTTGCTGCTGGTAGCGATCGCAATTGTGACAATGATGAGAATGATGAAGAGCAAGAGGACACGAGCTCCTCCTCCCATTCGGACATGCTACCTGAGGAAGAGAATGCTCCATTCGAAATTTACTTAAAAGATTTCTACCACATCAGACAAATAACTGAACTGATTCAAACAATCAAAAAACTTCCACATGCATCTGATGGAATTATATTCACTCCCCTAAACCATCCATACAAAACTGGGAATTTCTTTGAACTCCTAAAATGGAAACCATTAAATTTAAACACTGTAGATTTTGGAATTGAAACCATATATGATAAGAACAATTTCCCGAATAAATTTGAATTATTTATATCCATTAAAGGGGTAAGAACATCATATAAAACATACTTAGCAGAATATGGAGATGTATACAAAGAATTATTAAACCTTGCATTAAGCAACCAAATTTCTCATTATATTATAGAATGCTATTATGTTTCTAAACATATTTTTTCTATCTGTAAAAATGAAAATGGTATTGAAGAAAAAATTGAAGGAGGATGGATTGCGCAGAAAATTAGGTTCGATAAAAATATACCCAATGATATATCAACATTAAATAAGGTTATTCAGAGTATTTTGGACAATATAACTATTGACTCATTAATTAAGGAAATTTCACGAAATCATCCAATCAAACATTAACAACCATCACTTCCATTATCCCTGTATGAATATTCACGAGCTTCAGTCCGTACATACACAGGTGTGCTCTTTTTTTTTTTTTTTTTTTTTTTTCTCTCTCTTCCTCACACACCTTCTTTCCTAGAGAAATGCTGCAAGTATTTCATCCAATTTGTAAGTTCCTATCGATAGGAAAAGAAAATAAGGTTCACAATGAAACGGATATTTTTTCATGTCTCACCTTAATAGATGAAATGATTTTATATATCATATATTTTGAAAAACTGATGATTTCTATCCCCCATGAGAACATGACATTTGGGGATAAAAAGTTAAAAATAAAAGTTCTTGCTTCTCTTATAAGCAAAGGATTTCCCTATTTTCCTTTTTATCGAAAAATAAAATAAAACAAAATATAAAAAAAATAAAATAATAAAAATGAAAATAAATCACGTTTACTTTCGAATGGGGTATTTGTAAAACACATGCATATGCACATGCACATGTAAGGTGTATCCATGTCTTGATCTACAACCCATTTGAATCAGTTATAGCAAAAGACGCATGCTAAACTAAAGTAATGGTCACAGAAAATTAGACTAGCAAAATGAGTTCAGCATATTCAACAAGGGGAATTTTTTTTCTACACTTTTCTGTGCATGTCCTGAACACACACACAGGAACAAATCGGAATAATACTTAAAATAAAGATAATTACAAAGATGTAATTCTAATTTAATGTTAATTTGAGTTACTTAAAAAAGGGAAGGGAAGTGAAGGTAAGGGGGATAGATTGGTTCAAATTTTCAAACAACGAATATGTGAAAGTGATTAACAAATGTGAATATTAAAAGAAGAACAAAAAAAAAAAAAAAAAAAAAAAAAGGGTTACATTAAAAGTGTGATATGGTAAAAATATAGATCTGTAAAATATAGGGCAGCATAATGTACGGGCTTAAAAAGGAGACCCGAAACAAAACTAACGAATAGCCCCAAAATTGGATAAAAAAAAAAAAAAAAAAAAAAAATTAATAATCAAATAGGAGAGAATAAAAAAGAATTCCAAATATAACAAAAATGATTTTACTATTGAGGATATGAAAAGAAAACGAGTATTATAAAAGCCCCTCAGCAAATGGATAGGGACTTCCAAAAAGTACATCCTTCGATGTTCCTATATCGGTGTGTTTGTTTTATATGACTGTATCAAGAGAGTTGCATCACCAAGTAGCGAAAATTTAGTTATCTCTTCTTTTGAGGATCATCTTCAAATATTACTCCAGATAATTACGTGAATTGATGTGGTGACAGTAGTGGTGATGGCAGTAGAGGTGGCAATTTTCTTCGCGCATGCATCTGTAGATATAAATTTGCACATGAGATAATTAGAATGTGGGAAGGTCCATTAGGAGCAATTTTCTTTTCTTACTTTTCCTTTTTACTTTGTTTTTGTCAAATCCATGCATGTATCATGTATCCATGATACTAAGTTTATTTTTCCGCACAGTTCATAATTTTTTTTTTTTTTTTTTTTTTTTTTTTTTTCAAATTGGAACAGAAGCTAGTAAGCGATAGACCAAACAGCTCTTACGTCCCAAAGTTGCGCTCACAACATATGTTTCAAACCAGTGATTCTAGTCTTGGGATGCTGCCAAATGAAGAAAGAGAATCGAAGCAGAAACGCAACCTCAAATGTACATGGATCTGCTAATAAACTTCTGCTTGGGCATGGTTATACGTTCCTTAAATTCTACTCGCCTTTCAAATACAGGCAAATTTATGTTGAATTTTTTTTTTTCCAGTACATCTACATATTTATTGTAAAAGTCAATAAATTCGGGATGAATACATGTGTATATAAAAACATATGCATTTTTTACACAATTCAATACATCCTTTTTATTAATATATGAAATGTTGTTGTCATCACAGAGTAGGTATATGTTGTTATTTGACTTTGTTAGTGCCACGTAATGTCCGTATTCTGTTCCTGAACCTATGTGTTTAATTAGTCCCGTTAATTCGTATGCGAAATAGCTAGCTCTTTTTTGCGGGCAACTCTTGAAGTCGTTTTGAGGACAATCCAGCTGGCACTTTTTAGAACTATCCAGCTGACACATTTTAGAACAATCCAACTGACACTTTTTAGAACAACCTTTGGGACAATTTTCCCCATATTTTCGTTCTTCTTCTTGGTAGGACACGCATATATTTTGCTCAGAATTTTTCCTTTTCTTTGTTTCCTGTTTGTCATGAAAAGTACATGACTCCAAACACGACTCATGTATGTCTTCCCTATGATAGTGCTCCACATTGAAATTAAAAAGAACACTATTCAAACTGAAATTTTTTCTATTATAATTGGTTTTTATATAATAGTACAATGTTTCCATGTCTTTTGATATACTTAAAAGAATGTCGTTATAAAATTTTGAAAATTTAATTTTTTTCAATTCTTTTATAATTTTTTTTTTTTTTTCCATGAACAAGTTTCTTAACTCTTTTGAACTCAGTTCTTTTTTTATTTTCTTTTTGCATACTTCTCTTTTTAGTTCAGAAAAAATATGTTCTACTTGTTTTAGCACGTATGTGTTGTTCCACCTGATTTTTTCCTGATTCTTTAGCCTCCTACTTTTCCAGCATTCAACATTGCTCTTTCCACTGCTTTGCATATCCAGCTGAATGTCGCTTCTAGCATCATATTGCCCACCATTTTGTTCAACAGTGAGATTATCCCTTCTTCCTTTTGTGCCGTGTGAAGTACGTGCGAAGGGTTGCTCACGGGTGAGGGCTGCATTTTGATGGAAAGAGGAATTTGAATTGGTCTTTTCATACAAGGATATAACATTATTGTTAAAATCATTCTGAAATAAATCACAGTTATTTACATAAGTCTTCATATCTAACTGTAATGGATAAGAAATATGTTTATGATTTTTAACAATGTGGAATTTGGAATTCATGAAAAATCTTTTAATTTGTATTGTTAGTACTCTTGGTAATTTATTAATAACACACTGTTTTGTGGCTTTTTTCTTTTTCCTACATTTTTCACAGTAGTATCCATTATCACCCATTAAAACTTCTTTCGATAAATGTTTTTTTAATGCTTCCTCTAAATTGTTTGATGAGCTAATATCTAATGACAATTCGTAATATTGTTCATATTTTAATGATACATTATTACATTTGGTACAAATGGTTATGTTTTTCGTAACCCCTGTGAACATTTTTTGTATATATATAGATGCAGAAAAGGACGATTTTTCTAATGAGCATAAAAAATATCTCAAATATTCATGCACATCCTCTTGATATCCAACAATGTAACTATTACAAATGTATTTTTTGATATACGGAATTAGCATATTCTTGATTCCACTTTTCTTGGATATTATGTTGCATGCGAATTGCTCAAATAAACAATAAAAGCAGAATACATGGATTTTTTTTTTTTCACAATTTAGGGAGTGCAATTTGTTCATTAAGTCTTTACAAATATATGGAATTCTTACAATGGTTTGTATTATGCTATTAAAGAAACAGATATTTTGCCCATAGTTATATAACCCTGCTCCTTTTGACACGAAGAAGGATGAATCAAGGTTCAACTGAACCACTTCTTTGCTCTGTATTGTTTTTATTTCTTTCAATATGAGATATTCATTTAAGTTTAGTTGGCTTTTTCGTACAATCTCAGTAGTAGCGGCAGAAGCAGCGGCATCATTTTTTTTTTTTCTTCTTTTCCATCGCTCATTTCCCCCATCCCTTTGTATTACTTCTTCTTTCATTTCGTTCTCCTCAATGTGGATATATTTATCACAATTTAAAATGTTTTTTCCTTGTTTTTTTATGACAGTATCTATGTTTTCTTCTTTTTCATTCACCTTTTTTTGGTGCATCATCTTGCCATCATTATGAGACGTTATTCCATTGGTGAATAACGTCGATCCTACATTGTCTCTTTCTCTTTTCTTATCCTTTGAACATCTTTCATTACACTTTGCTATAAGGACTGTATCATTTATATCTTCCTCCTTGTTATGTTCCTCATTATGTCGCTTCATTTTTTGTGAAAATTCATAAATTTTATAATTTTCATTTCCCCTACATACATCATTGTTCATTATCCGATTTGTCAAAATAGTCTCTACCACGTTTCTCGTATTTCTATTCGATTTACTTTCATTTGGATTTTTCTTTTCGATTTGTTTACCATCAGAGATAAGTTCATCATATCTCCTTTGTCTGCTGATGCTGTGATTATAATCATCGCTATTACTAATCCCATGGACAATGGTATTTTTTTCTTTTCTTCTTTTTCTCAAAAGGGTTGTCATATATGCTCTATTTATTCCACAATTCACATCTGTAACTTTTATTTTTTTAGAACTATCTTCTAAATATCTCCATATACCTCCTTCAATTGTGGGAACATTAATACCCTTTTCTTCCCTGTTCTTTTCATCCATTTGATTGATCAACGATTCACACTTTTTCGTGTGCATAAAACTGCTATTTTGAATGAAATTTGTTTGAATGTCTCTAATGTAATCTGTGTTTTTCCTCGTTTTTTGGGTTGAGTATTGGTTCATTGTATCTTTACTTTTTAAATTGATAGGTTTACATTCATGTCTTTTTTTTTTTTTTTTTTTTTTCTCCTCCTCTTTTCTAATTTTTTCCTTTGTTATCATTTTGCTGCATATGAAAAAACCACGATTTTTTATGCATGCCTTTGGTGCGAGTAACAGAATTTGTTTTATTCCCTTTTTCATTTTCATATTCTTTTCATCAGTGCAGATATTATGTAAATGATTGTTGGTAGGTGCATAATTATTCATATGTGGTTTGTTGGGGAGTTGTCGAAGATCTTTATTTCCCTCCTTTGCTATCTTCCCATTTGTATTTGTTTTTTTGTTCCTATCCATGTCTTCTTCTGCACTCCATTTTACACTTTCCAAGAATACTTCTTTGATTTTCTTCTTATCTGATTCTTCTTCTTCTTCTCTTACACATAATGGTACTGCTCTCTTGGGTATAACAACCCTCGATGCTATATTTTCTTTACTTACACATTTGTGGTTTTTTTTTTGTAACATTCTTATTCTCACCTTTAAATATCTCTTAAGCGCTTTGCTTATAAAACAATATGTGCTGGATTTCCTGCTGTGTATTGTTTTCAAAATATTTAATCCTAATTTTTGTGATATCTTTCCCTTAATTTTGTGATTCTTTCCATATAACATGCGTTTAGATCTACAGACCTTTCCATGGACACTTTTCCTTTCTCGTAATTCGATACCTCCACAAGATGAATGTGGCAATGCTAATTTTGGCATTGTCTCTTTTGTATGTTCTTTCTGAATCTCACTATGACCTACATGGTTTGGTGATAATTCCTTCGTAGTGTTATTCTTTTTCTCGTTCTCGAAATGGTATTCATCCGCATTGGCATTAGGGTATTCACATTTTTCATTTTTTTCGATGTATGCATTATGATCTGTGCATCTACCAGTGAAGATGTCATCCCGGGCATACCCAACAGTGGTAGATTCCTCTTCTTCACTTGAAAATTTCACGTCATTTTTTTTTATTGAGCTATTTAATGGATCCTGTAAATTTTTTTCTTCATAATATTCAACATATTGATTCGAAAGAGAAATATGAATTTTGGAGCTCGAGAGGTTCATAATTTTTTTTTTTTTTTTTTTTAAAAAGTTATGTATATAGCAGATTGGAACACGTGTCAATGTTACATGTGTCCATTCGTTTCATGTACACCACAACATTCGTTTTTTGCTACACGTCTCTCCTTGATTTGTTGAATCTTTTATCAAAATGCAAAAAAAAAAAATATTCCCAACCTTCTCAAACCACGCACCTATATTATTGTCTTCTATTGAAGAATTCAAAATGTATATAAACTTCAAATCAAAAACGTGTACATGAGAATCCGTCAAGTTATGTATTCTGTGTGCATATACAGGGTCGTTCAGTTTGAATACATACACCTCTATCACAATGTGCGAATGGTGTAAATGTATAAGATTGTAATATTGCACACCAATAATCATGTATGTTGAGTATTTCGTATGTGCAATATCCTATTCAATTCATGGGAGAAAAAAAAAGGTAGGATGCAAAAAAAGGCGGGATGCAAAAAAGGGCTGCATTAAAAAACATTCAATGCAAAAAAAAAACGTTGCATTAAAAAACATTGGATACAAAAAAAGGTTGCATTAGAAAACATTGGATATAAAAAAAGGTTGTATTAAAAAACATTGGATATAAAAAGAGGTTGCATTATTAAACATTGGATATAAAAAAACGTTGGATGAAAAAAAAAAAAACATTGCATTAAAAAACATTGGATACAAAAAAATAACAAACGAACTCAATTTCTTTTTTCAGTGAAAATGATCACGTCATTTAAAGCCCTAATATTGTTTCTCCTTTTTTTTTTTTTTTTTTTTTATGTTTTTTGACCTTCTTTTTTTATATTCACATAAATACAAGTAGAGATATATATAAAAAAAAGATGCATGTGAAAAGTAGGTATGCCATACTTGGGATAAACAAAACGTAAATATAAAAATGTCCCAACATGAGGAGTGGGGTATATTTTTTTTCCATTATATTTTTATGGAATATCTAAGGAGGGTCCATAAAATGGGGAAAGATATGTGGCAATAAATGGGAAAAACAGGGGTAATAAGTCGGGAAAAAGAGGGAGTAAAAAAATTGGCTAAAATATAGTTTAAAAAAACGAGTTAAAATATGGGTTAAAAAACGGATTAAAATGTAGGTTAAATAACGGATTAAAAAAATTGATTAAAAAACAGGTCAAAAAAACGGGTCAAAAAACAGGCTAAAAAATGGGTTTTGAAGACGGTTTGAAAAGGTTCCGTTTAACCTTTGCATTTATTTTTTTTTTTATGTGTCCCCTTGTCATAAATACTTACGAATGTATGCATGTACGTTCGTAGGTGTATGCATGCGTTTTTCTGTAGCCACATATTTGTTCTTTCCATTTCTTTTCTTTGTTTTTCTTTGTTTTTCTTTGTTTTTCTTTGTTTTTCTTTGTTTTCCTTTCTTTTCTTTTCTTTTCTTTTTTTTTTTTTTTTTTTGCTCACATGTATGTACCTACATATGCACATGCTACCTTTATAACACCTCAAATTGGTAATATTTTTTTGCATGCCAAATAACCATAAGCTTTTTTCCCAATCGTGGTTTTAAATCTAATTTTTCGTAACCACTGGGAAGGTATATTTATATAGCTTAATCGAATCTAGTAGTCATTTCTATTTTATTTTTTTTTTCTCTGTTCTCTTTTTTCTTCCATATCAATAATGTATGTAAATAGTAAGAACACCCATGAAGGCAATGCCATAATAAAATAGCCCATGAAAAAGGAGAAAATTTTGAAAAAAAAAAAAAAAAAATCCATCGGACAACTGTTGAACTATTTTTTCTACTTAATTTTTTCACGTTTAATGTACACATAATTGTATTTTTTTTTTTTTTTTTTTTTTTTTTTTTTTTTTTTTTTGTGAGCTCTTATTTTACCTTCTTTTATAACCATTTCAATCACATGTAAATAGATTAAATATGCCGCCTTGACCAGGGATTAAGAAAATGGTTAAAAGTTGCTTCGAAAAGTAATGAAATTATTATTACATGGATAAAAGTGCTTATAATATGGATTAGGAAAATGTTTTAATTGCCTCCAAAAATAAATGACAATTTGTTTGGATCATATCCAGTACTTACAATTTCATGACCATTTTTTCTTTTTCATTTGAATTTAATAAATGAGTATAGGGATGACATTCGTTTTGTTTTCTGCTAAAATTCAATGTGAGGTACCAATAAATATGACTCTTAAATGGAGATAGGATGACATATAATAATATGCCATTATTTATCTCTATTATTTAAAAACAGAAAAAAAAAAAAAAAAAAAAATTCAATTTTAATTGAAATGCCACACACAGAAACATGCTCAAAACCAACGTGTATATAATTTACGAATAAGTAAATTAACCAATCATAACATCATCTAAGCTTTTTTATTGTTTAAATTTTTCCAAGTATACATTTTTGTACACATTATGAAAAGGTGGGAAAAGAGTTTTAAATCATACGTGTGTGTAAACTTTATGCTCGTTGCAAAATTAAAAAGCTTGGATCTTGCTACTACTTAGCAGAATTGCAATTATTGAGGAAGAAGGGGGGTGACAATTATTCGACACATTCACATTTTTCATTTATAATGTGGAAATAGTTGTATCTAAAAACAATCAAACGTGTTTTCAAAATGATTTGTAATTAAAAAAAAAAAAAAAAAAAGAGCAGAAAAAGGAGGAGAAAAAGGAAAAAAAAGATAAACTACAATAAAATAAGTGAACTTTCGTTAATTTGTAAATTAAAAATTATAAACAGGCTTATGTATTCCTTCACTCATGCCACACTGAGCAACGGAATTACGACAGCCAGGCGAGGTGACGGGGCGGAGGCGTGTTCAAGGATGCTGTAAAAAAACTCACAACAAATAAAAAAAACATATATGTGATAAATAAAGAAATATATACGAATGTGTTCATATATGTGAACGCATGGCAGCAGCACCAAATCTCCACGTTCTCACATGAGGCACAGAATTTGGGAAAATTTAAAAACATCTTTTGTAATAATATCACAAGAAAAATACACTTTTCTTATTGATACAAAAAAAGAAATGGGCAGGTGAGCAAAAGAAAGAGAGAAAATATTTAAGTAATTCTTTCCCTCAATTGTATATTTATGATCCTATAAGAATTTTTAAATTTTACACTAGAATGCATTTCTATCATGTGATTCATTTGTTAGCGGTTTCTTCAGCCTGATAAAGTACTTACACTACATTCTCTCCAGGCTGCATTTTCACATTTTCTTTTTTGCACTGAGACATTTGCCACCCCAGCCCCGAATATTCTCATACACAAACAGGAGCGTATCAAAACATACACTCATAAATATGCACATAGCACATATGCGCATAACAGATATGCACAGAAAGTGGAGGAATGCAGTATATACTGCTAAAAAAAACAAAATTTCATGTGCTATCTCTCATATCGAGAAAAAAAAAAAAGAAAAAGAAATACACATTCATTATTCCTGTGTGTTGTTCATATTTGGGGGGAATGGCAATTGACTTGGAATTTGGGGTAGCAATCTCTGTTGAGAATTGTTAGCATTCCCTAATGGTTGATTCAATGGCATATTCATAGGTATCATTGGTCGTTGAGTACTTATTGGCATTTTAGATCCTCTAAAATTGGGGTTAACTCCTGGTGCTAGATTTTTGGAAGTTCCAGAATTAAGTACCATACCCGTTGGCATATTATTCATTGGATTTGCTAAATTGGCGTTGAAGTTATTTTGCAAAGGTACATAATTATTTAACGGAATTCCTCTTCCTGTTGCTATTCCTTTATTCAATGCATTCGTCAAAGATTTTTTACTTAAAGGTGCTCTTTCTGCAGTGAATGAGACGATATTTTCACCTCGAATTAAAATCAATCCCATGACACGTTTTATTTCCTGCAAAGGGGTGAAGCGGGAAAAACGAAAGACAAAAAAAAAAAAAAAAAAAAAAAAAAAATTAGTACACCAAATGTTGATATTCTTAGAGGCATACAAATCATTTTATCTATCTTATGATATGTCTTCCTGTGGAAAATAACAGATCACATAAGCACGTATTGAGTGGAAAATATATATATATGTATATCGATTTGGGAAAAAAAAAAAGAAAAAATATATATATATATATACAATTCTTGTGGCGTTCAAAAATATGGACAAAATTGCGTAACAAAATTAGTATATGTTGTAAAGTCCTATATCCAACTAACATTAACGAAAGGTTCACAAATCAATATATATATACAACACATACATGTGAATGTAAATTAAGCTTGTCTATATACATATATATATGTATGTATGCATATACATGTGTTGTTCTCTCATCCTTTGCTCTTTTTCCTTTTGGGGGCGTAAAAATGTAAACTAGATCTAAATGTACCTTAAACGAATTTTCCGGACCTTTTACTTTTCGAAATTCTTCAGCATCAACTAATACTATGTTCATGTGCCTGTCATAGGAAAGAAAGGTCCCCACAAAATATCTTGTGTCACTTATAGTAACCCTAACTCTATATTGTAGCCATGTTTCTAGTCGAGAATTCTTCCCCATTTTTTTCTTTCTTCTGTGTTTAACCTTTTTTTTTTTTTTTCTTTTTCTTCAGTTAAAAATGTTCTTCTTATAAATTTAGAAAAAAAGAAAACAACGAGATATGTTAAACCGGAAAATTGTAGGCCACAAAACAAAAAAAAAAAAAAAAAAAAAAAGGGTGAGTATTTTTCTTCCGCTTTAATACTATTTTCCTACGCTGCTATTAATTTGTTACATCCTTAAAGATAACTTTTTTTTTTTTTTTTTCTTTTTTTTTACTCCAGATTATGCAGTTCCCTTAACAAAATAATTCTGTAAATTTTGTTTACTACACTGTGTTTTATTTTAGAATTTTTTTTTTTCTTTTTTTTCTTGCTAATAATAATTTTCATTACTTCAAAGCCTTCAGCGAACGCAAGTAGCTTTTTTAAAGGCGAGAAGGAGAGATGGAGAAAATTCCAACTACATATGTATTATATATATGTATATATATGTATGTATACGTATGTTTACGTATGTGTATATACATGATATATATACGTGTGCTCTATATCGTATGCTCCTTGTTGGGTCCCATGAGAAAATGTCAAACCTTATCAAAGCTTATGTGACGTACATGTGCTAATTACAAATGGATTAAGTTAACGGGCACCCTTATATTTTTTATATTAAACAAAGAAAAACACAATTTGAAAGAAATTATATATTATAATATATCTTATTTTCTATAAAATCCCACCCCTTCATATGAACCAGGGGACACAATTGTTTTTGTTGTGCTTACATGTGTTACTACGCAATTTAAAAAAAAAAAAAAAAAAAAAAAAAGTATATTAAAACAAATGTGAAATGGCATATTTCACTTTTATATGGACTTTCCCAAAAGAACTGGCCAATTTTAAAATGTGAAGTTTTTTTTTTTTTGTTCACATACATCAAATTCAAAAAAACAAAAATAAATAGCGAAGGGAGAAAATTTTCCACGAGTTAAGGAAGGGAAAATTTCCATCCGTTTTGGGGCCACCCTATTGTGTAAATCCAAGGGAGGGGGGGGGGGGAAATGATTCACACACGTGAGAAGTCACACATATATACATTCATATAAACATATGGATGCACAAAACAGAACTTTGTTTCCCCGGTGAGTAAACCTTCAAACGTTCACATAACTGAACGTGCACATGGAAATGTAGCAATTCTTTTAATCACCCCCTTTGTTCGGGAGCCTTTATAAGTTCATTACCTTCGCACGTTGCTACAAATTATGGTTCCATTTCTATACACATTGGACAAGGGAAGAAAAAAAAAAAATCCACTGTTATAACAGGGTTACTACTACATACGCTATATACATAGGTATATGCATACGTATATGTTTTTATGCATGCACAATCATTTGTAGACGGGAAGATGTAGCAGAATTTGCAAAATGGACATACAATTATGTATATTTCTGGTAAATGAGGAAAGAATTAAAAAAAAAAAAAAAAAAAAAAAAAAAAGGACACATAGGAGGGGTGTGTGTGTGGGGGATATGCCACGAATGTGTTAAGTGAAAAATGCGGTAACAGCGAATTAAACATTCACGAAATTGTATGAAGTTAAATATGGAAGGGAGCCCCCGTTATGGTTTTTTTTTTTTTTTTTTTTTTTTTTTTTTTGAATACATGTAATATAGATCCTATGCACATGTACAATCAGAACGGGGAAGTTCATATGTGCTAACTCATACCCCCCTCTCTCTGTCCCAATTTTTTTTATCAACGTTTTTGAACAATTTAGCGCAGAATATTTTGATGATCCTACTTCCTATGAAAAAAAGACGGTACCAAAATGTGGGAAGAGAAAATTAAAAATTTGATAGTAATGTTGGACATACAACACATGTATGTTTTCCTTTACCCGAGTTGGCAACATCTCATATTCTTGTGCATTATCTTTTGGAATGATTAAGGTACGTATTCCAAAATTTCTTGCAAGTATTATTTTTTCTGTCAACCCCCCAATCCTTAATACATAACCGTTGAGTGTTATTTCTCCAGTCATACATAATGAATTATTTATTTTCACCTTTAAGTAATAGGACAAAATGGATGTAACGAAATTTATGCCTGCACTTGGTCCATCTTTTTTCATATCACATTCACTCATATTTATATGTAAATATTCAGTTTGAAAATTTGGAATTATTTTTTTTAACAATTGGATTGAAAAGGTGTTAGCTATTAGTATACTTTCTTGCATTATCTTTCCAACATTTCCTGTTATGATAATTTGACAATTTAAGTTTCCACCAAAATTGAGATTTTTCTCATCCATATTCTTCTTCCATCTATGAGCTTCCCCTATTTTGTCCTTTATGGCAAAAAAGGGTTCACCTTGAGTAGGAAAATTTTGTGGCATATCTGTTGAGCTGGAAATTTTTCCATGTAGTAGATGTGTATCTTCACTCTCTCGCACAAGTTTTTCAATTTTTGAAATATTTGGTGGGTGATATATCTTATCCTCTGTTAGAGTAAAATTGTTCATATGTAGGTTATAACTTGGGAATGGAAATTCCATTTTGTCATTTCTATTCTTTGGTATGTTAACTTCACATGTCCTGAAAGAATCACCATTGTAGTATGCATCGTCTTGATTTCTTCTTTGTATATTATAAGAACTGTTTTTATCCGAAAGTCCAGAAACTTCTATAATAATAACCTGACCACCATTATCTGAAAAGGCTAGCGATTTTAGTGTACCTTCCTCTAGACATGGAGCAACACAATTTACCCCCCTATTAGTTCTAACATTTCCAATACTTAGAAAATTTTGAAAAATATGCAAATTATGAAGTCCTAATTCTATTTTTTGTGTAAGTCCTTTTAAAAGCATATAGGCCCTTTTTTTATAAATGTTATATAGAATGGAATAAAATTGTCTGATTCCATTTTCGTTGGTATAATTTTGAATAACATATAGTAACAGTTCATCTGACAATTCTAGATGCATATTTGTAATTTTAGTTTCTGTTTGAATTTTTTCTTTTAAATAATTTTTAAAAATAAGAATTTTTTCCATATTTGTGTAGGGATATATATTTATAATTTCCATTCGATCTAGTAGGACTTCAGGTATTTCATCAACTGAATTAGCTGTGCATACAAAAAAAACATTTTCCAAATTGATAGGAAAATTTATATAAAGATCTTTAAATTCCTTATTTTGAGTATTATCAAATATGTTTAGAAGTGTATTATATATGCTTGTGTTTCCAAAGGATATTTTATCAAATTCGTCTAAAATTATTAACGGGTTCATTACATCTGTTGAAATTAGTGCTTGTACAATTTTTCCTTCATAGCTATTCACATAGGTTCTCCTATGTCCAATTAGTTCATTCATATTGTGTATATTATTCATATTTATTATACAGTATGGTAGATGTAAAGCAAGACTGATAGATTTACATATGGATGTTTTCCCTATACCTGGATACCCAACGAGGAGAAGTATTTTCGGATTCACATTTTTATTTAACATGTATAGTCCTAAATATTCCAGTATATATCTTTTCACATCATATAACCCATAGTGACTTTGACATAATGTCATTTCACATTTCTTGATATCTTCACATAGAGTAGCATATTTTCCATAAGGAATACTCAACACTGTGTTGAGGTATTGATACGAGGATGAATAATCAACACAATTTTCACTGTACAAAGAAAATTTATTAATTTCTCGCAGTATTGTAGTAGAAGCCTCTTGGCTCATATAATTACTTTTCAATTGGAATTTCTTAAAAAATTGTTCATACAAATTTTCATGTTCTGATTTTTGTCCAATTTTTTTTTTTAAATTTGTTATATATTCCTTAATTATTAATTCTTCTTTTTCTTTTGTAAATTTGTGCTGCATATTTGTAGATAATTCTTTTTTCATTTTTAGTAAAAAAATATCTTCATTAAGTAAATTCAAACAGGTTTTAAGCTGATCCTCTACATTTGTTTTTTCAAATAAATCTTGAAGAAGACTATTTTTGCTTATTGTTATACTACCTATAAGGTTCACCAAACTGTGCACATTTTTTACATTGTAATATTTTAATAATAAATTATATTCAGAGGCACATGTACTATTTATTTTTATAATTTCTTTTATTTTGTCTATAATTTCCATTTGGTATATTTTTATCCTTTTATTATTTATGTTCCATTTTCTCTTTTCCATTACATTAATTATGGCAGTATTCGCCTTTACCCATTTTACGATTTTTACCTTTTCAACCACATCAATGATGATTCGGTGTATATTCTGGATTTTACCCCCAAGATGGTTATTTCTTTCTTGGATTCTGTCCTTTTCATGGAACTGCTTTTGTTCCTTCGAATCCATCGCATTGTTCATTGTTCCTTTTTTTGCTGTTACTGTTGCTCCTTCTGTTTCTGCTGATTCTTTTGCTGACGTTGTTGTTCCTGTTCTTGCATGTGATAGGTTCTCGTTTGAGTAATTACCACTCTCTGCTGAATCATCTCTGCCATACCCATCGTTGTATAGTACTTGCTGAACAATCCCTAATGAACCACAAGAATAAACATTATGAACGTCTTTAATGAAATCTAGATCTTTCTTTAAAAAAGGTTCATCATCTGTAATTCCTTCTTTACCTTCTAAAGGAGGAACCTCTTCTAACTTAATTTTTTCGTCACAAAGTAGATCATACGTTTGTCCATTTTCCTTTTTCTTATTAAAAAAGAGTCCCACATATATCTTTTTTTCTTTACAGTTTTCAAGTATATTCACAAGATTTTTATCCACATTGAGCACATATGAAAGGCCTGGAAAGAGCGGCTTGTTTAGAAGCGAAAAGCATTTAACTTCTTTTCCATTAACATTTGCACTATTAACATCTGAGTTCATTAATTGTAAGTCATTACTTTCATGCACCTTTGAGGATCGGTAAAAAAGTTGAGTGTTTCTAAAGAATTCTCTTCTATGTTTTAGAAAACGTATAAAATACTGCATCATACGCGCTTAGGGCCGTGGTTAGGTCGTGGTTAGGTCTTTACTTAGGGGTGTGTGTGTGTGTGATGTTTATGGTATTCTCTGTTCAAATTAGCGAGAGGTTTCGACTACCAGTAGAACAACAACACAAAAAATAAGTAGAATCTAAATTTTAATTCACCCCTTACTGTAGGCTAAAATTCATAAACATATATTTCACACAGATGAACCTGAAAAAATAAGGTCATGGAAGTTCAAGGGAGAGAAAATTGCGCTATGCATGTCGTGTCAAGGCAAAAGCATTTAACACGAGCAATTCTTAGAGGCTCGCAGGGTGGGCCCATTTGAAAAAGAAGAGGAAGAAGAAGGAGAAAAAGAAAAAGTAAATATACAAAACTGTACTCGTAGAAATGCACTATTTTGCGTAACCTTTAGAGAAATCTTTTTCCTCCCATGCTTAACAAAATGTTTCTACAACGTGGTCATCACTATGGTGCAGACGCCATTGATTGATTATCCGCGTGTGTGTGATGAAAATTTGTCAAAGTTGTTAAAAGTTGTTCAAAATTTTCAAAATTGTTCAAAATGGCTCAAAATGTATACATGTTATTGGAAAAGTTGTAAAAAAAAAAAAAAAAAAAAAAAAACAGCTGAATGTTAAGGCAAAAAAATACTATGGAAATAAAAACACGTTCTTCGTCGGCACAAAAAAAAAAAAAAAAGGAAAAAATAAAAAAAACAGATGGCATTTTTTTGGTGAGGATAAATGGGCTCCAAATGAGCCAGGTTATTCCTGTTAACGAAAAGTACTTTTCACTTTATTTATTTTTTTTTTTTTTCATCCTTTTGAAAGTTTTCTCCTATATAATTTTTTCATTGTGGCAAATCCCACTTAATAGGTGTTAACCCTTTCTGAGTAAGAATATTATTACACTTGTTGAAGTGGTCACAATTGATAAAATGTCTCACACTTAAGGGAGATGGATGTCCTGCTTTTAAAATAAAATGCTTGTTTGTGTCAATTTTTGCACATTTTTTTATTGCAAAATTCCCCCACAGCATGAAAATAATATTCTGTTTTTTCTCATTTATAATATTTATAACTTTATCAGTAAAAGTTTCCCACCCGTAATTTTTGTGTGAAGCAGGTTTGTTTTCTTCGACAGTTAAAGATGTATTTAATAAGAACACTCCTTGCTCTGCCCAGCTAATTAAATCTCCATGATTACTTGTTTGTTTTATTTCCTTTAAAATATTTTTTAGACTTGGAGGAATTTTAATACCAACTGGTACTGAGAAACATAAACCCATGGCTTGACCTTTTTGATGGTAGGGATCCTGACCTACTATTACTACTTTTATTTTAGATAATGGTGTTTTCAAAAAAGCATTGAAAACTAATGGAGCTGGTGGAAATATAACTTTTGTCTTTCTTTCTTCCTTTATCTTCAGATACATTTTCTGAAAATAATTTTTTTTCAATTCATCTTTTAATTGTTCGTACCATTCAACATGCATTAAGTTTTTTATTTCTTCAGTGTAACTGAAGCTAGGCATATCCGCAACATTTGTCTTTTCAGAAACTTTTTCCTTTTCCATTACGTTTGTCATCTTCTTAATGAATGATATATTTGCAGAGTTCTCCTCCACGCCCAAGTTACATGCAGATACTTCCTGATCACATGAATTTACATCAGTAGCATTTTCAAATTTTATAGAATCAGTTACTATCTTCCTTTTCTTACACTCATTATCTGTTTCTTCCAACTCCTCCAAAACAGTGCTTGTGGCAGAACCACATCCATTATTCTCCCCACTCGCACTACTTGCAGTTGTGCTTTTTTTCCTTTTAATGTGAAAAAAGCTATCAATTGTTTTTTGAACTTTTATTTTATTCATTTAGATTGCACTTTAAGATATGCACTTCAAGGAGAGGGGGAAATGTTTTCAGCCAGAACTCAATAAAGAAAGTTAATTCATTTGGTGACAAATACAGGAAAATTAAAATGGGAATGCTTAAAATGAATAAAATATAATGTAATGTAAAATAATAGAAAAGTTAAAAGCACACACATGCAAGCAGACAAAAAAAAAAAAAAAAAAAAAAAAAAAAAATAAAAAAAGAAAAAAAAAAAAATTTTTTATTTAAAAAAAAAAAAAAAATGAAAAAAAAAAAAAAAAAAAAAAAAAAAAACTGAATCTCCTGCAGAACTGTACTGTGTGTGATCTTTATTTTAAAATTTTCATTATAGTTTCATGTTTAAAGATGAATCAAAAGTTTAATTATTTCAGATGATGTCCATGAAATATATAATACATAACAATGAGTTTACTTCTCCAAAAATGTTTTCTCTTTTTCATTTCACTTTTCACAGTACTTCTTATAAGGCAAAGGGATTTGTAACAAAATAATATATCAAATAATAAATGCTGAATGGTGAGGGGGAAAAAAAAAAAAATTATCCACTTATTTTTATTTCACATTTTGCACATTCATTTTATGATGAATGAAAAAAAGTCTAAGGGCTAGTATCGAAAGATGCCAAAAATAAAATGTGTTAGTTGTTCATTTTGTTAATAAAAAGCGAGGTGATGTAAAAGGAAAACATGTGTCGAAATTTATTCTTATATTGTTGCGAATTTTTCAAATCTTAGAAAATGAAAAAATGTGCTGTATACTTTAGCCGCATCTTTTGAAAAACTACAACATTTAATCCCTGAATTGATTTAATTTTATTTTATTTTTTTTGTTTTTTTGTTATTTTTTTTTTCCTGCGTTTGAACTTTCATGGAAAGGGTTCTCAGGGTTTGGAACAACCCTTAAACCATTTCTGTCAACATAATTTGGATACACAATTGAGAAAAGGTGAAATATTTTATTAGCACTAGAAGTTCTCTCATCGTCTAAATGTTTTTATTGAACACACTGTACATTATCTAGGAAATCTCTCGAAACATACTCCTATGTTGATATTTTTATGCACTCTAACAAAATTGTTATATTATATGAAAGTCTTTCTTTTTTTTAAAGGAGATACTTTCATTAAAAATGTGTGCAGCACGGATCATCTAGACATTACTACAATTGGCATCGCTACATTGCTACAATTCGTATCGCTACATTGCTACAATTGGCATCGCGATATTGCTACAATTGGCATCGCGACATTGCTACAAATGACATCGAGGCATTGCTACATTTTTGCTTTTGTTCCTTTCTCTTTTGTAAAATCTTTTAATTATTCAAGAAAAACCTGAAAACAGTTGGTTCTAGACATGCGTCTATCGTATGGAGTTGCATGAGCAAATATTTGACAAGTTCTACAGATTCCAATAATATTTACAAAACACTTTTTTTTTTTTTTTTTTTTTTTTTTCAATTCCAATTTGTTATTGTACCGTATATAAAGCATTTTTACATAAAACATTTCCTTAAAACATTACGAAAATGTTTTTCACAATTTTTGAAACTACTACAATGAGATAAAAATCAATTTAAATGTTTTCATAATGTTGTCAAATATGGATCAATGAGTCAAGGTGGCTATCACTTTTTTTTTTTTTTTTTTTTTTTCAAGCTATTTTTATCACATACGAATTTTACACACATAAAAAAATTATGTGACCTATTAATTCACTTTTTAGCAGTTGTAAAATTAAATTTTTTTCCATTTTTCATTTTTTATGTAAAAAATATTTTAAAGAGTTTCAAAAGTTTGTGTAATATTTGTTTTCCTATATTAAAACGTATATTTTTTATTATTTCATTTTTATTATTTTTTTTTTTATTATTTTTTTATTATTA